ATCCGTGATCTACCCTTGAAGAAAAGTAGAGCTTTCATGCACCGTGAGCATGGCAGACAAGGCCTGTGCCCCGAACAAAGTGAATAAAGTACCTTTCTTAGAGGTCAGATGCAAGAGTGCTCTTTACGGTGTGCGGCTGCATCATGCAAGTGCCATGTGTTCGTCAAGCCAACCACGCGTGGCGGGGGCCAAAAAAAAAGGGCACATCATGTACGCACTACTACGCAGTCCAAAACCAATTCTATAATAATCAGCCATTCCACTGATGAATCCTCGAATCACCCTAGCAGACGCACCTCGTAAATGTACCGGCCTGTGCTGGCCCCACTATATGCTTCCTGGGTTCTTCGTGCATGGTTGATAGTCGATTGACTATTATACCTATTATTATGCCTCCTATTATTATTTTGACTTTGCGAAGGAAAAACAAAGCATAGCACTCCAAACGAGAAAACGAGAAAAAAAGAAAGAAAAAAAAACCCCCAATTTGTACTACAGTACGGAGTAGTTAGATCACAAACCCAGTAAAATAAAGGGGGGGGCTTGTCTCGCGTGGCCATGGGGCCACGCTTGGACGCCCCCGGATGATCCCCGATCGATCACCGCGGTACCCGGGCGAAGAGCTCGAAGCGTGATAGCCTGGCCACGCCACGTTTTACGTGTGATAGCCGATAGCTACTGTAGTATCTGGACTAGTATAGCGTGTATACTAGTATGAGCTCTAATGACTTGCCTTGGACCAGGGACTAAGGTCGAAAACCCTTCCGACCACGCTAGAACACTCCTTAATTACGGCCACGGCAGAGCGCGAGATGAGATACCGTCATCCTTCTCCCGTAGATTTCTTAGTTTTCACTACTCTGTCGATTATTCCGCATACACTTTTCTTAAGCAAACGCTGTCCAGGCTTGTACCACTACCCACGACCCAAGCGGCCGGGCCCGGGCCACTATTTTGCCGTTTTAACTTCGGGGTGGCTGGATAGCCATTCGGAAAAGGAATGTCTCGTCGACAGAGTTTAGCTGGTGGAAATGAAAAAGTGGGTGCGGTAGATTAACATTGGGTTGGATCCTGATCCTGATCCTTAGAGTAGTACAGGACAGGACAGGATCTATAATCCGGACTCTATGCAGCAAGTCTTTGGCGAGGGTTTACCATGATTCCACACTCAATGATCCCCATTCCACGTTCCATGTCCCAGTAAAACGAAGATGATGAAAGCTTCCCCGTCCGAACCGGTGGTACGCACAGCTCCATCGTCGGCAGAGTTTTAGCTAAAACCTACTGTAGGGCAGGCCAGACCTAAGGGCTAGCACCATAGGGAAGAGGCGGGAATGTCACTGCGGAGTTGCCTTGACTCCGTCATGGGAAATTGGACAGTATCTCCAGCCGACCGTACGAGCCGCAAGGGGCGCCAATCATGGCCGGCGGAATTCTACCGCCGGTTGCTCTGGAGTGTCGATCCCGATGAGAAGTGCCGGATGGATGAATTGGTGGAGAAGGTCGAGGCGTATACATGGACTCCGTATGCTTTTTGATCAAGGACTGCCGTACTTAGTGTCTTGAATACATTCTCCATAGTTAATATACGGAGACTGGATTCTCCAATGTCCTTCCAATTAGAGATGATCTGCCGAGCCAGGGCGTATTTACTCTGCATTTTCTCTTCACTCTTCTATGCAGTATGAGAAGGATCGCCCTAGGGCGTGGATCATGGCGCTCGAGCCCTTTTCCACGCGCTTTGCTGCACAGCTGCGCAGCTGCAGCGTTAACTACTGAGTCCGAGGATGTACTGTGAAATTTCCTAGTGATCAGCTTATTCCACGAGGCAGGCAGTCCTCTTCCAGTAGGTAGATAGTGATTATAGCTATCCGTGCTTCTACGGTCGTTCACATACTCCTTTCTTGTTTTTGCCTTTCATCCATTTTGCCCCTGTCAAACCCATTCCACAAAACTTGGACGGTACCAGTCCTTTCCGATCCACGGATAACCCAAATGTACCAAGTACCGCTCACACTGAACCACTTCCTATCCAAACTCATGTATCACAGTAGGTAACTAGCTACGCATCCCTGCTGAATCATCCTCGACGCAACCAATCCACACGCACGGAGCAGGCGATCCTGGCCAAAACGGCTAAACCCTGTGGAGACTTCGCTTCCACGAGGTCGGGAATGCAGACTCCACCGATAACGGCCAATCCTTGATCGCTAGCGGTGCAGAAATCGTGCACGGCCCTGGTAGCCCAGCCCACTGCCCAAGGTCTCTCGTACGGTAAGTCTGTCACTGTGTGACACCTGTTGGACTGCCGTGGACGAAAGGGCAACGGCTCCCTTTCGTTCCAGAACGCCGATCACTCAGATCATTTCCACGTCTCAAAGAGGCTGGTCGCGCGGGTCTCGCTCCCCCTCCATGGTTGCTCACTCAGCCCGCTCTCGGGTCTCGGTCGCCCCTCGGGATTTCGTTCACTGGGCTATGGGCTATGACCCTGGAGATCTTCAGGAGAAAGACATCTTGGATGAGCCTTTCTAAGATCGACACACTTTGTAGAGTCTGATTATAGTATTCTTTGGCACCTTCCTCGTTGACATGACGATGCCCTTCCTAACCTCCTCTTCTCCTTACTCCAGCTCCACCGATAGAAACCTAGTTCTATTTCTATAATTATGATTTGGTTCACCTTCTGAAATGACGATGCTGATCATGATCAGAGGGGGAGAATCCTTCGACCCGCCGACCGTGCATCACCACACAGCAAAGCTGCCCCTGCTACTGGTGGTAGTAGTTCTGCAGCACATGGCCACCTGGTTTTTACCTCTCCATGCAATCCATTCATCACTTGCTTCCTTCGTACGCTGAAACTCTCCTACAAAAACTCTCGGACCCTCTCAAAAGTCTATGCAGTATGCAGGCCCAGGCAGAAGAAGGTTTTCGTAAGCGAGCCCACATGGGAGTCCCGAGCGCTTAGGAGCCGCCACCCCGGTCATGATGGACGAGTTGTCTACGTAGCGAGTCACTGTACATAGTAGAAACTCCGTGGTGAGAATGGAGTTTATGGATATAGTTACAAAGTAATACAACAGTTGAGTCATTAATAAATGTGAAAAAAAAAGAACGGAACAGGTTGGCATAGGTAGATATCGTAGGTCATGTACTTCCGTACCCAAAGGAGCCAATGATCATCCGGGCCCATCTCCTGAAACCAGGGAACTGCTGGCCAACACATCGAGGGCGCTAAAGCAGCGGGAATGAAATCAGTGGGCAACTGGACACCTGGGACAGGGGATGTTCTGGCCCCATCGGAGTTATGGTGATTTTGGGTTTAGCGCCCGGATCCCACCATTTATGACCTTCCCTTTTGGCTTGCCTGGTCTCTGCTTTTTTTCTTTCTCATTTTAAATCCCCCTCGTTTAGCCACGCGACAGTTCACTCGAATAATCCGGGGTTATCGGGGTTTGGGGGGGATTTCCAGGGCGTTGGTGAGATCCCCGAGGGATGAAAGGATGGGTAGGAAGAGGCAAAAAAGGGGAGGTTATAACGGGAATCTGGATAGATACTTTACTGCTATAATAAGCATTATGCGATCTACCAACAGTTAGAGTACTGTCTTCGAGGCAGGAATCAAAGTTCAGTACACTGTCCTCCTCAGGCTTCTCCATCGAGAAAGCTACACCTCCCGCACGGTGCACGGAGGAGAAATATAAGATGGGTATCGGCAGATGCACACCATGTAATACGCACCAATACGAGAAAAGAAAAAAAAAATAGAAAAATAAAAAAGAAAGCCTCGCTAAAAAAGCCAAAGGACGAACAAAAAAGCAAAACCTGCGAAGGATCGACGTACGATCAGTGTTCGGTGCGATCGGCCGTTTATGGGGCTAGTATGTGACAGGTAAGCAGGATCTGCACTAACCGTAGCCGAGGAGGACTTTCTTGGCCTCCCCGATCGAGTCTAGCCTGGTGAATCCTGGACCAGTTAGTCTCGGGGTGTTCTTCATTCTGGTAGGTCCTTTTATTCTCCAGTTCTTTCTTATTTAGGTCTAGTTCGGCATGGCCATGCTGCTCTTAGTCCTAGACTCCTAGGGAGTACTGTAGTAGGGGAGAGTAGTAGAAGGAGAGGATACATGTGGGGACCCGAGCCACAGTGTGTTCGGAGGCCATGAGGGCACAGGTAGGGGAAGCGAAGACACATCGGTGGACGGTGATAGGTAGAGATGCACCTCGACCGGGTTGCCTGCTGGCTGCTGTCGTACACTGGGATTTTTTTCTTTTTTTTCTTTCTGTTCGCGTGGGCAAATCGTCATGGCGGCTCCACTTGCAGGGTTAATCTCCGAGACCAAAATAAAGAAAGTCAAAGAAATAATGATTATTATTCCACATAGAAAAGAAATCATTTAATTCCTCGTTAATTAAATTAAGCTTTGGAACGGACTGTCTCACCTGTTGACTGCATTGAATCCGGAAAAGTACACCCTGTAATTCCATCCTCGATCTTTCTAGTGTACTGATAATCTGTAGTCTATTAGTCTCTTACCCTTATTGTACATCTCCTCCGTCCTCCCATCTACATCTATCACGGTGGTCAATTCATCGCCCCACTTGTATATATCGGTAATGGTAAAATTACGGGGTGGAGGAGGAGAAAAAATAAAAAAAGTGGGAAATATGAGAATGGCAAAAAGTGGAGGAGGCACAATCGGCATCGCCCGCGGGCGATCATCCACGCGAAACCCGGCCACCTGGTTGTGGATGTGGTTGTGGTGGATTTGTGGTGGTGGTCCTTGGCTTTGGGAGTCCTTTGACTTTCTCCTGTTTTGGCGCCGGGGAACTATAAACCCTCGTGTCTCCCCATACAGGATCGGTTTCTTCTCTGGTTCGTCCCTTATACTATAATTCTCCAACCACCACTCCTCTCAACCTCGAGGTTATCTAGGTATTGATCTATAGATCTACCTAATTTATCTTACCAACCCTCTATATCCGGATCATATTCTACCATCATGGATTTGGCAAGCCTTCTCCACGGCGCCGCCCCAGCCCCCAAGCTGTATACTGAGACCTACGGCAAGCGCTCGCTACAAGCGCCTCTTTCGCCCCCAGTGGAGGATCAACCCAAGTGTTCATTGCCTTCGATCTCCACGTTGCTCGAGGGTGCTGATGGAGCTCAGCACTCAGCTAGTGAGTAGACCTTGGATGGACTATACCCTATGCTAGATCATAGTACTATGATATATATAGTACTATGGTATAGTATAGTATAGCTCTATACCTTCAATATAACTTGAACCATTATCTAACAATCCAACTAGAGCGCCAACGTCTGAGCCCACCTGCTCACCAGCGCGATGCTCGCTACGACACCGTCTGCCTGCCTCCCACTCCCCCACTCCGTCCAGGCTCGGGATCTGGTCACAGCAGCGTCGCCCACTCCCCCGTCGAGCTCAACACTCCCAAACACACTTCGCACCGCTCCTCCATCTCCAGCACCACCAGCTCCACCGCCCCTCAACCTCACCACTCCCACGGACCCTACGCCTCTCCAGCACCCAGCATCTCTTCCTCCACCTCAACATCAACCTACACCTCCCCGGTGGAATCCAACCCACCCAACAACACAACCCTCTACTACCCCCGTCCTCCAAGCATCACAACCTTCAACCCACCCACAATCAACACCTCCACCTCTCCAACAATCCAACAACAAGCCGCTCCAACCCAACAATCCCCCTCAACGATGATCTCCCCCGTCACTCCTGCTTGGCAACACCAACACCACCACTACTTCCCCCCTCCAGTGCAGCCCCCTACCAACAAAACCACGACCGATATATCTGCCGGACCTGCCACAAGGCCTTCTCCCGGCCCTCCAGTCTGCGCATTCACTCGCACTCGCACACGGGCGAGAAACCCTTCCACTGCACGCATCCCGGCTGTGGAAAGGCCTTCTCCGTGCGCAGTAACATGAAGCGCCACGAGCGGGGTTGCCACTCCGGTCGACCGGCCGTTCCTGCGCCGCAGGCGTTGGTTTCTTAATGCCGTGCTTGACGCTATGCTGCAGCATTATGTCTTATTTGATTATTGTTCTATTTGGGAGTGTGTATGAGCGCCTTGCTTAAGGCTGGCGTTTTTTCTTTTATGGGGAGGTTGATTTTGGGAAAAACCCCCCGTTGGTACTTGTTACCGTGATACCCTGGATATCTTGGTTTTTTTAACGTATTTCCTGTGTTCTATATTCCCTTTGTTACGGATTGGTGGATATACTAGACGGATAGGATGGGATGGGATGGGACTTGATATATAAAAACTCTAAAATTACGAGACAATGTATTATTCTATGATTCAATCTTTTTCTCCCCTTGTATGTGAATCCGTAGCCAAGTGAATCACTAGACTTGGTTAAGGGTGATATTCTGGTTTAGTATTGTCTTAAACTCCCTACCCCTGGAAGTTGATCCTGTCGAGAAACCCGGTAAATCCTCGGCAAAATGGTTACGACCATGTCTCATCGCGTGCTGGTCTTGGTGCATCCTGCGACGGGAATGATTGCAAAATACGGACACTGATCAACTCGGGATGATTTAGAGTTACGCAAAAATAACCATAAACGGGTGTCTTGTCTTGGTTAAACGGGCACGCGATCTGGTAGAGTACGTATACCCTTACTTTTGGATGCGATTCACCGCGAGGCATTTCGGAACGGCCGTTCCTTGGGTTTGATATATTCGAAATTAGACTCGACAAATGAAAAGTCCCCAAATTTGGGGGAATCAATCTAGGTAGTGTATCCAATCTATATACTCGTACCGCGTGGATAAGAAGAAATGTGTTCAAAAGGATTGTAAATCGCCGGAGAGAATATCCCCAAAAACGGGTGTATATGAAACTCATATATCCCATCCCATCCTGTTCCATGAAACCAAACCAAACCAGACCGAACCGTATCTATACCAATATCCATATCCAAATCCATATCCGTGTATACCCAATTCGTAAATCATCAATCTCATACCCAATCTTCACCCCCCTACCCGCATATCCATCACTCATCAAGCACCCCCCTCGCTAAAGCCGCCAAACTAGTCTCATACCTCGCCGGATTATGATCACTCAACATGCCCGACGCAAACCTCAACTCCCCAAAGAAAGCATCCACATCCCTAACAAATCTCATCTGCACCCTCGTCGCCGGCCTCCCAAGCCTGGGATACCCATCCGCGCCAAACTCCGGCACAGCCGTAAACGCCTCCCGCTGCAAAACGCGCATAGTCTCAACGACAAACACCTCACCGGGCGGCATAAGTTTCGGCGCCCGCATCTCGTCACGTAGCAGGCCGAGCGTTTTCCACGCCCAGGCGTCCTCGCCGACGCCGTCACCCGCGTGGAGGACGTGCGGGGGTTGGTTGACGTAGAATTTGTGGATGATGCTTTGGCGGAGACTTTCGTGGAGGCGTTGGCGGACGTGGGATTTTGCGCCGGAGATATCGCTTTTGAAGAGGGTGGCGGCGGTGTGCATGTCGTGCAGGATGCCGAGGGAGAGGCTGGGGACGATGTCGGAGCCGTTGACGATGGTTGTTATTAGGCCTCGTGTGGCGAGGCGGAGGAAGGGGGACATTACGGCTGGGGGGCCGTAGGCGTAGACGTGGATTGGGCGGCCTGGGGGTAGATCGTAGGATGGTGGTGGTGTTTCTGTTGGAGAGGGTGAGGCGTTGTTACTGGTTTCGCTGTCGACGGTGATGAGGCGCGGCTGGGGACGTGGTTGATAGGATGCTGTCACGAAGGATGTGCCTGTGAGAGCACTGCTGGGTTCGGCGATCATAGTTGCTAGCAAGGCTGCAACACCACCACCGAGGGAGTGACCGCAGAGGACGACGCCGTAATCTTGAAATTCCTCCAGCGCGGCGCGCAGAGTAATCATCACTCGACCGCCGCCACCTTCGAGTAGTCTCTTGGCCGAGGCGTGCATGCCCTTGTGCACCTTCCAATTCTTGCCTTGCCATTCTAGATCATCGTAGTCACAGGTCATATCAGTGAGGATATCCTCGAAACCCCAGGTTCCGCGAAGTGTCAGAACGACTGCCTTGGACTCGTGGTCGATGGAGAGATAGTGCACGAGTGGGACTCCGGACTCCGTCTCACCAGCGGCATTCGTACCTCCTGCAGGGTCAACGAACGAGGAGAGTAAGATGGTCGATGGCGGAAGCCCAGCATGATCCGAGAACGCGCTGTGTTCATGGTCATCTAACACAGCTGCAGGAAGACTCTTCGTGCCCTTGGGCACACCCATGACTTTGAGTGCGTTAGCCCCATAAGAGGCAGACGAGAAGCGACAGAAACGACGGATATTTTGAACAAAGTGTCTCTCGGGGAAGATGCCCGGGACTAGACCGTCCCGGTTCAATGCTTGGATGGTACTCATATCTTCATATGCACTTTTGCGAGGCCGATGCGCTAATAAGAGCGACGTTTCAGAGCCCGCCGTTGCAACCGAGTACATACTGGGAGTGTATGACTTGGACCGTCCATGTCGCGCCGAAGAGGTGGGCCGGTGATCATTCACGGAGACAGTTCCATCTGCCTCTGACCTCGTCAAAGACATGGAGCTACTGCTGCGAACATGAGTCCTCGCAGCGACCGGCGAGCCGGGACGTAAGTCGCCATTGCGGCGTGAAAAGGTATCCGTGTGAGTCAAAAGGGACTCTTGGCTCTTTTCACGCATGACAAAGTATCCAGCTCGCGAGCTACTCCGATCAGGGATATTGCGAGGTGGAACATGTCGGGGATGCGCTCTGGGTGATTGAGGGGATTGGGGAGAGTGAGGGTACGGTGACCTGCGCAAGCCTCTATTCGGAGCCGGGGTACTGGGTCGATAGTCAACTGCGTCGGTATGTCGACGCTTAGGCTCTGGTTGGCTAGATGTCTCGCGCGCAGTCGCTTCTCTGACAGGGGCGGCGCCCTTGGTTGGTCTGGTAGGTTGGCGTGGATTTGGAGCACTGGACGAGCCTGCGGGTTTTAGGGCCGGCTTCTTAACCTGAGCACGCTTAGTGCTTTCAGAACTATCCGTTGGCCCGTTCGATTTGACCTTTTTAGCCAACTTTGTGAACGAGCCTTTCCCGAATCCAGATTTCTGGCTTTGATCGCTTGTAGACCCAGGACTAACAGGGTCCTGTCGTGCCATCGTCACTCCACTTGCAGCTTCTGGATGGGAACTTGCTCGGCCATTCTGGGCTCCAGCATGTCCATTTGATACTGAGCTTACAGGCAGAGGTCTTGGGCGTTGCGTCTCCGTCGGACTGGGAACACGAGAACCGTCGCGAGGGCGTAGTTCTGTGCTTTGCGACTTGTTGAAAGCGGTCCGAAACACGACTGTATGTTTTGGAAGTCGCTGGTACTCGGCCACAGCTGTATCGTTGTACTCATGATCATGATGAAACCGCTCTTCGATCATCGTCGTACCCGGAGGCGCAGCGATTTCAGCGATATCGTCGTCGAATATGTCCACCGTGATTGTGCGTGCTGTAAGGACTTCCGACTTGATAGTAGCATGACAACCTGGAGGCAATTGACTCATGATATAAGACCGAATGTCTTCATCTGATACTTGTTGTTGACCATCCAATTGGAACGAAAGTCGAGACCCGGGAAAGGCTTCTGGAATACTTGGTCGTCGATGAACTGCATCAAAGGATTCATCGCCATGACCCGGCATCACGAAAGATGCGCTTTCCGGCTCAACCAGTTCCTCCTGGTTTCCATCTGGGAATTGTACTTGATGCGTGCCCACAACGTCGGCTCTGAGACCGCTGTCCAAGATCACGGTATCCCAAACTACTTCGTCGCCACCTTTCTGGCGAAGAGTACGTTCGGTGTTCTTCTTTCCCCAGCGTTGTAGCAAAGCAAATCCAACAGAGCCAAGGAACAGGTCTCCAACGCCAATCTTCTCGCTGCTAGCGCCGGCATCGACGGAGCGGAACTCGCGTCGGATGAGAGTGATAATAGCCGCGATAGCCCTAGACGACTCGGTAGATCCAAGGATCGCATCGAGAGTTGATAGCAGAGCCTGCGAGAAATTCGCAACCGATGCCAGCGTCGTGGATGAGAAATGGAACGAGGCCGCGGCAAAGAATGAGGCCGAGGTCACAGTTGTATGCAGAGTTGCCAACTAGAAAATAATCTTAGTATTTTGCATATCAAATCCATACCGGGGGTTGCTCGATCACATACACTTCGCTCCAGCAAGGATTCCGCCTCTCTCCGCCCATGTTCATCGCCACTGCGAAACGCAACGTCTCTGCCGGCTCTTGTTAGAATACCTTCGATCACTGCACGCCCAAGTTCCAGACCCGTCAACGTCGTTGCCCGCGCTCCATCCAAGGCCACACCACCAAAGAAAGTGCCGACTCTCAGCGACAATGAAGTCGATTGAGTGAGGAGCGAGACGAGTGATGCGACTGGCCGGGGTAGTAGAGTAGTGCCGGAAGTTGCGGGTACATGGCTCGCGTTTGTCTCCAGGCTGATAATCTGCGTTTCTTTCTCATTCGGTGGATCCCGATCAGGTTCAATAGGCTTTTCAAACATCATGAGCCATGAGGTTGTATGTACGGTATTGTATAGTGCCAGGACTATGTCTAGGAGAAGAAGAATGGATCGAGTGGTCTAGCCCTGGTTATCAGGTTCCCGACCCTGAAAATTGCCCCTCGACCAACTGGCGGGCGTGGCTTGATTCTCGTGCCTGACCTTGATTGACATGTGATTCCCAACGAACGCGTCGTTGGGATGACGTCGAGGGCCCCAGAAAGCTTGTTACTTTACCCTTTTCGGCTCTGAATGTGCTTAAAACAATAAAGAGATAAGTAATAGTGACATATTGGAAAAGTTCACTACTGACATTATGTACAACAGCACCCAAGTAGTACTGGGCACTCATGCGTGATCAATCTACATCATCGCCTTGACATCGCCTGCATGCTGCACCCTGCGAATCACCGTCCGGTCGCACTCGGCCACCGTGCGGATCCCTGCTAGGCCCATGCTCTGCCAAAGATCTGCCAGCAGGCCCTTGAACACCTGCTTTGCGCCATTGCGACCGTCGATCCCCAAGCCATAGATCACGGGTCGGCCGACCAGTACGGCCTTGGCGCCGAGTGCAAGTGCCTTGATGATATCCACGCCAGTTCGGACTCCGGAGTCGAAGAGCACCGTCATTTGGTCACCGACCGCATCGACAATCTCTGGAAGGACGTCCAGGGATCCGATGGCTCCGTCGAGTTGACGACCTGTCGAACTGTGTAAGTTGCGGTTGTTCCGATCCCGTTCTACCCGGATTAAGGGTTACTTACCTCCATGATTAGAGACCACAACTCCGTTGCACCCATATTTCAGTGCCATCTTCGCATCCTCTACATGCTGGATGCCCTTCAAGACAATCGGTCCGTCCCAGTGTTTCCATAAAAATGCTAACTCTTCCCAAGTATGCGGTCCGCTGGCCGCAACCTGGCCAAGCCAGGCGCGAGATGCACCCACAATATCTTCTTCGATCGTGCATCCGGCTTCTTTCTCGAATTTCTCCCGGAAGACCGGATCGCTAAAACCGACCTGGCATCCAACTCCCTTAAGGAAGGGCACGTAGGCATTATCCAGATCCGCCGGGCGCCACGCCAAAGACCAGGTGTCTAACGTGACGACCAGCACTGAGAACCCACTCGCTTTGGCCCGTTTCAGGAGTGAGAGGGTGATGTCGTTATCCTGCGGCCAGTATAGCTGATACCACCGCTTGCCATCGCCGCTTGCTGTAGCCACTTCCTCAATGGTGCTCGTGGCGGCCGTACTCATGATATAAGGCACGCCAACCTCCTCGCAGACCTGTGCCAGACCCGTTTCTTTGTCCTCGTGGAAGATGCCCTGCACGCCAACGGGCGCCATGATGAGTGGGCTGTCGTATTTTTGTCCAAACAGTTCGACTGAAACATCCTGACCGTCCATCTAGCAGTCTCATGATGGTCAGCGGGTTCCCTCCAAATTTGAAACCAATAGGATAAGTATGAGAAAAGACTAACGCTGCGCAGCATCCGCGGGATTCTATACAAATCGATTAGCCTATACTTCCCCAAAAAAAGAATCTCCAAACGTACAACTTCCACTGTCGAAATGCTAATCGATTGCTATCCATCGTCGCCTTCTCACCCGCACCGCCAGCGACGTAATTGAACGAACGCTCTCCAAGCGCCTTGCGCGCCTGTTCCTCCAACAATCGAGGATCTGTCGTGACACTCGGCAGGATACCCATCAGGGCACCCTTGCCGTAGATCTCGCTTTGATAACTTCCAAAGTTCTCGTCAGACATGGCTAGCAATCAATATGACAAGTTTGATAAAGATTCAAGTTGGTCAGGGTCGCAAAGCTGGGGAAATACCCCTATGCCCCGTCTGGGGTAGATGTTGGGTGGAGTCGCTCGATGAACCTCGGCCGTGGCGGGCTCGCCTGAAGGGCCGAGCGTCTGACAGGATGGATTTAAGCGACCCTGTCTCGTTCTATGGTGGATTCGTCTATGCTTGCGAGATAGATGTAGTTATGAGATTAGTTTCTTTGTTTAGGCCTACTTGTACCAAGAATCGCCAATCGATCTTTGGCTACGGTCGCAACAACCCGAATTTGGAGGCAGACCCTGAGATTCGATAGTCTCGTCGATCACTGCAGTGCACCATCCCCTGTGCGACATGAACCCAGCGTATACTTTACCGAAGAGCCAATGGCAAGAGCCATGTTGAAACTCGAATGTGGATGACCCAATTCTTCACGAGCTTTCACCGTTCATCTTTCAAACTGGCCCATTCGTCTATCGCCCGAAAAGACCCCCTCCCACTCCGACAGGCGATCCCGCTGTCTTGGCGCTTGGCAACCTTAACCTTGGGAATCCCCGGCCACCAGCAAACTTCTTCTTCTTCGATATACTCTAATTTCGGAGCCCATCGAATTCCTCCCGGCTAGCGATATGCCCTCCAGCTGAAGATATTGTCCGTCTTGTAAAGGTACACCTGCTAAAGGGCAGCTATTGCATCGCGCCAGGGATGGAGGGGCACGACGAGTTGAAGGCGGAAATGGGCCCAGTGAGGCCTGTCGAGGCCGAACCTGAGCCGGCGGATGAGGCCAGCTCAGTGCCCACCGTCGAGGAGGAGAAAATGGAGCGCAATTTGATTTGGAAAATTGACTTGTACATCCTGCCTTTCGTTGTACTGCTGTATCTGTTTTCGTTCCTTGATCGAGGTATGTTGGCCCACTTTTCTATCTGACTCAGAGGGGATCGCGATTCTAACGACAGACGGGATACTGACCATTGGTAGTAAACATTGGAAATGCACGCCTGTACGGTCTGGAAGAAGACTTGGGTCTAGTCGGAGACCAATACCAAATCGCAGTGTCCATTTTGTTCGTCACTTATTGTGTACGTCTAATCCGTCGTCATTCCCATTGCGGTTACTAAACCCGCTATCTAGTTCTTCGAGGTGCCCTCAAATCTGGTTATCAAGAAATTGAGACCATCTCGATACATCGCAGCCATCTCTGTGATATGGGGTATCATCGCAACCCTCACGGGTATCTGCCAAAGCTACGGCGGTCTCCTTGCCTGCCGGATTCTTCTGGGAGTTGTTGAGGCAGGGCTCTTTCCAGGCTTAATGACCTACCTTACCCTCTTCTACAGTAAGAGAGAGATCGCCCTACGAACCGGGTACCTATTCAGCAGCGCTGCCATTGCGGGTGCCTTTGGCGGTCTTCTCGCCTACGGCATTGGGTTCATGGATGGCATCGCCGGACTACGTGGTTGGCGCTGGATTATGATTCTCGAAGGTATCCCTACCGTCATCCTAGGTGTGGCAACCTGGTTCTTCCTGGCGGATGACCCCGACACGGCATATTATCTCAATGAAGAAGAGCGGGCACTCGTCGTCCGTCGCCGAAGTCGCTACATCGGTCAAACAGCATCTGCTCAAAAGTTCCACTGGGCGGATGTCAAAGAAGGTGCGCTCGATTGGAAGATCTATGCCTTTTGCATCGGCCAGTTTGGTGTGGATACCATGTTATACGGCTATAGCACATTCCTACCCACCATCATCAAAGGAATGGGTAAATGGTCCACGCCCGAGGTCCAGGCTTTGACAATCCCATGCTACGGCCTCGGCGCTATCGTCTATCTTGGTGTGGCCTGGTTGAGCGATCGGACTCAGCACCGTGCATTCTTCATTTGCCTCTTCAGTGCTATTTCGGTCGTTGGATATGGCATTCTAATCTCAGATTCCTCGTCGGGAGTACACTATTTCGGCGCCTTACTCGTCGCACTGGGTCTCTACGTTACAGTCGGCCTCCCACTGGCCTGGCTACCAACCAATCTACCACGATACGGCAAACGCACCTTCGCCACAGGTCTACAACTCACATTCGGCAATATCAGCGGTGTCATGTCTCCGTTCTTGTACAAGAACTCGGAGGGGCCGCGCTTCGTACGTGGAAATGCCGTTACTCTGGCATTGGTGGGATTCGCTGGGGTGGTGTATGGTGTGATGTGGTTCTGTCTGGGTGCGATTAACAAGCGTCGCGCTCGCGGTCTTGAAGATGAGAAAATTGCCTCTTTATCCGAGGCGGAAATTCAAGAACTCGGTGATCGCAATCCTCGATTCCGGTATAGTACTTGATGGAAGAAGTGGGAAGGTGGAAAGATTATGATTGGATGCGACATGTATTTGCATATTAGACCTAGAGATCTAGATGACCGTATGGTATAGACAAGACTGCAAAAGCGAGCGAAGTTTGATAGAATCAAATTCAAATTATTGATGTACTTGAATCACAGCGCAATCTCTATCCATCTCATACGGCTCAAAATTCCTGCACTGTTCTCAATGTGCAACCGGTCTTGGCGCAAGATCGGCTTGTTTGCAGATCACCGACCTTCCGTCCTACCGCACCCGCGCGCCTTGCAATGCATCGCCAGCGAGCGCCAGAGGCTCAAACCTTAGCTTCTGCGATTATGGCCTTCTTATATGCCCTGTTAAAGGTCATATATCCCTTTTTCGTGATCCTTGCGGCCGTGTTGCTCTACAACCATGGGCCAGAGTACTCCCTGACGACCATCAAGTCAATCATATCGCCAGTGGCCTACCACACGCCCACATCTCCATATACTGCAAGCTGGAGATCATGGTACCATCCGTTCCAGATAGGGTCGGGTTATGCACCAAGATCCGTGAAGAAAGATTGGAACATTTTGCATCACCTTGGGGGCAACGGGCCTTGGGTCGAAATGTTAGATGAAGGCCGGAAGACACCAGATCTGCCGCCCCCGCCAGGTTGTTCAATTGACCAGGTGCATATGGTATGGAACCTGAATTATATAACTGGAAATAACATATTGCTAACTTGGCCTAGATGTCGCGGCACGCAGAGAGATACCCCACACCACTCGTTGGGTATCGTGAGCATCACCGATCCCCGACAGGCTGAACTCAACAGTCGCTGACTTCACAACTAGGCCATCTACAGTTCTTGAAGCGCGCCAGGTCACTTGAGCTACCTTTCAACGGCTCACTCGAATTCTTGAACGAATGGACCTACTTTACTGACAACCCCGAACGAGATTTCGGCCAGTTGACTACTACGGGGCCCTACGCAGGTACGCTGAGTGCTTTTACCACCGGCCTACGCTTTCGCACGCGCTACAGTGACCTTCTCCAGAAAAAAAACTCGATCCGATTCTGGGCTAGTGACTCGGAGCGCGTCATTGAATCAGCCCGCTACTTCGCCTCTGGATTATTCGGTCTTGACTGGGAAAGCAGAGGCAAGGCTGAACTTGAGGTCATCCCCGAAACCTTTGAGCGAGGAGCAGATACCCTGACGCCAGGTGATACGTGCCAAAAATATCTCGAGGACACTGTAGATGGCCATGATAACGGCGATACAATGCTGAAACGCTATCAAGAGGTGTACGCCCCCGCAATCGCTGCACGATTGATCAGCGAGAATCCAGCTTTGGGCAGCTTGCTCAATACGGAAGTTTACGCCATGCAGGAGATGTGTGGATTTGAGACCATGGCCCGTGGATCGAGTCCCTGGTGTGATGTTTTTACCGAGGAGGACTGGCGCCATTTCGAGTATGCCCGCGACATCAAACATTACTATGGCTCTGGGCCGGGGAATCCGTATGCAGGAGCAATGGGATGGCTCTGGTTGAACGCCACAGCCACATTGTTACAGGCTGGACCAGATGCCGGGCCGATGTTCTTGAGCTTGTGAGAGATCCGTTTCTCATCTGGATCGTGAAAAGCGTTTGACTGACAAGTGACAGTGTACACGATGGGGATATTTCACCACTACTTGCAGCCCTTGATCTCTTCAAGGACCCGCGAAATACTCCCCTTCCACTCACGTGCCCTCCAGCAGATCGTTCCTGGAAGACATCCACTATTCTTCCTATGGGTGCGAGGATTACATTTGAACGGATGACTTGCCCAACTGAGGATGACAGGGATGACGAGATATACGTCCGCATCAATATTAATGATCGGATCGTGCAACTGCCGGGATGTGTGGCGGATCCAGGGCATACATGTTCTTTAGACAGCTTTATGGACTATGTGAAGTTCAGAAAGGAGAAAGTAGGGGATTTTGGCGAGGTGTGTGGACTAGAGGGACATGCTGAGAAGATAACTTTCTTACATCAGGATTGATAGTGATATTGGTAATGATAAAGCTGTACATATGAAAATTGAAGAAGATAGCTCGCCCTAAGATACTCTTATTGCAGATCAAGTGTCTTGCCACGTTCATCTAAGCTTCATTTCCAGCCCTTGGAGGTTATAGGAAAATCACAGCTTGCGAGGGCAGCATTCCTTTGTGCTCGAGCTTGCTCAAAGATAAACTCAGTTAATCTATTTTCAAATGGCAATGTTCCTTGATTATAAATGTATTATTTGTCAGATTGAAAGCCTTTCTCAAGTACTGACAGAGCACTACCATCCAAGCTGATATTGGTGGCGACCACGTGACCTATATCCCGGCGAACCAGCTGTGTTTACTAAAAAAGTTCCCTTCACGACCATCTGGAAGACTCGCGCTCTTGCCCCCTCGAAGTGAAACATCGAGATCTGAACCACATTCATTAAAATCTACAATCCACTGAATTCGCCCATCCCACAAATCTTTCACAACATCAAAGTGGTCTTCATCCATCATGGAGTACCACGCCGTGCCGCCCGAGGAGCGCGCAAGAGATGAGAACGGCAACCTCCTTCCTTGGGGCTATGTTTACAAAGAGTAAGTGAATCAGCTCATCAAAAAGACCTTCAACGGTCTCTCCTTTCTGTCTTTACCTACAACTGACCTCCATGCCCAGTGAATCTCGCAATCCCCGCCGACCACCAGAGGAATCCGGACCCTTTGGCAAGAGGAGGAATGCCCGATACGAAGCCCGATCGCGAACACGCACCGGCACCCCAGCGAAGCGCGAGAACCCCAATGTCGCCGAATTTGGCCGTCTCTTTGCCCAACAGCAAGAAGAAGAACGGCCAGTCGGTCTACCCAAATCTTCCTCCTCCGGCAGCCTCGACGGCGGGCGCAAGCAAACCGAAAAGGTGGCGACCGAGTGCATCCTCTACGGGTACAAGGCGAAGGACGGGGAGTGGAAGGTGATTGATAAATACGAACGTATCTCGCAGGGTATGATCTGTGAGGACTACCCGCGCAGCGATCCCAACTCTGCGAGCCAGTATGGCCAGCTGCTCAGCGGCGGCGACGTCGTTATTCGCGCGAACCTCTCCGCCGATGCGAACCGCAAGTCTAAACGCTACGCTGGTGGGTATCACTGGATCAAGGTTACTTTCGACTCGACGCAGGCCGCCGATCGGGCCTGCTTCTACTCGCCGCAGGAAGTGGACGGGCACCTGGTCTTTTGCGAGCTGTACAATGGCCATGGACCTGCCGAGGACAGCGCCATCCCTACCGACTCTGCAGCTGGAGCCAAGCTGCGCAATAAATCCACGCGCACCCTGACATCCACACACTCATCCGCATTCCTCTCTGGCGCCAGCATGGACGCCCAACCATCCTCCTTCACTCTACCGCGGTCCTTTGGAATGAATAACCTCTCCAGCGTGGCTGAGCCCGAAAAAGAGCCTTCGTTCGACTCGTCGACTACAACTGCTACCTCCGGCACCGCGACCGCGACGGGGGTATCTACCAGCTTTGCATCGTCGGTACACCAGCGCAGCACGGCTGGCGCTGAACCCAAGCCCGACTCCGATTTTATGACGCACATCCCTACCGTTCGCCGGACGAAGCTACGCCCGCTGACCGAAGCGCTCCCACCCGGACCTACGATGACCGAGCGCGTACTGCGATCGATTCCTATATTGAGTTGGTTCACGGGCGATATCGTGGGCGATGGCCCGCAGTTGAAGGAGGACGGGACTTTTGATCATGACAAGTCTGGAGTGTATTGGCGGTTTTGGTGGATGTTGGATCAGTTGCTGGGTACGGATGTGTGTGGACTGAGAGAGGACTCTTGAATTGCGATTGATTGAGGGCCTTCGAGAGAGGTCCTGGAACATCAATTCACAATTCGTCGACAACCCCGACTACAAAGACGTTCGGTACCCGAAACCGCAAGCAGCGTCGGCTTGGAGCGAAGAAGCTTGGGAGAAGCTTGGTTTCATCAGAAGGGTTTCTGGTGAAACGGAGGACTTGGTATGGAAGGACCAAGCATAGCATTCATTAGGCGTCGTGGTTTTCTTTTCGGTGTATGATAGTCCCGCAGGCATATTAATGTCGACGTTATGATCCGTCCTAAATGGGACTTTACGCTCAACTTGTTCTCGTCGTAGACCCTTAGACATGTAGAGCCATAGGACTGATAGGACTAAGAGATGGTCTGAAGAGTATGCGACAGATACTTCGTTGCTACGCGTGTCGTACTAGACCGAGCTCCCAAGGTTCAGTTACAGCTCAGCTCAGCTCAGCGCGGCTTAACTCCAGTCCAGCTACAGCTACAGCCTCACCCTCAGAGTCCAGACCAGCCATCCGATATACCCAAAAACCCTCACTCAAATAAACCAACTGGATTTGAATACAATTCATTGGATCATCACCCCCAAAATTTAATAATTTCAAGTTACTTCCAATCAAGGAGCAAAAGTCACCGTCAAGTCTGAATCATTGAAATGACGTTGTTTTTTTTCGAGTTATACCAAAGAAACATCAAAATTTCAGCTTTAGCTCGTTTACTCGACCTTGCTCTCGAAGTTCTCACCCTCCACGAGATCGGGGATATCATCCTCATCGTCATCCTTCTTGTCACCCTGGGCCTTCTGCATGTTCTGGTAGGACTCGGCGAGCTTGCGGAGGGAGGCGAGGCTGTCGGGGCCCAGCTGGTTGAGGATGCCGGGGACGAGCTCGGTGAGTTCCTTCTCCTCGCCGTGGCCGTAGAGGGCGAAGGTGTTGGAGGGGACGGAGGCGTGGACTGTAGAGATGGGGGTGGGTTGTTAGTGAGGCTGTGGGAGAGAGAGAAATGGTGTCTGGGCGTGGAATTGATGTCGGTGGTAGATGCTGTGGTGATGGGTTGGGGAGAGGAAGCAGGCCAGTCCTTGACCTAGCGCCTAGCAGATCGGACTTACCGCGGGGAGCACCGAAGTGGATGACGTTGCCGTCCTCCTTGAACATGTTGACCTCCTCAATACCCTGGATGGGCTGGACGTTCAGCTTCTTGAGGGTGGTCTGGAGCTTCTTGTCGTCGGCATCGGCGGTCCTGTGGACCTTCTTGACCTTGCGGCGGGGAGTGCCCTTGCCTCTGTAGGTGGGGGGAAAGAAGCTGGTTAGTCGGGTTTCTTCATAGATCAAGTGGGTGGTGCGTGGTGTGGGTGGTGAATTCGAGGTTGTGGAGATCGGTCGGGGATTTGATTGTGCGAGTGGAGTGTGATATCTCAATCTTCAATCGTGAAGCATCGAGCTCAATCATTGGCGAGGAATATTGATATTGCATGCCCGTCGAAAATGTCGACTTTCCAGCATTGAGAGTATTGCACAATCTTCCCATTGAATTGGGGGGAGGTGGGGGAGAAATCGGGTTGGAAGTGACGGAAGATTCAAGGACAGAATGATACATACCCTATCCAAGAAGACCAGTTAGTAAAGCCATTCAATATGATCGCCAAATGCAAAAAGCAGCTCTGAATCCCGGATAGCTAAACCCATTGATGAGGTTTCAGGATAGACCGAAGCCCAGCGCAAGATCCCACGCGATCCCACCAAGCTAAGCTCCGACCTTGAAATCCCTCCAACTCTCCCAAACAGGGAAACCACCACGACCCTAGATCTGCCTTAAACACATAAAAAGTATCTCACGTACCAATCCGCACGCTCTGCTGCATCTTAGCCAACTTGGCGTGATCCATCTTGTCGGGTATGAGGGGGTGTGTGGGAGGTAAATCTGGAGATTGGAGCACAGCGAAAGCGTTAGCCGAAAGAGTCCGGGAAAGAGACGGTCGAGATCTCTGAAGGAATGAATCCACGAGATTTGACTGGAACAATAATTTGGCGTAGCAGGATCAAGGAGTGGGCGTACCGGGTGAAGGGTTGGTTGGTGGAGGGGCGGTTGAAAGGCTGAGGTTTGAAGGGAAGGTTGATGATGCGCATCCCGCGAGTTTTGTGTGGGGTCAGCCCCGATTGCTCTTCGCTAATGCGCCGTGGCCGGTTTTGCACCGCGAGTTTATACTACTAATGGGCTACGCTACGATATAATGGTATTTTTTATGATATGATAGAATTGATTGGGGGAGAAAGGTTTTGTGTAAACAGTCCTGATGGTTGGACCTGGTGATGGCAATTCGGTTGTGGGCAAGAGAGGGAGAGTTGGGTTGCTCGGCTAAACCCTAACCGCTTTGCGACCCTCGGAGCATTCTGGATAGCATCACCTTGGGACCAAATACTATACCAACTATACCAACAACAGCACCACCAACATTCTGACTTCTCCCCTCATTCAACACTCCGCCCATTCTCCCCCGTCACCGGCTTCTTATCCCAAAGGGTAAAATACTTCCGCCACGGATGCTTCTCCTCAAACCCCAACAACCGCTTAATCTTCGCATTACTCAACGGCGCCTCAAACTTCTCCAACCGCCGCGTAATCGGCGTCTGCGGATAATGCGAGCGCAAGAATTCCTCCGTATGCATCAGATTCGTGATCGTATCATTCGTCGCATTAAACACCTGGAATCCCAACCCATCCGTCCGCAACGCCGCCAAACACATGCCCCCCAGATCCCGCGCATCCGTATACGACCACCCGTGCACTTTCCCCTGACTTGGTTCGTGCACGTACCCGTAGAAGATCTCCCCGTTGTACTCGTCCGGTCCGATGACGTGTCCGATGCGCAGGCTGTAGATGTCCGTGCCGTAGCGGGCTGCGAACCCGCGGGCGACGCGCTCGTTGCAGAGCTTCGCTAGTGCGTAGGTATCTGTCGGGTTGACGTCTTGGTCTTCGTCGATTGGGAAGGATGGGTAGTTGACGTCGCCCTGGCCGAAGGATACCCCGTAGACGGTGATGCTGCTGGCGATAATCACCTTTCGGATTCCTAGTTTGCAGGCTGCGTCGATGATATTGTATGTGCCCTGCGTATTGGCTCGAAAGGTTTCGTTATCTGGCACGATCATGTTACGTGCGTAGCCTGCGAGGTGGATGATAGCGTCTGGACGAGGTGGTAGACCCTCCGGGAAAGGCTGGGATAGGGACCATTGGCCGGAGAGAGCGTTGAAGACTTGTCCACTGTCGGTGAGTTCGGTCTTGAGAGTATGTACGGCTGGATGGGTCATTGGCTTGATATCCAGGTTCAGGATTGTGTGTCCGGCTTCGAGAAGCTCAGTGATGACGGTTCCGCCAGCTTTGCCGGAGCCACCGGTGACGACGATGCGGCCCATACTGTGTAGAGGGCGTCTGCAATGATTGCACTTTATTTTAGGGATTCTGGCCAAGTCGGGGGCCTTGCGTTATCAAAGCAGAGGCAGTTGCGCTGGAATCAGTCGAGACCAGAGAGGGTTGTGGCTGAAATGGGTATCATTATGATGACATTCGTCGAGTTTGCCTCCATCCAGCTATTGCCATAGTGTGGGGAATACCAATCATGGAAGAGAAACCAATGAGATAGGTAAGCAGTGGTGAGTCGGTGGTGAGAGAAAGTGTATGGTGTAAGATGGTCGAATCGTTCAAGCTTGCTCGTTTAACCCTGTCAAGTCCGATAGGCCAATGCCTGCACTAGGAAGAGCTAGGGCAGGGGGTAAATATCCAGATGGGTAACTTCCAGGAGCGAAATAATATCTGAAAGCTCATTCTGAAAGAGTAAGATAGTCTGTTGAGAATGGCAAATCCACGGTTATTTTGCCATGATGGAGATCAGTCACCTTTGTAGGTCTAGATGTACAGTCAATGCTGGGTGGTGATGGCAGCTGGATGAGATGATGTGAGATTCAGCTGTACCTATAAGTAATAATAAAATGACTAAAGAAATGTACACGGATTAAAAGATCAAAAGGAATTTTGTGTAACATATCTTGGGACTTGTAGTCTTGGAAAGCTCCATTTTCCGGGTGATCCAACGGGTCGGTTCTTCAGCCCTGGGCCTCTAACTGAATTACGTATGGTCCACGATCATGATACAGTACATAGCAGGTATTGTCCGGAATAGTTCAATTTTAAATAACTGGTATAGATACATACAATATAAGAAGCTCTAGCTATGCTATAACCTCGGATTCTGATCTACCACAGAGTCTAACCGAGTCTAGTGCAGCAGTAAGACAAAAAATCGCCGGACTAATGTATGCGGACTATCTTGTGATCGGATCTGCGCAGTCGTACATAATTCATGTGTTAGGGCTACCTCAAGCAGACCAAATTTCCCCTCTTCTCCTCACATCTGCCAAGCTAGCTCTCCAGCCCTGCCAATGCAAAAAATTCATGTTAGCCCCGCATTGCTAACTCCAATTTCCCTTCTCGTGGCCTGTTCAGCTGTATTGCATACCCCGATCAAAAACTAGCGACTGAACTAGCCGAACAACCCCCCTGCATGCACCATCGTAACTATCGGATCCGATCACCTCCTGCTGATACATTTATATAAGCCTGTCATCGCCCGGGAACCTTCGGAGCTGGTCTTTCCTGCATGAGCTGACCACCCCTCTTACCTGCTCTTGGATTAAAACATCGTTGCTCTGCGTTTCTCTTTTCTACCTACGATCGGGATACCTATACCATTCTGATTGAGTATATCCTCGTGTGACTTGCGCGATATACCATAACTCTTACAAAATGCGCTTCCTGTGTCTACATGGTGCTAGCACCAATTCCGAGGTACGTTCCACTTCAATCTAGTAATGAATACATCTAACCTCAAGGCCAGATCTTCCAAATCCAAACGGGCGGTCTACGCCAACCCCTCGAACTAAAAGGTCATCGATTCACCTTTATCAACGGCAATCTCCCCTCCGGCGTTGAAGAGGGTATATATATCCCAAATTCTCAATTACATCCACCTTTCTACAACGAAAACCTACTAACTCCCCCCAGGCCTCGAAGGCGTCGTCGACGGCCCCTTCTACAACCACTACCCACGCGACCCCGCCCTACCAAGCGCCCATCTCGCCGAAGCATTCGAGCACGTCCAACGCACCCTCGACACGGACGGCCCCTTCGACGCAGTAATGGGCTTCTCCCAAGGCGCCGCCCTCGCAGCAGCGCTAATCGCACACCACGCCAAGACAAACCCAACCGCACCGCCTCTTTTCCGCGCCGCCGTCTTTCTATGCGGTGGGTCGCCGTGGGATAGCTCGGGCATGGTGCGTATTGCGCCACAGCCGGATACGTGGCCGATTAATATCCCCACGGCGCATGTGGTGGGAAAGTTGGATCCGTTGTATCCGGAGAGTATGAAGTTGTTTGCGATGTGTGAGCCGTCCAAGGCGGCGTTTTGGGATACGGGGTCTAAGCATATGGTGCCGTTTGATCAGAAGAATACCGAGGAGATGGTGCGGGTTATTGAGGAGACGGTTGCGAAGGCGATGAGGGGTTAATTGCATGATTAGTATGGTGGTGGAGTGGGAATTGGGAAATCCACGCAGTCAACTCGGTCTGCGAGTGCATTAGTTTGTTCAGCGTTCTTCTATGCGATACATGCATTGATATATGCCTTGCTTGAAGGGTCAATGATAAATAACAAAAACAATGGAAATCGTGTAATCAACAAAACGAAAGAAACTAGCGCTGCTAGTCCGAGGTCGGTGCCGGCTTTTGGGATTGGTACTTTGTCCACATCATTGCAGTGAGCAGTACAACCAACCCCAGGATCAGTGCGGGTCCCCATCCCCTAGGTGCAGTGCTTTTCATGCTATGTTTATCAAGTCATAACCCGGCCGTTGCCTGGCCATCGCCCTCTGGGGGGATCGTCTTCTCCAGGAACTTCTCGAGATCATCAATCTCGACTGGGTCCGCGCTGTGACCAAGACCACTGCAGCATAAACAATCAGCATACTCCCACACATTAAACTACCACCCAATCCCAGACAGAAACTTACGAGTAGGTGTTGAACGAAACATCCTCCAACCCAATCTCCTTCAACATATCAGCCGACTTCTCACCATACGCAAACTTAACAACCTCGTCATCCTCGCCATGCGCCAAGAAGAACGGCGTCTTCTTGTTCGGCCAGTCCTCGGGGGTAAAGCTCTTGATACGGTCGCTCAGCAAGAGATAGCACGACAGACCAAACACTCCGCCGAGCTTCTCCTTGCCAGTGATACCGGTGAACACGGACATAGCACCGCCCTGTGAGAATCCGCCCAGCACAATGCGCGAGGGCTTGATGCCCTTGTCCATTTCCTGCTTGATCAGGGAGTTGAAGTAGTCGCGCGATCGGAGGATACCGGGCTCGTCTTGGTTGCGGACGTTGTCTTGGAAGTCGAGCTAGAAGGAGGATGGGACGGTTAGTGGAGTGTTTCTATAGGATTGGGAGCGAGATGGAAGGGATGAAGGGGGTGTTTACATCGCGGCCCAGGTGAGCAATGTCGTACCAGCCAGGCATGGCCATACCGAAGTTCTGTCCCGAGTTAGCATTTTCCTTTGTATACTTCCAACTCCTGACTTACCACGGTGATGGGGATGTTAGGCGCATTGGGGAAGATGAAAGCGACCTCGCTGAACTTGCCGCGCCGGCGCCAGTTCTGTGCAAGGGCCATCCTATACCAGTGTCAATATCTGGTCTCACAAAACCGAATTGAAGCCCATTGTCTCTCACCATCCGGCACCACTGAAAGAAAAGAAGCCTTGTTAGTCTATGCCCTCTATATCCGAGGTCCGTGTCTAAGACATACCTATCGCCAAGGCCATGGGCCATGATCACCGTTGCGGTGTGCTTGGTAAGCGCGGGAACCACATAAGGGTTGAGGGCGGCCATTTTATCGAATTGGTGGTTGAATGGCAAAGTAAATTGACCAAGATTCTCGCCGTAGAGGATCCAAAGACGATGAACCCAATATTAGCCCGGCGATTTAGGAGCGGAAAGGGTGGGGTCTCATTTTGCCATCTCAAATAGGGCGGTGAGTTGCAGCGGTGAATGTGAAGATTGGAGATACTTCGACCGGCACGCGCTAACCTGATTGGGAGGTCCTCTGTCAGTATACTCTTTCTTCATCTTTGCAAATATTTTGCCTGTTACGGAGCTTTTTATTGAAAGTATTATATGTGAAAGGAAGAGCACAAGGGCGAAGAAACAAATAATAGCCACGAATGGTTTCAATGAAGAGCATAATATGATCTCGCATTTTGCGTATTTCCCTACACCGAGGTTCTGAATATCCCCACAGAAGCATACTAGGTACAATAATTTAGTCACTTGTTGGAGATAGGTTCCTAAGTTCATGCAATCTTAAAAAGATCCAGAATAAATATGTAAAAAATGGTCATGTAGAGAAGACAGAGATTGAGCGAAGACATGGAATTCAGAAACTTATAGCTGGACAGATCAAACGGCAACTTTTGGAGCTCATATTCTCTAGCACCCCTAAGTTTTTTCTGGTTACGACAATCGGTATCTTTTTGAGTGTGTAATTCTCTTTCCCAAACTCTCTCTTGACTCGCAACCCAGAGCATATAAGGTGTACGTCGAGGCAGCCAGCTTCACCTAGCAGAGTTTTAGCCAATTAACTTTGGCATAACATAAGATTTCAATCCGAAAACAAATACTTCTGGGTATAAACTCCAATGATAACATAACTGGATAACATCAAAAGAACCCGAACTTAGAAAGCTCAATCTTGCCTACCAAGATAATTGATCTACCGGTTGTCCTCTAGCTAATGACCATGACCCAGAAATCTATACCGTCTTCTGGTTGTAAGCTAAAAGTTTATAACCGTATCTATAGGTATTCTTGGATTGGCGGATAGTTCGGATAGCTTAATTTTATGCGATAGACCATGGTATGAAGTCATGGTGGCTCCCAGGCTTTGAAAGCTCTTAAAAAGACTGTACCAGATAACGAGTAGCTGGGAGTAATTGCAGCTATTTCTTGAACAGAAGAACAAATCCGTGGACGTGCCTAATCTTGCTTTTTTGTAATTAGGAACTACGTCTCGGGTGGTTGGAAGTGGCGCTTTAAGCATCGCGGTATGAACCAATCTCAAGAATTAACTTTACAGCTCCTTTCCTTGACCAATTCTTCAGCCGCCGCTGACCGACAGCTTCTCCCAATCTTAGCCATGAATTTGAAAGAAAAATAGAACATTGAAGAATTCCATTAGACCGGTTGCTTCTCAAAAATTTAATAATTGTTGTAGATCGATTTGTAGATGAGCGAGATCTCGGTGGCGAAGAATGAGCTCAAGACCCAACCCGCGATGTTGTAACCACGGAACCATCCCATTCAGTCATTAGGCCTCCCCACACCATTTCATTCGAGAGCCATGGGCTTGATGGATCTCCACTTGAATCTTAAACAATTCATTATCCAACTTACCAAAAGAACAGCATCGAACACATGGGCGAGTGTAGGCTATAAAGCACCAGGTTGAGTCCTTCTCCGTGTCAAGTTCTAGTTCATCTTCTACTTCATAGTCGAGAAACACAAGTTGACAATTAAATCTTGATTCAATCTCTCTAAGTGAGCTCCAACCATAATTTGCCATTGTTTACCCTTGAATTTCTTCTAATGTTGAAGTTACAGAGACAACGACATGCACTTCTCTCTCCTTTTCATGTCAGCCTCGCTGGCCACTGCTGTTATTGCAGCCCCAGTAGCTGAAGAAAGCACCCAATTTAAACGTGCACCGGCTCCTTCGAAGAACATCGTTATCACCCTTGCACTCGATGCAGATGTGGATCTGAAGAAGCGTGAGGCATCTAATGATGTGGCCAGAATTAGCATTGACGCTGATGGAACGGTCCATATTGGGAAGCGAGCTGCGGCACCCCATGAGAATGATGGTATTGATCTTGATCTTGATCTTGGGGGTGACTTGGATGTTGACCTTCTCTAGAGTTGGGTGAGAAGGACTGTCAAGGGTGGTCAAGTTTCTGTGAATCTTTCTCTTTAAAGGATGCAAAAGCTCGGAATAATCTGATAGCCAGCGCGAGTAAAATTCCGATACTTATCTACAAAATAATACATTCTCAATGTTACATGCCTACAATAACGATACCGGATTTAAGACATAACTGATATAAGCAGTTCCATGAATGTCCCGCCCGACACCTTTCATGATGGTTCGTAAATAGCAGCCTATATGTGTAAATAACCACATCAAAGAACTCTATTAGAATACATTTAAGCTTGAGCGAGTATTTGGCCGAGTTCGAGTCAACCCCGGCAGGGGCCACTCTTGCATCACGAACAAGGACGCTATACAGAGTAAATTGGGACAAGGCATGGCTGTGCTAAAGAAGATATTGCAATCAGTAACGCCAAAGTATTCTCCATGGTATCTCCAGCCTCCCGTCTGCCATTACAAAAGCGTGAACTTGGCAGCATCAAGCTCGTGGAGGTTGGGAAAACGCCACAACTAAGGAAATTCAAACTGTCGGCTGTGACAGGCATGAAGGCTTTAATTCAGAGGTTCATGAACCAAACATTGATATAGATGCCTGCTATTGAATTGATCGGCGTGCTTCCGAAGTTCAGGAATGCTAACATCTCTTCGGAGAAATTGCCGCCCACCCACTTACACATGGATCGGCGGCTATGTTGCACTCAATGAGCATTCCTTTGCCTATTTCGCCCAAGCAACATTCCTGCCAGCCACGAGCCAACACGCGGGGAAGGAAGAAATCTTGTGTTCGTCCAGTCGCTTGGTGGTGACAGCTTCGGAGAAAATCTAGGCACATTCATATCCTTTTTTCCGATCATGTCTTATGTTAAGTAAGGATCATCTCGTCGACCCCTTACCAGGAGTTGAGAGGAGTACGCAAACAGATTTTATATTATAAGCAAAATAAGATGATATGACTTAATTCACGCCTTAGACCGAAAGTTTGTTTTGGCTTACAGTCTTTCTCCAACAAGGTATCGATGACAGCCGTCAACCCGAGACTTACCTCCTCTAAAACCATGTGTAAGCCATGGCGTTAATCATACGCGCTAATAATGTCAACATCTCCAGATGGAAAAATTAGACACAAGCATGCCCTAATGACACATATTTCCGTTTACACTGCCAGACTGTTTTGACTTTGCCGGATGCGGTAAAGACAGTGGTCTCGACTCCCAGTGTGTAGAACATACCATAGCAAACAGTTCGACGGACACGGAAATCCAAGACAAGTCTAACTAAACAACCAATTCTAGTAGAATGCAATCAATCTGCAAGCGACACCGAGGACATCATATATCAAGCTCTCAAGTCCCCGATCAACGTCTCACTTCTACCAAAGATCCTCTTTCTTGTCCAAGCTACAAGTTCTACACTTTTCCAAGACAAATTGAGCAACAACTTTAAAGTTATCTATCATATACACCACTCCTCATATCCAAAATGCACTTCTCCAACGCCGCCGCGCTTGCCTCTGCGCTCTTCTCCACTATTGCATATGCCGCACCAGCCGCTGAATTTGGCTGGAAGCCGTTGACTGCTACTGTCCAACTTGCCAATGATCAATCTGGCGCCAACGCCAATGTTGTCATCCCCATCGACGGTGTGAAGCGACCCGTCCAGGAGCTCTGGGGCAATACCGCCGTCGCTCATAATGGCCTCGTTTTCGCTTCGAGCGCTCAGCTTACGGCCTACCAGCAGACCACTGTCTGCACCATCACCGAAGAGAAGCCTCACCTGAGTGCAACTCTTGATGCTGAGAGGACCTCGGTGTCCCTGGGTAGACCCATTGTCGACCTCTGCTCTGCTTATATTGTTTGCGAATGCGAGGGCATGGATGAGTTTGTTTAAGGAAGTGAATTTTTGAGTATTGCATGTTGAAGGAAATATTTGGGGGCTTTTTACAGCGCATGTTCTCTGTTTTCGCATTGTTGGCTGGGTTTTGGAAATACCATATCTAGAATTTGTATCTATGCCCTCTACTAAAACTTGACACCTCTTTAGTCTATCTACAGGACAATTAATCTTAATTATTGATTGAGATATCTTCAATATTGCTTTGAGACTTATGTACAGCTAATAAGATATGTATACTTATGTGCCTAAATCATGCAAACCTGTCTTAGGCTGTGGTGTCCTTAGTCTCCCGCTCTTTCAACACCTTTCGAACATCGGGCAAGACGTAGCGTCCATAGTCGATAGCATCATTGAGGTTATCATAACCACGAATAGAGATCAGCTCAGCTCCAAGGTCGACATAGTCCAGAATGGAATCGTTAATTGTCTTCGGTGATCCGACGAGCGCAGTTGATGCTCCACGCGCATTTGTCGCAGTAACCGTAGGATACCACAAAGCACGATCTTGAACTTCACCCTTGGCAGCAATATCCAACAGCCTCTGGGAGCCCACGTTCTGTGGAGGTGGCGCATTTGCAGGGACCTTGCCCTGCCCGTTGGCGCGGGTTGTATTCAGTATATCCAGAGTTCGGTGAGCCTTTGCCCAAGCGAGCTCATCTGTTTCAGCAATAATGGGACGGAAAGTGACCCAGATTCGCGGTCGGTCATTCTCTGGACGACCTGCCTTTGCTGCTTCAGCATAGATACGATCGATTTGCTCTTTAGTTTCCTTCAGTGGCTCTCCCCAAAGTCCGAAAATATCGGCAAGCGAGCCACCGATACGGTAAGCTTCATCTGAGGATCCACCGACCGAGACTGGAATATTGCCATTGACGGGGCGAACTTTGTTGCTGAATTGCTTGAACTGATAATATTGGCCGTCCCAGTCGAATGGATCCGCTGATTCCCATGCACGGCGCAGAATCTTGATATATTCTTCAAGGCGTGCGTACCGCTGATCCTTGGTAAGGAAATCGCCTTCCTTGGCTTGCTCGGCATCACTACCACCAGCGATAAAATGAACGACAGCTCGTCCGGAGCTGAGCTGGTCGAGAGTTGCGAGAGCTTTGGCTGCGACGGTTGGATAAAGAGTATTTGGTCGAAGCGCGATGATAATCTTGAGGTTCTTGGTCACCGACGCGATTGTCGCGCCAACTGTGAATGGATCAAAATAAGATGAATCGTATGGCACTAGGGTGTAGTTGAAGCCATAGTCATCCAGAGTCCGAGCATAGCGGACGAGATACTCCGGGTCAATTGAAGCATTGGGAATTGGGTTGACTTCCGTCGATGCATTAGGGAATGTCAAGCTGATGAATTCTGTAGGCATTTTGAAAAAGTTTGTCGTGGTTATTATCTTGAAACAGTTAATTAACGTGTCTTGAGATCTATAAGATACTTTATATTCATGATAGCTGCGTCTATCATCTGCATTTTGCTGCAGCTAAAATGATGCCAGGTTTTACAGGATTGCGCCTTATCACGAAAGTCTCAACATTAATAAGCATACCCAACTGATCTCCGCACTGTAGAAGCAGTGGTGTCAGCTCGATTGTCCTTTATTCATTTTTCCGGCACATTATTCTCTTAATGAGGGGCAGTTTCGCATCACTCTACTAGAAATCACGCAATCAACATCTTACGGCTCGGGTGGTCGGCTACTGTCTTCACTGCTTTTGAAACCGACAAGAGGAGATTGAGAGATAAGAATTCATTCTAGTGGAACTCGATTTATTTATAAGAATAAATCGGTGTGATTAATTCCCGACGGTCCAATATCGATCGGGGGGAACATGGATGGTGTCAAATTTGTGTTAGATTCTAGTGCAGGATCTTCTTGACTTAAAGTTCATCATGCTTTTGGATGAACTTTTTGACATCGTTGGTTATTGCAGGTGAGAATCATGCAAATAAAACTCCTGTAAAATTATCATTATACCGCTAAGTTATTCTTCTTGTTTCAATATCTAATCGAATATAGCTCTTGTACCTCTACTCTTTGGGCATGCCCTTTAACATGCCTGTTGATAGAGTGGAGAGCATTGAACCCGCATCGAGTTTAAAACCCCCAAGCATACTCAAATTCATTAAATGAAGGAAACTATAAAATTTCTTTGTTATATATTTCTCTGGTCTCTAATTTTACGGTATCACTAGGCCTACATCATCTGTTCTTCGAAGACGTTAACGATCAGGGCTTCTACGTATCGAGCGTATAGTTTTCCGAGGATTATCAGAATAGACGGATCTGCATTACATATGGGTACTATGACATTATATAGTGTGCTCCATAAACATGTTGATATATCATACCCTTGCGATCCTTTGTCGACATTGACTTCCCCATTTGACAACCCCTATAAGTTACCCCGAGCGGCTTTAAACAATCCAGCTTTACAGGCCTTATAAGGTCGAACTGTCCCGGTTCTCCCCATCCATCCCACCCACCATCCCCAGCTTCTGCATTGCACTCATCCAGATCATCCAGCACATAATAATTCTTATCATCAATATATCGAAAGCCTCTTTCTTCCCAGGACTTGATTTTTATAGCATTATCCTCGCGCGGTTGAAAGTTCACATAATGAAGCAGTTGAAAGCTCGCATAATGCGGTCGAACCCACCTCTGAGCGTGGGGCGTTCGACTCCAACTCCCTCAGAGGCAGCTTTCGGGGTTGAGATTCGGAAAAATCCTTGTCCAACGCAACTTGGCGGTGTCGGCGCCGGCAGAAGAAAATGAATGCCACGATAGCTGCACATACTGGGAGGCCGACACCTGCACCGACTCCAGCAGCGAGGGCGACATTTGTGCCAGGGGTATCGTTGCCATTGACCTGCACGTTATTGTTGTGAGTGCTGGGTAGATTACTACTGGCCGATGTTGTTTGACTCGAAGCTATCGTCGATGTGGGTTGATTAGATGCCGTTGATGTCGAGGAGGTTGAGGTTGACGAGGCTGTGGTTATGGCAGTGCCAAATCCAAGGTCAAGAATGAGGGTTGAATTTTTACAGCACGAATCATCGACTCCACAGCAAAAGTAGCCTGATCCCACACCCGGACAAGATGACATCCAGTTGTCGAGTTGTCGCCCTAAGCAATCATTGTATTCCCTCAGCCCTGAAAGAACTTCACGTTGGCTTCCTGAGTGGCTTACCGCTTGTGCAAAACTTTGGGCAGCTCTCGCTTTTCCATGTGGAATCTGTGCATGTCCCTCGAAAAAGATTCTGTCCTTGTTGACAGAGGCCATTGGTGAGGCAGGTGAATCCTGGTCCACAGCAGACGCTGATGGAGCCATTCTGGTAGCAGGGAGTATTATCTGTTGCCTGAATTCCATCGGGAAAATAACACGCTTCGGAGATGGTAGTCCAGGCAAAGAACCCCACCCAAACAAGAACGAAAAGAAGAGGGTTATTGTTGGATAGAGCCATGATGTTGTCCGCCTTGTGGCCAAGGCCGAGGAGGCTCAAAGCTCACTTCTGACAAGTACAAGGGCGGTCAATTGTTAGGAAGGTCTTCACTTTTATGTTATTTTAACATTCTGCCCTGCCACACAAGTGGTGATGCCTCGGCGGCTACGGATAGGGTAGAATTTCAACGGGAAATAGACCCCTCTCTAATCTGCGAGTTAAGATTTATCACAAACTAGCAGACCGCATGCCCCTGCAGTGTTACCTTCTCTTACATTCCAGCCCCTCCACAATATAGCTACTTGTAAGATGAGGACAGCAATACATCAACCACTACATGAAGTGGTGGGGTTGCTATCTGATGGGTGGAACCCTAGAATATAGGGTTCTGCTGAAAGGAAAGGGGAAAGATGAGGTGGTCGATGATATACTGTAGCCTACATCGACTGCAGTCAGAAGGCCTTCGAATCCCGACTGTCAAATAACAGTTATTTGTTGCTCGAGTCGAACCAGGTCAGGTCCAGCCCACCGTCAGGCCTCCCATTGATCCCCAGGGTGCGCTAGCGCAGGGTAACTACATAACTGCATTGCTTAGCGAATTCTTATTCGCTATTGCAGAGGCATAATGCGATAGGTTTGCTTAAAAATTCTTTACTTAAACAGCTACAGTGCCACCATTGAATCCTTCAACGAGGTCATACTTATACTCTGACCACCGATAACAATCAATAGTGTACTTTAATTCTCTCGTATCTCAGTCACTAGACCAATCTTACCTCCCTGAGGCTCCAAGTGAAAACCTTATAACATACGATTAAATTTCAAACTTTTCAATTATGCGGCGCTAATGCACTAAAGGGATATTAGGCAATCTATTGCCGGGCAGTCTACACCCTCTCTCTGGCCAGATTTGCCGACAATTTCTCTGATATTAGCTCAGCCAACAGGTAGATTTTGGTTCTTTTACGTTGAATGACGATCAATACGACCATATTCAACGCATCTACAAGGTACGACCTTATATTACCGGTTAGAAGTAATACAAATCGATAAATTGTGGATGTGACTGGAGTATTGGCAAATCTGTGGCCAGAGGGTGTAAACCCTCCCCGTCCCCTTGCTTATGCTAGGCGACCAGTCTTCGACCACATGAGTTTTTTGAGGCTGCTATTTACTATAGTCGAATTCCAATAAAATGTATTTAGCATATTAGCATACTGCACTTTGTAGGATTGTAATCGGGTTTCTCGCTGAACGAGCAGCAGACCCAAAGATAAGAGTGTATAAACTAGCTACCTGCGTCGCAAATTGTTCTGTTAAGTTTGAGTAGAGGTCTCAAATGAGTTTCAATCAACATTACCCCATTCTGGGTACATATAAATAAGCTCTTGCCGGGGTATTCTCCGCCGTGATGAATCGCGAGTTAATGAGTTCTTTATGGGAATCGTGTAGGGCATTCAGTAGGTTTAATTAAAAGTTCTCAGTACCGGCCAGTTTCAAAATGATCTACAGCAGGGAATGGCTTGCTTACAAGATTGTTGATTATGCATTCTAAATGAAGAGCATAGCTTGTTTCATAAGTGAACAGACAAACCAATATATATTCCTGTAGACACAGGGCTGTATCCCCAATTACCAAAGCCTATCACTACGACTCCAACCCAGCCAACCCTCTCAACTCCCCCTTCAAAAACCTAACAGCCCCCTCAATCAAACTCTCCTCAACAATACCATCCTGCCACGTAACAGCCAACACCATACAACCATCACCCCCCGTAACAACAGAAACCCCAATAGCATTTCCAATAACACTCGCACACTGCGAAAACACCATCCCCTGAATCCGGGGTTTCCCAGGAACATCCTCACACGACAAGACGCCGACATTCGAGACCTCAAAACTCTTATCGCGTTCATTGCCAACCTTTGACAGACACAGTTCCTGCTGGAAGTCGCTTACGTATTTCAGTAGATTGGGACCTGCGTCGCGGCCTTGGCGTTGAACGGCGGCTTCGATTGTTGCCTTTGAGCGTCGGGCTTCGGGCCAGGGGAAGGTATTGGTGTTATTGGTTGTGGAGCTGCGGGTATACGATTCTTCGATGTCGCCGACGTACACGCCCATGACTTCGTCGGTGATGATGTCTGGTAGCCAGCGGCGACAGGAGATAGCGCCCGTGCAGTTGAGACTCGTATAGCGGGGCGGGAGATTGGCGAAGAGCGCGCGGGCAAATGATGTCTGCAGGAGTGCTGTGATAGTCGTTTGCTCCTTGCGACAGATCTTCCGGAGTGATGTCACCTGGGCTTTGGAGAATGGGACTAGACGGACGTTTGTCTTTCCTTCTTTCTGGATCTTGCCTCCGCTCCAGAGACCTGGATCTCTGGGTGAGTAGATTTTTGCTTGGAAGATTTTCTTGGCGAGGAATAGGAATGATAGTGGCATTGGGTGGATTTGCTCGATGTTGGGTAATAGTGGTGTTGAAGGGGACTGGATGATGGACTTTGTTTCCCTGTTCTCGCTCTCGGCTGAGTCCAGTGCTTGGAGGAAGGTTTGATGGAAGGCTTTGCCTGAAGTACCGTCACCGAGGGCATGATGGAATACAAATGCTGCCGTGAATCGTTGCTCATCATTGGGGTCAGTGAGGATACACAGTCTCCAGTAAGCATTTGGCGCTGTGAATGGGGTGTTGTGCTGGTTTTCTAGCAGATTCTGCAAATCCAGGTCTGGAGTCGGCTCTCCATCCGCGGACTCGGTTGATAATGAACCATTCTTGCGCTGTTCGAATGAAACCACTTGATCCAAGTCCATCTGCGGCAATCGAACAAAGTACGGCTGTTGCGTATCATCCGCAGCTGGGATCGCGGACAGTGCCGGGTGCTCCGCAATTAAAGGCTCGCAAGCGCGGTATACGTAATCTTTCACAGACAGATTAAAGCTACCCGGCAGGACATATGTGGCCGTCACTGCGACATTCAGATAAAACCCGGCCTGATGGCGGGATGTTGAGTATTGCTCCAGTCGGCCTAAAAGGGAAATGTGTCAGACGTGTTTCGTCAACGGGGTGGAGAATCACCTCGCAAGTACTCACCAACGGGGCGCAGTCTTTCAAATTGATCCATGTTCATGATTTACTGCCTCAATGTACAATTCTGGCTCTCTCATGCCCAGCGACCTCTCTCAGGGGGCCTTGTAGGGGTTCGTCTATTGCCGTTGCCTAAGATAATTGCCACGTGACCGATGCCTCGGATGTCCGGAGAATACGAATGCGAATGTCTCCACTAGTGCATGGCCCTGGACACAGTATACTACTGTAATAATCATCTTTGGACGTTTGAACCCTACAAGGCTTCATTTCTGAAAAAGCAGGACTGTTAATCATAATTACTTCAAAGTGGGAGGAGCACCCCATTCTTCTCATCCAACAGGTATATATATGTCGAAACTGGCACCACCCGTGGTCAATTGACGGAACAGAAAGTATTTGCTCCTGTATTCCAACGGTAGACTTGCCGTCTTAAGGTTCTTCTAACTTACCATCATTAGTTTAGAGAAAATGAATGATTTCCCCCCTGGGGATAAACTTACGAAATGCAATACTCTCGTAAGGTCTGAGAGAAAACACTGTTCGTAGAGACCGCCCAGTGAATAATGTTTTCACGACTCGACCCGCGTGGGAGAATATGGAAAATACCACGACGTTAGGTAGTACGGCAATATCTTATCATGCACATTTATATCATATAACAGTAGGTATACGCTCGTAATGCCTATAATGCAACAATTCACATCATAAAATCATGAATTCCTAAACTCCGGCCGCCTTCGAATAGGAGACAACGTTTTCCCGTTACAATCTCTTCTCAACTTTCTATGCTCTACAGCACAGCCATACCGCCAGCAAAGGCCGCACCAAGCAGCCCCCAAGCAGCAGTCTGCAGCGGCACGGCGGCACCCTTGGAAGTAGTAGAAGTGGTGTTTGACGAAGAGGAGCTGTCGGAGCTGGAGCTCTGAGCACCACCGGTGGAGGTAGACTCGTTGGCGTTACGCTGGGCAGCAGCGCTGGAGAAGGCGGATGCAACGACGTTGGTGTTGTTCGTGCAGGAAGAGGGCTCGGAGTACGTGACGCTGGAGGAGAATTGGACGTCGGCGCACTAGAGAATCACAATTAGCCACGCCCAATCTAACAAGACACGTCCAAAATAGGACATTCAAGATGTGAGGTTACTCCAAAACTTACAGCGTAAAGACCACCAGAAGGATCACCATTACTCTGCACCTGCAGCGTAGCATTCATTCCATCGGTGATGTTCACACCGAGAACATCGCTGCTAAACTCCACATGCGGCAGACAGAATGCGCCGAGGCCGGTGACCTGGAAGGTATGCACGAGGGTGATGTTATAGTTATCACCGGGGTTGGAGCCGAGGGCGAGCAGGACCTCGACGGCAGTTTGACTGTGGCCCATTTTCAGGGCGACGGGGAAGGAGCCCGAGATGGGGAGTTGAGTGCGGTTTGAAGATTGGGACATGCCACCGCAGGGGAATTCGGGCATGGTGTCTTCGTCGAAGCCGCGGGAGGTGGGGTATTGGAGTTGGAAGTGGGCGGCGGCCAGAGGGGCCAGGGCCAGAGAGAGGAGGGGGAATTTCATTTTGATGGTTGGATGAGGGATTGGAGGAGGGATTGAGGTGTAGAGATGAGGAGGGTGTGTTGAGGAGAGAAGGGGAGGTTAATTGGAAGGTGTAGAAGATCGTGAAGTAGAATCCTGCACAAGGGCTCGTCTGCAGGATACCCTTTTGTATCTATAAGTTTTTGTGGGAGACCCTGTTCTCCACTGGATCCATTCAAACTGTCAATGTCCGAACCCCGTAAGACTGGGAATCAGATATCCTTCACAAAGTTCCCTTGTTAGAGGTAGATACTGGGCATAGACCTGCCTTTCCGAGCTGTCCTCTCTGGAGTATCTCGGTTGGGTTTAGTGGACTGCACGTTTGGACGGTACCGTATCCGACACTAGACTCGAATAAGGTAATTTGCTCATTCTTTCTCATGGTTCAAGCAAAGTAGAGTACAATAGTATAGAAACTATTTGATTGATAAATCTCGTGCAATATTTCCCCATAGAATAGATTGAAGGCTGTTGAGATTGATAGGAGATTCCAGGGACTACTCCACATCGAATGACCATTCGGTCGCAGCCTGTTGAGAAAGATCTGTGGGGTACATTGATGGGTATACTCGGTCTTAGTCATCATTTCGCCTTACTGTCACTGGTAAATACAAGAACTATGAATGGTCTATCTACTATCTCATGAACAAACTCAATATCTTGCGATATCATCAAAGTCGATCTCCTGGATTTGCCTGCGGATGGTTACCCGCAACCGGTTTAGCTCTGCGGGTGGAACCTTGACGGGCGCGTGGATTTTACCCGACACACTAATCCTAAAACGGTTAGGAAATCTGCTCATTTCTGCTCAGCACGCATGCAGCCAAAGTTTGAACTTAATTTGCATGTGCGATTTACCATGGGAATCTCGAATGATGGGAGAAAAGAGACGAAATGCGCCATTGAGTCTTAGAGAAGAAAAGGTCAAACGCCATACAATGCAGTCAGGTAGCTAGTAGATGCAGGAATCCCAAGATAGTCATCAGTCGTAATTGTTGTCGTAGATCTGCGTATACTCGCGGATGCCTCAGTGTGCATGCTCGTTCCAGTGGATGTATCGGCCAACCGCCAATTCCCCCAGGAACGCGCCTGCCAACACCGAACAGAAGTATCCCACGTTCATCGTCATGACAGCCAACATACTAGAATCAAATAATTAGCTTTCCATCCAATCTCACAAAGGGAAAGCATCAACATACAGTAGATACGAGACCCCCGCAATACACAAAAACAGCGCCGCCCGCGGCACATCCACGCTAAACCGCCAGGGAATCGGGCCATGGGAGATATTGCGCACGACCTTGACATTCTCCTCGACTCCCTGCGCCGTAATCAGCGAGGCAGTCTTCGCATCCGGGTCGGCATCAATGCGCCCAGCCTCGCTGGTCTTCCCGGCAATCGCGACGTAGCGACGATTCAAGTGCGCTGCTAGCCAGTGGCGTTCCATGATGGCTTTGAAGGCGATCAGACAACGGTCGATGATGGCGAGGACGATGAGGAAGATGCATGTGCCTGCGTATACTCCCGAGGAGGAGGGTGTCCAGGCGGAGGAGAAGAGTGGAGTGTCGTGGGTGTTTGTGAAGACCATGGACATTGTCATTGAGGAGGAGCTCGAAGAGGAGCTGGAATCGCTCATACTGCTCATATCCATTGTGCTCATAGAGTGATGGTCCATCAAGGGTTGTGGTGGTGGTGATAGTGTGAAAGATAGAGAGCGAACGTAGTGAAGGTGGGATATCGAGGATGAAGAAGGCAAGAAGTAGAAAGCAATGGAGATAAGGGAGAATATCGCAAGGACCTGCTCGAAATGGGGAAAGTCGGTGGAGTAGGAATGAGCAGATTTAATCCCATTTTTACGAATCGTTTAATCATTTTAATCGCTGCATTTCATCGCATTCAACGTAAAATGCGGGACAAGCGGGGCCCGTCCAGACTTTCCGCTTCCACCGAATGAGCACTTTATTGATAAGCGATGACCACCGGGTTTTCGCCGATGCCAACTTGACAATTCTGACCTTTGGAGATACTCGACTTTCTTCGTTGATCATCTTGTGTTGTCGTGTTTGGTCTTCTTACAGACAGGACAGGGGAAAGCGCATCTTCAACGCACTATGCGAGATCGCTCCGTCTAATCTCATCCACCACCCAACATGGATTTGATGAGTGACATGCCCATGGGCTCAATGTCCATGGGCGATGGCGCTCCCAGCCTCTTCACACTGCAGAAGATGTACTGGGCCGTTGTCGGGAGTGCTATCGGTGCAGCAACACTCGTCAATATTTTGAACCGGTTATTAGCGCAACATCGGTATGGTTATCTCATGAAGCATATCTCTAGACCACCACCACTAACTACAACCAGACTACGAGACTCTTCTTTAACGCCCGCCAAACCCAAATCCCTCTTCTTCAACACCTATGCCACCCTCACAGCTATCGTTCGCGAAATCAGCTACGCAACGATTCACCCACTAACCGTGGGAAACTACACCATCCACTTCCCACCCCTCGGACCCGTCCTCATCATCCTCGCAAACCTAATCACCATCCTCGTCCTCTCCTTCTACAAACTAGACACCGCCGACGTCTGGAAATGGGAAGATATCGGCTACAGCACCGGCTTCATGGCCATCTGCCAACTTCCCTTGATCTTCCTGCTGGCAGGGAGACAGAATATTATCGGCTTCCTGGCCGGTATGAGCTACGCCAGTCTGAACTGGTTCCATCGGTGGGCTGCGCGTACGCTCTGGCTTACGGCGACTATCCACATGTGTTTCTGGTTCCGGGACTGGGCTCGTTATGACTATATCAAGTACGAGCTGTACAATGATGAACTTACGAAGCGTGGGTTCGCGGCGTGGGTTATCTTGACGTTTATCGTGGTCACTTCAATCCGGCCTATTCGAGGTTTAAGCTACGAGGTGTTTGTCCTGCAGCATCTGGTCACGTTTGTCGGGTTTATCGTTGCCGTGTGGATGCACGCACCCGACGAGGTCAGGATCTGGGTATGGATCCCGATCGGACTGGTCGTTTTTGACCGTGTCGTACGATATGTCTGGGGTGCGTATGCCAATCTGGCCGTGTTTCACCGGAAGAGTGACAAGGGGAGTCGCGTGTGGACTCACTCAGCGACTTTCACCCCGATGCCTGGCAACATTACCCGGGTGACTGTTGATAACCCGGGGATTAATTGGCAGGCTGGCCAGCACGTTTTCCTTACTTGCCACACTATTGTGCCATTGCAAAGTCACCCGTTCACTATTGCTTCGCTGCCTGAGGATGGAAAATTGGAGTTTTTCATCCGCGCGGAGAATGGAGGAACGAGACGTTTCTTCCGATTTGCCTCGAAGAATGACAAGGTCCTCGGAGTGGAACCTGCCCCTGCTGTACGAGGCCGTACTGTCTTTGTCGAGGGACCGTACGGGACTATCCGGTCACTGCGCCAATTCGATAGCGTCATTCTCCTAGCTGGAGGCATGGGTGCCACCTTTACCATACCGTTACTACGGGACATTGTATCAGTCTGGACGAAAGAAATCAATGGTCAAATCGGGCAGGGTTCCTTCCAAGCCAAGCGTCTGGCAGCGACCAAGCGCATTAGATTTGTCTGGGTGATCAAGTCCCGGGCTCAACTGATTCTCTTCGAAAGTCAACTACAATCCGTCTTGGCGGACGTGGCTGAATGCCGTCTCAGACAGCCCGATTTCCAAAAAGAACTCGAAATCAGCATTTACATCACCTGTGATGAGAAACTGGAAGCTCCCACTACAGCACCACCATCCCTCCCACTCCCGACCCAAAGCCTCGTCACCAGCGGCCTGGATTTCTCATACGAGAAGGGCCTATCCGCCGAAAAGGATAACGTCTCTATCCACTCGGCTTCCGCAGAATCATCCTCGACAGCAGAACCCCCAGCACCAGTAGGCAAAGGCTGCCTCCCAGGCGGCGGATGCTGCTGCACCACCCAAATCGAAGACGAAGATCAAGTCACTACTTGCGCATGTACCTGTTCCGGACCAGTACGGTCTGAACAGACAATCGCAACTCCCACAGTCAATGAGAAACCCACTCTTTCTACGGCGTCATCACCATCACCTTCGCCCACAGTCCTATCCGGCCGTCCCTACCCACAAACAATCATCCGCAAAGTCCTCGAGAAAGCCGAGGGCGAGAGTGCGGTTGTCGTTTGCGGTCCGCCTGGACTGAGTGATGATGTTCGTCGCAGTGTGGTCTATCTTAGTGATGAACGGGCGGTGCATAAGGGGACGGGGGCGCAGGGGATTTATTTGCATGTTGAGAATTTTGGGTATTAGCCTGGTTACTGGTTTATAGCTGGTGTTTATATTGGGTGCATCATATATATGAGACGAATTTATGAATCTTTATGAGAATGGTTTTGTGGGAGGGCATTAAGTAGAGTAGGTCGTTAGTAGGATGAGTAGATTATAGATTAGGAGATAGAGAATACGGTCCCCAAAAATTGCCCGTCAAATTTGGTTCTTGTCAAAAAGGAATAGAAGATTAGTATTCAGAGTCTATAAGTTCAATAGACTTCTAGTATTTGTAGCCCTACATTCGTACTCCATCCAATAGGTAACACAAGCACGAAACTAGCCAACCATCAACACTCATATCCACAAAACAAACAAATTCTATCCCTAAAAACAACTCCAATCTAAATTCCTTGCTTCACGACTAAAAACCTGAAACATCAGAATTGATCCTCCTACAAAATCATGACTCACGCTAAAACCCCGAGCCAACCCGATCGGGATCCCGGCACATGACATCACTCCCACCTCTAAAGCTCCCAGCTTGCACTCCCCAACCTCTCTCTTCATCACTCACAACCACAACCACAATCACAATCCCAAAGAACCACATCTCAACCACCCTCTCCAAACCATCAATATGTTCCGCTTCGTACGTCCCCTCCCCCCCCCCCCTCCTCCCAAGCACACTCCCCAGCTAACCCGCACCCAGAGCAAAACCCTCGACCCAATAACCCTCTTCCACTCACCAACCCTCGCCCCCTCAACCCGCGTCCTCAACATCCTAAAACAAGCCTCAATCACCGCCTCCGAAACCGCAACCGAAGACCAAGCCTCCGACACCACCCTGCAAGCCGCACAGCAGCGCGGCGAGTTCGAGCTGGAGGTTACCACTGCGGCGCCGACGACGGACCAGTTGCACAGTATCCTGGAGTACATTAGTCCTGTGGGGGGTTCTGGGGCTGGGGGGAAGGCGGTTTATGGGGTTGGGGAGTTGGTGAAGGGGGCGCGGGATGCGGAGGATGCTGTTAAGAGGTTTAAGGAGGATCAGGGGCGGTTTGTTAGGCCTGTGGTATGTTGCCTTGCTTTTTTTCTTGCTTTTATTTTTCTGGTGTTGGGGGTGGAGATGGGGATGTTTGCTAATTGATTCTGGGTGGTAGACCGTTGATTGGGTTAATGGTCGGGCTGTTATTGGGGATAATGAGTCTGAGATTTTGCGGATGGTGCGTCAGCTTCCTGAGAACTAGACTGCTAGTTCTTGGTGTTCTCGAGGAAAGTTCTATTATGTCGCAACTACACTTTCAAAGAGACGGGGAGGATCAGTCATAGAAGCAGAATTCATGGAAACGGGCTAGACGGAACCCCGTCAACCTAGTTCTATGTATGTATCATACAAAGTCATTTTGCAAACTCCAATCAAAAGAGTAAAACAAACACAAGCAGAATTGAAAAGGTGTAAAAGACATATCACGTTGGGGGTTTGGTAGCAAGTGCAGACAATAAACGAGTCGGACAGACTTGACAGGAAATTATGCGCCATTAAACTCATACAACAAGTATCACCGGGAACACAACCCAAAGACCAAGATCCAGCTCGGTGGAGGGAGATACCCAGCATGACGAAGAAAGAAGAAGGGAGAATGCGCTAGACGGGGTAATAAACAGTGGACATCTCCAACCCAGAACTAGAACATCGTTCCGAAAGAACTATCCGTAGCAATCGGCTTGCGAGGCGAACTACGCCCGGCGCTGTCGACGGCTGGTTTACGGTGTCTAGAACAAAGACATTAGTTAGTAAAGACCAAAAAAGCCAGCGGACGTCATAACATACCGGAATGTAAACCCAACAAACAACCCCTTATTCATCTTCTCATCACGCTCGGCCATCTCCTCCAACGCACGCTGTTTATCATGCACCTCCTTGTACTTGGCCATATCCGCCTCATTGCTAAAGTCATCAAAGTACCCCGCATCCGTCTCCGAATCCAACTCCGGCACGAATGGCGCCCGCTGTTCCCGCAATCGCGTAAAGTCCACCTCGGCAAAGTAATCATGTGCATGAATCTCCTGAATATTCTTGAACCGGGTCTCCTTGGCTGCTACCAAAGTCGTGATCAAATCCCAGGTTCGTCGGGACAGGAAGTAATTCGGATCCTCGTAGACGGGCTTCCGCAACACCTTTTGCCAGCGCTTTAGGTTCTGCCATGTCTCGTCAACCGTGGCACCGGCGAACGGTGGATACCCAGCCAATGCTTCGAAAAGCATACACCCCAGACTCCAGTAGTCGACGGTGAAATCGTATTCCTCGCCCTTGAGAACTTCGGGGGCCATGTAATCGGGCGAACCAACGATGGACTTGGCGTAGTTGACCTCGCGCTCGCGCAGAGAGCGGTATCCCTGCCGACGCTCGGCCATGGTTCGTTGTTCCATGGGGCGGCCAAAGGGAACGGGCGTGTTGCCGACCTCCTCAAGCTTGACGCGCATTGACTCGATCTTGCCAGGACTCAACATACCGGCTGCCAGACCAAAGTCGGTCAGCTTGACGTGACCGGTAGAGTCGATCAGGAAATTCTCAGGCTTAAGATCGCGGTGAATATAGCCAAGCACATGGAGCGCATCGATACAGCTAAACATCTCGGCAATGTAGAACCGCGCATGCCGATTATGCAACACACCCGTATTATTCAGAAGCGTGCGGAAATCGCCGCCGGGGACGTACTCCATCGCCAGGTAAATTTGATCATCGTCCTGGAAGGCATAGAGCAGACGAACCAGCCACTCGCTCTTGGCGGCAGTGAGAATATCGCGCTCCGTGAGAATATGCCGAATCTCATCCAACTTGAACAATAGCCGTTTACTCATAACCTTGAGCGCGCAGACCTCGCGCGTATCCTTCTTCTGTGCGAGATACACCTGTCCATAACCACCCTGACCGACCTGGGTCAAGATCTGGAAATCATGTTGGCGCAGACGGGTGCGACGCTTGCGCAGGTGCGCGCGCTCGCGACCCAGGTATTTCAGCAGTGCGGGCTCGTATTCTTCGTTGGGTGTGGCGGGGGGTTCGGGGTATGCGGATTTGAATTGTGTGTGCCGGGTTTGCCGGTTGTGGACATAGCTGAGGAGATCGAAGTAGTGGTCGAGGAAGTCTAGTCGCAGTCCGTTAGCACAACCACTTTTTATCCGCTTGGATTCCATTTCAATCTCACGTACAGAGTTGAGTCACGTTAACCAGGCGCTTAACCCGGGGCTGTTGCAGCTTCTCCATCTCCTCCGGGGTCAGTCCGCGCAACTGGACTTGGCGCTTTGACGTGTCAGCATCACGCTGCTGATATGGCTCATGGCGCGAGATGGCAGCAGCAGTGGGTTTGGATCCCAGATCCTTGGGCAGACGCGTGCTTGTCGGGGGTGTATTTTCTTTATTCGCTTTGCTGCTGCGCGTGGGACTTGAAGGGCGCTGGTGAATGACGCTCTCATTAAAGTCCTCAATGTTACTCCTGTCGGAAGTAAACATGGGATGATTGAAGTGGTTATGAGTGGATTTGGAGGGAGAAGTAGGTGTCAACTTCAAGGCTTTATCGAAGACATTGGGTAGATCGAGAGATCCGGGGGGTGCCCTCGATTTGCTGGGACTACCCTGGGGGGTTTGTGTGGGACTGGTGAAGCCATTCTCGGCGGGGGTGGAGGGGCGGTCGAAGGCCTCGCCGCGGGTGTGAAGTAGTGGCGGGGGATTGGGGAGTCGCAGACCAAGACGGTCGGGGTCGGAAGCGACGTCGACAGCCATGGTGAGTGAGTGTGTTGTGTGTGTGTGGGAGGATTGAGGAAGTTGGAGAGTTGGATTCGGGGAGGGAAAGAGAAGAAGAGGTGTTGGGCACGGGGAGGAGAGTGATCGTCGAGGGGTTGGATGTGGCTCCCCCCTTGATAAGGTGACTAGCCTGAGGCTGAGACGAGGACTGGGCGGGCTGAAAAGGCTGAAGAAATCAAACTAAAAGGCGCTAAGATGCGAACACACGAAGATTCAGAAGTACGAGTTAGACAAAAAGAAGTGTAGAGGATGTCGATGTCAAAAAGAAGGCCTTTGTTGCAGAGTCCAGTGTTTACTCCTTGACTAATCTCCAGTACTATAGTCGTACACTATGTAGTCCTCGACAGAGTAAATAATAATTTCCCACCTTGCGACTCCCAAGTCGATCAGCTCCACCACGATCGATGGGATCTTGATTTTACTTTTTCCGAGAATAACATGAACATGCAAATAATCTAATCCACCTTGAACCTTCCGAGTTCCCACTTTTTTTTCCTTTCAGGATTTTAATATCACGACTCCTCCGGTATGGTTGCCCTAGCAACATCTCCCCCACGTCATTCACAGCCCGCCATTTTCCAACCCGGCTGACGGAGCTACCAATAGTGGCGTACGATTTAATTTCCAGGTACCTGACCAAACTCGAAGACACCCAACCGGAGCGATCCTAGTGTGAATTGAGTTTTGTCGACGCGAGCTGAATGCGATCCACCTACGGAGTGCAGTAGTAGTAACTGTGGGATCGGTTCGCCCCTGCAGGTCATTCTCCTCGCTGGGTCCGGCTCCAGATGTGAATGTGGCTTTTCTGGCCCCCATGTGATGGAGTTGTGAAACTGGGCCAGCCTTGATTCTAAGGATCTGGTAGTTATTCGTGGTTCATGGCGTCATTAGTCGGGCTAATAGTTCTGCTTAGTCCCCGGGAGTTTTGACGGTACTACATTGTAGAATGGCCTATTCTCCGACATTATTGAAGTTATTTACAATGAAGTACTCCACAAGTGGTTTTCTTCAATAGCAAGGCTATCCTTGCGATACGCACGGGGTAAATAAGCAGTATGCGAGGGGATTGCAAGGATCAGTACTGTGTGGCTACTGACTGCAGTGGTAACTACTCCGTACTTCGGTCCTTCTCCACAATGTAAGCAAACTACCAGATTGGGAATGGCTCAGACCCGGCAGATCCGTTACAATCCATGGGTCTGTTGCTTCACGGAGTCCCCGAACACTAGGAAGTTGATTTCGTTTGGTCATCTATGGTTACGATGGGAAGATCATTGCGGTCCGAGAGTTTCAAAGTTTCATAGTAGGGCTAGGATATGTCACATTCGCTCCATTCAAGCGGCGCCCTCCGCCCGCTGACCAGTCTGCGATATTGGTTAGTACCATCCACATTTTCCGTAGCATCTGATCCTCGAAAAGTTTGTATTCACTCACGTAAAACGCCAATCCATACGTCTCAGTCGTAAAAGTAATCTTGGCCCCCTTGGGGAAATAAAACACATCCCCCGGCGACGCAGTAACTTTCTGGCCCGTCTCATCGGTAATCTCAAACTGTCCCTCTAGAATAATCTTCATTTCATCGTAGGTATAGGTATACACCAGCGGGGTACCTTTCTCCAGACGATAGAATCCGCACGAGATGGGCTTTTCGGCATTATCCTTGTCGCTGCAGGAAATAGGTATGTAAGTGGGTCTGTTCTGTTCTGCGGGACTTGGGTTATTTCTCCGACAGATGGCGTACCTGGAGATGACATCGCCTAAGAAGGCGTTTTCGTTGGCGATGAGAGGAGGTTTGAAGGTGGATTGGGCCTTGGCGTGGTAGGTGAATGGGACTGCCATTGTGAATGATATATAGTGTGGAAGGGCTGGAAATAGAGTAGAGCTGCAATAATATTAATATTCTTCCGGTCGCTGGGACTCATTTCTGTCTTATATTCGGTTCTTTCATTATGGGCAATTGGCAATTCCCCTCTCGAATGAGGGGATGCACGCGATGAGCTCTACCTCGAGCTTGAAGACAAGGCAACTCAATCCTGGTCAGCAGCATTGGTCGGTTTCTATCTCCCAACTAGGCAGGCCGAGAGGCCAGTTATGGATGGCCTGATAACAAAGCACTGCCATAACATGGAACGCAATGAGGGGGTCCAGATCCGCGCGAGGGGAAGCTTTGAAGCTTGAGATAACGGTCCGAGAGTGTTCATCTTGAAGCTTCGCGATGCTGCGAATAGTGGGCAATGTGGTATTAAACTGTATCGATTTGAAGCCCTGGTTTATCGATGAAACCTGCTATCGCCATAATTCTCAGAATAATCCAGAGCTCCCTCAAGATCATGGCGAAGAATGTGCGATGGTCGCTGGAAGAATGATGATGATGGTTCTTCCCCGCGATGCTGAGGATCTTTTTGCCCGAAGCGGCTAGTGCTTCCCCGTTGTCCATGGCCAGCGAACTGGAATCCATGGAATATTTCCAATGCTGGCAACTTACTAAGCTAGTGATCTATTAACTAACTAACTAACTAACTACCTATGTAGATAAGTTCATATCCAAGCGAGTGATCTGCAAGTCTGAGTCGCTGGGTTTCATAGAACCTAAGCTTCTGTATCATCATCATCACACGGCGACATGCGCGACAGAGCCTCGAGAAAGGAAACTGAAGTTTTGGAATAGTGAATAACTACACTGCAAAATATATACAAGTTGCGATATCACTATTTTGAAAATGAATATGAAGCCCTCTTTTGATTAGGATTAATAAAAATATGACGAGCATCCCGAGGCAAATGTAATCAGAGCTCTGCCAACGCCGTGCATTTCATGAAAGTCAAGCGATTTCATATTCGTAATGTGCTCACGAAGCCCAGGTAATTTCTCCTATCGAATTCGCATCGCGAACGATGCTCTCAGCAACATCCAGATATCGTTCATCCTCGATATGGCCCCAGTCCCATATTAGCCCGATGGCAACTTTGATAGATCATATAGTGTGATTTCATACCCCAGTACATCATGAGTTCTTGGGATGCCATCCCCGGGGGCATTCTTTGGTTCCACGGTGAATTCCTCCATCCAGAATCACAGGAATTCTCCCACCCACCGCCTCCACTACACCGGGTAATGCTTGTATGGTAGAAGGCACGCTATCCAATTGTCGACCACCGTGATTAGAAACAATGATAGCGTCAAACCATATTCCGCTGCAAGCATCTATCGGCCGAGATAGGGGGGGTAGAGATTTGTGTTTTCCTGTACGATATGACGAATTTCAAGTTAGGGCCTCTTGCCTTTTAAAAGCATTGAGAGCGTTCCACCGCTGACCTCCACAAGAGCATTCGTTTGTTCCGCAGTCTACTTCTTCCCACAATCCCTTCCGGCCCGGCAACAGCAGTAGTATTTTACAACCATTAGGGGGCGAATAAGGCTGATCCATTAATAGACTACTATATCTATCTGTGGATACGTCTATGTCGACAGAAATGGTGCCTTTCCATTAACAAAAAGATGTATCAATAGCATCTCGCACCAGGCGAGCTTTCTGCTCAAAAGTACCCAGTTTCTTGGAATAGATCAAGAGATGTCGAAGCTTGTCGCGATCAATGTCTTCTTCCAGTGCACGGAGAAAACGCAAAAGTGTCTTTGTGGATATCGTGGCCGATGATGGAGAAGAATGGGTCAAAGTGTCGACCATGTCGGAAAGCAGATTGCTGTTCGAGATGGCTAAGAAAGGGTGGGAGCGGGACTCGGAGGACTATCCTCAACAAACGCCGAGGCAAGCGGCAGTAGCCCTGAATGTGAAACCGAGAATGAATGCTCAGTGCTCACCTCGGACTGATCTTGCGTGTTTTAATCGATATATAAATATTGTCAAATCTATCTAGGTTTTCCGATGTATCAGGGAAAGAAAGACGAGGAGTGATCCAGGGTTGAATGTCTTTCTTGGTAAAGTTCAATCTTTGCAGCTCTCAAGCACATACGACCATAGGGTGTGGAGAACAGGGCTTCCCGTCCGCTCAGCCGTACTTAAGCCACACGCCGGCCAGTTAGTAGTATGGTGGGTGACCACATGCGAATCCTGGCTGTTGTATGTTTTTTTGTGTTTTTAGTTAGTTATATCTACTCTTTTAACTCCCTTAGCCTCTTCACCTTAAGCGCCCTAAAGCGACTCTATTCTTTACCTAGATACCCTAAATATCCCTTAAGGGCTAACGTGGCCCCTCGGCTAAGCTTTCCCTCTCTTATATACTCCTTCTAGGTTACGCCCTAGGCCGCTACCTTTTAGTTTTTGGGGGGGGCTAAGATAACCCCGATTAGAGCTAAAGCGGAAATAGATTTACCGTGGCGACTACGACCGTTTAGTCTAGTTCTGAGTGTCTCTTCTCTAATGAAGTAGTGAAAATTCTCAGTGAAGATGTGCAGAAGCGAAAGTCTAGCTCCGATGTAAATAAATAAAATCAAATTGCCCCTTCCGTATTGTAACTGAACGAGTACTCCAGGATCTCGCTTAATCCTTTAGAAAAGGTCTATTTGTTTTGAAAGTTGTTCTCTAGTCAAAATAGATTGCCAGACAGACTAGAGAATTCAGATAACTTTTTCCCAAATCTAAAGACGAGCTATTGATAATACCAACGGTCATGTACTGCCACATTTAAAGACTGGGATGGGTAATGATGCAGCCCAGTTTTGACAGTCTAAAGCTTAAACCGGGTCTGATCATCGGTAATCTCAACTTCGCCCGCACGCGAGATTCTCTTGAGGTAAAGCTCCAGTCGAAAATTCGAATTGTCTCGTGTGAACTCAATAGTGGCTGAGTGGATAGGCTCCATGAACTCCAGCTCATTCAGAGACCGTACCTGACCGGTCCTTGATGCAGCTGCAATGGGCATTCTCACACTTGTAGTTTGTAGTGTTTGTATCGTAACCATTCTCCATTGCCCCACTCGCAGGTGTCGAGGCCACAGTAGAACGATTACTTCTGGCCTACCCAGAATTGGAAAGTCTTGATATCCTGAACTGCCCCCTCGACCTTACTCAGGAACTCCGCCTCTGCGGCTGCTTCCTCCTCGTCCGTGTAATACTGAGTTTAAGCAGGCAGTCCATGAAATATGTAGCCATGAATGGAGCCCGAAAGATCTCCTATGATTCGATGTCTGTTCTGGTGCAGAAGCGGCACTTTGACGAGTTCACGAATCATAGTGAGCATGTATCTAGCGGGCAACGGTGTTCGGATTCGGAGCTTGGGGTCGAAAGTAGACAAAACTTCGTAGGTATCGTCAAGGGCAATGCCAACTGCAGATAGGGGGTATAGATGGACCTGGTTCCAGTTCTCTTCATCAAGATTGTGGAATCGGCCCATCTTGATCCATTGCTCCCATGGGAAGCCAGATGTAGGTGGCTCGGCGGCAAGAGCAAAGCCTTGCTCGGATACTGTCTATGAGGCAATTTCGAGGTATTCATCGGGCACAATCCACTCCACAACCTATTCCCGACTTGTTAGTTCATTTTCGTCATCAATGAAGAAGGTTCATCACCTACCACGAGAATCTCAGCCCATCCCCATCGAAACTGGATTTGCTGCCCATATTCGACGACAGGAATTCCTTTCTCATTGAGGGCTTTCAAGGCAGTCGACATGTTCTTATTGTGAAACTGGAAGAGATTCGGCACCGCGGGGGGTAATGGAAGTCTTCTCTCAAGAGGGGCTGAACCAGTCTGGGCATTCCATTCTTCCATGAGTTCGGCTCTCGCAGACTCAATTTCTTCGGCGGAAATGGAGGGGGAAGATGTCCCAAACAGCGTACTCGCAAAGGTCAAACAGGACCTAGGCGATCCACTGGATTTAGAATTAGCAGGAGAATCGGGGTTCTGATGTAGCTTAACCTGAATCGTAAGAGTAACAGGAGCATTCAGGGGCGGAGAATGGGTAGCTGGCGAGTTCGGAGGTGCATAACACACGTCTTGAGTGTTGGAAGTATTTTCATCCTCACTTTTTGTAAGTTAGGAGGCATCATTCAAAAGATGGCTGTGAGGAGGGGTTAGGGGAGCAATAGAAGCCGCCATAGAAGTTTCTTCGGCGTTAGATGGATCCGAAGTAATGGCAGCCACAGATTTGGTCTTGCCAGTCATTTCAGGCTGGGCAACTGAAGGCAAGATGTAGCAGATATCTCGGGGGCGTGGGAAGACATGATCCAAGCAGCACAGACTACTCCGGGCTTTTCCTGGGCAGAAAAGCCCAGGCTGGGCTCCGGCGTCTCGAGGGTGACAAGCTGGTTTGTGGAGGCTGCCATGCTGCGAAAAGGTACAGTTTCAGAAATTGAGCGCAGCTTGAGTAGTTCAATTGTCAAGTAGGAAGCTTTGTAGGAGAGAGTCGGTGGTAGATGGTTTGGGGGGGGGGGGGGGGGGAAGAAGGAAGGGACTGCAGGTGGGAGATGGGGGTTGGACTCACGTCATGGAAATCTCCGGGGCGCCAAAACGCACGTTCCACTAGTCTATTTCCCGCAGTCTTTTGAAAACATTACTTGAAGATACACTCTGTAAACTGCGCTGTAGAAAATCACAGACATTGCTAGATTGTGCCCTTAAGCCCGAGGATCTAGCCATCGTCCGCGCTCGGTAGATTATCGACATCTTCATGGACTTCCAAGCCCATCATGACTTGATGTGATCCTAGTCTCGATGAAATGTTTCGTTATGACTTTGATTTTCCACATAGGTTCGCTCCACTTGTTCATCGTCATCTTTCTCTAGCTCCCATAGCTAGCAGAGTCCATTGCTTTCTATTTCATGATTGTACGCAGAACTAGAAATAAATTCTGTATGGATACTAGTAGAGCTCGAGCTAAAGAATCACCTACTAATAGCTAGGACGTATCTTGATTGTTGGAGGAGCTGGCAGATTCTGGAATACCAAAGTACGGTGCTGGAAGATAGTCATGACGCATGGACTTTGATTTCTGCAGTACTGTTTTGTGCTTAATAAAAGTTAGTTATTTTGTTTGCCTAACGATCTGGCTTAAATAATATCTTGGAACGTTCCTTGAACCAGGAAAATACCGTATCAACCGTTACCCGGGACGCGCCGTTTATCAGGGCGTGTCATCGTTGACTTCCAACTGACAGTGCTTATCAAATTTTGATTCTCTCTCAGCGAAGCACGTTTCACTCATTCTCTGAGTGTTCACACACTGTGATCCTCATCGACCTCACCTCCCCCACACACATCACCATTAACCTCGGATCCCACCAAGTCATACAGCATGGCTGCCGGAGACTCGACGACCGAAGCACCGCCAACATATATCAACCGCTATCCCCTCACCCGGCCACCCTTGTCGCCATCCGGCCCCCTACTTGAAACGATCGAGAGGTGGTACTATGTCGATCAGTTCAACTTGCAGGCAGGGTACGAAGACCTGCTCTACATCGAATATGTCTTGAACTGGCTCGCCTTCCACGACCAGAGAAATGATTTCTCGGAGTATGAAGGCAACCCCGACGGAGACCTGCTTACCTGTCTCGCGGAGCTTTACATGGCCGAATGGTCTTTTCGTACCCTACTTGAGCAGACCATACAACCGTGGGATCTCGAGGTCATCTTTGACCTGGTAGAGACTGCTCGGTCCATGGAGACACAACCATATTTCAAGGGAAATCTTCCATCTGGAGACCATGTTCACAAATCGTGAGTCAGAACAGCCTTGTCAGAACGTGTGGCATCTTGGGGCTCGGTACGTTCTTACGGATGTGCGGGATGAACCGAATAGCAAGAATTCCTTCCAGATTCAAAGATGGCTTTCTCTTTGAGATAAATCTACAGCAAGATCAAAATACATGCACTTTGATATCAACCTGATTCAATAATAGAATGTGTTCCCTGTTACTGTATGGCTTATAGTTCGGCTCCCCACAAGCGGCGGCTAACCGGCAGTAGCCGCGCGGAAAAGCTGTATCTCCGACCCCGCGTGGTGCGCCGATGCCGAATCTCGGCTCGTGTAGCCATGCTTGACAGAGCACGCAGGCTTGGACATCCTCACGCTATTGAGGGTCTTTGACCCAGTTGTCTTGATAAAAACTGCACTCTATCTGGGAGATGCCATCAGAATTTTCTCTCCGGCGGTCATCGGCTTTTCTGGTTCGTCAGCAGTAGACATGCCGGCGCGAAGAAGCCGAGCGCCAGCGGCGTGTCTTTTCTGTCGCTCGAAGAAGGTAATTACGCATGTAGGTGTATCCGTGCTATATAATTTGACTAACCATCAAAATTTGGGACAACAGTTGAAATGTGACGCACAGAAACCAAGTTGTGGCAATTGTCTGGCAAAAGGTGTAGATTGCCAGCAAAGCGCTGCCAGGCATAAACCAAGGTCGATATTAAATCCTAATATTATTATACGCCCGTCTACTGACTTCATTGAGCAGGCCAACAAATCAGCGCATCAAACAACTAGAACAAGAAAACGCCATCCTCCGTCAGCAATGTACCCAGCGAACTACAGACATTGGAGTCCTTGAGCGACCTGCTTTGATTCCAACAGAAGCTTCTTTGGCAGCGCTCAGTCCAGCACGGAGCAGAGTCACAGGATCAATACCCCACCATGCTGAGCCTTCGCCGAGCGATAATCACTCAAACAGAGGCCGAGATACGTCTCATCCAGAGGTACCAGATAGCGAAAACCATCGCCATAGCACTTCATTATACCACGGACCGACCAGCACAGTCTATGACGATACAGCACATTCCGGAGCCGACGAAGAAGATTCAGAGGTTTTTGATTCACCCGTTAGTGAAGAGTGGGCTCGACACTTGCTCTTTGCGCAAACGGCAAGGCAGAGTAAGTCCTTCCTTCAGATTGACTGAACCGTGGCTAACAAACCACCTCAGGACAACTGGAACCATTGAACCTAGCAGCAGGGAAGCTCGATTTTGATGGACTCGATCCAGACATTGGCATGCATCTACTGTCGATCTATTGGAGTCGCCAACTATACACCGCGCAGATTACATATCGCCCAGTATTCATGCGTGATATGGCCTCCAACGGCCCTTATTTCTCGAAACTCCTACTCAATGCAATTTTGTTCACAGTTTCAAAGCATTGCCCGCGGCCTGAGATACGCTCTGACCCCGATGACATTACTACTGCAGGGTGGAGGTTTCGTCAACGCTTCACTGAGCTTCTGCGAGAGTCTTTCGATAAGAGCGAGATCACCACACTACAAGCATTGATCATTATGTCCAACTCGCTCTTCTCAAGATGTGACGAACGCAGTCTATCTTGGCTCTATGCTGGAAATGCATTCAATATGATCATTGACCTTGGTCTGCATGTTCTTCCCTCGCCAAATAAGATGTCTGCAGAAGAACTTGAAGTTCGGAAGCGCGTCCTATGGGGTGCTTACAGTAAGTCATTCCAATTTTGAAATCAAGAGATATGTGCTGAACTCGCTTAGCAATCGACAAGATCCAGTGTCTCCTCCAAGGAAGGCCACCATTGCTTCGCCAATTAAACTTCAAAGCATCCCTCAATTTCTTGGACGAGTACGATGAGCTCGACACATTCAAAGATCTCACCTACAGTACATATGAACAGCAGTCCGTGATACCTTCTCTCAACGTGTCACTCTTGACAAAATTATGCGAGTTATCCATAATTTCCGAGCGCATTCTGTGCGAACTCTACTCTGAATCGCAAAACATGAGCCAAAGGCAAAGCCAGAAGATCTCAGCCGATATAAGCTCCGATCTCAGTAAATGGCGATCGAGTCTTCCTCGCCAACTCGACTATATCTCCTATCCAAGGGAATCGGTTCTTTTGCCTCAAGCCTTCTGCCTCTTGTATGATATCCACCAGAGTTAACAACTTTTGACCTCGGCTAACTCTTTTAGGGCGCTGTCAAACGTCCTCATCATCCTCTCTCAACGACCGTTATTCACAGGTAGTAATCATGGTCACGCTCGAAACCCAGCCACTGCATATGAAGCTGTCAGTATGTGCACCGCGGCAGCAAATCAAATCGTCCAAATCTTGCGCGACTACTCTGCGCACTTCTCTATCACTTCAGCCCCATACATGCTTTCTTACGCAACATACATCAGCGCCACCATCCACGTCCGTATAGTTGCACAAAAGGGACGAAGTTCAAATTCCTTCCAGTGCCTCCTACTTTGTCGCAATGTCCTACGACAACACTTGCGGCTCTATGCAGCAGCGGGAAAAGCCATGGCCAACCTTGATAAGCTCGTGGCTCATCTCGGTATTGTTATTACTGAAGGAGATGAGCTGGGCACTTCAGTGCTCAATCCTGCAGATGATTTACCTGCACAGGAAAATGTTTCTGCTCCTAACATTTCAAATGCCTCCGACCAGACGATCGATATCGGATCTCCACAATTGAACTGGGGACTATCAGATCTTGACCTTGAGGCAATCGCTCAAAGCTTCCGGCTTGATGGAGAACTTCAATATCTAATGCACCCTGTTGGGATCTGAAGCTGACTATGTACAATACCATCCAAAAATCAACAGTCATCCACAGACTCAAACTCGCTCATGCTAGCAGCCACCTTATTTAGAGCTCTCTTCGTAGTACGTCTGCCAGGGATGGTTCTGACTGAATCCGAGCATCTCTTTGATCTTCTTGTTGCATATCGGGGCATCTCGCGGTCCCATTTCCCTGGTAAAGGGTACATTTGGAGTGACCCGTTTGAGAAACTCGGTTGTCGAGGTAGTGTAATTGGTAATCTCATCGTTCACAGCGTTGAATATTTGGAATCCCAGACCATCCTTCTGTACAGCGAGATCACACATCTGCCCAAGGTCTCGCGTGTCGGTATACGACCAAGCATGTCCTGCCCACGCATCCGGGTTTTTGACATAATCAACGAACATCTCCTCCCTATATTCTTCAGGTGCGACCACTCTGCCAATACGAAGGACATAAATATCGTTCCCGAACCGACGAGCAAAGCCACGAGCAACGCGCTCGCCGCAAACCTTGGAGATGGCATATGTATCCATCGGATTGGCATCAACGTCTTCATCCACCGGGTATGACGGATAGTCCACATCTCCCTCTGCAAAACTCACGCCATAAACGGTAATAGAGCTAGCAGTGATGACCTTCTTGATGTTGAGTCGAGACGCGGCTTCGATTACATTGTAGGTTGACAAGGTATTTCCGCGGAAAGTCTCGTTATCGGGGGCAATCATATTGCGAGAATAACCAGCCAGATGAATGACTGCATCCGGAAGAAGACGTAACGGCTCACGGAAAGGTTCCGTTAGATGGAAGTGCGAGGTAAATGCACTATAGACTTGGCCGCTATCTGTCAAATCGACACGCAGGGTATGAACTCGCTTGCCCAGGTCGCCTGGTAATGGCATCAAGTCGAGATTGAGAACATCATGGCCTTTTTCCAGAAGGTAGGAAATGATATGTTGCCCTGCCTTTCCGGAGCCACCAGTAACGATGATGCGTTTGCCCATTTGTAGGGAAGATTCCGATATGCTCTGGGAGTAGAATGTAGTTTCGAATGCACAAGCCGCTGAGAGGCACAATATTAGAGTTCGAGAAGATAAAGGTGAAGTCAACAAGGCCAACAGTATTCAGAAAGATGACGTGGAGCCATCCCCATGTTTAAGTCGGCCAACATGCGGGGAGAGTCGCTCGGGATGTGACCTGCCGACTGGATCAAAACCAGCCGACTGCTCTTAGCCGTTGAGCCGAGGAAGTTGAGAGTGAAATCAGATGCTGGACTCGCATATCAAAGACTAAGACAACAAAAATTGTACATTGTCTCGAATTAATCACCAAAGTATTCATAGTTGAACTCGGGCAATTACATTATTCTCTCGCACTTAGCAGCAATTCGCATAGACCTGGATACTTGGCTCGGAGGATAACTTTCCGGAAATCAAAAGTTCGGCTAAAGCCCGTGAAAGTGCCGAGTGTCCCAATTTCTGATTGGCCCAAGAATGTCTCAATTACCCCAGGACTCGATATTCACCAATGGGAACTTGACATCCCGGTCCAAAGTGAGTAATATCCAAAGACTGGTTGGACCCCTCGCGTGACAGTGCGAAATAAAAGGACCTTGGCAACTAGCTATCTTGTCGTTTGAATCTCAAACAGCAAGAATTCCTATCCTACAGATCAGGGAAATCTCCGAGCCATGTCTTGCTCTAAGAAATCCTGTGATGGCTGCTCATGCAGTAGCAATACGCAACAACCTATTCAAATCGAAGACTGCATTAGCGAGCTGCAAGCTCTTCGACGACGCAATCAAGAACTAGAGACTCGACTCGGTCTCAATTCCGAGCAAGATGCACCAAAAATCACAAAGAAGCCCGGTCGCACCCTACGGTCGGCGGCATGGTTCGATTGTCGCAGCGATCCCGGCATGACGGCCATTTACATGGAGCGGTATTTCAACTTCGGCATCACACGGGAAGAATTGATGTCCGGCAAGCCGATGATCGGAATTGCACAGTCTGGATCGGACATCGCACCTTGTAATCGACACCACATCGAGCTGGCTAAGCGGGTCCGTGAGGGTATTCGCACAGCTGGCGGTATCGCCATTGAATTCCCCACTCACCCTATTCAAGAGACGTCAAGACGACCAACGGCCACGTTGGACCGAAACCTGGCTTATCTTACTCTTGTGGAGATTTTGACGGGTTATTTTCTCGATGGTGTCGTTCTTTTGACGGGATGTGACAAGACGACTCCAGCATGCTTGATGGCTGCTGCCACAGTGGTAGGTTTTGCCCCGCGAGTTGCAAGTAATGATCACTGGTTAATATGAGCATAGAACATCCCAGCAATCTGTATGAACGTTGGTCCTATGCTGAATGGCTACGCCAAGGGCACTCTCGTAGGATCTGGTGCTGTTCTGTGGAAGGGACGAGAGATGTATGCCACAGGCGAAATTGATGAACACCAGTTCATGGATTACATTTCCCAAAGGTGAGCTCCTATTCTATCTGATCTTCAAAATTATGTATTAACAGATCCTCTAGCACTCCCTCTGTTGGACACTGTAATACAATGGGAACTGCATCCACAATGAATGCTCTCGCAGAAGCCCTGGGAATGGCCCTTCCAGGATCCGCAGCTATTCCTGCTGCGTATCGCCACAGAGCCCAATGTGCCTATGAGACTGGTAAACGGATCGTGGAGATGGTCAACATTGACCTGAAACCCAGTGACCTGATGACCCGCGAAGCATTCGAGAATGCGATCGTGGCAAATGGCGCCATCGGTGGTAGTACCAATGCCCCCATCCACCTCAATGCTATTGCCCAACATATGGGCGTTGAGCTGTCTATGGACGATTGGGACACAATTGGATCTCACATCCCTCTGCTATTGAACATGCAGCCTTCAGGTGAATACCTTGGAGAAGAATATTTCCGCGCTGGAGGCCTCCCTGCTATCATGGCAGAACTCCTTGACGCCGGCAAGCTGAACGGAGATGCCTTGACTTGCAACGGTCGCACAATCGCCGAGAATGTTCGTGACCAGCATTCTTGGGACCGCCGGGTCATTCGTCCATACGATGATCCCTTGATGAAGGACGCAGGCTTTGTCCATCTCAAGGGTACACTATTCGACTCTGCCATCATGAAGACCTGCGTCATCTCCCCTGCCTTCCGCGAACGCTACCTATCAAACCCCGAAGATCCCGAAGCATTCGAAGGCTCGGTCGTCGTATTCGACGGACCTGAAGATTACCACGGCCGTATCGAGAATATGCCAGAGATCGATGACAAGACGGTCTTGATCATGCGTGGGGTTGGTCCACTTGGATACCCCGGTGCGGCGGAAGTCGTCAACATGCACCCACCCGGCCGACTACTGAAGCAAGGAGTCGATGCCCTGTTCTGCATTGGTGACGGACGCCAGTCAGGCACCTCGGGTTCGCCCTCCATTCTCAATGCTAGCCCCGAAGCGGCTGCAGGTGGTAACCTTGCCATTCTTCAAAATGGCGATAAGATTCGCATTGACTTGCCGAAACGACGAGTCGATATTCTCATTAGTGATGAGGAAATTACGTTGCGGAGGAAGGAGGTATTTTCGAAAGAGTATCCCTTGGTTCCTAGTGGTACCCCCTGGCAGGAGATTTTCCGCCAGGAGACGGATCAATTATCCAGTGGCATGGTGCTGAAGAAGGCTGTAAAATATCAACGTCTGGCGCAGACCAATGGTCCACCCAGACACAACCACTGATTTTTATTGTTATGCATTACGTTACAGATTAAGTATATAATGATACACAACAACTACATAAATACCAATCAACATGACTTTTTCATCTTTAGTACGAATTTGAGTATCGAACCTCCGATATGTATCGAGTCGATAGCAGTGTGCACAGTAGCCATAACTCCTCCATCATAAGCGATAGCCCATCGTTATTCTCCATGGTTTGTGAATTAGGGTGATTTTCGACGCGCCCACGTAGTATGTGATTAAGCAAGTTTAGGCTGTGTGGAAGTGGAAAGAGAGGGAGAATGAGAGTGGAACTGCTGTTGTTTCGAAGCCATCAGCTTAGTAAGAAATTATGTATAGTTAACTAACTACTATCCAGAAATAGCGAGTCGGGTTAGTATTGGTGAGGGGGCGCTCTATCGTTAATATAGAGGTGGTGTGAAGTAGCCTAGTTAATAAGCCTTGCTAGTAAATTTTAGCATTGTTAGTTGAGCTGAACAATTTTTGCACATCTTTTGGTCGCGGGACGAAGGGCAAGTCAATATAAGGAAGCAGAAGGCGAGAGTGCGAGAGACGAGAGACGAGAAACGATCTGAATACATGATGCATATTTAGATTCGTAACGAATTAACCAAAGTACTTGACAAGGAAACGACACACATCATCGTACAGCTCAGGATGCAAGTGAGCAATCATAAACACAAAGAAAATTATAAAGACTCCCGTTTCCAAGACGAAAACTTCTGCAAGCAATTTGAAGAACTGTAAGCGAGCTGGCCATGGGAAACCTTGCCAAGCGCTCTTTATAGACCCATTCTCTTGTGTAAATGCAGCGACTCGAATAAAGATAGCATGTGTTGGAATGACCGCTCCAAAGTAGAGAAACACAATAGTAACCAGTATGTAGATCATGAGTGTGGTTTCCGAGACCTCTAGAACACCTACTAACCTGATAAAGTGGATAGGGAGGTAAAAGCAAGCACTTGAGGCGGCTGTGTAGAGTAAAAATGCTGGAAAGATCTTGGACCCCGTTGTCCATGTAGGAATATGACGATGAAATGGAAGATTTGAAGGCTGCGCAAGAATAGCATGTATGTTGGCTACTTTCAAATTCGAAAGCAGTGAGTCAACCGTGATATTGAGAAGTGCACACTTCAGTAGGCTAGATCCCTTCGTTGGAAATCTAGACATAATGAAAATCTTAACCAGTCGATGGGTTATGTAGATTGGAAGACCGCGAAGATGCTGTCTTAGTGATAGCACATTGTTATTGGGTCTTTGTGTTGCCACTAGTGTTGCAAAGGTATACTCGTGAGTATATATGGCCTATGGATGGTTAGCCTCATTCCAGTAATGTCGTTGATAAGATAACATACTAAAATAAGCCAGATCAAAGCCCCAGTGAGGGCCAGTACCAGGGGCACATTTAATGTTGCTGTTTGCTGACTTTTATCATTGTGAAAAGCCACGACATTAGCTATATCTGATGACATTTCAGAATAATAGATTGATTAAAGCAGGTTGAAGCTGTCGTTTGCCTGAAAACCGATCCGTTCCTGGTACTGTCACAGCTAACCATGTAGACCAGCATTAGCAAGGGAAAAACAAAGCCAGCTGGAGCACCGAAAATTCGAAATATGACTTGAAGCCTCGAGAAATTTTGTTGCACAGAAAAGGGATGAAGGGCCTGCGATACCAGATATCCTTGATGAGAGAAAGGAAGGGGGGTGGTGCTTAGGCGAGGAAACCTACCGATAGTTGCGAAGAATTCCCAATTGCAGAAACACCTGGCTAACCTAAGAACCGAAATTTTGAATTGGAAAATAAGAGAGATCTGAATGGGGACAGGAGCGCAGAAAACAACCAAAAATAACGAGCCATTGGCCGTAGACTTGACAGAGAGAATCTTTCCCTTAGTAGGGGGCTCAGCCCTAGCCGGAGCTTACCCACTCTAAGGTACATAGATGGACATAATATACTGTAGTTCTTGTAGGTCCTAGTAGACGCGCGGCCGTTGGAGGCCGGGAAGTGGATCGCTATAAGCCTTCTTGATATAGCGGGGTGTGGCCTGGTCTCTGTTTCCTGCGCTAAACTGTATGTACGTAGTAGATCCCATTACAAGAAGCGATAGTCACCATTGGGAAAACTAGTTACAGTAGTTCTATGTTCAGGTCCTAAATTATACCAAAACGCACGTGATAACGCCAATCCCTCCGTAGAATGATTGGCTCATGGTTGCTCCTCAAATAGCTGCGGCCGCCGCGCCTCTTGAGGTCCGTGACACGTAGAAAAACCCTCGAATTTAGTCTTGTACTTTTATTAATCTAATAACTATCGTCTACATAGTATTAGTTATATATAGATATAATATTTGAGGTATCAAAGTCCTTATTATTAATGTTTATAATGTATAAATTAATAGAATTAAGAAATTATAGAAGAGATATATATTCTTCACTAACGTTAAAAAGTAGATTCTAAAGAGAAAATTATCTACTTATAAAGATAATCTATAAAATTTATTAGATTTATTAATTATATATATCCTAAAGAGCCTATATATACTGTTAACTTTTTAATTTTACATAGTAGTAGGTAATGGTAGAGGTAGATAGTCATTCGATGGAGGAGATTTTTACATTTGGAAAGTTTTTTACGTGGTCAATGCCACTCGAATATAGTCGGATTACGGCACATTTATCTTCTATCATAATGCAAATTATTCGGATAAACTGGTACAAGCGAGTTTGGCCGAGTGGTTATGGCGTGACGTTTAGGTAATAAACATTACGACCGTCATGGGTACGCCCGCGCGCGTTCGAATCGCGTAGCTCGCATTTTTTGGCTCCCGTTTTTGATTCTGATATGCACTTAAGCTTTCATTTATTTTTTCTAATATTTATAAAATAGTCCTGGAGACCGTTACAGGGACTTGAAACTTGACAAAAACTGGCCTAGTAACTTCCCTTGCAGTTAACAGTGTTATGAAGCGATAGACGAGACTGACTTTTACAAGAGGTGTTCTGATTGAATCAACCAGTATTCCTGTCGTGACCTTTTGCTAATGGGAATTGCCGCGGTCTATAAGGCGGGGAAAGCCATTTTCCATGTACCAACATGGAGAACTCCATGTCGGCAAGACATATGTTTGTATTCTGCTTCGTATATAATTCCCCCATTTCAAAATATTTCTCTTTTCCCTTCTTCACTTCTAAAAAGCATCTCTCTTTTATCATATATGCAGGTAATCAATAGGATCTGGCCCGCACAGTTCATCTCGGGCATCCCCTGAATTTCCGAGCCCTTAAACAAGGGAATGGCATTTTCTGATACTAGCTACGGAACCTCCATCTGACCAACGCCATCGCGCAGGAGAGCGATGCTGGCAGAATCCATCCAGACGGGGAATGAAGAAGCCATTTAACTGGTTCATACAATGGGAGCCCGAAGGCTCTGACACCAGAGGCGCCAGGTCAGTTACTACCAGTTTCCTTGAAGATTGCTCTACAAATGATGGTCTTTATTAACTCCCAGGTCCAGTCACCACCCCTATATTCCGGGCGCAATCACCCTTGTTGCTTCGCTTTGCTCTGCATTTGCCAACAGGACCAGTGGTGATTTGCCCCAGTGTTCCCTTCGCGCTCTGTTACGGCCGATTGGAGTCTGCCCGTATCAAGGCACTTTTCATTTCCATTGCTGTCATACCCTCCGACTCCCCCATGGGCGTCTGCGAACCTGACTCGGTTGACATATAATATCTCAAATCATAAAACTGAGCAATGAGGATGGACACACGTCCCCAAATTCTCCCCTCTGTGGTCAAACTGGACACCATACGGCCTCCTGCTTGAAACTGTTCGCCAAAAACCACCCACACGGCCACACAGCGAGACAGATAATGAGCTAGACCCGAAACCGCCGCTGGCGAAAGATTTCAGTCTTCGGCGTACTGCTGTGGAAAGAACTGCATGGATGAACTACCTGCCTGGAGGTCTTATAACTCTCAGTCTATAACTTCTTCAGCCATTCAAAAGACTTCCAAGAGACGATCCCCTTCTCACCACCAACCCTTCGTGTCCAAAACGGTATATAACGAAGATAGACGGAAGACTTCAACGCACCATCCTCGTGTTCCCTACACAAATACGACTGCCGAAGTCCGCCTTTCAGTTCAAGGTACACAGACATCGTCTCCCGAAATGAAACAAGAATCAAGATGCAGTCATTGTACTTTCCGCGATCTCTGTATCCTCGTCACTTCGACTGGACATAATGGCAGGCCTTCGAATCGTTCCCAAGAAATCTGGACCGCGATTGATACAAAAATACCACGATAAACTTTCGATAGCCCGTGCGCCAGTCTCCCTCAGGCACATTTTGCTTTGCGCGTTTCAACACCATAGAGTGTGTGGGAAACCTGCGACGAGATCTATCTCGAATAGCGTCGTGACAAAGCTATCCGAGACGATCATATCTGGTTGGAACAAGATATAATATTCTACCATGGACCTTGGAATGAACATCCATTACGAAACGGTGACTTGTAGCAGTGGAGATTGTGAAGTCAGCCAGAACTGACTAATGCACAGGACAAAGGACGCGGGAACTTGGCGGATATGCCAGGGAATGAGCATTGCGAGTCCATCGAAACCTGAGACGCCAAAAGGTACCTGTGTCATTGACTGTGAGATGGTGGTACCCAGCTTCTTGTTGGAATAGTTATCAATTTGAAATTTTCATACTGTGAATATAACTCAGTAGAGGCCAATCGATTCTTTTTGGATGCAGTATCCAGGTACAGATTATTCTGCAAAGCGCGCATTGGGCAATAAGATGTATCTACGTATATTCGTGCCCTCATAGACCCATCAACAACCCCGCCAACCCAGGTGCTATCAAGCTTCATTGCGCAACATCAAGCGCAGTGGAAGCTTGCCGCAAGGGTTGACAGGCCCTGTAGACGAGGATGGCACGTTCAAGAAGTACAACCGCAAGGCGCACATGGCTTAGGCCAGGGGAGCATGAAAGTTTGGGAACTTTATTCCGTAGGAGTCGCATGCTTATGTATCTTGCATTGTCATTGGAAGACAAAGACGGGTTTACTGATTGTGCGACGTTGAAGAGCGATCGGGTATCGCATCGTTGCACGGCGTGTCTGGGAATCGAGAATGGTGAGTATTGATTGGTGCTTGATGGCATTTATTGGCATTTTCTTTGTGGCGGGTATTGGATTGAGATTGGTACGCATCGGGTGATGGGATAGTAGGTGCAGTGGATGAAAAGGTTGATAAAGTTCATCATCAGCCAAGACTGAGTGGCTATTAGTACCTAAATCATAGGTCTGCAGTCAGATAAACAGAGTCATAGAGGTAAGAAACAAAGTCAACCCTTTTTCGAAAAGCACTATCGTCATAAAATCACATCCGCGGAAGAAAAAGGTGGAAAAAAGATGTAGAGTAAGGAAAGACCGGAGAACGCCGCGCTGACTGCAAGAGATTTGCAGTGTACAATTTGAAAAGAGAAATCAAGATAATGACTCGCAGTAAGAAAGCACTCAGTCTGTTTCGTCAATCATTAATTAGTATGTTTTCGGAAGTTCCGAGGAACTCAGCTTATCTTGACCTTTGCGGCCCTGCATTGATAGCAGAGGAGCCAGGTCGAGAGTAATCCCATTTTAACTCCAAGTCAAAGCTGACCGGGGAGTATTATTAACCAAGAAAGACTATCTGATATCAGCAGGACGATCTCATGGCTTAATCCCCCAACCAAAGTTTTTCTTACCTTCCCATCCCCATTCTCCCATGATATTAACCCAATGCAATCTGCTTCGAATAGTCCTCTCGAACTCAATGTTCTCCAGTGACGAGAGAGCAGATCCCCTCCTTGACTGACCGGTCTTACTTGCAGTAGATACCGACTGTCTTCGCATGGATCTATCAGAGTGATCACCCGAATTGACGCGCCCATGGAAGCTTCTCCCATTATTGGCTGATCGTTGCAACGGAGAAGTGATCTTGCCCTTGTTCTCGCTTGAAAAAGAGCCAGCTCGCCGAGAAGCAAACATCTCTTGCTGTTGCTGCTCCCGCTGTTCAGCCTTGAGCTTATCCCGCCGAGCCCATACCTCTCGAATAACATCCAGGCAGCGATCGACACCGCCAATCATAAGGCGCGACTGGACAACTGCCCATCGTTCCAGAACCCACTTGCGGTCATCATCCGAGTCCACCTCGGCACCGGCAGCTAGGAGAGGGAACATCTGGATAATGGTAGTGCGCGAGGTAGGCGGCACGGTAGCCAACAAGATCAAAACACGCTTGGCAAGTTCTTCAGCCGGCTCAGATGGCAACTCTGGGACTGCTTGATGCAGATACAGCAGGGTTGCCCAGCGATATGCATGCGCCATTTGGATGCTGTGCTGCACTTCCGATGTAGGATCCTCTGGTGGTTCGAACCAAAGTGGAGGCTCCCACTGCTCCAGAAGAGCCTTGAGCTCCATAGCTTGAGAGACGATGGATACCGAGTTTGTGGAGGTCTTTCGAATTCGTTGGACTAGCCTTCCAACCTTGCCAATCAGCGGGAATAGCGTAGCGGCACACCCCATCAACGGGTCAATCTCATGCACTGCGTCAGTTGGTAACTGGAAGATAGAAGGGTTCAAATCCTGAGGACCGGACTCATCGAGCGACGTCAATCGCGCAATAACATCCATGTAGGTCCACGTATTATATAGAAATCGGATGCGATCCAGCTCTTCTGGTTGGAGACCACCCTGGAGACCAGCATTCAGAACCTGCAACATCAAGGCTTTGGCACCTCGCAAATGCTGGATGCACGTGCGAGTGTTCTGATCCCAAGTATCAGCAAATGCCAAAGCGAGGCTAGTTGCCAGCGCCGTATCCGCTCTCATACTCTGGATCTGCTGCCTCAGACAAACGATGCTCTGTCGCATGTGCTTTACACCTTGGACGCGCATTGACGGGTTCTCCTTGGCAGCGTGAAAGGCAGATAAGGAGAGGATAGCATGGTGTAAAGCGGGGGTGCTCTTTGCGAGCGGCCAGATAAGAGTTCGCCATGGATTTTCCATCATACCATCTTTGATAGATAGAATACCACAAGTCAGTTTATCGAACCGCATTGTCAGCATTTCTTGACTTCCCGGTGCCAGGGTAGGCTGGTCGGGGAGTCGTGACAGATTAAAGGGACTGTCAGAGAAGCCCATGCTCCAAGGTCCTGCACCGGGGTCAGACTGTCGGATAATCTCCTCAATATCCTCACTGTCATCCTCCAGCAGCCGGGAGAAACTGAGCTCGTCATTTCCAGTGCCAGGTGCAGGTTGAAATTCTTGAGGGTCAAAGAGGATTGGTCCCGAGCGGTTCATGCCTTGGTCCGGCGCCAAGTCATCCGTGAAGGGCACCGAGTGTTGAAACGGTTCCAGAAAAGAAAGAAAGTCCAATGGATCAGAGTCTACCGGCATCGAGACACCGCCAATCGGGGTGTTCTCCTCGCCCGTGGATCCTTCATCTTTGAGAGTACCAAACTCATCTACTGAATGGGCATCTGCAGACAAGTAGCTCTTGATACTTCGAGGTGAGCTATGCAAGGATGATTCTGGTGGTGAATTGTTGAAGACAATAGACTGTGGAATAATGGGCGAGGCTGGTTGATCGGTCGTCGGGGGTGTGGGAAAGGTTTCCGGATCTGCGACCGAAACGGGATGTTGGGAAGCAGTGTTCGCTAGCGGTATATCATGTCAGTGCACAAAGAACGTATCGATATATCGAGATTTCACCATCATTCCATCCGATACCTTTCTTACCCTTGGTCACGGTCGGTCGTCCAACCGCCACGTTGGTCTCCTCGAAGGGCCGCCATTTGAAATCCTTCTTGTATCCGCCACAGGGAACCTTTCGCCGATGGCACTGGTGACAAGTCGGTTTGGTCTCGTCGCACTTTAACCGCTTTGCCTTGCAGGTGATGCAACCTGGGCGTAGCGGATAGAGATCGGGTCAGCGATTCTGCGCAGACAACTTGGGGAGGTCCACCCGCTGTGAGGTGGCCTCTAGGCCACCCTATGGGTGGGTAAATGTATTCATTCAATTCTTTTCATTCACGGTGAGATAGCATGTCCATCCAGAGACGAGATCGTACCATTGCGACTCTTGGTCTGCTTGGGCTTGTTGGAGGCGGTGGTAATCTGCTTCGTCCGTTTCGGAGGCGAAGCAGGCTTTCCCCGCGTGGACACCGGGAGGGGGTCGGGCGAGTCTAGAATCGTAGAGGGAGATGGGATTTTGATCGTGTCCATGCCAAGGCGATATTGGGTGAATCCGGGAGAAGATAGTAGGAGAGATGATAGAGGAGTATGAATGAATGGGTATCCGAACAAAGACCTAAGGTAGCGGCCCTTGAGAAGAGGGAGGGGAGAGGTTAAAAAGGCCGAAGATAAGACGGCGAGAACAGCGAATGATGGGTGATCTGAATCGTTGATAGGATGATAGGATGATAGGGAAGCGACCAGCCGGTACGGGGGTGGACTGGGATGATAAGGCGCATCTGCGGGGGAAAGTTTTGGGTTTTGGTCTGCCGTTTGCCGTGGTGCCGATCTTTGGAGAACCCCTGCTGGCCTGAGGGGTCAACTTGGTATCAGGTCTACCGTTGATAAGTTCATGAGCCAAGGCTATTATAGTAAGTTGTGGATAGGCCAGAGGATGATTGTTGAACGGTGGAAGTAGTTGCCAAGACTTGGCTATCATCTCCCGTTTATCAACCAGCAAGGCGAATCGGTACTGGTGATGTGTTCGAGCGGAGACCGCTTGCTCGTGCGGGGGAAGAGATGTACAGCACTCCGTACGTTGTACAACTCGGAATCCTTCCACTGGCAGTTGATCGGAAAAGAGGCCCGTGCCCGTGTTCTTAGGGGCTGGAACACTCCCGAAATGACCAGTTTTCTGTCCTCGTGACCGGCAAGACTCCCTCTGAAATCCGAAATTCTAGATTGGATCCCAGCCAAGTCAAACTTTTAGCCGAGCAAGCCTCTTCACTGCCGACATCCAGAGCCCATTGGCAAGGATTCCGTCCACTTTCCATCGAATCAACCCTGAAGGGTCCAGAGTGGGCAGATATGCCAGATCTTCGGTCGACGTGCGGGGAAATCCACCGAGTCATCCGAGCCTAAACCCTAAAATCCCGGATCTTATATATTTAAACCCGATAGCTCTGGAATACTTTTATTCTTGTTTATTGAATACCATAAAAAAGAAAAAGAAAAGAGCTAAAAGAAATAATAATAGGTTAACGGACTACTATTAAAGACCTCTAATTCATTAAGACTAATCACTGAAAGTAGGCATTGAACAACCATTCTTATACAAATCAGGGCGTCTGCCCTTGGCATCATTGATACGTATGGACCCAGTCAATCAGAACCTCGAGAATTCGACGTCCTTTCAAGGACCACAAACTTGATTAAGAAGATAAATGAATCTCATGGACAGCCTTGGCCCTCTTGTACAGCGTGTGCATGGCATTGAAGCCAACGTATCCATCAAAATGCTACACATTGAAAGCCAGCTGACGATGAATACTCGCCTCGAAGAAGACTCCCTACGGACTCTTAGTACAAAAAGGAAAAGTGTTCTCGGGGGCATCTCTGTGCAATGACGAGCACAGATTGTAACAAAACCGTATTGCATATCGGGACCATCTATAGAACTCTCTGCACGGGACCAGCCCACCCAGAACCCAGACTTTTAACACCATCCTCCCCTACCTCCGGGACGGTGGCGGCGGGAAAGTTGCTGACCACTGTGGGGTGATCACCCGGCCGTCCCTAGTGACAATTTGGGGCAAGGCGGCTTCCCTAACTTGAGCCGCGGTAGGGAACGGAGTTCCCTCCCTTTCACCCTCCATCTGCACGTCACCTGTGCAGATGGCTGGCGCGACGCTTGACGAGGCCATTGCGACAGGGACGGCAGGGACGTCAGGGACGGCAGCGAGGAGGGGAGGGAGGACAGGAAGCGCAGGGAGGGAAGGAAGCGCAGGGTTGAAAGCAGGAACATGAGCGGCAGGAACGGTGGCAGCAGCAGCAGGCATCGGCTCGGCGGCGGCGGGGATGATTGGCACGCTAGGCGGAACATAGCAGATGTTACCAACCTTACTGCCTAGAAGTGTGGCCAGCTCGCAAAGGAGGTCGCACCACGCCTGGTTGGTGAGTGGATGGCATGCCATCGCCCCTGTGACGAGGGGACGATTACAGAGGGCATCCACCAGGAAGCGGTCGTAGTCGCCAAGGGAAGCTGATGCGACGAAGAGGGAGATTCAATGTCAGCCCAGCTCAGGTGGTTCCAGGGTATCATCACTTACCAGGCGAGTCGGAACCAGCCCAGTGCAGACCGAGGAAGACGAAGTCCCGCATCAGGACTATGCGCAGGTACCAAGGCGTGTCAGAGAAAGGGTCAACGACGCAGGCCACGTGCCCCTCGAGCTCGGAGAGATACCACGCCACCACAGCAATCGACTTGTCGTACATGGGGCCCAGCCCCAGAACACGAGAGAAAACGTCAATCTGCCCCCATTGACGAAAGCCCACCTTGCTGTATCCGCCGACCAGCAGCTGGATGTCGGACCGGGAGAACGCAGGGACGAAAGGAGCGTTGGACATGCCGATTGATATTGGAAAAAAGAGGAGAAAAAAAGGGCATCGTGAATAGGTGCGGTAGTATTTATGTGCGAATGCTCTCCTCGAGAAGGGACAGGAGGAGAGGAAAACAGTTGGGTGCCTCTGGTTATTGGCAGGCTGCTTCGAGGTGGGAGACTGCCTGGATAGGCAGAGGAAGATGGAGGCAGGCATGGAAACAGGTTGGTGCCTCTGGGGATTGGTAGGCTGGAAAGACCCAGCGTTACCTTGGAAGGCAGATATTGTCGTGATACGCAGAGGCCTAGGACCTCGTCTGATATTTATATCCCTCCATACACCAGTCCCATGACGCCTTTTTCTCCCTCTTCCAGATCCTCATACTTCGTTCACGATGTCCGCCTCCACCATCCCCAGCTTCGCCGCTCGGGATATCCAACAGCTGGTCAGTGGATATGCCCAAGACAACCTCCAGCAATGGGGGCATGTTGGCCTGTTCGAGTACGTTCTAGGGCAGGACCCTTATATAAACGCCATTCACTGGGCAATCGATGAGCTTGCGGCGCAGCTGGTCTGCGTTATCAACGCCAATTCCACGGCGCCAATGATCCTGCGGATCATCGTGACGCCCGATTTCCTCTGGGCGGGCATTCACGCTGTCCCCCTCCGTGTGGCGAGTAAGTCTACCCCCTCCCACGTTTCTCATCTTATCTGTCAAGTATACAAAGAGGACAAAACTGACCCTGTCTTTGCTCTGCTAGTCCCACTGGAAGTATACGCCCGGTTCCTGGAAGACGCCCTCCTCCAGTCACCCCTAACTTCGGGGGTGCTGGCAATCCGCAGCCTCAACTTCCAAGAAGAGTGGATGGCCGTCCAGAACGCCTTGTTTGGGCACCTCGGGCCCCCCGAGGGTTCTCCCGCCGCGATAATCGCCGAGGGCGGCATCCCTCCGGCCTGCCGCGACGTCCCGGATAGCTACATGATCACCATACAAGTTCCGTCCCTGCCCCCGCTGCCGCCTAACAATGACCCCCATTATGGGGGTACCGTGCGAGTAACCGGTCGAGATGGATTGGAGGTACCCCGGAAGAACTGGAGGTACTAGTGGAGGAGAGAGGAGGAGGAAGGGGAAGGAGGGAGGGAGAAGTCCTCGCTGTTTGTCTTTTCTTTTTGTTTTCTTTTTTTCTTGAAGATAGACCTTGCGATATTACCTGTACAAAGTCTTCGTTTCTTATGCTGTTCATAGGAAATGCGAACTTTGACGGGTTATCTCGTGGTTTATTTCGTGAAGTTGTGACGTTTTTCACCCAATGGATTTTCAATCCGGTGGGGTTTTTTCGATCTTGCAACTTTCATGCCCATGCCTTTGGTGCAATCTTTTTACTACTTGATGACTCGACCCTACTGACCTCGACTACTCGGTCGTTTAGTTATGCGTCCTCCCGTTTACATCTACTTCCTATCTGGTCCTGGAGGCTTTAAGACTTATTTCCGGGAAGCTCACGTATACCGAGTGGCGCATGGCAGCGATTATGGGAACAATTCCTGTAGTTTCCAGCTTCTCTGATTTTATCGGTATTCCTAGCCTCGGCTTGCCCTGGGAAGGAGCACTTTAGCTGGCTTGGGTACTTAAACCGATTTAGCAGGTCACTGGAAGCGTCGAAGCGTCTTTACCTTAATGATGCGTAGAAGCTCCCAATTCAGGTATCTAGTCGCCGGAGGCTAGAGCAATACTAGACTTTCCGATCAGATCAGAATGCGAAGGGTTCGCGGTTCCAATTTCAGAAAACCACAACTTGAGGCGCCACCCCGCTCCCGCCTCCCTAATATGTGGTCGAGGGCCAACTTCTACTCCTAAAGTTCAACCATGATTCCAAGTTCGCAGTTCAGAACAACCACATTCGAAAACTCCGGTTCTACTTATTCTAATAGACTTAACTCCTGAGGGCTCCGCGAATCCTCATGAATTGTCCACTCCATTTTCGTCCATCCATTGAAATGCTCAGACATCAGCATCGAGGCGTTTGTTGGATTCTGTCTGATGCTCAGACTAGCTGTATAAGATAAATTGAAATCACGTAAAAAAGGCATAAAAAATGTTCTGGAGCCTCCCTGCGCGTGCCCCTTGTTATTTCGATTTCAAAAGCAATAGTGCTGAATGATTATAGTACCCATTGGAACTACGCCCTTCCACTATCCGGTCCAGGAGACGAGGCGGTTACCTCTGATGAAGTCTCTGAACTGAGCTTGAACCCATGTCCATACCGTTGTCTGAATTCTGCTGTCATTTCGCGCTCGACAGTGTCATCCTGACTTGGCGAAGGCTCATCTGCGTTCTTTTTCAAATTCGGCACTTCGGGTCTCAGGTGGCTTAAATTGAAAGTCACAATATCCCGCGATAGCTGCTGAATGGATTCATCGCTCATGTAGCCTCCCACCTGCCTCGTTCTCCAACCAGTCGCACGATTCTTTCCGTGGAGGACCTTTCCGTTGGCGGAAACCATGAACTGAAGAGCGTCACCCGAGCCATGATTTTCAATAACACTCACTTTGGTCTTCCAGTGATCGTCGGCTTTAGAGCAGATGCTCAAGCACTGCCGAGCGGTCTCCCACTCGTCGCGCAGCCTTTCCAGATCTCGAGACTCTTCCTCGGACGAGACGGCCTTCTTCGATTTTGCAAGCAGCCGTTCCATCACTTCCTGCATGTGCTTTTCCAGCTTAGCAGTTGTTACGGCCAAGCTGCTTTTGCATTCCTCGAGTCCTTGGCTAGTTACACCTTCCGGCGAAGTACCTACACCACTAGAGGCAGTCGAGGCGCTAAGTCGGTCCGAATCGATGCGGATATGTCTTATGTGATCAGAAAGCTGGGCACAGATCTGGAGGCATTTTTCGGTGCTTAGACGTTCCACTTGTAGCGACCGCAGCTCAGTAGCATCTGGATCAGACGGTGCTAGCTCTTTCCCAATTACACTTGCAAGCTTTGAGTCAATACTCTCTAGCCGAGCCTCGAGGTCCTCCTTGGTATCTTGTATAAGTTCTTTGTACTCCCTGAGATCTTCGGCAGTCGCCGAGGATTGACGTCTAATAATGATTCAATTAGCCATAACGAACGGTAGCAGAAATATGAGATAGCCACAGTTCACATCATAGTATAGGATCCACCTTCATACTTACAGAGTTATGTCAGTGAGAGCAATATTAATAGTGGCTTTGTACCCTGCCAGCAGGTTTCGGAAACCATCGATATCGTCCCCCATATATTTCAGGTTGGCCCAGCCACGAAAGCTCGTTCGACTGCCACCCGAGCGTGATGAGCATTGAAGAAGAACTTCTTCAAACTCTTGACAAGTATTGCCACAGCGCAGGAGAGGCAGCTCCAAAGACGAGATATTTATGTGTGAGTTTTCTTGGATCAAAGCGACAAGCGAAGAAAGCACGGCACTGAGTGCCTCAAGTTCCTCCAATAGGTCGCGTACACGCTTTTGGCGAGACTGAAAGCTTTTGAAGGTCTCATAGAGCGAAACGCTACACTGGAATGCAAACGTTGTCAAGGCGAGCAGGCCAGAGGCCAAGCCGATCGGTTCAGCCATTGTCAAACAGATGAGAAGATGCTTGCTTTGAAGATTGTGACGGGAGAATGAAGGTCTTTATATCTCAAGACCATAAATCGTAGGGTTTTTTGAAACCAAGGCCACTTATGAGGGGACCCCAGTATAAGCGCCTGACTGATGATGACCAGACGTGGGCCCGGCGGCTGGCGAAACAATAACGAGGGGACGGGCGGTCAGGCTCCATCCCGCCTTTGAAGGGTTTTCCCAACCAAATAATCTTCCGTTACCATCCAATTATTAGCCGCTTTAAATACCGTGCCGGTAACAACACGCAGCTGCGCACAAACTTAGTCAATCCCCATATTAAGCTTGCCACAAAGCAATGGCCGATGCATTCGAAACAATGGTAGACCACTGATCGTGTTAAGATGCCCTTTTGCACGTCCTTCCTGTTCCCAGGATAGCGCTTCGTCAACCATTCCTGGCAATACCTTGCGGGGCTAAGCACAGCGGCTCATCCCCCCACACGATTGGCTCTCGAGGATTCCGGGTATTAATTGGGCGCTTGGGTCTAATATATTAATTTACCTAGTCGATTTGTCTACACTCGGCGTTTTCTTATTCTGAATCCCGAGTAGGTCCTCGACCACACGATAGTGAGGAGCTTGTGGTCCTTCAGAAGGCTGATTAGAAACGAGTATTTGGCGGTCTGAAATTGCGGTGACTGGTTCGTCTCCAGGAAACAAACAAGCCAGAGCTGAAGCAAGGTTAGCAGAGCCACCCTGCCTTCAACGTCATCCACGTGCCGGTCAAGAGAGATTTCTTCAAAAGTGACTTCTAACAACTGAACCATACACTTTCCATTCTAACTCCACTGATTGCTGAAGAAGGTTCTTTTGATCGTCTGGTGTCTTGAGGTAGGTAATATCTCTCTCTTGGCTTTCGCAGGTGGGCCCAAGCACATCGCATCGTGGAAAAGGAAAATCAATGTTAGAATCCGACCTAGCACAGACAATAGCCTTAAAGTACTCTGTCTCTATTTACTTGTGTGCAAAGGGACTTTATGCACTATCACCCTAAAGTCCGACAATACCTATGTAGATTCCTCTGTAGGTTTGGTGGTTCTTTCTAGGACTAACGCTTTGTTCTTCGTCTTATAGACCTATTCAGGTCTTTCTCTTCTTCTTTTCCTTCTTCTCTAGATTATCTTCGTCACCTAGTCTAGATAGAGACATTGACTCAGATTCTCCCTTTCCTGCTTCCTTGCGTAGGTGTCGATGACACCATCACTACTAGAGGTCTTAATCCAGGGAGTAGAGTAAGATGCAGTTGTAGAGGCAAAGAGTGGAGCAGGAAATATGCTTATAGTCCGGGGGTAGGTACGGGACCTCGGCCGGAGATTTCTTAGTCATCTCTAATGCTGACCCACTGGGCTTGATTTGATCTATCAATAGTGATGACTGGGAATCACTGGAAGGGTCTATCGGAGTATGTGCATCATCCGATAATTTCTCAGAATGATCATGATCCATGAATGTCAAACATTATACTTCTTCAACTCCCGCAGTAGCCGTTCTCGCCGCAAATCCCGACCATTCAGAAACCAGAGCTCTCAGGGCCTGTGCTTAGTCAAGTAGCGGTTATCGGAGGCGTGGGGAACAACCCCAGAGTGTCGCACGGCCCGAGGTTGAGCGTGGCGCCGTGCAGTAAACACCCCCCATCTTTTAAAACTAGTCCTCCTTCTCCTCTTTCCAACTTGGCCTTCTCAGCTTCGCCGAATTCAATCCCTCACACAATGTTTCGTTCGATTCCGCGACGACTCCCGCGGCAGCTCCCCCTTGCAACTGCCCCGAAACGCCTTGCCCTGCGCTCCTTCACGTGCGGTTACCCTCGGATGTCATCACCGCCCGCCGTACACCCGCCCGTGTCGACGACACTGCCCTCCGACGCATACCAGCTACTGTCTACGGCAGACAAGGCCGGTCCTGCGGAAGATGCGCTGTATGAACAGCAGGTGCGCGATGTGGAAGCTTGGTGGAGCTCGCCTCGCTACAAGGGTATCAAGCGGCCTTATTCTGCCGAGGATGTCGTGAGCAAGCGTGGCTCCCTCCAGCAGACATATCCCAGCTCGCTGATGGCGCGCAAATTGTTCAATTTGTTGAATGAGCGGGCGGCAGCTGGAGAGCCGGTCCATACAAGTGAGTTTTTTTACTCCGAGAGTCTCCCCGGGCCAGGCTAACAGTTGTATCGCGACTAGTGGGCGCCATTGACCCCGTCCAGATGACCCAGCAAGCTCCTAACCAGGAGATTCTCTACATTTCTGGCTGGGCATGCTCATCGCTATTGACCACTACCAACGAGGTTTCCCCGGATTTCGGAGACTACCCTTACAACACGGTGCCGAACCAGGTGCAGCGCCTGTTCAAGGCGCAGCAGATGCACGACCGGAAGCAGTGGGATGCGCGACGAAAGCTGACCCCCGAGCAGCGCAAGGATACTCCCTACGTGGATTATATGCGTCCAATTGTTGCGGATGGTGATACTGGGTGAGTTCTTTTCTCAGCAATGAAACGTGTTGCAACTCTAACTCGGTAAATCGCAGACACGGTGGTTTGTCAGCAGTCCTGAAGCTGGCCAAGCTCTTCGCTGAAAATGGCGCCGCTGCTGTGCATTTCGAGGACCAGCTTCATGGTGGTAAGAAGTGCGGCCATTTGGCTGGCAAGGTGCTCGTTCCGATGGGAGAGCACATCAACCGCCTGGTGGCTGCGCGCTTCCAGTGGGATTTGATGGGCTGTGAGAACCTGGTCATTGCTCGTACCGACTCGGAAAGTGGCAAGCTGATCAGCAGCGCCATCGATGTACGCGATCACGAGTTCATCCTCGGTGTTGCGGAGGAGGTGGAGCCTCTGGCCGAGACTCTGCAGGCCATGGAGCGGGAAGGTGCCTCGCCCGCTGAGATTGATGCTTTCGAGGTAAACTGGGTCAAGCAGCACAAGCTTGTTACTTTTGATGAGGGTACGTCAACAAAATTTCCCTGTCTATAGCCTCAACTAATATTTTCTAGCCGTCGACGCCCACCTCGAAGCCGAGGGTGCCTCCCAGTCCGCCCGGGACGCCTACAAATCTCACGTCCAGAAGAACCCCGACCTCTCCATCTCCCGCCGTCGCGTCCTGTCCAACGACTACACCAAGTCTCCCGTCGTCTGGTCGTGCGACAGCCCCCGCACTCGTGAAGGATACTACCACTACCGCGCCGGCTTCCCCGCAGCCACTAAGCGCGCCAAGGAGTTCGCCCCATACGCCGATCTCCTCTGGGTTGAGACCGGCGACCCCAACGTCGAGAAGGCAGGCAATCTCGCCGCCGACGTGCGCGCCGCTTTCCCAGGAAAGAAGCTGGTGTACAACCTTAGCCCGTCATTCAACTGGATGGGCCAGGGCTTCGACGAAGCTTCACTGAAGTCCTTCATCTGGGATCTTGCCAAACATGGGTAAGCACGATCACTCAACCTTAAACTCAATTGTGTAACTGACAAATATAGATTCGTCCTGCAACTGATCTCCCTAGCTGGCCTCCACACCAACGCCACCATCACGACGGAACTCTCGCGCGCATTCAAGGATGAGGGTATGCTTGCATACGTGCGCTTGGTCCAGTCTCGCGAGAAGGAGATGGGCGTCGATGTCCTCACTCACCAGAAGTGGAGTGGTGCCCCCTATATCGACGGTATCCTCGGTGCTATCCAGAGTGGAAGCAGCAGCAGCAAGAGTATGGGTGAGGGTAACACGGAGAAGGGTGAGTTTTTCTTCTAATTTCTGGCAGTTACGGTGTAAGAAGCTAATCTTGTGTTGTCTAGGTTTCTAAATTGCGATTTGATAAAATTCCTGTAATGATTTGCGTTATACTATAGATGAGCTTGCATGCAAAATGATCATATCTTCAGTCTGTAATCATCTTCCTTCAACCGTGCCGCTGTCTTATGCCATGATCAGTAGGGATGTCGAGATAATTCCCTTTCATCTGAACACCGAACTTTGATACGAAAGACCTAGTAACTCGTCAAGTCAAGATTCTACGCTTGCAGTGCACTCAGTAGGGCGAAAGGAAACCCGCTACGTCGCACGAACTTGGGGACCTGCCACTGATGATCGTGACTCCTAATATTGTTGCTCTACTTATTCAAACACAAAACTAGGTATTTCATATTGCACAATATTCTCTCCAATCAAGCAAGCAAGCGCTGTACATTTGTTTCTACTTAGCTTACAGGATAGATTAACATAAGCCCTCCCTGAGATGACATGAGCTTCCACGTCGAACCAGCATACATTCTCAAAGAGCCACCATAAGGGAACCCGTGACAGCAGCCACAACGAAAGAGGTTATCGCAAACCAGCCATTCACATAGACAGCAGCGGGGCTAACCATATGAGAAGCAGCTCCCTTAGAGGTAGAAGTGCTAGCAGCACCTCCACCCGAAGAAACAGTGCCCGTTCCAGCACTACCACCAGCCTGACTAACAAGGGACTTGCAAGTTCCCGAAGCAGACTGCGCGGACTGAACCTTCGCGGCACCGTTGAAGTTACACGCCGACTTGTCGCTGTTCTGACTCTTGTAGTAAGCGTTGAACGCAACGGAGAGTTGATCCTTGCTGCTGCAGACACTGTAGGCACCGTATGTTCCGGTCGTAGCGTTGTGAGCGATACCATCGCAGATGTTCGCGCCATACCCACAGACTTCTCCGAAAAGGGTGGCGTAGTCCTTCGAGTCTACGGAGTCACTGACGACGCAGGACAGAGTATCCACGACGCAGGAGCAGAGTTGACTGTCCGGGGTTGGTGGGAGGGGGCTGGATTTCGCCAGCCAGTTCTCGCCGTCCACGGTGGGGCATGCGCGGGGGGAGTTGGTAGGGGTGTAACTAGCGCTGTTGGTTCCGGTGGCGGTTGCGCTCTGGATTTCCTTGGAGTAGTAGCTGAAATCGACTTCGGTGGAGACGGAGCTGCCGCTGACAGACACGAGGCCGTAGTCATTGTCCGTCTCGAAATACATGTAGACGATACCGCCGCTCCAGACGTCGTTCATCTGGGGACCGAAGAGGACGGGGACATCGGTGAATTTGCGAGGCTTCACGGTGTTGCAGCCGTACTCGGAGAAGAAGACGGGGATGGAGTAGTTGCTGTATTCGTTGGTGCGGTCTTCGTATCCGGAGGACTGGTAAGTCTGGTCTCCGCACCACTCGTAGATGTTGTAACCAAAGAAGTCAATTGCATTTGACTGGTCCCCGCAGTTGAGATAGTTTGACAGCGAGGTCCGGATATCTGACTGGTCGGTTGTGGCATAGCCAATGGAGAGTGTGTCGCGATATCCTTTGCTCTTGATGTAGGACTTCATATCTCTAGCCGCGGCCTTGACGAAGGCTGCGGCATCCGTCTGGTTGGGGGTGTTGACAACCTCGTTACCCGCAAAGAAGCCAATCACGTTATCATACTTCTGGAAGGTATCGATCACGCTGGTGTACCGCTCGTACTGGTCGACCGTCCAGACGGGATCGTTGGCATCAATCGATACATCAGGCGATGCCAGATCGGTGATGACATAGATGCCTGCATCAGCCAGCTGCTGCATACAGTCGTCATGGTCCTTGGTGGGATCAACCGCGTAGGTTCGGATAACGTTCGTGCGCAGCTGGGTCAGGTAAGGAATATCGCGCGAGCAGCTGGTGGCATCGGCGAGGGGATCGGTGTAACCCGTAGTGCTGGCCTCGCCAGTACCATTGGATCCTCCACCATTGTAGTTCTCTGCGTATTCTGTTAGTGTCGAGGATGGGAAGGTCGGTGTGCAATTGATTTACCCTGATAGGCAATGCCTCGAATGTAACTAGTCTCCGAGTTAATAATGAGGTCATTCAGTAGAAGCGGGGAGATTCTAACAATTCAGTTCCATTGTTGGCGTAGAAGAACTTGGAACCCTGTAGGACAATGTGATTAGCGACCGATTCTCCTTCGCGGAGAGTCCGGGTACCTACCTTAATGACAACATTCGGGGTAGTAGCAAGAGCCCCTCGGGCTAGCAGGGAAGCTGCCGCAAAAACAGTCCACTTCATAGTGAAATAACGAGTGTGAGGGGAAGTGGTGCAGTGGAAAGCGAGCGAAAGTGCGGAGAAAAGACGCGAAGAACAGGAGGAAATTCAGGGAGACACAGCCTTGTTTAAAGCGCGAGGCAACAACCCAAACGGATACAACGCGATGGATCATGGCACACCGTGGCCTCCGTAAGCGAAAGCCATGTTTAGGTCAGTCCAATAATTGTCTCACTCTATCGCCTCTTCATTATTGGAAGCAACCGGAAGCGACGGCTCGAGCGTCCAGTCTATGAGGAAGAACTGCCCAAGTGGGGCGCCGCTTACACCCTGAACACCCTGACTGGAGGGTCTGCTCGAATGAGGCTAGCGGTGGTTGCTATTTATTGATTAGCGTGCCTAACCAGGTAATTAGAAAGAGCTTAGCCTTGTTAGGTCCACTACGATTGAGGGGCTCACGATTCAAACGGCTTTGGCTTACGCAAGTCCATTCCTGCACTACTAGTACTATAGAGAGGAAATTGATTCATTTGTTAAATATACCAGATTGAGTTTAGTCTAGTCATATATATGCCTGAGGGCACATTAAATCATTCATAGCATTATTGAGGTATATCCATACTGCTAACTATGTGTAGTTGCCCAATTATGTCGGTAGACCTGAGAACTCAGGAAATGGTTCCATGAAGGATAACATCCCCCTGTAGTATCATTTAAGACATAGGGTCTATGCTCATTTATATACGCATGAGTATGTGAGTAAGCCGCATTTAGGGTAAAGTCGGCACTTACCATTAGCACATTGGCAGTAGGCTCCAGTAATACCGCAGCCAGCGTCAGAGTCCTTACTGAAATTGCATATCCCATCCCCACTCGGCAATTTTCTGCAACCATTCCTGATAAGTGGTAGGATCAGTGGAAAAGATAGTGTATTCGGTGACCTCAATATTTGGCTCTGGGTTGGTACCTCCAGATGCTGTGTCGATGTTGACACTTTCACGAGAAATGCGCATTGAATTCGAGCAGACGTTTACGTTCACGTGCAAGTATTCGGGAAAAGTGACACTCCCCTTCATAGACGTACCGTCTAACAGATGGAGGAAGACCTTCTGAATCATGAGCGAACGCATTTTGATTTATATTGAACATTTTGTATGATATCTTTAGGGGAAGTGCTACGATAGATCCCAAAATTTACCTAAAAATGTAATCTCATCGTAGCGAAGCATAGACACTGATTATAATGTGTTCAATGTTAGGGGACATCTAACTTTCACCTTTCCATGTTTCACCAGCAGGGCGCGACGGGGAGTAGCTGTACCAATGACGGAGTGATTTACATTTTGTATATTTGGTCATTCCGATGCTTTCGAAGCAGTCCAGCGTTTTTGCAGAGGTATATTTTAAGCACATATCATTACAAGGGAACACCAATAAGTACGGAGCGCAGCGGATTTCTATTAAATTCGCATACAATCAATTACTACATATAGAGATTATCTATTAAACAAGGGGGGAGAACCCCCCTCGGACCCCCCCCACCTATATATCGGATTTCCTATGCCACGTCTTGGCTCATCCATTCCGGATTGGTGCTCAGCCCCTCGCTCCATTGGCTCACTGAGTTACTTACTGAACATGTCTGATACACTCGCTGGGCGCTCTGATTTGCTCACTGAGCACAACCCGAGCGTAAGCTACCTCAAAAAAACGCAACACGCTAGCCCTATCCACGTGAAATCCTCGTTCTTCAGATTACCCCCACTACCCTATCAAAAAAAAACAGGATTAGAATTAACAACCTTAAGATTATTTTGGTACACTTCCAACTACTTATCGCATCTTAATAGGCCCTAATAATTAATCTCCCAATCTATTCATCAATTAAACTATATACTCCTAGGGACCCTTATCTACTAGCTCTGCGGTCTCCCTGACACGCACATGGAGAGCACTAGTCTTAGAGTAATTACCCGAATCACTACACCATTCCTTGGGGCCTATTAGAATCTACACAATTTTGTGGATACCTAAAAGCTATCTTCAGTGATTCGCTTATTATATCATTTTTTGATCCCTAGGAACTCAAAAAAGTAAGTATTACCTCGTACCTGAATTGATTAAAAATTCAAGATTGATAACCAGAATTCATATAAATAACTGTCGAATTAACACCTAAACTCACCACCTAACCCGGCCACTCTAATATCGATGGTTAGTTCTGGAGATCGATTCAAGCAGTAGATTGAGAGGTTCGTTTCGCAGTGGTAACTACACTTGGACAGGTTTAGACGCTGATGGTACTTTTATGTCATAGCTAGTGAAATAAAACAGGGTGGGGCAGCTATGGAAATCATCGAATATATGTCTGAAGGGACTTAAGTGGCTCAATGACTTAGAGGCATTGCCTACTTGCTAACGTTTACAGATTACTAGTTACGTTCAAACTAAAGAGTGAAATTGTTGGAAACAAGGAAAGGGCTTAGGGATAAGATTGGATTTATCGTCATGACGAGCACTAGATCCCTTCAAGTACGAGTGAAGGATTTTAGTGATCCACCCTTCGTTCAGAGCCACACGACTACAGGAGCATATAGGCTAGCCCTGTAACCTGTAGAGTAACACAGCATTGATAAAATCTTGACATATTTAATAATCCAATGAATTCTGAATAATTGATAGCATTAACGCCGGTTCCATCTGCATCGGTTACATGCCTGTAGCATACACTAGCAACATTCGAAGATATATTGAGCTAGGTATGTGGACCGTGCATATACCTATATCTATCGTGGCCACATGTATGTTTGTCTCGGAGCTCCTGAATTTCCCCTCCGAGCAGAATATCTCTTGACATAGGATTATGAGTGACATGTTTCAATACTGAAGCTGTAGCTTCTGACGTTGCTTGTGATTCTTTATCCGACGACTCGGACCCATCAATCTCCGGTAGAAGCTGACCTTTTCGCTGGGGGGTATTAATGGCCAGCGGAGGAGCGGTCACAAGCTGACGATTTGGCTCTCGATCAATTTTTCATTTGCACGCTCAGGGAGACGACGCTCATTCCATTGTTCATATAAATAACTTTTCCACCCGCAACCTACAGTTATAACAAAACTAAGCACCACAGCGGCAGCTATCACGACCTGTGGTTAAACAATCACAAGTAGAAAGGGAAAGAAAAGGGGATACGAACGTCATCTGTTACGACCATGATCCAGACCTACCATTCACCAGCAGGAAAAGCAGCTTTGCCATCCATTCCTCAGCGCTGTTTCTAGAAGAAGCTGCAAGGAAGTATCGTTTGGACAATCCCTTATATGCGCCGGTTCTTTGCAGCTCGTACACGTTGTGTGCCCGCAATCGGAATACGTCGCTATCTCGCCCTCGATATTTGACTTTTCGATGTGATGAATTCAGAAGGCCTGGCTAGATGCTCGGAATTCATTAGCCATGGGTTTGTTCAGAAGCTTAAGCTGTCCTGTATACGCTTCTTACATCATATACGTTACTGTACCTTCGTAGATTAGCCAATGTGAAACTACCTTAAATACCCACCTTCGCCCGTCTGATCAGCTGACTCAGGAGATCACTTCATTGGTTCCATTTAAGGATCAGATGATGGACATGCTAAGGTTTTGATTCTGACGTCATGACCTTGTTAACCTGTTACTAAGCAAATAGTCAGAAGTTGAATTCATATATATTTCAACTTTGCCTTTCCTTCCAAACCTGTTTAGAAGTTCGCATACATTTGACAAGAAGATCTTTTGTTAATCTCCCAAGACAACTGCGCTTGCCGCGAATAATAACATAATCAAAATCCTCCGAGATTATCATATGGCTACTCCACGGATCAAGCACTATACAACAGACGTTCACGCCCACTGGGAAGGCAGTCTTGCCAAAGATTGGGCTAAGGTAGATCTACTCGGATATGAGACTGCCACAGATCAGATGTTCCGGAAGTTGTGTGAACATCCCGACGCTGCTCTTGTCCAAGTTGGCCATAGATCAAAGCTGATCAATGATCATGGCCATGACTATCGGTTTAATGGAAAATTCACAAGCGACCAGAGTCAACCAGAGCACAGTCACCATGAATATAACCACTTTGGGAAGTTGATGAAATGGGAAGGGGACCGTTGGTTTAAATATGACTTTGAAGTGGAAGTGAGTGATCATATCAAGCCTTAACGACGGAGACAATATTGTTCAGGGGACGAAGGCTATACGTGAAAAAGAAGCTGTTTTTGTGGCAGTATTTTCTGGCCACAGCATTGTATCTACTATGCGCAATCTCAGGGAATTCTGAGGTAATTTGAATCAAGAATCCTCCAACAAACAATATGTACGCAGATTACAGCAATGAATTTCCTTCATCTTTCTGTCCTTTATAAGACCAAACACCTACGTACCGTATCTTTCATTGGGCTGATCTAATTTTGTGCCATTAGATTCCTGTAGTGAGGTTTGAGAGTGGATATAGGCATTTCTCAGAATTATAGCGAGATTGGATTTTTTTTTTTGCTGGTAAATCTAGCTCTCTGGCTTGATTTTGCATTAAATAGTTATGTTTGCAAACTGACGAAGGCTTTACGTCTATGGGAAGGGAGAAGAGGTGTTCCCATTCGACGGCGTATAAGGCATCTAAAGTGAACACCATATTCGACAGTTGCCATCACCGGCCTACGTTTAACTAAAGCCGACGATTCGATCATCTACGTTCGACACACACTCTGCCTCCCCCTTTTTTTCAGAGAAAACAATGATAGTGGAAAATCGAGTACCTCAAAAAAACAGGGACGGTGAAAAATGAGGTCCATCAAAAGTAGGTCGCAAGATAAAAAGTACTGTGGGACAAAGCGCTCCTCTGGGTATGGACTGAGCGTCGACTGGGTGCTCATTAGATGCATTTGATAAATCTCTGAGTAATCAGATCGATCAGGGAGCCAAACTCTGAGCACCATCAAAAAAGCGGCGGCACCTAAGATAGGAAAGCCGCATGCCGCAGAGGAAATATAGTACGTATAGTGACCTAGGTAGGTGAGTAGCTAGAAACCATGGGGGGCTATAGGGATACAATAGCCCACCCACCCTCCCTTAGACCGCGTAAGCGCGGTCATAGAAGGGTAGTGGGTAGATATTAATATGATCTAGTCAATTCGTATACAATCAATTCGTATGGAGATAATATGGGGCGATGGGTTCTCACCGCCCAGATTCTGCCGGTAAAAGTCACCGCCTAATTCTGCCACGAATTGACCAATCAGGACCCTCCATTTTGTGCAACACAATCGCGAAAACCACCACCATCCATCCCCTTACTAAACAGGTAAAATGCTTCGCTGCGCTCCGCAATCACGGAGTTTGTTATGATAACTAGGTTTGCAGCTTCAAATGGATAAGGCTTCATAGACGAGATTTAACTGGGCTAAATCTTTTTTCTCTCATTTCTAACGAATGCTTACAAATTAACATGTATTTGAACCGGGCCTGAACCGGAACACGACTCCCACTATTTTTGGGGACTGGCTTTTTTAAAGGATTAATTATGTTTTATATTTGTTAAATCGTTGTGATACTACAAATCCTGACTAATATGTGCCTAAGAACTACTCAAGGACGGAGAACAAGCGAAGAACAAATTCAATACATTCGGACTAAATCTATGGAAAAGGGTGCCACAATCTTTTTATACACGAAAATCAAGAACCAGCTTCATGTTCGCTTTTCAGATGACTCGATGCAACTCGACAGCATTTTCTGCTTTACCTTGAATTAAATCCACAGTCAAAGTAGACTCAGACCTCGCGTCTCTAATGGAAGGAGTAGGAGGATTTGAATCCAGCCGTAGCAATTCCAGGTGATGATCAGACTCCAGAGGCTGATCCATGTTTGCTTGGGGCACAAAAAAGGTGGAAACCAGACCAAGCCCCGCCAAGCATGTAAGTGCCACGAATACTCCGCGAAGACCGTGCACGTAAGACTGTATAATAACGTCTGCATGGCCAGTGCCCGCGGATAGACCCTCTGAAAGTCCAATGTGGGATGATATGTCCTGTGCTTTCTGTGCGGGGAAGCCATGATCTTTCAAGTAATCAGCCATGACATTCTCTAGCGTCGTACCTCCAACGACGACACCAACAGCGTATCCCATTGTGCGGAAGAATGTGTAAAGAGTGGCTGCATATGCAACGTTCTTGGCTGGCACGATGGCCTGCGCAGCAAAAAGGATACTGTTGAAGAGAATTCCATGTCCGAGTCCAAGAAGCACCATGGCTCCGATCCAGAAGCCTTTCTTTGTCTTTTCATCCAGAAGGCAGAGGAGGCCAGTAGCTAGAGCAGCCACGACCCAGCCTTTCCACTGCGCCCATTTGTATTTTCCGAATTTCGAGATCAAGATGGCAGTTATGAGACCGGATGGAACCATTGTCGCAGAGAGCGCTAAGATTTCGGTTCCAGTTTTGGTCGGGGAGAGCTTCTGTACTACCTCGAGGTAGAAGGTTATATAGTAGAGAATACCGAACATCTGGAGGAGGACATGTTAGAGAATAAAAACGTACAACTTCATGATAGGAAAACTTACCGAAATTCCTTGCACCAGCGATGATAAATATACTGCAATTGACGCACGGCTTTTGAGAACAGAAAGAGGCAAAAACGGCCAGCGTGCCCCATAACACTCCCATATGATGGTGCAGACTATTCCGACGGCCCCCAGAGACAGTGGAAGCAGCGTACGATAGCTGTCCCATTTGTAGAGAGTACCACCCCAAGATAAACCCATTAAGAAGCAGACCATGCTCGACGTAAAAAGGAACGAGCCAAGCCAATCAATGTGACGATAGCTTTCGCGTGTCACCTTCATCTTCCGTAGGGCGAAAAATAGTGCGAGAAAAGCGATCAGGCAGAGGGGAAAGTTGACGTAAAAGACCCAGCGCCATCCACCGTGATCAGCAGCATGCTGAGTGAACAGACCTCCCATGACAGGTCCAATGATGATACCAATGGCCGAGAATAGCTGGATGTAGGCGGTATACTTGGGTCTCTCACGCAGAGGGAATATGTCGGTCATAACAATCATTGGCAGAGGGATGAGGCCACCACCACCCATTCCTTGAATAGTCCGACCGGCTAGAATTGTCGCCATATTCTGGGCGACTGATCCGACAACTGAGCCAATTGCGAACAAAGTGATCGAAGAAAGCAGGATGAATCGTCGGCCGTATACATCGGATAAAGCGCACAGGAACGGTTGTAGGGCTGCACACGGGAGTAGGTAGGCAGTTCCCACCCAGAATGTATCAGTTGCATTGCCATGTAAGTCTTTGGCGATAGTCTATATCTTGTCAGTTGGAAGTTCGAAATCGTTGGGCGATGGGCCATTCTTACTGGCAAAACCGGAGGAAACACGGTCGAATCGAAAGCGCTCAGAAAGCTCACGATTGACAAGGAAATTATCACGACCAGCCTGTGTCGACCGACATGTCCACCCGGCACTTTTGAGTCCATGGTGAGCTTGGTAGGTCGACAATCGAAAATGAATCCGAACGAAGGCCAAGGGACAGTACTTTGTCGAGACGGATGTTACTAGATTTGACCAGCGCCATCTGCCCCTAGCTGAGTGAACTGCTTGTGACTCTTGGTGGAGTTTCTCATTTCAGCATTTCTGGAAACTCTCAAGCGCATACTTCTATTCTTCCTATCAAGATCTGAGACGAACCCACCATGTTAGCCCCTAGTGCAAGGGTGCTTGCCACTACGCGATGCCGCGAGAGGGGGGTCCCAGCAAGGGGCGGGGGCGGGGAAGATCATCGGAGATCCTGCCAGGCACTAACAAGGGAGATGTGGTTTAGTGGCCGTTGATCATACTTGGTAAAAGTCTTATTGGCAAGAATGCGGAGGTCCGAGCTAATAGGTCAGATACCATTTTCAAGACCCCTTGCCGGGACCGCCGCGCGGACGGGTAATGGTTCCTGACATCAGAACGCGAGTTTCAAGCTTCAAGAATGTTTCACGGCTGGTGGTTGCCACACGCTGTTTCTATGCAATAATCTAGGGGGTTGGGTTGGCTATGATCGCTGGAAACTATCAAGGTAGGCTGTACCACTCTCTCCCTTCGCGATGTAGTATACATCACAAATCCGAAACCATAGTACGGATCACCTTTGCAATTTCGGTCACAGTTTGCGCATCTCGGGGAATGATGTGACCTCCTCCATGGTCGAACAGGTCTGCGGTGTCTGGATCACAGACGTTGTACAGCGCCATAACGCCGCTGATCATAGCATCCTGGGATCCCATGATGTGGAAGGTCGGTATAGAAATCAATTCGCCATCTTCGTCCTGCAGAAGATACCGGCCAGTGGATGAATCAATGGGAGGCATCCCAGACATGAACACAGCACATTTGAGACGAGGAATCCTGCCGGTTGATTTTTGTCGCCGGGTCTCCTCAACAAGGAGAGAGGCCGCAATGCCTGCTCCTTCTGAGAATCCAATGATGCCTTCAATCTCGGGATCTTGATCAATATGTTCAAGTAGAGGATTCAGCACGGAGCTTGGATTTTTGTGCTTCCAAAGCCCGGCAGCATCGTAAAACTTTCTTATCGCATCTTCAGGGCTCCCTTCTCGACCAAGCGTGCGAATTGGATAGGAAGCAACTTTGGGGTCGCCATCGATAAACGTGAAATTGGGAGGAGGGCCAAAGAACCCTTCGAATTCTGGAGGTACTATGACAGGATTTTGGCCCTGCGTGTACACGAAGGTGGCTGATCCTTCTTCCCTGTTGAGCTCTGATAAAATTGGCTCTATAATATGTTGCGATCAGTGACAAATCCCCAGGTCGTTGGAAGGAGGTAGAGTTAAGCTTACCCAGTTGAACTTCCAATGTCTTTGCTTTTCAAAAATTGTGCATTAGCGTACGGCTCATAGTCAAAGAGGTATCGTGAACTGACTTTGGCATTGCAAAGGCCTCCTGGTAAACAAAAAAATCGCATGACTTTTCTTTAGCCGCAGAATCGAATGGTGAATTAAATCAAAAGGTCGCTGTCGCTCTGTATTAGTGTTTAAGTATACTCTGTTTAGCCAAGAAGAATAGATAAGACTATCTTGGCTACAATCACCTTCCAAACCACGCCTTCCTTACTTCTCTAACTCACACACCGATCTGTATTGTACTAACGCTAGCCCTGCAGGGGGCACATACTTTATTTGCCCTGGCCCAGCCAATGCTTTGGTGTGGGACATTACAGTAATATTTCACTGGCACAGGGCAAAGACGTGGCTTGCTCTGGCTCATGCACATCGACTCTTCCGAAGTCCAGCGCGTCCCACATACCGATCTTTTACTTCCGCGCCCTAATGCAAAATGCCAGGTCCATGACCTGTGACCCCCTTCGCCCCTCTCAACGCCTGTTTTGTAATAAATCAGATACAGTTGATGTGTCCGAAAAAAACGGCTAGTGGGCTTTGCATGTCGAAAGACTAGTAGTCCCCTTTATTCCCTGATTGCTGTAAACTCTCTCGAGAGATTTAGTAGTTGGGGTCGCCCTACCTGCTACCTAGATTTCTACATTATCAACAACCGTCACTCCTTTCTAGACAAATTATTGCCTTTCTCTTATTTTGCACATATTGAAGGAAAGGGAACTCTCAACGTCAAAATGTCGACTGAAAATGATACCAAACCTACGCCTGTCGCGATCGTGGGGATGGCGTGCAGGCTACCTGGTCAAGTAAGCAGCTTGGAATCATTCTGGGAATTGTGTTCGCGTGGCCGAAGTGGATGGTCAGAGATGCCCAAGAGTCGCTTCAATGCAGCCGGTTTCTATCATCCAAATCCAGATCGTACTGGGTGCTTCAACCCCAAAGGCGGCCACTTTCTGGATGAAGATGTCGCATTCTTCGACGCTCCTTTCTTCAACATCACTGTACAGGAAGCGCGCTCCCTCGACCCGCAGCAACGGCTACTTCTCGAATGTTCATATGAGGCGCTGGAAAATGGTGGAATTACCAAACAATATCTTCAAGGTCGCGATGTCGGTGTTTTTGTCGGCGGGTCTCCGTCAGACTACGAAGTTAACAATCTCCGTGATGTGGCGACAATTCCTATGCATCAAACTACCGGTTGTGCGACATCTTTGCAATCGAATCGTATCTCATACTACTTTGATTTGAAGGGCCCTAGTATGACCGTGGAGACGGCGTGTTCATCCAGTTTGACTGCCCTACACCTGGCATGCCAGAGCCTCCGATCCAAGGAATGTTCGACTGCCCTGGTCGGTGGGTGTCATATTAACCTACTTCCCGATACATTTGCATCTATGTCTTTGTCCAGGTAAATGAAAATCCACGTCATGATGACTATGGCAAACTCGTTCTGACCGTCTATTTTGATATAGACTTTTCTCCGAAAGTGGAAAGAGTTACCCTTTCGATCAGCAATCGAAGTCACAGATGGTGAACGGGTACGGCCGAGGCGAAGGTGTGGGATGTATAGTGTTGAAGCCACTGCAAGACGCTATTGACGCGGGTGATGCAATCCGGGCGGTTATTTGGAATACCGGCGTAAACCAGGATGGTAGAACCCGGGGCATCACCATGCCCAACAGCGCATCCCAGGAGGAGCTCATTCGCACTGTTTATCGTCAGGCGCAAATCGATCCCGCTGACACCGGTTATGTGGAGGCGCATGGAACGGGCACTACTGTTGGCGATCCAGCCGAAGCGCGTGCATTATCTGCCGTGTTCTGTCGTGGGAAGGATCGTAAAAGTCCACTCTTGATCGGGTCTGTGAAATCAAACGTCGGACATGCTGAGGGAGCAAGTGGAATTGTTGCCATCATTAAGACCGCGTTGATGTTGGAAAGAGGGTTCATTCTTCCCAACTGTGGTGTGACCGAGCCCAACAACGAGATCCCGATGAAGGAATGGAACATGAAGGTAATTCGGATCTCCAGCATGCCAAAAAGTAGTGATGGGGCTAATATTTGTTATCAGGTTCCCAAAAAGGTCGCCCCATGGCCAAGAGGGAAAGAGTATGCCAGTGTCAATAACTTCGGTTATGGAGGAACGAACGCGCATGTTATCATGGGTAAACCACCTGCGGTTCAATCTCCAAAGATGACATCCGAAATACCAATGCAAAATGGTTCGATCGATAAAATCAAAGAGCGACATGCGGCACGCTACGTATACGCAATTTCGGGGCCTAACAAAAGAGCCGTTGGGGCACTGGCTAAGAACGCTGCCACGTACCTCGAGAAACACCCGGACGCATTTGACGCATTCGTGATGAGCAATCTGGCTTATACTCTCGGTCAGAGGCGCAGCTTGTTTCCTTGGAGAACAGCCGTTTCTGCTTCCACAAGCAAAGAATTGATCGCGCTCTTGTCTGCAGACTTGGAACCCTTCAACGTTTCGGATGATCCTTCTGTCTCCCTTGTGTTCACCGGTCAGGGTGCTCAATGGTATGGCATGGGTCGAGAAGTCCTTGAAGCTTCGCCCGTCTTTTATCGAGCAATGCAGGACGTGGATAAGATTTTGAAGGCTTTGAAGAGTGGATTGTCTATTATCGGTAAGTGATCTACTGGAAAGATATTTGGCACTTGCAGATTTGACTGACTTTGCAACAGATGAACTACGAAAGGACTCATCCAACAGCTCTCTTTATGAGCCATCTTTGAGTCAGCCTGCATGTACCGCTCTCCAGATTGCACTAATTGATCTCCTTCGCTCTTGGGGTGTCTCGCCCGTCTCTGTTATTGGTCATTCCAGTGGAGAGATCGCAGCTGCCTACGCGGCAGGTATTCTCACTGTTGAGCAATGTGTCCGTATTGCATATGCTCGAGGTGCGGCAGCGCAGGCTCTAAAGGACGACCCATCCCAAACCGAAGGAATGATGATGGTCGCTGGTGCTAGCCCGACACGACTACAACCGTTCATTGATCAGGTATCTGGCGGACGTGCTGTGATTGCATGCGTCAACAGTGAATCAAGTGTGACGATCTCTGGCGATGCGGCTTCGATTACCAAGCTAGATGCTGTTTTGAGTCAACAAGATATTTTCACTCGAAAGCTTCGCACTGGGGTTGCATATCACTCGCCTCATATGAAGCAGATCGCCCGTAGTTACAGGAAGCTCATGGGAAAAGTTGTGCCCCAAATTTCGACAACCCCATTCCACTCGACTGTTCGCGGCAAAGTTATCGATTCTTCCTGTTTGACTGAGGATTACTGGATCGAAAACCTTACTTCACCAGTTCTATTCTCACAGGGCCTGCAAAGTCTAGTCTCGGAGAGCGAGATTGGCGCTGGAAAACGGACTCATCTTCTCGTAGAGATTGGGCCTCATCCTGCCTTGCAGTCGCCTTGCCAAAGCATCACTCGACAGGCGTCAAAAGACGTCGACTTCCAGTACCTGCCAAGCATTAAGCGCGATAAAGATTCCGTTGAAGCTATCCAAACCCTTGCCGGGGCGCTGTTTTCAAGAGGAGTTTCTGTCGATCTAGGAGCTGTCAATGCCTTTGCTGCTTTTGGAAAACATCCACAACTATTGACAAACCTGCTCAACTATCCATGGGATCACTCTACCCGTCTTTGGCATGATTCTCGCATATCCAACAACTCAAGTCACCCTCGATTCCCCCGGAATGATATCTTGGGTAGCTTCTCCGTGGAGAACATTGATCTTGAGCCGCGGTGGAGAAATATCATCCGAGCCGATGACCTTCCCTGGGTTAGGCAGCACAAGGTGCATGGCAATTCGGTGTATCCTATGACAGGGTTTTTGTCAATGGCAGTGGAAGGTGTCGCCCAACTAGCACAGCTGCAAAATATCCAGCTTGACTGTGTGGAATTACGTGATGTCAAGATGCAGCGGATGCTTGTCTTGCCTGACACTTCTCCAGTAGAAGTCATGCTATCGATGAAACTTCAAAATGGTACCTCCATGGCTCACGGAGCCTGGTATGAATTTTGGACTTACTCTTGGGCGGAGGGCAGGGGATGGGATGAACATTGTCACGGTTTCATCATCGCCAGAGGCCCTGAGCGATCAAACCCAGTGACTGAGGCAAAACTTGCTCTCGCTCAAAACCTCTCTGCATTCACTAACGAGTGTACACAAGATGTCAACTTGACTGAGACATATGCCAATATTGCAGCCACCGTGTTGACATACGGACCTCTCTTCCGTGAATTCTCCCGCATTGCCCTGAGTGGAGATGGCAAATCGATAGCCAACGCACGCGTGCCGGACACCAAGAGCTGCATGCCCTTTGGATATGAAACGAGGTGTCTGGTACACCCCGTAACACTGGATATGTTCCTTCAGCAGTTTTGGTTCTTCAGTGGGTTTGATAAGGCTGGGCCTAACTTTTCCTACCTGGCGGACTCGGTCAAGCACATGCTCGTTCCAGTCAATAATGCCGTTGACATCGGCACCAAGTTCAATCTCTTCACCACTCAAGATCGCAGGCCGACCAATGGAGAGAATGTGAGCTACAGCGTTCTTGGAGTCATCGAGGAGACCGGTGAGCCCTGGGTGACTGTCAACGGGTTTACCGCGACGCGCATCAATGACGCATCTGAGGCATTTGACGCGCATGCTCAGAGATCCATTTGCTACAAAGAGCAGTTCGAGCCATGCTTTGACCTAATGGAGACTTCCGGGGCTACTCTGCTACAACATTCGAAGACAAGCTTGAGGTGTTCCGTTGAGCAGATGCGACTTCTAGAACAAGTGTCCCATTACTATATTGGCTGTGCTCTCCTCGAGGTTCCCAAGCAACTTGACAGCTTCCAACCTCATCACATGTTGCTTTATCAGTGGATGCAGCGGGTTTGCCCACGGCCTCATAAGTCGGTCAAGAAGTGTGACAGTCAGACTATTGAATTGGTCCGTACCATGAGTGCTGCCGGCCAATTATCCTGCAAGATTGGGGAGAACCTCCCGAGCATCCTGCAGGGTCATCAAGAAGCACTTTCTATCATGGTCGAGGATGATCTGTTAAATCAGTATTACGAAAGCCTCGATGGCTACCGTCAGAGCTATCGCAATGCTGTCCTCTGTGTTGAAAAGATGGCCCACCAGAACCCTCACATGAATATCCTGGAGATTGGTGCTGGTACCGGGTCGGCAACTCTGCCCATCCTGGAAAGCTTCGGTGGTAAGGATGGAGAAAGCACACCGCGGTTCCACCACTTCAAATACACGGATATTTCAACCGGGTTCTTTGAGAAGGCGAGGGAGAAGTTCCATGACTGGGATTCACTCATGTCCTACCAGAGCCTTGATGTCACGAAAGATCCCATTGGTCAAGGATACACTGCCCAATCATACGACCTGATAATCGCCTGTAATGTCCTGCACGCAACCCCTCGCATTGGCGAGACTGTTGCCAATGCACGCAAGCTTTTGAAGCCCGGCGGAAAGCTCCTTTTGATTGAAGAGACCATCATGCATCAACGACTTTTCTTGTTTGCTTGTCTTCCAGGATGGTGGGCCAGCCAAGATGGAAGGCATTTGAATGGTCCTCTTCAATCACCTGAGGAATGGGACTCTGTTCTGAAGTCAAACGGCTTTTCTGGGGTCGATCTTTGCTTGCAAGATTTCCCTGGTGCTTTCGAATCATCCAACTGTATGATGATTGCAACTGCCGCTGGGGAAGTGACCCCAATTCAGCAAGAGGTCGTCGTCGTGGGGCACGGAACACTGAGTACTATTCCTACTGGGGCTTTGATGGATGGTCTCAAAGAAATGACGGGCCGGGCTCCAACTATTGCGGCCCTGGATCAGGTCGATGCAACTGGCAAGATTTGCGTCTTCATCGGCGAAATCGGTCAAAGTCTACTGTCCGATATGACCAGAGATCTTTTCCCGACAGTCCAGCAGCTACTCACCACTGCAAATGGCGTGCTTTGGGTCACCGGTCACAAGGACTCGCCTTCTCAGCAAGCTAACCAGAACATGATTCTCGGTCTAGCACGGACTGTGAGGAATGAAACTGGCCTTCCATTTGCCACGTTGGATCTCGGCAATCTTGATAACGTCTCGGGCAAAGATACGGTGCGCCATATCAAGAATGTCTTCAAAGGGGCCTTCGATCCATCCTGCCAGTCTGTTCTTATGAATGGAGATATGGAATTCACTCTTCGAAAGGGAGAGATTTGCGTCTCCCGCCTGGTGGAGGATTCGGCGATGAACTTGAGTATGCTCCAGGAAGCAGGAAAGGCTCCTCCGCAACTCCAACAGTTTAAACAAGATGGAAGGCCCTTTGCGCTTAAGTTGACCGATGTTGGTGCCTTGGATGGATTCTACTTCACCGATGATGACTCCAAGAGCAAACCTCTGCGAGAGGGCTTCATTGAGATCCAGATATGCTACTCTGGTCTCAACTTCCGAGACATCATGACGGTCATGGGAGAGGTTCCGGGAACTGAAATCGGCGCCGAGTGCAGCGGTATCGTAACTGCTGTTGGTGCTGGTGTTCACGACATGACTGTCGGAGATCGGGTTTGCGCTATGTTTAGTGGATGTTTCTCAAACTACATTCACTGTCCTGCGACCAATGCTTGGAAAGTACCATCCGGCATCCCCCTGAGCGTGGCTGCCACTATTCCCGTGACTTTCTGCACAGCCTATTACTCCATGGTTGACGTGGCCCGGGTCGAACCAGGTGAGAATGTCCTGATTCACTCTGCAGCCGGAGGACTAGGACAGGCCGCCATCCTTCTTGCCCAGTCCATCGGTGCCAATGTATTCGCCACGGTCAGCACCCAGGAGAAGAAGGAATTCCTCAAGAAGACATATGGCTTGAAAGAAGACCAGATTTTCTACAGCCGAGACACTGGTTTCGGGCAAGCTATCCGCCATGCGACGCAAGGTCATGGGGTTGATGTCGTGCTTAACTCGCTCAGTGGAGATTTCCTGCGAGTTTCATTTGAGACTTTGGCTCCGTTCGGTCGCTTTGTTGAGCTTGGAAAGAGAGACTTCTTGCAGAACTCTCGACTCGAGATGGCTCATTTCTTGAACAACGTCTCTGTCTGTTCTGTGGATCTCGTCCTTGTGATGCAACGCAAGCCAAAGCTTTTAAAGAGACTTCTTGGAGATGTGTTCCGAGAGTTTGGTGGAGACGTGTTTTGCCGACCACCCTGGCCCATCACTTCTTACTCTGTTTCAGATACGGAGCACGCTTTCCGCGAGATGCGGACTGGTCGTCAGATTGGGAAGATCGTCATTGAAATGAAGCCAGATGCCTTGGTCAAGGTAAGTTCTTCCAGATTAAACACTCTCAATCGCTCCATTTTCGATCATCTCAGCCAACAATTTCCAAAATCCATTGACTAACAAATTTTGTGACTAGGTTCACCCCCCCACCAGATTAGACACACTTGTCCGCCAAGATGGGACATACATCGTCGTTGGTGGCAACCGAGGTATTGGTCTCGACATCACCTCATGGCTAGCAGAGAAGGGAGCCCGGCACTTGGTGATAGTATCTCGCTCTGGTCTTGTAGGCGAGGAAGCACAGAACGCGATTATTGGGCTCATCAATAAGGGAGTCACAATCAAAGTATGCCAATGTAATATTGGTGTCAAGGAGGAGGTTGATGCTCAATTGAAGAGTGCTTTGTGGGGTGTACCACCAGTCCGTGGAGTGATATACGGTGCAATGATTCTACGGGTAAGAACTCAAATTTCCTGTCACACTAAAAATCCTCTTTGCATCTCTAACCTATTTTAACAGGATGTTCCTTTCGAGAAAATGCAATATGTGGACTACAATACAGTGGTTCAGACTCGTGTGCAAGGCCTCTGGAACATGCATAACACTTTGAAGTCCCTGAATCAGAAACTTGATTTCCTCATCAATCTGTCTTCGGTGGCTGGTGTCATCGGCAACCTCACACAAGCCGCATACGCAGCCACTGGAACATTCATGGACGGCTTTGCAGAATCCATGAATTCCCTCGGTCTGCCCTGTACCACTATTGACCTTGCACCCGTTCGTGATGTGGGATATCTAGCAAACGATCAAAAGACTCAGGATGTAGTCCAAGGTACTTTCGGCGGAATGTGGCTCAACGCAGAGGATATCCACGGTTTGCTCGCCAGTGCGATCAAGGGTGTGATGAAGGATTCCTGCAATAACCATTGCATCACTGGTTTGGATTCAATCCAGACACAGAGCCTGAGTGCTGGTCAAGCCTGGACACAAGACCCCAGATTCTCGCAGTTGGTTCGCGCTGCGGCCGTCTCCGCATCTTCGAAATTGGGTGATCACGCAAATACACTTTCATCAGAAAGTCCTGCGAAGGCCCTCCAGCAGGCACAGGATCTCACACAAGCGCAAGATATTATTGCACAGGCTCTGCTGAAGAAGCTGTGCAGTCTTCTTATGCTCTCTTTGGAGGATGTTGATGTGTCCAAGCCAATCTCGGCTTTTGGACTGGACTCTCTAGTTGCTATCGAGGTTCGACACTGGATTTCGCGTGAGTTTGATGCTGGTCTTCAGCTCTTGGAGATTCTGGCCAGTGACTCGGTAAGTGGATTGGCGGGGACAATTATGCACAAATCGGGTGTCCTTCCAGAAGGCTTGAAGTCCTCGGGCACAAATGGGACATCTTGATTGTAATCGTCTCACGTTGATACCTGCTACGCTGCCTCTATATGGCATCATTTGGAGTTTATTTATTTTAGAAGTTTTTGTTCAATGTAAAGCAGTATTTCAAACCACGGACTCTGGGCATTGTATACACAACGGATGTAACAGTAAGAGATCAAGGGATTGTGATATCTACTACTCTCATTCTTCCTCCATAGACCCCTTCTTCTCCAATACTTCCATCGCCCATTGATTGGCGAGATCTTCGGCAATCAACAATGGGGTCTGACCAAGAGAATTAACCTGATCCACCAGCTCAGGAGCCTTCTCAATGAACAAAGCCATTGTTCGCCGGAATTCGTCTTGGGCAAGCTTCTCGTTGCTCTTTACGCCAGCCAAATTATGCAGCACATTATTGCCTTCGTTATCGACTACGGTCAGATTTGCACCTCGCTCATACAGAGCCATAGAACGCGTGGAATCACCTTCTTCCCAGGGATGTGGTATGATACGTCCACCACGCTGGGAAAAGAGAGGCACTTGGCAAGCGTATCCGTTCGTGCCAATGTTGGACCTTGAGGCAGCCAACAACAATGTCTGTCCACGAGGGTCACGTCTCTCGAGGTCAAGGTCTGGAAGCTCCATCCACGGCTGAATGATCCCACCATCCGCAAAGATCTCATGGAGGATGGAGGTAGTCTGGTTGTCGTGGAGGAATGGATCCGCTCCGTGCTCCAGCAGAAGTCGGATCATCCGGATTGAGTGGTTGCGACTGTTGGCCTCGTTGAATGGTAGCATGGAAATGTATAGAAGAGGATGGAGAACAAATCCTTGATTTTGGGGGATCTTCAGCAATCTTTGGGTATGCCAATGCGGCTGGGCATCGGATAAAGTCGTCGTATTGGCGTCAAGATCCATACCCAAGAGAGCAGTGACCACGTCCTCTTTGAAGTCGGACAGTGCTGAGAACAGTTCCATGGGGTGGTGGTCAGATGGGTAGGCTCCGTTATCAATTAGAAGCCGGAACACGTGTGAGCTGTGGGTCGACATGGCAAGTGCGGTATAGCCACATGTCGCAGCGATGTTGGGGTCAGCACCACCATCAAGCAAGATTCGAACAATTTCGTTCTGTCGATGGCCTGCGAGTTCACCTCTGCTCACTGCCACGCACAAGGGAGTTTTTCCCTGAGCGTCGCGGGCATTGGGATCAGCCCCATGCTGCAAAAGGTATTCAATCGCCTTCTCGTGCCACCAGTGTATACCCTGAGCCAGGTAGTGAAGAACAGTATAACCGGGCTTGAACTGTCTCCTCTGAGCCATTGTGGATTGGTAATAGACTTTCGGGATTACTCCCATGTCTTCTTGGAATTGGACATTAACATCGGCATGGAATGTCTCGACCATAACCTTGATGACTTCCAAGTTTGGAAGATCACGCTGTGCAGCAGCCAAAAGGGATGGAGACATGGCGCCACCCATGAAAACCTTGCCACTCTTGTTGATCCATTCAGGATCCACGTCCAGCATGAGGCGTCCGATTCGCTCGAAGAGTTCGGGATACCCCCATCTCGCGAGCAAGATCAGGACTCCCTGAAGGGCAGACTTGTTTTCGATGGTGTTTAAATTTTCCTCCAAAGCCTGCGCCACCTCTTGGTCGTGACCGAGAAGTACCATTTCCATGATACCCTTGTCGTGAATGTAGGACTTGAACCGCTCATTGAAGAGCTCTGGGATGTGTTTCGAGCGCAACAAACAACGCTCGGCTTGGATAGACAGATGGCTTTCGAGTTCAATCCCCAGCGTCTTGGACAACCTGTCAAGCTCTACTGCCATCTCCTCATTCTCCTTTGATACTGCATGCCATAAGGGACTATTTCGGTGCTCCATCTCACTTTTCGGCACAAGAGCGCCATGCTGTGCCAGCAGCCGAACGATTCGCCCTACTCCAAGGGTGGCGCTTTCGGAGGTGATCTCTCCCTTCCATCCAAATTGTTTGTGATTCTCGCGTTTTTCATTCTTCCGAGGGGGTATCTTTGGGCGCTCGTGGTCATCGGCCAGAATTCCGGCTGCAAATACCGTGTGAAACATGTTTCCGTGGTCATCGGCCTTTTGCCAAAGCTGATCCTCCTCAATTGACAGAGCGCAGCTATCCAGCGGGAGCCATTTTGTCTTGTCTTCGATACGAATATCTGCTCCATGGGCGAGAAGAAGGCTCACTGTCTCTATTCTTCCAGAGATACAGGCCAAATGGAGGGGTGTTCGGCCATCCTCCGACTTGGCATTGATCAAGCATGTCAAATCCTTGGAGCTGTAGTGATCCAACAGCATCCCAACGGTGTTACTCTGGCGAGCCATAGATGCAATGTGCAACAGATTTCGCCCATCCTTGGTGGTCACAGTGGTATCAGAACCGTGGAAAATAAGTCTGCCAACTAGAATCTCTGAGACTGAAGCTGCCAGATGGATGGGACGGATGCCTTGATGGTCGGGGATATTCAGCGCCTCACGAAGACCCGCATCCAAAAGAAGGTCTATCGCAGATTTGTCTCCTTCATTAGCTGCTGCAAAAAGGTGATCAGAGACGTGGCTGCACAAAACATGCAGCGGCGTTTGACCCGTGTGGTTGGTCTGGGTTGGAGATGCCCCCCTTTCAAGAATCTTTATCATGGTCATGATAGCTGTATCTGAGTCTTGTCCGTATAAATTGGCAGCCATCTTGTGCAGAAAAGTATCACCTTTGTAGTTGACCGTGGTCGGATCCGCTCCTTGAGCCAGGAGGAAATCCAGGTGCTCGGATTTAAAGTTATATGGCTCAATTATGTAGCTTAGGACGGTATTTCCTTTATGGTCCTGCGCATTGATGTTGGCCCCACGTTTGACAAGCTCGGCAATCAATTCACGGGAATTGTGATGAGGATGACCGTGCATAGTCTTGGTGAGCGGTGTACATCCGTCATAGTCTTTGGCTTCCAGGTTCGCACCGGCTGCGAGAAGGATATCCAGGATATCGCGCAGATTTTCGCCAAATGCTCCGACCTTATGAATTGGCTGTTGGCCTGCGTGGTTCCTTTGGTTCACGTCTAGACCAAGCTTCAGAAGCTCGCTCACGGTTACACTCCCACGGTGGTGGTGTTTGACGGCGGTGTGGAGGAGCGTGTTGCCTTTGGCGTCGGTGAGGTTCCAATCTGAGACGTAAGGTTTGAACAAGGACAAATCTCCAAGTTGGATCTTAGACGCATAAGCGTGAAGGCAAGTCCCACGTTCGCTGCCCACTCCAACATCCAGACAGGCCCCGTGCTCCATGAGAGCCTTAAACCATTCTGGATGTTGCAGGGGATTGTGAAAATATGACATCGTATTGGTTCCGTTGTTGATCACAACGTTGGGGTCTGCGCCTCGCTGGAGAAGAAACTCGACGAGTGCTACCTCTTGGTGCAGACAGGATAGAAGCACTGTCTGGCCATGAAAATCCCGGCCATTGACATCACACCCGGCATCCAAGATCATCCGCATCAGCTCTTCGAGACGAGACACATCCGCCTCCCCTCGGTAGCGATGCAGTTCATCCACCACTCCATGGAGGGGAGTATATGCTGGAGGCTTTTCTGTCGCAGCTGGACTCCTGGATTTGTTCAAGGAGTTCACTGTAACATCGGCACCATTTTGGAGCAGAAGTCGGACGATTGTAGGCTCATGCTTCTTCGCTGCCAGGAATAAAGGTGTATCGCCATTCGCAGCCGCATTGAGATCGCATCGACCAGATTCAATCAGAGTCTGAGCAGCTGCAGTCTTGCCATGCTGGCAAGATCGACACAGAGCCGCAGCGAGATCGGCAGGCTCTGCTGTGGGCACTAAGTCACGAATAGTATCCACTGCATCCGCATCCACTGCAGCTTGGAGCGGTGGAAGCGGCTCTGCTGGCCTAATTCCCCGGTCCACGTCGTCGCTTTCCATGCCGAAGAGGTTGAACATGGCTGTATGAAGTGGTTTAAAGACCGAGACGAAAGCTCCGACCGGGAAACAAGAATAATTGAGGGGCACAATGAGGAAAAGCACGGGTCTTTAGTCCCCGGGGGCTCTGATATTTAGCGTGACTAGTGCGGCCCAAACGCACGGGGGACCCTGCCAAGCTGCGCTATGAGCCTCTTAGTTTAGGCTGCTCCTCGGCTAGGGGAAGTTCTGCCTGGTTAAGTGGGGGCAAATCGAATCAAGAGAGTGGCCACTTTGAGGAACTGACATGAGCGTCGTTTGTTATCATCGTATTTTTGGATCGCAAGAGGATTAGAATCGTTCGGTTTTTGACTTAGCCTTAAAGACAAACGTTGCATCTTGAGACTCGGCTGTCTTGATTGGACAACCTTTGAATGATTTCAGCAAATAAGCTCGCATTGATCGTAGCAATATTTTTATATTCTTATTTTCCTTTCAGTTTTAAATCCCACTTCCACGATCACGGGGTTTATAGCAGCAATAACCACGTTTCGTACGTCTATACCAGTGCCGATAACCGCAGGATGTCGAGTCCCAGAGTCAACAATACAATGAGAAACCATCCCTTGCCAATCAATATGCTGACCAAGAGCGTTTGCCATGGCTTCGCAACAAATCATAAGTTTCCAGCAATACTTCAGATATTTGACAAGCTCTTCTTTGCTGAAAGGATGAAATGGGTCGTTGGGGATCGTAAGTCTTCGTTTTCCTTGGTAGTCCATAAACCGCAGAACTCGGACTGCGAGTTCAACTGGGAGTCCCTTTAAAACGAGAATTTCCCGGACAAGGTAAGCTTCCGTCACGGTCGGTCTATCAATGGCCGATCTCGTAAGGTCCAAGAATTGATTTATCGGGAGCGTCCCGGGGCCCTGGTGTTTAGATAGGTGGTGACGGCTGATACCAAAGAACGCTCTGTGGGGATTTTTTACGATCCAGGGCTGACGCTCATCACCAATGTATCTCGCGAGTATGCTTTGATAACATTTGCTGTTGCGGTAGTCGTTTTCTTCGGTTTTATCAGTTGCTGTGTCCCAAGTCTCTGGGAAACAGTACAACACGTTCAAGCATATATACACTTCCAGGGCTGTTCTGTAGATTTGACCCCACCCGATATTGCAACTCTAAGCCAGTTAGAAAATTCAAAACAGCAGATATCAAATGATATGCTTTCTCAAGACACAAGCTTACAAAGACATATCGATTCTGCCATTCCTTCAGACACACATTCGGATGAGCACAAAGTCGAAGAATTGTATCCATTTCCTCGTAAATCAGTAAGGTTTTAGCCAGTTGCAGAGAGTATTAGACGCCTTCCTCGCGCACAAAAGCATCAACTGAGTACTGGAGAATTCCCTCCTTCGTTGGGATCCTTTCAAGAAAAGAAGCCATAAGCTTGTTGTTTTCGGGGATGGATGTGCACTTGCAATAATCCGGGCCAACTCGTCCTTTTCTGCATTTTCTTATATCACAATCCCGAAATAATGCACGATGAGCGCGCCATCGACGAGCAGTGGGAGAGATTCTCTTGACGACGGCCTCATCGAGTACCACATCTGAACTTTCGGGTTGGTCATATGTCTCGGGGTATTTCTCGCGCTCGAGGAGTGCTTGATCTTTGACGATCCTCGCAAACTCTCTGGTGAATAAATTGAATTCTTTCCCCTGGGCAGGTTTCATGCAGGGATGCAAGTTTGTGGTTTTGCACTTGCATGAATTTTTTGTATCCCAGTGGAGATTTGATGCCAGGAGATGCCATGGCATATTGTCTGGGTGGTGCGCCATCGTGGTGGATGTAATTTAGAAAGAGAAGGAGACGCCGAAGGTCATAATTATTTTTCAGGTCGTTTTAACGCGGTGAAATGAAGTCATGATATCAGTGCTGCCTCATCTCCATACCTAGGACCGATGGTTGTAGGTGTGCCGCAACTTAAAATCATCCCATGCCTCATTATCTAGTACAGAGAAGGCGCCTTGTGGTAATTGGGCGAGCTTCTTTGGCTAGTTGTTAGGGCCCATATAGAGGATGTTTAGTGTTTATCTCGCTATCGTGCAACCAGTCACTCTAGCAATGCTCAAATAATCCTAGTGTAGCATTAGTGATACTCAAACTGGCTTATGTATTATAATAAAACTTCTCCATACATCGAAGTTGGTAAGATGGCCGAGTTGGTCTAAGGCGTCAGGTTAAGGTCCACCTTAACATAAAATCCTGATCTCGTTTACGGGGCGTGAGTTCGAATCTCACTCTTATCACTCATTCATTTCTTTTTGTTTTTGTCATCTGTACGTGTCAATATTCATTAACTCTGTCTGTCTGTATTAGTTTTCTTAATTAATTTTTCCGGTGAATGGGTTTTGGTATATATCTGTTTTCGCCTTTATTCAACGACCTTTAAAGGTATTCGCGGTTCCTCTAGCCATAATTGCGCGCTGTTCTGCCTTCGGGCGGCTAGCGATTGTATGCCCATGCTTAGAATCACCCGCCAACCACTACTAGATAGTGATCTAATCATTTTATAGTATACAATTAATTCGTTGGGACCCTCTTCATCACTCTTGTTCAATGGAAAAATCCCTGCATAATTCCCGAAACACCTTCAGCGTAACCACTTCCGCGACTAGACGCTGAAATATATTTCTATAACACCCCATAACCAAAGAACCTACAGAAAGAAGAAAAAACAATCACAAAAATCTCACAGGCAACATAAACAATCTATACAAACAGACAGAAAAGATAAACCCCTTCTACTTACATATACATCAGCAAACCCAGGTCCGTCAGTACAAACCCCGGTAAACATACCATGTACAAGACAAGTCTGATTGATACCCCATACCCGTAGTACACCTATACGTTCTACCTTATACGCGCAAACCAAACTCCCCTTAGAAGTCCCCGCCGAACCAGGGGCGCCTGATTAGATAAACCAAATCACGACGATCCGTGGACGACAAGCCGAGTGGATAACGGAGTACACGGAGTACGGAGAACTAACTACTGTACGAAGGAAATAAACCGTAAAGCTGGTTTTCTTTCAAGCAAACACTTCCTTCTATAATACGTATCAAGCATTCAGTAATTAGTACGAAGTAACTACCAAGTATTAGTGCTATGTAAAGCCGGTCGGTATTAGCGTGTTAGTGATCGGCCCTGCACTCTGCAGGTGGGTGGGGTTGATACTGTACCGAGTCCGGGGTAAAGTGCGGATTACAGACGAAACGGGGGTACTAAAACGGTGTTTTGGAGCTATCACTTAGTAGATTACTGTACCTGAATACATGCAGACTAGAAAGGTACGAATATAACACATTGTTTAAGCTTAACCTAATCTTGAAGTACTACCCCGAAGGCAAAATTACCGGAACACAAACAAGTTCAAAGACGTTTAACCATACTACCTGTCAAGACTCAAGCAATACTCGGGATCCTGGCCCTAAACAAATCACGAAAGGTGCAGATAAGAGGTACATCAGAAGAAGATAGACGGAGAAGAGATTTGCGGAATTGGTAATAGGCATAAACGCCCGAAACAAAACATAGGCAGCCTCGCCTGACAAAGGAAAGGGCCAGCGTCTCGTTAGCAGACTGAGGTAGGTACACGCTGCATCCGCGAAGAAAGCAAGAATCATCAAATAACTGCGCCAGGAAAAATAGACAACGACAAAAAAAAGGTACACCATTTTCCCATCACATAACACAAAATAGACATCGCTTAAGAACGGCAAAACAGTGGACATGAACCCTGGGTTGGATTAGTTCACACGGAATGCATCGAAGATGACTGCGCAAAAGTTAGTACCAATTACTCCTTGATGAAACCAACGAATGGAGAAAACATACCTTCTTGCCCGCGGCGGCATCCACTGCCAACCCACATAAGGGTATTCAAGAATGTGTACCGCTCATCACCAGTCTCCATAGACAAGTTGATGCGATACTTGTAGCTGCTGGGGTTGATACCATCAGCCATGGTAGGGTCATTGACTTTCTCAAGAACATCCTTGGCTCCGGTGAGCCATCCCTCGGCACGGACGATCACATATGCAGGTGGCTCGTCGGCAGTTTGCAGCATGTAGCTTGCGCGCAGGTTAGTAGTAAAGTCCTTGGTGACGATCTGAGTATCTTGGCCACCGGGCTGTTTTTAATTGTATTAGTATTGGCGGTATCAAGAAAGGGGAAAATGTTGAAGATAAAACCACAACAGCGACTCACCAGAACAATACCCTTGCCCCAACGACCAGCCCACTGGCCACCAAGGAACGAAACCCATTCCCGACCACCCCAGATGCTCTGACCCACGGTAACCTTGGGGTTCATCTTGATGCTCATGCGGAAGTCCAGCTCCAGCGTCGGGGCGGGGATCTGCAGGGATCGCGCGACGTCACCCTCGGGGAAAGTGTGTAGCAAGTTGTTGGCTGGGATCGAGTCCTTCATCACACTGAGGTAGGTGGGGCACTCGAGCAGGTGCTGGCGCTGACGACTGGTGTTCTTTGCGCGGACTTGTTGGCAGTAGATACACTGGACGGACAGACACTGGTGTTTCCAAACATGTCAGCTTATCCATCCTCAACTTGGAATTTTTTATTTGTTTTTGTATTCTTACTTTGTCTTCCTCCTTAGCACGGAACTCGACAAAGGCCGCGTGCACATCGTCCAGCGGCGGGGCAGGGAGATTGGAGCCGGCGCTCTTAGCTTTCGGCTTCGGGGTAGGACGCGACGGCGCGGCGGAGGGTGGAGCGGATCCAGGGGGACCAGTTGGCGGGCCCGGGGTGGCCATGGGCGGACGGTTCAAGTTCTGCAGAGGGGTCTGCAACGGGGTGGCATGAGGATTAACACCGTTGGCCATCATGGTACCATTGGGAGTTGGCATGGTCGCCGGACCACCAGGGCCGCCTGGAGTAGCTGTCGGGCCATTGGGGGTGCCGGGGTAGCCATTGGTAGGGCCGATGCCATTGGGAGCCTGAGAGGGTTGATTCGGCTGGGGCGCGTTGGGATGACCACGAAGACCGGGGCACTCGAGGAGATGCTGTTTCTGACGCGAGGTGTTCTTTGCACGAATCTGTTGACAATAGATACACTGGACGGAGAGGCACTAGAAGGCAGAAACGACCGAAACGGGTCCTCGTATGTTAGTGACTGGTCGTGTTGTGGTGGGTTTGAAATATTACGAAATACGCAAGTCACGCACCTTGTCATCTTCCTTGGCGCGGAATTCGACAAACGCCGCGTGCACCTCTTGGTCGACGGTGCGACCCATGATGGGGAGAGGAGGTAAATCGAGTACCTCGAGAGTCGATGGTGAAAAGATCTTGGGGGGAGCGTAAAACGCGAGGGGTAATATTTTTTTTTGGGAGGGTTTTGAAGATTGATGGGTTGGGACGCGGGTGAGTGGGGGTGGGAGGTTCTGATGGTGTTTTCGAGGAGGGAGAAGGTTGAAAGGGAAAGAAATGGAAAGACCAAGACGAGATTACGAGGGGGCGGTCGTGTACGGGCTCTGCGTAATTTGGAGACCGGGCGTAATCTGGGTAATCGGTAATTTCACGTGTACCGAGTACCGACGACTATACAGGAGGCACAAGACTATAGGAACATTACCAGCTAGTTTATTAGCTATTGAGATATCTCTCTCAAATATCTATAGTTTTTTATATCCTATTCCCTTCATCCGCTTCATCATGCCGCGTGGCCCCCGACTCGACTCGCTCTTAGGCCTCCCCTCATGACACAAAACGCGCTGACCAATAGACGATTACGTGCTTCACGCTGTTCCCCAATGGACACGAGCACCAAGGTAATGGCTGATATCTGCGATATAATGAACTAGAGATTTACCAGACACGCAAGTACAAAGCTATCAATCCTCCCAATTCCACCATAACTCTCTGCCTAGCCAATCTCACGCCAAGCAAGCCATCTCCGAGCAGGCGTACTCGGTTAGAAAGCGCCCTGGTCCGCACCCCGGCGAGCCTGAGGAGAGGGCAAAGCGAAAAGAAGCGATAGGCGCGTGGATGCGAACCTTCATGGGAGAGAGGATATAGAACTAGAACTCATGACAACCCTATATAATCAAAAGTAACCAGCATGACCATCAATGTCTTCAGGTCTATACTTTCTATACTTCGTTCTCGGGCAGGTATTATTACCTCTCATACTGAAGCTGTATCGTTCCAAAGGTTTGCCCCCGTTCCCGTATCCCATACGCGATACTGTTCACGTCCCGGTTCCTGGTAAGATTGCCCAGTAACGCGATGCCGGTATCATCGAATCTATAGATCGTGCATTCAAGCTAGATCTAGATCCTGTCCTTGATTTCAATCAACTTGCCATTGAGCTCGTGCGCTTAAAGCTATCCATCTGAAAACACCTCAATTGCATCTCTCTCCTCGGCCCCCAGCCCCCGTGATCCACCTCTGCTAAAAATATCTGCCAGCGCACCAGCACCCTCCGCCGTAAAGCTGGATAAGTACTCGTTCTCCGTATCGATATCGCTATCTGGAGCCCATAAAAATAACGAACCATTCCGTGATCCCGATCTCGGCTCCGGGGAGCGGCCGATTCGCCGAGATCTTGATAAGATCTTGCAAATCACCAACGACCCATGATCAATCATCAATCACTTTGAGCTGTCAGCACGAAACACTGGAATCATGGAATGATGTGAAGAATATGGCCGGTAAGAAATAAAAAAGAATCACGAGGGTAAAAAGCAAGACAAAAAAAGCAAGATCGCCATCCCATGATATCACATGGCCCCGAAAAGAGTAAATAATCCACCGACCACGCCATGCTGGCACCTGAAACACGCCCTCACATTCCACTCCCAGCCATTGCCAGCGAAATACCGCCATTCTGGAAGCGAATGCCCCAACTGGAAGCTCCTAGATCAGTGGTTAACTCCTGCGACACGGCTATAACACCCTTCGTCGCGAGCGTGAGCACGTTCATGAACCCATGCGCGGCAACGGCGTGCGGAGTCTCGGACGGCGGGAGTAGCTCCGAGAACGCAATGCGGCCTGGCGTGGAAGAAGTGAGTTTAGTCTCGTCAAGCTTGGTCTGAATAAAGTCCAAGAAGTTTAGACTCTCCGTGTCCATAGTGGACGTGATCCGGTTGAGCATGGACTTTTGTCGCGCGGTGAGTGTGCTGATATCTTCGTTGTCCGGGGCAAGCTCGCCTTCCAGGTATTGCGTGATATCTAGTTGCTCGAGCTCGTCTAGTTCATCGCCTGCATTGGGGATGGACAGGCTGCTGTGGCGCTCGCGACCGTCGGCATAGCTTCGTCCGCCAAGCGGGCTGGCGCTGGTTAGACGACCGCGTGGTCGAGCGGACGATCCGGATACGCTGCCGAAGCGCTGGCCTCGGATCGAGCTCTGGAGGGAGGCTGAGACGTTCCATGGCATTTGTGAAGACCGATCATCGTACACGCTGGATGGGGCGTGTCGACCGATTTCCACATCGAGACTCTGCGCTTTGCCGGACTGGCCGAGCGCTCGGTGTGTCTGTTCTTCGTCATTTTCATCGTCTTCAATTCGGTGAGTAACTTTCTTCCTAGATAGAAGGCTGTATAGTGTATCGCCCGAGTATTCCTTGAGCGGGCCATCTTCACGATGCTGACCTAGGCCAATACCAACCGACCCAATACCCACGCCAAAGACCCAGAAGGCAGCGTTCTTCTTTGCCAAAGTTGGCAATTTGTTCTGCCTCTTCTGCTTTAGGGCTTGAGCCATGTTGGCTGCATACTCATCATTCCACTTGGCCAGGTCCGTGTTGCGCAACGTCGTACTGTCGTCCGATTCAATGACTTTGGCTTGTCGGATTCTCTGCTGGGCGCGTGCTTCCCCGGTACGCTCAAGCTCTCCATCTGCCATTAAACGGTCTTCCACGGGCAAGATGTCATTACCCTCAGTATCTTGTGGACCAGACTGAGCATGGATATCCATTGCCTCGTCCCCCGGCAACGGGACCTCGTCATTGATGTCAATCATCTATGGGAATAGTTAATAATACGGAGACCACATGGAATGTCTCTGTATCAACTCACCCCATCCTCTTGAATCCCTTCACCAGTAGGCCCTTCCCCTGCTTTCGAAAGCGGGCTAGTCTTCCTTCTCTTCCGAGGCGACATATTGCTCGTATCAAACTCGATAATGTTCCCATCCTCATCAAACTCAAAGTCCGGCTGAAGCAGGATACCCTCATCCTCAAGGTCCGACCGCGATTCTCTACCAAAGATGCCTCGTTTCTTCCCCGAGGTAAGAGTATCCGCATTTGGGTCCTGCCCATACCCACCTCTGAGGAAATCGTCCGTTGGCAGATCGAGCTGGACAATTCCAACCTGCGAATTGCCGGACTGGCTGGTAGCAGGTGACGTGGTCCAGCTAGCGGACCGCTGCGTCGAGCTATCGTCGATCGACCCATCGAACAAGGAGAAGTTGATGTCTAATCCTGGAAGGCCCGTCTCGGGGATGAAGGTCGGATCGTACGGGAGGATGAGATTGGTAGGTCTTGAATGCAGTTAGCAAGTTGACAGAAATAGCATTTTCCTTGACAGGTAGTCTGCCCGGTTGATCCACTTACCTGGTCTTTCCAGCGCTGGGATCTAGTCCTCCACCTGGTAGCTGCTTCAACATGGAGACCATCTTGTCCCGCATTGTCTGCGCGTCGAGAAGAGTATATCCGCACTGCTGGTTGTATACCCTTGAGACGCCGTATCTGTTTAAAACATGGTGAGAAAACAAGTCCACCAGATAGGGTTAGGACAGCATCAGCTTACAGCAGGCTACCCTGCAATCGTAGCGCCATGGGAGCTTCAGGGTTCACGATGACGTTGCAGGCACTGGGTACATCCACGTCGAGGATGGCCTTGCGGTTGAGTCTTCGAGTGATCGACCGCGAGCCGAGAGTCGCGACGAGCCTGGAGCTGTTAGTTGAGTTGGTCTCGAACTCGTCTACATCAAGTTTATACGCACCATATAGTGGCCACGCCGTGCTCAGGTGACGTGAGAACTATCCAGGTTGTTTAGTTTCAAAAAAAATATCTATGCTGACAGGTCACGGCTCACTTTCATGGCTGTAGAACATCTTGAGGGAAGCGCCAGCTCAGGGCGCGACGGCTTCACGGAGGCCGCGAAATGCTAAAGTCGCTGGCGGAGGCGTTGTGGAAGAAAGAGACTCTTCCCAGAGTTGCGAGAAGACTTTCAGTTGGATCGTAGAATCTGCGGAAAGGAAGGGTGGTGGAGGGGAAGTGAATCTGGTAGGATGAGAAAGGAAGTTGTGTGCTTGAGGCAAGGAGATGAAGATGAGGGACAACGACAACGTCGTAAAACGGTGGCCGACCTTTACCCCGTAATCCCAAGCGGTCCTCTTCCGTGGCACACTTATTCATGACTGGTAGCTTATAATCATGGCAATATCCCGGATCCTGGGACCCGGGATTCTCTTCGGAACACTGAACTCATACGACCAAAAAGCCAAGTCAGCATGGAGGCGATGACATATTATCATAAGCGCAAGAGTGTATACAATCTATCTGCTAGGAAAGACTATGGCGTTCTCCGATGTCTATCTAGCTTTTTGTGTATAGCAACAAGCCCCAGCATCATCAGTCGCTAGTTATACCAAGGCTCGATGATCAAAGTACTACTTCACTGAGACAAACAACTCAACAATGAAATTTACTTTTATGCTATGAAACCCTCGCACCGTATCTAAGAGACACGTAAAGCACCAGTATAAAAATCCAAAGCGCAAAGAAAACCGGCGAGAGAAGGACAGCGACATAAAAAAAGAAAAAAAAACCGTAGTCAAATGGAATCTAGAAACGAAAAGAGACAGCAGGACAGACACAGACACCGACATCCACGAAAACTCTTTGATCGGGAGAATAAAAAAAATAAACAGGGCCTAGGAAAGGACATCCGAGACGGGACGTGATAAATAATGTAGGTAGATCCAACAGGAGCGCAAACGACAACATCCGTTACAAAGGCCCACTGGCCGCGAGAGCACAACACGAGATTTCTCCAATCCATCCGTACAAAACAGCATACCATAGCGACCTTATAAGATGCACGCGGGGTATGAGACAATGATATGCGAGGATGACGCGCATAGAACGACCTTATAGCTTTATTTCAAACTCGATGGTGACCTCGATGCCAACATCGGCGTCAAATCGAGCTCACAGGGCGGAGGGGATTTACTCCAGGGGGATGCCTTCGTACTCGGAGTAACCAAGTGCCAGGTTCATGTTCTCTGTTAGGAGGGTTAGTTAAGAGTTTCATTTGAGAGAGGGGGAGACGGAGGATTTCTTACGCAGGCACTGGGTAGCGGCACCCTTGAGCAGGTTGTCGATGGTAGCGCAGACGACAACGCGCTTGCCGCTGGAGTGGACGGCGAAACCACCAATCTCAACACCGTGACGGCCAGCAATGTCCTTGACGAGGGGAGCCTCGCCAGTGATCTTGACGAGCTTCTCACCAGCGTAGCGGTCCTGGTAGATGTTGCGAATGTCACGGGAGGTCATCTCCTTGTTCAAGGGGATGCTGATGGTGTGCTGGAAGTAGTCAGTATACTGTTTGCAATTCGCTAGGTGCGGTTAAACTTACGGAGATACCCTGGAACCAGACGGCAACGTGGGGGATGAAGGCAATGCTGGTACCCAGCTGAGCACTGATCTCACGCTCGTGGATGTGGTCCGTCAAGCTGTAGGGGATGATGTTGTTGGTGAGGAACTGGACATCGTTCTTGGGGCTGGGCTTGGTGCCGGCACCGGAGTAACCAGAGACACCAAAGGTGGTGGGCTGACCACCCAGGAAGGGCACAAGGGGAGCAATGCCGAGCTGGGCAGCAGTGGCGTAGCAACCGGGGTTGGCAATGCGAGTGGCACGGGCAATCTTGGAACGGTCAACGAGCTCAGGCAGACCGTAGGTCCAGTTGGAGTCGAAGCGGTAATCGGCACTCAGATCGACGATGACGTTGCCAGTGGCGGAGCCCTGGTCAACGGCCTCGACGAAAGGCTTGCAGACACCGTTGGGGAGAGCCATGACCCAGCAGTCAATGTCACCGTTGGCGGACATGCGGCGGACATCCTCGGGGCTCAGGTTCTCGTAGATGATCTCACGCTTGTCATAGCCCTGGAGCTTCTTGCCAGCCAGCTCACGAGAGGAGACGTGGCGAAGATCCATGTTGGGGTGGGCATTGAGCAGGTTGATCAGGGCCTGGCCAGTGTAACCACGGGCACCGATAAGGGCAACCTTGGCGGGCTGGGGGTTGGAGGCGTTCTTCTCACCAAGGGGAGGGTTAGGGTTGGTGGTGGAGTAGGCGCGGGCAGCGTTGACGGCAACGGTGGGACGCTTCATGCGAGAGCTACGCAGAGCGTTGGAGGCGGAGGAAAACGCGCGCTTCTGCTCTGCAGAGGCACCACTGGCACCGAAGCCCTTGTTGATGTTGATGGCAGCCTGGTGAGCACGGTGAAGACGGTGCTCAAGGTTGATGTCACCGAACATCTGACGGCCGTGCTTGGTGAACTCCTGGACGAGCTGCTTAACCTCGTCACCGTTCTCAGCACCGTACCAGAACAGAACCTCGCCGTCGCGGCTGAGGCTACCCTCGGCCTTGTCGAAGAACCAGGTCAGGTTCTCGTCGTCCTCCTTGACAGTCCAGGCCAGCTTGGGGAAGTCCTTCTTCAGGCTAGCAAACACGTTGTCAGCCACGTTGCTCAACCAGCCAGACTTGGTGATGGTGAAGGTAGCCAGGTGGGCCATCAGGGAGCCCTCCTGGGGAGGCAGAACGACGGCCAGAGCATCCATGGGGTCATCGTAGTAGATCTTGAAGTCACGCTCCTTCATGCCCTCGACGTAGCGGTCGACAACGGCGCGAGCATCAAGGCCCTCACGGTCACGAACCAGCACATCCTTCAGACCCTGCAGGTCGCCGAACTCAGACAGAGAAGTCTGGACGTTGATCTTGTTACCGCGGCGAATCAGGGTACCGGCACCGGAGTCGGTGAACAGCTCCTTCTGGAGATCGGCAGGGTGGATGATAGCCACGCTGGAGGAGCGGGGCAGGTCGCTCAGAAGCTCCTTCATCTCCTTGATCTTCAGACGAGTGCCGTGACGAACCCACCACTGGGTCATCAGGTGGTCGTACTCCTCATCGAGGTTGATGGCGGAGATCTTCTCGCCAGTGTCACCGTTGAACAGACCGCCCTTCTCGGCAAGGTAGACAATCTTCAATGGCTGCAGAGCGCGGGCCAGCTCACCAGCAGCGACATCGGCGTTGACGTTGAGCACCTGGCCATCGGGGGTCTCGGCCATGGAGGTCAGGATAGGCAGGCAGCCAGCGGCAATAGCCGACTCAATGGGCTTCTTATCCACGCCATTGATCTTACCAACCAGGTTATACTTGGGCTTGTCCAGGTAATCGGCCGAAAACACACCGGCGGTGATGGGCCGAGCACGGACACCCATACGCTCCAGCTCCTCCACCAGCTTCATGTTCTCCTCCAGGAAGAGCTTGCGCGCCAGGGACAGAGTCTTGCCATCAGTAACCCGGATTCCATCCTCAAACTGGGGCTCGACACCGGCGGCCTCCAGCATACGGTTAAGCTGGGGACCGGCACCGTGGACGACGATCGGGTACAGACCGACATGGTTCAGGAAAGCGAGGGCGGACGACAGGGTCTGGAGGTGCTCGGTGATGATCGCACCACCGACCTTGATAACGGCGAACTGCTGGGAGGAAACGGAGGTGAAGTGGGACAGGTACTGCTGGACCTCGCGCTTGGAGCCGATGTTGCTCAGCAACTGCACGACGGTGCTGCGGGTGTTGCTGGGCTGAGAGTCGGTGGCGCGTGAGTAGGATCGGCTCTGGCGCAGGGGAGTCGAAGCCGTACGGGCAACGACACCGGCTCGCAGAGGCGAGACGGCGTGCGGTGCGGAGAGCGATCGGAGGGGCTTGGTGGAAGCTCTCCGCACAGCGGAGCGAAGGGACAGCATCTTGGTCACCAACATGCGGCAGCTTCAATTGGAAGTTCGCAGGTCGCCGGGGGAAACGTCCCCTTGGTTGTAAAACTGGTAGAGAGGAGTGGAGAGAGGGTGTTGAGGGGGGAGAAAAGCAAAGGAGCAGGAAGGAAGAGAAGAGGTGGGAGAGAAAGTCGGGGCGATAGTGTGACTAACAACCTTCTCGCGAGATTTTACGGCCGGGCCTCGGAGTGTCCACTCTCGCCCAATAAAACCGATGACGGGGACTGGGCGGTGTCCAGTAGACTGCGGGTTTTTCAGTGGTAGAGCGATTTATTATACGCCAGCCATTATATATGGGAGATAAATAATTATGCGAATCAGATCTGATAAAACTATACAGCCTATCTTTCTATACTTGAACAATATTTCATAATACAAGAATCCCCCCGACTATGCCCTTCTCTACGCATAGATCACGATTCTCTTTACCGGATCCTCTTCCGTTGGGACCACCCAAAAAGAAAAGTGACCAACTTTTCATCTCACCTTTTCTTCTTCTTACCAATCGTCATTGTCAAATCTCGGGAACTCGAAGCGAATTTAGCTCCTCCGAGAAAAAAAAAAGCCCACTATCCACACGATGTTGGTCGGAAATACGCTTGCAACGTCATCTGGCTTCGGTCTAGTGTGACTTATCTGATCCTCTCCGGGCTTCTTACTCGTTCATTGCGCCACGCCCCTATCCACTTCCTCCACTCTTCGTGTCTTAGTGTCTGTCTTTGCCGGGCCCTGCTGCGCTTCTTTCCGACGGGTCACACATGAGCTGTGCTTCCGATGGTCTGCTCGGGTTCTCTAGACCCTAGCGGTGGACTGACTCGTGGCTTTTTTGCCAAGATCATTCTGCAAGAAGCGGGCCACACCGCGAGTTCAATTCTGGATCTGAACTTGCGCGAGTCCATATATGGAGTGGTTCTCCGTGCCGAGGAGAAAAGGTGGGTGCATAGGGGTTCAGCAGGATCAATTGGATCGGAATGCAGGGTTAATAAGCGTTACATGAAGATACCAGGCACTATGGGTAGGTTAAAAGGTTCATTGGGCCTTAAAAACAGTGCATACCAAAGCGCAAGAAACAAGAAAAACACACTCGACATCGCAAATCGTACTGATCACATCAAGCAGCAGTCAAAAAAAACACGGCATCACAGCAGTATCATTTACATCTTCAACCCGCCACAGCATGGCAGAGGGGCAGGGCTCTCTCATCCCAAATACAGTAGAACCCTTGGGCATTTCGAGGTCTCGTTTCGTCGCCGGCGCAAGAGAAATCAAGAGAAGTTGGTCATTCAGAACACGCCCAAAACAAAACAGCAGGAGGTATTAGCGGCTGGGAAGAAAAACGACGGAGCTCCATGGCCTCTCAACGATAGTAAAAACCCGGTAAAGACAACTCAAGATCCTCCCATGATTCCCAATTCCAAAAAGAAAGCACAAAAAAAGTCGTGGAGCAATGCAGGTGCTCGTTTAGTGGTATTTTACGGCAACTAGATCATCCGGGCAATCAGATTAGCGTTCCACTCTGTATGAAGATCCGATCTCGCTCTCTCCTTGTCTCTTCCTCGTTTCCCATCTTTTTGTTCCATGGAGGGTCTTACCGGGCACGATGATAACAACCAGAAGCACGATGACGCAGATTGCGAGGCATACGCGCATCTTCATATCCTTCCACCACATCTGCTTGCGTACACGGTTGGCACCCCGACGGAAGCCCTGGGCTGATACGGCCAGGTTGTCGGTCTTGTCCTGGAGAGAGTCGAGGCGCTCACCACGCTGGGAGACCTTGTTGATGTTCTCGCGCATCACACCGACAGTGTCGTCAATTTGCTAGAAGAAAGTCGTGTTAGTTTCCAAGGTCGCCACATCAACCTACCGAGGCGACACCTTTCTGAAGATCAGTGATCGACATGGCATCGCGCGACATTCATATATGAAAGCGGCAATTCCTGTGCATCTCTGATCCTATCGAGAGCCACCTCGATAGATGGAAAAGGGAGAAAACTAACCGCCTGCAATGCAGCCGTGCGCTGGTTGCCATTCTGTTGCGCGGAAGCGCCACCGGCAGCACCGCTGGAACCGGCGGGAATATAAGGGTCGTAGGGGGCTTCGGAAGACATCGTGAATGTGGGATTTGATGTGAAAGATCTTAGACAAGGAGTCGTAGAACGTCGGCGGAAGACCGGGCTACCTCGTGGGTGCTGTCAAGGTCGCTTTGTTTGGAAACAGGGGAACCCGGGAAGTTGGTCGCCTGGGAGACAGTGATGGAACAGAGATCAAGGGTGCGAGAAGAGAGTTCGAAGTAGATCGCTGGGATCGAGAGGAGAAGATCGTGCGAGGAGACAGGGAAGAGGGACGAGGTGGATGTGATGGATGGGAGGAGTTGTGGCGTGGATGAACGCCTCTTGCTGACACTCCTCCTCCGCGCACGTGATCCCGGGGACAAAAGGGTAGCCGGCCAAGTGATTTGATTCGTGGCAAGAGGATAATTATGGAGGCTTAGTTGATAATTACTGAATTTTTGACAGGCTACTTGACTAGATCGGAAGCTGGGAAATTTGAATATCGAGAAAAGGTTACTGCCATTGAAGTCGCTGGAGGGGAAATGAACGGTAATCAACTACAAACAACTGCTGTCGCAGTCTGATAGAGATGGCCACGCAAGATAGTTTATCTGTATGGAAGAATTGCTCTTTCGATAGAGAACTTCTTCTTGCATCGAAATTATGCCGCTTCATAAATTTCTTTCTGCATCGTTCGATCTGCGCTATTGATGACTTTATTTGGCTGCCTATTCGGTGTAGCCACCACGTAGCCGCGAGTTGCTGAAGGAACGGTCTATTCATAGTAACATGCTCCGGTGTGGCCTCAGGCAGCGCGGCAATGCTAATCCGTGGACCCTGCACCGGAACCCGACGGCCTGACTGCCGCTTACCCTTAGATTGCCTGAATAGATAGTTGTAAGTCGTTGCGAGTAAGAGAATATGAATGTTACAGTGACGAGAAGTGTTCATTTTCTTATAACTTGGGTCGTGCTGAGTAAACTCCGAGCAAGTCGTGCTTTTGCCTGAAACTTGAGGCATCTATTCAGTCTTCCTGCTTTAGCACTAGGTAATGAAGTAGTCGGAATTTACCGTGCCATCAAAGCAGATATGGATACATGAAAATAGGATCCAGTTAAAACTTATTTCAAGATTTATCTAGGGGCAGGGTTTCCATGTTGTGTACTTGAGCCTCCCGTTCCTCCGGTTTCTACTTTGACTGAGCTGGAGCAACATGGATAGGCGTGAACCATAAGAATGCATTGATTCGGAATAAAAATAAAAGTTTCACGTTGTTATCATGACTGATCATAGATCAGGTGAGTTGGTTCATAGCTGCGGTTCCCCCCAAATAGCACAATGTAGAAACAAGACCCGGGGTATCAATAGGAACGCCCACTGCCATCAAACCAAAACGCAATTTCTTCCCCAGTGTTTTCAGAACTCCAGAACCAATGCTCCAAAAAGTACGGCGCTTATTATCTCCCAAAGTTTGAGGACTTATCATGTGAGTTGGTAAGTGATGTTTTTGACGCGAAACTCAAAGCAGAACAGGTCGCAAGTGGACCTCGTGTAAACAAAAGACCTGCGAGTATGTGTAAACCCAAAAGAATAGATCTCCAAGTCCTAGATGTTCTTCAATAGAGCTTAGGTGGAGGCGTCAGGGCCGGTTTCTGGGGCTACCAGCTCCTTTAGGTCGTTGAGCAATTTGTGGATATCCCCGAACGACCTGCGCAGAGTGACAACCTCATCTTGAATCTTGGACAGATCATCCCTCATGAAGTCCATTCGTTTCATCATGGCGTCCATGTCTTGTAACAGTTCCTTGGACCAGTGTTCGTTGTTGCCGTTGGATACGCTGGCGCTTTCGTGGGGTCTGCCGTTGCTGGCCGGGTTATTGGCTGTGGGCCCAGGTTGTGTAGAGGATGGGGCCATGGTGAGTTTTGGAAGGGCTAAGGCGGAGAGAGTTTGGGATTTTGAGATGCTCGAATCGATGATGGAGGGTCTCGGCAGAGATTCGAAAGCTGGTGCGGTGGTTGGGTGGTGATATGAAGTAGGAAGGATCGCGTGTGCGAAATAATCGATCAGGTGCTCACTTCAAGGGACTTTTCGGTTTGAGCAGCGAAAAGGGCATCTGTAGTAAATAAAGAAGCCCATAGACTCACGACATCAATGGCTACCCTATACTTTCTCGTCAGTGTTGACTTTGCCTCACCAACGAACGACACTCTATACTCAGAAAGACCTTTCCAAGGAGGAAGTTGGAGATACGCAGATTTACAACTGGGCTTATTTTTTATTATTAAAAGTTAGGGCTGCCAATAGAAACTTCATTGATCTAATGGAGACAGTTTTCTTGATTCCACCCTTCACTATTCCACGAAGAGCCAGTAGTGATGATATGGCAGCTGCAACTAAGACGAGAGCCCAAAGTCAACCGGTGCATCACCACAGAGTGATTCACTGCTCGCCAATCTCCTCTTCCGGGTGATCCAGATTAGCAGGCAAGCTGCACCAGAACTTGAAGCAAGCCTCGGGGAAAGAAGACACAGGAATGGAGTTATCGCCACCCCGATCAGTCTCCTGAATCTGGCCAGCCAATAGTCTTCCAATAAGGTGGTTGTTGAAATTGACATCATCTCCCATTGCATCCTTCAACATGATCAAAGTAAGCTTGTAGAAAAGATGAGCCAGAATACTGGTCTCCAAATCTCCCAGAAATACAGAGCGAAACTCAAACTTGGCCATGGCGGCGAAACGTTTGAGGCAAAGGAATTTAGCCACATGGGAAAGCTTTTCAAATTCGATAACGAGCGATGGGAAGATACGCTGCTTGACTAGATGCCACTGATGTAACTCCCATGGTTCAGTGGGCAAGCCAGTTGGTGCATCCTTGGCGCGTTGAATCCGAGCATCATCAGCACCCGTGTCTTGTAGGATCTTCGCGCGGTTGGCGTAGCCGAGCTGCATAATTTGCAGGAAGCTGATCAGCATCTCGAAAGCCCCTAACATCTCGAGAAAGCCTGGCCCTTCAACTTCGAGGAGCTCGATCTGCGAAGGATCTTCGATGCTCATGCACATAATTTGTAGCATGGCCAGGAAATCCTCGTCACTAATGATACGTTGTCAGATGTGGTGATAATGACTAACCGGAATACGTTCAAAACCCAGTGAGTCCACTGGTAGATGAAAGAACGTGTCTGGGGATGGAGCATGGGGATGAACTCACGTCATAGGCATTGCGTGGTCTGAGGTTGAGAGTTGTCAGAAGGAGGCAGTGACGCAAATCTGAGACCTGTGGAGGTTCGCAAGGCGAGGTTAGCAGGCGAAAGGCAGAGGCTTAAAGAGGGAGAAATGTCAGGGAGACTGACTGTGTGTAGGGCCAGAAGTGGGAAACTTAGGACTGGAGGACTAGAAATGGAGAATTGAGAGGATATGAGATGATGTGAGGAAGCATGGTGCTTAAAGGGAGCCAGAAAAAAGAGCAGCGGAAATCTCTAGAAGCGCGGAGGTTAGGCTTACAATGAAGCTTTCACGTGCGAACTTGATTCCATGAAATTGTAAGGAGTCTTTAAAGCAGACATTTCGGGCTATCTATGGACGTAAACTTGTTTAGCCATCAAAGCTAGAGGTGAACACCGAGCAGTTTCGAATCCATTGCTATCCAAGATGGCTCCTGTACCATCTTCACTGCTTTCCCTTGGCAGTGATTCTTGATCGAAGTGATGCTTAAATGTATATAGATTAAGTCTCTACATAATACAGTCATGGTAAAATATAGCACGGTATCGCATCGTAAAGGAGAGACAACGAGGTCGGGAGGTAGAGATAGTACATCTCTACGTGGCCGGTAATGGAGGTCTAGTTAGCGAACAATGGACTTTGTCATTAGCCTGTTTCTTACGAGATATTTTGGGATAAATGAAAGCTGTTTTTTTAGGCTGGTGACCTTGAATCTTCACAAAAACACTAGATCCTAGATCAAGACCCTCGTGGGTTCACGGAATCCTTAGGACAATAAATGCTAATTAGTATATGGTTTGCTTTAAGATGTATACCAACTGATGATAACCTAGGTAAGAAGACAGTGCGAGGCTCTCTAAAATCCATTGCTAACGAGTTCTTTCTTCACTCTCATCATTGGTTATAGACCTGGCGTTTGCCGAGGGTCGACGTCAGAGACACCCTGGGACTCGAGTTCAAGCTGAAATAACCGAGTGACGATGTTGGAGTAAGACAAGGGCCATCATATGAGTTCTTTGTCTCGCTTCATAGATTCATCTTGAGTGGATCAGGTGTGGCTGTGGTCAATGTGGCTGTGGTCGTCTCGGACTTCGAAAAGTGTTCTTTTTCCCCACAATTCCTAAAGAGGACTGCGGGCCGAGCATGTCCCTGTAGTCTTTGTTTTACTGGAAGGCATCCATAGTCACGATAGGAGATGTTGAGTGGGATCCGTGACCTGTGGAATGCAAAAACTCCATTGTTAGTCATCCCATGGATCTGATCAGCATGCAATTTCCCAATTGTAAAAGATCGTGATGAGCACTCAGAATGCCCGAACGAGCGAGTCCCGTTGGGCAGAAAAATTTGCCAGCCGTGGGTTCCCAGGGAAGAGTGGAGTCGGACCACAAGTAGAGTGGCCCTTGGGGAATGCGGATTGGTGGACGGGACCCTAGGAATAGAATTGCATGAATGTTTGAATTCGATACATCGGATGGGATCATTGGAATGGCCTCAAGCCCTTGCCAAGGGAGGTCGGAAACGCATCTATAACATGCGCGACGCAAACAAATTGGAGAATTGGCCGCCTAAAAGATGACGGGCTTACATTGGCCCCCATTCCTGCAGCGTCAACCTCCGGTGGTCTTGGGGGGAGGGTCTCCCCCCTGATCGTCAGGTACCAGGTCAGCATAACCGCGCGCCTTTTAGCCTTGTCTCGTCTGTCGTGCCAGTCAAAAGTCGAAGATGCCTGGATAGAAGAAGAGAGGGGGGTATAACGTGTCTCAATTCCACCAGGCAACCAAGCGAATCGTAGCCGTGGAGAGGACGCTGGTGATTTGCGCCACGAGAGTCGAGACATGGTGGAGCGAAGTCGATGACGGCAGGCGTTCCTGGGCGTGTGTGGGTCGGCTTTTTATTAAAGCTGGTCTCCTTCAAACTCCCCCCCGACCGCCCTGAACCCCCTCAAATCTCCCCTTCCCCGCGCCCTGTGAATCACAGAGTTGAAGGGTTGAGTCTTTTTTTGCTCTGTTGAGGAGGCTCGGTTGATCGTGGTGAGTCTCACATTCTTTTGCCTCGCACCTGATTTATTTTTACCTGCCTGGGCACGTGGTACCGTCCCGTGCGGAGAGGAGGAGGTGCGCTCGTGTGCGAAGTGTGCTGACCTCGTTTTGACAAGCGACTTGGAAACCCTCCTTGCATGCGATCCTAACCGACCTGCGCGATCGCAAACTCCTGGCCATCGACTCGGGCCGCACTTCTGTCTTGCCCGTAACCCGAAGCCATGGCATATCCACAGCGCCCGGCGCAACGGCCGCCTCCTATGAGGCAGTATGACAACCAGACTCCAGTGTCACCTGCCTCAGGACCCGGGTATGCACCTGATGCTGGATACGGCGGTGCATATGGAGAAGGAGGATATGACTACCCAGACAATGGAGGTGGAGGAGGGTATGAAGACCCAGCATATAGTTACCAAGCTGGTCCTCCAGGAGCCCCGCCGTACGGCTCGTCGCAACAACCACGCTCGATGCGCCCGCCTCCTGGACCGGGTGCTCCAGATTCCAGACGTCCTTCGGCAGGATATGATGACCGTCGCGGGTATCCTGGAGAACGCCAACCGGGATCAAGCCGGTCCCGACCTCGTAAGTAATGCCTAGCACACTATGTCCGTCAGTATGCTCTGTCCTAACTGCGATATCAGCGGGTGCCCGGCCACCTCCAGGTGATTTCGATAATCCCTTTCCCTCTGTTCCTGGTGGGAGAGATCCTCGAGACCGACGCGGTCCTCCGCCTCGTGGAGGTCTAGAAAAGGGTATGGCGGCAATGGACATCAACGGCAGAGGTCCCCCACCTCGGCCACACACATCCAACTCCAACGGACGACGACCAGATATGCGACAGCCACCCCCACGCGGACCACCTCCCAGTCGTGGCCGTGGCGGATACCCTCCAGGCCCTTCTCGCGCAGCCAGCTCTGGTCGAATGGATCGGCCTGATCGAGCCTACATGGACCCCAATGGACCTCCCATGGGTCCACCGGGTCGAAGCGCAACTATGCCTCTTTCAACGGGACCTCCCATGTATCCCGGTCAATCATCCTACCAAGAACCCGATTATGCATCTAGTCCTATGAGCGAAATGCCTCCAGCTCGTCCCAATACTGCCGGTGGCATGCGAGCTCCTCGCCGCCCTACCAATGAGATGGATGGTGGCCATGGTCCTGGTCTGATGATCCCAGCTGACCCAGGAAGCCGGATTTCTTACGCACCTAGAGAATTCTTGGATAGTTACTACGAGGGCAATGAGGATGAACCTGATATGCCCAATTTCGATGCGATGCCGTCGCAACATAAAGGCCCCATTGACGAGATGGGACTCGATACCCCAAAGCCGATGCAAACACCCACTTCCCCCTCTTCCTCAGCTGGCGGCCAATATGCGCCCTACACTCCTGATTCAAGCCAGGGAACATCGCGATCTAGGTCTCAGCCTGATCTCCGACAGCCTAGCGCTCCCAATCAGTTTGAAAATGCTGGCTTCCAGTTCGATATTCCTAACGATGCACCCCCGATGCCCATGCATGGGGGTAACAGTGGATATGCGCCGAACGGTTATGAAGACCATGGTTATCCCCCGAATGGCCATGCCCCGTATGGGAATCAAGGGTACCCCATGGAACAGCCATTGCCTCATGAAGAAATTCCAAACCCGGATGCTCTTCCACAACATCCGATGCCGGTACCATTCCGACCAGGGCACGATCAAGCCGCCAAGCCAGCGCCAGTCCGCCAATACGGTGCCCCAGCACCTATGGCTCCGGCACCAGGTCCCGCTCCAGGACCTGGCCCGGCCGCTCCCCAGCCTATGCCGGCAGAGGAAACGGGGCCCAAGCCTGTCACGCACGAGGAGCTTCAGCAACTACAAATGAAAGCACGAGGCAACCCCGGCGATCAAAAGACGCAGCTTTTGCTTGCCAAGAAACTGGTCGAGGCATCAACCGTGCTCGTGGCCGACAACAACCGCCTAGACCCCAAGATGAAAGCCAAGGCTAAAGAAAAGTACGTGATGGATGCGTACAAGATCATAAAGAAACTCGCTTCGACCGGGTACCCGGACGCGCAGTTCTACCTGGCAGACTGTTACGGCGAGGGTCAGCTGGGACTGGAAGTCGATGCAAAGGAAGCATTTGCCTTGTATCAGTCTGCTGCCAAGGCAGGCCATGCCCAGTCCGCATACCGAGTAGCCGTCTGTTGCGAGATCGGCGCCGAAGAAGGTGGCGGCACCAAGCGTGACCCGTTCAAGGCTGTGCAGTGGTACAAGCGTGCTGCATCAATGGGCGACACACCTGCTATGTACAAGATGGGTATGATCAACTTGAAGGGACTGCTCGGTCAAGCCCGGAGTCCTCGTGAGGGTGTCTCATGGCTGAAGCGAGCCGCTGAGCGCGCTGATGAGGAAAACCCGCACGCTCTGCATGAATTGGCGCTCATGTACCAGAATGCGAGCGGCAACGATATCATTGTTCGAGACGAAGCATACGCCTCACAGCTGTTCCACCAGGCAGCCGATCTGGGTTACAAGTTCTCGCAGTTCCGTCTCGGTACGGCGTACGAGTACGGCTTGCTAAGCTGTCCAGTCGATAACCGGACGAGTATTATTTGGTACACTCGTGCTGCCGCGCAGGGCGAGCACCAAAGTGAGCTAGCTCTGAGTGGTTGGTATCTTACTGGGTCGGAGGGCATTCTTCAGCAGAATGATACCGAGGCGTATCTGTGGGCACGGAAGGCTGCGACCGCTGGTCTTGCTAAAGCCGAATATGCGATGGGATACTTCACCGAGGTTGGAATCGGTGTCACGGCCAACTTGGAAGATGCGAAACGGTGGTATTGGCGTGCTGCAGGTAAGTGATCTGTCTGATTGGGATTAACTTAGATGTCCCTGCTAACCTTCCTTCTCCTCTTCAGCGCAAGGATTCCCCAAGGCCCGGGAGCGTCTGGAAGACCTCAAAAAGGGCGGCAGTCGCATGCAAAAGACGCGTCTCTCTCGCTCAGCCGTTAACAAGCAGAGCGATGGAGACTGCATCGTCATGTAATTTTCCTATTTACCCTATTGCCATGCTCGGATATCTCGACTTTCTCGAGTCTATTGTATGGAACTGGCTTCTGTCCATTCGCAGATTGGCATGCATGTATCTTCCTAATGACCGGCGTTTGATGTATTCTTCTTTTCCTGTCTTGATATGATTGTGGCTTTTATTCTGCTAGTTTCAGTTGGATAGGGCTCTCTCATCTCGGGTTTGGGCTGTACAATTCCCCCCCACTTTTGCTAAGGCTTTCTTCGCTCTTCTTGCTCTTCTGTTGCTCGAGTACATTCACGCCCTTTGTACTTTCTTCTGGCTTTTTTTGGAATCTGTTTTTGTGCATACTTACTTTGCTTCCTCGGACGAAGTCATGACTAGTGGACACGATTGATACCCTTAGTTAAGGGCGAGGCCTGGCTGCATTTACATTGAATAGAATGACATGACAGATATAAATCACCCATCTATAAACTCGATCTTTATCTTCTTAACATGCCCTATCGCTCTATACTTACTTTGTTTGGCGGGGGGCGCTTCGAAAAGTTACCGCGCGGGCCCATTCCGCGCTTACACAGCAATCGGATCGGCTTATGCCATCGGCATCCCCGTATATCCGACGCGGGCCTGGTATTTCTAACAAACTCGCTCTCTGCGATTATCCCATAATCAAATAAACTTCCTTGCTAATCCAGTCCCAAAAAGAAGCTCAGGCCTTATCGCTGTACCTCTTCAAGCGGGATTATTTAAGAATAAAGCTTCTGCAATCGCCACTGCGCGCCACACTCATACCTCCCGGATATATATATGTCGTCGGAAGCACGCCAGCAGAACACGCCATCAACGAGTAATTCTGCGAATCTTCAGACGAGTCATCGTCGCGTTTTCTTGCTTTCAGTGATAACCGTCATTTTTGCCGCGCTGGTTGCCCTTTTCTGGCGCGATACCGCCAATCTGTTCGTTTTCCGTCGACTTTTCGGATCTTCCTCGCGGGCTGCTGCTAGCTCGTCGACTGGGTCGGCGCCTACACCTGCGGTAGTGTCATCAATTACGGAACAAGCGGGGCTCAAGATGAAGACGCCTGTTTATTTCTTGAGTCATGGCGGAGTGAGTTTTGTCTCTCTACGAGGGTCGTCTTTGGTGTGATACGAGCCGTCGCTAATCGTTATATAGCCTAACGTCATGTACAATGTGGAGCATCCCGCGTACAAGAAGCTGGGTCAGATTGGACGTGAGATTACGACCAAGGTGAAGCCGCGTGCTGTGGTGGTGTTCTCGGCGCATTGGCAGGGTGGTCGGGATACTATTTACGTGAATACTGCTGAAAACACGGATCTGATTTATGAGTACGTTGCGGGGAGTGGGGGAATTCTGATGATGGAATCGTGCTAATCGGCGCAGTTTCTATGGTTTCCCGGACCATTACTACAAGGAGAAGTATCCCAATGTCGGCAGCAAAGAAGTCTCGTATAAAGTGCTCGATGCGCTGAAGGAAGCTGGCATTGACGCCAAGGGTGTGAAGCGTGGTCTGGACCACGGTGTATGGGCGAGCTTCAAGTGCGGTACGTTATACGAAAAACAACAATACAAACTCTACGTGGGGCGATACTAATAGCGATGCAGCATTCGAGCCTGACTCGAACCCCTTGAACGTCCCAATCGTGCAGGTCTCCCTCTTCGATACCGAAGACCCGAATCAGCACTACCGCCTCGGCCAAGCCGTGTCCCGCCTGCGCGAGGAGAACATCCTCATTATCGTCTCCGGCATGGCTGTGCATAACCTGCGCGATCTGCGCTTTACATTCGGTAACCCTCGCCCCATGCCGTACGCCGTCAGCTTCGACGAGGCTCTCAAAGATGCTGCGACGAAAGCGCCGGCGGAGCGGGAACAGGCTTTGGCAGACCTTCTCAAGCGTCCAGATGCTCGCCAGGCTCACCCAACCTTTGACCACCTACTACCCATCCATGTTGGAGCGGGCGCGGCGCACGAGGACGTGGGTAAGAGAATCTGGACGTTGCCGGAGGGCAGCATGAGCTGGGCGCAGTTCCGGTTCGGGGAGCTGAATAATGCTAGTACATCGTTATAGCGTGTAGTCAGAAACACAAATTTGAAATAGAAAGCATAGCATAGCAAAGCGTGCGAATGAGAATGAGAAGTTGTTGATATTTTGATGAGGTTCGATTTCATCTATAGGTACAAGGTACATGTAACTTTGGGACGGGATAACGCGCGAGAGAGAACATTGAAGGACGATGCGTGGGGAGGTTATACTGGGAGAGAAGTTCGTTATGAACTCTGCTTCACCAGAGTCGTGATGCGCTCTTCGATCTGGGAGTCGGACAGGCCTGTGCAAAGTCAGCGATCGGTATTTAGGTGTGTTCACGCGCTGGAGTAACTCACCGGAGAGGGCCGCTTGGGTCTCCTTGCCAAGCTCTGTATTCAATTGATTGATTTGATTAGTTTTCCATCCTCGATGCTGCGAATTGGGTGTTGGGCGTACCGTATCTGGCAAAGACTCGGGGCTCGGTGCCTCTGGCCTCGCGCATCAGGATGGGAGTGTGGGGGTTGTGCTTCTTCATGGTAGGGTAGGCGCGGTTAATGAAGGACCTATTTGAGCAGGAAAATGTTAGTCAATTGGTTCCAGTATCATCCGTATAGCCCGTCAAGTGGCCATGAGACTGGAAACGGAATGGTTGTTGGACACATGCCTTGTGGCAGCACTCTGCTCGGAGGTCTGGCAGAAGAGGAAGCGGAGCTCCTTCAGGCCCTTGGAGAAGACGTATTTGCCCGACATGGTGAATGGGAGTCAGGAGACAGGGGAGATGCGTAGAGGCCGAGGGGTATCACGAAGCAGGACGAGGCCGGAGGTGCATTATTCACAGCGGCGGTGATTCGCCCAGCAAAGAGAGACTGACACTAGTCCTGTTTGGGTTTAGCGGGATATGATTACCTCAGCCGGAAGGGACTGCCCGCCCGAAGATGAAAGGCGACGGAGAGATGGTTATGATAATCTCAATTAGATATTAAAGTACATTTATTAATACTATCTGATTCTTTTCTATCCTCTTCATTACTATTTTTGTGGTGGTAAACACATATCAATCTCATCTCGCCCGTCGGAAAACTCGCTGATCCCGACTCACCGGCCGATTCCGCCCTTCCTCACAACCCCAACCTTTCTGGGAATCCTCTTGAACCTCGACTCTCGACCTCTCCCTCTCCCCTCCTCGTCCACCACACATACAAAATGTCGTCGTCTCGTGTGGGTTTCCGCTTCCTGAACAACGCTCGCTTTGCGTTCCGCAATGCCTCTGCGCCATTCCGCCGGCCGGGTGCTCAGGGTTTCCGCTTCCAGAGCTCCGAGGCCGGCGCCGCAGAGCAGCAGAGCGCTTTCCAGCGCATGTGGAACAGCCCCGTTGGTGTGAAGACTGTGCACTTCTGGTATGGTTGATTCCTTAGGATCTGGCTTTGTCTACGATGGGGGTGAGATTGATGCTAACATTGATGTAATAGGGCCCCCGTTATGAAGGTACGATTTATGACTCGATCGATCCCTCGTTTTGATAAGCGCGATTCTCCCTCGTTATACCATTTAATCGATATCGAACTACGAGATTGTGTTGAATACACGGGATTTAGCATATTGAGATGATAAGAAAGGACGTGGCTGATTTTGATTGTGAACAGTGGGCTCTTGTCATCGCCGGTATCTCCGACTTCAACCGTCCAGCTGAGAAGCTGTCTCTGACCCAGAACTGTGCCCTGATGGCCACCGGTGCCATCTGGACTCGCTGGTGTCTGATTATCAAGCCCCGTAACGTCCTGTACGTTCTGCTTCCATCCGCCCCCGTTCCGTCGACCTCTAGCTAACTCCGCACTTTTCTAGGCTTGCCGCCGTTAACTTCTTCCTCGGGTGCGTTGGTGTCGTTCAGGTTTCGCGTATCTTCATGTGGCAGCGCAGCCAGACGGGCTCTTCCCTGGAGGCCGCCAAGGAGCTCGAGGGCGAAGCTGCCGACTCTGCCAAGGCCGTCGTGGACCAGGCTGAGAACGCCGTGAAGGCTGTTGGTGAGAAGACCGCTTAAGCGAATACTGAAAGAAGGGGTTGCGGTTGCAGTTGCGGGTAATGGGGTTTGGAAAGATTTTGGATTGATATCTGCTTCGCATCTATAGAGACCTCGGGGGAAAAAGTCTGGAGACGGGCACGATTCATCTGGGATCTGATCGAGAGTCTTGTCACCATTTGCGCTGACATATATTGTGTCTATTGGGGACCCGCTGTACATATAAACCATGCCAGTGATTGTTTCTGTTTGTCGAATTGTTCCGAAAGTAGGGCGTAGGGCCGAGTGGTAGCAGTGTCCCTCTACAGAATAACCGGTGATATTCTCCGAATCAACGCCGACATAACCAATGCAATACCTAGCGTATTCTTCTTCTATTCGATGAGAAGAGACATAATTCCTGCAAGACTCCACACGGACCATGTAATATGCGCAGGTCCCAAAATGCTTTCCCCAACCACCCCCCAGTCGATTTACCCGGAGATTTCGATTTTCCTCCCAATCGGCGAATTCCACCCCCAGATCTTCCTCCAACCGGACCCCCACAATCATCTACAGCGACGGAATTGAAACTCATTCAATCTCCGAAATACTTCGCTAACGCGACGCCCATCGCCTGCCCATGCCAGCTTCACTCTCTAGCTTCCCCACAGTCCGCACGCCCGTTTCCCCGGATGAAGTCCTTGTGGATTTACCCCAGCGAACCGCGACATGGGGGGTAATTTAGCACCAGTGCACTGTCTCCCCATGAATGCCAATATGGGAAAAAGGCCGATTTATCAATTTTACTTTGCGGAGAATATATAAGGAGGGAGCTGCCACGCGGGGAGCTGTAGTTGTGGTTCCTTGCCGATCTCTCCTCCAATTCAGAATCGCAAGCTCGATCCTGGATCTGTCCTGAATTGTCGTTGCTCGTCACAATGAAGGTGTCCAATGTTTTGACACAGGCCGTTGGCCTCGTTTTGTCTCTCAGTGCTGCTGCCGAGGCCAATGGATCGTCTCGTAGTGCTGCGTGCCATCCTCATCAGCCATTCCACCCTCTCCCTGCCAGCCAGGCCCGTCACAAGACTTGCCACGTTCCCAGCCATGGCAACGGCATCGATGACTCGGCCAACATTCTGTCGACCCTGAAGAAGTGCAACAATGGCGGCAAGGTTGTCTTTGACGCGGACAAGACCTACACCGTTGGCAAGGCCATGGATATGACCTTCCTCAAGCACGTGGATCTGGGTAGGTAATCATACCGATGAGCGAAGCGCTTTAAAGAAAGCTCTAGCTAACTCACGCTCTTATAGAAATCCTCGGCACAATCCAATTCACCAACGACACCGACTACTGGCAAGCCAATGCATTCCAGCAAGTTTACCAGAACGCGACGACTTTCTTCCAGCTCGGTGGAACCGACGTCAACGTCTACGGAGACGGTACCCTCGATGGCAATGGTCAGGTCTGGTACGACCTGTACGCTGCGGACGCTCTGATTCTGCGTCCTATCCTTGTCGGTATTATCGGGCTGAACGGCGGTACTATCGGCCCTCTCAAGCTCCGCTATTCCCCGCAGTGGTACCACTTTGTCGCCAACTCGTCCAATGTCCTGTTCGAGGGTATCGACATTACCGGTTACAGCAAGAGCAAGAACACTGCTAAGAACACTGACGGATGGTGAGCTTATACCGGTCGAAATATTAGAAAGGGCTTGAGCTAATGATGTTGAATAGGGACATTTACCGCTCCGACAACATTGTCATTCAGGACTCGGTGATCAACAACGGTGATGGTATGGGATAGGTTCCAGAGCTCGAATGTTACCGGCAAAGCTGATGTTTTTGATAGACTGCGTTTCCTTCAAGCCCAACAGCACCAACATTATCGTTCAGAACCTCCACTGCAACGGCTCCCACGGTATCTCCGTTGGTTCTCTGGGCCAGTACAAGAACGAAATCGATATTGTCGAGAACGTCCTTGTCTACAACATTTCGATGTTCAACGCATCTGTACGTGTTTTGAAGATCGATGATTCAGCCTGTGTAGAGTCAACGCTAATATATTACCTAGGACGGTGCCCGCATCAAGGTCTGGCCCGGTGTTGCTTCTGCCCTGTCCACCGACTTGCAGGGTGGAGGTGGCTCTGGCAGTGTCAAGAACATCACCTACGATACTATGACCATTCAGAACGTCGACTATGCCATCGAGGTCACCCAGTGCTACGGACAGAGCAACCTCACTCTGTGCAATGAGTACCCCGTACGTCAATTCTCACCAGTTCCCTTATCCACTCGTTTTTCTTGCAACGCTAACCATATATTTTTGGAATATACAGAGCAGCATGACCATCTCTGATGTCCACTTCACCAACATCAAGGGTACCACCTCTGGCAAATACGACCCCAAGGTCGGAACAATCGTCTGCTCCAGCCCTACTGTAAGTTGAAAGACGATTCTTCAAATCACGAGACATAGCTAACTCTATTAGGTTTGCTCTGATATCTACGCCACTGAGATTGAGGTTACCAGCCCTAAGGGATACAATGCATTCACGTGCACTAATGTAAGTCGGAATAACATGTATTCCCGAACTGCGAGACAGATTGCTAATTTCTTCTCTCTTGAACAGGTCGATGACAGCCTGTTGGCCGTGAACTGTACTTCCACCTAGACAAAAGTCGATGGGAGATAATTACGTTTGGAAATTTGATGATTTAGAAGCGGTCGCGAATTTAATAAGAGTGAATTTTAGCCTCTCATCTTACTTTTGAGTCGTCGCGTACATATACCTAGTCATAATTTATCACTGCGGCATCTCCTGACCAGGAAAATAACTGTAGACGGTTGTGATAATATTGCTAGAATTATTAAAGCTTGGGATAGCAACTCTAAGGCTTTCATCCGCAAATAGGTGGATTTAACCGAGCCTTGACTCTCCAACGCAAGCTCACCTATAGTAAGCACGTCGTGAACCTGTCGCTTGGCAGCTCCCAAAATAAAAAGTTCTTGACATAACCAAGCCAATCAGCGACCTTAATTCCTAGTTAAGCTCTGACCCGAGGAGTGTGACATGCGCCGTGGTTCATCTCCAGATTGAACTATTCGCTTCTTTCGGCGATATGATACGGTGGCTTGGCGATTGTGACTTCACCATTCCGAATTACCCCAAGATTCAAAGACACGATTCACCTCTTTAATGAGGTTGCCTATTTCTTCTCAGGTTGTGTGTTCTTTTGAGTTTAATAGTAGATGAGTCTCTTTTCGAGGGTATTTTAACCGCCCTCGATCGCAGGGCTATAAGATGGCTAAACAGTTCTCCACGTTCAGTTCAATCTCAACTATCCCACGTATACTAGCATATACTGTCTAATTTCTCCATTAAATACCATGGAACACAGTGAAATTGAAGATCTAGCACGTCTCACAAACTCCAACGCATTAACCAATTTCGTCCCAACAACCCACCACGATACCTACCCCTTCATCACACCAACAGGAACAGAACTCGCCTCGAAATCTATTCTCATTACGGGTGCATCACGAGGTCTTGGACGTGACACAGCTATTAGATGCACCAAAGCAGGCTGTGCGAGAATCGCACTTGCAGCTCGTTCCTCGCTAGAAGGTGTCGTGAGAGAAATCGAAGAAACCGCCCGCGAGGCCGGTATCACACCTCCTCAGATTCTCCCCTTGCAGGTGGACGTCACATCAGATGAATCCGTTCGGGCTGCTGCAGGGGCAGTAGAAGAAGCGTTTGGAGGAAGACTGGATATCCTGGTTAATAATGCGGGGTATTTGGTTGAATTCAACAAACCAGTACACGAAATCGATCCGGCGGAATGGTGGAAGGCGTGGGAAGTCAACGTGAAGGGAACATTTCTTTGCTGTCACTACTTCATCCCGCTGCTTTTGAAGGCATACACTCGGATCGTCATCAATATGTCTTCTCTAGCAGCGAACTGCTTGACGTACGGCGCATCGGCGTACCAGGCATCGCGATTCGCTAACTGCCGGCTCTCCGAGTTCATAGCCCGGGACTATGAGAGTCAGAATCTTATCTGTATCACTCTGCATCCTGGTACTGTGAAGACAGACATGGCTGATAATTTCCCGGAGTATTTGCAATTTCTGTTAATTGATAAGGCGAATCTTTCTGCTGATACGGTTGTTTGGTTATGTTCGCAGCGGAGGGAGTGGTTGAATGGTCGATTTGTTGTTGGGAATTGGGATATGGAGGAGTTGGAGGGGAAGCAAAGTGAGATTGTGGAAAGGGATCTTTTCAAGTATCGTATAACTATATAAGTGTATACAATGCACCGATGTACCCTTGAATGGCACTACTAGTCGTCGACATCCCCCTTGAAGCCAGTTTTCACAGGCGATCCGCAATTCCGTGTCTGTGGACCCAGCTTCGAGCTCGCTTTCCGAAGATGTACCTGGTAGATATAAGTTAATGACCAATCCAGGCTCCAGGGTAATACAAGGAAACTTACATGGGAATAGTAAAGAGGGTAACACCCATCGTGATCCCACCAATGGTGAAGAAGCAGTCGCGAACACCTTGCTGATCAATCCAATCGTTGATGTAGAACGACAGTCCAAATGCAAATAGGTTCTTGATGAAGTTCATCGCGGCAAAGGCTTCACCTGCCTTCTCACGATGGCAGTCAACAACGTACGTGACGACACCCGTAGTACCAAGCTGGACACCGAAATTGATCAAGCCCAGGCAAACAATAACGGGAACGGGCCACGGGTCCTGCGCATACGAGGACTGACCCCAAGCAAAGAAGCCGGTAGAGGTGAACAGGAGGTAGGTTACCATGATGGGAAGACGGAATTCGGGTTCTGCGTGTGTTGGTTAGCAAAACTAGAACGTAGCTGGGAAGAATGACTTGGACAGCTTACCAAATATACCCCGGTTCATCTTTGACATTCGAGTCACCAGTCCATCAATCAGAGGACCAGCAGTGAGAGTTCCAAGTACCGATGCAACGAAAGAAGACAAGTTCGTCGCGCCAACACCGACAACAGAAAAGTTGTATGGCGGTGCCGAGAAAATCTGGGACAGGGTGAGAGAAATACCCACTAGCCACGAGATGCATGTGGTGAAAAGCAGGATAGCCCAGAGAACGGGTGGCGATGCAACCAGATAGAATGGCCTAATAATGGTATTCCAGAACGAGACATGGTTGACATAGCCGCTGTAGGGCAGAAGTTCCTGTTTGTAAGAGATTCGGGGCTCGGATGGCTGAATTCCAGCGCTGGGTGTGTTTTCGAGTTGTTCCATTGTTCCCTTTCCTTCAACAACGACCTGCAAGATATTAGTATAGAGGAAAGGGGATTGTAAGGAAGGGGAGTAGTCACGTTGGTGTCTCCAGTGTCGATGTTCAATGCCTGTCGTGAGTAAGCCGATTCGGGCATCCAGAAGAAGATCAGGATGAGTGCCAGGGCGAAGGCACCCCCCATTGCGTGCAAAGCGATTCGGTAGGAACTGTACTCGATGATTGCGGCGGCTATTGAAAAAACCAGTGTTAGTAGATATATCGATGAAAGATTTCGAAGGCAGATTTACCAATTGGCACAGCAAGATTGATTCCACCAAGAACACCAAGGTTGAAAATAGCCGTCCGGAATCCACGCTCATGCACGAACCTAGAATTTGTTAGAATTGAATAAAGTCAAAGCGGAGGAATTCTCACCAAATATCAGAAATAGACGCCGGAACCAAAGCTTCCATAGGCGCCATGCAAAGTCCACACACGACACGAGCAGCGACGAAAGAATGGAAACTCCCCGCCTCAGCTGCCCAAAAACACGACACCATCAGACCAACCGTTGTTCCAAGATAGACTGGACGTTTCCCGTATTTCACAGCCAGAGAATTGAAAATCAAACTTCCTACTGCGATAGCGGCGATCGTGCCTCCCTGGACGGCAGAGACGAATGTCGACAAGGAGACGCCGAATTCCGCTGCGAGGGGAACGAATGCTCCTCCGAGTAGTGGGCCGACAGCTAATTGAGAAGAAATGGTCAGTAAAGTTGAGTGAATGATGTAAATGGCGTTATAGGGATGATACCTCCGACACATCCACAGCCCCATGCAAAGGCAAGGGTGAAAAGCTCCTTCTTCCTTCGTGGCCAGTTGTATGGATCGTTTGGCGACTCAGATGGCTGAGGGACCAGGACAATCTGTCCGGTAGGATCATGTTTCAAGAGGCCAGGATCAACCCCCGAGTACTCATTGGTGGAATGAAGACCATTGAGGGGTGCTGTTCCTGGAATATGCTCCAGCTTGTCATCGTCTAGAATACCAAGCGGCATATTGGAGACTTGGGTAGTTTGAGGACTGAGACGGGAGAAAGATTTGAGAAGAAACGGCAAGGACTGGCTGGAAACTAGTCACTTAAAGAAACCAAGAGAGCTAAGGAATTTGCTAAGCTCTGGTCGGCAACTAAGGAGGTCGATCGAATATGATCGTGCATGCAAGCTCATGGCAGGGCCATTGACCCCTGTTTATAGCTTCTACTGGTTCCAATCAAGAATAGTCTTTTAGTTTCAACATGATCTATCAGTGCTAGCTGTACTGCTGCAAGGCTTAGGTGGATGATCCTTGAGCTCGTCTGCGTCTACGAGCCTAAGAGGCGATTGTTGGCGAGAGAATATGGGGCTGTCAGGCCCCATCGTGGGGAAACCCCGGTCGTCTAAACTGGGGATCCCCACGGGGTTTCGCCGATTAGGTAGACTGGAACTGTCATTTGGGAATATAATTCTTGGAATCGTTTATAAGGTTTAGTTGGCGTTTTATAGACGAGGTAGTGAGTCAAAGGAAGCCTCAAATTGACTTGTGACACTCTAAATATTGGCCGTAAGGATGAACGATGCAGCAAATAAAATGACTTGATTTCGAGGTCTAAACCTATCGGAGAGAATGCCGCGAGACGAGGAATCAACTATCGCGATGGGTGACACAGAGAGCTCGCGTCCCTCCAGTTCGGCAAATTTGCCACAAAATCAACCGACAAGACCGGCATCTACAGCAGGAACGCAACAGATATGGAGCTCGGGGCTTAAAAGTCTATGCTACTTAGTAAGGTAGGATTTGTAGGGTGTAGAATGATCCTAGATAAAGTATATCCATGTCAAAAATCCCTTCTTAATGGGAAACCAGTTCCTTCCAGACTGAATCCGCCAAAGAGCTGACCACGAAGGTTGTCTTGACTAGCCGCCCCCAAACTATTCCTCTAAAAATTACACAGTATTTTCTGGTATACATATGACAGAAAATGAAGGCATGATTCCGCACTTACGCTACGTCAGCATGCGGGGATCCGGCAGTTGTTTAGCACCAGCACGTTGTGACAACACCAGGACCCGGCCGAGAAGAACTTAGTTTACAAAGGATAAAATGCTAAACGGGTATTGGAAGCAGGCTCTCTTCCCTTCGTATACGGAGTACATGGATACAAAAAAGTATGAACAGTCGCTGGTGGCTGTAAACTACTGTAAACTGTGGATCAGTGGCTTGCTCGGACTCCGGAAATCCCCCAGCTCCACAACAGAACAACAGTGTGGGGAAAAACGAGGAGGGGAAATTTGAAAGAAACAGGCATCTTCTGCCGATGCGGAATTGAATCCCATAGATTATAGGGATTCTAGCCCTGCATTTTCAGTTGGGGATTTTGAATAGAGCCAGTTTAACGGAAAAATGAGAAGCGTCGTTGTCACCGGTGAGTTATCCCAGGTTACAGAACTAAATGGAACAGCTATTAACTTCCCACCAGGAGGGGCCTCGGGCATTGGCCTAGGTATAACCCGTCACTTTATCACTCAGCCAGACACTCATATTACAATCCTTGACGTCAACTTAACTTCCGGTGCCCAAGTCCTGCAACACCTTCAGACCGAGTTTCTGTCTGCGAGCGTGTCCTTTGAAGAATGCGATGTCTCCTCCTGGGATAGTCAAGCTGCAGCCTTTGAGAAAATATATGCCCAGCAAGGTCGCGTTGACATTGTATTCGCCAATGCGGGAATCTCAAAGGAGGGTAACTTGCTACCTGCAAAGGGAGATGCGGGCCCTGTCAAACCGAATCTTAAAACTATGGATGTGAATCTGGTGGGAGTTATATACAGTAAGAGAGCTTTGAAAGGAAATTTGCTGCGGAGCTTTCTAACATCTATCTAACAGCTGTCAACCTGGCGACTCACTATATGTTTAAAAATGCGACGACCGATCCATCAGCATCCTCAAACGGGTTAATCGTTTGCACCGCCTCGAATGCCGGTCTCTACCCCTTCCCAGTCGCGCCATTATACGCAACCACAAAGTTCGGTGTAGTCGGACTCGTGCGCTCCTTAGCTCGTAGACTCGAGAAAGACAAGATTCGCATCAATGCTCTAGCTCCAGCTGTCATCGGTAAGTCATTCCCGAGAGCTAACATGGACAGAAAGACTGACTGGAATAGAAACGAATATCGCACCAAGCTCTGATTTATTCAAGCCCATGATTATCACGCCAATGTCAACGGCTACTAAGGCGGTGGCTCAATTCGTGGGGGATGAATCGTTGAATGGTAAAATTGCTGAAGTACATGGTGAACATGTCACCTTTGCGGAGCCTCCGGCGTATGTGGATGAGGACACTGGCAAGAACATAGAGACTTTCTGGAATCTGGGATACGCGTGATGGAATAACGAAAGTGAAATTCGTGTATCTCATTTGTAATGAAATGAATATAGTGAATAAATCGCCTTGCATCTGAAAAACGCCGTATACATGGGATCTGATAACCATCACACTGTATTCGACGGTTCGGAGAGTCGGCTGTAGGATATGTAAAGACCAAAAGAAATACAAGATAGAGACATTGTAACAACAAGGGCACGCAAGGGTCCAAAAATGCAAGAGCCCAGGATATCAGTTAATGTCATAAACGCCGGGGCTTGAACCAGCCCAAACACCATCCCACATAAACATAACAGCACATAAGACGTAGAAGAAAGAAACCAATAAACGCCTTCCGCTGAAGCACGGTCCAGATCTATCCAACTCCTAGAAACCCATTCACAGAATCTATGTTATTCATCCTGCAACAATACCTTTAACTTCTCGAGTTTATCTTCGCAATGCACTTCCATCTGCATAATCACATCGACGGCGTCCTTCTTGGTGATGAGCAGTTGAGACACGAGCCAAAAGTTGTACCCGTTCTTGTAGAAGCCCATCGACGCCCATTCATCATTAGACACTTGACTGCGCAAGGCAACCCAGTAGTCACGCCAGCGATTCAAGGCCGTTCGGATTGAACTCAGAATCGAGTCTTCGGGGATCATGCTCTTGCCCCAGTTGCCTTCGTTTTGGGCAGATTGAATGACAAGGGCTTGGCGTTTGAGTAGCCCCACAAGTGTCATGTGTGTATTGATAAAAGCGAATAGAACTGCCAAATCATAATTAGCACTCGGTCATAGAAATATACGAAAAATCTTGTGTACCATGAATGACAATGAACATGTCCAGAACCGTAAGATCCATCTTGGCAGATGGGGGCGATCCCCGAGGGTCATCTTGCGTAGATGACTCGAACATATGTTGGAATGCCTGATATATGGTAATATCGCGAGAAAAGCGAAACTTGGGATCTTGAAATGGATGTGGAGATCGGAAAAGTGCCTCTTCACAGGGTAGCTCGGACTCTATCTCCGCATGTGTCAAGCGACACGGATAATTTTGATAGAAGAAGAACGCGCAGTCCAGTAGTGATATAATGCTAATCGTTCTACAAACAGTTAGAAGGTGATTATAGATGAGTTTCAAACATTACTTACCGAATACGACACTCTCTTTGAATCCATAAGAGCTCTTCAAATTGCTCCTCGTTGGGTGTATGCCGGACTTTGACAAGGTTAAGACGACGGGCGACCTGTGATAATGGTGAGATTTCGTGTGAGGATTTACGGGACTTTCATTCCCCTACCTTGACGACCTCACTGAACCGATTCTCCATCGCACGGTTCTTGGACGATCGGCTTCCTGCCCAGTATTGCACGACTGTAATTATGAAGCCAGCCTGGAAGTTCTGAAATTTCATCCAATCAGTCGATTCATCCTCGGCACTTCGAAGTCCAGTGAAAATGCTGGCAACTTCGGTCTCTGGCGAGTAAATGTGACTTGAAAAGATAAACAGTTCGGCAAAATCGAGCAGTCGCTTTGCCACGTACGCCTCCCTTTGATCAGGGCTATACATGGCGCCGAAGAATGTGACTGCAGCTAGCAGAGGCAATGCAATTGATTCTAGGTCAAATGTGGGGATGTGGATCATCGCGCAGCTTGGTTGCCAATACTTGAAATAAAGCGACACGAACTTGCGTATGCGCGCCGTTGTCAGCAGGAAGCTGAGGTTCGTTGATATCTCCTCTTGCGCCTTGGGATCCAAGGGGACTGTCCATGCTCGTGCTAGAATCGATTGAATCAAAGCCATTGCGAAGGGTCGCTCGGGTTCAAAAACCCCTTGTTCGGCTGGCAGGGCCATGTTGCCGTCCTGTCCTGATGCAAATGCAGCTGGGTATGCGACCTGACCCGCAAATGGGGGTTCCGCAGATTTCTGACTGTCACCAAAAGGACCATTGAAGAAGTCCAGAAACGTGTCTTGGAAGAATTGTAGATTCGCCGGGTCGGACTCCGCAAAACCTGGTGAGAAGTCGGCCCGGTCGCCTTGCATGTCGAAAGATGGGTAAATTTCCCCATTTGTGTTTGCCTCCTCCAACGCAGTCTGATTGTGATACACCATGTCGCGTTCGCGATCGTTGCGAGGGGGAAGCCTGAAGCCTTCGGTAAAAGAGTCCGTACCGCCGTTTAGGAGGAATTTAATCGAGCCGCGATCCGAAGGTTGTCTATAGATTGGAGGCATTTGAGGGTTCGGCGAGTTTTTTCCTGGGTCGGATCAGCCCTGATTGCAATTCCAATGTTCATCGCATCCTACCATCCTCGACACTGGCACTTGGACTCGGCCCTTTCGGGTTTGTGCACATAAAGCCTCTTTTAACGCAAGACTCGCACGGGGTATTACCATCGCAGCGGAGTTTCATCGCCGTACACTATGGGTGGTGATCAATCTATTAGTCAGGAAAAAGGTCGATCTTGGGGTTTCGGAAGCTGTGAGCCGGCTTACCGATTGACATGCATGTCGCCGCCGGCCTCGTTGACCCGTCTCGGGGATCTTGCGATCTCCGCGCTGGCTGCAATCCGTATAGTGATCTCGTAGATTGTCGCTAGTAGGTACGGGTAAGCTTGACGTTGTTTCATGGCAACAAGGCGATCGTGGACATACCAGCGCGCAAAGGACTCGTTGCAAAAAATGCAGGAGTAGGGCTTCTGGCCGGAATCTGTCTAGATTAAGCAACGAATCGGGGGGGGAACCTGCAGGGCGGGGCAACGTACGCCTGAGATGGTGTCTCTTCAAGTGATCAATGCGCGTGAAGCCCCGCTGACAGATCGTGCAGCGAAAGTGCTTCTCGGCGGGCTTCATGTTGGTCCATCGGGGAGGAAGGGGAGATCCGGGGTAAACGAGAGTGGTGAAGAACGAAAGAGTCTGGGGGGAAAAGAGGAGAAAAAAGAGAGGGCGATCATTTCGGGGCTGTGGTATTGCCGGTGTATTTGTATCGGTAGTCTCGAGTCATGTTTAGTGCCGAAGTAGTGTATTTGACGCGGCATGTGGGTGCAATTGGGGCTCTTGGCACGTGTAATTTATCTGGTACGGTATCGTATACTAATGATATCACCACCCCGGTATGGAGCCTCCTCCACTTTACAGCTCCACCAAGAGACAGGGATCCAGAATCCAGATCGAGCTACTATAAGTATGGTACGCCACAATTTTAGGGAACTGTATGAGACAATACTCATAAAGATTAATCACTTCCTTTATTACCGAGGAGAGGAATATCCCCCGAACCTTGCCCTCCTTTGTGACGACGAACGGGGAGTTTTGCATCCCGACTACTACTACGCTATCATCCTTGCTCATTACTATTAGGTAGGGTATGCCTCCCGGAAAAAGAACTCAAAAGACATTCCGGAAGATCTTTAGAGATATAGGTGGCTAAATCATGTCTGGCTAGTCTTTTTCTTCCATCTCCTTTTCCCAAAAATTTGAACTGCCACTTTAAACCAATTGGACAAGATCCCTTTCCCAGGACTCATTCTGTACGCCCCGAATATCCCTAGTACCATGCTGACCAACATCTGTACTCTGCTCGGCCTTCAATCACGCAGCAGGAACTGCTGTAGGAACCGTGGTATTCATGGCATCTGACCACGCACACGTCTTTTCTGTGGGCGGTTAATGCCATGGATGGACCCGACTTGTGGGTTAACAATATATCGGCAACAGCCATGAACCCATCCTCTTGACACCTCCCTACTAGGACTAAATTACAGAAACTCCAAGGTTTCGACAAAACGCGATTGCTACGTGGCAGGAAGCTTCAAACATATTAAGACGAGGGGGCAACTACCCGAAGTTCTATAACCTTAGTGGTGATAAGCGAAAAATACTATCCAGACTATCCAGTTCATGAACCCTGTCCGGCGACCTTAACTGGCGAGTGAAAATCTCTCGCGTCCATTATGATTCAAGCCTCGGTTTTCATTGTGCTTCAAGCATTCAATTCTGTTTCTTCTGTTGACACATTATCATGATTCATAGTGCTTATCGGCTTTGTCGCCCGCAAAACTTCACATGGCCATGAGCTGCCCATGCTTTGCCATCCAGCAAGCCGAAATTCCACTTTATCCCATCCCAAAGATTTCAATATATAGCTGAATTGTTTTGGAGCTCCGCTCAGCTCTACGACAACCAACAAACCACCCGGTCGGAGAACTCTCGCCATTTCCATGATCGCCTTTTCGCGGGTCGCCCTTCGCACGCTGTGAAATGACAGGCTTGCAGTAACCAGTCCCATTGTCTCGTCCTCAACTGGTAATTGTGTAAAATCGGCCGTGTGCAAGACAATATGGTCAAGTAGACCGAGGCTCGCCGCGCTATTGTATTTCGCCTCCGGCGAATTACCACTTCGATCCGCTTTTTTGAAGGAATCCACCCCATAAATGGGATAAATAGTCTTTCTAGATCCAGCGGAAGCAGCGTCGGTCTTGTATTGGGCAATCTTCAGCAAAGCCATGCCTCCACAGCAGCCCACGTCAAGGGCGGGTAAATCGAAAACATCGGTCGGTAACTCGGCTAAAAGGTTGTCCCATATATCGAATTTTCCTTTGAGCCCAAAATAGAGGTGTAGCGGGGTCGTGATAGAAGAAAAGTATAAGCTCGTTGGGGGATCTATCCCGCACGATGAGTTGGAAGATGGTGTCGAGTTTGCGAGTTTCAGCTGAGTGAGGTGGTTTGCAGGCTCGGTGGTAGCGTCCATATTAGCGGGTGTCGTCATTTGAATCGCCCAGTATGCACGGTGAACCGATGACTGGAACCTTGACCTGACACAAAGACAGTTGGCTTTATCAGTAGAAATCGACTGTTTGGCCTGGAAGCTACGCGATGCCGATACCGACCGAGCATTGGAGGAGTGCACGTTGGCAAAAGACGAATGCCCCTTCATAGGGGTGGTAATGGTTTCAGCGTGAAACATTCGCGCTAAGCTTTTATAGGCTACCTTTGCTTGCTTGGCGACTCTAGTAGGCTGGTAATGTAGGTTGCGTTTTGCATAGCTTCAAACCACAAGGAATCTGATACACCCGTATCCAGTGTCATAGTACGAGCAAGTTAAACAAGGTAGTGACCGGCGAATCCTGACCGAACGATACAAAATCTATCAGAGTATACCAGGGTGTTGTTTTGGTGCTGTTCATAAGGTCCAATCTGTTAACTCCGTATAGCTAACATTGAGTGCATTTACATCTGTACGGTTCATTTTCTGTTCGTTGGGATGATAAGTGTGATGACTGATATAGCAATCATTTTAAAGCATTGTGACAATGTCTCTGGCTAAACTTCTACGTCATCTTATCGGGGTACAGTTAAAAAGACAGTTAAAAAGACAGTTAAAAAGATAGTTAAAAAGATAGTTAAAAAGATAGTTAAAAAGATATCCCGAGAACTCTTTAGAAACAGAGCAGGGTAAAGTGTTTCTGGCTAGGCCTGTTTTCTCTCCCCTGTTCTAAAAATTTGAACCCCTACTATAAATACATAAGTGCCAAGGAGGATTTGTATAGGTAGGTATCAGATGCGCCATATTCTATTCGTAAGGTAAGTTTCTAACTAGGATCAGAGTCTTAGTGGCAGTTCTCGGTTGCCATTCTTCATATTGTATACTAGTGCAACCCAGTTTAATAAAACGGTACCATGACATTAAGCATACAACGCTTAACAACTCATAGAAACCGCGTACACGTGTATCAATGGGGTTGAAAAAAGGGAATAGAAGCGATATTCCAATATGAATACCATGCCAAAGACATGAGATGCTGGAGAAGAGCAAAGCAACATGAGAAGAGAAGGGCAGCTCCTCGTCTCCACCTGATTGAAAAGGGCTGTCAAATTACATATAACGCCTCAGACTTTCGAAAACGTGTTTGACAGCTTCCGCACTGCATCTTCAGTCGTACTGTCTGGTCCAAGCACCCGGTCGTTGGCTGGGACAAATTGAATGTCCTTGGTCGGTCCAAGCAACTTATCGGTCTGCTTGTTGACGGCGGAAAGATATTCATCCGGGTATCCTTGTGGATCATCGATGAAGTATAGTGTATGAAGTGTACGCAGCTGGGATTGGACGTCCAAGGGGAGCAAACTGACTTGAGCAGTACCTAGTAAAGCGATTGCCCGTCGGATCGCGAACATTGGCTCTCCATGCCAGGTCTTGGATCTGGAATCCAGGTCACAGTTCTCCTGGGGGTTTCTCATGGCTTACCAGCACGTCCGTTGAAATCCAGATGGATTGATAACGGCCGGGGCTGGCCTGGTCTATTGCTCTGGTGACGTGACGATGTCACTCACTGGGGTGGGCTTGTTAGCCCCAACACATCCTTAAAACTCTTCTCATATTCTTTGTTTATCTCTGCCTACCACCCTCAACTTCCCCCTTTTTCCTCTCTCAACCACGACCCCTCTTTCTTCTTTCGACAACCTCTCACTACTACTCAATACTACCTTCTCGTGTCTCTTCATCACCATCCTCCGCTCCTCACTGATACTCTTTTGTGACTATCCTACACTCTCCTCATGATGCACAGAGCCAGCCCCTCAAAGTCAGGACCTCGTCCACCCCGCGATGAACTTTACACTACCCATGATCTTGACCTTCACCAGGAGATCATCAGTTCTCGACCTCGTGAACTCAAAAGTGTTCTCATCACGGATTATGGCAGTGTTTTGGCTGGGTCACATAACAGAGACCACTCATTCATTGCCTGCACTACTGCATCAGACCCGATGTATCCCCGACCCTTACCTTCAAGTGTCGTTTGAATGTGCCTATCATACGGCTCTTCCTGCACCTGAACTTGGAGATGACGAGGACACCGACACCAAGATTGATAAGAAGGTGGATGCACAAGGCTACCGAAGCTTCCAGCGGGGGTGTGTCAAGTTCACTTGTCATGATGCTGCCCATCTGAAAGTCATCAAACTTGAAGCAGAATCTGATCAAGTAAGTGTCCTGAACCTCACCTACCCAGACTGAAATTCTGGTACTAATCTTCGTAAAGAACACGGATCTACAGGTAACAGGCTTTGTCGAAGCTATCGCCAACAAAAAACGCGCAATCGCCCCCTCCAGTCTCATCGACAAAGTTCCAGCACTCCGGATTGCCCCCGACAATGGGTCGCTCAACGTTCTCCGAATTGAGCTAAAAAAGGATGCCATCATCAAGACTATCGGAATACACCCGCCTCATGAATTGGGCGAGCAGAACACCGCATGGCTCCTCATCTCTAGCCATCTCAAGCAGTCACGTTCACTCAACGTCGTTCTCAAGACCTCAAATGAGGACCTGGAGAACACGGCTTATCGCATGCGCCAAGCTTGGATGGCAATGAAAGACACGCCTGGTCCATTCTATCTGTTCCACAGCAATCATCCCGACAATGGGCCCCGTGACCAGCGTCCAGTTGAATTCCATGCACCTCGGCAAGTTGGATTCATGCACGTTCACGAGTACAACACACATTTCTGCCATAAGTTGCTCATAGGCCTTGATATCAATGGGAAGGAGCGCAAACAGATCTTCGCTGCTGGTCACGAGATGTACATGAAGCGCGAAGAGATGAAGGGGCTCTGGGATCTGTTGCTGATGCAGCGAGCGTCCGACTTCCGCCCGTGGATTTCTACGAGACCATCAAAGACAAAGACTTTGATTTTGGTAGAATTACCAGCAAGCTCAACCAAGGTCAGCGGGCGGCATTTGACGGCCTGCGGGAAATGCATGCCTTGGCCGTTGCCATTCGCGGACCCCCTGGTACGGGCAAGACATATTGGGCTTGCCAAATCCTCGTTCCTCTTATCGAGCACAGGAACAAGGAAACTGGAAAGCACCATGTGATTTATGCCATGTCTCCAACGAATGAACAGGCGAACAAGTTTGCAGTGGATATCCACCTCGTTCTCAAGGAGAAAGTTCGGCGTAAGGACGAAAGACCAATCACTGTCATTCGACTTCTTCCGTGGCATTTTGAAAACGCCAACGCCGGAACGGATAGCGAGGATACCCTCCGTACGATTTGTCCGGCAGATGCTGATGTTTTGGCTCTGATTTACGATATGATTTTCCCCGGCACCGTTGCTACACTGAATGACCGCGAGAAGGAAACTGAGAGAATCGGAGAGTCCTCTTTCTCTCTTGTGAATCATATGGCTCAAGAACTCGAGGCTGATAGCAAAAGGAAAGAGGAAACGCGGAAGTGGGCAGCTCTAAAAGAGCAAATCGAAGCATTCAGAGTCGGCCTTATGAGCACAGCGCAAACTGACTCGCTAAAGGAAGGCATCAGAGAACTCCGGGACTTTGTGCTTATGAGCGCTGATGTCCTTGTATCTACTCCGTACACTGCTTGCCAAGGTTACCTGCGGGATCTCATCAAGCCCAGCCACATCGTTTGCGATGAAGCTAATCAGATCTCAGAGCCTCGCCTTTGGCCTACTTTGGCCTGGTATACTTCTGCCAACAATCCAAGCTTCAAGGCCATGGTTCTAATGGGCGATCTCCTGATACCTCCAACGGTCCTGGCGCCAAAGGACAAATGCCCGTTCCGGTCACAGCTGACGGTATCGTTCTTCGATCGATTCATTGCCAATGGCCTCAGCCTTTCAGACTTGTATCAACAACGCCGTATGCACGAGGATATCGCAGCGGGGCACAAGCTGGCATACTATGGAAGCTGTCTTAGAACGCACATATCCACCAATCATAATTCCAGTGTCCGCGCAAGAACTGTCCGTCAGCTTGACAAATATCTGTTCAATCTGGAATCTAATGTGGTCGTTATTGACATCCCCGAGGGTGAACAGAAATCGGACAACAGTGCTGGTGCTACGTCGAGCTACAACGAAGAAAATGTTGAAGCTGTTGTGGCTGTGGTCGTCAAACTGCTCGAATATCAACCGGCTAAGAAAAGGGCCGCCTCTCAATTCGATGATATTTGCATCTTGACCTTCTATTCGGTTCAACAAAAGCTTCACCAGCAGGCAATGATGAAACTCCACGCGGAAAAGCCAGGCTTGGGAGCTGACAAGGTGAAAATTGCCACTGTCGATCGTTACCAAGGCCATGAAGCGGACATCATTATCCTGGACCTGGTGATCGTTGACAAGCCCGGATTCGCTGCAGCAGCAGGGCGTATGAATTCAGCTTTGACTCGTGCCAAAGCCGGTCTCTTTGTCGTTGCTTCCGTGAGGGCAACTGTCAAAGCATGCAAGGAGAATCAACCGAGATGCAAGTTCATGAAGGAAATCTTTGACCACTGGGCCTCCAAGGATATCTGCCGTCGTCCTAAGTTCATCATCAAGCTCCTTGAAGATTGGAAAGCGACTTGCCAACGGTAAGCCCTCGCCGCTGATGTTTACACTAGACACGAAGAAGAAATATCTAGCAACCTAGGGAAGGTCGGGTTTGAGCGGCAAAAATGTATGATTAGCAGACTGTGAGTTTCTTTTCAAAAACCAGAAATGAAAAAAAAGGGGAGAAGCCTCCTCAAAAGATCTTCGGTCCATCTTCTTATGTAATCGTTTTTAGGTAGCAATATGGACAAGTACTGTAGTGAAGTTTCATAAGTTTGGAACCCTGACCATGTTTCAAAATCATCTCTGTCATATTTTGAAAGATGAATCGATAGATGTTTCCGGGAATATCTGGAAAGACCATCCAAAAGACCATCCAAAAGACCATCCAAAAGACCATCCAAAAGATATCCAGATACAGAAGATGTTAAAGGGTATCTAGCTATGCCTGTTCTCCCACCTTGCTTCAAGCTTTTGAGCCCTTCTCTTCTTTGGTTGCTTTGCTATTCTTAAATATCCGATGCCTTCGGGATAAAACCTATACTAAGGGACCTCACCTTTTCCTTGTCTTCTAGCCCAATGTTACATGCGGGCACGTTTCTATGGAGTGTTAAGCGTCGTATACATTATCACTATCATGTTGCGCTTATCTTGAACCAAGCTGAACTATTTTAGTGTAAAAATTGGCGAACGATAAATACTGGAATAATCAATTATAAGAACGTGAACCTTGGAAGTGTAACGTCTAAAGTCAAAGCTGGGTTGTGTGTCCAAGACAGGAATCATGGCTAACTAGAGTTCGCTACTGTGCTTATCCCGTTCTAACACCATTAAAAACGAATACAAAAAACATCAAGCAAGATTCCTCTGCTCGATCTATGTAAACCATGAGCGTCTTAGCATATCTTGTTGCCCGAAGGTCCGTTGCGCCCTGCTTGTGCTATTTCTCCCCGAGTTCCTTCTATGCCTGGAAAGGCTGGGGGAAATCAACCTGATCATCATCGAGATAGTTCACATTGATCCTATCATGTTTCTCATTCTCGGTCCAGCCATCTCCAAACCACCCGGTCGGATTGTCGTTGACATACTCATAGTCAAAGTCTTCCCAACGGGGATTCGCGAATACCTTCATCGCATGAAGAGAGGACCCTAGCTCTGGTTAGTAAATTCAGCGACGAAAACACCCCGAGGTTGTTATCATACCAGGCCATAGTGCAATAATGCGTCCATCTTCAGTACCACCCTTGTACCAACTCCGACATTTGCCACTGAAGACGGTGCCTGTGAAGTACTCATCACAGTACTGACTAAAGCGCCGGACTGCGTTGGCTTTCACAGACAGAGCGCGGATGTTGTCGCGTTGCATCTTCTTCACGCATTCCGTGAAGTAATCTATCTCTCTTTCAATTAGGATGAGTAGATTGCCCTCTCCAAGGCCCGAGTTGGGTCCGAGGGAGATGAAGTAATTAGGGAACCCGTCGGTTGCGACCGAGATATAGGTCTCGGGGGTCTTTTTCCATCGCTCAGCGAGAGTGATGCCCCCTCGTCCCTTGATGGGGAATCGCGGGGTATGGGTCGTATCAAATCCGGTAGCACAAACAATCGCATCGACTTCCCTGTGCTGACCATCAGCTGTGAAGATGCCTGTCGCGTCGACCTTGACAATATCCGACTTGATGACATTGACTCTTTCATCTGTCAAAGCTTCGAGGTAGCCTGGACCTGGTGTCAAGCGCCTACAAGCTGGTGGGAATGATGGAATAAGATCATCCAATATCTCGGGCTTGTTCGTTAAGCGGCGCTTCATGTTTGTGACGAACACGTCATGGGCCTCCACTTGCATGGGGTGACCGGTAAGTGTGGCTCCATGGATAGACTGCAACTCGAGCTCCACCTCTGATCGTGAAATTAGATATTTGTATGACTGCTGTTGAGGTAGAGCTTTGCGTACCTTTACGGAACTCCTGGTATGCTTGGTGATCGTTCTTGAAAGTCTCGATCTCCTCCGGAGTGAAGGTATCTGAAACAAAAGGTTAGGCAATCGCGAAAGGGCTGACAGATGAAGCTATCTTACAGTTTTCTAGTCCCTTGCCTCCTCGCTTGTCGATTTGCTCTCTAGCAAACGTCGGAGCAATCCACGTCCGGCTGCGTATATAATGATCGATATAGGTCACTTTTGGCAGCATTCCAGGCACAATCTGAATGCCACTGGAACCGTTTCCAATCACAGCCACTCGTTTATTCTATACCAAGGTCAGTACCGGCTGCAAGTTGTCAAGTTCGATATAGCACAAACTTACCGAATATTCGTACTCCTCATCCCAAGAGGCACTGTGAAGCAGCTTGCCCTTGAAATCTTGAAGACCAGGGATGTTTGGCCATTTCCAGTTGTTCAGAGCACCGGTCGCTTGGATGAGAACATCAGCTTGGTCGCTGTACGTCGAGCCACTTTCCAAGTCTTGAATCTAATTCGAGCCAAGTCAGTTATAGTTCTATTGCCCAGCGATGAATCTGACTCACTTGGACATTCCACTTTGAAGTATTTTCATCCCAGGTTGCCCCCTCAACCTGCTGCCTCAACTTGATGTATTTCATGCACCCATACTTGTCGACGATGCGTTTCCAGTATCGGTGGATCTCTGGCGAGGTGGCATAGAAAGAAGACCACTCTTTGTTGGGCTCGAAGGTGGCCTGGTAGGTGTGTGCGGGAATGTCTGAATAACAAGCAGTCGGGTCAGCATCACACTCGAGAAGACAGGATTCGAGGCATCGATTGTCGCCACAATATTGGATAACGTACCACATGCACAGCCTGGATACCGATTCTAAAGACAGAGCTTGTCAGTTAAGGTCCAAAGACATCTTTCAACATCCAATGGGGTTCATGGAAGCCCGTAGCCCAGCATTCGCGAGAGAGAAAAAAACCACAACATGGACTGACCTCAACCCAAGTTCCTCCAATATCCGCGTTCTTGTCATAGATACACAGATCGATATTTGGAATTCTTTGAACAAATCGAATACAAGAGAGAATTCCCGAGATACCGGCGCCAATGACAACGACTCTCAATGGCCTGCCTTCATCGACAGACCGCTGTTCAATGATAGGTTTGACGATCTGCCGAGGGGCTTCCTTTTCTTGCACCACGGGCTTAGGGCTACCACTGAAGACTCGAGACAGTCGCTTCATGGCTGCTATGATTGTCGAGAAAAGTCTAAGCAGAAAAGAAGCAGAGGTATAGGGATTGGTAAAAGACAAGCCTTCTCGCTCGACGCTTAAATGATCTCACTTGGTAAAAGGCCCCCTGCATGCTTCAGGCGGACCATTACCGAATTATAAGTCATTCAAGCCATTGCCAGGCGCCCAATGCTCCTACGTCTCCAGCCTCGTCGGATCCTTCAACCGGATATAGACTATGCTTTGGAGCAATACTCAACGCGATGATTGACCAGAAAATCAAAGTATATCGAAGCTTCCTCCCCGGGCTCACCCAGCGTGAATATCTCTCGGGAACAGGAAATGCCCCTTTGAAGATCCACAGTCTTCGGATATAGGGTCTCGCTACATGTACGAATCCCTTCGTATCCACAATTCTACCTGCTAGACGGAGGGGGCCCGGGACCACGAGTTTCCCCCGTGATGTGAATGGCTCCCCGGGAATCCCCCGTGGAGGTTTACCCCCACAGGGTCAGAAACGCGGGGGAGACGGGGTAGTCTCTCGCCTATCGAGCCCAGGGACAGGCCTAGCGATATCATAGCTTGTGGCTGTCGGCTGTACCGGAATACGCCTGACGTCTGTCTGACCCGTTCAACAGGCGGACGACGTTTATTTCCGATAGCTGTCTGGTCATGTGGACTTATGCTAGCTCGGCACTGAGATTGACCACATTGCCGGATCCGCAAAACTGATTGCCGAGATGCCTCGATTTGATTGGGGTTTGGCTATTATTACTAGTGCAAATGCTGGATGAGTGCGGAATTGTAGTATAGTCGACGGTAAAAGACGGTAAACGTGCTACCGTCCCGGACCTCGCTCCGCACTGATGACCAAATCCGTACATGGCCAGGCTTAGGATTCGAACTTTAAGTGAAATCAACAATGTGCTGGGGAATCTTAACAAAGAGTTTCTCTGAGAATTTGGAGCCTTTACTCAAATCACAGTAAATAGATTAGACATCATATTTCCAAGGAAAGTCTCGTGAAGGTACCAACCCTTCAGTGTGACCTGGACGAACTATACAGTAGACGACAACATTTAGCTTCAAACTAAATTTTAATCGGAGTTATTTGAGTGTCTTTTTGTATATCATATCCGCCTCCATGTTTTGCACAAGGTATCAAGTTAAAATTAGCTCTCGTAACAATTTGATTCAAGATCCATCTCTTCCCTGTTAATAACTTCGGTTCTACTAGAAAACACTCATATGCTTAAAACAATGGAAAGATATCCCGTCCGACCTTTAAAGACGGTGCGCAGAACGATGCCTTGATAGGTAATTTAGCAGACAATCATCGCAGCGCCCAAGGCTGAGGTACTCTCCAAGCATGATGCTCGGCCGATTCCGAAAAACCAGTTCTGTTCACCAAATAGACATTCAATTCTGACGAAGTGCTACTGTAGTGAGATGAAACTTTCGCTTCCAGAAGGTTGTTCCACACAAAGTTGAAAAATGAGAAGTATGTCTCTTTTTCCACGACTAAATCTCGTTGAATTTGAAGTAGGCTCCCGATTTTGACAGGAGTAGTCTCACAAAGATTTCCGAGCCTCATTTCACAGCCGTAGATTTTGTTGAAATGTCAAATTTGGCTCTAGAAAATTCTCATCTTTTACATGGGGCTGGAGTTTATGGTCAACGGTCTACCTCTAGAAACATACCAGTCAGCGAGGTTCTCAGACAAACTCTCGACAATCAGTTCGGTCGGCCCTCACAGAAAAGGACTTACTTTCTTAAGCATGCCATTTCAGTAAGGATTCAAGCCCATGCGTGGGAATATGTATCTGCGATCGGGAAATCGATAGGATTTAATTAGCAGCACAATGAAGCGAGTCAGATGTGCGTAAGAGAATAAATACCCTTAAGGGAGGACAACCCCAAGGATGATTTCTACCATATCATGGTCGGTTTAATCTTCTATACTGATTATAAGTTAGATGAATGCTATTTTTTAACCAGCACTCGGAAGTATGATCTTGCCAGGAAGCTCACCATAGGGTCTCTAAACCCGAGGCTGGCATTTCTCGACCAATCTGCGCGATCGAACTGTCGGAGGCCCCGCCATTGGCCTACGGGTTGGATTACTGAACGATTACCTGAAGCTCACCAATCCATTGCAGTCGCCAGCTTGCAGATCAACCTCCACTTTCCATTGGCTCCTGCCATACATTTTGGTCCATTAGGATCCATTCGACCCATTGATCATTGTGGAAGCTCATCATGCCCGCCCACATGGTCCGCTCCCCACCATTCCCCGCCATTCTCCAATTTGTAGAATACAGTCTGCTATGGAATCAATTAAATGGTCCATTCTGCCCATAGCAGCATATATTCAAAAAAAAATATCTACAGTAATTGCAAGCATTGTACTTTTTATCGCTCCCAGTGAACCGTTAATTACGCCCAAATTCCACGGGCCCGCCATGCCCGTTTTCACCGAATATGCCGCCGCGTCGCGCGAGCTACGCGTCCTTCCTTCTTTCGCACCCCCACTACCACGTCTCACACCGAAACCACAGTCAGATGGCAAGAACGAGAGATATGAGGTGGTTATCGTCGGGGCTGGCCCGGCAGGACTCATGCTTGAGCTCTTACTCGCACGATATGGACTGAGCGACGAGTCATTGCTGTGTGTAGACGCCAAGCCGACCACACTCAAGTCAGGCCAGGCCGATGGCCTTCAACCCCGGACTCTGGAGACATTGAAGTCGCTGGGATTGGCAGATGAGATTCTCACCGAGGGTTGTCAGATGTGGCAGGTGAATATTTGCCCGAAATCCCCGTACGCGACCTTGAATTAACACGCTCTCAACATAGGTCGCATTCTGGAACCCCTCGAACGACAAGGACAAGATCATCGAGCGCACTTCAATCGTCCAAGACGTCGCCGTACCTGCCCGATTCCCCCACGAAGTCACCATTCACCAAGGTCGCATTGAGCGAATTCTAGAAACAGATCTGCTTCGCTACTCGAAACGCGGCGTGCAACGAAATACCAAACTGATCGATGTGAAGATCGACGAGGAGGGGGATGCAGAGTTCCCCGTGGTTGCCGAGATAGAAACCGAGGGCCAACGTCGAACCGTGCGAACAAAATACTTGGTGGGAGCTGATGGCGCTCACTCCGTCGTGAGACGCTCCATGGGACTCAAATTGAGGGGTGAATCCCTGGATCACATCTGGGGCGTCGTCGACTTGATCGTTGACACGGACTTCCCCGATATCCGTCGTCGCTGCGCTATTCACTCGCTCGCTGGCTCGGTCATGGTGATTCCTCGCGAGCGCATTGCCACTGGTGACTATTTGACGCGGTTGTATGTGCAAGTACCAGGCGATGTCAAGCCAGACAGTGATCAACAAACGACGGATAGCTCCACTGCTGCCCCGACGGCCGATGCAAGAGCTCGTCGCAGCCAGGTTACAGAAAAGACCATATTTGACAACGCGGCCGCAGCGTTCAAGCCTTACTATATCCGTCCGAAGACAGATGGTGCTGTGGATTGGTGGGCAGCTTACCAGATTGGCCAACGAGTTACGGACAAATTCTCTGTCAAGGATTCAAAGGGCGTGAGCCGAGTTTTCATTGCCGGCGATGGTATGTTTATCCAGGTCGAGAAACATGAATGGTTACTGATATCGATTTTTTCCAGCCTGTCACACGCATAGCCCCAAGGTATGTTTCTGGGACCACATCCAGGCATCGATTGAATTTGACTAACAACGCATAGGCTGGCCAAGGCATGAATGTATCAATGATGGACTCTTATAATTTGGCCTGGAAGTTAGCTTATTGCATCCACGGGTTGACTCCAGAGAGCGCTCTCGCCCAGCCTGACCCGATTCTTGACACATACCACACAGAACGCCACACTATTGCACAGGAATTAATTGAGTTTGACCGTGCATTCTCGTCAATGTTCTCCGGAAAGATCGGCGCCTCTGAAGATGGAGTTGAAGGCTTGACACATGAGGAGTTCCTTGAGGTGTTCAGTCGAGGAAACGGGTTCACAAGCGGCTGTGGAATTGAATATCCTGAGAATATGGCTGTGGATAGGACCCTGGACGGCGAGAAGAATCCAGTCAGCGGCATCGATTATCTCTCTGGAATTCTGCGACCGGGACGGAGACTGTTGAATGTGCGTCTCATTCGACATGCAGATGGCTATCGCCGTGATCTTCAAGACGGTATGAACTAGGATCCAAATGATGAGATATGATGCGTTGCTGACAAGATGGTAGATTTTGCATCCACTGGTCGATTCCGCGTCTTATGCCTCACATCGTCAGACCTCCTAGACCAACAAGGAACCTCATATAGGACGTTGACGGCACTGGGCGCGGTTATTTCCCAGTTCCCGCAGTCTGTTCTAGAGCAGGTCGTCATCCATCCTCGCCTGTCGAGGGAGTTCATGTGGAATGATATCCCACACGAGGTGAAACAATACTCGGAAATGTCGTTCTACAGCGGGTATGAGATGGATGATGTCTATGGCATTTACGGTGTTGACCCAAGCAAGGGAGCGCTTGCTGTCGTCAGACCTGATGGATATGTTGGAGTTCTCGCTGAGCTGGGCGATGTAAAGCGCATAGACGATTACTTGGGCAGAATGATTCGTCGAAACTAGTTCGAGATGAATCGAAATGAGATGAAACCTGGCCATTTAACAAGAGGATTAAGGTCTAGCATGATGGTAGTAATTGCTTGAAAGCCTATAACCCCCGCTCGTGAGCGTTGCTTGACGTGCTGACGCCACAACCCAATTTCCGAATTCACCGAATATCCCGACTATATCCGTATCTTGTATATCAATGTCACCGGTTATACTGCGAATGACCCCTCGATGACGCTCGGTGAATTATTCCAGTGTTCCTCTTCTCTGTCTTTATGATCCAAGTAATTGCTATAAATACTCGACATACTCAGCTACCTTGGCTTACACCTCCCACTTATGATTATTACTCTGCAAAATTGACGAAGAGGCCAAATCTCACCTTGCATCTACAGAGAGACCCGTGCGGTTCCAGAAAGCCACGACTCATCACCCTGGAATGTACTCATCGCCACATTCCACTCCACACGACAAACGCGACGCGAATAGCCCAGAGCGCCCACTCCACAAAACCAGCTCCAACAGTCACGCAGAAATGAAGCTAGGGGATGGTGAAGACCCTGGAAAGGACACAGATGAGCCAATGTCGGACCTGGAGGCAGGGCATAAGCAGCCAGTCCCCGGAGAACCATCTAAAGAGATTGAGAATAAGGACGTTACACTAGTAAGACCTCTCTTCTCCTCGTTCGTTTTCGTCGATTACTGACAACACCAGGTAACATGGAAAGGCCCCGAAGACCCCGACAACCCTAAGAACTGGCCTACCAAGAAGAAATGGCTGGCCGCCGTATTGGTGTCATTGTTCACATTCATCTCTCCAGTCTCCTCTTCCATGGTAGCCCCGGCTCTGGAAAGCATCGCAGTCGACTTTAAGATAACAGATGACGTACTGCTGGAGCTGACCTTATCTACGTTTGTGTTGGCATACGCAGTTGGGCCACTTTTTCTAGGGCCATTGTCTGAGATCTATGGCAGGAAGATCATACTGCAGCTCACAAATCTGTTCTACATTGTCTTTAACATTGCATGCGGTGTCTCTAAATCGACTGCGCAGATGATCGCGTTTCGCTTCCTCGCCGGAATCGGGGGAAGTGCACCGCTGGCGGTAGGCAAGACATTATTCCTCATTCAAGGCTACCAGACTGATGAATGCTCTTAGATCGGCGGTGGTGTTCTTGGGGACTGCTTTCGTCCTGAAGAGCGTGGAAAAGCACTCGCTATCTATGGTCTAGCTCCTCTGCTAGGCCCTGCAATCGGGCCAATAGCCGGGGGTTTCATTGCAGAGAACACTACATGGCGATGGGTGTTCTACGCAACTTCCATCACAGCAGGATTCATTCAAGTCGCTGGGTTTTTATTCCTACCGGAGACCTACGCTCCGGTGATTCTAGGCAATAAAGCCAAAAAGCTTCGAAAAGAGACAGGAAATCAGAAATACGAGACCGAGGGCGAGCGACAACATCAAAGTCCTGGCAAGATCCTCAGGACAGCATTGATACGCCCTTTGCGACTCCTCACTACGCAGCCCATCGTGCAAATTCTGGCTTTGTATATGGCTATCGGTCAGTGATGAACAGCGTCAAATCGGCACCTCTACTCCCAAGCTAATGTCCAAATCAGTCTACGGAACTATGTACCTAACTTTGGCCACTTTCCCAACCCTATGGACCAGCAAAGCATACTACGGCGAGTCATCCGGCATCGGCGGCCTCAACTACATCTCCATGGGCCTAGGCTTCATGCTAGGCTCCCAAATCTGCGCCCCACTCATTGATCGTATATACCGACATCTAAAGACACGCAACAACAACATCGGCCGACCAGAATTCCGAGTCCCACTAATGGCAGTAGCAGCATTCTGCAATCCCGTGGGACTTTTCATCTACGGCTGGACGGCGGAAAAACGCTGCCACTGGATCGCACCCAACTTCGGCATTTGCATCTTCAGTATTGGGAATATCGTCGCTTTCCAGTGTATCCAGACTTACATTGTCGACTCGTATACGCGATATGCGGCGAGTGCACTTGCTGCCGCGACGCTTTTGCGGTCTTTGGCTGGCTTTAGTTTCCCGCTTTTTGCACCTTACATGTTTGATACGTTGAAGTATGGTTGGGGGAATAGTGTTTTGGCGTTTGTCGCTATTGGAATTGGCATACCGGCGCCTATTCTGCTTTGGCGGTTTGGGCAGAAGCTGAGAGCGGCGAGTCCGTTTGCTGCAGGGGGCGATTGAGTGATTTTTGTGGTGTGGCATACTTCACTTTGGACCCTTAGGAGCAGTGGGGTCTTCCTAGTGAAATCAGTCACTATTTCTGTATATTATTTAACCTCAACACTCAAGACAATGCTCAACTCATTTTGACTCTCTTTTAAACACAGCGCCGACAGGTCCGTTTCGGTATCTTCTCCCTCGCCAAGGCCACATGAGGGCAGCCCACACAGTAGTTGTCGGAGCCTTGGGGGCGCAGGGGCTGCTGGAGATGCTGATCACCTTTCTAATCGCCTCGATCGGTCAGAAATTGGGCCGTAAGTCACCTGATCCCGCGAGGATTTCCAAAAAGCGCCAGCGCCAGCCTTACGGGGACCACAGCGGGCCAATAGGAGACGAGTATACGTTTATATGAACAATAACACGAACGTTCTGCCAAGGCTGCTCCAAGGCTACGCCAAGAAGTTGCTGTGTTGGTTTCTTTTTCGATGTTGCTATAAAGAAGGAATGCCAGAACTCATGAGAATATTGTGTATTGAATTGTTACATTATCATTCAGCCAACTGAATTTCTCATCAAGCGACGAGTAACTATTATTGACGTATCTAAGTTAACGCCTCAAGACGGAAGCAAATACTTCGTGGAGCCTCGCTCGCACCGCGAGGCTATGGCTAGCGACGGAATTTTCACATATCGCGATGGCATCGCTGCAGCTCAAGTTGTCGCATTCTCAGCGCCCCTATTGTTCGCCATTTACTTTAGATATACTCGCCGTATCGGCTGGTTTTGCATCGGCGTATTCTCCCTTCTCAGACTCATTAGCGCCAGTTGCAAGCTAGCAGCTATTAACAATGACTCTCGAGGTCTGTCCGCTGCGATATTTGTTTGTGAATCCCTGGGGATGATTTTGATTATATTTCTCCTGTTGGAGTTGCTGGAAAGAATGTGAGTGGATTGACATCTGAGATCATCAGGCAGCGAGCTAATGCATCTCACACAAATAGCAATAAAAAAGTCACAATCGTTGCGAAGCGGATATTCTGGATTCCCTCCATCATTGCCTGGATTGATATCGGCATTTCTATCGGCGGATGGGTATCTGTTACGCATGCTGAACACCCACTCGCCCCCACACCATGGAGCCAAGCGAGTATGGCCTTGCTAGCAGTGATATATATTTACTTGGCCGGGGTCTTCATCCTCTTCTGGCTTTGCAAGGGTGAATATTTTGAGGAAGAGCGGTGGGCCTTGACTTGCGTCGCATTTTGTTTGCCACTGCTCGCAGTACGGGTTGCATTCTCTCTAATTTTCGTCATCACTGGCAACATGGTCTTCAACGCGATGAAAGGCAACCCGACCGCGTATTTGATGATGACCATGCTTCCTGAGGTGGCAATCATCGCTGCGTGCACATACATTATTACGACTAAGATTTCGCCTTTGAGCCCAGCAAATAAAAAAGGTCAACCGAAGGAAGGGGACGAAGAAAGTCAACGGCAACTGTCTGTTGGAACTTGAAGAATTTATGGAGGAATTTATGTTTACATTTTTGGAGTCTATGAATTAGCGACATCAACCCCTTCTCTGATCTACAAGCAAAGACAGTGATACAATGATCAGCTTCCTTGGTCAGCTAATGTACTGGGCAATCCGCGAATGGATTAAAATTAAGAATCATTATGTACATCAAAGAGTGTAGCGGAAGCTAGGTATCTCCTTGTCGGTCTTGTTGTTCTGCTCTTCGATAAGATCGTGAGCATCAAGACCCTCGGATGCCACTCCATTCTTCCGATCACGTCTCTTGTTCTCCCAGGCATAGTAAACGAACAAACATCCCAAGAAGAACACACCGAGTGCCAATCCACACAGCGATGCTTCAATGCCGCTCTATTTGGGTAAATGATTAGTCTAAATACAATATAATGAGCGAAAGAGAAAAACTTACCGAGTATACTGGCTCCTGCGAAGCGTAGAAGAATTGAGGTCCCACAATATTACCCACGCAGTAAGAGGCGAATATAGCAACACTGATTGTGCTTCGCTTTGTGGATCCGGCGACGTTAGAGGTAACGATACTCAGGGAGAGTGGGATGTTGGCGGCGAATGCGGCAACAAAGGCCAAGCCAACTAGTTTGGCAATTTTGTGGAAGTCATCGAGCGTGTAGATCAAAACAACACCGATAACGGCAACCGTCACATTCAGCATCATGGCCGGAATGCGTGATGATCGGATGTATGTAGCGATTGCGGCGGTAATAAGGAGGAACACGAGCTGGGAAAGACCCATGGGCATCTGAAGGAGGAGGGATTTGAAGTTCGAGTAGCCGAAGCCTGCTATAATAATGGCGGAGAACTATGTTCATGTCAGTGAGGATTTAAAATAAATATCACCATAGTATCCACGTACGCTAGTCAGGCCACCATTGGCAAGGTTGACGCAGAAGGTGTAAAGTACCAGGCACCAGGCCTGCGGGTCTTTCGCAGCAGCGGCGACTTGACTCCATTGGAATGCTTCTGTCACCTGAGCAGAGCCTGTCTTGTTCTTCAGTGTTCGCTGCACTGCGATTCTCCGTTCGGACTCGGTAAGGAAAGAAGCCTTTGCGGGAGAGTCGGGAAGAATGAAGAAGAGGATGATGGCGTAACCGGAGGTGATTCCTCCAAGAACGAGGAACAAGAGGCGCCAGCTTTGGATTCCCGATGCAGAGTTTCCGATACCCCATGCAACGACACCACCAATGATGTTAGCAACACAGTTACCGATGAACCATGCTGCTTGGCTGAGAGTGGGAGAATATCAGTTTGCTGAACCATGCTGTCTCGTCATTGATGGCCTTGGGAGACAATTCTTACCGAGCGGGCTGCTCTTCTCTTTTGTAAAACATTCCAGTGATCAGACCGAAACCCGGTGCAACAGCAGCTTCACCAACACCAAGGAAAAATCGAGCAGTGACTAAACCGGCATAGTTCTGGCAGGCTGCGTGGCACATGAGGATTCCACCCCACAAAAACCTGGACACGAACCGAATTAGCCAGGAATAAGAGTTGATCGGTGGCTTTGACATACACAGAGACAGCTAGATATTTGCCCAGAGGGAGGCGAACAATAAAGTACGAAGTGGGTCCACTCCATGCAAGATAACCAAAATAAAAGATCGCGGAGCACCAAGTATATTCCTGGCCAACCAGGTGCTGTATAATATGAAGAAGGTTAATATCTGGTAGGGAAGGACGTTTTGGTGCCACTGACAAGATCGGCTCGGATATTCAAAAGAGTTGCCTGGCTAAGCGCAAGTTTATCCATGTATTGCAGCATGTAGCAAATGCCCATCGTCGGGATCATACTGTGAGGAGTCTCAGAATGTGATACTTCGAAATCGGCATGTTTCCGTAGATCGACACGCGGCATTACTTACAACAAATCTAACTTCCATAGGAGTCGACGCTCCTCTTCAGGAGAGGGTTGGTAGTCAGTATATTCGCCGACACTGGCATCTTGTACTGTCTCATCTGTGGTATTGACAGCCTTCTCGTCGTACTTGTACGGCTCTTGCGCTGTACCCATTGTGGAGGAGGATATTATGAATGCAGAAAGTAAACAATTCCAGTATCTGATGGTACTTATTATTCTCAGTGTGTCCAAGGAGATCTAGGGATGGATTACTTGGTCAACTTATATGAACATTACAGAATGATAAAAGTTTAATGTTGTGCACCATGTTATCTTTGGTCTGGCGTCATTAACTCTCGCTTACAAGACGCCAATCTACAGCCATTTCATCCCTCCACGCCTACAACATCCGCAACGCGTAGTATAGATAGTAGATAAAAAGTGATAAGATTAGATAGAAATCAGCTTCTTGTCTTATCCAAAGAGATTTCCTATCGAAATAACCTGGGGAGCATTGAGAGCCTTGGTTTCCCGCGGGAAATCCCCGATTGCGAGCACAAGCACAGCATAAGTCAACTCGCGGAAATAGGGTCGGCAAATTTGAAGGTGTTGATTGGATTTAAAAGAGGCGAGCTTGAGAGGGGTTAGGATACAATTCCTTGGGCTTGGGAATTATCATCAAGGTCGGCAAATTTAGAGTTGCTGATTGGTGGATGCCAGCCTAACGTCAACACATGGCCTTCGGCAATCCAGAACTCTAATCGTCGCCCCCGCATTGGTCATTGTTATCTTATGCCGCACCATGGCGCATAACGATAAGATTATGAGCATTATGTAGTTAGATCGTGCTAATCAAGGTGTCAAGAAGGAGAAGATAGTCGATTAAATAATCAATTAACATAATTCTTATGCCTGCATCAATGACTTATGCGAAGTCGTATCCAGGATCGCGGCTTTGATGCCGTCCCTTAGAGAGTTAATTCGAGAAGGTTATGAGACAATAGAACTATAAAAGGGTCACATTCGCATGAACGTCAGACCTCATTCATTTCAACAATTCTGTGACAAGAGCGCGGTAGTAAATTCTATCTTCCATAATTAACTGAGCACTCTCTTTACTGCTGTGACTACACTTTGGTTATTCACAAGATGGCAATCAGCTCTACTATCCCAATCTCTCCCGAGGAGGCTCGGGCTGCTATGGACAAAGCCCTTGAGAAAGTGGCCAAGCAGCTCCGTGAACTGAACAATTACGTATGATTCCACCCCAGTCTCCCAGGAGCACCGAGCGTTAGGACATGTCTGGCTGTAACACAAGCTTACCATTCATAGATTTGGTCGAACCCAGAACTGGCATATGAAGAGCACAAGGCGCATGACGCTATCTGTGATTTCCTCGAAAGCCAAGGATTCACAGTTACTCGGCATGCCTACGGAGTGGATACATCCTTCGAATGTATCAGCGGCAGTGAAGGCCGACTCATCAACTTCAACGCTGAGTACGATGCGTTGCCTGACATTGGCCATGCCTGTGGCCACAACCTTATTGCCACCAGCAGCATTGCAGCCTTTTTGGCACTGAGCCATCTGCAGAAGGAGTTTGGAATGAAAGGCAGAATTCAACTGCTCGGTACTCCCGCCGAAGAGAACGGCGGCGGCAAGGCAAAGTTGATCGATGCTGGTGCTTACAAGGGTGTTGATATTTCTTTGATGGCGTAAGTTCAGATTTGAGTGATTTTACAAGTTGATGAATAATCCTAATTCTCCCCTTTAGCCACGGCGGACCAACGAATTTGGTTGGACGTCCCAGTGATGGAGTCGCTGGAGTCCTGATGAATGCTCGCAAGGAGCTGCATGTGGAGTACTTTGGCAAGAATGCTCACGCCGGAGGTAACCCATGGGATGGTGTTAATGCGTTGGATGCACTGGTTCAGGCATACAACGGAATTTCCACCTTGAGACAGCACATCCTGCCCGATGAGCGAATCCACGGAGCTTTCCTGGACGTGCCAAAGGTCGCCAATGTGATTCCTGCATACACAAAGTCCTACTGGCAGATTCGCAGCCCGACTTTGCAAGGTCTTAACAAGCTTATTGCCAAGGTCAGGCAGTGCATTGAGGGCGCGGCTATTACTACTGGCTGCACTGTCAAGATTGTAGAGTGAGTCTCCGAGCAGATTGTACTGTATAATTGATACTAATGAGGGAATGATGATATTAGGGAGGGCCTCTACACTGACATTGTTCTTAACGAGACTCTCTGTGAGCGATACACGAGCCACTTGGCAGGTTATGGAAAGGAGGTCATCCAGAAGCACGAGCAGGTCCTTACCGGATCTTCCGATGTTGGTGAGTTTAATTTTGATATTCTAAATCTTTAAATTACAGATCACTGACATCCCACAAGGTAACGTCAGCTACGTTGCACCCACACTTCATTCTATGTTCGCCATCCCCACACCAGCGGGGTCTTTCCCGCATCACCCGACTTTCACGGCTTGTGCTGGAACTGATGAAGCCCACGAGGAGGCTATTATTACTGGAAAGGGATTGGCTCTTACGGGATGGGATATGATGACTGATGATGCTCTGTTTGAGTCGGCGAAGGCGCAGTGGGAGGGACAGCTTCCCGCGCCTGCTAAATAGTGTAAGAATACTATAACCTCTTAAATTTTGAATTTGACAATATAATGAAATGTTATTATGATATTCCGAATGTTGTACAATGAAGTCATGGGCATGAAGGCAAGAACTTTGTGCAACTTTACCCGATGAGATCAAGAAACCTCTGCCATTCCTGATAAAATCAACCGGCTAGAGGCAGAGCGCCATCTAATACATATTAACAGACATTGGTTTATGTTTAGAACCTTATGGCCCATAGATAAGAACCTACATGAATATGTTCAATTTTAAAGTAGAAAATCTCGAGGGTAAAGCGTAACGCTGGCCAATAGGGAAGATCGGGATCTCCACTGTACGCGGGTTTGCGGGGGTTGGAGAATCTTGATCAGCGTCTGGGCATGGTGATCACGTTCGTCGTGTCGTGGAAGCTCCCGTAACGATGTCCAATAGGCGAGCTCGAAGATATGTGGTTTGAACTTTGAACCACGAATAAAGTTTGACAGAGCTTGGAGGGGGAAATTCCATGCGGTCATAAAAGGATGCCGGTAGCATGTAGCTGTAGAAGGCAGAACTATCATTCTTCCAGTCTGTCAGCTTCGCATAATTCACATACTGACTTTAATCGACCACGATGACTGTGGACGTTCGATCCAACCACGGCCCGGCGGTCCCTGCCCAGTGGCTACGGCAGACACCCAGCGACACATCTTTCGAAGAAATGCGGAGGAGGTTGAGAGAAGACGGCTATGTCTACGTCAAGAATATCCTTCCAAGAGAGGATGTGCAGAAAGTTCGCGAGGAGTAAGTCTCAACAACAAGCCTCAGCGTGGTATATGCGGACGCTAATCTTGTTTTGTATAGGTACTTTAAGTTATACGAGCCGACCGGAATAATTAAGCCAGGCTCGGCACTTGAAGAGGGAATCTTCAACGATTCGAATGATCCGCTCCAGCATGGTGGGATAGGAGCTGGAGAACTTCCACCAACGCCTGAGCAGGTCCAAGCTATGATCGATGCGCACACACAGCCCGAGTACCTCCAGCTTCTAGAACATCCTAATCTCCGATCATACGTCAAGGGAATAATGGATTGGAAGAAGGAAATCCTGCTGAAGCGCACCATGATCAGACACAATGCCCCACACGCGCTCAGCACCGGGGTACACTATGACAAGCTGTTCCTTCGAAAGGGAGAAGCTGAATTCCTAACGGCGTGGGTACCTATTGGTAAGGTCTCTCGGATACATTACCTATTTGGATGCATCAACCGTGGCTAATTGAGGCTCACAGGAGATATTAGGGCTGACGGGGGCGGCCTGATGTATCTGGGCGATTCTGTCAAAGTGGGCCGTGAGATTGAAGCGGATTTTACCCGTCGAGCCAAGGACCTTTCTGAAGAAGAGCGACTGAGCGCATTCAACGTGCATATGGAAAAATATGGACAATTGTCACAGGATGCGAACGAGTTTGGCAGCGCTCATGAGACAAACGGCGGAGTCGGTGATCGGCACTGGCTTGTGGCTAATTACGAGGCTGGCGACGTGGTATTTCATGACCCATATATTGTGCATGCAAGCTCGAAGAACGAGGGCCACGATGGACGAATTCGCGTCAGCACAGACCTCCGATTTTACGAGGAGGGAAGTGACATGGATGACCGGTGGATGAAATTATGGACACCTGGGGACGGGCTGTAAGGCTGGTGAAAATATGGCACCCAATATGGGCTGAGTAGCCTGAATTAATCTATTTTCTGCTGGACTTGGCTCCGGCCCCCTTCCCTTGGCCCGTGTGGCTTTGGTAGGATCGGCCGGAACCAGAAGAGCGGGTTAGCAGAAGGGTTTTGGATTGCCATTAGAATGTTAATAATATTTTCTTGAGAGTTCATGCAATTTGTTTAGGTCCGGGGTATGAATCAAACTGCACGGCATGAATCGTGTTTCAAGTTGAGAATCGGGATCGAGTCCACACAATCCCAAGGTGTAACTCGATTTCATTTATTTCATAGTCGTCTAGACTCCGGGCTGACATGCACCCACTATTACACCACGTTGTCGGTGCAGCCGGACCAATAAAAATCGATCAAGTGCCGTGCTGACTGCATCGTTAAAGGGCTGTAGTTTACTTAGTGGAACTAAGACGGTTGAAAGGCCCTCGGCGTTGTTGGGCGTTGTGGATGTACATCTGTGACGGAGTGGCTGCGATTCAAAGAGCCTCTGGCTCGAGTTTCTTTCATGGGTTACTTGAAATAGCCCAGAAGTATCGACATAGAACAAGTGCGGTATTTAGCATTGCGACCGTATTCCAAGGCCTATCAACTTCGAACTGCCTCGTACCAAAGACAACGTTTGCTTGCTTTTCGGTAATGAAGTAACCTTTCAAGGCGTCCTGTTGCTTTCGGCCGTATTATCCTTAACTAATATTGGGGGCCACAAGGGCCGAATAAACCGGCAAATCAGCAGCGCTGGTTAAAAGACCCTCAGACCCAAAGGACACCAAAAGCGCCCCCAAGTGGATCTCTAGCGGTCGGGGGCCGACTATTAACTACTTATGGCTGGGCCTTAGGAACCCTGTTCTCTTTTGGGAAACTGATGATTACAGTACATACGTCGGTCGGGCAAGGGACAAAAAGAAAAACAAAGAGGCTTATAGACAAAGTATCTTGTGTTCCTCAGCCGTGTACTATTTGCTAAGCCCCAACCTAGACTGGAGGGCCCGCCCTGGCACCTTCTGGTCTTTTCATCCTGCAGGGCCTTTTCTTCTTTCCTGCACATCCCCCCTCTCGAACTGACGGTGTAGTTTACAATAATTCCCACAGTCCATCGTCAGCTTCCAAAATGCTGTTTGCACAGCAGGTGCTTCGGCCATTTCTGGCCTCGATCGCTTTGGCGACTCTAGGATCCGCTGCGTCCAGTTCCTATTATGATAGCTCTGCGACGGGAACGGCAGGCAGTTCGATAACTACGACTTTCTCCACCTCGACGACGACCTCGACCGGTAGTGCGACGCATACTATCCAAGTTGGGCCAGATTCGAGTCCGCATGCCTACGTTCCTCATAGCATCACGGCCAACCCTGGCGACGTTGTTGTCTTTGAATTCTACCCAACAAACCACTCTGTCGTACAGGCAGACTATGGATCGCCCTGCCGCTATCCGTCTAGTGGTTCATATTTCTATTCTGGGATGTTTAACAGCTTCAACGAGAAAGATGGCCAACTTGTCGGTCCTGTAAGTCTAAAGATGTTTATACCGCGAGGGTGAGATAGACCGGATCGACTGACATTTCTGATGATTAAAGCCGCCGACCTGGTCAGTGGTTGTCAATGATACCGAGGTAAGAAAATAGCTTCTTCCGGGCTCAAGGGACAGAAATTAACAAAGATTCTCGTTAGCCAACGTTTTTCTACTGCACTGCGATCGGTTCATGCCTGGAAAATGGAATGGTGGGCGTCATCAACCCGGTAAGCCTAAATCTAACTCAGCTTCCAAATTGAAGAAATTGTCTAACAAATGCACTCTTAGAACTCGACCGAAACCTTCGAATCGCAATACAAAAAAGCTCTCACCTATCCCTATATGCTAGTACCCGGCCAGTCTGCGCCCGCCGAGGGCAGCGGGTCAACAGGTGACTCAACGTCGACAACCACAAGCGCGAGCACCAGCGCCACAACCAGCAGTGCCTCATCTGGCGGAGGCGGAGGAGGGTTGAGTGGCGGAGCGATTGCCGGCATTGTCATCGCAGCCGTGGCGTTCGTTGCTATTTTGGTCGCACTGTTCTTTGTCCTCGGTCGCAATCGCGTATACTCACAATGGATGTCCTCACAAGACGGGCGGACCGAGCGCACGGCGCGATGGGCTTTGTTCAACAACACGGGCGGCTCGATTGGAAACCGCAAGAGTGAACTCGACAGCAATACTGCCAGGGCGCCGGGTACCGATGTCACCTCGGTCGGTAGTCCAGACCCGACGATGCGACAGTTCTCGCCAGCTCCAGAATCAGTATCAGGGTTTGGAGGCTCATCGCCTCGTCATAATTCTGGCCAATGGAATTGGGATATTCCGCAAAATTCGCGCAGCCCCCGTGGTCCAACCGAGCTTGAAGCAAACGCTATCATTCATCAGCTTCCAGAGCGGAGAGGGTCATAAGTTTGGCCTAAATGGAGCGAGGAGGCGTATTGGTTTGTAGGTGATGTGGTTGTTGTTCCCTGGTGGAGATGGGATCTACTCGCAACACTGTGGGGTTAAGGGACCGAATGGGTGGAAGAAAGGCCGGTCTTACTATTTCTATTTTTTCTTCTTCTCTGTTTTGGTGTTGCAATTCCCTTTGGATCTGGTTAAGGCTTGATTTATGGTTTACCTACATGTTTATATATCATTGATACACACTTAGTTTAGCAGTTGTCCTTCTTATGAAGTACCGAATCTAATGACAGTCCATTTTCCCTTTTGGGAAATCCACCCCAGTCCCATCACATGACCTGCATGTAACCACGGGGCTTCGGGTCTCGTCTCAGACTCCGCAGAGAAGCCCAAGATTCCAGCTGTCACTATATCCACATTCTGATGTTGGGTTAACTGGATGCATCCTCATACATGGCTACACGACGTCAAGAGACGAGATCGAGGTGGGGATGTATGAACTGGTAAAAGCCTTCCACCCGCCTAACGTCGACGTGCGGGGTCAGTACGCTAACAAAGCCCGTGCAGTCGCAAACGCCGCAAGAAATGCAACGAAGGCCGACCCAGCTGTCAACTCTGTACAGAGCGGGGTGTGGAATGCATCTACCCAGACTGGACTGTAGTCAAATATTCCCAGACTCGACAACGGAGGCGACAGCTTCAAGAGGCCAATATTGATCGGCCATCTGCGCGACCAGTATTGCTCCCAGCACAACCGAGCAATCCTGAATCGCGATTTATCTTTCATTTTAACACCATTTTAGCGAGCCTAATCAGTTTTTCCTTTCCACAGACGGGTGCTCAAAATCCCTTCTTGCAGCATGTTCTTCCTCGAACCTCGGATTCTGCCCAGGTTCAGTATGCCGTGGAAGCCGTCGCTGCGGCTCATCTGTATCATCTTGGCTCTGAGACTGGAGATCGAGCGACCCAACTACATTCAAGAGCATTGAATTTACTCGCTGTGGAATTATCGCGTCCACAGCTTGATGACACTTCGCGCATGAACTTGCTTGCGAGCAGTCTACTCTTGATATACTATGAGGTAAGCTCTCAACCCGGAGCTAACGTTTTCTAATCTTCAATCATCATGCCCTAACCCACTGTTATATATCAGATTGTACTGGGGAACTCCGCAAGCAACGCATGGTGTCATCTCCAAGGCGCAAAAGTCCTATTAGAATGCCACCGCGCCACCCCCGAAACCCCATGCATCTCATTCTTCCGCAAGATCTTCCAGTACTTCAACGTGATGCTCGCCCTTTCCCTAGAAAGGCAGCCACTTCAGATCAATAGTGGCTTTGCATCCGATTTCAGCAACAACGCGGACACGGTCTTTGGCTGCGCTGCTAGCCTCTGGCCACTCATGCATCATCTAGCCGATCTTCTCGGTCGCGCCCGTCTAGGCGACGACATCACTGAAGACGGTAAACACGTGATGGCCGGCTTACATGCGTGGTCAATTGAATCTTCGTTTGGAACTGATGCCTACACCGAGGCAATGGTTCAGATTGCGCGATCCTACAAATTCTGCGGACTTTTGATGCTTCGTCAGGCTGTTCAAGGCCAAAGCCCGGAGTACCGCGACTGCACTCCTCTTCAAGGCGATGAAGTCTACAGATCAGCTTTTGACAGTGTTCTCCGCGTGTGCGTTTTGTCTCTTCCGATGGCTACGTTGACATGGCCGCTGTATGTGGTTGGAAAGCTTGCCTCCTCGACTAGTGATCGCACTGTTATTCTGCATATTTTCTCGCAGTTTTTGGAGAAGCATCACATGAAGGTTGTTGATGGGGCTCGGGCAGCTGTACAGGGACATTGGGAGGAACGGAGGAACGGTTGGCAGCAATCGGCACCTGTTTTGCTTGGTTGATTTATACTGTGTACATTTGGTCATTTTGGCACTTTAGAGCAGTCCAGCGTTCTCTGCAGAGATATCTTTCAGGCACATACCATTACCACGGAGTTTATTGGGACGACCAGATTCCATACTGCTTTAAATATTCGATCTGGCTTCACAGAAGAGGCTTAACATGGTAGATTTTTTCTCTCAAGTCTAGTGAACATACTTGCAAATTAACGAGGTGTTGCTGCATTCTGTCTCATTATCCTTGAATCGAAGATTGTTGATAAGCTAGGAGAAATTTACGCCAAAGTTGAGTTTCCCTTATCCAGATCATAGTGTTACTTCTTTTTATTGGACCTCTTTGATAATTGATATAAAAATTCACAGAGCTGTAAAGGAGAAAAGAAAAACTTCATTTTTAAGATCGTGTTCTTCAAAAGAATAGAATTAGATCGGACTGATTCCAAATTCTAATAACGGAGTTACTGACTCTAATAGACGATGAAGCTCCTTGCTATAAAACTTAAAATTTCATATAAAACAAAGACAATTGATCTTTCAGTAAGGTTATTTTGAAGATAATGACGCCACTACTAGGATGATAATAGCATAACATGAATAGGTCGCTGTGTCGGTTCCTTCTAACGGCAGTAATATCCTCCAGTGATACCGCCTACTCGGTCCCGCCTGGCATTGGTCAGCTGCGACCCGCTTGTCCAATTCTACCTTTTTCCAACCCCCAATTATCCTACAATCGAGAAAACACTGGCTTTCTCTGTCAGGCCCCACACCTGTGGCATTGCTCATTGCGTCTTGGTGATAACCGTGAAACATGAGTGATAACACTCCACAATCTGCCCGCACCACATCCCGTGCGGGCATTCCTGAAGATCAGAAGAAGGCTCTGCGCGCCTGGTGTCGGTCGCAAGGGTCTCGTCCGACACACGCAGCTAGCGTGGCCTGGTTTCAACGGACTTTTGGTCGACGCCTCCCCCAGTCCAGTGTCTCCGTGATATTGTCTTCAAAGTACGAGTATCTCGACACGGGTCCAGCAACGGGCTCTTTCCGACAGCAACCCCCGCAATGGCCTATCTTGGAGGCGCGATTATTCGAATGGTTGAAAAGGGCCCGTGAAACTGGTGAATTATCCACTGGTGACGCCATCTTCAACAAGGCCCGCGAGATTTGGCCTCAAATCACAGAATATGCTAACCGCGCTCCACCGGCATTCAGCCACGGTTGGCTGGCGAAATTCAGGAAGCGATTTGAAGCCAGTCTATCCAAGGGTCAACAGGATGGCGTTCTCCCAGCTCCGCCTCGAAACCAGCGTAAGGAGCTGCAGGCACTGCGCACTCTAGCGGGAGAGTTTAAAGAAGAAAATGTTTACAATATAGACGAGACTGGTTTGCTTTGGCGCAAAGCCCCCTTTGACACACTGCCTAGCGGGCCAAATGAACTCAAAAAGGATCGAGCCCATATCTGCTTGATGGTGTGTACCAATGCCACCGGGTCTGATAGAATTCCGCTCTGGGTGATTGGACATAAGGAGATGCCTGGGGCTCTTCGCGGTGTCAATCTCAAAGCTATGGATTGTCAATGGCGCCATAATCAACAAGCTTGGGTGGATGTTCAAATAATGTCAGAATGGCTGACCATGTTTTATCATCACGTCGGCTCGAGGCGAGTTGTCCTGCTCCTGGATGATAAACCTGCCCACCAAGCCGCACTGGAGACTACACCTCCTCCAGGCAACGTGCACGTCCAATGCTTCCCCGAGAAAAGCCCAAATTCGTACCAGCCCTTGCGACTCGGAATCACCCAGCAGCTCAAAACTCATTACCGCAAGCAATGGCTTGGGTATATGGCGACAAGCTTTGACTCCGGCTCAAGCCCGATGGAAATGATCAGCCTTTATCATACCCTGTGCTGGATCACTAGAAACTGGCGACACGATGTTGCGAATGCGACAATCTACAAGGCGTTCCGCAAAAGCCATCTCGTCGAGCCGCGAGCCGACTATCTCACCGCGCCAAAGCCTCCGGATATGACCGAGCTCTACGACAAGGTTATCCGTTATAACCAGAGTGGTACCTCTACAAGGCGTCTTGAAGAATGGCTGAATCCCGCGGAGGAGGACTTCGCCGGCACCATGGACGAGGCGCTCCGACAGAACCCGAACGTAGACACATTCATTCTTGATGAATCGGTTAACCCGCTACCACCGTATGAACTGATCCCTGCCCCGGCAGATGCTATTGCGGGCATTCAGACAGCCATTCGTTACATGCTCAATCAGCCTACAACTACTGCGAACGACATCCTGTACTTGGAAACAATGGAGAAAATCCTAGACCGAAAGGTCCGGAATCAATTCCTCCAGCAGCAAAACCAAACACCTAATCAAACGCCTACTCAGTTATCAGCCGAGGCAGCTGTTCAAATCTCTGCACCGCCACCTGCCCAGCCGCAGATTCAATCATCAACTCCAACATCCGTTCCACAATCGTCTATGCCACCAAGTCAACCTTCTGCTCAACCATATTCCCAACCGTACCGACCACCCGTTAGGCCAGCAACCCAGGCACCCTTGCCAGCAGGGCAGCGACCACTCCCGCAGCTCGCTCAACAACCAGTTCAACATGCCTTGCAAACACCAACTCAACAACCTGTTAGAACACACATGCAATACCAGTTTCCGAATCAAAACTCCAATCTGTCGCGTAACTTCGCATCGACCCGATCTCCAGGCCAACCCTCGTTTCGACCATCACAAGCAGGTATCAGACCTGCAGGTATGGCACCAATTCATATTCCATCCGAAACTCCATCCGCGGCATCCACTCCGGGACCGAGCACGGGGCAGTTGGGATACCAGGCGCGTGCGCCTTCGGAGGAAGGATCGTATCAACCGTCTGAGGATCAGTTTTCCGACGATGATATGGAGATATAACCTGGTTGGACTCTTTCGTGCCGTAATGCCGAGTGGGTATCCACTCCCCGTTTCTCTACAACTGCGCACGCTTCAGTAGGCAAGGATAAACACCTAGCTGATTGTATCGCATTATATCCATCATTATTATTGCTTGGCATGAGTTATAAATCCCAACCCTTCTTTGGAATGAAACGAGAATTTTTCGGATGAAAACCAGTTCATGTATATCAGATAGTAAATACAATAGATCAACATCTCAACAAGAGAGTACAACAATGACCGAAGGCATAAGCCCGCGCGGCAAAAGAATGAAAAGTAGAGAAACAAGTTACCAAAAACGATAAAGACGCTGAGCCTATTTTGACAGTGAGACCAGTATTGCTCCACGAGTAGCAATCTTCGTCCTAACGCCATCTTAGCTCGCACCTAAATCTCAACTAGCGGTCCTAGTAAGCACACGCTCGATTGGCCATCTTACCATCTAGGCAGAGGTAGGACGGCTACCACCAGGTCCAGAAGCAGAGGCACCGGGAGGAGAACCACTGCCACCACTGCCACCGCCCATACCAGAGCTCTCATTCTCAACACCACCCTGCTCAGTGTAGTACGCAGCAGGAGTGACATCACTGTCCTCGGTGCTATCGACACCAACAGAGATCCAAGCAAAGATACCATCCGAGACGTCGTCGCCCAGCAGAACGTACTCCATGAAGGGATCGATGGTGTCAGCCTCCTCGGACAGAATGCTGTCTTCGGCGTTGGTGGTCAGGTCCTGGGTGTTGGTTGAGTATGGTGAAGTCTTCTCGACCTTGGTGATTAGGTCCTGGTCGAAGAAGAGTTGGCCGACGTGGGAGGTCTTGGAGGAGTATAGGCCGCTGATGGTGTTGTTCTGGAGGACGGTGGTCTCGTTGGCTGGGTGTGTCAGGACTGTAGGATTTGTTGTTAGAATGTAATGTTTTTGAAATAATGGGGGACAAGGCTGCTTTTTCCTATGGATACATACCGTGAATGTGGGTGGCACGGCCAGTGTAGTGACCGGGGAAGATGGACTCGAACTGGACAACGCCATCGTCATTGCTGGGCTGGATTCCGCGCAGGAAGGTAGCGTCGAGGTTGGTAGCATCGGAAGAGTCACCGTTACCGCTGGCCTGGACACCGGAGTAGACACCCTATCATAGGAAAGTCAGAATAACGTTGCGCTTTATACTGCGTAATACTAAAGTCCCAAAACTCACAGTGGAATTGCAGTGCCAGAGGTCCATGTAGACATCAGGCAGGGGGTCACAGGTGTTGGTGTCGATGAGCTGGATGTCCATGTACAGAGCAACACCCTCCTGGTCATCAACGATGTTCTCGCGGATGAGTTCGCCGCTCACGTCTGATATCTATTAGCTATGCCAATCGAAATGCCACTCGATGTTTACTCACAGTAAGGGCCCTGAGTGACATCGGGAGCCAGAATGCAGGTAGCCTCAGAGCCGAACAGGACAGAAGCATCGGTGGAGGGGGTGACACCGGTCAAATTCGAGGCGTGAGAGGTGTTCAGGAGGGTATCCAGATCACGAGCCTTGAGGAAATGGGCATCTACGGCAAATAGTCAACATCCAATGATCAAAATAGATATCTTTCCCGTCTGATATCTGTGCTTCTCGAGAAGAATTCACCAGTGTTCAGACCACGGCGGCGGCGGATTTGCTTGACGGCGTTTTGACGACGAGCAACATTCTTGGCCTCAAGACCGCGGGCCTTCAGCTTGGAGGCACACTGGGCCAGGCTGCGCGATTGAATAGGAGCATTGCGCAGGAACTGACGGCGCTCGGCAGCTTCGGCCTTGTGGTCGTGACCAGGATGAGCGGCAGCAATCGAGGCCAGACCGATGAGGCCGGCGGTAATGGTAGAGGCGAGATGAACCATGGCTGTTAGATCAAGCTCCTCAAAGCTGAAATTTTGTAAAGATTGGAATGTAGATAGAAAAGAAGAGAATGTTGTTCTGTTGATTTGAATCCATTCTCACGGCGACAACCTCGTGCCTTTATATCACATCGTCACGGCTTCTCATGGATAGAGCATACATAGGCCATACTCCACCGAATAGTATCGAAATAGCTCAGAAAGCATTAAGGTTGCCTCAATCGCACCCTTCCTCGGGCTGAATCGCGCCGCTGACAAAGTCAATGGAGAAGCATAGTTCAAGTTCCGCAAATCAGATCTCCCCCGTTTCTCATCCAGCAACAAGTCGAAACCCTTCGGAGCCACACCAGACCCGCAGCGGAGCAACCACCGCCTCTCCGCAGGAGCAAGACGACCGGGTGTGGTTTAAGGTGATGCATAATATGGATGTTAATTGGGTTTCGGGACTTGGCGCATGGATTAATACCCGTTCCTTGCACTCCGGGCCTAGACGATGCTAAGGCCTGGATATGTCGCCAAGAATGTGTAGACGAGTCATGCGGAGCATATGCTCCACGCGAGGAATTAAGGATGAGGGCTGAGCGGAGCCATATGTAGATAATAAATTCCGGTAAGTGGAGGAATGTCGGGGTGATCTGCGCTGATGACGAGGCGCTAAATGATGCGACTCTGCACTACTCTTTCGTTGTCCACCTACGGTACAGAGCTTGGGGGATCAAATGTGGCCCATATTGACCCAGCTAGCTGATGTGGTAGGTGGAGAGACATGTGGACAATACGCATGGGGGCATGGGAGTCCGATGCAGGCCGCGACGCCCAGGGGGTCCCTGATTTGGCCCTGCATCCGTCGCGGACTCGTCACGGCTGGCATCAAACGTCCAGGGGTGTGTTGGTAATAGAGATTGGGCATTGGCTGGTCATCAGCCTACTCGTCGATCATTACCGCATAGCTATCTGCACAAAAATTGCGTCAACAGTCCCTGATAGCGTCTTGGGTCCAACGTATTCGGCGTACGTACGCGTTCTTGGCGTTCCTTTCGTCGGGGAATTCTCACGATATACGAGACAGAGAGCCTCGGCGAAACATGAGAGATGAACGTTGTTTACATTGTTATGCCAAGCTAAAAGACCGGAGGAAAGTCTTCAATGACACAAGAGTGAAACTGGTGGGCGCAGGCGCCGTGGCGCCGGTCGTGGAAAATATTTGCCAAGAAATCTTTATTCGACGCGCCCGAAGGCTTGGCGAGGCTTGCGCGGAGATCCCGGAGTGGGCGGAAAAACGAGTTGAAGGGTTTGAGTTTGTAAATGTAGAGACCTAACTATCCCTGACGTCGCATCGTAACATGGATGATAAAAGTAACCTTTTCGATCAGACTTGAGAGAATTATTGGATTTTTGTATTGATTAAAAGGGTCCTGCAAGTCACGGTCGACTCTGCGCAAGGTTCTGGTACGAGAATTGAAATTGAGAGAAACAGATGGCGAAGGGGGTCGCTTAGAATGTCCCTTAATTCGAAAAAAGGAGGATGCAGAATCCTTTCCAATGGCATGGAGAAAAAAATGCCAGTACAGTAGTTATGGATTATAATCGGACTGTTAGGTTCTCTTCAATGTGGCGGATGTTGAAACATCCAAAAATATGTGAATTTTCTCGTAAAGACGAGTGGAAATTTATCATTTGCTTGGTCTATTGGTACAGTAGATAGAGCTAGCAAAGACAGACTAATCCTGTCCCCTCCACGCAGCACGTTTGCGATAAATATCGCGCCGCAAGACCTGCTTCAACTCAGCAATCAACTCACCATCCACGGGCAATGCAGCCTGGACAGCACCAATGCCACAAAGACCATTCTTCCGATCGATAAACCACGCAAAGGTAAGACCACCACCCCAAGTCAGCGTCCGATCACCGTACCAACCATCCACATCCTGACGCATAAGAAGCCCACCCAAACCATAACCAGCCTTCATACCAGGCTCTACACCGACACGGAAGAACTTCCCCATAGGACCAGCAAGTGCAGCCTGGTGACTCTCCGTCGCACTGGGGCTCAGGTGATGCTCGAACATATCATCGACAGTAGCAGGCCTGAGCAGTTTCCCATCATTCGCCAGGATCGAGCGCAGAATCTTCGTGTAGTCATTCCCAGGTAAGTAAAGGCCATGACCGCCAAAGTCACCGCGCCCTCGCAGATTCATATCACCGCCTCCTCCGAGGACGGCCCGCCCGACACCCTCGGGGTCATCCGGGTTTAGATCGACCATGCGAGCGCGCAGGTCCTCACGGGTCACTGGATAGAATTGCCCGTCTTTGATACCGAGTGGATCGAAGATGCGTTGCTGGATACGTTCCCCGAGTGTGAGTCCCGTTACACGCTCGACTATACGCCCAGCCCAGTCCAGTCCGGGCCCGTACATCCAGCCTTCGCCTGGCTGGAAACCGAGGGGATAACAGAAAAGATCCTCTACAGATCGAGGGCCTGCGTCGTCGGGGGCGGAGAACTTCTCGCGCCACTTGGCGACGTGGGGGTTCATGAAGTGGTAGATCAGGCCGGAGCTATGCGTGAGAAGCATTTCCAGGGTGATAGGGCGTTTCGCAGGCTCGAGAATGGGTGTTTCGCCATCTTCAGTGAACCCGGTGATGACCTTTTTACTGGCTAGTTCTGGTGCGACGGTTGAGAGGTCGCCGTCCAGAGTCAACAGACCGTCCTCCACGCATTGTAGTGCTGCGATGGTGGCTACGAGTTTGGTTGCTGATGCTAGGAACAGGACATCGTCTAGCTGTTGTGGTTTTTTCTCGCCAGATAGGAGGGTGCGTTCGCCAAGGGTTTTGTTATAGGTGAAATGGCCGTCCACATCAGTGGCGCAGATTACTGCGCCGTGGATGTTCCCCGCATCAATGGCGGCTTGGAAGCTGGTTTCGATGTCGTCGGCCATGTCCGCGGGTTTGACTCTATGCAGCCGCACGATGATTTTCAGTGGTGTCTGGGCCACGGAAGAGTGTATCTGAGAAAAGAAATATTCTTCGAGATACTCGAAAGTGGTGTCTCTGGTGTAAGTTGACGATGGCTCGTGGGGTTGTCACATCGGAAGATGGTTTCTCCTCAGTTTTGGCCCCTTTCGGGGTTTGGACGGATTTTGGCTACTCCCTGTGCAGCAGCTCTCCATCGCCTCTGTTCTGAAGCAAATAAAGAATACAAGAGAAAAAGCAACCCACATAACTGGCAAAGACAATGTATGAACAAGCTACAGGCATAGCCCGTATACCCCAAGAAAGCTATTCAAGAAGATACAACCAGCTCGTTGATTTTGAATAATCAACAATCTACGTCAGATCTGCAAGTCTTATATATATGAACGGAAAAAAGTTCAAAAAGGATTGAAAAAAATTTCAATTAATAGAGATACATCCACATTAAACTGTAACAGAGTAGCGGCATAAACACGTAAACGCATAAACACCCCTGGTATTCGCTAAACAACCGGACCAGCCTGCACGAAGCAAAGAGGTATGAAAGGCGTGGTCGATCCAACAATCACGCGGCGAAACGGTATGAGAGGGCCAAGCTTTTCGCATATTCCACATTGCGTCAATGTATTTTTTTTAAACTTTGAAGCAAAAAAGCTTGGGTCCTCTCAAATAGACGTCCCGCAAGATTAGACCTCGACCTGAGCAACGGTAGGCTCGGCAACGACCTTGTCGTTGTAGTTGACGCCCATCTCCTCGGCGAAGGTGGAGTGGGGCTTCCAGCCAGCGGAGGTACGGGGGGTAGTCTCCTCCATCATCTTGTCGACCTGCTCGAGGGTAAGACCCTTGGTCTCGGGGATGAGGAAGTAAGTGTAGACGAAAGCGCAGGTGCAGAGGGAGCCCCAGATGAAGAAGACCTTAGCACCGAGGTTACCCTGGTCAGAGTCGACCATGTAAGGGGTGATGACAGCGATGATGCAGTTCCACAGCCAGTTGGAGGCGGTGGAGAGGGCGACACCGCGGGAACGGATGGGGAGGGGGAAGATCTCGCCGATGACGACCCAGGCACCGGGACCCCAGGTGCTAGCGAAGAAGAAGATGTAGATGCAGATGAAGGCGATCATGGCGGAGACGGCGTGCGGGTTGTCGCCGTCGGTGACGCCAATGATAGCGACGAGGAATTGGCAGATGACCATGCCCAGGGCACCCCAGAGGAGGAGGGGGCGACGGCCGACCTTCTCGATGGCGTAGAAAGAGATGGGGGTGGAGAGCACGTTGACGATGGTGGTGATCATGCTGAGCAGGAAGGGGTTCTGGATTGTGCCGAGCTGCTTGAAGAAGGTGGTACCGAAGTAGAAGACGAAGTTGACACCAGTCCACTGCTGCATCATCTGGAGGGAGGTACCGAGGACGGTGCGGCGGACGTTGGAGTTGGGGTGGAAGATGTTACCGCGGAAGCAGTTGATCCAGCTGTCCAGGTAGCCCGAGTCGGGGATAACAGTCATCTCGTACTGGTAGTTGGCCTCGATCTCGTTGAGCTCGAGCTCGATGTACTCGGAGTCGGGAGCCTGGCCACGGATGCGGGAGAGAGCCTCACGGGCAGCCTCCTTGTTGTTCTTGCGGATGAAGAAACGGGGGGACTCGGGCAGGAAGAAGAGACCAGTTCCGAGGATGAGAGCCCAGAGCATCTGCAGAGCAATGGGGATACGGTAGGAGCCGGAGTCGGTGCGGTTCTCGGTGGCATAGTCAACGCAAGAGGCCAGCATGAGACCGATGGTGATGCAGAACTGGTAGCCAGAGACGATAGCACCACGGACCTTGCGGGGAGCAATCTCGGACATGTACAGAATGATGACGGCAGAAACGAAACCGACACCGAAACCGGCAATCAGACGACCAGCAACGAGGAGACCAAGGCTGGAAGAAGCAGTCTGGAGGACAACACCAATGATGAAGACGAAGCAGCCAGCAATGACGGTGGTACGACGACCGAACCAGTCAGCCAGGTCACCGGCGATCAGAGCACCGAAGAAAGTACCAGCAGAGAGAATAGAGACGATGAGAGACTTCTTCCAGGAGGGAACGACGAAAGCGTCGGGGTTGGTAGTAGCCAGGGAGGGGTCCTATTAGAGAATTGATCAGTATACAGCAGAGAGAGAGAGGGTGAGAATGATAGCTTGCCACTACTTACCAGGTGCTCGAAAGTAGTAATGAAGTAGTCCATACCAAGGACACCGGAGATATAACCAGAATCATAACCGAAGAAGATACCACCGAAGGCAGCAAAAGCGCACATCAGGTAGGTCTTGACAGTAACCGGGGCCTCGACGCGACGGTCGTCGACGCTGCCCGCGGGGGACACAACAGCACCACCAGGCATTGCGGCGATGTTTCACTGAAGTAGTGATAGAGGAAGTAGGAGGTATAAAGGTGTGACCCGAGTCAAAGTAAAAGTCCCAAGTCGAAAGGGGAGGAGTTGTCGAGGAGGAGGATCACAGGGATGAGAGAGAAAACGAGCAGAGAGAGGGGGGAATAGAAGGAAGTTTATATCCTCGCGGTCACAGCACCCCAACACCCCGGCTCCCCAGATCCCCAGACCCGATTAGCAGGGGGCAAAAAGAAAAAAAAGTCTCTGTAAACCATCTAAGCCGATCTAGTCCAACATTGTCAGCCGCGGAAAAAAAATAAAAATAAAAAATATTACTTACAGTGCCAGACTAAGCAGACGGACCGCCACTCTCTCGGCTCGCGTCCACGGCCACGGCCGATGGGTTGGTCGGCTGGTGATTACACGGGGATTGGCCCGTTTGCTATTAGGGAATTAGGAACTACGAGAGAGAAAGTCTGGAACTGTACTAAATTCCCAAACAAAAAACCAGCGAGCACGGCAAAATGCGAGACTTGGATGGGGCCAACCAGTGGCCTACTAGATCGAATCAAGCCTAATGCGGGAAAACCACGCTACCCCCGAAACATAAAAATCGAGAAGTAAAAAAATGAACGTGGCATGCGGCACGGGGAAAACAACCATGGAAATGAATGAGAAAGCCGGGGAAAGGTCTGCACGGATGAAGCCGTGGGTTGTAGGAAATGAAACGGAGTGATTGGAGAGTCGGGACTAGTCGAGAGGGACCCTACGCTAGAGAACCAGAGATTCTGGTACAAGCACTAGGATGAAAAAGGATGGAGGCATAGCTAAAGGGGAACAAAGTCGAGGGTCAGTTGAAGGGGATAAACCAATGAGATACTCGGGTCTATCCCTCGGCTTGCGGAGACCCTGTCTCTTTCGGGGTCTGGGGTCCGCCTCGATCTATTTTCATTGGTTGCCACCATGTGACCGGACTGCGCCACCATTTCTACTGTAGCGCTTCTTTTTTACTGCTTTTTTTTTTCACGACGCCTGATCAATAGAGTGGACTGCTGTATACCATCTTCCAAACTTAGATACTGGAATATTCTGAGTCAGTGTCCACTGTCCACCAACTAAGCATTAGTCACCGTCTCGGTCTCGGTTACCCGTACCTTCAACAAGTAGCTCAGCTGTGGTTTCTCTCGCCGAGTCGCGTGAGCCGACCCGGTGACTAGTAGATATTCGGCCATGTCCGCTATATCAACACCAGCACCAGGCCGGAAATGGTCAACCACCAGGCGAAAAAAAGAGGGCGGCAATAGTCACGGCCGATGGCGCTTCTGGGATTTTTTTTTTCAGAGAGAGGGGGGCGAAAATAACTGATTGGAAGGTCTAGAATGGTGGGACAATCTCGGTTCGCGCGAAACATGAACCAATCTGGGTCGTAGTGCCATCGTCGTAGCATCGTGGACGCTGAACGTGGCCCGTTCTCTCAAACTCCGTCTTCGTACTCTGTAGATTGGCCCTTTGGTAGGGCAGAGCCCGTGCCCCCCGCACGACTTGGCACGACGCTTTCAGTAATTGGTCGCTTTCGTCCGCGTTGGCTTGCTTGCTTCAAGCCTCCTCCTCCTGGGAATGGTAGTCGACGAAGACGAGAAAGTCACGAAACCAGTCAACTCGTCATCCCGCTAGTATGTGAGTTGAACGGGTCATGGGCCATGGGCCATAGGCAAACCCTCGTCTCCATCGGGAAACCCGCGCCCCGTGCGTGGAAGCCTTCTGCGAAGGAAGTTCTATACAAGAGGTTTCCACCCCGGCCCAACCAACCAGTCATAACGGGAGAAACCGAATTCAACCGGTGGAATGGGGATTCGATTGTGGGGAAAATAGAAAGGGAAAGGAAACAGAGAAAAAGTCACACTCCGCCATTCCGCGCAGGGAAACTTGGCGCATCACGTGGCGTCCAGTCGCAAGGGGTCCCCGCAAACGGGACCCTCCTTTTTGACTCTGGGCAAATGTAAATGTGAGCGAGTTGGGACGGGCCAAGCCTGGGCAATGTGGGACAATCATCCTGAGAAGGTTTGAAGGCGTGTTTCTTGCTCGGGCTAATATCGGGACAAGGTCTTGAAAGAGGGCCCTTGGCCCGTGGCCACCCCCCAGCTTGGCGAGCTTGGAGGTAGAGAAGGTTTGGAAGAATGTGGGAGGGGAGAAAGAAAGAGGGGCGCCATGTGCCGGAATCATCGGATAGAAGTCGAGGAGAATGATATGATGGGATAAAGGAGAACAATAGGTTGGAACTTTGGAGCTTTCCAGTCCTGGCATCCTCTGTCAGGTCCGATGGTCAGGGCCTCCTGCCGGATTTGGGAGCGTTGACAGGGGCGATCTCACCATCCAAAAGAATGTCAGATCCGAGCTGGATGAACCGACCGTGGGAGCCCGTCATAGCCCGTGATGGTCGGGCCAGTCAACATTTTTGCGCGGCCAGAGTCTCGGAGAAAGATCCCCACTAGCCGAAGCCTTTCGGTGGAAAAGACTAATTCCTGGAAAATTCCGTACACTCAGTAGTCCTGTCAGCTTTCTACATTATTGACGAGAAGTCAGTCTTACTATCCTTCGTATTAACAGATTCTAATGCTACCTCGTCTCCCACTGCTCGTATACGCTATGACTCTATACCCTACTCGGTTGAAACAATATACCACCCCCAAAGCCACAGTAGCATTGCAGACCCTAAGACCCTAGCTCGACCCTAGAAAATCAGGCGTCCCAACTCAAAATAACCCTAATACCCTGATGGACAAGGGCAAAATCAAACGACATTCGCCATCAAAAAACCACCAACTTCAACCCACAATTTATCCAGAGAAAATTCCACAAGAACCCACAAAAGTAAACCGATAAATAGAATCAAAAGAATGGAAATAATTTCCAGTATTGCCATCGTGCAAATTACCGCTCGTCAAGCCACACCCATACATTCCCTCTTCCAAAGATTCCATACCTTCCATAACCCAATATTCCAAACTGTGGCTCCTCCCACGCCAACAACCAACCAAACCCAACCATTTTCTCTCTCTCGCCACATCCCGATACATGGGCCCATCTTCGGCAACCCATGCGCCCCTCCTTCCTCCGTATATGACAGGCCTAGCCGAGCAACACACAACCCATCCCGGTGAGAACTTCGCGTTAGCACCGAACCTTGATCCCGGACCCGGGGAAATCGGGGTCGGCCAATATCCCTAGCCCTGCCTAGAATCTGCCAAAACCCGGCCGGTGGCACCCTGAAATCTCTGGTTGGGCCGAGACGAGCGGGAACCCCGTTGAAACCTTTGCCGAGGGGTTCCGTCCTCGAACCGAAATCTAATTTTTTTTTCCTGGAGAATCATGGATCTTGCACCGGACGGCCTGACCGGCATCCCCGATCCCCCCAGATGTTCACTCCGGTGAGCGTATGCAGGCATTATGGGTGGGAAATGCGGAGGATTTGCCTTGCATCCCGCGAAAAACGTGGTCTGGGGAATGGGGGAATGGGGAATTTGGGGTTTAGTTTGATTGAAGCCGTTGTAGACCCTACGGAGTACATACGAATAGGGATGACAGGGACTCGAGTTCTCGGGGACTTTTTTGTTGAGATACGGGTCTATGACAAACAGACCACTCACCCAACTGGTGGTCTGATAACCCGACGTGGCTGCGTCCGTGCTGGGTCGGTACCGTGTAAAAGCCTTGTTGGCAGACAATAGACATACCTAGTGGAAAAAAGCAAAGAGAAAAAAAAAAAAAGAAAGGGTTGGTCATAGCTTCCAAGACATTTTTCTTCGCTAGGGCCTTGTGTCTCGCTGGGATTATTGTGGGAGGAGGAATACGACTGGGCATTCTGCGTTGATGCGCGAACGTGTAGCACGGGCTGGCTTGTTTTCCGTCGTGGTAGCTTGGCAAAGCCGTTAAATCCCCGTCTCCGGGGATACGTGCACGTAATATTCATTTGAGATATACCTGGATATGAAGTGCAGCAAAATGGTGGATTCTCATCATGCACACATACATTCGTCGGCTACGGCGGTCGTGGATTGCCCGTCGAATCTGAGAGACTCGCAGACACCTGCAGTCGAGCTCACTTTGCATTGCTTGACTATGCCGTGAATGATACAGGCTAACAGTTGATGAACAATTGACAATTTCAATAGGGAGAGCATTGCAGACTATGCCAAAAGACTTCTCGCAGTCGGTAGCGATGCTGATACCAGTCTATGCCCGGTCAACCTCCAGTATACGAGACGCGATCTTGTCGATGATGATACTGGTTCTGAGGGTGTTTTTAATGCTGCGACGGATGGGCTTAGTCCAGCAGGAAGGCATCGTCAAGCCAAATTGGCCATTTGGGTCCTGAGTCGTACACTTCCAGGTGGCCGGCCTCCTTGACCTTGCTTGACCTGGGGACCTGGGAGATAAGCACATGCCTGCCTACAAGATCAGTTTCCTAATTATGAGACATGCCAGTTGAGTATATGTCCCACCTCGTCTTCATCGGCATCATGTGAGAGAAGGTCGAGTTTCTCTACATGGCACTGACTCTCGCGATGCGATCATATGTCCTGTTGGCGAACTACGGGCTGCCGAAGGCGATTACTTATGCCAGTTCGCACTAATGGATAATCAGGTGATCAGACCTAGATACAGAAGGACACCATGTTTATTACAGCTATGTCTACTCTCCTGTTTGATTTGCACGAATATCTAGGCGAGGGCTGCGAGCTGGGAGCTGGCTCAGTCTCAGCTGCGTGTGATATCCCGCATACCATCTCCAAGTTTCAAACTTGTCACTCAGTACTTTGTGATTGTACATCCCAGCGACCAGACTCTGTGTGATTCTAGATTGATCAAGATAAGATATCCAGTCCATAAAATACGAGAAGCTGGGGCAAGGTTCCGCCACTGATCGGCGCGCCCACGCCGTTGATCAGCGTGTGGCAGGTGGATGTTTTGAGCCGCAACCTCAAGACAAGCTGTGCCCTGGATTGACTGTGACTGCCAAGTTTGGCCAGAGCAAGAAGGACATCTGATGATCAGAGCCTCGAAATGCGACCATCTTTGAGTCCCATGCAGGATGCCGAGGTCGGGCTCACCCCTAGGGACCGAGACCCTGCGAGCGTATGCGGTTAGGCATCCCGGGCATACACCCTTCGCAAACGCGAAAACGAAAAGAGTGCGACAGATGTAACATTTCTGACACAGTAAAACAAAATTAATCATTCAATCAATCTTCGGATGCAACGCTACTCAAAGCGAACGCGCGTTTCGTCTTCCCCGGGAGCTCCCTCGAGCCTCCTGCACTAAAGCCAAGGCTGCCCTCCTTAAGCCAAGTGCCAATGCACGATATCTCACATTCAATTGGACAACCGGACGTGGTCAGACAATCCCGCTCTTGTCCTCGGCCTTGGCAGCCCCATTTCAGCCCACTCCTGGCAAATTTAAACGAATGCGATCGCGGGTTTGCCCCGGATAAGCAGAGATCACCCAGCGCCAAGCCGCCACGCCCTCCCATTCGCCCGGCGGGCGAAACCCCGTCAGCACTAGCGGTGGAATCTATGGACCCTTCGGCTTGGCCCGAGTCAGTGATCCCTGCGATAGGTCGATTGATATTTTGTGCTTGGGAGCCGGCCTTGGCTGATTTGTCCTTTGTGCTCTGGGGGTTTGATTTTGTTCGTCGCGGACGTCATCATTTCTACACGCGTCAACACAATGCCTGCGCTATCACGGCTGGTGGTGCCCTGGGCGGCATTTTCGTCGTTGGCTGTAGCTGCGACAGCTGGCTACTTCAATGATACCTCGGTCTGTGCGGATCCGAAGGGGATGCAAAAGTGTTATGACAAAGCGGAGACGAGCTATGCGAATTGTATCACGAGCAACTGCTCCGATGGAAGCGAGAGCTGCTACGACTCGTGTAATGGCGATACTACGTGCATGGCTACGCAGTGTCCAAATATAGGAGTGGACTGCATCAATGTTTGTGGATGCGTCAGGGCCACTGACCGGATTGATTGTACTGCATCCAGTTGCTGGAACCATGTATGTCGCGTGTGAACTTTCCTTCATGAATACAAAGTCTCACGTCGTGTCTGCGTCTTAGGTCTACTCTTGCGAATACCAGGAAACAGCACAAGATGCCCTCAACCTGTGCTTAAATTTTGATATGGATCAAATACCTTTCTGGCCAGTCCCAGAAAATGCTGCTGGTAGATGTTCATGCAATATTGGCAAGCTGGCTCGGAAAGAAACACTGATCTCGGCGCAACTCACGGAGTGCAGCAATAATAAGACCAATCTCGATCAATTATCCGGGGCGAAGGATATGACGAATTATACTCAGGCCTGCACTTGCTGCGCGCAGAGCGCCATTGTATCTGCGTATGTCCTCAATCCCAACCTCAACAAACGTGGCAATGCTTTAAAGGATTTTCTGACTGACTTTCTCCAGCATCTGGAGCGTATGCCCAAATACCAAGCCCTCGAAAATCGGAGCCGACTACTGGTATGACGTGTTTCTGGGTCCTCATCACTGGGAGGAATGTGGCCCATACCTCGAGGCATACGACTGTGGAAGCGATCTAGGTTACGCCGCTGAGAGCGCCGGCGACACGCATACCTTCTACAAGCCGAACAACCTTCCCAAAAACGGAACTGAAACACTATATAACACTGGCGGTGTACTGAGCACTCCAGTTAGCGGAGCCACTTTCACCTGGACCGATGGCTCTCTTTTGCACGGTATCACCGCTGCGTCGATAAATAACGTTGCCTCGGCTACTGGTACCGGGGCACAGGGAGCTACTGCGACTGCGACCGGGACTGGTGCAAGTGCTACAAAGACCGGTGGTGCATCTATCTATAGCCCGCCTACATGGGCCGGTGCCGGCATGGCGGGTGCCCTTGCTTTGATCATTGCTTGAACTACGCTAGACTTGATACAGCTAAGATTCTAGATAATGACAATTGACGAGAATAGATCCATTATTCTGGCTCAGCTTTGGACCAGTACTCGGCAGCCCTTGACATCATCACTGGCCAAGCGCCGTCGCAGAGTACGAGAGGAGCACGATAGCGACTAGGCGTTTCCCAATCCGTAAGGTCGACCCGCGCTATCTTGCGGAGTGCATTAGCGCCCGAAACTAAAAGCCAGTTCAAGCTCTCCGTCCTCCTATTGCTTCAAATAACGGCTGCTTATCGATGAAAACGATGCTTTGGGCGAATCATGCCCTGTGATCATATATCCATTGGTCTCCCTGCATTGCCGGGATGGTGTTGATAAGCTTTGATCCAGCAGGAGACCTGCTTCGTAAATGCCGAACCTGTGCCCGGCTTTATAAATACATGCATGTTTCTCATGAGAGAAAACTGTGGATAGCTTGCCAGGCATTTTCCAATTAGTTTTTGTTATCCTAAGTCCTGCCTCCTGCAACGCTTACCGTTACTGGCGCACAACCACGTTTTCTTACCTTCAGCTTCTATTACCCTATTCTCTGCCTCTCCACACATCAAGTAAGATGCCGCACATTCAGACTCCACCACCGGACTTTACTACACCCCCAGGCACGGTTCGTCTCCTCAGTGGTAAGAACCCAGCTGGATTCCGTTGGTACCTCCCACCAGTCTAACCGAGACCAGAAAATGGCGAATTTGAAACACAAGAGTTCATGCTCCAGCCGACACCATCACAGGATCCGAATGATCCCTTGGTATAGATTCCTCATCCCTTAAACTCGAAATTGTATCCAACTTCTTCTTCCTTGTAGAATTGGACGCCGACTCGAAAATTCATGAACTTCTTCCCAACCCTTGTCGTGACAGCCCTGATTTTCACCCAGTAAGAGATCATTCCCTCATTCCGAATAACACTAACATCTATCTTAGAACGTCTCTCCCGGTGGTCTTTTGGGTCCTTTGGATTCCAGAGTTCGGCTGGAGTTACAACCAGCTCAATGCCGCATCTGCCTTGAACTATGCAGGAACGGCCATTGGCTGTATACTCTTCATTCCTCCGGCTATCAAGTATGGACGACGCCCTGTTTATCTCATTTCAACTACAGTGGTTCTTGTTGTGGCAGCTTGGTCGGCTTGCTTGAACACCATTGCCGAATTATACGTCTCTCAATTCTTATTCGGTCTCGCATCAGCGACTAATGAGACAATTGTGCAAATGACGGTATGAAATTCTTTTCGTTACCTTGCTTTACGAGGATACTCACTCGGGAACAGGTGGCGGATCTATATTTTGTTCATCAGCGCGGTATCGCCAACGGTCTGTATATGGTAATGGTGATGATTGGGGTAAGAGTCCACCTTAAAAACAGCCCAGCTCGTTCTACTAACTGGCGGTAGAGCTTTTTGAGTTCAATCATTGCCGGATATATGGCCGCCGATGGTAACTGGAGATACTGCTATTGGGTTACCTTTGCCGTCGAGGCGGTTCTCCTCCTCTACTTTGTCTTTTTCTTCGAGGAGAGCAAATACATCGCAACCATTCAAGGCAGGACACAAGAAACACCTCCAGAAGAGGCGATTGTTGATCAGAAGACGGGAGCCGATTCCGCTTCTCCGGTTCCATCCCCCAGAAATTCTCACTCGGACGACAATTCGAGCGCAGGACCTCGTACCCTCGATCCGACCATTCCTCTTTTAACATGGCGGCAGCGTATGCGCCTGATCACTCCAACGGATGACAGCCTTCTGCAAATCGCCTGGACATCTGTTCAAGTCCTATTCCAATTCCCAGTTGTCATGTACACGGCTCTGCAATACGCATTTGCCTTATGCTGGATCTCAGCCCAGGCTTCTCTCGTCTCCATGGTATTCACACAGCCTCCCTAGAATTTTGGCACTGTCGGCGTCGGCAATATGAGTCTTGGTGTCTTTATAGGCTGTATCCTTGGATCTATATACGGTGGAGCAACTGATCGGGTGATCAAAGTTCTTGCTCGACGCAATTATGGTTATTACGAGCCGGAGATGCGGTTGCAGCTTAATCACTTTCCTGCTATTTGCATGGGTGGTGGGTTCATCATGTTCGGGGTTACTACGGCAAAGGTAAGACAGCCTAGTCATATCTACATGATTGTACTTACTGATAATCTTGTCAGGGCATGCATTGGATATGGCCGAGTATTGGCAGCGCTGTCTTTGGCTTTGGCTTAGGTGCCATTAGCGATGTTGCTCTATGCGCTGTTCAGGATAGCTATCAAGCAGTAAGTTTGACAAAAAAAGTTCCTACACCGTACAACCCGATTACTCACGTCGGCAGGTTACTGGCGAGGCATTCATCGGTATCGCATTCATCCGAAACTGCTTTAGCATTGCAATCTTCTTCGCTCTTGTGCCGTGGATGGACGCCCAGGGTTTACAGAACATGTCCATTGTTATGGGCGTATGGGCAACCGTGGTGGCGTTTTTGCACGTTCCACTCATTGTATGGGGTAAAAGGTTCCGCAAAAGAACCGCAGCTAAGTATCAGAAGATGGTGGAGAAGAGGACGACTGATCGCCTTTAGAGATGTGCCAAGGTAATGAATCAGCAATCAACGTTTATTTGGTATAGGTGTACTTAAGCAAATCCCATATTTCAGCTTGAATAACAATAGATGTACAAAGAGTGTGGAATAGCAAGGCCGCCAGTGCCTATAACGCTTTTCAAGGAGAGCCGATCCCTTCTTTACCTCAGTAGAAGATTGGCTTACGACGAGCTACCAAAGGTGAATTCGGGGATGCTGATGGTGCTGACAGTCCAAGTCTTGCCGTTGTCGCTGGTTGTCATGTCACCGGTGACGCCCTCGCCCTTGCCCAGGGTGTTGATGTAGTTTGGGTCGGCGGTGTCCAGGATGATCTCTGTGTCGATCCAGGCTGTTGAAGCGGAGAAATAGGTCAGTTTAAACACCCCTCGAAAATGTGTATATTCTCAATGACTCTTACTGTGAGCGGGCATGGTGCCGCAGTTATCCTCAGCACACTCAACGGCACTGCCCCAACCCTGGGCCTGCCCATCGCTGGTGGACAGAGTGGAAACAGTCACGCCGTTCACGAGAACAGTTTGAGTGTAGTTACCGGTGGAATCATCAAACTTGTCTGTGGAAGGGTGAGCTTCGATTCCACGATCTTTGGAATTTCCATCCTAACTTACAATGCATGGTCACCTTGTCTCCAGCATTGGCAGTGGAAGAGTCACCCTGGACGGGCATCTGAGTGGTAGCTTAAGATATGTCAGTATTTTTCTTCACATCTTACAAAATGGCAATCCATTTACCGCTGGTGGAGAGCAGGGTGTAGGCGAAGATACTCCAAGAGCTCGACTCCCAGTTGTCGGCAATGGACTGGATCAGGTCACCATTCGAGGTACCCATGCCAACCCAGAGAGAAGCATCGCCGGAAGAACCACTGGGAGCTTCAGGGAGGACCAAAGTGGAAGTGGATTCACGGATGAAAGAGTCCGAGGCAACAGGGCCAGTGCTGAAAGCAGGGCCCATGGCGGCGTTGACAGATGCGATCGCCGTCATGGCGAGCGCGGAAATAGTCTGCTTAGTGGAAGGCATCTTGGGAGTATTCAACGAATAGTCTGGAAAGTTTGAGATTTTGGTCGTTCTAGTTACCCCTACTGACTCAGGGCGAGGAGCTGTTTTATACTCTCCCAACAGTTCCGCCCTCTTCTCTTCTGAACCCTGAGCTCACCATCTTGAGTGGAGGAATCCAGAGTCCTTCATGCAATTTTTATCGGAAGTTCCAAATCATCTCCACCAGTAGGGGTTCAAGTCCAGAAATACTCGCTAGATAACTCGGAACATTACCGTATACTGGAGTGTCGTGCGGTAAGTGGAACGTCCTCCGTTCCCTAAGGAGCAGTTTAAAACACCCGGCTAATATGCCCGCCCAGGCTAGTGTTGCAGACACAGACATCAGTAGCCTGATGATCTGCAGGGTTTAACAAGCCAATTATATACCTTAATAGAATTGTAGAGTCGAAACACCCTTCGGAACAGACAAAGGACGGGAGGAACCAGTCGTTCATTTTCTAGGAATGGTCGATAGAGAATTTTGAGAATTGTTAAGGCCAGGAAGTTCCTGCGATCCCCTTGAAACATGGTCTATCCTTGAGTGTGCAACCCCTCCTGGGATGTTATGTCTCGCATTTTGCGAGGATTCTGCTCCCAACAGATCGGGGAACACCCTCTCTAGGCAAGTGATAAACAGTTAGTTATTGCCATGATGTTCAACCGCCGCAAGTTCCCCACTCACTAGGCCGCATGGCTCCGCGGGGCAATTAATCCCAGACTTCGAGGGCCTTCGGTGTGGATAGTATTGATAGTAGCTTAAAGAGAAGGAGAAAGCATTTTCTTCACTGTCATGCAGTAAATTTAAATACCAAATAGTCTTCGAGGGCCCCGAATGCGTATCCGCGGGTTTGCGCATCTCTGCGACCGGCCATTCGTAAAAGGGGCATTAAAGGTTGAGGGTCTACGATGTCCATCCAGAATGCCCATTGCCCTCGAAATGGAAGATTCAGTAAATATTCATCTTATCTTCGGAATCCTGCATCCCAAACACACATCTAAGTAAATTCACGTAGATAGGGCGATAGAGTCTAAAGTATGGCCCGGGGCTGTTGTGGATATCTGCTCAGATATATATACATCAATGAATGTTTTTTCCCCGACCCGGAAAACCTGCCAAATGGAAAAAACCTTAGAAAAACGTTCCAATAGATTGATAGATAGAATACAATCGAAGTCGATATTGATAACTTTGAATATCCATTTGCTTTAGCATTTACTGCGAGAGGCACCGCCACAACCTTGTTGACAAGCCGGATCAGCCTCGGCACAACGGGGAACGGCCCCCAACCTTAAGCCCCGCCTGGCGCATTCAAAGTTTCCCTTCACAAGAGCAGCTTGGCCCACAGTCCAGCTCAAAAACAACCGATGCTCTCCTCTCCAATCCCTCACTTGTCAATAAACTCACGGCAATGACTCAAGCAGGTACCACGGCTCTCGCCGCCGCCATGATGGGCGCCGGCTATCTCTGCGCGCTCTGCGCCACACCACCGAACCCATCCCCCGACCGTAAAGACCGTCACCAAACAGATCGAATTAGCTTCATCGCAGGCTCGGGGGCCACGATTGTCCGTCGCATCGCCGTCACTGCCATCACATACCATGCCCTCCTCACAGCGCTGCCGGTTTACGCGCCCCAGCGGATGTCGCAGATGTGCCCGCGACCGCATAATCTCAACCCAGAGTTGTTCTCGTGGAGTGTCCCCGCGATCGCGGGCATCTTGCTGATATGCCTCGGGGCATACGTCCGGCTCGCTGCGTACGGCAAACTTAGTCGCAATTTTACATTTCACCTCGCAGCGCCGGATCAGTTGGTCACGTCGGGTGTCTACGGCTGGATGCAACATCCGAGTTACACGGGGCTGGTTCTGATTGGGTTTGGTGTCGCGTCGCTGTTTTGTCGATGGGATGCCGTGCCTGCTTGTTGGATTTCCGAGACCACGCTGGCTCGATGGTCTGGATGGGGATTGGGAGTCCTTGGGACTTATATCTCGGTCGCACTTTGTGTGCTGTTTACGAGGGTGAAGGATGAGGAGGAGATGCTGAAGGGGAAATTTGGCAAGGAGTGGGAGCAATGGCATCGGTCGACAAAACGGTTTATTCCGGGAATTATGTGAGGAGTTTTCATAATTTACATCTTCTTTTGTACAGTAACAACATATGAATAGACCCCCACCCCCAATTGATGCATTAGCTCCTTGCGCATGACGCGCTTGGTCTCACCCTCTCTCCTATCTCATATTGTGCACCTGCTATCCGATGAGATACGAGACTGATGGCCCCTTGCTCATTTCTCGTGGATAGCAGGCTCTTCCTCGTGAGTGTGCGCGGTGTCCAACGCATCGATGGTAACATCAATGCGAGGACCGGTAAAGTTCTTACGACCATCGATAAACCACTGGAAAACGGAGATGATGATGATAACCGCGAACGCAGCAACAGCGTAGTCTGGAAAGTGAGTTAGCCGTATGTACATGAAGTCGCGGGCAGGGCTACTTACTCATATTGCTGCCAGTCACATCTTGGTACGGAGGGAAAACGAATAGTACGGTAGTGAGAGCAATATATGCGAGAGAGATCTTGTCCGTTAGCATTGCCTGAGCAGAAAGGTGAATTTCATATGATATCTTACCAAATCGATGAACCATCCGACGGCGTTAGGGATCTTCCACTTCCTTTCCGGGAGGGCTCTGCGACCCTGCAGACAGTTGACAAGGATGGGCATGGCGTAGGAGAGATCGAGAGCAACGACCGCGGCAGAAATGATCGCGTTGAATGCACTTTACGGAGTGAGTTAGAGCTCTTTTGGAGTTAGAATGGGGTGTGGCTTACCTGGACGATCCCAAGAAGATGCAGCCGAAAATAATGACAACGACGACGGTTAAGATAAGGGCGTTCAAGGGCAGCTTGAGCGTCGGGTGGACCTGGGCGAAGAATCGAGATGCAGGAAGGCCGCCATCACTACTGCTGTTAGTTTGGTTTCTTGAATGGCCATATCGTTGTAGAGTACGAACCGCGCGAAAGCGAAAATCATCCGGCTGCTAGTGGTCATCACACTGAGAATGGCGAGGATCAAGCACACGAGAGGGAGCCTGAAAATCTGTTAGCGCGACATGAAGCATTGACAAAACATCGAGTAACATACATCAACAGGCAGATTGCACCGGCGGTATTCTTGGTGGCATCAATGAGAATCTGCAAGAGAGGACCAGCAGCAGAGGTAGTGACTTGATCCATGTTGCCTGCCACAAAGAGAAGGACAATCAAGAAGATAGAACCAGTGAAAGTACCGATACCCACGCACGAGACCATGATCTTGGGTCCTTCAATAGATGGGTTTGGAACCTCTGCCAATTGTTAGTCCAAGACTCGTGTGCACAGACACAATTTGCCTCCTTACCCTCAATCATATGCACCACAGCATCCTAGAAAATCAGTACCAGGCCTTGAAAAAAATGATCATGGAGGAAACTTACAAAAGCAGTAACACCAAGTCCTCCTTGAAGCAGTCCCAGCATCCATGCAACACCATCAGGCCCTATTATCGTTAGCATGACTCGCAGCTAGCTATAATTCATGGATAAACTAACATCCGGTGCTGTTCACGAAGTTGCAGAACACAAAGCTAATGCGAATTAGCAACACTCATAAGAACTGGTCAATATTCTACTTACTAGGCCGAGTTGAAGTTAGGCGAAGCGCAAGCAAGAACGGTAATGGACACGATCGCGAATCCACCAATCGACCAAGAAACTGTTTCCAGTTAGCCCCAAGGCTACATAACAGGCTAAAACACACGTACAGGCACCGCGGTAAATCATCGGCAGAATGGAGTTCATGAATGCGTTGATCACAAATGCTCCTAGTGTCAGTCCGATATAAATGAGGAATTGGTGCCATCGCTGTGCCACGTAAGTCTGATTTTGGTTGTCAGTCAAAGATGTCCCGCCATTGCCAGGAATCGCAATCTTACTGGATGCATGGCCGAGATACACCCGACGATGAGTTGACTCGACAGGAGCGAGTTGGTAGCCACAAGAGCGACCTATGCCATTGTTAGCCTGGGAGTACTGAGAGATAGGATAGGCAGTTGTTCCGCGTACCCAACCAGCCACATTGATCCAACCCGTGATCCACGAGAGAATAGGCACCCATTTTGGCCAAGCGACTGTGCTATGGTCAGCTAGTATTTGAGAAGCAGGTGATGGTGAATAACATACTGACGGCGACCCAGTGATACTGACCACCGGCGCTAGTTGAAGGTCAGTCGAGTTCTCAAAATCGATACAAACAGAGAAGGCCGCTTGACATACGTGGGATAAGCAGAGAGAAACTCCGCCAGCGAGGCGGCAATACACAAGTTGCAAAATCCAGCCGTGACGAGACCTGTTTCGGAGTGTTACTCAGTAGCCCATGCAGAGCTGCGCGTTATCATGCTTGACCTACCCCAAATAACACTTGTACTTCCTCCGGACGTGAGACTAATCGACAAGCTAGCAGAAAGTGCAGTCCATGACTAGATAGAGAAGGTGGTTTTGATTAGCTGCAGGGTTCATGATGGGAGTGACCAAGTCGAGAAACTTGAATGGACTTACATTAAGCACCGCGAAAGCCAGTCCCAGCATCGACCTATCCCTTAATCAGTACCGCGGAAAGTTGAACTTTCTCATGTCGATCCTACCACATAGAGTATTGTCGCTTCAACTCTGGCTTATGGCCCATGGCCGCCAGCTGCGCATCATCGTCCTCCAACGGACCACCCTTCATCTCTGTTGGGTGACTCATATCGTGAATCTGTGCAAATCAAAGGGTTGTAGAAAACAAACAGAAAAGAAAAGTTCCTAGCCGGAATAATATTCCAAAAAGTTGGAGGGAAATGCATCTAAGTATCCCGGATTTACCGAACGACACATGGCTATGACATACATTTTGCGGATAGCGCCGACAGGGTTACAGCTGGCTAGCATGCGGGGGAGCAGTTGAGCCAAGGAGATCGTATCAGCATAAGCACCAATCGTATCTATACGGTGGGACAAGGACTATCCAACCGATGTCCGCCCTAAGTCCACTTAGCTCTTGGCTGTCCTAATCGCAACCAATCGCAGTCGCCGCTTCAGCCTTGTCCAACCGAGCGGAATGTAGTCTTATCGTAGACATCTCCACCTCCCCCAAAACGATGAAACAACACTGCTTGAAATTGGCCTCTCTCCGCAAAGCTTATCACCCAGTACCTGAACGACCCGGCTTGTCCTCCCTATTTCGTCAGTGGTCGCATGGACTTCCCTCGACTGCGTTAGTTGCATGGTAAGCTATCCCAGGCTGTCCCAGGCTATCCCTAACGCGCTCTTAGTTGCGTCGCGATAATATCCTGAAGATGCTGTAAATGTTGATCTCCACCGCGTGCCCGGGTGGACCTACTGGTAATCTGGTAATCTTCGGAGAATCTCCCTTCCAAGAAACCGGTCTCCGGTCTGTGCCTATTGCGGTGTATAAATAATGGCATCGCGGCAAGTGCTAATCTCTTGAATTATTGCGATAGCCTTGTCATCGCTTCCCTCCTTCATTTCACACTTGCTTGCCATCTTCGCAGTCATGTTCTCGAAGAAGGGGCTGGGTTTGTTGGCAGCTGCGCTTGCCGCGCAAACATGTTCCGCGTCGGCCAACAAGGCCCGCGATGAGCACGCCACTTGCAAGAAGACTACGGTCGCTATCCTGTAAGTCTGCGATGATTCTATTCGATATGTGAGACATGTTGAGCTAACTCATTGTAGGGGAGGTGGAATGGCTGGCGTCGCTGCGGCAGTAAGATAAACCCTTTGTGGTCCCGAAGAGGCGCGATGCTCACGTCCAACTTATAGCAAGCTTTGTCGAACTCTTCTATTCACGACTTTATTATTATCGAGTATCGGGATACCCTTGGTGGCCGTGTGGCTCATACCGACTTTGGCAAGGATCCCAACGGCAAGCCGTACACTGTCGAACTGGGAGCAAACTGGGTATGAGACCGTGCAATTCCTAGGTCCGAACCATGCACAGACTGACTTGTGAATGTAACAGGTGCAAGGACTTGGATCTCCTGGCGGCCCTGGTATGATTCGTGTCTAACCGCTAAGTATACCAACAAGTCGTTGCTAACCATGCCTCTCCAGAGAATCCCATTTGGACCTTCGCAAAGAAGTGGGACCTGAACAATACCTACTCCGACTATAGCTCCATTCTCACCTACAATGAGACCGGCTATGTGGACTACAGCTCCCTTTTGGATGACTTTGAGGACCTGTACGATGATGCCGCTGAGGCGGCTGGAGTTCTTCTGACCGAGAACGGCCAGGACCAGACTGCTCGCAGTGGTCTGGCTCTGGCCGGATGGAGGCCTAAGATTGATGATATGGCCCGCCAGGCTGTGGAGTGGTGGGAGTGGGGTAAGTCATTGCATATCCACTCATTTCTCGCATTAACGCTGACCATGCTTCAGATTGGGAGGATGCTTATTCACCCGACGAGAGCTCCTTCATCTTCGGTGCCGCCGGTGAGAACTTGACTTTCAACCAGTTCAGCGATGAGAACAACTACGTTTGGGACCAGCGTGGCTACAACCGAATCATCATCAAGGAGGCCTCGACCTTCCTCAAGGACAACGACCCGCGCGTCCAACTAAACTCAATTATCACCAATGTCACCTACACCGACGACGGTGTGGTTATCTACAAGAAAGATGGCAGCTGCGTATCTGCTGCCTACGCAATCTGCACCTTCTCGCTCGGTGTTCTACAGAACAACGCCGTCTCCTTCAGTCCCTCTTTCCCTGAATGGAAGCAAACTGCTATCGAGAAGTTCAGCATGGGCACGTACACCAAGATCTTCCTCCAGTTCAACGAGACCTTCTGGCCTCGCGACACCCAGTACTTCTTGTACGCTGACCCTGTCTCCCGCGGCTACTATCCCGTCTGGCAATCCCTGTCCGCCCCTGGATTCATCCCGGAGTCAAACATCATCTTCGTCACTGTGGTCTCGCAAGAATCCTACCGCGTGGAGCGCCAATCCGATGAGCAGACCCAAAAGGAAGTCATGGCCGTCCTGCGCAAGATGTACCCAGACCTCGACATCCCCGAGCCCACTGCCTTCATGTACCCCCGCTGGTCAACCACCCCCTGGGCATACGGCAGCTACTCAAACTGGCCTCCATCGACCACCCTCGAGATGCACGAGAACCTGCGCGCGAACGTGAACCGCCTCTGGTTCGCGGGTGAGGCTACCAGCGCAGGGTATTTCGGCTTCTTGCATGGTGCTTGGTTCGAGGGCCGCGATGCTGGTGAGCGGATTGCTAAGTTGTTGGGTGGTAAGTGTGCGAGCACGGATACCTCTGGCACTTGTGGAAATCGCAAGCACTGGGAGCATCTGAATGGTAGCACGCCTCTGGCTGACTATAGTGCTTTTGATGGGTGGGATGTTAGCAGCTTCTACTCGAGCTACTAAGGAGTTTTAGGGGATTGGTGTGGTAATTGTAAGAAATAGGGGGTTTGAAAGAGGCCGTATGAGGTTGCTGTGTATATATTTATTCAAATATTATTATCTTCCATGAACATGTTGAGCAGACCTTGTGATTAGGTTACCATGCGGCAGTAAGTAATGATTGGAAAGTAGTCCTGTAATTCCAGGAGATGGATAGATATAGAACGGCATGCAGTACGAGGCCATAAATATTCGCCCGCATGCTTGAAATATTGAACATAAGAAATGGTAAAAGTGTCCACTGACATGATAGTGAAAGCCACACTATCTGAGAAGAAGGGGTAAAACTGCAGCCCCGAAAAGAATTTCCGATCCCCAAACACCAACTCCATAAACTCCATAAAATAACACCATGCATGATTATAGCCCGCTTAGCCGCAAAAACCAGCATCGCAACCGAGTGGCCTATCCAAGGCACGCTCATCGAGCATGATACGTATCAAGCGCCTGTTGGACATCGTGCAGGCTATCTTTGCTGCCGTAGGCGTCCATGAGTTTTTGGTTTCGGGCGAGACGCTTCTCTTCTTCAGCCATGGCGAATTCGTGCCGCGATTTAACCTCGTTGTAGTAGTTATAGCCGGCGAAGCCTGGACGGAAATGGGTTAGTGGCCGATAGAGCGAAGGGAGGGGATTCATTATGGGACTTGCACGTACCAAGTCCTACGGCAGCGACGACTGGGATATACCTATTTCGAAAGATCATGGTTAGATGGTGGGTTGTTGAGAACGGAGGCCTTTCCAGGGGTAGAGTTGCTTACCAGCGGCTAGGCCGAGGCTTTATGGACGGGCCGGTCGGATGAGGTCTGTGAGAAGGGTTGGCTCCAGGGAAAGCGTATTGAGACATTGTGAAATCGCGGTATGGGGAATATAGCGATTTTTGAAGGAGAGACTGAATTGGAGAGATAGAAGGGAAAAGGAAGTCGAGAAGTGGTGAAAAAGTGGCGCGTGTTCCGGTCGGAGGGTATTCCTCCGTATAAAGCAGGAAAGAAAGATCGCCGGCTGTGGAATGCGGGAATGCGGGGATCGCATGACGTGGAGAACCGAGTCTTGCAACATTGGCTCGTGCAACGAATCATGCCACTTGGGCATTGGGATCCACGGTTAGCTGACATAGTATGCCATCACAGATACCTCAGCTTCGAGTTGCATGACTACGTTTGTTATACGTTTCTAAAATGCCTGATAGTTCGTTACTTTGGCTTAAGCTTGGTCTACTTGTTAGCTGTGGTGATTGTCCCCACATTCAAGGTACTGAAGGGGCCTTGCACTGCCCCTGCGCAAAAAGGTTCAACCGTCCAACCAGCGATTACGGAGGAATCATGCTAACAACAAAAACGGAGCACTGAGCTCCATGCTAAAGTGCTCTGGCACACGATATAGACAGGCACAAGACATAAACAATTCTACTCACAATATCACTGCATAGCGAACGATCCAACGCAATGAAAACTACAATTGGAATGAGTTTGAAGCTGTTACAAGTGTGAAGAGTAAAGTTCCCCGCACAAGAAGCTCTGTGCTCGATAGCAGCAGCATACTATGCAAGTTGAAACTTGGCCCCTTCTATATAGTGAACAGGCGCGCGTACGAACTGTACAAGAGAGTGAAGAAGCAGGCGTAAGATATACGTCCTCCTTGAGCCTGCTCAACGGTATATATGTTTCTTATGCTTATGCTTCTCGTCTAGTTTAGCATGGGCTCGTGCGCGCGGTACCTCTTCACAGTAGGAGCCCTCGTGTCAGGCTCAGGGGGTTTCCAAACCACATCAAGCGTTGAGCCCGTCAAGTAGTCAATAGATACATACTTATGATAAGATCTGGAAATTTTAAGATGAAGCCAAAATCATTTGACATCGGAAAAATAAGTTGCGCGAAGGGAAAGGACACTTTGCGACCGCGGGCAAGTTCAAATACCCTCGGAAGGCCAGTGCACCAAAAATTGCCGATCCTCGGTGGTTACATCGCCGTGATCGCCTCTATAGGTGTTCAACTTGGAAATGTGGATTAGGTCAGCGTTAAATAAAAGATTCAAGAAATATGGATATCGGCGCGATCCGAATTGACTGTTGAGGTAGTGACTAGGGAAAACTCTAGTCGCATTGAGGTACACTTGGTGGTAAATTGTGCATTGGGCATACATATTACGGATGTGTCCTGTCAGCTGCACATGAATCAGGCGAGGATTGATTTTCTTCAGTGTACGAAAGAATATATATGATGCCGAGATATTTGATGTAGGAAGTACCGTATCACAGTATATGCTAATCGAAAAGTGTTTGAAAAATTCATGAATGCAAGTACACTCATTTGCAGAAACTATGCCTCGCACTGGAAGTTCGCGGCCACTCGAGCCGATGTCATGCTTCAATAACTGGTGATAAAGGAATCCTGTGTAATCCCAATAGGCAGTCAAACGCCTTCTTGGCTGAAAGAGTAGTTCCGATCTCCAGTCGATAGCGAAAACATCTTTTCAGATAGCGAAGCTCTGAAAGATTTAAAGTTAACCCTGGAGAATCGATTTGATTACGGATGAGATGTTTCAACACCACAATCACCAATGGATGTTTCAATGATGGTCTCTTTTAAAAAAAGACCTTCCACCAAGGTAGTATCCGTTATAGCTCTTCTAGGGTAGCCATGGCCTATCAACCTCAACCCACTCTCGACTGTGATTATTATGACATTTACAATCGCCCCAGCGCTCCCCCTTAGAATTCGTCAACCTCATTGGCTTTCTCTTCTCTCTTTCTCATCAACGCCTGGCGAAATGCCTCAGTATACTCATCCGGATCCCACGCCAAACCCCTATCTTCCATCTCCTCAAGCTTTTTCGTCACCAGCCGCTCCATCTCAACCTTTTGACTGTCTTCCAGCAGGTCCAGCCGCTCTTTCCATGCCTCGCTAGGATCGTCGGTCTTCGTAGGCCCAAAGAATTGCTGGTCGATTTTCTGCCAGTAGATCGCGTCAAACGCAAAGCTATGCAAAACCGCGTACACCACCCAAAAGTCTCCGCTTTCCCAGCTCCTTTGCATTTGATCCGAGAGCCGGGGCTGGCTGTGCTAGGCGTCCATATCTTCACAATGCCTCATTACTGCGAGGAAGGTCTTTAGGTGGCGATCGAATACTCGGGCCCAGTCTTCGATACCTTCAGACCAGTATTCAGGCTTCTCGATCAGGAGCCACCACGGTAGGGCATATGAAAACTCGACTAGTGCTACGTATATGAACTCCCAGTCTACCAGGCCGGCAATATGCATATCTTCTTTAAGAAGGACGTTGGCTGGCCGAAAATCATCGCACCAGAGTTTAAATAGACCATTGTCAGAGCATAGTGATAGTTTTTTGTCCTTGGCAAGCTTGTAAAACAGCTGTCTTCCAATAAACTTCCGACGGCAGTCATCTGCAGACTGCACTGCATCATTCCTTTGATGTATGAAATGTTGGATGTTGAGCTGTGCCGAAGCTTCAATGTATGAAGATGTTGTCCTTAAAGTGGCATTTCGGGGTGGAAGTTCTGATCGAGGCAGTGTCCCCAAACCCACGAGTTCATTCATATTCATTGATAATAGCCGGCTAGTCACCTCCCAGGAAAAATCGTCCACCTAGCTGAGGGAACCTATTCTTGGGAATTCTAGCTTAAAAAGCTAAAGTAGGACCTTTGCTAGTTGTGTATATAGCATTTCAAGTTAATCTTTAATGTTTGGGTTAAGGACTCCCCGCTCTTCCTTTAAACACCCTGGCGTGTTAAGAGCATCATACATGGTTGTTTTATGTTCAATATGGATTATCATGATGAAAGCGCTTAGTTTAAGAGGGCTCTCCTCCTTTGTACCCGCGTGAATGATGAACGGAAGTGGGATTGGTGTCTGGTCCGAGATGTATCGCATCACAGCAACTTCGTTCTCTATTTTTTCCTCGGGAAAAAGAATGGCGCCCGGCTGCGAAAAACGGATGTTGGTTGCGCTGTATATGTATTTCATTTGTAAAGTGATATTGAAGGACCCTTTTCGAAAAAATCGTAAACTCGGGATCGTCCCCAGAATCATGCTTCAGGATAAATCTCGCAATTGGTCTCTTGATGTCTATATCAAGAAACTGAAGAAACCAATTATCAGACACGTCATCGGATTGTTCCCATGCAACGTCATCGTAGCACATCTGGGACTCCATATTTTAGCACGCGTTGGCTGTTTCTCGTGGCGGCGTGACCTGCTTGAGGATAGGACAGAGGTGACTGAAGAGGGGTCACAATGAGATCCCTCAATTGGATCGAGGCGACAGGAACACTAGTGTTAAAATAAAGCGAGACTGGCAGTCTGTCTACAGTCTAGAGAAAAATTGAAATGAAAAACCTATAGGTCATGAGAAATTTGGAAGCGGAAAAGGAGGGAAAAAGCAAGCATATACAGTACACGAACTGTCACGTGACTCTGGGGTACAATACTACGACAACCACCAAGTCCGACCAAAAAAAAGTCCAGCAAGAGGTAGACTCAGGTTGCAGCAAATGAAAAGACTCGAGATGTTTCATCTCATTTACTAGTTGCAGTATATACATAGATGATTTCGGCGAGAGCGAGCGATTTCGTAATAAATGTTCTTGCGCCAAATGCAACTCTCGATGCAGTAGTCAAAAGGAATAGCTAGATCAGTGCCCGTGCATTCCATCAAATCATAAGTGGTACAGAGTAATCTTGGCCCTTGGCTAGTCTATTGGTCTATTAGAGCCGCCTGGTCCCCCGACGTATGGACGTCGAGCTCACATGAAGAGTCGTTTATTCTCACATAGTTCAGAGCTTACACTTTTGCGCTACTTTTATCAATGCACCGCGCTTTCACTTTTCGAGCGTAGCCGGAGCTAGCTCTTAAAGTTCATGTTCTCAATACCCTACGGTCGTAAATCCGGAATTGTCATCAAAAATGACTTGAGTACTCGTTATTGTATAGAGGATTGGTCTCGCTCGACGCATTGTCGGAATGGTAGGGGGCTTACTGGCAGGAATTGACCACTACATGACAAACATCTGGCTCCGGGTGTGAGATATCTATACTTCACTGATTAGAAATCACAAAAGAACTGGTTCATCTACCCATGCAGTTGCTTCAATATATGCATGGGAGATACTCGGGACTTTTAAATGACTGGATCTACGAAGTGGGTCGGACCCTATTTAACAAAAATATTAAAAATACGTAAGCTTATCTGGACATTATCTAGGTTCGACCCAAGCCAAGGCTCTTCTCCATGATTTTGCCAATCATTATTCTCGCGCTGCTGGTTGTATTACAGTATTAGTTTTAAGTTTGATTCTTCGTAGAGAGACTTTACGAAGACTGTTCGCTGACGCTACCGATGATACCGATACAGGTTAGCAGGGGGGCAAGGGGAAGTGTCACTTAAACTAGACATTTATTCGTGATTTGACTTTAAAATAGAGAAGATTATCGCCTTTGCTCATTGCTTTTCTTCTTTGGACTGGGAGGAATTTGTCAAAATCTCTGATAGTTGCTTCTATTTATTCTGGTAATATTCGGGGGTTAATTTTGACCATGGTCTAAGAGTGACGCGGCCCTCATGAGGTAACCTCGCGACAGCGGTGGTAGATATATAAAGGGAGTGCACTTCAAATAATTCTTGATTCAAGTGACGGGGTTGAATATCAAAAGCAAAGTCAACGCTTGAAGCCCGTAAGAAATGTAAAAACATGTTAGTTCGAATATCGGGTTTGCAAAAGCCTTTTAAAAAGCCAAGAGGGAAGCACTGAAAGCACTAACACAGGTATGGCTGCTCGGGATGCTTGTCAGATTTTCATTTTCATGGTTATGCTTTCTGTTAGTCTGGTAGGAGTCATAGGCCGTTAGTAGTCCGTGAGGTACTTGAGATATAGGCCTCAGAAAGTACCTCCGGTCGGGCGCGACAGTGTCAAGTGCTGGAGTATAAATAGTTAGCCAGTCGGCATACAGATCATCGATTGAATCAATTGACGGTCATGAATCTGAAGCATAGTATTTCCTCAAGGTACCGTAGGAGTAGTAGCACATTCAGTGTGACTATCACATGCGGCATCACATGTAGGCCGCTAGCATGACGCATCCCGGATGATTTTCCCCAGACACATCACAAGCCGGGACATTTCGGCCAAAGATCCCAGACAAGCTCAACCGAATGAAGCCGAGCTCTGGCTCAAATCCAGACCAATGCATCTTCCGTCCTTTTATCTCAAAGTGAGCCGCGGCATGATTGGCAAGCTCGGGCATGCGGGGAGAACAGGAAAGGGCGAATGGCAGGCGCCTCGGGTGAGTTAGGAGATGATTGCAGCCTGGGGCAGGGATCGGGGCGAACTAGGGTTGGACAATCACGGAAACTTTGTTTTGGGTGCAGACTGGACAATCCATCGTGTTGTTCATCACGACTCACGAGAGAGATGTGGAAAAAAAAACTATAAGACTGCACGTCTTTCCGGACGAGAGATTGTTAGTAAACCCGGATAGTAGTGCGCCGGTCGCGCAGCGAGTTGACTCGGTATGCGGCGCATCCCGAGTGCTTTCGGGGGCCGCGACCGCCTTTTGAGTGCCGATTTGTAGGGTTGAAGGTGGTGTAGACTGCTGGGTTTCGGGGAACGGGCGATGTCGGCCGAGTGGAGGAGCCATTTGAGCCAGTTTCCCGTCGGGAAAGTCAGGTGCAGATACGCTGAAGAGAGAGTTGATTGGATGGTGAATTAAAGGTGGAGTCGGACTGGGGGAAGCTGGATGATAACCGAAAGTTCGTAAGAGGATTGGCCCGGCGGGACCAAAAAAAGAACAGCCGCGGCTCTCTTGACTCTGACGTCTTCTATCTCCGCCTTCGGGCGGGCGGCTGGTTCACTTGTATATAGTCTGGAGACTTCCTGTTAAGAAGATCGCTTCTTCTTTTCTTCTTCGTCAAATTCCATCCGTCCTTCAATCCAGCTATCAATTGAATGGACCTTCGATATCATCGGTAGCAATCTATACAACAGACTCTATACTTCCGACTACCTTCGATCTATATACTTCACACACATCTCCCCACACACTCACAATGACCGCTCCCGTTGACTCACACCTCAAGGACGTGGCCATCCTGGCCAGCATCCCTAACGATGCCCGCAAGATCCTGACCAAGGAGGCCTGCGCCTTCCTGGCCATCCTCCACCGCACCTTCAACCCCACTCGCAAGGCCCTCCTCCAGCGCCGTATCGACCGCCAGGCCGAGATCGACAAGGGCCACCTGCTCGACTTCCTCCCCGAGACCAAGCACATTCGTGAGAACGACGCATGGAAGGGTGCTCCCCCTGCCCCCGGTCTGGTCGACCGTCGTGTCGAGATCACTGGTCCCACCGACCGCAAGATGGTCGTCAACGCCCTCAACTCCGATGTCTGGACCTACATGGCCGACTTTGAGGATTCATCTGCCCCCACCTGGGAGAACATGATCAACGGTCAGGTCAACTTGTACGATGCCATCCGTCGCCAGGTCGACTTCAAGCAGGGCGGCAAGGAGTACAAGCTCCGCACTGACCGCAAGCTGCCTACCCTTATTGCCCGTGCCCGTGGCTGGCACCTGGAGGAGAAGCACTTCACCGTTGACAGTGAGCCCATCTCCGGTTCTCTCTTCGACTTCGGTCTGTACTTCTTCCACAACGCCAAGGAGCTGGTCGCCCGTGGTGCCGGTCCTTACTTCTACCTCCCCAAGATGGAGTCTCACCTCGAGGCTCGCCTGTGGAACGACGTCTTCAACCTGGCCCAGGACTACATCGGCATGCCCCGTGGTACCATCCGTGGTACCGTCCTGATCGAGACCATCACCGCCGCCTTCGAGATGGACGAGATCATCTACGAGCTGCGCGACCACAGCTCCGGCCTGAACTGCGGCCGCTGGGACTACATCTTCTCCTTCATCAAGAAGTTCCGTCAGCACCCCAACTTCGTCCTCCCCGACCGTTCCGACGTCACCATGACCGTCCCCTTCATGGACGCCTACGTCAAGCTCCTCATCAAGACCTGCCACCGCCGTGGTGTCCACGCTATGGGTGGCATGGCCGCTCAGATCCCCGTCAAGAACGACCCCGTCGCCAACGACAAGGCCATGGAGTCCGTCCGCGCCGATAAGCTGCGTGAGGTCCGTGCTGGCCACGACGGTACCTGGGTTGCCCACCCGGCCCTGGCCTCCATCGCCTCCGACGTCTTCAACAAGTACATGCCCACCCCCAACCAGCTCTTCAAGCGTCGCGAGGAGGTCAACATCACTGCCAACGACCTGCTGAACACCAACGTCCCCGGCAAGATCACCGAGGACGGTATCCGCAAGAACCTCAACATCGGTCTGAGCTACATGGAGGGCTGGCTGCGCGGTGTCGGCTGCGTTCCTATCAACTTCCTCATGGAGGACGCCGCTACCGCCGAGGTCTCCCGCTCCCAGCTCTGGCAGTGGGTCCGTCACAACGTTAGCACTGCCGATGGCAAGCGTGTTGACAAGGCTTATGCCCTGCGTCTACTCCAGGAGCAGGCCGACAGCCTCGCCTCCCAGGGTCCCAAGGGTAACAAGTACCAGCTTGCTGCCCGGTACTTCGCTGGCCAGGTGACCGGTGAGGACTACGCCGATTTCCTCACTAGCTTGTTGTACAACGAGATCTCCTCCGCTGGCTCTGCGGCTAAGCTGTGAGTGGGGTTAAGTTAGTACTGTAGTGGGGCTCTGACTGGCGGTGGTGGATCATGATTATGAATACCCTTATTTTTCCTTTTCTCTTTTGGTCATTTTGCATTTTGGTTTGGTTTCATTGTTGATAATCAATTAGCATTGTTGTATAACATTCATTGAATATACGTTATTTCAAAACTTCACCTTCATCTTGTTCGTATCAATATCACAGTATGTAGTCAATACTCCCAACACTCAGTGACAGACCCGGCACTAGAAATTTCCCCGCATCGTCAGTTCCAAGGCCGTGCTGAGCCGCGGGTATGTGGGGGCCCAAGAATCTTGTTTTCACTTTTCGACAGCAGGTCAGTGGATTGAGTCCGAGCGCACTGTGCTAGTGATCGTCATAGCACTTTATATCGCTCGCCTGCTATATGACAGCCAAGGTTATTATGATAAGAGAAGGCACAGCATAGAAAGAAATTTTCCATTTTGTATATTCAGTTCGAAACACGATCAATTGTTAACTTAAAATCGCACTAGACAGCTCAAAGTCGAGTTTTAGGTCAGCGGGGCTGTAACCTAGCGATGCCTGAACTCTTGGTGCGGGTAAGATCTCAAGAGGGTCTAGATCAAGTTGGTTAGCTTAGCTTTGAACTAAAGCAATGTTGTTTCTTAGCGTCTATCCAAGACAACATCACTAGGTACCGAGACATTTCGCTATAAATTGTCCCACCCTGCCTGATGTAATTTGATTGGCGTTCGCTACTTCACTCGTCCGCTGTAGGTAGGAAGCATTGTACCAAAAAAACATAATACATTTTCTAGTTATGACACATTTTTTAACACAAAAGGGGGCCAGAAAACTATTCTAAGAGTGACCGTTGTCGTGGCATTACGACTCTTGTGTGATGAGAAGATGCACAAGAACGAACGGGTAATTCGAACAGTCTATAGCTTACTATCAAAGAAGTGGGCGCTCTCTCTTTAGAAGCAATATTTCCCGTATCCAAAAGATTCAGTAAGAACAATTGCAACTAAATACTAGGTGTGGGACGACAACATGGGGCTTTAATGCTTATCTATTCCAGAAATCCGCGGAGAATTCCACGACTTGGTTGCTTGAGGCATTTTTAAGGTTGCTAGATGGTTGGAAGAGACTAAAGCATAGGTGGAGATAGATCATGCGACATCCCGAACAATCAACAGCCGAGATTTCCTCGATAAAAATGGGCACGAGCGTTTTTTGCATAAGTTATATATAGGGCCAGCGCCACATTTCCGCCAACAAAGGCTAACAGTTCCCCCCGTCCGATTCAACACATCTAGCGATGTAGAGTCCACAGATCCAGTTAGTATCGCTCAAAACATTCCATCGTTTAATCTGAAACCTCATACCATGTAGCGAGAATGTCCTGGAGAAAATTCCTTCTTATCGCAGTCGTCCGCGATTTAGCGCGCTTCGTGAAGGTTCCGCGGAGTTATCCCAACAACTTGTTATCTCGAGGGGGCCGAAGATTGCTTTTTCCACCCAAATAATCCATTTAAGATAGGAGTTATGGCAATTGTCCAGTGAGATGTTGAAGTTCTTCCTTGAAAATACTATGAAGATAACCATAGTCTGATCTCCGTCTCGGATGCGAACCTCGTTCGCCCAGCTATTTAGTATATTTACTTTTTTCTGCTTCATCGCCGCGGAATGCAACCCCATTGACGGTATACATAGATGAACTTCGACCCCTTTCCCTTATCTTTATTGCTTACTATCCTCAGCTGCTTGTTGCTTTGTTCCGAGGTATGAGCTAGGTTCTTCTTGCTGTGGATGCGACTGCTTCGACAGGCCCCATAGCCACGTCCTCGTTTCTGCGTCAGGAGACCACTAATATTTCTGCCAATAATACAAAGCCAAAGGACTTCCTTGGATTAGAATCCATTCCTAGCTCTAGGAACAAGTGGAAATTTCTTCCCATCCTAGACCAGCTCCTTCGTAGACGACGACGCGAAGAACCTTATAAGCGACGCCGATAAGCATGCGCCACATGACCAGGCAAGATCATCATAAATAATTTCCCATTTCCCAAGGAAAATATCGGCCAGTGCAAGAACAATGCTCGCCATTCTCCACGCCTGGGTCAAAGCGAATGGACCCTTTGAGGTCTCACCTCGAGAGGCGTTGGCCGCACCGACCACCGATGCGGAGACCTATATCCAAAGCATTGTTATTCTTACCTTGTCGGTTATTTCGTGTTTGGCGGCAGGATGGATATTGCTTAGCTTTGCAGTAAGCTTTGACTTGTAATTCTTAATTGGTGTTTTGTTGACACGATTCCTCAGGTTTTCAGGCCATTGCGATCCTTCAGGCATCAACTTATCCTGTATGACCGATGTACTCCTTGGATGATGGATCTCCTTCTAATCCCATAACCGAGCAGAGGTCTCGCAATTAGCGACTGGATAATGGCCATCAACTTCCTGTCCTCCTCGGCAATGGACGTCAGCGGGCATCTGATTGGAGAGCCTGACCTTGAAGGATTCTGTAGCTTCAATGGCTTCATGACACAGGTTTTTGTCGTTCAAACAGACTACTGGGTTCTCACTATTGCGATCTGCACATACGTAATTCTGGCCGATCATAAGCACATCTCTTGCTGGGTCCAAGAGAACTGTCGACAATTAATGGCAATCCCATGGGTTTTCTCCGTTATTTGGGCGTCAATCGGCTTGGGCGTTGCGGGTTATGGCGACATTGGAGCCTGTGAGTGATACTCGTGCCCATCACAATCTTATGTTGTGAAAAATGCTAACGCAATATCTGCAGGGTGCTGGTTCACCTCTGATGAAGTTCGTCTTCTCGTCAATTTCGTTCCGCGCTGGATCATTATTGCAATCATGCTAGCCATGTACACCCGACTATATCTTGTGCTGTACCGGGCTCACAGTCCCTTCTCGTCATCCCACGAATCTACCACTGATGATTTGAGTCGACCATCGGGGACTTGGGACTCTGCTACGCCGAATGGCAGACGAATAAAGAAGGTAAATTTTGCGACGTACGACGACATGCCTCGAGATAGACTACTCACTGACAACATACGAATCAGATGGCCCGCCTCATGCTCATGTATCCAGTTGCATATATTTTTGTCTGGACACTGCCAACGGCGATTCGTATTTACCAAGCCTCGAAGGGGGTCTCGGCACCTTTTGCTTTACAGACGATTGACAAGGTTAGTACTTCTTTGAACAAAATTAGGTCTTCTGATGAAAGGAAATGCCCATCTAATTCCTCTCAAGGCATGCATCGTGATCCAAGGCTTTGTTGACGCGCTTATTTATGGCGTGACGGAACCATCGTTGTCTCATTGGCGCAACTTGCTCTTTCCTAAGCCAATACCCACCACGGACGGCATAATTCTCACCTACGTTACTACGACGGGGCCACTCCGCGTCACGGCGTCGCGCTTAAGCGATGGCGAGTCGACTACCGGATTGAAGACAACCATTACGGCCAAGGATAGTAGGTCCTCGAGAGATAATGTCTTTTAATCGTCTTTATGTGCTTAATATTTATACCTTATACTTTGCGAATAGCTTGCAAATAATACTTCTTTTGTGTAAGTTACCTTTGAAAGGTAGAATGGCCAGACAACCATGTGGCGGGGGTTGCCGTCCAGGCGTACAATAATTACAGTACCTTTCCCTTTCATTGTTAAAGTAGGCTAACCATTCTGGGCCTTAGCTTATTGGTATTCTCGTGTTTTGGAAATAGTCTTTCTTTGTAAACACTGATGACATGACACGTTTCACTGGTATAGAATACAATCTGGTATTAAAACCAGGAGTCTCACAAGCAATTTACCATGTGGTTGTACGGACTGGAGTGCATACGCATACTTGGCTAGCAGCCCCACTTGCCGGGGACGGAAAAGGGCGGACATTTGAAGACCGTGGAGCGGCCGCTCTTGCAAGACCACGAGAGGACGGTCGTGACAGGGTACCTAGGATACGATGAGGCCGGTCTGGAATGAGTCCTCCGGGATCCAGAGGACAATCTCAAAGAAGATGAAATAGAGATGGTCTATTCAAGTCCTTAAAATCACCCGTTGTTCGAGACTAATACCACGAGATATTATTGCAAGCTCATCACTATTTTGTATGTTTACATTTATGTTATCCTGGGCTTATTTGCGGCCTTCGCTGTAAGGAAATGGTCTTGCTATCCTCTCCCGCCCGGGCCGAAGGGTAGATTCCCCTTCTTGGGAATGACATTTGATATGCCCATGATAAGACCGGAGCTTACCATGACGGAGTGGGCAAAGTGGGTATCAGGAACTCCATTACAGAACCAACATTGCTAAAGGTCGCGATAGAAAGTATGGCCCTCTGGTGCATGTCAGAGTCGGCTTGCAACACCACATCATTATTAATGATGCATAAATTGGCAAGGACTTGTTAGAGAAGAAGTAATGACCATGTCCCTTCGGCCATCCGCAGAGCTGACCCATGTTTCAAGAACATATTCTTCACGGCCACCTACAGTTTTCGGTGACATAATCAGCGGTGGCAGACGCGCTGTGCTTATTCAATATGGACACCATTGGAGAGTTAGTGGGATCTGGAGCCTTAGAGATACTACCATGGAGATGACTGTATGCTTATACCGTACAGCGCATCCGTTTCAGGTTCAAACTGCCTAGATCATTTGGAATGTCGCGCAGCCCAGCAAGAAATTAACCTCGAACCCAGATAAGCTATCTAAGTAGTGGAAGGACAAAGTTGCCAGATCTGACAGAAGCTCACATCGACCGATACTTTTCAGAGGTCTATGGTTTGTACTCGTTCGACGATTATGGTAGACCGCAGACCATGAAGCTATCGCGGGTCTTGGTCTATCCTCCTTACTCCTTGGGACTACAGCAGGGGATAGGAGGAGACCGAGGACGTTGTACGGATTATTAGGACAAGACAAAAGCGGGGCACCGTCAATGAACATTAGTAAACATTCTGCATGGAAATTAATTGCGGACGCGTACTTCGTACTTCTGTTCCTACAGATTGTAACAAAGTACTAGTCTTCTTGCGTTCGCTTAGCAGATAATGACTTGACGGCCTAGTTCATGTTCTTTCGCCCCGCCCGTCCCGACTAGACTCCTTCTTCTCCATCCTTGTGTTGTATGACCACAGTTCGCTATCATGTCCGCCGAGATCGTAGTTGTAAGTCATGATAAATTGCCCAAAGCTTATTCTTTTTCTCACAAAAGACAGGACCCGGATTACTATACGCTAGATAAAGCGGTGGCTGCAGATGATGATTGGAAGTCGTGAGTGGGCCCAGCACAACGGGTGGCATGCTGCGGCTTTTGCTAAATCAAAGTTTCGCCAGCGACACGACCTCGCTGGCCTCAGAAGTTGCAAGGGGTCGTTTAGAAAATGGGCGTAGGCGAGTATATCATGCTAAACGCTCAATTCATGCGGTAGGGCTAACTAGGCTCTGCAGGTACCAATCTCTGAAGTCGGAGGAGTATTGGTAGGGCGATACCCAGACATTGAGATTGAAATCCCACGGTTAATTCCCGGCAACAGGTCTCCATCCGACGACCAGCAATTCGAGGCCTATGAAACAGGGTAAGTTATCCTGCCCATGGAAAAGAAGATCAAGCTTCTGATCACTATTCACGTAGCCATCTGGTGGCACTCCTGCTGGAATATCATCAGCCTAAGCTGCTGCACCGAGCTCCTCTCAAAAAACCGAAGGTAACGTCGCTGGCCTATGATGGACAGCGCAGCATACTGAACCAGACCTAGAATATACTAGATGTGGGAACTGGTAAAGGTAACTGGGCTATGTAAGATGAACAGATGGTGAAATTTTGTCATTATGCTAACATTTGCGTCTAGCGATATGGCAGATGCCTATCCTGATGGTGCGTCTCCATAATATGACCACCGACCTACTATCAGCGCTAATGAAAGCCAGCCACGGTCCGCGGTGTTGACCTGTCTCCTCCTCCGGTTACCTGGATGCCTCCGAACTGCGTTTTTGAATTAGACGACCTCCTGCAAGAGTGGACCTGGTCCGAGCCGTTCGATTTTATCTATTTACGCCACATGCTGGGCTCATTCGATGAGGAGGGATGGAATACGCTGTACAAGCGCTGCTATAAGTGTGTTATACCCCATTCCCTGCTATTTAGTGAGAGGTCTGCATTGTATCATGGTCGCGAAACTGATGTCTCAACTTTGCAGCAACCTCGAGCCCGGTGGTTGGATTGAGGAGTTTGAGCTCGATATCCGAGTCAAAACTGATGATAACTCTCTACCAGAGGATTCTGAACTGGCGAAGTGGGGTGAAAACTTTATGGGCTGCTCTGAACGAGCTGGACGGGCCCTCACCGTTCAGGAAACAATGCGATCAAAGATCGAGAAGGCCGGTTTCATCGACGTGCATGAACAGGTCTACAAGGTTCCCATTGGACCTTGGCCTAAAGATAGGGTGTACAAAGAGGTTGGACAGCTCAATTATCATCACTGGGTGACTGGCATGGAAGGCTATGCTATGTGGCTACTGACTAAATTTGGCGCGCCGACTCCTTGGACTGTCGAGGAGGTGCAGGTGTATCTTGCGAAGGTTCGGGCGGATTTGAAAAACCCGAGCATTCATGGCTGGCATTATGGGTAGGTTGATCTCGCTACCTCAAAACGTTCCAATGTTGACACGGTTCCACAGACGAAAAGTTTGGGCCAGAAAGCCTAGAGCGGGTGAGGTCAAGGAGGTCAAGGAGGAATCCGTAGAGGCTCCCGTCACGCCTGAACCGTCTCCTTGAAGGTTTCAGAGCGTCGTAGAAGTTGCTGGTATTCATGGTTTGTACATATATCCTAAGCTTGGACGCGCACTTATTATGACCCCCATCTTACACTTTTGGGTTGAGGACTTTCACCCAGTACATATCTTTCTCTTGCAGATATTTCCTTCTGTCCTTAACAACATATCATGCATTTGACACATACTGTAAAATTCTATCCCTCATCAGTTTCGTATCCAATTTTCTCTAAAGCCCACCTCGGGGGTCTAGGTCCGATCGGCTCTTCTAGGTCCTTCGCATTAGGGACTGTCTACTCTATTCCCGTGATCTCCTTCAGGTTCAAGTTCCCCGACTTATAGTAGGCCAGCAAATGGTCCATTTGCGTTTCCGAAGTTTCATTGAGACCTTTCTCGTATCCTTGAATGCACAAGAATTCCAAATTTCCCGGCAGGCAGTCTGCCAATGTGAATGACGCTCGCCTTTTTTTGGGGTTGACATGAACGCCCCTGGTGAAGAACAGTAATAGTCCAATGCCTATACTTAGGCTTTTCAGGGCGCTTAAATCCTGGAGTGATCCTTCAAGTTTCCATATTGAGGTGAGAAAGCGAAACTCAAGGGCTTCCTCTTCTTCAGTCAGCCATCCGGGATTCATCTCCACAGAGTCATCTTCAATGTTCTTATCATCCCAATCTTTCAACATCGGAAGGTGGCTTTCAACATCGAGATCAAGACTTTCCAGGGTATTTTTGTGCTGGTAACGTAATTTGAAAACGGGCAGGGGTGTGAAAAAGTGGTGCCCGTGGCCCCCGGGGGCTCTACCCCCAATCCTATACTGGAACTCCCGATCAACCTTGCATGATTATAGAAACCTCGCCAAGTAAGCAGGGTGTAAAGAGGAATGGTTGATGCAGATCCTGCTTAACTAGACGTCATGTGCTCAATGGCCCGTCTTCCGTTGTCGTTCTCATCCAAAAGATCAATACCGACAAATTCGATTGCTAGCAAATGGCCAGAAAATGGAAGGCAGCCCATGAAGTCGGTTCGATAATAATTGTCATGCACATTTTTAAGGGTTGGGTATTCGTTGATGATGTATACGTCGCGGAGGTTGTCAAGATACGGCTTACCCTCCGGGTCGACATTAGCGTGGCGCAGAAACTTGTCCAGGGAGAAGTGGGCGTAGTCGTCTTCATTGCAACGACCGGGAAACCACCAGAGGAAGGATTCTTCATTGAAAGGTCGTGTCATTGCCAGCGATATAAGATTGGTTGACCCAGAAATAACAATTGTGGTCAAGGCTTGTGCAAGAAATATGCCACGGATCTTATCATTGCTGTGAGAAAGTCAGATCACATATCAAAAATGAGAACGCTTGGGGCCATCCGAACCCGACATTGCCAAGAGAGCCCCATGTGCCTCCTTTCTCAGTTAACGCTGTCTTTTACATCAGCATATTGACCACACTATCCGTCTTTTGGCCCACGAATCTGGTATTTCGCAAAGCAGTCTGTACGAGCTGCATATCCTCGTCGCATAGATGGCGTTGATATCCTCCCATCCTGTACTCTTCGTTGGCCCGAGGGGTCTTGTGATACACGATTTCGCGAACGTTTATTTTCATCGCTCGGGTTGATCAGGATTTTATTGGGTTGGGGGGGGGGGAAGGATCCGTGTTGCTAGTTGAATAATGGCCATGCTATCGGATGGCGACCGTAGGGCTATGTTTATTTGCAAAGAAACTCGATTTGAGTCGCGAGCAAAGTATTAAGGGTGTCCTGAGGAATAGCATTTTTGAAGCGATGCAAAAGAATATAGTAGAGATTCATCTGATTTAGACTCTGTAAGCTCGCGAAGTCGCGACACGCTAAGGACGCTAGCCCAGGCATCCAGCTTGATTCTCGAGGGTCCTTGCTGTGGCTTAGGAATCTTCTTGAGATGATAGGCGATAGATCAGCGCTATTAGATTGGTGAAATGAGTTTTTTATTCTGACATCACTCAGGTAAATTGATTCCTTCGCTCCTCTGGCGAGCAAATACGATTTTCTGACGCGTCATTATTGTTATGAGGGTGAGTGGACGATGGCGCAGCGAAAGTAGAGCCTCACATTTTGGGAAGGTGACTCATGCTTCCTGCGTGTTACCTCAAGTATGAATTGGGATTTCTCCTCTGTTAGTCTATCAATATTGACAACTTGTATTACAATCTTTAGTGTGGAGATACTGGACGAGAGGGTATGTTTTACTCGCTCGTATTATCGGTTTTGTCACAATCAAATTGTTTGAAAGCAAATATATAAGCTCCAACAGGACGCATGAAGGGAGTCTGCTGGTCAAGTTTGATAAAGCTATTATGTACTCGGTCGGTACCTTCGGTGGCTTTCTATCCTCACGATGGAAAACTTTCACAATTTTCCGTTTTCCCTGTTTCGGTAATTCGAAGTCGAACAAAATACATGCCGTCTATCCTTCAAGTTGTATTCTTCCTCGGTCCATCAAAGCGATTTCTTGCATCAGTCTATGAATTTTGCAACCAAGAACGAAGGCCACGATGACGCCTTTAGGTTGTACGAACAACGTCGTCAATCGCCTGGGCGACATATCCAACATTACGTTCGTTTACTATAAAAATGGTCAGTCATACTCTTTTGGGTGAATTCCTCTGTCTGTAATGTCAGAAACTCACGTCCAGAAATTGAAATTCTACCAGATTTCAACATATATATGTGATACTCCTCCCGAATCGCGAGAACCTGTGGCTCAGATAGCCCGATATATGTGAACATACCGATCTGCTTCGATGTCAACGACGGAGTCGGTTAGTTGCACGGAACACGCATTACATACCTGGTTCACAATGTGCTTCCAGTCCCCAGGTGTTTTCAGTTTCAGCAATTCGTCATATAGGGTATGTCTCATACGCTGGATTCTTTGACTCATTGTGGTGAGGTCTTCAAACCATCTCTCACGGAGTCTCTGGTCTGCCAACACCGTTCGCACTATCTCTGCGCCACCTCTTGGAGCCATAGAATACTCTCCACGAATCAAATGACAGAGAGTCGCCTGTAGATCCTGAGTCACGTCATGTACTGCGGGTCGAGTGACCACATGCAAAGCTCCCACTCTTTGCCCATACAAGCCAAAGTTCTTCGAGAACGATTGCGCAACACAGAACTCCGGCATATGCATATCGTTGAAGAAGTGTCGTATGGCCCATGCATCCTTATCAGCATCTCCAGACGCGAAGCCTTGATAAGCGAGATCAAAGAAGGGAATCAGCCCTTTCGCATTGCACAACTTGGCTAATGCATCCCACTGTTCTCTTGTGGGGTCCGCGCCAGTTGGATTGTGAGCGCATGCATGGAGGATCACAACGTCGTTCTTACGCGCGGACTCTGACAAGGTCCTAATCGTGCCTTCAAAATTGAAGGATTGAGAAACGCTGTCGTAGTATGGATAAGTTTTCCTTTCTACCCCAGCGAGCTCCCAAATGGTATGATGATTTGCCCATGTGGGATCTGGAATCCAAACACATCCTGGGCGGATATTGCGAGCCAATAGTTCGGCACCCAGTCGGTTTGCTCCTGTTCCGGAGACGGTTTGTACTGAGACAACTCGACTTCTCGGATCTTCAATAACGGCCGGGGCACTTGATTTACCCTTTCCAAACCCAAAGACGAGGTCCGCCGCGAGTTGAAGGAAGGCACGATCGCCTTGGATTGCAAGGTACTCATGTCTGCCGACATTCTTTGCATCGTAGAGCTCCTTTTCAGCATCCTCCACAACCCTCAGTGGCCACGGCGCTCCATCTTCACTGCGATAGACCCCTATTCCTAGATTGACCTTTTGCGGATGGCTGTCTTGAATATAGGCGCCATTGACGGAAAAAGGCTCGTCGAGTGGAGTTGGTGGAAGGCTCGAGAATAATGAAATCGTTTGCCGCTTCTTTCCCAAGTCGGGAGCTTCGGAGATGGATCCCATGCTGTGATGATCTGTTTTTCGAACTTCTTGGTTGGTATTTCCGGTAAACAGACCATTGTGGATTATTTTCAGTTGAATTTATAGATTGCCGGAATTAGGGTTGGTTGAATTGCTCATTGTTCAAATACCCGGTCCCAGCCGTCAAGACCCGTCACGTTCCGCCGGGGATGGCGGGGTGCCACTCGAGAGAACGAGGGTGGAAACGAGACACAAGTAAAATCAAGTGAAAGATAAGAAAAAAATAGGGAAACGCTATACGTACGTCACCGTTTACTTATTTAAGTATAGCGGAAGTCTTATCGTGGTTGAAGCATGAATCATGTGGCATCGTGCAAAGGCTTCAACTACCTTTAATCAATTTCATGCAGTTCACTTCGGTGCGTCATGGGCAACCTTGTAGACTTTTCGTGCACCGTTCCGGCAGAATTCTGATGAGCCAAAGTGTATCGAGCTCTGTCAAGGAATCAAGGAAATATCGCCTTCTACATAAAATGCAGATAGTGTACAGTGTTTGTTAGATGAAGATTTTGGGCGTATGTCTACCTCGGAATCGTACTCCTATGCGTAGGAGAGAAAAATTAAATATGTGTAAAGAGCGAAACTCGAAATTTCATGCAGATTTAAGCCAAGGGAATATCAAAGAATGTACCCGAATTAAACAGAGTAATTCAATCGAAGCTACTCGCTGTCATGAATTATCTGCCTTCGACCACAGATACAGAACAACAATGTACAGGGTCAGTGGTCACCAGGACCCAGACTATAAGCTTCAATACAAACAGTGGCCTATCTTCATACCCTCAACACTAATTACGGTAAGTAGTGCTGTTTAGATGTACTCCCAAGCAAGGTGTCCAGAAGAAATGTTCAGACCAATAGCCATAGCCTCGAAGCCAAGGCAGTCATTCACATTTCCAGTGGGAACAGTCGCGTTCTGCAGCGCGGCAAACACCTGCCAACGGTTGGCAGTCGGACGAGCCTGGCGGCGAACATGACGAGCGGCCATGGTAGAGTTAGCCGGGGCAGGGCAGGCCATGAAGCCCGAGGCACCCTGACCTGCGTAGGTCCAGGTACCGAGTGACTGGCCAGGGGTGTACTTGAAGGGACCCTGAGAAGAGCCCGGGGGGATGTATCCCGAGTGGGGAGTGGTGAAGCTCAAGGCGCCAGTGCGGTCGACGTAGATGCTCTGACCACCGGGCACGATGACATCCTGATAATTCTGTTAGATGAATCAAGCTTTTTGGATTTTTGTTTGGTTGAGCGATGACATACCAGGGCATTGTGGGCGTAGATGATAGTGTCGTTGGTGCCCTGGGCGCAGTTGGGGACGACCTCCGGGCAGTAGGTCTGGCTCTTCCCACCAAGCCAGAACTTGCTGCCAGCAGCAGTCAAAGGCAAGAAGTGGATAGGCGAGCCGGAGCGAGCGGCGGTGACACCAAAGGCGCCGTTGGAATCTTTAGTAGCCCAGCGAGAGCCGGGGAGGGCAGCAGCCAGAGGAATGAGGGACAGAAGTGCGGACACCTTCATTTTGAATGAGCGAGTAATAGGTTGTTTGGTAAAGACTGGTTTGGTTGTATGTGATGGCGAAAGGAGATGCAAAATTTCGGTTGGAAAGGACGATGATGTCTATTAAATACGCCAACGTCGGACGGATGTGAATGAGAGACGGAGTTTTTATATGATAGCTCCATCCACTGGACCCTTCTATGGGCCGTCCAGGGTCTTCGTATCGCAAGCGATCGACATCTACCTGCAACAAAAGCTGCTGCGACGGTACCACCAAAATAGTACCAGGAGTTGATATCATCGCTTCGCCGTATGGAGTCGCTTCACATCTATCAAAGCGGGCGCTGAGCCACCATGTACCCACAAGGAGTCAAATTCCATCGGCAGTATCGATGTTGGGAATAGTGCAAAGTTTATGCGTACTCTTGGCCAATAAGCTAACTTTCTGGCCTGCAGACTCATTCCATGCCCAGTATTCTTGAAGTTCGCTTTTCAGGTACAGCAATCCCCTATTGGGGGAATTGGTCCTGAGACAACGATGCAGAGTTCCCCACCGAGAGAGTTCAAAGATCGACAGCCACGGACCAGGACAACGGCGCTCGATGGGGCAAGATTGCCACAAGACAGGATAAACATGGAAACGCGATCTGTGTTCTCCATGCAGATTTTGGAGATTTAGCAGGCAAGTTGGATGTTGATTGATGAAGACGGAATATAATCAGCGCATTCGGACCCGAACTCGATCAGAATTTGCCTCGAGGGATCTATTCGAGGACCCTGGCAGGTGGGTCGTTTCAGCCAAATCAACTTGATACAGATATGAGTAGTGATCGACGGGTGTTCCGGTGGAGAGCTCCGTCCTGCTTTGCTGTCAGTATCGCTACCAGGACAGTGAAGAAAGAAGAAAGACGCATGTTCCTGCCTAAAATAACGACTCACGGTCGCTATTCGGTTCAATGTGGTTCAGTGTGTCTCTATCATATTTTTGGCAAAGATTTCGGCACAAGTCGAGGTCGTCTCCACGGGCCCACCAGATGTCTCGGAGGTGGATATAATTGACATCACTGAGCGATGATGCTGCCCGATCATACGAATGAGAATACGGAGACCTCCGTATCTGTCCAGGACAATGATATTCAGTGATGAAGTGATTGAGCAGACCCTGGATTATTCAGAGTGCTGATCCTGCAGGGTGGAGAACAAACCCGGTCTCGAAGCAATATGTGTGTGACAGGAAACGAGGGGATCGACAGTCTCCGTGTTAACCGAACGGAGACTCCTCCGCTAGCACCGCCACAAGGAGAAAGACCCTCTTGCCAAAGACGATGTCAGAGGGGCGTTGAGAAGGCAGCAACAATAGAAAGAAAGAAGGCGGGACTGGACAATGTTAAGAATCAGTGCCGTCGGAATAAGCTCTGCCGTGGTGAAATTAGAATCAGCCAAAAGACAGCCACCTCGTTGACCGAACTATAATTAGTGAGCAATATAGGAGTGGTCCATAGTCCTCAATACCCTGAGAATCAAAACTTGTGTCTGGGCGCATATACAGCCCGATTTTGTGCATCTATTCTTAGAATAACCACCCCGTCTATGTACAATACACTGATATCCAAAGCATCCCATCGCTGATGTTTGCAAACCCCAACGCCGACAAAATACAGCGATTAAAAATGAAAATAAAGAAGAGGACCGTAGTCCAAAGAAAGGCAATGTTGACAGGAGAACTCAAAACTCTGCAACGAGCGGCAGATCTCGAGAGCTCCGCCCAGCCCAGATACGGAATGTGCCTTCAATCGGCATCACCCAATTCTGAGCTCGCACACTCCAATAACTCAAATCCTTTCGGGACAACGTCATCTGAACGTTAGTGCTCTCACCAGGTTCAAGAGAAATCTTGGTGAAATTTCGGAGGACACGATCGGGGAACTCAATGTTCTCTCGGGACTGGCCCAAGCCGCGATGTTCCGCAACACGTTCCGGGAAAGAAAGGTAGATCTGCACCACCTCTTTGCCAGGTCGTTGGCCAGTGTTGGTAACCTGAACAGACACTGCCAGCATCTCTTCGTAGAGAGATGGGTTACCACCCGGTCCGCCGCCTGCGTCGGAGGGGTGCTGGCGCGTCTTGTACCCTTCGGGGTAAGGGTAGGAACCAGGTTTTGTCCCGGCTCGATCCCGGGTGTAGGGGTAGATGTACTTTGACAGAGCTTTAATACTAGCTGGGAATCTAGTCGAAGACTCTGTTGGTGGTTTGGTGTCGTACCGTGGGGGATCAATCTCGTCCTTGGGACGGTCGGATGGGAGACGAGACTTTTCTTGCAGGGGCTGGACCACGAGTGAAGAGATGTTGAAGGTAGTGTAAGACAAGCCAAACCCAAACTCGTAGCGCGGAGTAATATTGTTCTTGTCGAAATACCGATAGTCAATGTAGAGCCCCTGATCAAAGGTGATCTCCGGCTGCCTGTCTCTCGTATCGTAAAGCACCTTAGCGTTGGGACCATAGTCTTCGAGCGATCGGCCAATTGTATAAGGCAACCGGCCGCTAGCATCAACGTCGCCAAAGAGAACATCTGCCAAGGCGTTGCCACTTTCCTGTCCGGGTAGGTTGGCATAGAGAACAGCATGTACTCCAGGCAGATCGATCCAGGACTCCATCACAACAGGGCCGATAGAATGCAAAACAACAACGGTCTTGCCTTGACCGCCGCCACAATGCGTAGCCACACGTTCAATGAGCTTCGCACCGCTGTGTTGTAGGTCAAGATTATTACGGTCTCCAAAGATGTCATCGTCGTGAAGGAACCCCTCGCCTCCGTCAGAGTTTGCAAAGACAAGGCAGAGATCCTGGTCTACCAGGTTCTTCAGCGCAACGTCATTCCCCAGGAATCCTCGCACATCACTCGTCTCTGAATGCCACGCAAGTCGCAGGGCTTCCCAAGGACTGATGAGATACGGGAACTCGACCGCACCACTTCCCCAGCCAGAGCCAAGGGTACCTTGGTTGCAGCCACGATCGGCACAAATATTAGGACCTTCGCCGGGACCAGCGTCCTCGCCATAGATGCCGACACGATAGGCTCCTTTCGGGCCAGTAGCACTGCGTGAGAGGGGGAGGGTGTTGTCGACATTCTTCAAGAGAACGGTTCCTTCCGCGGCTACTCTCCGAGCTACGAGGGAGTGTGGGAGCGACTTGGACCCTGTGACTTGCGCGTTCACATAGTGGTTGACCACCTCGTGCGTATCGTCATCTTCGCTCCCAGGATGGAGCCCTCCCATTTTCTCGTTTGTCCATGAAGAAAAGTTCGGTCCACCCTTTCCCAACGGCGGAGGTTGGTCCCACGAGTCCTGGCGGAAGTGGTACCAAGCCGCAACGATACGGGTGACCATGTCGTTGATGCGCTGCATAGGTACGGAAGTGTTGAGAGCGGCCTGTGTCAATCGCATGCCCCAGAAAGAGTCACCGTCCGCCCAGTCTGCACCGTCACCGGGCATGCTCATATCAAGACCGCTCAATGCACTCTGCACACCAGATCGTTGAGCAAGCCAATCAGATTGCACAAAGCCTTGGAAACCGAGTTCATCTTTGAGAAGGCCATTGAGCAACTTGCTGTTTTCGCAAGCATAGCTGTTGTTGACTTTCTGGTAGGAGCACATGACACTTGCAACATCGGCACGCACACTCTCGGCAAAAGGCCAGGCGAAGACTTCGTGGATTGCACGGTCATCGACGTTAGAAGAGATAGCATTTTCGTTACCCCATTCGTTGGCTTGGCGATAATGCTCCTGTTCATTCATCAAGAAGTGTTTGGCTGTCGCCATCACACCGTTGCGCTGAATGCCACGGATAGTCTCTGAAGCAGCCACTCCCTGGAGAACAGGGTCGGATCCGAAGCCCTCCCAGTTGCGACCACCAGCGGGCATCATTCCCAAGGGCCCCATAGCCGGCCCCAAAATAACATTGACTCCCTTCGCCCGCGCTTCCTGCCCCAGCGCAAACCCTCGTTGCGACATGAGTTCACGATTCCAGGTGGCCCCTGTGGTGATCCCAGCTGGGAATGCGGTGATATTATCCGCAAAGCGAAGACCTAGAGGACCATCCTGCAGGCAGAGTGAGGGGAATTGGACATTTTCAGCGGGCCCGGTATTTCCAACGCAAAGTCCCATCTGCCATCCTGTCCCAGTTGTGATGTTCACTTTCTCCACCAGTTCCATGCGTTCCACGAGATCATGGGCCTTGCCATAACTTTCTCTCCACGCACCATTGGTCCCACCAAGGGGAGTCGGATACCACGGAACAGGCGACTGTATAGGTCAGCGATGAATTTGATAACGCACACTTGCAAAGGGGTCGTGAAGGCGTTCGCCCATCGGCTAGAGGATGAAGGCTCTTACATATTCTTTGACAGGTTTCCCACCCATCACCCACGGCAAACCCTTCGTCGCAAGCCACATCACTAGCAATGCAATTGCAGCCAGCGGGAAAACATGCCACCAGGCTGTGATATGTAGCAACGACTTTATTCCGGAATTCCAGATCGTCTTCTTGTCCTTGTACGGCGTAGCTCCCACGCCTTTATGTGTCGGGATCCCGTAATCATCGCTATCATCGTCATCCAGGATGTAATGTGAGGCGCTATGATGCAGATCCTCATCGAACGTTTCCGACAGTATATCCCGCTCATGATCCAACATGTGCTCGATCGCCTTGCTCACATTGCGCGGTTCCCCGGATTCGTCGCCGGGAATGGGGCTCGCAGCACTCGCAGAGCTGGGTTCTGGAGTAAATTGGACTCGCTTCCCTCGCTTTTTTGTCTCAGTATTCTTATCGAGTGGTAGGAGCTTGACGTTCGCGTCGTCTTGGGTGGAGGACTCGTCGCCGCTGGAAAGGAGGTCGTCAAGGTAGGGATCGGGCATTGCGGTGCCGAGTTCGCGATTGGTGGTGCGGGTCACATCATCCAGTGTGCTCGAGGGGTGATCGTCGTCAGAAGATTGGTTGTCTAGCGATTGGTACTCCTGCCGACGCGTATTCGAAGCTCCCGGTCCGGAGCGGGTCGACCTGGTCATCGCGCTGGTCTGCTTGGCAGGTGGAGAAGAGTGTCGCTTTTTCAGTCACACAGCATATGCATTCTGTAATCTGGCAATCCAAATTGCAGAGCAAAAACTCGACCGGGATCGAGAGAGGCAAAACTGTTGTTGAAAAAAGTGATGCGTCGCAAGTTCGGGGGGCAACAACTCCTTAACAGAGTGGGTCACCTGACAACTGAAAGCGGCAGCTGTGGGACCCTGGCGATCAACTTTAAAAGCTTCGAGAATCGAGATACATGTCTTCAATGTATGGTTTCATGTGAATTGGAGCGTCTATTGGAAGAATTTGTATAGGTGACGAATTTCAAACATTAGTCTGTTCTTGTCAGTGATATTCTGTAATCAAGTGATATGAGCAGAACCTGCGATGAATATTGAAGGCGTTTACCGGAGATATTATAGTCTCCTGGACTCATTACCGCCATATACCAGACGCTGAATGTCACACCATCTGAAAATAAAAGAAGTGTCTCTTCCATGAATTGAACCTTCAACCTTCACGTTCCCTATATACCTCCCCATAATGCTCCAGCTCGATGTCACGATGCCAAAGTACATACTTTAGAGGCTGGCCCGGGACTACATATAACAAACAGTTACCCCCTACACGTACAATAATACCTTAAATTTTGACAATAAATAGATTCTTATTACTAGGGATACTATAGTATATGAAGATTTTATTTAAAAAAAAAAATAAAAATAAAAGAAGAAATTGGCGAGCAGGGGGGTTCAGCCTGCTCGCCACTCTCCCCGCCTAGGGATGTGCCCGGTCATCCGTGGAGTCGTGCTCGACATCGGATACCTGTCAACATTTTTCCCCTCAATTTTCCTTCACAGGGGCACACCCATTGGTCACCATCGGATTGGTTACCAACTAGGCCATATGAGGGGGGAGAGTACCTGGAATAACTGGAAGTTGGTGATAACCCTGATTTGATGCCCGAGTTTCCTTTTTCATACGTTGTACCTCCCCAGTGACATAAATCTACTCTCCATGCAAATCGTCAAATATACTGGAAAAAATCAATGTTGAAAATAATATCGTATAGACAAGAACTTTTGTTCAGGGGGATCGACCAGATATCTATCACCGGGTCAAGATCCAATCCAAAGATGTGTATCTACCTCGCAGGCAAAATCAAATAAACCCAAACGCCGTCTATCGAGATCCCATGCAAAAAGCCACAAATACTAGGAAATAGGTACTGATGCAGAAAAATGTGCAGGAACGAACAGTCATAGAACGAAAAAGCCATTAAACATCAACATGTCGTGGTAGACGTGCTCATGCTTCGTCATCGGTGTCAACAGGCTTGGGGGTGCCCTTGGGGGAGTTGAGCTAAGAATTGGTCAGTGAATGATTGATTCATCAGGAACAGGAAATTTGGGAAAACTCACCCATTCAATGTGACGAAGACGACGGCGGGCCTCGCGCTCCTTCACCTGAGCACGGGTCAACTTCTTCTTCTTCTTGGCGCGGAACTTCAGCTCGCCCTGGTCCTCAGCGCCAGAGTTGACGGCCGAAGGAGCGGCGCTAGTGTTGGCGGAGGCAGCAGCAGAGACACCAGCGGGGGTGCCAGTGCCAGTAGGGGAGTTGGTAGCGCTGTCCTCGAAGCGGTCCAGGCTGATGGCAGTGTTGGTACGGCTGACGACACGGCCGTCGGCGACGTGCAGTTGCTCGGGGCAGAGAGCGCCCACAAACTCCTCGTTGTGAGAAATCATGACCACACCACCCTTGAAGTCACGGATGGCGACGGCCAGACCACCGAGAGAGTCACGGTCCAAGAAGTTAGTCGGCTCGTCCAGCACCAGCAAGTGGGGGTTGTTCCACATGGCACCAGCCAGCACGACCTTGACCTTCTGACCACCAGACAGACCGGAGATCTCGTTGTGGTTGGCAATCTCAGGGTCGAGGCCGACATCCTCAAAGTGCTTGGAGATGGTCTTGGGCTCGAGGACACGGAAACCGAGACCCTCGCGGGAAGCCTCGTGGTCGTCGAACTCCTGGACCATCTTGCTGAAGCCCAGGTTGTCGAGAGTCTCACGGGAGATCATGGTGTTGAACTTGGGGAGGAGACCAACCCACTTGACCTCGTACTGGAAGGACTTCTTCCACTTTTGGCGACCCATCAAAGCCTCAATGCGGCGAGCTCCACGGCCGTCGCCCAGGTCAACGGGCTTCTCAAGCTGAGCCTTATCGGCATCAGTGAGGATGCGAGTCTGCTTGAGGAACACCTCGCGATCGTCACCGTTGGCGTAACGCCACTGCAGGTACTGGCTGGGGGTCTTCTCAAGATGCATCTCAACGTGCTCCAGGGCATGCTGCTTGATGTAACCGATACGCAGGTTGGGGTGCTTCTCGACCTTGCCGCTCTGGGGAACAACCTCACCAGTGAGAATCTTGATGAAGGTAGATTTACCAGCACCGTTTCCACCGATGATCGCGGTACGGGAGGAGAGGGTCAGGGAAAGGGAGGCATCGGTCAGAGACGGCTTAGGGGCACCGGGGTAGGTGAAAGAAGCATTTGTCATCCGGAGGATAGCGCGAGTGTTGGACTTGATACCAGAAAGGATACCAGGGGGCGGGAACTTGAACTGCACGTTGGAGGCAGACAGGGTATAGTAGCTCTTGCCCTCAGGCTTGACCTTGACGAAAGCAGCAAGGTTTCCAGGGTAGCAGACCAGCTTCTTCTGCTCGTAGTGGTAGATGTCGGTGCAGACCTCGTCGAGGAAACCGGAGTCGTGACTGACGATCAGACTGGTGATATCGGTGTGCTTCTTCAGGTACTCCTGCAGCCACTTGACGTTGGCAACATCCAAGTGGTTAGTAGGTTCGTCCAGCAGGAGCACATCAGCCTTCAGGAGCATGGCACGGGCAAGGGCCAGCTTCATCTTCCAACCACCAGAGAGCGAGCCAACGGGCTGGGACTGGCGACCCTCAGGACCATCGGTGAAACCGAACTCGAGGAGAACGGAGCTGATGTGCTCCGTGCCCTGGGCAGCGATCTCGGGGTTCTTGGCAACATACTCGAGAATGCTGAGTTCGGCATCCTCGCCCTGGTTGTGCTCGACGAAGCAGGTGCGGACTTCGGAGGGGGGAGGGAAGCCCTCCAGCTTGTCGTTGGCGATACTGCGCATCAGGGTGGACTTTCCGGCACCGTTGCGACCACAGAGACCGTAGCGGTGGCCCTTGACGAGACGCAGGTTGGTGTGGGACAGCAGGAGCATACCACCGTACGCGAGGGAGAAGTTGGCGTCGACGATGACAATCTCGTTGGGGTCGGTCTGGACGGGCTTTCCGAACTTGCGCTCATCCTCGGCGAGGAAGTGGGCCTGCACAGCAGAAGCGATAGCTTCAGCCTGCTCGCTGGGGATCAGACCACGAAGGTAGGGGCCGATGGAAGCAGAGATACGGTCGATCTTGCGGCTGTTGATGTCTTCACGGACCATGCCGGCAATGAAGGTCTTGGCCAGGTCGGAGAACTTGGCATCGCCGAAGCTGACGAATCCAGCAAGCTCCTGAATCTTGGGGTTCAAGACAGCCAGGACTTCCTCGGGGGTAGTCTTAGAGATAGCACCGACAGCAACGTCGTTGTCCTTCATCGCCGTCTCCATAACATCGAGGGCACGGGTGGCCAACTCACGAACCTCGGGGAGCGAGGCACGGTCCTTGATAGCCTTGACACCGGGCTGAAGCTTGGGAAGGAAGACACGAGCCTCAGCGGGGTCGTGAACCAACTTGGTCAAGTTCTCGACGACAACGACGGCCTGGCGGAGGGTTTCTTGAGGGGTGGTCGGGGCATTAAGGGTGCGCTCAAGGAGGGGAGTGAGGAGGGCCAGGACGGGGGAGGTAACGATGGCGACGAAAGTGGTCTGCGACAAAGCGTGAATGGCCTTCTGCAGAGTCTGAGGGGAGGGCTGCTCCATAGTCTTGATGAGCAGGGGGATGCGCGGGGCAACGTCGTCGTTGTACAAGAGGGTGGTCATGGTAGTCATAGTCTTGGTAGCCTGCTTGGCCACCTCGGCCTTGAGGTCGTGCATGCCGGACTCGACGATGGGGATCAACTCCTTGAGAGTCTTGCCCATAGCCTCGCGCAGCACATCCTTCTCATTTTCCTCCTCCTTTGTACCGTTGCCCATCTGTGCACCAGTAGCCATCTTGTCGAGGAGCTTGTAACCACCGACAAATCCTTGCCACTTGCCAGTTCCCTTACCCAGGTAAGCCTCCAGAGCGGGAAGCAGCGCATTGGCCTTGGCCTCGGGGCTCATGCAAGCATAGAGGGCGTCGATGGCGTACTGCGCAGCATCGCGAACGACGGCACCCTTGTCGGCAAGAGAATCTAGAACGACATCGAGGATGCCACCGTTGTGCAACAGGAAAATGGCCTCGCTGAGGGGGAACTCGCGGGGGAACCGCTCAAAGAGAGCGCCGAGAATCAACATGGCGCTCTCGCGACGAGCTCCATTCTTCTTATCGGTGGCAGCCTTCTTGGCCTCGGCCAGAACATTGTAGTTGAGGAGACCGGAGGTTCCGACACTCTGGATGAGCAGGTTTGCGACTGCGTAGGAGCCATCTAGGGACTGCTGGGAGGTCTCGGCTGTGAAGATGGTGTTGAGGAGTGAAGAAATCTCTTCGGTGGTGGGGGGAACCCCGGAGGGGCCTTTAGCGACAACGGTCGGCATGGCTGGGGTATCAGAAGGTGATACCAGGTGTGGCATGATCTTGAGAGTACAGGACTCGAAGCTCCTGGTATGTAAATATACCAGAGATGGGAAGAAAAGGGATGGGTTGGTCGGCGGGGGGGCCCTCAAGCGGATGGGAGGCGGGGGTACTCCCGGGCCAGCAAAGGAACAAAGACTGGTAGGTGTAGAACGCAACTGAAGACGAGAATATCAGACACAATGTAGAATGAATGTAAATGTCTGCACCGTGACACCGGTAGATAGTCGAATCCACGCGGGGCTGTACAGGTGAGAAGAGAGGAAACAAGGTGACGGGGATTATTAGGAGGAGTATTTGCGCATCAGCGATCGGGCTTATCCACACAATTTTTTTTTTGTTTGGGAGGCGACAATCCTGCCCAATCAGCGGGGCTGTTATCAGCATGAGACACCACTAACCGGGCCTGGCTAGCCTTATCAGTGGACGCCTGAGGCAGCAGAAAAAAGCCTCAACTGCTTATGTGATGTATTTCTGCCTCAGGTGTCTACAATCGGACATCACGGGACTTCAAGTCACGAGATCTCCAGTCACGAGCACGTTGGCCCGCGGGTGTACCCAATGGGGAAACACGCGGCTGCACGGGCGGAATGCCGATGTTTGAGCAGGCCGGATGAACGATGCGAGTACGGAGTTGACCATGGCAATTTTATCAGACGCACAAATGTTATTACTCCTTTTGTTTCAAATCCTTCCTCCTTCCATCCGAGTTTCGCTGGTTCGTCTGGCCTTGGTGCCGCTGACCTCCTCGGATAACCGGACATAGTGTGCATAGATATACATCGGCGGGCGAAGGAGGACATAACAAGCAGCAGTGAATACAATTTGCAATACTAGATAGCATACACAAGACACTTTTGAATGAGTCTTTTAATGATCAATATTTTCTATGAAATAAAAACTGTACAAAATTGGCCGATCTCGCCAGGTGTCCGCATGCAGCCGCCCCGGGCCTCGGTTGAACAAGCAGTGCAGAAGCCCCGCGTACAACCGACATGCGGTCAGATGTTATTAGTCCCGGACGATCACAAGTACCTTTTTCTTCCCTTCCTTTTGTGCTTTCACTTATTCCCATTGAGATCTCATTGAACCTACTCGCTGGCTTGTATCGAAAGCAGCGTCTTCTTCTTCCTCTATAAACCTCTTTCTCATCCCTCGATTCCCCCCGCATTGAGTCTCCCGCCCCCGCAGTTCTACCCCGGACCCATCAACACACACAATGGCCCTGAGCTTCAGAACCACCCGCCACGCCTCCAGATTGGCCCAGGTACGTCTTGCTTCACGCTGTTATGGTCAATGATCAAACGGAAAACACTCCGGAATAAACAGACTTCTCGACTAACACAATTCCTACAGGCCTCCCGGCCGCTCTTCTCGGCCCGACACTATGCGACCGCCGAGCCTGACCTCAAGACCGCCCTGAAGGAGGTTATCCCCGCCAAGCGCGAGCTCCTCCAGAAGGTCAAGGCCCAGGGTGACGAGGTCATCGGCGATGTCAAGGTCAGCAACGTCATCGGTGGCATGCGTGGCCTGAAGGCCATGCTGTGGGAGGGATCCGTCCTGGACGCCGATGAGGGCATTCGCTTCCACGGCAAGACCATCAAGGACTGCCAGAAGGAGTTGCCCAAGGGTACCTCCGGCACCGAGATGCTCCCCGAAGCCATGTTCTGGCTGCTCCTGACCGGTCAGGTCCCCTCCACCGCGCAGGTGCGCGCCTTCTCGCGCGAGCTGGCCGAGAAGTCCACCTTGCCCGCTCACATCCTGGACCTGATCAAGTCTTTCCCCAAGAACATGCACCCAATGACCCAGCTGTCCATTGCGGTTGCTGCGCTCAACACCGAGTCCAAGTTCGCCCAGGCCTACGAGAAGGGTCTGAACAAGGCCGAGTACTGGGAGCCTACCTTTGACGACTGCATTTCGCTCCTGGCTAAGATCCCCCGTGTCGCTGCCCTGGTCTTCCGCCCCAACGAGATCGATGCCGTGGGTACCCAGCAGCTGGATCTTTCTCAGGATTGGTCGTACAACTTTGCTGAGCTGCTCGGCAAGGGCGGCGAGAAGAACCAGGACTTCCACGATCTGCTGCGTCTGTACCTCGCTCTCCACGGTGACCACGAGGGTGGTAACGTGTCAGCCCACGCTACCCATCTAGTTGGCAGCGCTCTGAGCGATCCCTTCCTGAGCTACAGTGCCGGTCTCCTGGGTCTCGCTGGCCCTCTCCACGGTCTGGCCGCCCAGGAGGTTCTCCGCTGGATCCTCCAGATGCAGGACAAGATTGGAACCAAGTTCTCCGACGAGGATGTCCGCACTTACCTCTGGGACACTCTCAAGTCCGGCCGTGTTGTCCCCGGCTACGGTCACGGTGTCCTCCGCAAGCCTGATCCCCGCTTCCAGGCCTTGATGGACTTTGCCGCTACTCGTCCCGATGTCCTCGCCAACCCCGTCTTCCAGCTCGTCAAGAAGAACTCCGAGATTGCTCCCGGTGTTTTGACCGAGCACGGAAAGGTATGCCTCATAATATTCGCCAAACAAGTACCATGAGCTCTTGACTAATAATGATTTCCTCACAGACCAAGAACCCCCACCCTAACGTCGACGCTGTCTCCGGTGTCCTCTTCCACCACTATGGCTTCCAGCAGCCCCTGTACTACACCGTCACTTTCGGTGTCAGCCGTGCCCTCGGACCCCTGGTCCAGCTCATTTGGGACCGCGCAATGGGTATGCCTATTGAGCGCCCCAAGAGCATCAACCTGCTGGGTCTGCTGAAGAAATAAGCTCTTGGATGACGTGAATCGATTCCCCGCTGGCTAATCCGTGCCCAGTGATGAAAATTATGTTAGCGAGCTTTTTCTGTTTTTCCTATCTTTCTTATTGTTTAGACTGCTATATCTTGTATCTCGCTATACCTGAACGAGGTTTTCGTGCCAGGCCGTGTTCTTGGCTATGAATGGTTCTATAGACTCTTTTGTCAATCGAAGCAATTCAAATTCTATTCTCAGAAATGAACCCGCAAACAATGACAAGAAAGAGTCCCGTATCATACAGAATGCCTTCATTTCTAAGAAACAGTGTATTCATTCGGTGCATCTCTTAATCCACGTATATCAGTCTACAGTCATCCCACTCACAACCGAGCACTCCCATCCTCAATCTGCTTCCAATCCTCCTTCCCAAAAGGCGTATACGCCTCATCCCCCGGCGCAATCCACAAGAAATGATTATCCCGACCATCCGGCACCTTCGTCCCAATAAGATTCGGGTCCACTCCCTCTTCACGCAGTGGAACCTTATTCTGCTTATGGTTATGGATATGCGTGGGGTTATCGACTACACGCAGGAAGATGGGCACTGCGTAACGAGGAAGCTTGGAGCGGGCGTAGCGTGCGAGAGCAGCGTAGTCGAAGGTCTGTCGCGCTTCGGGGCTGATTTGCAGTGCGACACAGCCGGCACGGCCTTCGTGGTTGGGGAGACGGACGCCGTAGACGTTGGCTTCTTGGACGCCGGGGAATTTGCCGATTACTTCGGACACTTCGGCGGTGGCACTGTGGGGTGTTAGTCTATTCAATGGTGAATAGTTGTGGTGGCTTGTTTACTTACACGTTCTCGCTCTTCCAGCGGAAAGTATCGCCGAGTCGGTCGAGGAAGTACCAGCGTCCATCACCTTGACGGCGCAGGGCATCGCCAGATCGGTAGTATAAATCGCCCTTCTTGAAAACATCGCGAAGATACTTCTTCTCCGTTGCAGAGTCGTTGCGCCAGTATCCTTGGAATGCCTCCTTATTCGGGATATTCACAAGGATCTCACCACCTTCATCGTATGATGCTCGCACAGCGAATCCCGTCTTCGCGTCACGAAGCACATCACCCGTCTCGGGATCGATCGCAACGGGTACGAAAACGTTATGCAAGAGACCACGCATCAAAAGGCCGTGATGTCCAACACTTCCCGCGGTGAATGGTCCCCTATTATAGTTGAACAGGCCAAAGATACCTTCCGTGCTGTTGAAGAATTCGCCCACCTCGGGAACACCGAAGCGCTCACGGAATTGTTCCCAAACATCTGGGCGAAGTCCATTGCCATACATGCATCGCACCTTGTGCTTGCGGTCCAAAGGTGACGGGGGAGGAGCAAGCAGGTATCGAGCGGTCTCACCAACGTATACAAAGATAGTTGCCTCCGAGTCTCGAATATCCTTCCAGAAATTGCGCACGCTGAACTTTGGCCCCAGGGCGATACTGATACCCGTGGTCAGACATGCAATGAGACTCATTGCTGCGGTGCCATGATACAACGGCATACAGCTGTACCAGCGGTCACCATCAGGGCCTTCTACATCGCCCATCGCACCGCGCCGAAGGGTCAGGGTCGTGTAGAGTCGGGACATGGTGAATGCACAGCCCTTGGGCATACCGGTCGTTCCAGAAGTATACAGCAGGATAGAAGGGAATTCGCCCTTCATGCCCAGCGCCAGCTCCTTTGGTGGCAGAGTAGTCGGGAACGTACGAATATGAGCCTTGAGAGACTCGTCCAAAGTCAAAAGCTCCATGCCCAGCTCGCCGGTCAACGTATCCCGACACTCCTCCACACGTGCAATGCAGACGGGATCTTCATCTACCAGGGTGAGCTTTGCGCCGCTGATTTTGAGACAGTGGACCAAAGCATCGCCAGTCAAGTTATGGTTGATAGCCGCCGGTGCGCACCCAATACTCCAGAGCGCAATCCACGCGATCAGAAACTCTGCTCGGTTCTGCAGGAAGAAGCCGACGAGATCCCCCTTCTTCACACCGTTTGCCAGGAAGAAGTGTGCATATTGGCAGGCCTGCTCTTGTAAGTCACGGTATGTATATGACCGCTCTCGCGTCCAGAGAGCTATCATGTCCGGGTGTCGTTTCACGGTCTCGAGGAGGGGGAACCAAGCGTTTGCTTGTTTTTTCGCAACTGCAATATCATTAGTCTGGTGCATTATGATGGACAGAGGTAAGGATACGTACGAGCTTGCACTAATGAGCGCTCACTCTTCTTCATAGTCCAAATCGCAGACATATCCTTACTCAAGTGGAATTTGGCATCGAGGTATGCCGCTACGGTCGCCCCTCCCGCGAGCGCAGCTGCGGCGGTGCCTAAATGATTTGTTCAGCCATACTATATCTTAAGGATATATCTGTGAGAGAAAGCATACCGAGATCCATGTTGATTCAGGGTTCAGATCACTTTGTGGGGAATATAGATCTTCGCCAAGGCTTTGCGAGCTTGACAATCAATAACTGAAAGTAGGAAGAGAGTAAATCTAAGTCTCTCGCTTTCAAAATGAAAAGCTTCTCGATCAAGTAAACCCGTAGAGTCACTATGCTGGCAAATTCGAGTAAAGCAAAAGCGAAAGAGGTGAAAACAGCCCAAAAGAGTGAACGCTGCTGTTGCCGTGAGCCGAGACCACGACCATCCTTCCTCGGCTCAACTCAACTTCTCCGCACGACATGGCGATGATTCAAGGCTGAATCAACGAATCCGCGTTCTTAGTTCGCTTTGGTCTCCTTCTCGCTAACAGCCCCATAAACAGTTTCGAATCACGCTAGAGGGCCCATTTGCCGGTGGGGGCATTCGATAATTGGGATGCGGGGAAAGGAGCTACCCCCAAGTGATTTGATCATCACCTCGGCTCTTCTCCTATCGTTGTGCCGTTTGCATAGTAGGTGGACTGGGCTGCGCATAACTGGCGGGAATATTCATCAGTGTCTTTTCGCTCGTTTAGCCCCCACCATTCGGCCGTTGCAATCGGGTGACTCTCTTGTTGGTGCAAGCGTTTCATGAACCTCCATGCCCCTGGCGTCCCCCTTTCGACGCCCACCGCGCCTGCGGCTATATAATGCGTTGAAGATTGGCAAAGCATCATTCATTAATGACCAGGAACTTCCGGCAGTGAAGGAGCTTGTAAAGATTCAGCAACTCTGAATATCGCGAGGGCTTATGATTGGATGTTGGTCCGCCGTGATCGCGTCCCGGCAGAGGCCATAGAAAATCCACATTGTGGGCATCCTGGAGAAGGGAGACCTGACCATCCCAAGGGCAGTCTTCAAGTCTAGTTGCGGAAATCTGGGGGCTTCTGGCGAGCGGGACTGATATTTAATTGCCCGTAGCAGGTCGGGTGGTGAATCCGAATGAAGTCGAGCTTGTTAGGCTGAGAACTTCGGACGCAGTGTATGGCATCATCTGCTAAACTACTCGAGTCAACATCGTCCTCAGGGAATAGGGTTCTTTATTTCTGGATAATCTCAGCTTTTCTACCATGGAATTGTGAAAATCGCATCACAGAGAACCATCTCTTCCGTGGAGAGTTAGAGATACGCAACACGGAACCCCGCCGCAGCCATCTGGCTCTCCACACGGTCGCTCTTGAGTATTTTCCGCTCACCTGCCGAAGAAGTTAGCAACTACCATGTCCGATATCCTGCAAGTAACACGAGATCCTGCTGTGGTGGTATTATCACTGTGTTCGCCGCAACACGACTCCGTTAGACGCAATGCCGATGCTTCGACCTCCCGTCTTACGCCTAGGCGAATGGCATCAGTGAGAACGGCACGCATCAGCCAAGTCAATAAACAACTCAAAATGATATGACTCGAGCCTAGTGAGGTTTGCGTCAAAGCTCAAGTTTCGCCATATACTAGAGTGGATCAGACTTGGAGGGTCCTTTGGCTAGATGGTAAGCCATCCTGATGTCGAAGACTCCAACTCTCGAGCCCGGAAGATCAAATTGCACACTCCTCGGTCGAAACGAGAAGCCTGTGTGAAACTTTCATGCCATGAAGTGCAGACAAGATAATTCGGTTATTCTCCGCATTTCATTGTTACACAGGGTACTGGGCGTTGAGGTGCAGCTGCAGCTCTATGCAAACTACGCGCACATCACATCTATAAAAAATGCACATACGTTATGAAAAGGTGAATGCCCCATATTTACCCTTCTAATCCTTAGATCTGTATCTATTTTTCTTGTTCCTTAAACCGAGAGATCGTTAAAATGCCGTAGAGTATCCTAGCAAGTTCCCGTAGGCTATCAGGGCAAGACTCATCTATATGCTCCTCTCGTCCTAACTATCGCAGATTGAGCGAACAATATCAGTCCTACAAAGTTTCGTAACTTCCGTTATGTCCCTTAAACAGCCAACGGAGTGATGGGATGTAAGTCTCGCACTTGGTGAGCTCACAGCTTCAGCTCAGCATTTTGATTGGCGCTGCTTTTCTTCTTCTCGTTATTCCCGGCCAGTATAAGAAAATAGAAGACCGCCATAGCCAAACTCACTTAGAGGTTTGATTCAGTTCTTGTGTAGTATGAAGGGTTGCAAGATCCAACAGAGTGGGGGAGGGTTGGAATTTTGCCCAAAACTGATGGATCTCTCTTTGGGGGAGTCTCTTGCTTTCCCAATTTTTCCACTCCCCCAAGGCGAAATCTCTACGCTTGACAGTTTCTTTCCAGGGACCATTTGTGTAACCGCTCGAAGCGCCCCAAAACGCGAGTCATGTCCCCTGCATTAGCCCCGAAAATAGGCTGTGTCTATTAATGGTGTCACGAGGGGCGGAGCATTCCCCCTCATCAAAAATGACTTTGTTCTTGACTTTTTCTTTTCGGACGAACTTGATTTATACTCTTTTCTTGTGATGATTAGATGAGAATCGTATACAGATATTGAAACGTTATTGTTCATGGCTTAACTCAGGTAAGGAAGAAGAATTCCCCGAACCTCTAGACATTTACAACCACTGTGGCTGAGAGCTTTTTTTCTCTGGGTCCATGCAACTCCCACTATTCCTAGAGAGGGTTCGGCCCGCTCAAGATGAGACGCCTGTCCTCGCGTGTTCTGTATCAATGGCTTCACATTGGTTATCCTTACGCCATGACGTCCTCAGCTGGACTTTTGCCCCCGGTCTGGCCCCGGTCTGGCCCCCTAAATCGCTCTGCCCGGTGGTGCACATTCCTCATTCTACCCCTGTCCATACCTCTGGAATTAGTCGCTGCCTGTGGCTATGTGCCTTGTGGCTGAAATTGGATTTCGAAGGATAGTGGGGTTTCCTACTCTCGAGGCAGGAAAAGAGGTACTCCATTACCATCTACCCAGACATAAAACGGACCCCGTTGCCCTGGTGAACGTGGCTTCAATTCAATTTCTCAATGCCTCTTCTCCACTCTCTGGAGTATTAGGATCTCATTGATTCATTCTTATTCGATACTCGCAGAGTTCAGTCCTATTCGCCAACATTTTGCTTACTCTTTTCTCTATCAATATAATACAATGGCACTCTTGACCACTGATACCATCCGAACTGTCCTTGAAGGGGACTTGAAAGCCGATTTGGGAGAGTGCTTTGAACCCCATTTGACAAAAGTCAAATGCCTTGCGCCAACAACGTCTCCTGGTAGCCCACAATGCGAGGACGTAATCAGGAAGGCGCTCATTCCCCAAATCCAAGCAATCTTCGACATACCCATCACGTATTTAGAAGGTGATAAGGTGAAGATCTTTGATGCAATCGACCGACTGGCTGGTTACCTCGTCCATCCCAAAAAACATGGTCAAGCTAGCGTTAAGAAAATTGAAGAGTTGAAGGACAAATATCGCAAGACGATGGAACGACACTTTGAGGCCAAGAAAAACGAGGGCAGCATAACTCCTGTTACCGAGTTTTCGCAAGTACTCGAGAATACCGTCCTTGAAGAAGAAGCTCTTCCCATCGCGACGTTCACTGAGGAGATCACTCAGGCCGTTGAGGTCGGAGAGGTCATCTATCCTACCTTGCCCAGAACCCACACATTCACCATCGAGGACAAGGAAGAAGTTACTGTAGACTCTTCCGACGAGCTTCAGCTTATTCCGCAATCAACTGATACCCCATCCTATTCCCTCGCCAATCTATCTACACCACTTCCCAGCAAAGACCCCATACTGCCAAACCCCATCTCCAACCCCTCCCCATCCAACAATCTACTCCTTTCACTTATCCTCCAAATTCTGCAACGATTATATGTGGGGTTCTACTCCCAGGTCTACGCCAAATGGGGCCAGGAACCGGTTGAGAATACACCCGGGCAGATTAAGAGCGAGTCCTTTACAGAGTTGAAAATCTTTTTCGGCTTGAGAGTGGCTACTCGATCGATTCCGATCTGGCTGTGTATTGTATTATTGGGATGTTATTATCAGGCGTGGGGGATCTTGGGGTATCTGGCTCTTTATGTACTTGTTTCTGTTGGTTGGGCTTCGTTGTTGAGGTTGAATTCTTCCGGATCGGATGTTGTTGTTGTTTGATACCCGATGTATATTTTTGTGTTTAATGTGTGCAATGGTTATGATTATTTTGATGAGTTATTTGGGATGATTGGAGAGGGGAATGGTATATAGTAAGGAGGTGTAATTCTCTTTGTATAGATAGGTAGCAATAGTTAGCCTAAGATACTCCGTAGATACTATTTAAATAACAAACTTATGAACTCTTCAACTCTTCAACCTCCACTTCCCTTCCCCCGAGTCTCCGCACAGACCAAGTCTTCAATGGTGTCTAATCTGGCGATCATCATTGGCCCACGAACCAGTGGATCTCCCGAACCGAGGTGGATGAGTGAGTGCCTGACTGGTGACGCAAAGACGAATACGATGGAGAAAGAAAAGAAATGGCCAAAGACCAGATCTTCGATCTAGACTACTGTAAAATTATTTTCCCGATTCTTGAACTACGGGAAACGCGAGAATTCTAAATTTTTCGGAGTATACCCTCGGTTATAGTCGGAGCTCTGAAGGTTATTAGAATAATCTTCTCGGGAGGAGATCATCTCCGAGGGAAAGTGACGCACATCGGGGCTGGGCTCTTGTTGGGGTCTCAACACAGTCAATTCACCATTCAACGAGGGGCAGGACTCTCCATTGTCCACCTGTGGTGGGTTTCCTACCTTCGGAGAAATACTGGATAGCTGTGATCTTTATAGTAAGTAGTTCCGTCGGAGCATTATTCTAGGGATTGGCAAGGGATTGGCAACACGAGAAATCCACGGGATACTAGGTCCAGGGGAGAGCACAAGTTAAAGTTGGCCTCGAGACCAATGAACCAGTAAAGTTCCCCACAGGATTGTCGTAACCGTCACGCCGGTGAATTTCGTATCTGCCCCTCTTCCTCGTCCCTCCGACTCATCGCTTCGTCAACACTATCCTCCTCCCTTCTCTCTACCTTCTCTTTCTTTTCTTCTTCCCCCCCTCCCTCTCTCCCCCTCCTTCCTCATATACCACACCCTCTACCATGTCCTTCACACTCCCCCGGTCCTTGTCCCGGACTGCCTGGCGGTCCTACGGGACTGTCCAGGGCTCTCCCAGTGCTGCCTCCATCGCCAGCCGGGTCCCCAGCGTTTTGGTGGAGGCTACATCCGCAACTGCTCCCCGCACCAACTGGACGCCCGAAGAAGTCAGCGCAGTCTACCACACCCCGTTGAACCAGCTCACATACGCTTCGGTAAGGATATCTCCAACTACTAAACACCTCAATTGAGCATTTCAATACCCTCCTTCTTCCTCAATGTTTGCATTGAATGACCGAGAACCCGAACAACTCGAGAGACCAAACTCCCCGCGCAATTGAAACTGACAATTCCCATGCTAGGCTGCTGTGCATCGACGCTTCCATGACCCCTCAGCTATTCAAATGTGTACCCTCATGAACATCAAAACCGGTGGCTGCAGTGAAGACTGCTCCTACTGCGCCCAGTCCTCCCGCTACCAAACCGGCTTGAAGGCCACCAAGATGAGCCCCGTCGACGAAGTCCTCGAGAAAGCCCGCATCGCCAAGGCCAACGGCAGCACACGCTTCTGCATGGGCGCCGCCTGGCGCGACATGCGCGGTCGCAAGACGAGCTTGAAGAACGTGAAGCAGATGGTCTCTGGAATCCGCGACATGAACATGGAGGTCTGCGTGACACTCGGCATGATCGACGAGAACCAGGCCAAGGAGCTGAAGGAGGCCGGTCTGACCGCTTATAACCACAACCTGGATACATCCCGCGAGTTCTACCCTAGTATTATCACGACTCGCTCGTACGACGAGCGTCTCCGCACGCTAGAGAATGTCCGTGATGCTGGTATCAATGTCTGCTCCGGTGGTATCTTGGGTCTCGGTGAGACGGACGCCGACCGCGTTAGTCTCCTGCACACCGTCTCGAACCTGCCCTCGCACCCAGAGTCCTTCCCCGTCAACGCCCTCGTCCCGATCAAGGGTACACCCCTCGGCGACCGTAAGATGATTCCCTTCGACCGTGTTCTCCGCACCATTGCCACAGCCCGTATCGTTATGCCAGCGACTATCGTCCGTCTGGCCGCCGGTCGCATTGCCATGTCCGAGGAGCAGCAGGTGGCCTGTTTCCAGGCCGGTGCTAATGCCGTTTTCACCGGTGAGAAGATGTTGACCACAGACTGCAATGGCTGGGATGAGGATCGGGTTATGTTTGAGAAGTGGGGATACTACCCCATGAAGGCCTTTGAGAAGTCCGGGCTTAAGGAAGCGTCGGCTCCTGCCCCGCCTTCTTCTCAGCCCGAAACTGCTGCGCCGGTCGCAGCGAGCTCGTAGGGATAAACCTTGATGGATTGTCGTTTTTAAAAATGAAGAGATTATCAGCAATAGACTGTTGATCGGACTTGGTTGCTTCCCTAGACTGTTGTAATTGGTCGTTGTTCCGTCAATGAAGCTGCAATTCTTTAGTATCAGGTCGAGGTTATTCCATAGCCTCCACCAATCAGACCCAAGATAATCAAAGGGCATGTTGACGCTATGTAGGTCATTGCCATTAAGTCTGTGGAGTAGACTTTGCACATATGGAGTCAAACTCGATCACCAAAGAATGATAGTCCTTTCGTTCCTTTGTATCCAACTCACAAAACTCCGATCGGACTTTGCAAGGCCAGTCATCTTCAACAAGGCACTACTGATCTGTGTGACGGCAACCGGAAGATAAAAATCCCCGATTAACCTTAAGTGAAGCGCATGACATGACTACATGCACGCCTCACGCATGAAGCATATGAAAATCAGGATCATGCCCAATAAATAGGCTATATGATCCCATATAGACGTGGATTGATCTCGTGAAGAAAATAGCTCTGACGTGTTTCTCGAACTACATCCCCAACAGAATTCTACCCACCCATGTCTGGTGGATAATGCCTAACTGCCGGAGAATGGATCATATCAATCGCAGAGGTATCCCAAAAAGGAAGTAAATCTCCCCTGGCGGCAATGCTTAATTGGTGGGTGGCCGCACATCTTTTTAGCCGAACACCCAAAGGCGCCACCCCTCAACGCTGATTGGCGCGCGATCTAAGATCTTGGCTTTCACATTGGCGCGAACCGAGGCCGGGTCTCTGTGAACGAATGTTTCTCGGGGCCCTCCGATCGAAAACACCCTACATCATGATACTATGGATGTCGATCGCGGGTAATCCATTGACTGGATTTGGTCATTGATATCCTCCGGAATTACTGTGAAGATCCCCCACCAGCGATGGTTATCCGGGGAGTCCGAGGCTCGTGTGTGCGGGGAGGACGTCAAATAGCACAATCTTCACGTGGAATGAGCGGATCTGTACCAATTTTGGGATGTCGATAGGCCCCATTTGGCATTTACACCATTTGACGTCTGGGAAACTGTTGGGGAAACGAGATCCACGATGCGGAGCATCATGAACGCCCCTTTAGCCCCCCCCTTCACATGTCCCTGGTTCAGATCCAGGTTCTCAGTCTGGGGTAAAAGACAATATAAATGGGGACTACCCCTACTAGCCGGACTGTCTCTTAGTTTGGTCGTCATAGTGTCTGAAGAATCTATACGCCATCCACCATGGATACAAAACCACTATCAAAAGATTCCATGCGATCCACATGGCGCACGGCAGACCGCTCAGAATGGAGTCATGCCCACTGGGCTCTGGAGATACTCAACGCTCACCCTATTGAGTTGAACAAAGAGATCCCCGTGCACCAGAAAGATGAGAAAGTACCCTTCATGCCACAGTGGTCCCTGCAGCGCTGGGTACTCTTCTACTCGTCCCTACCACTCCTCTTCCACCAAGCATATACAACCTACACCGGCCGCACGCTAGGCCCCTTCGCCACCTTCAACCTATACTTCTTCGCCTTCAACGCCATCGTCATATACCAAGTGCACGTCCTCCGCCGCATGGGCCACATCTATGGCTTCCTAGACGGCGACAAGCACGAGCGCGACGGCGTGCCAGACGTAGGCGTCGCCAAAGTAGTAGCCTCCCTCTACAAAACGACCGGCTCCCGCCTCGTGCTAGCCACATACCTCACCTATAACCGGAACATGCTCCCCTCACAGATGAACTGGGCCTGGTTGCCCTTGGAAATCGGGCTCTACGGCATCGTCCTCGACTTCTGGTTCTACTGGTACCACCGACTCATGCACGACGTGAGCTTCCTCTGGAAATTCCACCGCACGCATCACCTCACAAAGCACCCGAATCCCCTGCTCGCCGCGTACGCAGATCACGAGCAGGAATTCTTCGATATGGTCGGCGTCCCGCTCATGACATGGCTCACCCTCCGAACGATGGGTATGCCGATGGGCTTCTACGAGTGGTGGATCTGCCACCAGTACGTTGCGTTCGCGGAGGTCTTTGGGCATAGTGGATTACGGATGCATCTGACCGTTCCGTCGACGCTGAGTTGGTTGTTGCAGTGGTTGGATGCGGAGATTGTTATTGAGGATCATGATCTGCATCATCGGAAGGGGTGGAGGAAGAGTCATAATTATGGGAAGCAGACGAGGTTGTGGGATAAGATTTTTGGGACTTGTACGGAGCGGATCGAGTCTGTTGCTGATAATATTGATTATGCCAATGTTGCGACTATGCCACTGTTTTGAGGGATGCATGTCGCATGTTGACTGATGACCCTGATGGGGTGGTTATGATTACGATGGAAAATACAGAGGTCGTGTTTGATTTGTATAGCTGGGCTTGAACTAGATATAGCGATGATCATGAATTTGCTTACATCCTAGGAAAATGACTCGAAATATAGTAAGCAACGGTGCAAAAGTGAAATTCCTAGGCTAGTATAAATCAGGTACAACGTAGATCTCTACGTTCTTAATGGTTCTAGGGGTTCGAAATCTGAAAATGCTCCGTGCTCCACATCGTGAATGCTTGCTCTTGCAAGACACGCTTTACTACCGATGACACTCGTCGAGTGAACGGACTGCTTGGGATTTAGATCGCTGGCACAAAATCTTTTCGATGTTGAAGAAAAGGAGATAAACTATGGAATGAGTAGGCATTTGCCGAATTTCGAGATTACGTTGTTGAATAATCTCAAAATATGTGTGCTGTCTTGGTGTTGAATAATCAACAACCCCTTCTGGTTTGTGCGACCCTGGAGCTGTACCACATTGAGTATTAGATGTCTAATATTCCCTGTGGCTCGTTTTGAAATCCAATCCAGCTGGAATTATACGTTTGGGTAATACAACGCCATCGAGCCAAGATGATTATAATGATGTGCCGGCTGGATACACTGATTGTGGGACCGATGAATATTCATTGCCGACAATGTTGGAAGTGGTTAAGTAAGTCTAATTGTCCAGAGCATAAATAAACCCCTGTGTAGGAACTATTAACAGCATCAACATCCTCTATTTCTCTACTACCTTCCGCCTCATCCTATCAAACAACCACCCCTCAAGATGCCCCTCTGGCAAATCTACCACCCACCCGGCACTTTCGAAGACAATGCCTCAAAGCAAGCCTTCGTCAACGACATCACCAAGATGTACACAACCCTCGGCCTACCCGAATTCTACGTCGTGACCCATTTCTACAAGATGGACAACAGCAACGTTTACCAGGGCCTGAAACCGTCGACAGAGACTGAGAAACCATTCGTGCGAGTTGTCATTACGCACATTGCCATCCACGTGCCAGATTCAGATGCCATGTATCTTCGAACTACGTCTCGCCTTGACAATATCATGAAGCCTCATTTGTTGGACAAGGGGTACGACTTTGAGTACCATGTTGACGAGACGGAGCGACGGCTTTGGAAGATTAATAGCTTGATTCCACCACCTTTCAAAAGTGCTGAGGAGCAGCTTTGGGTGAAGGAGAATAAGGCTGTTCCTTATGAGGGTGCTTATCCTCCTGCATCGGGGGAAGCTGCTGTGTGAACTGGCTCTTAATACCAAGCAATCCTTACTGTATGCGTGTGCGATGGAGACTAGATGCATCATTTGGCTAGAATAGCTTTGTTCATTGTTCAAGAATACAGAGTGTGGTATATAACATATTATCATTATTCTAATCAACAGGTCCACGTTCATGCAGCTCAATCCCCGGTTCTGAACGTTGGTTATCGTAATCATAATCTAAGGCCCACGGGGGCCCACCCACAGCTGAAAAGTCTCCGACTTTATACTTGCAGTCCTTCTCAAGCAAGTACCTCTCCCGCTCGCGTTCGCTCATGTCCCACGTATCCCCAAGGTCGGCAAGCATGCGACTTTGCACAACCCACGGGATGAGAGATCCGATTGACCGTGGCACGCGCGGTCCTCGATATCGGTTGAAGCGAAATGCGAACACACCCATTAGCGCGACTGCGTCAATGGCTAGGAGGCAGATGATGATGACGACTAGGCTGGTGGAAGGTATGAATCCCCACAGGCTATCTAGGAGATTGCCGTGTGCCGCTTGGGGAGAATGTGTCGGTAGACGCTCAAGGAATTTTTCCTTCCAAAGAGCGAGGTGGGTACTGAAAACAGTCTGGTAGACTGTCTGCACGGAGAGCATGAGATGTCTTGACTTCAATGTGAAGTCGTGTGGGAAGGTCATGTCATAGGCATTGGCGGTTAATCGGCCAGGCCAGTCATGTCGATGGTGGTGTTGGCGGTCATGAGGGTGTGAGAAGTTGAAATGATGTGATGAAAAGTTTCGAGGCTGGCCGGCTAACACTTGATTGAAGTCCGCCAAGATTTCTGATGCGTTTTGAAAGAGTCCGCCGCTTGAAATGGTGCTCCCACTGATGGCATTCTGATTCTGAACCATTCCACTGGAGTCGAATTCGACGTGGAAATCTTGTATGTGAATTTTTGGCTCGCAATGTAAGGCGGTTGTGCCGGCTTTGTTGATGTCGGTCACGTTCTTTAGGTCCCAGAAAGCTAAAACAAAGATGCTGGATTCTTGGCAAGTCGTGTCTGTCCCATTGGGGGCATAATAGTGAACAGACTTTCCGCTTTTGCTCGTCAAGTCGTCTGTCAGGGGAATGTCCACGCTACAGGTCTGTTTGGCTCCGGATTGAGCGATCGTATAATTCCAGGCAAGTGAAGTGTCCGATGAAGCAGCGGGGAGCACCTTGCAGTCGAGGTCGGCTCCAATGCCTCGTGTTGTTGCCGAATATACAGTGTAGTAGTCATCGTCAGAGGCATTGTGAAACGAGAATGGCACCATGAAGAATTTTCCATCTGTTGAAGCCCATTGAAGGAAGGAGACGTTGTTCAACAGTCTGCCTGTAGCCACCAAGGAAATTTCGATATCACTTTGGTTGACATTGTTGACCATGGCAGAAGAATTGTACATGTTGATCAAATCCGAGCTCGGCGACGAATAGTTCTTGAGTTGTGGTGTGAAGAGGCCACCACTGAGGATTCGAAGCACGAGATCTCCTAGGCACACAATAGACAGTGCAAGAAGAATACCGGGTCGTCGATGGCGTCTGATGAACAATGGAATAAAAGGTGTTTGAATCCCATAGTTCTCGACGACAGACTGCCGCGCCGAGGCCATTCCATCTTGCAGCCTAATCCAAGGCTCCATCGAGCTTAAACTGCGATAAATTGAGACGAGAAACGAGCCAATGATAGACGCAATCGCAGTGGGACCAAAGTTGAGGAAGATCATGGCCACAGTGGCTCCGGTACTGAAGAAAGAGTTGATATTCTTCCAGCGAAGGTATGCCAAACTCATGCCGAAAAGAGCCAGTATCGCTGCGAAAAGCAAGCACTCGAGCAGAAACCAAATAGGCCTCAAGAAATGGGGCATGGGATCTCGGCGACCGGGAGGTGGATGAGGTGGAGCCAGAGATGCTTCACTTCGATCAACGACTTGGAGCTTTTCTTTACCATCATCATCTACCCACTCGCACCATTTGCCGTTTGCCCATTGCCGAAGTTGGCGAGTGGTTGACATGTGCAATTTTGCCTCTGAGAACATGACCTGGGTTGAGGGCTTGAAGAGACGTGCAACGATGGTGCATTGAGCAGCGATTGACCCTGGGTCCCATTGCAAGAAATTAGGCCGACGCCGGTACACGTATGTCAAAGTAGCGATCATACAGAGGCCCAAGGCCAGAATAGCTTCAGCAACTGTTGCGGCCTTGGATGCGACCGTCAAAATGACCACAAAACTCCGCTGTTTGGCTTCGACGGATGTTGGAAACCCTCCAGGGCTGAAAAATCGATCGATCGTGACAATGAAGTCTGAATTCCAATACTGGCGGATTTTCTGCACATAGTCCTCGTAGGCTAATATAGTCGAATCGGTTGCGACGATGATGGGGTCACCGCTACTGGCAGAACCATTGAACTGCGAGGTGTTTCCGAACCAGACATCGGAGACCGATGTCAAATATCGAGAGGCAATCAGATCGTGAATTCCATCCACGTAGAATGCAGCTGTGTCGAGAGATTTGACAGTTGACGTCGTTATATCCACATCGGCAATAGAGGCGTTTGGGTTGAGAGTCACAGCTGCCGAGGCTTGCTGATACGTTGGTGAACAGGCAAGGACCGTGACATTCGAATCGGAAACGTTTCCTGCGGCAAGTTCCATATCGACCATTATCCCGAAAACCTTGAAAGCACTGCAATCCTCGTTTGTGAAGGCGGATGGAGCCGGTAATTTCCCATCAGAGCCCATGGGCTCCCAAAACTTCGCTTGTAGAGTCTGTTGATCTGATCCGATGACAGTGTCCAACGCAACGTTGATCTGACAGTGTGAGCTGCTGTTACCGCCTGGAAGGGTACCCAGTGACATATTTCCAACATTCCATGACCAAATTTGTTGACCATGAGGCAGTTGGCTCGTCAAGGTGGTATTTTTCACGGTTTGTGGCGATACCCCTCTTCGAGTATTGCTGACACATGTCATATTCGACCAATATATGGTTTGATTCAAAGTTAACAAAGACGAGTCGTTTTGATCATCGGGCAGTGAGACAGGAGGAGTTGCGTAATCTGCAGGGTCAGGCATGAAAAAGCTGTTCAGCTCCGGCGAACCCAAAGGCCCCTCCCCCAAGGATCCTGCTGCGAGCCAAACTTGTTGAATCTCCAAATCGATGATAGTCGGCCAGGTGTTGACGAGTTTCTTCTCAATCCAATTTCCATCGTCCAGGACCACTAGACCAGCTAGCAGCGAGGGGAGGAACATGCGAAAAATCAAGGAGACTGGTGCAGCACATAGCACAACCCAATGGCGATTGCGAAATGCTATGAATGATGCCGTAAAGGCGTTGCAGCAATAATTGTTGAATAGCACTGTGGCCGGAGCCCCGCCGGGCTTAGCGAGTTGAAAAAAAGGTTCAAGCCGTAATACATCCTGGGCGCAAACATCCAGAAGATTGATGGCTAATAGGGCAAAGATCAAGGGCAGATAGGTGTAGGCTCCCCATATGGCCATCGGCAGGTCCTCTTCATATGTCCAGTGAACTATACCTCCCATCCGCTTGGAGTATTCGCGCAGAAGTTCGATGACTCCCAGCATGAACAGGAACAACCCTGCCAGCGGAATGAGGTATATTTTGTGTAACGTCCGAGGTAGCCATCCCTTTGAGGCCCTCCATTTCTGTACCGAGTCCTGTCCATCTGCGAGTGGCATTCTGTTGTTGAGAGATAGCGAGAGAAAGATAACGAGCGCTCATTCGCAGAGACGCTAAGGACCTATGCCATGAAAAATGTCAATCAATATTCAAGCTATAAGTCATCAAAGTGGGGAGAATCCCATCCCCTATACATGACTTACGAAATGTTAGGTTGTCGGACTCATATTGTCACCATGTCACTTTTGACAGGCTGGACAGGCGATTAGTTTGGCTGGTGTGGTTTATCAAAGATGGCGCATCGGCAGGATATGCGCACTGCTTGAATCGCCGGCGACTCATGTAGCAACGCCAAAATTCAAGGAGTGTGGTGAGAAGAATTGGAGGAGATCCGTGCTACTCAGCACCAGAGATCCAACACGGGGAAAGAAACTTTAAGAGGGAAAACTTCTCAAGGGGCGCTATTGGAACCAGAACCAGGAGAAACACGTTCGGCTTTCTGACATTGTGGGCCTCAACCCGCGGGGGAAGGCTTAGCTGCGATGTACTATTGGCCCTGCAAGTGGATGTCTCAGCTTTCCAAACTGAGTCTTGGCAACGGGAAATTTCGTAGCCTAGGCCTCCAGTCAGAGTCGAAGAATTTATAGAAATAGTCGCTGCCACGTTTTAGTTGTACCCAGGCCCGAGGGAAATCATGGTTGATCTGATGGATAGAAGGCCGGTTATAAGAATTTCTAAGGTATTGGCAGGATTATCGTCAATGAGAGGCACCAGACTCCTAAATTCAAATCAATTCCCAGGCCTCCTGCCAAGAGGTCGTATTAGGGACAACTTTCCACAGTACGCGTTTCAATACTCAGCCTCAATCCAATTAGACGGAAAAGTGGCCCGTTAAGCTTTCTCTTCGGGCACACCGAGATGCACCTTTTTACCCTAAATGGGAGCCCGCCTCGGACCGGAGTTACTTAAGAATAATCTCCTCCCATCGATGCATACTGTACTCCGTACTCGGTCATGATCTATAATAATGATCAGTACCATTGTTTAGTTTAAGGCTGGGCCCTATACAATCTGTGTATTGAACTATTGTACTAGTGTTTTATGTGGGGATGCCCCCATTCAGTAAACGCAAGCTTTTCCCCTCTTCTGGTAAGGCTTAGCCGCGACCCTCTCCAAAGACGCAACACCTGAGCTCAATTAGCTGTCGTATTCGCTAATTATCGCCTCAAAAGAACATGCGATCGTAGGAGCGCGTGCCACTACGCATTTTACACGAATAATATCTTACAAGCTTCAAGCCCGCCCGACGCACCTATTCACGTAGCAAAAGCTAGTCAGCGGTCACCTTGTGGACTACGTGATGACCGAGACTAGAATTGTCGCCGGCGGGATTTGGGAATGATACTGTATTTTTGTTTTTTGAGTGCGAGAGAAGATAGCTTGCCGAGATCGCTACAAAATAATTGGTTATGATAGGCAAGGATGGTGTGATTAAATCCACTTGGCCTGCATTAGGTTGTCGGGCCCTGAATTTTGGCCATACTAGTCGCAACAAGAAGGTGGTATCGGGATTTAAAAGCTCTAAATGACTCTATTATCAAACATCGGCAAATCTATAATGCTATTCACAATAAAATCTAGTTAAGACCGCTATGCCTTCTCGAATCACAGATCCGAAACAGAAGCAACCGGCCCGCAGAAATACGGGCCCTTCTATGTGTTACTAGCACAGGAGAAGCTATTGCTGGAGGCATCGTCGTGAATCGCCTTTCCAGACACGTAAAGTCCGAGACCACACATGCATCCGCCAATCAGCACAATCAGCATATTAATGATCGTGAGGCAGATCTTTCGTGGAGATGAGAACCACTTGCCCCAGTTGATGTGTAACCAGTATACACCACCAAGGCCGTAACTGAACCAGCTAGCAAACAGTGAGCTGATCAAGCTGAGCAAGTCACTGAACACAGGAATAGCATCGGCAATGATCCAAGCAATTATCCAGCATGTCAAGCCGATGGCAATCCATGACCCGACGGAAACCAAGTCGCGGCGATGCATTCTGTCAGTTCCACGGAAAAGGCGGACGTAAATATACTTCAGACCGACGTGACCGTTAACAACACCCGCGCCAACGATAGTCGGAATCGCGAGCCCATATGCCACCTTCTTCAGCAGAGGCCCCGCGGATCCCAGAGCCGGAGACTCTACAGACTGACCGGCATAGTAGTAAATCACAACAGCGGCAACGGTATAGAAGATGATCTCAAAGGTCTGCAGCATATACAATGCCTTTGGGAATTCTCTTGGGTTCTTCATTTCGGCAAGGAGACCAAAGAATGCCACATGCGCACAGTAAGCAAAGACGATGTTGGTCACGGCGGTAAACGCGTGGAACAGATCAGTGTCGATGGTGGCCTGGATTCTTGAGACGCCGTTGGCCTGGACGCCTACGCCGATCATGGTGACCATGACGGCACTGAAAATACTGACGAAAGCTACATTCAAACTTGTCAGTGAACGAGGCTGGGGTAATGCTTGAGATTGATCCACGTACAAACGCCCGAAATATAAGTCATGTTCTTCATGGTACGAGGCAGCGAGCACACCATACAGATAACAAAACCGACTGTCGTAAAAACCATGGTGCAAGTGCCGTGCTCGGTGATTGTATTCATCATGACACTGAATGTCAAGATGTGGCTTCCCATGATGAAAATCGAAAAGAGTAGCTGGCCGATTCCGAAGAGTTCTCGTCCAAATGCACCCATGAGTACATCTCCGGTGTCGGCCAGGTTCTGGATATGGGGATATGCCTGATGGAATTGTCCAATGACATAACCGGTGTATGTGGCAAGGAGACCGAGGCCTATGATTAACACAAGAGCTCTTGAAAGAATTGTCAGAACCTTGGCTCATGTCTTTCGAAGATCAGGAAGCTTACGGTACGAGACCCAACTGCGCGAGAGTTGCTGGCAATGACAGTACACCTAGCGAAACAGATTCTGCAATCATGACTGGTTCAATTAGACACCCTTTCTTAATTCAATAACGGTCCTTCAAAATGAAAGACTTACACATCCCAGCTTGCCTAGAAGTAATCCATGTTAGACGCAGTCTTTTGACATATAGAGATTAATGGAACTTACCACCACTCCATTGTCTTATACTTGACTTCAGCGTTTGACTCGTCACCAAAAGCATCTTGATACTGCGGCGTTCCATCCTTAGCACCCATCGCCTTCTCCTGCCATCCCGACTCTGAGTCGAGGAGCTCGTGTGGTGGAGTCGCTTCCTGAATAGTCATTTTGCCAGCTGGAATAAGGCTTCCGGGAAAGACTGGTAAAATTTGAAGTGGGCGAGAAAGGGAAAGGGTTTATAAAGCAGGGAAATGAAAGTCAGTATGCATGTGTGTGCAAAATTCTCTTACTAACTGGAGGTGGAGCTCAATGTCGCATGCGACAACCGAACTCCCCGCAGTGACAGGGTTTGTTGGGGTTATTTGGGGCATCTATTCTGGGGCTCGGCAATTCTAGAGTCCTGGAGTTATCGGAATTATCGTCTATGATACTCTACAGCTGCATTGTCAACTTTGGAGAACGAAAAGCGTGGCCTCAGGGTCCATTTGATGATGTAAATGGTTAGTTCGCATGGACCCTGGGGCTAGATCAGCACCAATTTAAGCGTCTCTCGGTCCACTTCCGGGTGCCCCAGTGGATTTCTCCCTCCACTTTTATTCACTTGTAGCCCAACCAGCGTGTCGGGCCGGGCTTCAATTATATAACAAAAATGTCGGGCCCTCATTTCTGCGCCGGGGGTAACCGGGCAGCTTCAGTCTCTTATAACATTGTGAGTTGAATGTCAGGAAGAGAATATTTGTTTGCCTCGGTTCTATAATATGCATTAGTGCACAGAAGCTACTTAGGTCTGCCAGATAGGAGCTTTGGATATGCTTCAATAGGGAATGAAAAACTTTTATACAGCGGGTGGCGCACGCTCACCCGCAGCCAATCTTGGTAATAAATGCTTAGTGTCGGCAGTGAATCAATCCAGCAGCGCGGCTTGAAGCGCTGCCTCGCCACCCGCCGAGATTGAAAGTTTTAGTCAGAACAACTGCATTGAGTTTTGGCCAGCGACCGTCACCAAGTAATAATGTCCTGCTCCGGGTAGAAAGGTTTTAGATGAAACGACTGAAGCTCGCTGGGTTCGCAGTATTGCAACAGTAGTGTTCCAATTTAATACATCGACACAATTTCAATATTGACTGCTGCCCTGTTATTTTTTCGGTCATTCTTCATAGACGTCGTAAAAGAACCAAATTATTCATATCTAGATGGGCGGTTTTTCTGCTCGCTAGTTTCAAACTTTTGAACTGCTACTGTGCGCGGGTTCAAGCCAGTTGACGAGGCGGCACCCGTACTTTGCAACGATTTTGTTGCTCTATGAGACGCCGGAAATCATGTCCTGACAATAGGTGCACATAAATGGTGCAATTTACGTTCGTCTACGTCACTGGGCGTTCAGGTCCAACCATCGGAAAAAAGCAATGGTTTCTTAAGACATAGGTATGTGTTCTGCTGGTACAAAGTCCGCATTATAGTACATGATTCTCGCGCATTTAACCCAAGGGTCGGTCAAGAGATCAATCCCGAAGACGAGGTTTGCAACATAACTCCATCTCTATCCGCCAACATTATATACATCTTAAGCAGCGTGCCATCAAGGATACTCCACCCAGAACGGCAGTTAGGCCTGTACAGACAATGAGAAGCCCAAACCCACTACCGTACGCACCCAATGCATGCCCCTGCCAGCTATCCGCTTGGAGCAAGGCCTCGCTGAAGGGACCGCTGACAACATTGCCGACCCCGCGCCCAAACGCGATAGTTGAGAATATGATGGTTGCATCTGCGCCTGGAGTGTCTTTCTGGATTTCGCGAATCATACCGGACCAAATTGCAGAATAGCTTCCTGCAAAAACTCCGTATGCAACGCCAAACACTATAAGAACCGGGATAGTGGTGGAGAAGCCCCATATGAGGAAAATTGATAAGACAGTGCCTGCCGTAGAGATCGAGATACACGTAAGTGTGTGGCATCGATCAGATAGAAATCCCATGGACACACTTCCGAATACAGATGCCAGGTTCAGAGCAGTCACCGTAAGCGAGGCCAGAAAGTCCGAGGCTCCGAGCGTGCGTGCAAGTGTTGGAAGATAAATCGCAGGGAGGAAAAATCCAAGTGCCTCTGCAATATTACCAAGCTGGTAGATGATTGACACTCGACTGCACAGGAAGCGGGCGTTGAGCCGATCGTATTTGACTTCTCTCGAAACGGGTAGGCGTGACTTGTGGAAATAGAGGAATGGAGCCGCGAGCACGAATATCAGCACTGAAAATATCCTCAAAGTTGTTCGGAATCCATATTGTCCCAAAAACTTTTCCAGGGCGAGAGGGATAAGCACCCCAGACAGCCCGGATCCCGCCCAAACAATTCCGAAGGCAAGCCCTCTCCGCTTATCAAACCATTCGGACATGTATAAAATCGAGGGGCTATAAGCGATACAACCCCCTATTCCAAATCCAACGCCTTGTGAAAGCACGAGGTGTGTAAAGTTCGTCGAGAATGAGCCCAAGGCTAGTGAGAGACACATGATGCTCAGACCCAGTGTGGAGAACCATCTTGCCGTTCGAGGAAGGAGAATCATCGTCGTAATTACCAGAGGGCAGCTTATGTATGCGACGCCCTATAGAAAAGCTGTTAGCTTATGGTCGACTCAGGCAAAGTTAGGGGTTTGGGCTGACTGTTGCACATGTCCCAATGACTGCCACCATGTTAGAATCCTGAACGACTTCACTGTCGTGATAATAGCTCTGGAAAACACCGAACGAAAAGGCAAATCCTAGATTTCGTCAGCCATGGCCTTTGTTACATGAGAAGCAGGAGGGTAATAGTGACGAACCCCATACAAGAGCCTCTATCATTGCGGAAGCAGCTAAGAACAACCAGGCATGTATACCACCATCTATCGGTGGCAACACCTTGCCCTCATAGGGATCTTGTTTAATTTTTTCGTCACATGGGGATAACTTCGTTTCTTCACATGCCCCCGAGTCGTCAGAGAAAGAGGTGCTGGAATCCATAGTTGAATGCAACCGGAGCTTCATAAGAGGCTCCGAAGAAGTGGAAGCGAAACATTACTAAATTTCAGACCGCCAGCTCTATTATCTACTAGAATTTCAAGCGCACAGTGTCACATTACCAAGCGATCCATATCAGGTTCAATTGAGTAAGAAGGGATGAATATGAATGAAAGGGTTCATTGCTCATCAAGTGACGGAAAGAATTTAGGTCGATAAAGGTCCTGTTCTATTGGTCCCGCATAGACCGGAGTATTTTTAAACTTGAGAAAAGTAAGCAGATCATTTTAAGCCAATCGCTACCGAAACGAACCGTGAATCTTATTCAGCATATACAACGCGGATTTGGTGCCATTTTCATACAACGCCTTCAGTATCTTGACTCTGCCTCATGTCAGGAAAACACACTATCTCACTACACTCATAACAGTTCTACGAGTTTCTTCTCAAGTTTTGATTTTCCTAAGTTGCTTTTGACGTGCTCAATGTGGGGCATGGAATCATCCAAAGGACAGCCCCTAGTTTGGTCTGCGTATAGCCGGCTAGGAACGGCAACATTGAGGAATGTAGGGCATGGATTTTGCCCGCCCCCTCTGATAATTTCGGAGCTTGAGGTATTGAATTCAATGTTATTATGATATCATTGGCCCAGAAATCTACCAATAGGACCTTGTGGAACCATTCCATCTGCCTGGGCATGACTTCCCCACTGACCTACAGCACCTACTTCACGTTCAGGGTTGCGGAGAGAGTCTAATGAAGGGGTTTAGATCGTGAGCCTGTGATCATCATTCAATGAGAACTTTCCTTGCCACGGGCTCACCCATGCATACGTAGATCTTATCTGCGTCATTCTATTCTTGAGTTTTGACTTGAGCGAACAACAACATCATTGTCGCCACGGTCATAACGGATTTAATTTCTAACCAGCGGGGAATTAAATGCAAGGGGCTTTTAATACCTTAGAAACCATACAATACAATGTATACATTCAATGAGTAGACTAGAGTCTCGCAACTTAGCTAAAGAAAAAGAACAAGAGAGATTATACGGGAGAGGTGAAAAACCGCAGCGGAAATACCCCGAGGCCCGATAACCTAGATACCGCATGGCCCATTACCCACAACCGAGGAAGGTAAAGCCATAGACTGGTGGAAGCTTCCCATTCACTCACTGGTGGTCTCTTCGGTTGTGCCACCCAAGGGCTTAGAGAGTCCTACACGGTCCACAGTCTTTTGGTAAATAACGCCTCCGTTGACACGGTCTTCGTGAACAATGAGGTCCTTGCGGTTAGTATCCACTAAGAGGCGGATCAGGTCTGGTCTCATGTAGTGTCCGCCCTATGACCAGTGCTGTTAATTTCGGCCTCTGACAAATTGTCTTGGGATTAGCAACTTACAAAATCGGCCAAAGACTTGGTGAGATGAATTTCATCAAGATCAATCTGTTGCAACAAGTTAACAACATAGTTATACATAAATAGTGGGGGAAAGGGGGAGGAGATAACTCACGTCAACAAAGAGCAGACCTTGGAAGTCCTTTTCTGGATGAGGAACGAGATTCTGGCCATCAGGACCAAAAATACGGCCATTTCCATTATAGATGTTGGGGTCCTCGAGCTCCTTTCCGGGTGGAGTGTTGAGTTTGATACCCTCCGTAGTGATGGTTTGCCAAGGCGCGAGAGTGAAGGCTCCTGTCTCGATCGCGTACGCAGGAGTCACAAGCTGGACAGTCTTGTCAGTAATGAGATCTCCATTCACAGTCACGGTTCGGTCTGGGAAACTCACGTCGGCATTCGCCTCGGCGATGTTAGTGTAAGGATCCGGGTACTTGAGGGTCTCTTTTCCGGGATACAAAGGCCAGGCTGTAACATGGACCTGTTCCCCGAGAGAGGCGGCATATGCCTTCAAAAATGGGTTCATGTTCTCCCAGCAGTTCAGGTGTCCGATGCGACCGATCTCGGTATCCATGACCGACTCGGTAGTATCGCCAGTGCCATCACCAAAGACCAGGCGCTCAACATGGGTGGCCTTGATCTTGCGGCGATGGTTGATAATATCTCCTGCTGGATTGATCATGATCTGAGTGGTATACAAGCTGGCAAGATCGACCTCAGAGTATCCGAGAGAGACGAATATCTTGTTGTTTCGGGCTGCCTCGCGGATACGGCGCATTTCTTCCGAATCAGAAGGGAGACTGTTCTCGCGATACTTCTTCAGAAGTGGCAGGCTCTCCTGGTAGTTGACCTTCCAGGCCCAGTACGGGTAGCCAGGGATCCCTGCTTGGGTTAGCGGATGCCCACTCACATTACTGGGCGTTTAGATAAACATGATACTTACAAAGCTCAGGGAATGCAATGAACTTGCAACCAGCCTTACCGGCCTCGTCAATCCAGTGGATGGTGCGCCGGACGGATTCTTCGAGGTTGAACCATCCGGGCTCAGCGTTGACTGCTGCGGCCTTGTATTTCTTCAGAATAGGAGCCATTTCGAAGCTTTTTGGTTTCTCTTGGGTTATTTTCGAGAAGGATGTGAGTGATTGAACGAATATACTCACTCATGGAGAGGGAATCACGATGCTTTATATAAGTTCCGAGATGCATCTCAACCACTTGCTACCCGCCTATAGTCATCACAATATCTCCATACGAGCACAAGACATTACTATCACACCACTCGGGTTAACACAACTCGGGAATTGCTTTTACGTGTACAGGTCCACAGATTCAAGATCTCAGATGACATGCCTCCTTGGCTTCCCGTTTGCTGTTTCACTAAATGAGCTCGGGATCTGCCTTTGTACACAATCACGCCATGAGCAACATTTTGTTCTAGAAATGAAGAATTACTATGCGGGAGATCGCCAGGCTAACCGTCGGGATTCTGGCAGATCCCGATGTGTTTTACAATCTAAATTCAATCATGCCACGGGCGGCTGCGTTGTGGAGGGGTCCCAAATGCCGTTGAAGCAGAAATATCTCCGTGGTGATCCGAGGCTCAGATCCCGGTTCAATTGCTCCCTACGCTGGTGAGATAAACGGTGTGGGCTAAGAGATTGTGATAAGATGAGGAACTGTCTTCTTGTTTTTTCATCCCAAAGGTTTGCTGGGAAGTCCATGTAGACCCTCTCGGGCGAGTAGGCAGATCCCGAGGGCAGACCCCGTTTCGTCGATGATGCCGATGTTACCAATTGAGATGGTCGATGCAGTTCATTGATTATATCCTTTGGTCTGCTTTAGTCAGGGCCACTTTCATTCGGTTATTTTATCATTTGCATGATTTATACTAGGACCGCTCAGACAAGCGACGAGCGCAGTAAGTTCTCCAGCTCCTGCAGCGACTCGGGCTTTGATGTAACACTAGACATCAAGTACAGTACATTACCCAAGACCCGAGAGTGGACATTGAACTGGTCGCCACCGATAGCAAGTTGTTGTTGCAGGCCCTTAGCAGCGGTGGATGTGTAACCTGACCAATTGTTAGCTTGGAAACTTTGACTATTGGAGAGACCAGGCGGAATACTTACCTCCACCCTGGGCATCGCGCAGCGAGATGCTGAGAACAGTTCCAATCGCAAAGACGCTCTCGACAGACTCGGCACGCGAAAGATCTTGAATGAGACCCTGGGACCACACACTCCATACGTCCGGGACAGATGCATCCGCGGGGGCCGTGATCTTTTGGCTCCAATCACTCTTGAAAGTATCCCATGAGCCATTGCTGTCCATGTTGGACATGGCATTCAATGAGTCAACGGCGACAGTACATCCCACTGCGTGGGCGGTATAACTATGACCGTGGAGGAGGGCGTCGCTCTTCTCAGGACTCGAGAAAGTATCGAAGATTTCTTGGCTGGCAACCGTCGTGCACAGGGGAATCAGACCGCCGGTGAGAAGCTTTGCATTCACAGCAATGTCGGGGTGCACACCGAGGAAAGATGCCGACGTTGGGCGTCCAAGTCGGTAGAGGCCAGTAAAGACCTCGTCGAAAACCACTGGCAAGCCTGACCAGGATGACGCATCCTTGGGCAACGTGGCATTGGGGGAGAATAATTCCGGGTGGTCGCGGACGACATCAGTCAAGCATCGTTGGAAAAGAGGATCACTGCCCAGGGTACTTCATTAGTAGGTTTCATGCCGCAATTATTTTGAAAGTCATACCAGAAGAGCATGCCTCCAGCACCCAAGATGACAGGCTCTAGAATGAGTGCACCGAATTTCATCCCGTGGCGTTGTACCAGATCTTCGATGGTTCGACGGATATAATCCTTGTAGCGCTGGGACGTCTCAGAGTTGAGGCGAGTGCTCAGATCAAACACCGAACCAAGAGATTCAAACTCAGCATCAGCTCCAAGTTCAGCCTTCAGTTCAGCGGGAACTTCGACCTTCCATTGTCCATCCACCATCTTGACGAGGGGGAAGTCAAACCAGTGACCACGGCCACGGTACCACTCAACCTTCTTATTGTAGGTTGATGGCTCAGAGCAATCCATCACACCGATAGTGTCTCCGTGGTAGCTGCCCTTGAGTCCCAGGATGCTGATCTGCTCCCTACTAGCATCCCAGCCATACCGGTCGCAAGCAACACGAAGACCCATTTTCAAAGCGACCTCCATACCCGTGCTGCCATTGTCTGTATAGAAGACCTTGGCAAAGCGCGGGTTATCTAGTGTCTTTAATAAATTATCTGCGAGCGCGAGCGCCGGCTCATGCACTGCGCCTGCGAACATCACATGGCCATACCGACCAGCGGCATAGGCTGCAGACAAAGACAGTTCAGGATTGCCATGGCCCAATCCTTGAGTCCACCACGAGGCCGAGCCATCAAAAGTGGGACGAAGCTCACTTTCTGGCTTCTCTGAGCGACCGGTGCCAAATGTTTGGAAATAATCATCATGCGCAGAGTCAATCACAGTAATGTCTTTTGGACGCATGCCATGGTGCTGGGTAAAGGGGTACCAGATCAGGTCTTGAGCACGGCCAGCCATTTCTTCCAAGCGTTCAATTCGTTCAGTGTTCTTGACGTTCATTTCTTCAATCAGACGCATGATATCAGACTCTTGCGAGACTCTTTGGTAATACGAAGACATAGCTTCTTCGTCCTTTGCCAGTGAGCTGGCATCAGTCTGAGATGGCTTTGCAGGTGGGGCTGGTAATGGGACCAGGGGGATGCTCTTGTTGCGGAAAAATTCGCCGAGATACTCATGGTTTTGATAATAATTGTCGCGGAATAATAATACTGACTGTACGTCGTATCCTCGGAGCAGAAGGGACTCGTATGCGGAAATGGAAGACGAAATGCCTCCTAGACGCGAGTCGGCCACGAGGACAATCGGCAGTCGTAATGGTCGATAGAGATCAGCTTGGGAGTTTCCATTGGGGCCTGGTGAGTGCACGCCTCCTGCAGTCTCAACCAGGGCGAAGTCAATGTCCGTACGGGCCCAGTCAGACAGGGTCTTATGAATAGACGCAAGCAAATCATCATCTTGAGGGATCTTCTCTTCCATTAGCTTGGAATTGGATAGATAGGGAGCTCCCCTTACAGTCTTTTGCCTTGCAGCAATATGCGGGCTAACCGGTTCATCAAATTGGTAGAGACACTTGGTCAAGGTTCCAGCCCCGTACCGCTTGAGATGCCTGCAACTATTGATTAGAACATATCCACACTCAATTAATTGATGGCGCATATCTTACCGATCATCAGCCTCATCCAGCGACCCTGTCGAGACAGGCTTCAGGAATGCAGCCCTCTGTTTCTGTCTTTGGACAACGTTGCACAGCACCGTCGAGACGATTGTCTTGCCGACGTCGGTATTAGCACCATAGACCTGGTGCGCGCGCAATGTGCGCCAAAGACCAGCACCGACAGGAGCCATGACTCAATTGCAGGATAGCAAGTGGAAAGAGTCCCAAGGCTCAAGCTTCAAGGTCAAAGGTAACAGTTAAGCGATCCCCGCGAATGCAGCGCGGGTCAAAGGCAAGTCCGGGCGCGGGTTTGGGTTTACCGGGAAGTTTGACGTCAATTGGCGAATCACCGCCTCCGCGTGGCTCCACCTTCTTCAACTTCTCCCTTCACCGAACTTCACCGAGGTTGAATTTCCCGTTGAAAAAGAGTTGAGGGCCCCCAACCAGGTGCAGAATGACTCAGGGTCGGTCGGGGTTGATGTCAATTTGTCTCGTTAACTACCAGAAAAGCTGATTGATTCCGACAATTGCATACAACCGACCTCGACGTGCTGCTTCCCCTTACGTGTTCTCGATCCTCAGCCCCGGATTCGTCCGCGGTCCGCTCAGACACTAAGAGCTTTCAAGTGCGGATCATTTTGATCGTGCCTTATCTTTGACAGGAACACCCGTGACTAACCGATCGTGCATGATCGCCTCTTCAATCCAAATTGTTTCATACAACTGTTTGAAGCCAACCAGAAAGCCAGTCTACTTCTCCCCAGCCTCCTAATGGATTCTCGATCGCGCACGGTGACAGGCGCGTCATCATCAAAGCCCAAGACTCTTGTTGACACCCTAACGAGCGCTCTCGTCAATCGGGAAGCGAAATCGGCCCGCCGGAGACTCACAGTTTTGCCTCGGACAGCGGCTGATTTCTCTTCCAATGACTTCCTCTCCCTGTCAACCTCACCGGCCTTCAGGAACCGCTACTTGGCCCATCTGAATGGGACTCCAGAGTCATTTCCTTTTGCCAGCGGCGGGTCTCGATTACTAGATGGAAACTCCGCTTACGCTGAGGATCTAGAGCGCTTTGTGGCCGATTTTCACGATGCTCCGACAGCACTTCTTTTCAATTCTGGTTATGATGCCAATGTAGGAGTTATGTCCAGTATTCCCCAACCCGGGGATCTCATTTTGTACGATGAGCTGGTCCATGCAAGTGCCCGTGAAGGCATGCGGCTCTCCCGGGCAACAGCAAGAAAGATGTTTACGCATAGCTCACCAGCTGCACTAAGAGATGTTTTGGCTGCTGAGATCAAGAAGGATGCTAGTATTACAAATGGCTCTCGCAATGTCCTTATAGTCGTTGAGTCGCTTTACAGCATGGATGGTGACGTGGCTCCTATCAAGGAATTTATCCAAGTCGTGGATGAGTTACTTCCATGTAACAATGGTTATTTCATTGTCGATGAGGCACACGCAACTGGTGTCTTCGGACCACGAGGTGCTGGTGTGGTGCAGCATCTTGGCGTCCAGGATCGAATGTTTATTCGAGTGCATACTTTTGGAAAAGCACTTGCGAGTCACGGAGGTATGTATCCTCCATGATGAATCTGCTCGTTGAAAATCACTGACAGTGTCCTTCATAGCCATGGTGCTCTGCGGTCCTGAGACAAGAGATTATCTGATCAACTACGCTCGCAGCCTTATTTATACCACTGCTCTGGGCTTTCCTTTCCTCGCATCTATTCGTACCGCCTATGAGCTCCTAGCTTCAGGAGAAACCGAATCAGTATGTCACCCTGCCCATTTCCAAAAGCCTTGGGCCTTCTTAGCTCACAGATGATCATAGTTACGAACTCGAGTCCAAGAATTGATTAAACATCTCCACCAGCGCCTGGGCGGTCTTCAAATAAACCAATCGGTCGTGTTTGAAGTTGATCATTTCCCCACATCCCCCATTTTCTCATTGCGCACATCACAGCCGCGCCGATTGGCAAGTGCGTGCCAAGATACTGGCTACATTGTCCGTGCCATCATGCCGCCTACTATCCCCGAGGGCAGTGAACGAGTACGAGTCTGCTTGCATGCAGGTAACACAGAGGAGGAAATCGACGGCTTGGTGCGAACCATCCAATCATGGCTAGATGGAAGTTCAGCGCACAGGGAGGCGAAACTATGATCGGTCCAAACGACCTTTTCGTTATCCATAAAAGTGATAGATTCATTCACCATGTAAGACTTCTTCGGTGATAGTGCTATCCATTTGGCTCGAAGTACATACTAGGGGGCTCTCTTCACCCACTCTAGACTTGAGACGCTTAAGACCGTCTTGAAACCTCAATACCTTGTCGATCCCTGCTTATTTTCGGGGACCTTTAGACAGATAATTCGGTAATTTCCCACGAGCAGGGCGTGGCATTATGGTAATAGAGATTCTTTGATGCTCCAAAACAAACCCCAGTGGCCCAGAGTTTCCCAATCGAGTGACTCCCGGAGCCTCCGAATCGGACCCAACAATCTGGTCAACCCCATCCATTAGCGGCACTTGGTCCACAGCACTCCCCCAATCCTCGCTTTTTCTCTAGATGAAGTTCTCAGCACGCCACTGGCGAGTTGGGTGGGTCTTAATTGGAGAGCTTGATTGTGGAGTACAGCGGGAAATTGTATGCCGAGGACTACTGTGGGTATGAAGGGACCTCATAATGCCTATGCTCAGTAAACACTTGAACGACTAAAAACAGATTCCAACGAAAAGTAGCACCTACTGGGCAAGAGAGTTGTCATGGTTTATCCAGCATGTTCACTTATCCTCAAAACTCCCATGAGCCCATCAATACAAATCTAAGTATCAGTATTTGACTCCGTGGGATGTGGGCTCTTTTTCCCCCTCCTTGAGCTAGATTCATTCTCAGTTTAACCTCACAGAGACCGAGATCCTCCGGCAAGCCCTATTTATGAACTAAATACCAATCTAGATAAGTCAGAGGAGTCATCTAGCATAGGCCTCCTCTTCGAGTTCGTATTGGAAGAGAGAGGCTGTACTAATTATGACGATCGGAGCCGAGACCCCGCTAAGTGGGGAGTGAATTGCCGTGCAGGAACTGGAAAGTAGCCTCCATGGCGTGAAGGAGGACTTCTTCCAGAAATCTTCATGTGGAGAAAGTACAAGACAAAGGATTGTCCAATGTATTATCCCGCTTTCATCTTTTACTGGATAATGGTCCACTCCCGATAGCCCTGGTCTGTCGATCTTTTGCTTGAACCATGAGGTATGGATCCATGGCCTTTCGCTTCACCAGTTCTACCACCCGGTGATGCCGAGTTATACCAGGCGAAGAGATATCTCCATTACGGATAATTTTTGCAACGAGCCATTCCCGTCTGGTTTTTATGAGTAATGCGGCACTCGGTCTAGCAGTAGTCTGTATTTTTCATGCTAATAGATAGGGTCTAATTGAAAAATGATGTGAAGTATAAAGACCCAGGCTTTCCCTCGCCCTGCCTCTATTGAGTAGAAAATTCATCTCTTCCGGCATTTTTCCTGAAATACAGTCACAATGAAGGTCACCGCTGCCATTCTTCCCCTCATTGCCTCGGCCACTGCGTCGTGCCTTCATGGTACCTCGTTGCTGCCCCGTTCCGCGGATGGCACCGTTGACATCAACTCGTTCAACTACACCAACACTGGTGGTCCTTTGACCTGGTACGGTCTCGATGCAAAGAACTCTGCCTGCTCCGAGGGCAAGCACCAGTCTCCCATCGACATTGTCACCAAGGACATTGACTATGCCGCCGCCAACTCAGTTCGCTTCAATGTCCCCAGCACTGACAACGCCAAGTTTGAGAACCTAGGCTCCGGTCTCGAGGTTGTTCTGACCAACGGTACCCTCGTTGCTGGCAACAGCACTTACAAGCTTGCTCAATTCCACTCCCACACTCCTTCTGAGCACCGTATCAATGAGGAGTATTACCCCATGGAGGTTCACTTCGTCTTTGAGAACTCTAGTAAGTTGCCACTGCTATCACTCCGTCAATCAGATCTACCTATACTTTTGTAAGGAAAATACTAATGATTGAAAAGACAATGCCATTGCTGTTGTTGGCTTTGTCTTCGAACTGTCCCAGTTCGGTTACTCTACTCCCCTCTTCGACTCCGTCTTCGCCCACATTGACGACATTGCCACCCCTGGCACATACACCAAGACTGGCCACCTCGATTTCACTGCCCTGACTGCTCATCTGAAGTCCCACGGTATTTACCAGTACACTGGCTCCCTCACTACTCCTCCCTGCTCGGAGAATGTTGCCTGGTTCCTCAGCACTGAGCCTCTCCCCCTGAACGTCCAGAGCTACAACGCGGCCAAGCACGTTCTGAAGTTCAACGCCCGCTACACCCAGAACGCCCTCGGCCAGGACAACCTCCTTGAGGTTGCCGCCAGTGAGCTTAACTAAGTTTGATTATTGAAGAAGACTGTTATTGCGGAAAGGTTCGAGGAGAAAATCAAGTCTGGAAACTCCGTGGATTGCCGTGATCGGACTTGTAATGAAGGTGGATGCAACAATAGTCGGGATTCACATATTCGTATAGACTGCACAAATTATATACTGTAAATAATACATAATAACAGGGGAACGCAGCAATTTGCGCCCTACACATTTCATCTCCGTCGTTCGTCCCATCCCCCGAAGTCGATCTTTGTCCCGATAGAGAATAGGGCGCCATATGTATGTACCATGTGGATGGCATGGTACAACTGGACGAATCAGCGTTCCATCATAAACAGGGAATTTCACTCATTCCAATCCACGTTGACATTCTCCCCACAATGGGATGAGCCCTACCTTGGCATGGCGTAAAGAAAATGGCTTGATGGAGACAAGACTCGCGAAGCCCACGCTAGCGCACGATCCAAGATGGGAAAAGTGGAGCCGAATCGCGATCTCGGAGAACTTTTCAGCTGAGCCTTGAGCCCCTGAGAATGGAGAGTACCGGAGCCATGTACGCCCTAAACACAAAGTTCCGGCCTTTGAGATGTGCGATGAGTACCCTCGCAGAATCAAAATGTCAAGGCTGGGCACGGACTTGAGACATATAGTTAGATGTACCCTATGGCGAAAACGGAAAACCAGCTTGTTGCCCCCTTAGTTATCTGGCTTGAACAAAAATTTCGACAAATTCTCAGCTGCAAAGTTCAAAATAAGCCAGTCGATTGGGTCATGGAAATTTGGTCAAAAAGGGCTGCCCCACGCCTTGTTGATCATATCTCGAAAGGCACGAAGTAGTGCGTCGCCCTTTTCCTCTTACGAAAAGCGATAATCAGACTAGCTGCCCGTGTTCTCTTTCTATGTAATCCGTCCTGAGTGCATTGATCAGCAACACTCTAACTTGTTGAACCATTATGTTACCTTGTACATAGGGGGACACGGTACTCTAGAATGGAACCGAACCGCGAAACGTATTTCGCGTAACTAATGTTGCCACGGGATCAGGAGAGAGTAAATTCTTTGAAACTATGCAATTTCTTGGGGAGATTCTTATTTCACAAACTATGCGTTTCACAGAACAATCTCAAGTCTACAACGCTCGAGGCGGGGCTATCTTCAGTGGCAATATTATAGCAACCGCGACGTCAATATCAGTAAAAGCCTCCGCCGTCTATAACACCTGGTTCTGAACTCTAACCTATCAAACCCACCAGCTCATATCAACACAATTCGACCAATAGCTCATTCTCTTTACACATCTCTATTTAGTTCATCTAAGCTATTCAGTCAAATTCGAAACGAGCTTGGCCTTTTGTTATCTGCCCTCAACGTGACCTAGGAACACACTCAAAAGGCCCATGCGGAAAGTACCTATTTTACAGATCTAAAAGACGCGTTGAACAATTGCAATGAAGTTCTACGTGATCTATTAAAGTTAAAAGATCACTTCGATACCGTCGGTCCTTGAACTCAGGCCACCTGGGAAATAATGGGCTGGGCTGGAGTTGAATTAGCAGACATCAGATCAAAGCTCTCGGTATACATTAACGTGCTAAATGTGCTAAACATTCAGATGATACGGTAGGCTCTACGAATATCATGCATTAGGAGGTTCTAATGACTGATCCCTGATTAGACCTTCGCAGGATAATGTGGAGCGGATGCTGAAAGCTTTCATGAATGAGATCCGTAGTGGCAGACGTGAATCGTCGGCTCTCTCGATTGTCTCTACTGGATCGCTTTCAGCAAATGAGAAAGAAGAATGGAGACAACTTCGCAAGGAGCTACAAAGTATCGGTATTCCAGCAGAGACATTTTCCTTGAACCGTGACTTCATTCACACCACCTTACGTGCATTGTCACAGGGCGAGTTTGAAAATCTCGTTGACCTACCAACAATGGACGAAGCTTCTACACCGGGCACTTTTTTCAGCCCTGCCCCCAACACCCCTAAAATCTCCTCCGCCTACCCGAAGTCATCGCAGGATGAGTGCCAGTCGTCCAGGGGTCCTATTCCCCCTATGAAACCTATCTCTTTCCCCTGGCATAACGACGATGGACCGTTTAATCGTGCCATCTCCGGGTATCGTGAAGGATTTTTAGCTGGACACTCATATCCCCGCCATTGGACCGGAGTCAACTCTGGAGTCAGCAAGCCAGCCAATTTATCCTTATCGACCACGAAGACGCGGTGCCGCGCAAATATTGAAAAGCTGTGGGACGAATGGCTTTATGAATACGGCCTCAACTGATACTTATTTTTCGAAAAGACCCGGTACCCAGCCAGCAGGTGATATCCGCTTCCACTTCGAGCATTCGCGTGAAGTCTGATTAAAACGTATATCGAGGAATAGCCCTGGTCAATCACTTGGCAACTGTTTTCGAGATGGGTGGAGAAAGTAACGCGGGAAAAGGGCTTCCGTATTTGAACTCGAGTCATTGAATTGGACCTGCAACACGATATACCTGTTTTATTCTGTAAAGTGGTAGCATCCGAAATAGCCTATGAATAGTGCTCGATAGGTAGGGTACCTCTTCGGTATTGCAAGATAGCGGACGGAAATTTCGGTGCCTTACCAATAAGGTGTCCAGTGGGGTTCTAGAGGTCAAACCTTATAGGGAGTCGGAACAAAGTGCGACCTCCATCACTTACTCCAGTTTGTCCTTTTGAGATGTGAACACACTCACTTTCCACTCATTGGATCTTGGGGGGTCTAGTAGTTATTTTCCCTAAAAGAAGTAAAGTTGATCTTGGAAGGTTGGCAGATCGGTGTGTTAACCTGAGAGGCCACCCGCAGAGTTGTCCTAGATAGGGGACAAGAAATATATATCGAGAAAGTGTCTGGTGGACTTCGATGTATCCGTCGAGAAAGTTGATAGAATGTGCAAAATAACTACATGGAGTGTCTAGGCTATTTCAGCCATTGAAAATGTCAAGTATACTCCGTACAGCAGACGCAGGGTCCAGGGAACGAGATCTAAGATCGAGTGGTCCTCGGGTCGAGAACCGTGGGGCCTCAAAATGGCCAAGATCGCCAAGCTCGCCAAGCTTGGGCATCGTTATTCTTTGTGCTTATCTCTCATCCCTTGTGACCCCTTAACCTTGAATGTACTGACATCCATAGCCCTCGCGCATCATGTCTGGACCCTCGGGAGTAGGCATTGAGTGCCACGACCTCCAGTCAAACCCCCGCTTTCTCTTCCGCCAGCCACGGGCGCTGCAGTGGTTCGAGAACGGGAGGCTGGTGAAGCGCTCGGAGGATGAACGACAAGCAGGTAAGAGAATCGCGGTCACATAGCGTCTAATGGCACGTCAGTAACTCATATATTCTCTCCGTAGGTCGATTCGAGCTGTTCCTCGACTTGCTGTATGTTGCGATCCTATCGAACTTTGCGGATACCCTGGTGGAAGATATCTCCGGTGCGAAGCTTGTCAAGTACATTGTGAGCAGCAATTGCACGAATTGGGATCTACAAAAGGCGTGATTCTAATTGATTATCCCTTCTACAGCTAATTTTATCGCCGTCATGGCATGTGTGGAGCGACCTGCGCGAACTCATGAACTCGTTCTACAACGATGACCTCTTCCAACGAGTGCTCATCCTGTGGGTCATGGCTACTCTGGTCATCTACGGTAACAACGCTCCCCTCGTCGACGAAGACATTGGCGCAATGCGCTCTGCGGTCGGAGCTTATATGGTCGCTCGGATAACATGCAACCTCGCCCATCTATACTATTCGTTTGCGAGCTATCATCATCGTGCCCAGCAGCGGCTCTGGGTGGGGCTCTCCACTCTCTGTCTCTGCATCTATATTCCACTATACTTCGAGTCGGTCTCTATTCGCAGCAAAATTGCGACCGCAGCTGTTGCCATTTTTATGGAAGAGTGTACGTGGATTTTCTGCTATTGCCCAGCTGCGAAGAAGCTTCTTCGCGCGACATACACCACCGCCGTGGATATCAACCACGAAGTGGACCGATACGCAGCGTTCTACATTATCGCCCTGGGCGAGTTTTTGTACCTGATTATCGTTGGATCCCATGCCGCGATCGGCCTGAATGATCGCCTTCTGCGTGCGATCTGGACCCTGATTATTGCCTTCTGTCTGAATTGGCTGTATGTCCATAACGACGGTTCCGTTCAGAACGACCATCCTTTGCGACACAGCATCTACACGGCCTTTGCATTTGCCTTGATTCACCTCCCGCTTATTGCTAGTCTGCTAGCTGGTGGTCACGTTGCTGCGGCATCAGTGGCCGAGCACGAATTTGAAGAGCCCCAGCGATGGCTACTATGCGCAGGTCTTGGTGTTGGAATGATCTGCCTGTATATCTTTGCATTAATGCACGGATCAAAAGATGAGCGTGGGACCCTGATCCTGGATAAGGTATGTAAACTCGCTGTACCGGTAATCTGTTTGTTGGATTACTGACCGATGGTTCCTCTAGCCCCTCCGCTTGATCATGCGACCTGTCACTGGTATCATTATGATTCTCTTGCCTCTTGCCAGACATCTCGGTGCCACCTCGATTCTATCTATTATCATGGCCCTTATCGTTTTCTGCACTCTTTGGGAAACCATCGCGTCATTGCGGAAGGGAGCTTGCTTCTGGGAACGATGGGAAGATACCCAGTACCCCGAGAAGACCCTGATTAGGGGCGATACTGCAAAGCATGAAGAGGCCTCTGGACCTTAGACGACCCGAATATTACCCGAAACGAAACGATCGCTTCATCATGACTCCTCCTCACACCTGGCGAACTGACCATTTAATAATTTCCCCTTTTGCAGGAGAAGGTATCTACTAATCACAAAGTTCATGAAAATAATAATCATTTCAAGTGGATGTTCTAATTGGAAAACAAAATCCAAGAAATCCAAGCGCGATATCTGTCTATATGAATCATACATGCACTTCATGCACAAAATATCAAACGTCCTTCATCTTACTTCAAACCATTGACTTCTCAACCTTCTCATCTCCAGTAGCCTGCGTTTCAGACCGGTCCATAGTGGTATACCGACTGAAGTCCCTCAGCCCACGACGGTCCCCATGCGGAATATCATCACCCTTCTTCTCTTGCATGAACTCCTGACGGCGGAAATAAGCACGCTTGCACCACTTCCAGAACTCAATTCCAGCGAAGAAAAGCACGGTTTCAACAAACACGATACCCCATTCCCACGAGATGGCCGAGTGCTTGAAAACACTGTGATTGATGACTGGGATGTAGATGATAGGGAAGGCAAGTACAAAGCCAGCCATGATTCCCCAGAAGAGGAACTGGTTGTTCCAAATATCGTGCATCCATTGGGTAAAGTAGCGCTTGGAATCGGGCTTCATCCGGAAGAAACTGCGGCGCAGGTTCATCATCTCCCATGCGAGGAAGAGGGCGAACCAGGTCATGCAGGTGAATGTCGTTGCACGGGCGCGGAAGACAGTGTCACAGGTGTAGGGCTTGTTTGGGTCGTTGTATTGTGTGTTACAACCCATTGCGAGGTTACCATCGCCCCAGCGGAACATGACGAGGGCGAAGGCTGATAGACAGAGGGCTGCCATCCAAACGCCATAGACAAGGGTGTCGACGATGATTTCCCAGGTGAAGATACCTTGTTTCTATGAAAGACAGGTTAGTACGTAAAACAAAATCGCAGTGCTTGGGTCGAAACAGGATGAACATACGCTTTGGGGTGGTCGATCCATCACCTCCGGTGCCGCTGCCTCCATTCCGAGACCCATATCAGGCAGACCGGAGGTAATCATGATGATCCAGATGATTTCAACAGGGGAGATAGGGAAGACAGATTGATTACTGTCATCCTTGAATGCAAGGCCGATGAGCAGAGTCAGTGCTAATGCGACATTTTCAGCCAGCAAGTGTAGCACAAATTTCTGAATGTTGTCGAAGATTCGGCGTCCTTCTTCAATTCCATTAATGATGGAAGCAAAGTTGTCATCAGTCAAGACAAGCTCCGAAGCATCCTTGGCAACGTCAGATCCATTCTGACCCATTGCGATACCAACATCGGCTCTCTTGAGCGATGGCGAGTCGTTGACTCCGTCACCTGTCATGGCGACGTAGCGACCGCGACGATGCAATGCCTCGATCATGCGAACTTTGGTATTCGGTGCACATCGAGCGATGACGAGCGGCAATGTGGGGAGATTGTCGATTTCATCTTCGGTCAACTTGTCGAATTCTCCGGCCGTCATGACCATCGCATCCGCAACGTCCTTTGCGATCATGTCCATGTTTGATGGAATGATACCAACCTGAGCAGCAATTGCCCGAGCAGTCCCAGGATGATCACCAGTAACCATGTGAACGGAGATACCGGCCTTGTAACATTGGCTGATTGCACCAGCAGTCTCGGGTCGAGGAGGATCATAGAGACCGATCAATCCGTAAAAGACCAGGTCTTTCTCAATTTCCTCACGAGGAAGAGGCTCATCATTGCCAGCGTTGCCAGGGATATGTTCTCTTCCAGCCAGACAAAGAACTCGCAGGCCCTCCTTTGCGAGAGCCTCCATGTTCTGCAAAATCTCGTCGCGAATATCCTCATCCAGAGGCACTGAAGCACCATCTTTCCAGGTGATAGACGTGCAGGAATCGATGACTCGCTCAACAGCACCCTTGGTGAAGACCATTTGGGGGAGCTTTTCCGAGCCTTCATTGCGTTTCGCAAAGACGACAGACATCTTCTTCACGCTCGAGTCGAAAGGATACTCAGCCTTCTGGATCCATATAGGCTTCTCACCTTTAGTCCAACGATCGGCACCCCAGTTGAAACGTGAAGCAAAGACTTGGATGGCGATATCGGTAGGCTCACCGCGAGCCTGCCACTCATTGTTCGTGTCCTTGTGTAGACGGGCTAGGTTCGCCATAGCAGCAACATTGAGGAAGGATTCCAGAAGCTCGTTATCCTTCAACAGCTCTTCAGGTGCGGTTGCTTCACCGGCCGACTCAGAGTTCAGCTTGAGTGGAGGTTCTTGGACAAGGCTCAAATCACCCTCATGTGGGTTCAAAGGATCATTTGATGATCCAACTGAGTAGGTTCCCATAGATGGAATCCAAGCTCTCTTGGCAACCATTCGACCCTGAGTCAAAGTGCCGGTCTTGTCCGAACAGATATTGGTCACAGCGCCCAGGGCCTCCAGGGAGTCCAATTTGCGGACAATGACGTGCCTCTTCACCATTTGCTTTGTACCAACAGCCATCGTGATTGTGAGAACGACGACCAGACAAGCTGGAATCATAGCAAGGCCCGTGGCCACGGCGTAAATTATGACCTCGTTATCTCCACGCCAGTTATTGGAGCCTGCTACGACAATTGCGAAGATGACGGCAATGCCGAACAGGAGCAGTGCGAGCTTGGACAACTTGCGCTGCAGGGGAGTCCCGACGTTGATTCCCAAGAATCTCCCAATGGCATCGGTGGTAGTCAAAGTCCAGGCCTGGATGTACCAACGCTTCTTGGTTTCACCCTCTGGTCCACGCTTGACCGGGCGACGCTTCGAATCGCCTCCTCGGAGAGCAGCAGCGATGGCTCCAATCTCAGTTCGCATCCCGGTTCCTACCACAACACCTCGAGCGCGTCCGCGAGTAACGGTAGATGAGCTGTAGGCGATGTTCAGTCGGTCTCCAGGACCCGTATCCGTTTCAAAGACTGCGTCTGCTTCTTTCTGAACAGGGAGAGATTCGCCGGTCAAAAGAGCCTCGTCGGTTTCAAAGTTGAATGCCTCGGTCAATCTATCATTTCTCTATTTAGCCGAGTATCTTTCCAAGAGAACTCGTAAAGAATCACGTACCTCAAATCTGCGGGCACAGTATCTCCAACTTTCAATTCGACCATATCACCGGGAATAATTTCGTTGGCAGGGATAGTAGCGGTTTTGCCGTCGCGAGTCACAACTCCAGTGGGGGAGCTCAGGTTTCGCAGAGAGTCCATGGTCTTTTCGGCGGCAAAGTCCTGGTAGACACCCACGACTATGTTGAGCAAAATGACGGCTGTAATAAAGCCGCCCTCGATCCATGAGCGAATGCCGAAGCTAACTGCCATGGCAATAATAAGCACCTGCCGGGAGAAAATATGGGTTAGCCTGTTTCTTTTGCCTCGCCGGTGACGGTTTTTCTGAATCACTTACAAGCATCATTGCATTCGCAACTTGGCGAATGAAAATCTTGGCAATTGAGACGCCTTCGTCTCCTTCCAGGATGTTTTGTCCATATTTTTCAAGGCGCTGCTGGACCTCTGCAGAGGGCAGGCCATCGTCTGAGTTTGTACCTAGCTCACGGATAACAGCATCAAAGGAGAGGCTATGAGCCGGCTGGGACAGATAAGACTGTGAAGTAGCATCATTGGAAGACTGGGAGCCCTTAGTCTGGGCTCTCTCCCGAGACATCACGCGTATCTAGGGAAGTAGGTCTATTGGGGTATGTAGAGCGAGGTGAGGAAGGGAGTGGGTAGAGTGTGAGGGGGTAATGTCGTCCTTGAAAGAAACCTCTTCTAAGGTGGTTTCATATAGAAGGTGTCCAGAATGGTGTGAGAGTCCATGCACGGGTCAAAAGAACGATTCCTATTGCCCGCGATGTAAAAGAGAATCTTGACTCCATGAAAGTTTCTTTGGTCCTCTTGACTTTAAAGTACACGTAGTTCCAAAAGCCTATCTTTCTTCTTTCCCCTCTTTCCCAGCCAAGGGCCTAGCCCGATATAAATAATTCTCCGGGTGGACTTGATGGCAAATTCCGCCGTGATGCAACCGGTTCTGGGGGTCTCTATCCCGACACTCCGATATCATCCAGATTCGGAGTCTGGGGATACCCAACCCCATTGACCAATCGTTATCATGAACCACGCGTCGGCATCGAGCGGGCCTTCTTGGCGCTGTACCTGCGACCCCAACCGAGGCGAGAATGACGCACACGACTGGTCTCGGCATTGGCTCGGCCGGGAGCCGCCACCGCGCAGTGATTGGTGTCGGCGCGGAATGCCAAGCGCGGAAATCTGGGCATTTTCTGGGCATCCTTCCGCGCGACACCTCCAACGCCCGGCGATAATGTGTCATCCTTGGCTCATCTTGGATTATTCTTGGCAGTCTGTATTCTCCGAGGCTCGAGAGCCCACCACGCAGTTCAAATCTGCCCAACTATCCGGGCTCGACCCCCCTAGTTTAGACTTCGTGAAAAACAATTTACTACTACTGTAGTTCTTTGGTGGCGAACTATCGAAAATCGCAACGCAAACGCAAAGTCGACCTTAGTCCTTTCAGATCGCTGCCTTCCTATTTCTAACTCGAGGTGAAATGTACTTTATCTAACATTTCCCGCCTAATCCGATCGAGGACGCACTATCAACTGGCCCAACCCCTCTATCTACGATAATACTCGCTTCTATTGGGCCACTTCCACTTGTCGTGCTCGTATTCGCAATTCATTTCGCCTTGCGTGGAACCGGGCACCGGATTCCATGCTCCCCCGCTTATGACGGGCGAGACTCTACCTCAGGGTGAGGTGATCGGGATCGTGATTGGGGCTATAGTGCTGTTCTCGATCATCAGCATTGTGCCAATGTAAGTTCATAAACTGTGCACGGACACTCCTTGGCCTTGCCCCACCCCATGTGGGCGAACAGTCTGGAAGCCTTGTGCGGGCGGTTATTATTAACATCCTGTTTCTCTGTGATTAGCATGATCATGTGGTATCACCGACGCCATGCTGCCGCTAGAACTACAAACGAGGTCCACGACCTCACATCACCGATGCATCAGGCCTCGGTGGAGCAATGGCTAGAGGAGCAGAATACCCCCAGAGATATTCAACGATACACCCACGAAACTTGGTACGTTATCAACCTGTTTCATTTCCTTGCAACTTGCTCCATGTACGTGGACCCAACCCACGTTGGCAACATCATGTCTTGGCTGTGAGCCCCAGATGATGTGATGCGGGGAATGCCCAGGGCTGGGCCATGGATCAACTTGCCTTACAAGGCCCAGTCAATGTTTTTGTTACCCAATTCCTCTTCTGGGCAAACCTGGGCATCGGGATTCCCACCCGTTCTTGGCAGACACGGTCACTACCATGGCCAGGCCAGTGTTCCTGAACCAGGCCTTGCTATCTTGGCCAGCAGGGTCTTATCAGCAAGATTATCTCTTGGGAGCCCCAAACTTGCATTTTTATTTGTAAAAGAATACGCTAACTTGCCTCGCAGCCCGATCTGTCTCTCCTCATTATCATCATCCCCATATCTTGTCTTTCCAGAGCCGGCTCGATTACCCCGCGGTCAACGCAGACCTACTGGCTGCAGCCCGCTCGAAAGTTCATATTCTGACACGAAGGATTCCAGAAGGAATAGCGGGATTCTTGTTCTAAATCGATGTCATCATGCTTTTCACACAGCTTGTCTGGCCTCCTGGTTCGAGTACCGGCGATACAGGTGCCCTATCTGCCAGGCCTCATACTCTCCGACAGATACTGCACCGCAATGATATCGTGATTTCTGATCTTTGAGTAATGGAGGTTCTGTTTACCAAAATCAAGATATCAATATTCTATAGTATCAATAAATTATGTGGGGCTGACCTAGACGAAGCCATAATACATACATCCAAGTTGACTTCGGGATATTGATCATGCCACCCGACTTTAACTGAACTATTTTCAAGAGACTGTTTTGATCATTCTTGTTCAAACGCGTATCAACCGTCATCATTCTTATGGTTCAACAAACCGATCATTACAATATTGCGTCGGTAGTCAAACCCTATCTATGCTTAGAATAATTACTTTGTCCAGACGGACATCAAATTCGCGGATAGGAGGCCCCGCGCAATTCGCACTTGAGACCTTTTTGGGTTTGGGGCATGTTTTCTTCTGGTTTCCGCCTCAAAAGATACAGTACGTTGCGAAACTGGTGCAACCACTATACTCTTCGATCAACTTTACTGTCTCTTACGCCAAGAAACACTAGTCTATATTGGGAGTTCTTCCGGAAGTTGCACCTGTATTCCTTCATACGTATATTACCTGTAATTTAAGGCATGTATTCGTGTCAAGATATGTAGGATTGGTATAGACTAGTATGCATATGGACGAATGAGAACTATCGGAATCATACAGAGAAGGTTGATTGATTGAAGAAAGGAAAAGGACTCGAACGAATGGGAAAAGGGGCAGGTTGAGCTGTCCCATGGCGGTGTAACCAGGTATTCAAGTGACCATACCGATGGTCAAGGGTTACCCGCATATTACATACAAATACATAGGAAATCTGGGATGGAAGTGACCAATCCGAGGTCACTGTAATGAATCTCTCCACTTTTCCACGACAATTCGCTTGTACATTCCAATACATTTACACTATACCCCTCCTCCTAAGCAGTAGACACAGCACGCACGCGGACGGGTTTTCTACGCCTAAAATTAAAGTTACGAAGAGTATTATCGATCCATGCCGACTGATGCTGCCCGGCTGGTCATGAATGACCCAGCTCAAAGCAGCTCGACAATGACTCTGCAAAGGCAAAGCAGTGTGAATTTCACGGGAAACTGGAGTAAGCGGGTTCAGGTAGGAGTCAATATAAGGATGATTGGGAACATCATTTTCAACGAAAAGAGGAGGCTTTGCTTAGCTTACCTATAGTGCATCTCTGTCTCAGGTATCCCGAACGGGGTTTCACCCCGGGGGGTCTGGATACAGAAGAAAGTCTCGAAACGACAGGTGAAAGAGCCACACAGCCACTGCTTTATTGTCCGGTATCCTTAGCATGGAGCGTGGTGGATCTAGCCGAAGATGAATTATGATATCAAGTCTTGCAGACAGAGAACTAGGGGATTATATATTCGAAGACCTTGTGCGCAGCCAGAATCCGCTCCTTGACAATGAGTTGGCTATGCATGTTGAGAATATCATTGGAGTAAGAAAGTCAAAAGAAGACAATCCCTTCGTCCTGACTCGCCGCTGATTATATTTAGCTCCCAGTCGTGTTTCCAATGACCCCTATTTCAACCACAACAAGAAATGATCAGCCGATTAACAACAGCAATTCACAGTCATCTAAATCTAAGAGTGAGTTCTTCATTCACCTCACGAGTGACCGTGAGGTAAACGAGAAGATTGGCTCCCTGAGACTTCTGAGCCGGCTGGTATCAACGGCAAAGTGGGGTTTAACCCATTTTCATGAAAAGAGGATACTGGGAACCTATTCGTATTATCTTGAGAGTTCAACGTAGGCGTCGCTCGGCGAATATCATACCGGGACTCCGAGTCGCTCAGGGTCATATTCAGATCATGGGCTGACTGGGCGTGGTCTGATTCATCGATTTTCCAACAAGGTTTCAGGGGGCTCATGTTGCCTCTCGCAGCCTCCTCCAAAGGTAGCAGCTCGATAGCAAGTCTGTTTTCAAATATACTGGAGAGTCGATTATATCTAGGTGTCAGCGCCTTGAGTTTGATGACGTAATATAATCCAATTAGAAGCCAGATCAACAGTGCGAAAGTAAATGCCGCGTTGTAGAGGCACCACAACACACCCAAAATGCTCGTCATCATGGCTGGTTGATCGAATACATCGGAAAAAACGAGCAGAAATATTGCGCTGAGGAAATTGAGTGCTGCCGCAGTGATTCCAAATTTATTGGCGGCTTTATCAACGTATGGCCTTATGATAGTCATAGCAAGGAGCATTGATGCCTCTAAAACGAGAAGCATAATAGACTGTGCGATTGGATTTGACTGGGCAAATGCTGTGACTGCACCTTTGATGATGGTATAGGCCAAAAGCGGAATGACGAAGAAGTACGCCTCTGCGTGGTAGTTGGTGTATAAAAAGCCCCACTTAGTCAAGCATCTCGGATCAGAGTAGAGTGCGTAAGCTGGGCGCTCGTGCAGTGCTCGGGATGCAAGTGCGTGTTGAAAAACACTCAATGTCGCAAATCCTAGAACTGCAGTCATGCTCAGCCACATGGTGATGGCGAGGACGATCTCCGCTGCTGAATCTCTTTCGATCAGTTCCCAGAGACAAAGGACGCACATTTGGGGGAAGCCCAGAAGGACGATCCGGTAGAGAGTTCCTCGCATAGATATCCCCCGTCTGATGGTAGCGCCGGGTGTTTGTTCTAGCTTTTGCCTTCTTCCCTTGAGGGACGAAGACAAGACTAATTGCAGGAGAAAAGCGGCCAGAACAATACAAACGGTGACAAAGTAGAAAAAGAGGTATCCAGTCATGAAAATGTTAGTCTTTTCAATCGAGGCTCGGTAGCCCATACGCTCGATACCTCGGACAGTCTGTTCAGTTCCTCCGCTTGTTGTGTCGACTGACCTGCGCGCAAGCATCGTGAGATCTACCACCGCACGCTTGGCCATGAAAACAGATTTTTCAGTTGTGGTCAAGAGACTGGAAGGTGTGCCACCTGTGGCGCGTTGGTACCATGTACAAATGGTCTGCAAGGAGTTTACGCCGACGATGCCCATAGTCCACTGGAATATTGAAGTCCAGGATTGTACAATTGGAGGGAAATGGACTGAGCTCATTCCAGCGATGGCTTGGGTCTGCATAAACCCCAGAAAAAGCAAGATCCGTAAGTATATATAAGCGGCAATATCTGCATGTCCGAAGATTGAAATACCAACGCTTGCGACAAGCCCGAGTCCTGTGATTATCGCGAGCACCCAGGCCACGCTGGCTTGGTCAACACTTTTCCCATTAGACACGGCTGTTTGGAGACATGTGATTTGAGTGCCATCTTTAGTCACGAGATTGAGGCGAACGATAGCGTCTAGATCCGGAACATTATACGCAATACCTGCGAAAAGAAATAGCATGAGTCAGCGACGACTCTCGAGATAGCACCTGAGACTCAGTAATCGCGTTCATCATACTGACTTGGAATGTCTAAACTCCCTGTGATAGTAAATGAAATGTCTTGGATGCTCAGCTCGCTGAAAGACAATGGACACAGCCCCGAGAGATTGAAATCGCATGGATCAATGGTGTAGGTGAGGAACTTGTATCCGTACGCTAACACGTCGAGGTCGATGAGGAATTCCCCGGCGTACGATGTCGATCCATTAAAGCTAATCCGAATGCTTTCATTGCTAGGTGTATAGATTATGCTGAAGAAGTTGATTGCGACATTGGCGTCATTGGAACACGGGGTAAGGAAATCAGCCTGGAAGAGGTTTTCGGCGCCAACGAGCACCACAAAATAGAGAGTGCCGAGAGCCCCAAACACCGATCTCGAAAGCTTCATAATAGGAAAGCGACAGCAGCTCCTGGAAGAATATCGAAATGCGAATAGAAGGAGACGCCATCAAATAATTCCCCATATTGATCAAGGAAGTGGGTAACCCTTAAGTAGAAATCAGTTCTTTTCGAAGTCCAAAATATCCCCTTGGCATTTTGAAAACAGAGATATAGAGCCAGCTCATCCGGAGCTAATCAAGCGGAGCAAAACATGTTTCTCACTATCCAAATATAGTACACGGAGGATCGGAACACCGATTTACCGCTAAATCTTGAATCAATGTAGCTGCCTCCTCCGTACCACTGTAGGACTATTAGGTATAAGGTAGAGGTTTTGTGCTAGACCCAGAACTACAGCATATCGGCATGTCGGAACCCCGAAGTCCCGTCCGCTAAGCCTAAACGGGGAACAGGCAGCGCCCCGCAGCCACGCGCGGGCCAATAATGGGCCAATCACGGGCCGCAACGCCGCTAACCGGGGCCAACTATTGTGGCTCGTGAGGCCAGAATCCGAGCAAAGGTGAATAGTTAACGACCATAAATTTTACTCATCGGAATTAGCACTATCCGTCTAAGACGCACAACCCCGTAACTCTGAGTCTTATAACCAACGTGCACACCTAAAAACCTGAGAGCCTGAGAACCTGATACCTGGAATTGCCCGTCCTTCTCATTACATCGCCTCTCGCTCCCAGGCCATCGCCCAATTTATATCTGGATATCGAGACGGTCACTTTAGTTACTTAGGAATATTCCAATTTTGGTGAAATACTTGGCAGCAGACAGTTACATAAAACAAGAGTACCGATAAGGCGAATAGGCGGTAATGAAAGAATCGTGTAACTTCATGAAAAAAAGTAAACGCCTGTTTATATCCATAGGCTTTGGACTACAGCACCGGGCAAACCAGCTATTAGGTTTAGCACCGACCTCAAACAGCACCCTATTTGACTGTTGAACACCAAGAGGAAAATTGAATATTGCCAGCGGAAGCAACAAGTAAACAGTCTAATGCAACAGTCTAATGCAAAAGTCTAATGCAGGAGTTGATGGGCCGGTCATTTTGATGAAACTAAACGTGTTATTTAGCCGTTGACCGTCAACGGCGGAGTAAATGCCGTACATTTGGGAAAATTTCAACGTTTGCCGGGTTTCGCCAGGATAGTTTGAAGAGATGCAAGTTAAACGGTGGTTTGTGTTTGTGGTGCTTTTGGTAGAACCTCACATCTTGCTCATTTGAGTCAGCGGTCATGTGGAGTTGGGGGTCTACGAGATTACCCGAGAAGCGAAGGCGGACTCACGAAGCCTCCTGTCTCTTGGAGCTAACTAAAAGCAGCTAGCCTCGAGCCAACCTCTAATTTGATCGTTGGTTGAACGAATCGCGTGATATCATGGACAGACTGATGGAGGAGAGGCCAAGCCTTCAAGTTAAGCTTGTATAATAAGCTTTTGTCGGAAATAGACTTTGGAGATGACAAATATAGTGGTACTGTAGGTGAAGAAGAGATTTCTTAATCGTGGAGGGATTTACATTTGAAACAGCATACAGTGTGTCTATAAGCAAGTAATCAAAGTCACTGTTCACAAGATCTGGCGCCAAGCAAGACCCCCAGCCCGTCACTTGGATATAGGAGTGGCGGAGGGAAGTGTCAGGTTGCTAGGTTCTTGATGCAAAGCCTAGGCCTACGTTTGACGTGTTTGCATTCCCATTAAAAAATTTCGATCCCCTGGATCGACAATACAGTTAAGTGACAAGACACCGTATTTGACAAAGTAAATAGAAGTATTGAGAATGTTACAGGAATATTGATATTCCGGGGCTATTCCTAATATGCAATAGTATATCTTGGCGGTGAGTCAAAAGAATCACTCGAAGAGTGGAAGCGGTTGCGCCGGTTTCGCAACGTACTGTATGCTAGGGTCATGGACAAATGTTTACAGAAAATTCATCTTTGAATAGATACGGAGGTACTCAGCTCGGTACTGCTCATAGACCAAACGTGGGACGAACACGGGCAAGAAGGCCAAGCCTGGAAGACTCGGCATATGAATTCTGGTACGTAGGTTCACTAATTACATTATGATCTATATCCAAATAACCATCCGCTAGACGAGCCATGTATTAGGTTCTTTTTAATGCCTCGCCTTCAACGCGAAATAATCCAATTAGTTCTTCTCGGGCTCTCTGACCTGGTCATCCGAGATATCATCCTCCAAATCTTTATCCGACTTCTGGATTGTCATCACAGTGGGAATAGCCACCAGAAGACTACCGATGCTGAGACCCCAATTCATAGCGAACTGCTTCATCGGGCTGACCTTCTCTGCATTGATTCTCCACGCCATGGCACCACCAGCAGGCTTCAAGGCAGAGTATGCTCCAACGACAACGGCATTGACCACTGGGTCGCGCGAACGAGCTCCCATGATCCAGTAGCAGAATGCCTGCCAGAATGAATCATAAGCCCCATAGAAGAAGTACAGGAACATGGGACCCAGGAATTTGCTGCCATCCTTATAGTCGATATCCTGTTTGAACCCTAGAGCTAAGCGTTTATCATCCCAGACCTGGAATTGATATCCGCCGCCCCAGATTACCATTCCGGTAACAAAAAGGATTGCCCATCCGGTGATAGCACGAGCTCGGCGATTGAGAGTGTGAAGGTCGAGGATCAGCCCCATCAGAAGCCCACCGGCCATCTGAGCAATCCAGTAAAGCGCACCATTGAGGGAACGCGTGCGCAAGTTGAAAGTCAAGCCGTTCACGTCGTTCTGCTGGTAGGAATAAAAGACGTTCGCGTTGTAAAACATGGGGTAGAGACAAACGTTCCTCCAATCAAACACGATCCGAAGAACTTGGATCACAGTTGACTTCAGGTTCCCAAAGTTGAATGATTTTGATTCTTGCGCAATGCGATGACCGTGATATTTCTCGGAGAGACTCTCCGTCGAGCAGACCAAGACGGACAGCGCCCATCCAAACAGCATGATGACAATATAAGCAATATAGGTTGAATCGGTCACGGTGCCAGACTTGGAGTGGTAGTTCAGTCCAAAACTTGCGAGCGAACCAATCGTCGCGCCCAGATTGAAGATCACCCAGAAGACACCAATAGCTCGACCGCGTGTCTGATCATTGGTATAGGTCACCATAATAGTACCCTGGGCAACCCAGAAGAAGGCAGCTCCCAGACCCAACAGCGCACCAGAAGCAATCACGAAGGGTCCACCATCCTTCACTCGAATGGAGTTGAGCAGGGCTCCCGCGTACAAAGCATAAGTCCAGCCGCCAATAAGAAGCGAGAGACGTGGACCTAGGTATTTGTATAGAGTTCCGACCACCACGAGAGCCGCACCAGCTGTAGCGGCGTGAGTGGCGACGTTGGCGTTAGCAGACACCGTGGAGTCCACCTGGCCGGACCCGCCCATACCCGTCAGGGCATTATACATGCCCGGATTACAGAACGCAATGAACGAAATCAAAATAATCTGGAACCATGGGTCCCGACGGACCCTCGCGAAGATATTCTTTTGGTGGAGCGAGGAGGGTGGAGCGACATGATGGGCAGAGTTGTCGCCGACCGCGTCAGGAGAGGAGATATTCTCCTCAGCGGACTTGACAGTGGCCATATTAAGCTGAAGAGGACGAGGCTATGGTTCGCAAACTTGGCACTGACAGGCGCACGGCACCCGGTGGCTTAAATATTGCGGGAGGGCGTTGGTATTGACTGGTTCGCGATTGTCGTGACACGGCGAGTCGTCCCCGCAAAAGGAATGAAATTTCAGGGGCGGATCTCGTGGTGGGCGAGATCCGTCACAAATGCACACCACCGAGATCCAGCGCGGATATTCCGATCTATAATCTATAAAATATTCGACTGGGCTCATAGTCAAACGTCGCGAAAGGGCGCAGAATCCAGCGATTCCCGAAGGAAGAGCTGAAAAAGCCACCTGACGCCACATACAAGAACAATGACAACTTTTCCTCCCGAACCCGACGCCCTCGGCAAACTTCAAACGGAAGCACCTAATCTATTAGCGCATTCAATCGATACGCTCGATACACTAGGTCTTTGCAAAGCTTTCAACCACGAAGAAGAGCGGGTATCTCCGGCCATTGCGTGCTGTCTACCAGTGATCGCATCACTGATCGAGGACCTGGTTCCTCGGTTACAAGATGGTGGCAGGCTCATTTACGTCGGAGCTGGCAATAGTGGCCGAGTTGGGTTTATGGACTGCAGTGAACTTCCGGTGACCTTTTCCGTCGATGAGAACAAATTCCTTGCCATTGTTGCCGGGGGCAGCGACGCCATAATCAAAGCAAAAGAGGTTGCTGAAGATTCGGAACAGGACGGATCAACGCAACTTGAAAGGCTACAAATCACCTCCAAAGATACCGTCATCGGCATCTCAGCATCTGGACGGACTCCGTTTGTTCTTGGAGCCCTTCGAACTGCGATAGAGCAAGATGCCTTGACTGCCTCTATCACAAACACAACCCCTTCTGCAATCGAAAGTCTGGGGGTCACCCATTCCATTGTGCCTCTACTGGGACCCGAGTTCCTTGCGGGCAGTACTAGGCTGAAATGTGGCAGTGCAGCAAAGCAAATACTCAATATGATCAGTACATGTTCGATGATCCAAATGGGCAAGACTTATCATGGACTCATGATTGATGTGCGCGCGAAAAACCACAAGCTGCTGGCCCGAGGCCGCAGAATAATCCGTCAGGTCTATCGCATACTTCAAGAGAGTGGACATATTTTCGGTGACGCGATTCAAGACCCACACACGATAGAAGACTCAGCCTTGAATGTTCTAATCGAGCAATGCGAAGGCAAGGTCAAATTGGCTTGTTCTGTGATTGTGTCGGGTCTTCCCCTAGATGTTGCCCGGCATCACCTTGATGTAGTTAATGGGAACTTCCATTTGTTTGTTGACTCCCTCAACCCAACTATATCCCACCAACCTCCCAACCCACTTGATCATTCTGAAGAGCTCTTTCTAGCTATTGATGGTGGAGGAACAAAATGCGCAGTGTCTATCGCTAATAGGACTGGGATTGTGGCTCAGGCTGATGCTGGGGCTGGTAACTTTCACTGTGTGCCGATTGATGTTCTCCTGGATCATATAAAGAGTGCTGTGACGAAGGCCCTTTCCCTCGTGCCCGAGGAATCAAAGCCACTATCTTCAAAGGAAATGCCCAAATTTGCTGCTGTATGGGCTGGTCTCGCCGGGTTGCAGCATGCCAATCGCCGGGAGTGCCTGACCCAGTCTCTGGAGGAAATGTTTGGGGTTTCCGCTCAACATGGTACTCTGCGCCTGTCAAGTGACAGCGAGCTGATTAGTGCTCATATTGGTCTTGATGATTCAGTTGAGTGTGGTATCTCTCTAATCGCTGGTACGGGGTCGGTCGCTACCGCATTTAAGCAAGATTCGACCGGTGATGTCTCACAAATTGGACGAGCCGGTGGCTGGGGCTCCCTACTTGGAGACCAGGGCAGTGCGTTTGACATTGGAAAACAGGCCGTGCAAGCACTGTTGACTAGCCTGGAATTGAGTCAAGGTACCGAAGCGGATTGCCTTTCTGAGCTTGAGCTTGGGGTCCTGGAAAGCCTTGGCAATCGCAAAGAGGGTTTGCTATCGCGCATCCTTTTCCCTGGAACAGAGACAAAGAAAGTCATTGCCGACCTTGCAAGAGTTGTGACAACTCTAGGATTCAGAGCAACAAACCCAGATCCTCAAGCCCTAGAAATTCTGGTATCTGCCGCCAGGTCTCTTGTTCAGATTGTCAGGCCACTAGCCAAAAAGCAGATTTGCGACCCAGAAACTAGTTCACTAGTATTGTCAGGAGCTTTGATGAAAGTTCTTGAATTCCAAAGCCTGCTTCTGCACGAACTATCGCAACAAGGGATTTCTAAATTCAAGAATGTTGTGATCGTGGAGGATCCCTCGTCCGATGCCGCATTATTTCTTGCTAGGCAAGCGTCAAAGACGAACTGAGCTCTGTTATTATTAGAAGAATGAATTATGAATACAATGGATAGACTAATGACGCACTAAGAGGGTTAAAAAACGAATTATCACTCCAATAATAAGCTTTGAGGGCATCTCTGCGTCTCACCCTAATTGAAGGGCACCTACTACCGTCTACCGTAGACGAACTGGTGGATACGACATCAAGTTGACACTCGGTACGGAGACTCGGAGTACTTTTTAGCCCCCATCGGCATTTTAGCGTCGATACCATCGATACCACCATTTGAGTCCACCCCCCTTTCCCCCGCAATAAAAAGCAAGCCTCGCGACTTCTTTCTTACGCACAGAACTCTTCACAAGCGAGATCCGGCTCGCCGCATCTCGCAGCCATAGCGCTGACCTCCATGCAATTACCGCCACATGTCTGCTGAGAGTCGCACACCGGGCGCGGCCCAGGTGGAGCCCGTTAGCTGTCGTATCTGCCGCCACCGCAAAGTGAGTCCCTCGTGTTTCCCCCCGACCGGTAAATATTTCCCTTTCGCCAACTTGAAACAAGGTCAAATGTGATCGCACCCTAGGTGGGTGCCTTCGATGCCGCCGATATGGCGAGGAATGCGTATATTCATCCGGAAATACCCTCAATAGCAATGGGATAAGCGAGGAGAGGACAGAGGCCGGACTCAAAAGGCGACGCGTGTTGCGTTCGTGCATTAATTGCAGAAGAGCCAAGACCAAGTGTGCTGGCGGTGCTCCCTGCGAACAATGTGAACGAAAGGGCCTCGATTGCTCCTATACCGAAGCAAGTGTATCTGCGGCTCCTGCTTCTGCCTCGTCTACCCAGAGCGAGCAACCCACACGGAAAAAACCATCGTCGGTCATACCCACATGGCTCACGTCAAACAATTTGCCGGCGATTGATCGCCTCCGCGATCTGATTGATTTGTACTTTCTTCGCGTGCATACCGTGCGGTGCTTCGGTTTTATCCACATTCCAACCTTCATGAAGCGATTGAAATCGCCCGAGAAACTGGCTCAGGAGAAATCTGGGCTTGTCTATATTATGTGCGCGTTGGCCGCACCTTTCTACTACGCCGAGAAGCTCTACCCTAGCAATGATGGACTCAAGAGTAATGTGCAGTACTTTGATGCAGGCAGAGGCTGGGCTGAGGCTGCGAGACACTGTCTCTTTACGGGATTTGGAGACATGGGAATTGAGAGCATAATGACTGAAGTCTTGCTCCACGAGTACTACCTTCGGGTGGGAGAGTATGCCAAGGGATTCATGGTATCGGGACAGATTACTCGACATCTTCAGGTTGTCCAGCTTAATATGGAGCGGGACTCGGACGTATTGTGTCAAAGAAGCCCAGCATCCTGTCATGTCAAAGAGAGTCGGAGAAGGCTTGCATGGGCATGTTATCTACTGGATTCATTGATTGAATGTGGAATCGATCAACTCCGCCTGATCCCATACCACGACATCCAGGTTCAACTTCCTTGTTCAGAGGAGCTATTCATCACCAATACGCCCTGCATTACTGAGATGCTGCCTCTAGGCAAACTGCTTCCAGGGATTACCCCGACACCTGGTATCAATTTTGCGGCACATCTCGACCTCCGGGCTTACTACCTGCGTGCTACCAGCATTCGATCCAAACTTCTCAAATATGTCAAGCACTTGGAAGGAGAAGTACCTTGGGCGGCAGACAACAATTCACGGTTTGCCCAGCTCGATCACGAACTAAGAGACCTCGAGGCCTCGATCCCTGAGACCATGAGAATTTCAGCCGAAAATATGTACCTGTTCAAAGGCTCCGGCAGGCTGAATCTGTACTTTGGCTTGCACATCCTCATATCTCAAAACTTCCACGATCTGTACCGTGTGGGTGTTTCCAACCTCGTCTTCCCCAACACCGCGACAAGTTGGATTCGCGAAAACGCCCCAGAAGACTTCATCAGGCGTTGTCACCTTGTATGCGCCACCAAATCCGCCTACATTGCTTCCCTCCTGAGCGATCTGTGGAACTGCCATAAACCCAGCCTCATCGACTGGCCATACGCGATGCACACACAAGTCTGCAACAGCGTCATTGTCACGACTCTCATCTCATGGGGCCGCCCTGAACCTCTCATCCCGCAATTTTCCTACCTCGACTACCAAGCCATGCTGCAAAAGAACGTAGTTATTTTGCAGTACCTTCAGCGCTTCATGAAGGTCAGCATGTACTGCGAATCAGCTGTCCAAGCCCTGAAAAGATTCAACGCGCTATTCGTCCCAGACTCACCAGATTTCGTGAACTCGTCCACAAACGCCTTGCTATCTGCTAATCAATGTAACACTTCCAATCCATCGTCACTTGAATACATCCTGAATCCATTGGGCACGTATCCCATGGCACGGAAACAGGCTCAGACGCAGGATACGTCTACGCCGGATGAGACAGAGGATGATACGCCGACGCCGCAACTGGCCAAAGTTGAGGCTCCAATGATTGCTCCCGCCATGAACTTGGGTGGCTGCCCCAGTCCGGGTGGTATCTTTTCTGGTCATTTCTTAGATTGGGAGGCGGATATGTCTATTTTACCGGGGTTGGGTTATCCCACATTCCTCGATCAGTTTCCTATGGAAGCACCGAGGGACATGAACATGCCCTGAACAGGTCTACAGAGATACTTCACCAGAGATTCCAGACTCGGTACATAGATCTCTTCGTTTGTGAAATACCCTACAATTGATCATGACAGCGTGCCCCTTCCAAACCTTGCCACGAAGTATCAAAATCTATCTCTTCATTAAGTAAAGTTTGCGGATAGCTATGTGGATATCATAGAATCGAAATTAGTGGACCTCGAAATGGATCGTCTGCTGAATGACATTCTGCTGGTCAGCACCAGTGACCAGTCCCTCCGTACTTTCCCCGTCATCCTTGAGCGATTCCCGCCATCCACTTGTGACCTGGACCGAGGTTCCTGGCTTCAAGCCATGATCCATAGACTTGCCCATGGATGAGAAATTGTATCCGGCACCGGGGCCTCGGGGGTCGGATGGGTCGTCGTTGATGGTGAATGCGTGGATGCTGGGTTGGAGCTCGATGACGAGGCGGCCGAGGGATGGGAGGGCGGTTGTGATGATGCTGAGGTTCATCATGGCTCTAAAATTTGCAATTATCAGTCATTTACCTTCCATGGTAACGAATTGGCTTGCGAGTAATGAACTTACTGGTCCCAAATGGTGGAATTAGTGTTTGCCCCTGCGAATTGTGTGTGTTAGTTTCATAGCTTGTATCGGAGCGAGCATCGCGGGTTAAAGTTGTCTTACAAGGCATATCGGGCGAGTTAAGCATTTTAACAGTGTATTTGATTTCAATACCCGTAGCGATGCAAACCCTATTGCTGTGTCAGAAGTAATATGCGAATTCAACCATGGGAGAAATCTCAACTTACAGAAACCTGCTAGCCAGCAGCGCCATGATTCTGAATCTCTTCAGTTTGGTCAACTGCACATCCCGAAGCAACAAGCATGGAAGCACAACGAGTGCGATGTCGGTAAGGATATTTAACGCCGCGATGGCTTGGAAGAGTGCAGCCTTCATAAACAAGATATTAATAATCCAGCTCTTTAATGAATAGCTGATAACCGCGACATACCTGGTTGATACATTGATCCGGCTTATCCCATTTCCAGGGAGTTGGCATGGAGCAACGAAGAGCCAAGGCAATGATAGAAGCGATTGCCCATGCAATTATCACACCCATCAAAGTCTGGTTGGCGATAGAGGAACGACGCGATGTCATCAGGTTTTTGAACAAAAGGCCCAGTGAGAGCTTGCTAAAGGCGATTGTCGCAATGAGGAAGATCTGGGCGGCATATTCGTACTACGAGATCGATCTGAAATTAGACGTTTGACTCTTGATGGAATTCAATGTCTGTACGCACCTTGAGATATTTCTCCAGCTGGTGGTCGCCGATATTCAGTAGTCGTCGGCCAAGGCCATTGGAAATTGCTAGTTGTGCTAATACACTTTGTATTATTCCTAGTAACTATTCGCTCGCAGCGGTGTCAGCAAACGCATGGAATCTACCACGATTGCGAAGACCTTACCAATGATATACCCAGTAAGATATCGTCAGGGTGGATGACACGACCTATGAACCATCGAGTCGATAGACGAGTAGACACAATGACAACTGTCAATGCTAGCAGCGTGTATATAGCGACCGCACCATATCCGCCATGATCGTCGGCGGTAATCTCGAACAGTGGAGGTAAAGTGCCAGCCATGGCGACACCAGGACGATCAGCCCTGTAACTCTGAACGAGAGGGGTTCGACTGGGAGAATATTAAGTAAAGCAAAAAAAGAAAAAGGAAAGAAAGGATGGCAGATCACGGATTGCAGATCTTGTCGATGGCAGCTGAAACTTTTGTCTGGTGGGTCTGGGTCTGTTAAGCCATGAAGCTGTAGACTTCGTATCTCGGCAGGAACCGTGCTGATGCCCCTGGAAAGCTACGTAGTAGCACGGAGTATTAGGAAGAAGCCGAATTCCGCGGCTGAGATGAGCAGGCAATCTATCATAATATTAGAAACAGGATTATTATGTACCATAATCAATTAAATTTTTGCTCTAATAGTCCCAATTGCCCGCATTGCTCGAAATTCCGACCAGGTTACATGGATCGAATGGTGCGACAGAACTATCACCGTCGATATTCTATCAATTCTATGACCAATCTCGATGGGCTAACGCCTCCGTGAGTCCACGCGGAGTCCCGTCGGAGAGGGTTCCACATGGGGCGGCCTGTGCTCGTCCCCCAGGACCTTGTTTCTTGCCTTTGCTCACCGGATGAAAGACCCAATCGGTGGCATTGGCAGAGTCCGACAAAGTTAGAAACTTAGCGAAGACAAAAAACTTAACAAAGCCGACCATACCTGATCAAATAAAGCAAGGTTAGCAAAGCCAACAAAGTTAACAATGTCAGCAATTGTCAAGTAAGAAGCCTTTGCGGCCGGCTTTAGGTTTCGGGGTTAACCTGCCAAACGTCACCTTCCTTGCTGAGTCGCTGACAGGGGCAGGGGTGTTTAATGAGCATATGGCATGGTATGATGGTAGATGTGATAAAGACCATGGGGATGGATGCACCAGTAACCACGCCAGTGAAACGCTTATTCGTCCTCGTTGAGGGGTATCATCCTCGACATACTACTTGCGATCGCACATCAGGCCCTTAGCTCGATTTGGGATGTCCATGCCAATCAAATAAGAAGTACCATGGCCCAATCCGAGGGTCAACGAAGGGTTGTGGGTGGATGTCTTGGTTGGTCAATGAAGAGGAAACACATCCACGAATGGAAGTGGAGCCGGTGATGGCGATTCAATTATCGACCAATCATCATCTTGACAGGACATTTCTAACACTTGCAACACTTGTTCGATAGTTCTGAGAAGCCGTGGACTGTCTCGAAAAAGGCAGGCGTTCAGATAACAAGTATGTGGCGGACCAATAAAGTCGTTCTCGAACTATCGCCGGCTGGTGCTTGTCTCTGCCACAGGGCCGTTCGTTCCGACCCTCATTGGCGCTAGTTAATTTAGTTCGTACGCAGCCCCCAAGTATCCCAAGCCGCCATTTCCTAGATAGTTAGGAGCTCGTGCGCAGGAAGTCTGATGCGACCATGGCGCACAATAGCGAGGGGCGCATTACGCCAACTTTCCGCCAAGGGCTTCCGGAGAGAGATCGTTTCGCCAACGCGTAAGATATCGGAGTCCTCGGCATGTTTTGCACTTCTTACTTTCGTTGTTGTTGATTAAGTGTCTCTCCCCTTTCTATTCGCATCTATCTGACACGCTGCATGGACTGAATCCAGGTAGAGAACGAGCAACAGTCTGCTCTTCAAGACCTGATCAACCACGTGTAATTGAACCAATATTTCGTGAGGATATCCGTCTCTTCCTTAACCTCGGTGAGCTCGTGATCGAGAGCCCGGCGCCATGTCGAACTCGGAGGGCTTCGAGATGTCCCGTTTGGGTGTCAAATCGGCACAGTTCAGCGTCAGTGAAAATCGTGGACACAGTCGTTCTGGCTCAGATGGAGGTTATAACGGTGGGGTTTCAACATCCATGTCGAGTGGAAAGCGTTTGGATGTACGTTAGGTTACCTGGACCCCCTTGCTCCCCGGATGATCGCAATAACTTCATGTCAATGTGCCGAACGAGAATGAAATAAAAATAGACATACAACTCAAAGTCCCCACTGACAACTGCCGTGTCTATAGAGAGGTTTCGGGTCACTGTCAATTCTGTGTCTATCAATTACACTACTCTCGTCATGGGAATCAATTGCAAAGTGAGTGCCACTGTGTCTTTCAATGTCAAACTTCCAAGCTAATCATAATTCCTTCGCAGTGGATTCGAAGCAGGCCTCCTTAACGGCGGCCCAGCGGGACTCGTCTGGGGAATGGTATTGTCATTAATCGGAACAACGTTTATCATGCTATCACTAGCAGAAATGAGCTCGATGACACCGTTAGCCGGAGCTCAATATCACTGGACGGCCGTACTCGCCCCGCCACGGGTTCAAGCATTCAGCACCTGGATCCAAGGCTGGATCACAGTCTTTGGATGGCAAGCCTCAACAACTAGTATCTGCTACTTGGTAGCCGCCCAGATCCAAGGCATGGTCCTCTTGAATGACTCCGGCTATATTCCCAAGCAATGGCATGGCACATTGATCATGTGGGCCATCATCTTCGGGTCCGGTCTAGTCAATATCTACGGCATCAAAATCATGCCTGCGCTGCAGATGATGGGTGGAATCCTACACATTACTCTCTTCATTGCCCTGGTCGTCCCGATCATCTTGCTCAGCCGTCGCAGTACTTCGCAGTTTGTGTTCACCGAGTTGTTCACGGCAGAGGGAGGATGGGAGTCTCCAGGGATTGCTTGGTGTCTGGGTATGCTCACGGTTACCTACTGCTTCCTTGGCTTTGACGGTGCCATCCATATGAGTGAAGAGGTGCGGAATCCAGCTGTTGTTATTCCCCGAGTCCTAGTCCAGACCATCGCTATCAATGGCGTGCTGGCGTTTGTCTTCCTTCTCGTCATTCTCTTCTGCATCGGCAGCGTTCAGGAGGCATTAAGCCCTGCTTATATGTTCCCCATTATCGGAATTTTCAAACAATCCACCAACTCTGTCGGGGCAGCTACTGCCATGCAAACTGCCATCACTGGAATTGGCATGGTTTCCAATGTTGGCGTTGTTGCTTCCGTTTCACGACTGACTTGGGCGTTTGCTCGTGATGGCGGCCTTCCTTTTTCTGCATACTTTTCTCATGTTAGCTTCTCTCCCCGTCGTGATCACAATTATCCAGCAAAATCTCTCTAACAAAATATACCAGGTCGATCGCCAACATCGTGTCCCAAAACGGGCCATTCTCCTCGTCTGTGCCGCAGTGGTCATCCTTTCAGTCATTAATGTTGCCTCCGAAACCGCTCTCAGCGCTATTCTCGCTCTTTCCACCAGCAGTCTTTACGTTTCCTATCTCATTCCCATCGTCATGATGATCATCCGACGACTCGATACCAGCCGAGGCCCGATCCCATTCGGCCCCTGGAATCTCGGTCGCTTCGGTATGGCAATCAACGTCTTCTCTCTCACTTTCGGTGTCTTTGTGTGCATCTTCGTTCCTTTCCCGACACAGCTTCCAGTTACAGCGGCCAACATGAACTGGTCCGGGCCCGTCTTTATTGGAGTTTGTCTGTTACTCGTTATAGATTGGACTTTCCGGGCTAGACACAAGTTTATTGGGCCGACGAAGGATCTCTTGCATAGCAAGAGCAAGGCCTGTGCTTCTTGATGACATGCACAGAATTACCTAGAAACCGAATACACTAATGATCCACTACTAACTTTGAAGGATTTGCCTGAAATAAATGATCATTTGTCTTGACTGTCATAATCTGACAGCCTCCTCCCAACTAAACGAATATCCCTCCCTAATAACTCGAATCAATCCAATCCCCATAATCACTCCCCAAAACCGTCTTCTTCGTCACCCCCGCCGAAATAGAACTCTCATACTCACGCGCCGAAGTACTCGACCCACCCCCCGAGTTATTATACTCATAATACAACGGCGTCGCATTCTCAGCCATAGCCGTCCACCCTTTCTCATTGATCAAGCTCCCAAGGACCGAATTCTGATAAATCACCCGCGCAAGCACACGCCACGGTCGACCGAGATACACATCCCCGTCGAGGTCCAGTCCCGAGGCGGCTTTCACGTTGCAGTTATCAATTGCGTACCAGGCTGTGTCGGTGGATGTTTCGCGGGAGTTTGCGGTTATGGCGCCGCCGCCGTTGGAGACGATGTCGCATTCGCCGAACCAGGCGGAGGCGTCGCCGAAGATATAGTCCACGGCTCCTGGGTGGTGTTAGAGTGGGCTGTCAAAGGCATGGGGGATTAGGGTGATAGGTTCCGGGGTTGGTACCTTCGATCATGCAGTTGGAGTAGTATTGGGTTCCGGCCTTTGCGTACAGAGTGTCTTGGTAGCCTGAGAATTGGCAGCCGTAGAAACCGAGTTTATTGGCGTTACCGACGAGGCTGTAGAAGGATTTAGATCGATGCCTGTCGGAATAAGGGTGAGTTCGCGGTGTCTTACGCAACAGCCTGTGCACCCTTTCCATATCCATTAATCACGTTGATGTTGTACATCTTGAATCCAGCAGAGACGACATTGACAGTCGCGCTCTTGTCAAGACTACCAGCATCTGGTGAAGAGATGGTATGCGTGATAGTCACAGTGTTGTCCTTATAGGTCCCCGTATCAGAGGTCTCTCCGTACAGGGTCAAAGTTCCGGCATAGTTGATGGTGAGTTGCTCTGTGTACGTGCCACTGGCGACATAGATGCAGGCCGCAGACGTAGATGAGCCAAGTGCAGTAAGTGCGGCACCGATAGTCGAGTATGTGCCTCCAGAACCGACTGTTAGACACCCTGAGGGAGCGCTAGTTCTACTCGTGCGACGAGTGAGGGCACTCGGTGCGGCGATGATGCCTGTCGCAAGAGATAGGGCTGAGAGAAGAGTTGAAAAATGCATGTCGACTCAAACTGCCAAGCTAGGAAAACTATGATGGTCTCTAGATGCTGGTTCTGCAAAAGAATCCCAGCTCGACGATCGGTCGAGTATATATGAAGCCCCTACAACCACAAATATTATTTACACACTCTCAACCATTACACTCTATGGCCGGGATATCTTCGTTTCAAGGACGCCAGCCACAATTCAAAACACCCATTAACAACATCACCCTCCTCACCACCATCTAAGCGAAGTCCCAGCGATTTCTCCGAGAAATCAAATTTCCATGAATGGCAAGCAACCCTGACACCTAGTCCGCGCCAAACTGACACATTCCCCACGGCGATCCCGGCTATTATAGCCCCCTCGGACCCTCGATCCAAATTAGCCTGAACTCGAGACAGCCATGACGAAACTAATGCCGGCGCTAGGGGTTCGCCCGATCCCTGTCAGACTGGGTCCCTGACAATGATTCTTCAGGGATTTCCGGGGTAATCATGCAGTAGGGATCCGTGGAGGAGTGCACGTGGAGTAGTAGTTTGGATAAATGGTGTGTGCTAGGGAGAAAATTGGTGCCTAGTACAAGTACTGGTACTAGAATATAGTAATATTAGCTAGTACATACTCATCGCTAAGTGGACTACCAGCTCCGGTGGTTTTGGATAAGTGGGGTTCTACGGGGCTGAGACGTTTACCCCGTATCCTGTTTAGTGATTGACTAGGATGAAGAATAAGGAATGGAGATCGACCCGAAAGTCAAATAGTATTTCCTCGAATTGCGGCGTGCAAGGAGGAATTCGTTTCAGGTTTGACGGCTTCTCGGCTTCTTTGTTTCCGTTTGAGTTCGATTCGCATGTGGGTAATTCCAGCTTAAGGGTTCATACTATACAATATTCATGACTGTAAAAGTAATCGTCCGTTCCTTTATAAAGAGCATTCGCATTGTGACCACCTAGGAGTAAAGAACAAGTGGCTTACAGCACTCAACTCAATACATACTCCATCATGGTGAAATTCTCAACAAGTATAGCCCTCTCCCTCCTCGCAACCCTCCCCCTCGCCCTCGCCCTCCCAGACGCATCCCCAGTCCTCAACGCCCGCGCCTCGGCCTGCACCCCCGTCGCAGGAGGATCCTCCTCGATCGACGACGTCCCTGCCATAACATCCGCAATCGCATCCTGCAGCAGCGGGACGATCGTGATTCCCTCCGGAACAACATACTACCTCAACAGCGTGCTCGATTTCGCAGGATGCAGTGGCTGCGATTTCCAAGTTGAGGGGCTGTTGAAGTTTGCCTCTTCGACCAGTTATTGGAGTGGACGGACGGCGATGATTAATGTTAAGGATATTACTGGGTTGAAGATTCGGTCATTGACGGGGAAGGGGGTTATTGATGGGAATGGGCAGGATGCGTATGTGAAACACCGCTGTTGATATACCGTTTATTGTTATGTTAATGATGCTAATATTCTCGATAGATGGGATCTTTTCGCTTCGGATAGTAGTTATGCGCGACCAACGCTTCTATACGTGTGTACTCCGCCCCTCCATCTACGATCTATACTACACTCTATCTACATACTAACCTCTCTCTCTTCCTAGATAACCGGCGGCTCGGACATAACAATCTCCAACCTCCGCCAAAAGAACCCACCCAACGTCTTCAACTCCGTAAAAGGCGGCACCTCCAACATCGCCTTCACATCGCTAACAATGGACGCAACATCCAAGAGCACCAACGCGCCCAAAAACACCGACGGCTTCGACATCGGCGCCAGCACCAACGTCGTCATAAACAACGTCCACGTCACCAACGACGACGACTGCGTCGCCTTCAAGCCCGGCGCAAACGGCGTCACAGTCACGGATATAACCTGCGTCGGCAGCCACGGACTTTCCGTGGGATCCCTGGGGAAAAGCTCCGACGATACAGTTCAGAACGTGTACGTGTCCGGTGCGACGATGGTAAACTCGACCAAGGCGGCTGGTATCAAGACGTACCCGTCTGGCGGGAGTCATGGACAGTCGACCGTGTCGAATGTGACGTGGACCGGGGTTGTGGTTGACGGGTGTGATTATGCGATTCAGATTCAGAGTTGTTATGGGGAAGATGCGACGTATTGTGCGGAGTATCCCGGGGATGCGGATTTGAGTGGGATTGTGTTTGATGGGTTTAGTGGGACGACGAGTGGGAAGTATGGGAGTGTTACTGGGAATTTGGATTGTGGTGCTGATGGGACGTGTGGGGTGAAGGTTAGTTCGTATACTGTCAAGGCGTTGAATGGTGGGAACGAGGTGCTTTGTGCGAATACTCCGTCGAGTTTGGGAGTTACTTGTACTTCGGGGGCATCCGGTTAGAGGGTGACGAGCTCTAATCTATACTATACTATTCTACGTACCACATGCTTCAGAATGCACTTGATCAACGGTTTCAAAGAAACGCAAGTCTATACAGTAAATTTTGCGATATAAAAAGTATGTTCATCATACACCATAAAACGTCCCGTTCCAGCCGTAGCCCAGAACCATTCAAACAAATCCAGTTTTCCCTTCTTGCACCATCTAAGCAGCGGCGACCATCTTGTCCTTGACGTACAAGTCGACGTACTGGTCGACATCGTAGTTCTCCAGCTGCTGGCGGTCCCAGCCCACCTTGAGCAACTCATCAATGCGAGCCTGGTCAAAGTGTGCCTGGAGGTGGCGCTTGTACTTGGCCAGGATCTCGGGCTTGGCCTCCTCACGGCGGAGGCGGTGACCCAGGGGAGCCTCGACAACGACCTCCTCGAGGACGGTGCCGTCGTTGAGAGTGACGGTCAGGGCGTTGGGGATGGTACGCTTGGAGGGGTCGTGGTAGTCGGTGGTGAACTGCTCGTCCTCGACGCAGCGGATGCGCTTGCGGAGGTCCTCGACCAGAGGGGAGGTGGCGGCCTCGGAGCCATCGGCGTAGTCGTTGGCGGTCAGGCGGTTGAAGGCCAGCATCGTGGCAACCATGTACTGTACAGAGTATTAGCTTGGAAATATATTACATGGATAGCTGTCAGGAGCTTACCTGGACACAGTGGTCGCGGTCGGCAAAGTTGTCCATCTCCTTGAACTGCTTGTCAATGATGCGGATGCAGGCCTCGTGAGTGCGGTTGGTGATCTCCTTGATATCCTTGGCGCTCTTGCCCATCTCGGCCAGCTTCTTGTTGATAATCTCGGCGGCCTCGATGGCGGTCTGGGAGTGGAACTCGGCTGTTCAAAAGTCAGTCAGTTAGGGGTCAATTCACCAAAGAACTGAATACTTACCAGGGTAGGAGACCTTGAAGAGGACGTTCTCCATAACGTAGCTGCCGTAGGGGCGCTGGAACTGGAACTTCTTGCCCTTGAACAGGACATCGTAGAAGCCCCAGGTGGGGGCAGAGAGAACGGTGTGCAGACCACCCTCACCCTTCTGGACCTTGAGGACCAGGTTGACGGCACGCTGGCAGGCGTCACCGGCAGCCCACGACTTGCGGGACATGGTGTTGGGCGAGTGGCGGTAAGTACGGAGAGACTGTCCATCAACCCAGGCCTGGGTAATAGCATCGGCAGTCTGCTTCTCGGTGAGACCCATCATCTTAGAGACAACGGCGGTGGTAGCGACCTTGACCAGGACAACGTGGTCCAGGCCGACCTTGTTGTAGGAGTTCTCCAGAGCCAGGACACCCTGGATCTCGTGGGCCTTGATCATAGCCTCGAGGACATCGCGGACCTTGAGGATCTTGCCGTTGCCCAGGTTGCCACCGGCACGGTTGGTGCGGGAGATCCAGTCGGCGACGGCCAAGATACCACCCAGGTTGTCGGAGGGGTGGCCCCACTCGGCGGCCAGCCAGCAGTCGTTATAGTCAAGCCAGCGGATCATAGCACCGATGTTGAACGCACCGTTGACGGGGTCCAGCTGGTAGGGGGTACCGGGGACACGGGGTCCATTGGGGACGACAGTGCCCTCAACGACGGGGCCAAGCAACTTTGTGCACTCCTTGAACTTGAGAGCCTCCAGACCGCAGCCGAGGGTGTCCAGGAACACCAGGCGGGCAGTGTCAAACTAATACAGGCAATTCGCAAGTTAGCATAATATGCTAGTAATTCAAATAATTCACCGAGCTCGAAAACTCCATGAATTTTATACGAAAAACTCACTGCGAGGTCAGAGTCCACATTGTACTGGTGGATGTAGCTGGCCATGTCCTGAATCTCGGGGTCATAGGCCTTGTCGGCGGAGGGGACCGCGGGAGCGGCAGATTGACGGGCAGCCATAGTGGAAAAGCGAGGAGCGCGGTTAACACGAGGAGCGGCGATGGCAGCGAGGTGAGAGGAGGAAGAAGAAACGAAAGTGGGAGAGAGTCTGGAGACGGGGATGCGGGCCAAAGTGCGGGGAGACGTGTGGGTCAACCGTCTCACAGCAGGAAGGGACATGATCAAACTGCGCAATGGCAATGGCAATGGGAGAGGGAAGAAGAGGGAATTGAGCAAGGATCAAGAGTGTTCAAAATGATCCAAGGGGAGGGGAGGGTAGAAGTGAAGGTAAAAAGAAAGGAAGCAGGAAGAGTCGAACAAAAGGTCGGAGAATGTGGAGTTTGTTTGGTTGGGGGAGTCCCTGGGCGGGCGGGAGTTTCCAAGCTGATCTCATCTTGCCGAGGAACAGACACCTCGGTTAGTGTCGGATAGCCGGACACCCTTTATACAGGACTATGTAGTAGGAAGACTATGTAGACTATGCTGGATATCTACACCGGGCATATTCACCCCCAATTTCCAGTCCATTGACATACGGACAACCCGCCGTTCACCTTTCTATTCTCATTGGCCAATTCTAATCTCATTATACCGAGCCGATCGAGCTTGGTCCCCGACAAGGCAACGAGACACCGAGAATCGGAAGATGGGACTTTATTTCCAGCAATTAGATAGAAAATATGTGCGAATATCGGACATTTCCATGCCAGTCAACTGTCAAGCATCATAAAAAACCAGACTATCCAGAGGAGGCAAAAAGTCGCCGACAAAGGAACGATCTGTATACCGGAGGGCGGTCGGCCTCGGGCCAGCTCCTTCCTTCCTTCTTCACATGCCCGCCGATCTGATAACCTCCTCCTCCACCTCCACCTTCCCTATGTACTATTCCCCCAATGCAATGTACCATCATCCTCCCTAAAATCCACCGCTCTCGCCAGTCATCGTCAAATCAGACCACCTCCCTCGCGTCCCTCCATAACTTGCTCGCGCTCTCGCGCCCGCTTCTCCTCTCGCTCCCGTGCATCAGTCTCCCGCAAGGACGCGATGATCTCGGTGTATAGCGCCTTCGCCAGGGCTGGCGGCACCGCATTTCCAACCTGCTTGCGGATTCCCTTGTCTGCGAATTTAAAGTCCATGGGAAAGGTTTGCAGGCATGCGACCTCTCGGCAGGTAAAACGGCGCAGACCCGAGGGGTGATAATTACCCTCTCCCCCGCTGCAAGTCAATGTCTTTGCTGGCTGGCGACCATCAAAAGGTGCACGAAATTGCCTGCCCCATTGTTGGAGCCAGTTTCGGATATCGTGGTCCGGTGCATCATCGGGGATATTCGTAATCGTATCATTGATGGTCACTATCGGCAGGCAGCCACTTCCCGGCAGGTCGTGAGTGATTTCGGGGAACGGAGGCAAGGTCTCGCCAGGACTATCAGACAGTCAGAAAAACTTGAACAAGGCAAAACTCATCGAATACATACCCTGCGGCAATGATGATCAGTCGCTTGCGAGTTTGGGGCACCCCGTAATGAAGCACATCGATCACGGCCCACCGAACTGAATATCCAGCTTCAATCATATCCATGATCACCCGATTCAAGATCTCTGGGAAACGTTCCTTGAGTCCCGCAGTCTCTTCCATCGTGAGGATACGCGGGTGTGCATGCTCCATCAGATTCCCTGCGCTAAAGATGCATGCCGAGTTATTGTCATCTCGCTCGCAATTGATGGTATGTGCTGGCGAGAAGGTCTGGCACGGTGGCGAGCAGTGGGCGACATCGACTCGGAGATACTCCTCCGAATGGGTCAACATATCATTGAAAGAACAATTGTCGGTTACAACGTTGAAATTCAATGTGTAAGTCAACGCCGCACAGACATCCAGGTCGCATGCCCACTTGAGCTGCAAGCCTGCCTGCTTTGCGCCACAGGAAGTTCCACCGGCACCACAGTATGCATCGCCGAATATATATGCAGTAGGATCAACCGTGAGATCGACAACATCCCGAGACCCCTGCTCGTCCTCATCAGTGACCGTGGAATGGCCGGTATAACCTACCTGGCCCTCTCCAAAGGGAACGGTCGGGCATCCGCGATACAGATCGCGCAGAACGTATGACTCGAATCCGTATCCCTCGTCGCATTCATCCAGCGTGAGGTATTCAACGCTGGTGTCATATTCTGGTATGCTGCTGGTCTGGAGTCCACGGAAACGATTCGGAGAAATCCTTGGTCGCTTCCTAGCGGTCGTCTTCAACCGACAGAACAGCCCAGCATCAGGTGGATGCTTTGCGTTCTTTCCCCGGCGCTCGTTGGTGAAAATCACTTCGCAGAGGCCTGCCACTTCCATCGGAGACACGGGTAGGTGGCTCTCTATGCTGACGAGATTGGTTTCGTGGTCCATTTTGGGAAGCCAGACCAGTTCATGCTCGTCCGGGGGATGCAAAGAGGCCATTGATTGTCATTGCAGCCCACAAGGTGTCGGCCCCAAAAGCAGACTTGTCCCTCACGCAGAGTGATCCACTCAATGCGCAAGTACGACCCATTCACAAGCCGAACTGTTGCTGATGGACGGAGGATCTCACCATTCAGCTCGACTTCGTCGATTTCGCCAGCAAGGGTTACTCGTGGGGTTGCAAACCGCCTTCGTGGATCCTGCACGATAGAGACATGACGTCCAAGTTGACTATGGAGGGCACACAGATCGTCCTCAGTATCTGATAGGTCAATTGGGTTCGTTGGTGAGATGCCAGAGACATCATCAGTCATAGACTGAGATGACAAGTTGTCTATGGTCGTAGATTCTGAGGAAGTACTAGAATCCTCAGGGTCAAAAAGGTGGCGAAGGCGGGCCACATCCTTGAGATATAGATCTGTCTTAGCCGGTTGCCCTTGCTCGATTCGACCCTGGCCACACTCGATCCATTCCCATCCATCTGCGGCTGAAGCGGGCGAAGATTGGGTTTCTTCTGTGGTCGAATCATCGTCGATGATGACCATGGAGAGACAAGGCCGAGTGGAATTGACCTGAGAGCCTTGGTGAGGCATCTCGGGTTTGTATTCTGGCCAGTCATCCATCTCGTATGAATCCGAAGTAAGAGGTGGGGGGGTCGAAGGTGATAGAAGGCTCTTGTGAGGGTAGTGATCAAAAAGCCCTCCCGACTCAGAGTCGCAAGAGAGGTCGACGATCTCGGGACTCATCTTGAGAATATGTGGGGAGAGCAAGTTTCTCTATATGCCGGCGAGGAGGAGCAGATGATGAAAACGAAAGAGACGAAGAGAGTGCGAGAGCGAAACGGGGCGACGCGCTTGACGTGGAGGGGGAGAGTGTGAGATTTCAAGGTCTGGGGCTGACGTATAACCCTGAGCAGAAGTCAGGCTGCTTTCCTCTCTCATAAATGCGAGGTTATACAAAGCGGTTAATCAGGGCAGATTATTCTTGAAAAGAAGGCATGGTCTTGAAGTCCGCCATGCAGATATCGCTTCTGTTCTGGAGACAAAGGTGAGCGGGTCGAAGCAGACAATGAGTAGGTCTTTATTTAAAGGTAAGCTTGTTTGTTTGTTAATTGCTTATCATACAGAAAATCGTAGTATCTCTAGAACCATCATGATAGATAGTGAACAGTGTCTTAAAGGTGTAGAATGTTCTATCTTCTACTTGCTTGATACAAAGTCCCGCTAGCTAGAATTCCTACGTTCTGTGACTATAAGTACTGATCTAGGCTACCGAATAAATGAGAGCCACCGGGATACTCTCAATAAATGGGGGGAGTAGAGGGCTATTCATAACCACTTTAAAAATTGTATAGTTCTTATTTCCTAAAATGGCGTGAGTAGACACCATAACCCTCAGGTGTCGATATAGTAGTTATATGACAAACGAGTCAACTCTTCCAACGACAATGATATCAGGATATACAGCTTTAAATAGGATTTAGAATTAACTTGGCTTTTAACTGCAAGTTCATGTCTAGATGATATCTAAGTACTAGGTGATCAAATCAAGTCTATGCGTGGTCTCTCGGTGAGCGGTAAACTACCTAAGGAGTAGTCAATGCTAATCGCAGCATAACTTTACGCAGGATTAGTTATGAAAGAGATACATCCTAGAAATTTAAACTTATCATATTACTAGATTGAAAGGCGAAAGCCTGACTGTGAGCTAACTATGATAGAAATCATCCCTGTTCCCGGTTTCCAGCTTCCCCGGTTTACCTGGATGGTCGCTCTGCTTTGGCATGTACAGTAACAAAATCCCTTAGGTAGTTGTAGAGATTATCTAAGTCTCTGTATATTGAGGGGCTTCTCTTTCATATCATTAAGTTTCCAACATATCCTACCTATCATGGGCTATTTCACTTATCACTCCATTGGCTTATTCGCATATATGCAATATTCCCCTCGACAAAGGCTTCTTCCCCCTTCCACTTGTCAGCGGACAGTAGCTCCAAACTTGAGGTAATACAATATTATTTTTTGTCTTCCATGGGATTCAACAACGAATTGGCCAGAAGTATGGTAGTCTTCTCCCAGGGTCACAGTCATCTACAACTGACGAAGCTTATCAAGCAGCCCTTCACTTCCAAGTTGAGCAGAAGATTATATTGGCAATCTTTTTAGGGCTATTCAATCCTCAGAATGTGGTGAAAAGGTCTTTTAACCCTTCGGGAAGCCATGACTGTTATCATTGATTATGCTGGATTGGCTGGTATACTTAGAAACAGCATGATATTGGTTGAGGCAGTGCTTGACCATTGCCAGCATGGATCCTTCCTTTGAAACTTCCATAAACAATATCAAATTTCACTAGCTCCCACATTTCCCCAACTTGTCATGATCGACTCCGTAGATAGACCTAGTAATCTTTTTCTTCTTCTTCCATTCACTGGTGACCATATCTACTTCGTACACCGCCTTCCACCTTCACCGCCCTATATTGCCTGTACCACACTCACCGCCCTGTCTCTTCACGCACGTGACAATAATCTTTGTCAGCCCGGAGTCGGCGCGAAAAAAAAATCTCAAGTGGGGAAGAACCACGGCGGAAAGAAATGCCACTATGGAGATTTTCTTTCCCCTTCCCCTCCGTGTTTCTCGGGGTACTGTTGAGCATTGCTCCCCGTCAACTCCCTTGCGTCCTGGTTCTGGTAAGCTGCACGCGTCGTTTCCTTTGCCCTTGCCCAATGTCTCTATGATGAACTATGGAATTTTTTTATAGATGTTAGACTTCCTAACCTTTGTTGCGGAGAACCTCCAATACTGACTCGAGACACTCACCCCGCCATTCGTTGTCAATTTTTTCTTGCAATTCTGTGGCTCGTGCTGACCAGGGTGTCTGCCACCGTGTTCTAGGAACCTAACCTCGCGTCAAGATGTGTGGTATCATCGCTCTGATCTTGGCCAACCCCTCCGGCGCTGCCGCCGTTGACCTCCACGAGGCCCTCTACCTGCTTCAACGTGAGTGGTGAAACCTGATATAAGAAGGACGGGAACACGAGCTAAGCGGTGCTGTGTGACAACAGATCGTGGTCAGGATGCAGCTGGTATCGCAACCTGTGCGTCCGGAGGTCGGATGTACCAATTGAAGGCCAACGGCATGGCAGCTAAGGTCTTCCATGACGGTGCAAAGGTCGCCAACCTGCCTGGCTCCATGGGTATCGGCCACCTGCGGTACCCAACTGCCGGTAGCAGTGCCAATGCGGAGGCCCAGCCCTTCTACGTCAACAGCCCCTACGGTATTTGCCTGGCCCACAACGGTAACCTCATCAATGCTCCGGAATTGAAGCGCTACCTGGACCTGGAGGCCCACCGTCACATCAACACCGACAGCGACAGTGAGCTGATGCTGAACATCTTCGCCGATGAGCTCAGCGAGACAAAGAAGGCTCGTGTCAACAAGGAGGATCTCTTCTCCTCCCTGAGCCGTATGTACGAGCGCTGTGAGGGTGGTTGGGCTTGCACTGCTATGCTGGCTGGTAAGTTGCTTTGGAGAAGTCACCCCTCATGCTGCATATGACATCGTCCGCTGACAAAGTCTTGCTCAGGCTTCGGTATCCTTGGTTTCCGTGACACCTACGGCATTCGCCCCTTGGTCCTCGGCTCCCGTCCTTCCCTGGATGGTGAGGGTACCGATTACATGATGGCCTCTGAGTCTGTTGCCCTGGATCAGCTCGGCTTCACCAACCACCGTGATATCCAGCCCGGTGAGGCTGTCATCATTGAGAAGGGTGGCGAGCCCGTCTTCCGCCAGGTTGCCCCCAAGAAGGACTACGCCCCCGACATCTTCGAGTATGTCTACTTCGCTCGTCCGGACTCTGTCATGGACGGTATCAGTGTCTACCGCAGTCGCCAGCGTATGGGTGACAAGCTTGGTGCCCGTATCCTCGACGTCCTGGGCCCCGATGTCGTCAAGGACATTGACGTGGTCATTCCTATTCCCGAGACCTCGACTACCTCCGCCACTCACGTTGCTCAGTACCTGGACAAGCCGTACTGCCAAGGCTTCGTGAAGAACCGCTACGTCTTCCGCACATTCATCATGCCTGAGCAAAAGACCCGGCAAAAGGGTGTTCGCCGCAAGCTGAACGCCATGAAGCAGGAGTTCAAGGACCGCAACGTCCTGCTTGTCGACGACAGTATCGTGCGTGGAACCACCAGTCGCGAGATCGTCAGCATGGCTCGCGAGGCCGGTGCCAAGAAGGTCTACCTGGCCAGCTGTGCTCCCGAAATCACCCACGCTCACATCTACGGTATCGATCTTGCCTCGCCTCAAGAGTTGGTTGCCCACAACCGTGACACCGCCAGCATCGCTCGTCACATTGGTGCCGAGAGTGTCATTTTCCAGACCTTGGAGGATCTTAAGGAGTCCTGTGCCGAGATCGCCCGTGAAAATGGCCAGTCGGAGCCCACCAACTTCGAGGTTGGTGTGTTCTGCGGCAGTTACGTGACCCCCGTTCGCCCCGGCTACTTCGAACACCTCGAGCAGGTCCGCGGCGAGGGTCGCAAGGTCAAGGCTGTAGACAAGGCGAAGGATGCTGTTGCCCATGGCGTCGCCAGCATCTCCGACTTCAAGATTGTTGCCAACGGTGTCACCATGGACACTAACGGCAAGATCATCCCTGCGGACTCCCCCGAGCCCGTCGCCAAGTCCCAGAGCGAGCCTGAAGCCAACCCCAAGGTCGACGATCGCATGGATATCAGCATCCACAACATTGCTGACCACCCTTGAGCGTAGCCAGCTTCTCTTTTTTCCTTTCTCTGTTAATGATTCTCAAAGCCACCACCTTTTTTTTTGTCTGATTTTGCATCCGGAGTCTAGGAGTTTGTATGGTGGCATACTAGACGGGCGGACAATATTCTCCCAATGTGACGTAACAAGTGACGAGAAAACGCATACTCCTCGAGATTCCCATAGCTATGAACCATTAGCTAGATATGAAATGAGGCCAGATACCATTCGAATAGAAGAATCCTCTCTCCCTGTACTACTCATCGAATCTATATTCGACCTGATTGACCTAATCAACCACCTCGTTTCTATCACCGTTACAAATTCACTCTCTTCACGACTTCAATCTCCTTTCCTCTGATTGAATTCAACTTTGCCATCATATTCACCCCGTCAAACTGCCCAAAAACATGGTGTCTCGACTCAAAATGAACCCTCCACGCCGTCCAGGGTCACATGAGGCCGACGATATACTCCCCAGCCAGCCAGCCGGAACCCTCCACACTTCATCACCCAACAACCCTCTCAAAACTTCTACCAGACCATTCCTCCCAAACTCAACCCCTTCTACATCCCAACTTCCAAGCCTGGTCGAGTCATCGATTCCAACCCCTTCCGAGACGATTCAGGAAAAAGAGCCGGTTGACGTCATTCGTGGCATCTACATTCCCGATCAAGATCTGGCCATCGTCCCAAAGTGGTCCGTCCGGCTTCAACATCACCCCCGGCCTTTCCTCATTTTTCAGATTATCAGACTTCGGAATTAGAGAACCACACAACGATTTGGCGACTTCTGAAGTCTTAATGGCTCGGCCAACAACCCGGTCCCGAGCCAGGGACGGCTTTCCTGCAGCATCAACTGTTCAAACGGTGCCACAGAAACGCAAGAGAGCCGGTCCGAAGTCAAAGAGCTCTACAAAATTGCCCTCCTTCATTGAGAATGAAGATTTGGGAGCAGTCGAGGATAGTGGGGCTTCTGCCTCGCCGGTGGCTCACAATGAACCCTCGCATGAGGCATCACCGAGGATCAAGCTCATCTTCAGAAGCCCTCAAACAGGGACGCCCGACTCCCAAGTAAAATCCACCGAACCTCGAATTACATCTCCACTTGTGGCTGACGGTTCTCAGAATTTTGGCAGTCCTTCTTTAGTTCCATCGCCTACGGAAGGCGATTCTGGTATCTCACTTGCCAGTGCTGAAAAGGAAGGATCCTTTCCAAAGGAGACCGGTGTCTATGGGATTTCAACAGAGCCTACAGAGCCTATTTCCTTGACAAATTCCGTCGATACAAATGCTGCGGTTCTTGAAGAGCAGTCTCTCGGCAAGATTGATGCTCCGCCTGTTACGGTCTCGGAGGCTCCGAATGAAACGTTGACCCCATCAGCTCCTTCTGAGGTGACTCGCAATCTAGACACTGATCCAGATATTCTTGCCCAATCTGCGATTCCTGTCAATGGCATTGAGACTAACGAGCAATTGCTTGATGCAATTGATACCAATGAATCGGTCACAACTCCACAACCCACCGTTGTTGTGCAGGACACTCCAGCTCTCATTGAACTTCCACACAATCTGGGATTTCTGCCTGCGTCGACTGGTGTTGCCATCTCTACTGTGCCTGCCAGTGGTATTCCTAAAGAGACTCAATCTCAGCCTCTCCGTGAGAACGATGTCACCGTCCCGGTTGCAAATGATAAGCCTCTGGTTGATACCGCTGTCCCGACAGCCTCAGCAGCTCAGGAAGCAGATACACCGAAAAAGCCAGTCAAGAAATCCAACTACGGCTTGACTCCTGGTCGAAGCCCATATCCTGATTTCAAAGCACCATCTGCAGAGGCGTGCCACATAGTCAATGACCTACTCACACAGGCCCATGGGGAAGTCATTGCCCCCAAGACGATTCCTGAACCTTCACTCACCGTTACTGGCTGCGGTGAGGTCCCCTCGGTGCTAGATGCTTTGATCCGTACTCTTCTCAGCGGTGCCACTACTGGAAGCAATTCCGCCAAAGCCTTCAACGGGCTCGTGCAGCGATTTGGGACACTTACGGAGGGAATCGGCAAGGGTAGTGTGAACTGGGATGCTGTTCGGCGGGCGCCATTGCATGACGTCTTCAAAGCTATCGAACAAGGTGGCTTGGCAGACATCAAAAGCAAGAACTTGAAGGCTCTGCTGGATCAAGTCTACGAGGAGAACCAAGAGCGCAAGAATCGGCACAATGCCGAGGATTCTGCTACCGACATTGAGAAGCCAGGCATGTCATCTGACGAAGCCAAAGAGGCTGATGAGGCCAAGGAGTACGATATCGCCAGTGCCAACGATCATTTCCTCAACCTTCAATACGTACACAAGTACAGCAAAAACAAAGCTTTGAAGGCTCTGATCAGGTATCCCGGTATCGGACCCAAGACGGCAGCCTGCGTGCTTCTCTTCTGTCTGCAACGCCCTTGCTTCGCGGTCGACACACACATCTTCCGTATCTGCAAGTGGCTTGGCTGGGTGCCGGAGAAAGCTAATGAGGTCACGGCCTTCAGCCATCTGGACGTCAAGATCCCTGATGAGCTGAAGTACTCCCTTCACCAGCTTTTCATCAAGCATGGCAAAGAGTGTCCACGCTGCCGGGCAATTACCAGTCCAACAAGCGCAGACTGGGAGAAGGGGTGCGTCATTGAGGAACTGGTCAAGCGGACAGGAAGGAAGATAGTAGGCCCCTCTTGCCTGCATACGCAGGCTGGGCCTGCAAAGCGAATTTCAAAGACAACCAAGAAGATTGTCAAGAGGACCGCCAACGGCAAGCGTGCTACCAAGGCCAAGACCACCAGAAAGACGGCAACGGTCACTCGTGCGACAAGGAAGTCTACAGAAATCCAATCGGATACTCTGCAGGGCCCATCCGCTGAAGCTGTAGAGCAACCGGGAGAGTCCCAGCCTCCGCATGATCAATCTCAGATGTCGGCACAGTCGGGAACTTTGAAGCGCAAGCGTGGCAACTCAGATGCTAAGGTTCCTCTTAGAAAGCAGCCAAGTCGCACCAGCAAGAAGACTTATCAGGCTGTTGCTTCAAAGGCGAAATCTACACGAAAGGGGAAGAGGCCTGCTTCAAAGAAGACTGCCGCTAAGAAGTCGAGCACTCGGAAGCCAGCGAAGAAGCCACAGCCTGCTGCTCCCACTGGAACTCGCACGTCGCAACGGTTGAAACTGATTGTCGGGCAGAAATCTTGAATGAAGCCTTGAACCTTCTCCTTTATCTGAAGGATGAACTATCGCTTACATGACTTTATGTTTTCCGCTTTTCATCAATTGGGGTGGCGTTGATCTTTACCTGGTTACAAGCAATATGCCATGTATGGTGGATGCATTACCACTAGCTCGGGGGATCAGGATACGTTTTGCTATTTTTCATGACAAAATGCTTAGCATAGTTAGCTATTCAACAGACAATTTTCTAAATTCATAGTTCATTATTACAACTCTTTATTTCCATTGAAATCTGCTACTAACCAGCATACACAACCATCAGACCACCGAATGCCCCAAGTGGCCTTATCAGCCCGCCTATCAACAAAAAGATCCCCGAGCCCGCGGAGCTTTCCTCCTAAACACCACAGCTCCAGGGGCAACGCCCACTCCCACCAATCCACCTCCTGCCAGCATGGACCAACTACTCTCTTACCTCCCGCCGACCGTGCTAGACTTTATCGAGACCCATGGCTCATGTGTTACCACAGAACACGCGCAATGGGCTGGCGTCGCGCTGGTCTCCCTGGCCGTCGCCTACGCGGGGTACCTCTATATTCTGTGCCTGAAAGAGGCCGCCGTGTCCTTCAATGTGCCATTGCCAGCAGAAGTTCGCAATAGCGCTGGTGGAAAGAAGTGGGAGGAGATTACTGGTGTTGAGAAGCGCGTGTTGGAGGATCAGGTTCGGGGGTGAGTTAAGACATTGGGAGAGCTTCGTTACTGTCGGAATTGCGGTTTGAGGAATTGGGCTAACATGGCTGGTACTTGGATCTAGGTCTGGAACGATAATCTGATTATGAGCTATTGCCCTGCTGATGGGCGTGTCTTGGGCAATGGTATCAAGCCGGCGACGGTGCAGGATGTCAATGATGCCGTGCAAGCTGCAAAGGCTGCGCAGCGGGAGTGGGCGACGACGAGTTTTGCTGAGCGCAGAAAGGTTCTTCGCACTCTTTTGAAGTATGTCAGCCTTCAAGACACCTACAGTATTCTATGGAGCTTGACAGCTAACTTGACTCCCCTGTTAGATATGTTCTCGATCACCAAGATGACATCGTAACCGCATGCTGCCTCGACTCCGGAAAGACCAAAGTGGATGCCTCGTTCGGCGAGATCCTCGTCACTGCGGAAAAGCTCAAGTGGACTATTGACCATGGCGAGAAGGCACTGTTGCCATCGCGCCGGCCAACCAATTTCCTGATGATGTACAAGAAGAACATGGTGACCTACGAGCCACTGGGCGTGGTGTCTGCAGCCGTCTCATGGAACTATCCCTTCCACAACTTCATCGGACCCGTCATTAGCGCATTGTTCTCCGGCAATGCCATCGTCGTTAAGCCCTCCGAACAGACTGCCTGGTGCACCGCATTCTTCCTAGACATCGTCCGCGGCGCGCTATCCAGCTGCGGACACTCGCGCGATCTCGTCCAAACCGCCGTCTGCCTCCCCGCCGTAGCAGACAAGCTAACCTCGCACCCTGACATTGCCCACATCACCTTTATCGGCTCTCGCCCCGTCGCTCACAAAGTCTGCGCCTCAGCCGCCAAATCCCTAACCCCAGTCTGCGTCGAACTCGGCGGCAAAGACCCAGCCGTAATCCTCGACGACGCCCGCACAATCCGCAACCTCCCCGCCATCTCCTCAATCCTCATGCGCGGCGTCTTCCAATCCGCCGGTCAGAACTGCATCGGCGTCGAGCGCGTCATCGCTCTGCCAGGTACCTATTCCAAACTCATCGAGCTCGTCACCCCACGCATTCGCGCCCTCCGCCTCGGCTCAATCCTCCTCGACACACCTACCGAATCAACCACAACCCCAGATATGGGCGCCATGATCTCCCCAGCCTCCTTCGACAAACTCGAGGGCCTCATCGCCGAAGCAGTCGGCCAAGGCGCACGCCTCCTAGCCGGCGGCAAGCGCTACACACACCCCACCCACGTCCACGGCCACTATTTCGCGCCTACGCTCCTCGTCGATGTCACCCGGGACATGCGCATCGCGCAAGAAGAGCTCTTCGCACCAGTCTTCCTCATAATGCGCGCCGAATCTCCCACCGACGCAGTCGCAATCGCTAACTCAACCCTCTACGCCCTCGGCGCAAGTGTCTTCGGCCACAGCGCAGCCGACGTGCAGACCTGCGTCCGCGGTATCCACGCCGGCATGGTCTCCGTGAACGATTTTGGCGCGTACTACGCCGTGCAGTTGCCCTTTGGCGGTGTCAAGGGGTCCGGGTATGGCCGGTTTGCGGGTGACGAGGGTCTGCGTGGATTGTGTAATCTCAAGGCTGTTTGTGTGGATAAGTTTCCCAAGGTTATGGGGACTGCGATTCCGCCGAGGGTGGATTATCCGATTCAGAAGCGGGAGGGGACTGCTGGGGCGAAGGATGGGCGTTCTGCGTGGGAGATGTGTAAGGGTGTTGTTGAGACGGGGTATCAGATTACGCTTGGTGGGCGTGTTGCTGGTATTTTGCGGTTGTTGGGGAATATGTGAGGATGTATAGTTAAGCAAGGGTGGTTTGTTTGATTCAGGGAGGTTAGTAGAACGCTACTTAGGCTTGTTTTGATCAGGTCAAGGGCTGGTCTCTACGAGGTTGTACGATATCTTTTTAATGCCATGTATACATCAACAAAATAATTCATTCATTTCTCGTTTCACAGGTCAATATTGTACATAAATCTTACACAAGATAGGACAGTCGTACTGTCCTAGGTATCACGAAGGTCATTGACATAGTCAACTGACCAAGGGTATCAAACAACATAATCGCTCATAAAAACACGACCCTCGGAAGGGCCACATAAGATCCCATCACAATGGCAATGGAAACCTCGGGCACGCATATCCCACCACATCACTTCTTCAACGAATCACTCTCCTCCACCCACCAATTGTCAACATGGAACTGCGACTCGACCAGCCAGTTCTTCAGCGGCGCACGCTGCGGCGCAAGCACTTGCTCAATGAACCGACAAGCCTCGACATCCGTCGTGTCCAGCTGACCACAATTAAACAATTGGCCCTGCGGGAAAGTCTCGACGTAATCCTTTTGTTCCGGCAGTCGTAGCATGAAATTGACCACCCAGGTCGCCAGCCTTCCATTGATGTTATTGTATGGGGTTGGGCCGCGCTGTGCGAGACGCATGTTCTCATGCGCCCACTGCAGGATCTCAGGGCCTCTGGTGGGGAGCGATTCTGCGCTGGCACGGATGAGCGCTTCGAAGAAGGCTGCGTTTAGATGATGCCTATCGGGCCTATCGGGCCTAAAGCGGCCCACCTGGGTGACGGTTATGAAGTGGTCTGAGGGGAACATGTAACACTTAGGTCGGCCTTCTCGGGACACGTGGAAGCGGTAGAAGTATTCGTCAAGTTTCAGGAGCGATATGAGCGCGTTGTAGTTGTGGGTGCGGAGGGCTTTATCGACGCCCTCGTGTAGCACGCTACGGCGGACCCATGAGTTAGTCAAGGGTGAAGGGGTTCCGGTTTGAGCGTAGTTGTTCGAACACATGCGCAGCATCTCCAGGTACATTACGTCGTTCGGGGTGAAGCCCGTACTGCGGCCGCGGAGGAGGTGGTCGGGGAACTTTATGATTGACAGGGCCGGCCGGGTGACGGTGTAATTCATCGTCTCGGAGCGTATCTCAATCTTCACCATGGGTTGAACGCGGAGCTTGTACTGGTGTGGAGCGGGGGTGAGCGCACCGCGTCCCGCTTGGGAACTATGATACCTGTCTGGTGCAAGCTCGAGGGGCGGTCCCTCGCCAGAGAATTCACGAATCGTATCGTCCTGGCGATTCATAAACTTTTCCAATGCGGCTTGCTGATCCAGTTCCATCGTCATACCGTGATTGATCCATAGTCGGTGGATAGTGAGGATCATGAGAGTTGGTATCTGCTCGCGCACGCGCTCCATGGTACACCACCGAGTGCGAAGAACCTCTTGCTGTAGCATACCTCGCTCGGGGAGCTCGAGGGGTACGTATTTCAGCGGCCGCAGGATGCGCTTGATAGGCTCACTGTCCGGATTGGTCGAGTTATCATCCCAAAGGGCAAGGATGATAAGGATCTTGTAGATTTTTTCTCTCGAGACTGCGGCGGCGATAACAGGTGATGCTCGTGGCAGGTTCAGATTCAGCGACTTGAGAAAGATCTGCTCCAGGATCTCTACCGGCAGACTCTCGAGCATCGACAGCCGGCGCGGGGCCGGGGTCGATTCGAGATTCGGGGTCGCCGGGGACGGAACCGGGGGCGCAGTTGTCGATCGGACCGGCATCTTGAAGGGACGGCCAGGGGGCCGCTTGGGCTTGAATGGGGACCGTGTAGATTTGGCAATCCTGTAGTTGGAGTTGGGTCTGGAGATATGTGTAGCTGGTGGGACGCGTTGTTTCTTCTCGCGCCTCATCGCGAGGCTATCACCGCTTTTGCGGTGAGCCATGGCATATCACAAGAATACTCGCGCCTCAATATGTTTCCCTGCTCCATCGCAGCCGTATCTGCAACTAGTACTCCATTGTCGATGTTTTTCTTTGAGTCTCCGAAGGTTCGATCTCCGAAGCGGCGCGAATTGTTCCCGATCGCCTTTGGATCGCTGATTGGTGGGAGATCAGCCCGTTGCCACGAGCGTCTAGGCCAGGGTTGTCGTTGATCACGTGGACTCACGTGATGTAAGAGTTTATTACCCCACTTTGTATTGTCCAAGTCAGGTTTAGCGTATAGCCGCGTGATATCAAGTGACGTCAGTGACATCTAGGAACGTCAGGGTCTTTTGCCCTCTGGAGAGGTTCGTGGGGATGGAGAAAGGGTAAGGAACATGAGATGCATCCATGAATAATAACAGGGTCAGTGCCAATACTCAATGCAAAGGTCTAGCCAACGAAAAGCTCACAACAGCCACACCAACGAACCTAGCCCGTGGCAGGGATCACCTAGAAATCAAGGAATTGGTCCAGCCAGAGCGTCGTGATGACGGCATACAATCGAGCTCCCAACCCAATCCGACTGCATGTCTTGTACTTTGTAACGTGTAGCTCTCTCCCTTCTTCATCTCCATTCCACACCGAGCATTAAATTGCAGAACGTGGCTGTCATCTCCCTGTTCTCTTCTATACTTCCCACTTCCGTATTGGCTGCTGTGAAACTACGTCAGTTTTATCTCAGCCCTATTGTCATTATCCACACCTCGAAGCATTCCTCCTATCCAGCGAAAATCCTGTTGGTCCTCTGCCAATTTCGCAATACACCGTCTATCATTCACCTCTTTCAGCCACCAGTTACGTATCTGGAAGCACCAAAAAAGAAGCATCGTGTGGCTGTTTCTGTTTGATCCCCTACCTTGGCAATCAAGTTCTGATTAGGACCACTTGACGCCTGATCTCATTTCCTTGTTTGCTTTAAAAGGCCCTCCCCTGCGTCACCTTCATATATTTCTTCTACCATGCGTCCATTCAGCGACACTTCCACCCACGCTACTGCCTCCTCCAGCTCTGGACCGGCTATTCCAATCAAGCCCAAGCCTTAAACTACTCTCCCAAAAACCCCTCGACGTTATATCCTTGACAAAATGGGTGCTGTCGTCTCCTGTGTATGGAACCCCCATGATCCATGATCAAGCTTCAATACTAATATCCTCTTCTCTCTAGATCACCAGCGTCTTCCACGCTATCGGCCGCTGCCTCATGGGCATCGTCAATGCCATCGGCTCCATCCTCCGTGCCATCCTTGACGGAATCATCACCATCTTCGATGTGATCATCTCCTGTCTCACCTGCCAGGGTTGCTCAGGGCGCCGGCGTCATCGAACCAGATCACGAGTCTGATGGGGCTACAAAACCCTTGTCGACGAAACAAGCCGACCATACTATGTCACACCCGGGATAAGCATTTTGGTCGGCCCTGTCTAGTGGTTTTCTTCTTTGACGGTGCCATGATTTATCCGGGTTGCTTTTCTTTTCTGAGATGGCCTTGACGGCTCTTAGTTTTTTCTTTATTATCTATGCTACATACCCAGGCGCGTTAATATGAGGATTGCTTTGGATATTGAACCATTGTTCAGCTATGTCCTTCGTAATGCTATATGCAACTGTAGAGTCGAATAAGCTATACAGGTATAGTCGTATAAATGCAAATAGAGTTACAGTGTACGCCGTGGTTCAATGCAGCGCTCATCAATGCTAATCACTCAACTGGCAAGTTGTCCCAGTCAACCGCAGCAGATCCTCCTTCGCCGAAGCAGGAATAACATCCCACCGCTCATTCAAAATACAACTAGCAAACGGATCCCCCGAACCCCGGGCATACCTCCGTATCAAATGATAATGCTCGGCCTGGAACGGCCAAGTAACCGGAACCCGACAATTCGCCGCACGAAACGACATGCGCAATAACCGACGAAACGGCTCAATCCTACGTCTTCGAATCAACCTTGTCGTAATCACCACAGAGCGCTCCGCCGAATGTTCATCCTCGTCTAGATAAAAATCCGAAGAAAGTAACTGCAGAAACTCGAATTGCGCATCCGACCACGGCTCCTGCAGTACTTTATCCGGTATTCGACCGGGTCCGATAACCACCGAACAAGGTAATCGAAACAAATCATTCTCATAGTAAATCTCATTCGGCTCCCGGATCTGCACAGCACCAAAGTGGAACCAAATAGCAACTTTTCGATCGAAACTGCGCGATAACGAAGACCGCTCTCCATCCGGTAACTGCGCAGGAAGAACGAGATCTCCCTTCCCACGCCGTCCATCAACGGCTTTATCACAACTGTCCAGATCATCGAATCGGTCATCCAACGAATCCAGTATCCCCCGATCTTCCTCTGAAAAGACCAAATCCGCACACTTGCGTCTGATAGCATGATCCACGTATTCCCGCTGACACCGCCTCATAAGTGGTAACGTACACCAGCGACATGTCAGAATCGCGGTCTGCAATTTCTGCCTCTGCTCCCACTCCAGGGCCCAGAAATCCAGCGGCGGGGGCAGGAAATCCGGTGTGAAGAAGCCCTCCCTCGAGCCGGGGTTCGTGCTACTGAAGACTAGGCGGATAAGCCATGTGTAGAGCACGGGGTTGGATAGTGCGCGGGCCAGACGGGGTGATGCCCGGGGTAAGTTGATTTCCAGACTGTGGAGGAAGATTAATTGGAGGATTTCGACGGGCAGAGATTCCAGGCGTGATGTGCACGTGTGGACGGGCAGCGGATCGAATGGACCCATTTGAGAGGTTAGGAGGGTTGTCGTTTTTATTGGAATGCCTCTTAGCTTTTTTTTAGCTGGGAATAAGATGTCTGTCGATTATTTTTATCCGTAATCGTGCCGTTATGGAGAGTTCAACGTCTTTCAATAGGGGCGGGTAGAAAGAAGATGACTCCGTTCATCTCAGTGACATGATTGTCCACGATATCCGAAAAGCAGAACAATCATGACGAGGCCATTGGAGCGACCGGTCACGCATGTAGGAAACAAAACTAAAAGGATTCAACGAGGCATCAAGAGAGGGGAGGAGGGGTGAGGAGGGGGGGGAAGTGGATAGACCTGAATAGATGGTGAAATGACATGTCTTGGCATGGGCTGTTAGGCTCACGCTATTCGGCGTTATGACATCGTGGTGTGGCGCTGTCAGCTGGGGATTGCATTATAGCATTCTGCATAGAAGGTAGCTCTATGGCTGGATATTAGAGACGGTGCATTCTTGCCATCGTAGCTATGTCATTAATGCTGTGGTCGTCTATTTGGTGGCATTCCGATTGATCTTGGGGCTCTTCGTATACGAGGAGTGGGACCGTTGCTGCACGAGAACACGAGATTGATGCAGCTGTAAATAATTGAAGCACTATCCATCAATGATGACTCCAGGCCACTTAATGATATATTTCCTGACTAGGTTTATCCATTGCTTTATCCTTAATCTTTACTATAAGTGTGGTTGTCGGGAACCTAAACCCGCTCGTCCCAAGGTTGGCCCAGCCCGATATATATCTTGTTCAGGTACCTATACTTCCACCCTCTAGGTTATCCCACCAGTTTCCACATTGATAGTTAAAATCAATCCCGTCTACGCTAGACTCTGCGATTAAATCGCTAAACTATCTACGAACAAGATACTCGAGCGCAAGAGATAGATCTGTCACACAGGAAACGCAGAAACCATCTGGATTTGAATTTGTTTCTATACACATCCCATCCGCCCCACCACACCAACGATGGGAGGTTTCTAACCGTACCCTGGCGAAAGCGCCATATGCTTGACATTGAAAAAATACATCTTGCGGTGTAATGACACGGGGGATAACAAGGGGAATTGGAGGGAAATGGTCCCACCGTTTAAACGGCGGACAGATCGCCGAAGCGCTCCTGTAAGAAAAGCATGAGTATTGGCAAACCACAAACCGTAAGTATAATAGGTTGCAACGTACCTTGTAGCCGGGCGGCATCCACTTGCCCTTGGAAACGAGGGAGGCGGTCTTCTCGTCGATCTCGGGCTGGGCAGAGGCAACCTCGTCCTAGAAGCGAAATAAAAACGTAATAAGCGACCAATCCAACCACATGCATAATCCGCACAAATACGTACCACGGTGAGGTCCTCGAAGGGACGAGCAGTCTCGATGTTCTCCAGGGTCTTCTGGAGGTTGACAAGCTCGGCATCGATCTTGCCCTTGGTCTGCTCGGCGTTCTGGACGGCCTGGGCCTCGAAGGCATCGATGGCCTTCAGCTGGCGGCTGACATCGTAAGAGGCGGGCTTGAAGGTCTTGAAGTGGTTCTCGATCTCGTCAATGACGGCCTGGTTCTTGAGGAGACCGCGGTAGTGGGCGAAGTCGATGGTCTGGGGCTGCTCGGACAGGACCTGGACCTTGCGGCGGGCATCGTCGTTGCGCTTCTTGAAGGACTGCAGAGAGGCGGCGGTCTGGCCGCGGAGGCCAAGGGAGGTCGAAACCTTGGCCCAGTCGATCTTGAGTGCGGCGCTGCGCTGTTCCGGGTAAGGGGAGGAGTTTTGGTTAGCCGTTTTGCTCGTGCGGATTCCCGGCTCGGGGCCAGTCTGGGGATGCGCAGGGGAATGGGCTCGATGTGACCTACAGCTGCCATTGTGACGGGAGGAGAGATAAGTGGTGGAGGTGGAGAGAAGGAGGGGGGAGGTTTCGATGTGCAGGGAGGTGCCGGACAGGCGAGTTTGACTCGGAAAGGTTTGGATGCGGGTGGCACGTGACGACCCGGCATCCGAGCATCGGCTGAGAAGAAAGAGCTGGGATAACGATATACAAGACCGCAAAAGAACAACAAATTAATTCAAGATTAATTTAAATTGACCGAATTTAGAATTTAGATATTCAAGGTTAGCCAGAGGTTACAATTTTACCATAGTTGAATATATCAGGTTGTGAGTTCGAATTCTTTTTGGGTTAATTTGTGTACACTAAAACGCAATCTACGATGAATTGTAATCCATCGGACTGCTAAAACCCAAGCCACTCAAGAGAACCGCATTGACCACCAATTGAAGGTCATTATATGCTGAGGGCCATGATCGAGTTCACGATATCATTGTCATTCTCCCGAAGGGCCTTGACAGCCTTCTTGCGGGAAACGCTGGCCTGGGCCATGACCAACTCAATGTCCTTAGCCTCAAGACCAGCCTCGTCAACCTCCTCACCATCATCCTCTTCCTCCTCCTTCTTGGCCTCGACCTCGGGGGCCTTGCCCTTGCCGTGGTCGTGGTCGTGGTCATGGTCGTGGTCGTGACCGGCGTGCTCGGCAGCCTCGGCGGCAGCAAGCTGCTGGGCAGCGGAAGCCTGGGCCTGGGCGTTCAGGTCCTCAATCTTGGCCTCACCGAAGATGCTAGATATAAGAGTCAGCAAGGAGTTCGCATGAAGTTGTTGCAGAAAAAGCCACATACATCCAGGTGTTGCTGGAGGGGGATCGGTAGACGTCGGGCTGGTTAACGACGAAGAGGATCTGTAGCGCCGAAGAAAAGGGAATCAGTATTTCTGAAAGCAAGTAGAGCTGCCGCATTTGTTCGCAATGATGCCCATGGGTAGCTAGCATCATCTTGACGTTTTGCGACTAGCCGTAATAGGTGGATAGGTGGTGTCTTCATACGTTCTTGGGGCGGCGGAGGGTAACACGGGTGATGCCAGGGACGTGCTTCAGGCCGAGCTTAGCAATGGCCTTGCGGGCCTTCTTCTCGTTGCGAGAGTGGATGGTGACAGCAGCACCGCCGGGGATGACGGGCTCGTCGCCAGCCTCAGACTCGGAGTCGCTCTCGACGGTCTTGGGGACCTCCTCATCGGGAAGCTCTTCAACGCGGGGGTCGGCCATTGTGAATGTATAAGGTGATCTAATAAGCGGCGAAGCGAACAAAGTCAACGTGTTAGTTCAACGTTAAGATGAGATTAAAGTTGCGCAATTCGAGTGAAGAAGGTGTCGGCCAAGGTGGGATAGTGGGAGTGGTGGGCATTGAGTGGACAGAGGTCGACCAGCCCCTCCCACGAACCACACAAAAGCTCGGAAAATCAAGGGTTTCGAGGTAGGGATTTCATTTTGACGAGGGATCGGGCAGTTCAACGCACCTGAAGCACAGAGATGAAGCTGTGGTGGAAGCGGGGTGGATTTTGTTGGTTCGTGAGGTTGAAGGTTCACGTAGCTGTGCGGCAGCCCCGTCGGCCGAAAATCGTTAGCGAGGCGGTTGCCCACCCCGGACTCCCACACTGTGCCCTCGTCAGGACTGACTATGTAACACATAGTTAACTATACATCATAGTTAAGATGGATCTGGAAATTCTATTTACATATACCATACTTCTAGAAAATGCACTATTTATTTCTTTACAATGAAAAGTCTTCTCTGGCCACTTTTACATAAATTCATTTTGCTCTCTTTCCTTTACGGAAAGAAGAGTTTCCCAGATCTATCAAAAAGAGGAGCTCCCGGTTTAGGGGCCTAGACGCAGAGCAGAACTATGACACAAGCCCTTGCCGGGATATCAAGGTAGTTGAATCATTTTTGCTGTAGATCGATTAATGAATACAGCGATTTTGCTGGTGGAAATGGCCAGCTATTGGAAACCCGTCCCAGGACACCTCCTTCATCCTATGCACCAAAACCCTCGTAATCATTTATGACTTGGCAGCGGCAGCCTTGACCTTGGCGTAGGACTTCTGGACCTCGTAGCGGGCCTAGAGCGAAAGATGTTAGATTGTGGTCCGGAATATCAATACAAGTGCTGGAAATTCCGGAGAACAGGGGTGTGGAGAGAGAGAGCGAGCGAGTTGTCCGATGTTGATCATGTCGCACGCCAATACTGCGCATTTCTCCCATATTCCCCAATTCTCTCGAAAAATCCAGGTCGTGATCAACGTACCTGCTTGCGGAGGCGCAGAACCTTGAAGCGCTCGAAGTCGGTCAAGTTCTTGCGGCGCTCAGCGCGGTCGGTCTTCTGGGCGAAGCCAGACTTGGCCCACTTGCCATCGATCTCGTTCTTGGCCCACAGCTTCTTGACGGGGCCGGTACCGGCAGCACGGGGAAGTTGGGGGATAACGAAGTGGGTGAGAGTGGCGTGAGCGAGAGGGAGAACGTGACGGGGCACGATCTTCTGCTCCTCACCGGAGGGACCGTCGACCAGGACCTGTAATAAGAGAAACCACATGTCAATACACATTTTTCCACACACGTTGTCGCTCGTTCGCATTTGGGGAGGGAGACTGTTTCGGAATCTCGATTCATGGTCGGGATATCTCATCTCGGAAGAGGGTGGTGCGAATCGAACAAAGGGTTGGGTTTTTTTGGCATTTCTTTCAACGTACACGGCGGTGGTCAACAATCTCGACGACGGCGGCGAGCTTGCCAGCGTAGGGGCCGCGGCGGATCAGGACGAGGCGGCCAACCTCGACCAGCTTCCAGGAAGCGAGCGTAACGTCGATATCGGCCATCGCGAATTTCTGGAAGTCACAAGAAAAAAAGTCTCAGCGCTCGTTCTCTTTTTTGTTCAGTTGGATTGTTCGCTGCAGCGGCACTCACGGTCGACCGGGTTAGGATGTGTCGGAGGGTTGTTGTCGAAAGAGTCGGATTGTCCAAGTTCACTCTTGCGAATTTCGGATGTGCCCACACAATTCTCGCTTAGCGGGCCACTCGCGGCGGGTCTAGGGTTGGCTTATGTCAGCGCCCGGATCATTTACGGGTCAACTTTATTCCGCCAGGAAGCTTTTCTTGCGTTTTTTTTTCGGCGAGGGACTTTGTTATTGTCTTCATGTCTCTCCACGAGCAAAATGGTGCTCTCTTGGTAGATGGACGATGATCTTCGCCTTCAAATTATGATACAGCTTCGACACTAACTTTCCCCTCCGACACAGGGTCCACTAATGGTACGTTTCTGCTTTTGCTTGTCTTCTCTCTTCCTGCCACTCAAATGATGCGGTAATTTGCGATTGACCCGGTGTCTGTGAGGCTCTCGCCGGAGCTCTCGATACAGCACTGCTGGATGATATTCAATTTTCTTACATATTCTGATATTCTTGTGACACTACATTATTATTGTTTTCATGACCTCAAGCGGACCTTATCGCTAACTGCTTGAAGATTTGTTTTAGATTCATTCCAAATCTGGAACTGGAGCTTGACTTCGATCTGGATGGCATGGCCATGTCGCCTGGCCTTGCTTACCGACGAGGTTAGTATCTTCTTAATCCTGTCGTGGCATGTCTTGCACCACTCCACCTCCTTCCCCCCGGCCCTATGATTAAAATCTTATCACGCCTAGATAGTAATTGAGCTACGGCTATGATATTACCTTTATCACCAAGATCTCTGAGGACCACTCACACAATGCATCTCTTGCTTTGCTTCATCAGTTGGGATTTGTTTCTAACTTTTGATAGATTTCTTCGGCTTCCTATCGTCAATGGCGCATCACCACCAGATAGTGACATCAATACAAAAACATTTCATGACTACTTGACCTTTTTCTCTCCGTAATCTATGTTGGACATTGTTCGTGTAAATACCGTGTCTCCGCTGTAAATAGTTTTGATTACAATAAGTCGTGCTATATCGTGACTATCAGGGCCCCAAGTCCAGAGACTTACGGCCCAGAAGCAATTCGGACGCTGGATGACCACCTAGTCCGTACATGCCGTGCCCCCTACCAATCCCATCTATAACCCCAATCATGCAAGTGGTTCCACATCCTCCATACAAAACATCATGAGCTGGCGCTCGCACCCAGCGTGGACGGGCCCTCCCGGCTCAGCACCCACATAAAGACGAACTGGATGAGATATGCGTACACGAACAGGAACTGAGTGCGACGGTTGCGCTGCGAGCGAGCCACGGTGTGCATAGCACCGTTGCGCATAGTCGAATCAGTCGAGTCGGGAAGCAAGACGTACTTCAATGAGCGGAGCTGTCGTTGCCCGTTAGTCAGAAAATCAGAACATGTGGAGAAAATAGTCCCACACTCACCAAGAAGAAGGCATTGGCCAAAAAGGTGTACACAAAGACAGTCCAGCCGACCCAGCCACCGGTTCCATGTCCGGGAGTCAGGATTTCGGAGGCAACCAGAGTCACAATAATGCCCACAAACTTGTATCCGGAGTAAGCGACCAAGTCCAGGAGCTGAGAATCGTTGTTGATGCTCAGGATGTACATGGCCATCTTCAAGCACAAGATCTCGAAGATAATCACGGCAATGGCCGTGGTGGTGATCGATCCTAGAAGCTCCGGGTGGAAGTTACCCCGGAAGCCAGCCAGCAATACCGATAGCAGGATGTATGTGACGAGTGCCATAACGGGAATGTACATGTCAGGCGAGTTGAGGTCGTCCCGCGGGGGCAGGAACATGGAAGAATATTGCTGCTGGACAATCTGACCGTTCGGCCCCGTGGGATTACCGGCCATTCTGGCCTGTTGGCGAGACCAGGGCTTGTGTCGCCATGGGAAGAGGACGAGAGCGAGTTTCCTCAAGACGTACGAGTTGGAGACGTTGAAGTAGTGCTTCAGGGCAGGAATAGAAACGTAGCGGTTGAACTAGAGCTCCACATTAGCAAAGACGAGCCGATTGATTCATTCAAAACATATAGACATACATTTTGCTCCATATACTCCTGACCGGCCTTCATCGCAGTCTGTCCGACCTGGAAACCCATCTGCGCCGTAGGGTCGTTTATGAACCCACCAAATCCGGGGGCATAGCTGCCACTGCCTCCCTGTGCGGGAGACGGCTGGTATGGGTTACCTCCACCGCCATACCCGGCATTCGGTATCTGTTGAGAGGAGGGAGGGGGTGGTGAGCGCATCATCGGGACAGTCGACACATGCTGCGGAACAGGGTGATGCAGAGGCGGCGACTGCGCGGGCGGCGGTGCGAAGGAGCCCCGGTACATGATGGACCTGAATCAACAGGGGGAGAGAGGAAGAGAGAGCACTAGATGGGACTGAGTAGTGCGTGCTTGCGTCGAGGGGCGAGGTTGGGGGGAGGGGGTTTGAGTGGTGGTGGAGGGCGTGGTGATGGTTGTAGTTGGGTAAAGTAGAGCGAAGTGTTTATACGTGGCTGAAGATCCGCTCTGCCTCCGGAGCTCGAACATTCGCCTTTCCCCGATCCGCCACCGCGCGAACTTTCCCACCAGGTCAGCCTTGGTCCTACCCCCCACCTCTTTCGATTCCCCAGGATTCCCCCTTTTCCTTATTCCTTAATATCACTTCCAATCGTATCCAAAGATGTTGGAAGCTTTTGAAATCTTGACCAGCTCTGGTGTGGTGCTGTGGTCAAAGTCATACGCACCGGTGGGGGCACACGTTATTAACAGCCTGATCAACGACGTCTTTATCGAGGAAAAGGTTGTGCCTCAGAGCACTTCGGTAAATGGTGCTTTACCGGTCTTCAAAAAGGAGAAGTATACCTTGAAGTGGAAGAGGGTCAAAGAGTTTAATTTGATCTTTGTGGTACGTTTGATCGCCGTCGCATGTCGCATGATCGACACCCTCCTGCGCTTGACTCGAATCGCAAGACTTACTTTGATTACTACAGGCCGTCTACCAATCGCTGCTACACCTCGGATGGATTGACAAGCTCATCGAAAACATCTCAACGATCTTTATCGATGTCTACAAAGACCAGCTGAAGGGAACCCGCGCTAGAATCACCGCCTACAAATTCGATGCATACTTTGAGCAGCAAGTGCGGGAGCTGGAGGACAATACGGGCAGCGTCGCAGAGGTCTATTCTGGAGAGACTGGGGAGAAGAAAGACCCGCTTGTCTCATCGGACAATGGGGGCCCGCCACCGCCGCCGGTGCCCGGCCTCATGAAGGGTATGTGATTGATTTGACTCATACTGGACTCGAGAACATTGTGGGCTAACGACCCTAAAGCGCAGCACCAAGCTGCGCTAGCTGGGGCGACCTCTGATGAGGCCACCCCGCCAGCAACTCCTGATATTTCTAGATCTTCGACTCCCACGGGCCACCTCCTCACCGGGAAGACTGGGCCCGCCGGTCGAGTCTCTCGCCGTGCGCGCAAGGCTGCTAATGCAAGCGCCAACGCCTCATCCGGTGATGAGCATTCTCGGAAAGGAAAATCCACGCCTAAAAGCTCTGCTAAGAAAATGCGCAAATGGGATGCGGACGGGTTTGCTGATGAGGATGACGGGGAGATTTTGGACTACTCTGCCCCGGCAGACGAGACCAATGCTGCCGCTCCGGTTGTGGAAGCCGTTTCCCAGGAAGACATGGGCCACAGGACCGGTAAGGGTCAATTTGTCCTGAAGGATTTGGGTGACGAGGTCCACAACATCCTCGACAATGCCGACGCTGAGAAGAGCAAGGGAGCTGCGGCTTCTGGTGTGGTGGGCTCTGGTTTCAACGCAATTGGCGGCTTCTTCCGCAACATTGTTGGCGGCAAGGTCTTGACAGAGGCTGACCTCCAGAAGCCATTGAAGGCAATGGAGGACCACCTTCTGAAGAAGAACGTTGCTCGTGAAGCCGCCGTTCGTCTTTGCGAAGGTGTTGAACGTGAGCTTGTTGGAAAGAAGACCGCTAATTTCCAGAGCGTCGATGCTGCTCTGCGCATCGCTATGGAGGCATCTTTGCGGAAAATTCTCACCCCTACCTCTTCCTTGGACTTGCTACGCGAGATCAACGCCGTCACCGCACCTACCACCAAGCACCAGGCTCCGCGTCCGTACGTCATGTCCATCGTTGGTGTCAACGGTGTTGGCAAGTCTACGAATCTCAGCAAGATTTGCTTCTTCCTTCTGCAGAATAACTATCGCGTTCTCATTGCTGCCTGTGATACCTTCCGTTCCGGTGCTGTGGAACAACTGCGCGTTCACGCCCGCAACTTGAAGGAGCTCAGTGCGCGCGAGAACGTTGGTGAGGTCGAGCTATATGAAAAGGGCTATGGAAAGGATGCCGCCAACGTTGCCAAGGACGCAGTCGCGTACGGTGCTGCCAACAAATTCGACGTTGTCTTGATCGATACCGCCGGCCGCCGCCACAACGATCAGCGGCTGATGTCTTCGCTAGAGAAGTTCGCCAAGTTTGCCCAGCCAGACAAGATCTTCATGGTTGGCGAGGCTCTTGTGGGAACTGACAGTGTCATGCAAGCCCGTAATTTCAACCAGGCCTTTGGCACCGGTCGAAACTTGGATGGATTCATTATCAGCAAGTGTGACACGGTTGGTGACATGGTTGGAACACTGGTCAGCATGGTCCATGCCACCGGCATTCCTATCGTGTTCTTGGGTGTCGGGCAGCATTATGGAGATCTGCGTGGACTGAGTGTCCCTTGGGCTGTCAACCTCCTGATGAAGTGATGAATGACCCTTTGATTATTTTCGATATCAGGCTACCAAACCATGCATTGCCTTTTGTGCTATAACTCGTTCTCTACATCTCAATTGTATAACTTGTGTCTCTTGGAAATATCTTCGTGCCTTTCTTTGTCTATTGTCTTGTCCCAACTGAAGGTATGCCATACTCGATGAACAAAATGAACTTGCCCCCCACTATGCAGATGCAAGCTGAGCAAAAAAGGAATCGTCATGAGACGATGATCTGGAACAATATGACCTACGCAGGGGTCGAACCTGCAATCTCTTGATTCGTAGTCAAGCGCCTTGCCATTGGGCCAGCAGGCCGTCTTGTTGAAGAAACTTCGAGGATTTGTGCTCCACGAGGAAGAGGCGAGATGGGGCTCTGTTCCGATCCTCTGGTTGGTCTAGGACTGTAAGGGCGGGGCGTGCTATGCCTATCTTGGAATAGATTACATATTGAAAAAGATCTTGCAGAAAATCACTCTTCCACAGTGAAGATTTAGGTAACGGATTTCTAGATAGACGTCGTTGTCGGGTATTAGGACAATCAATCTTGCAAGTTTGAACAGTCAGGTATCCTACCTTGTTAAGTCATTCTAAGTTTACAATTCACATCATTGAGGGCAGTTGTGCATCGTAATTAGAGTAGCATGAATGAATGAACTTCTGAACCACCACTGCCTCTCAGGAAGAGCGTATTTAATCAAATTATTTGTAGAACTATTAATTCCCTCCAGAGTAGTCGAGTGTAATGCCCACCAAAAAAAATCTTGCTAAATGAATAGATCCAGACCTATCAAGAGCAAAAAGTTACTCTCCCTCGGGGAATCGAACCCCGGTCTCCCGCGCTTATCGGTGTTAATGACAAGCGGAAATCATGACCACTAGACCAAGGAAGATGAGATGATCGAGTTACCGCTCGACCACTTGGTGCTGGTTGATGGATGGAAATACAAGATTTGCTTTTATGACCCCCTTTTCTACCGTATATGGCAACATCAACTACTCGACACTCACTCATCCACCAATTTCGAGTTAAGCAGAGCAGATAGGGGATTTATGTTTATTGTTTCCTAATAAATTAGGCACTAACTTGTCGATCATGAGGCTTTCATGTTATATGCAGTAGGAGACGTTCGTATATATATTACGAGGGCATTCTGTCTCACATAGAGCTCAAGTTCGCCTCGGACGGGACTCAACCCAGCCTCCGTGATCTATTGAAGTCCATATACATGAGATTATTGGAGATCTATATCGCATGGGGAAAATGGTGGCAACAGGGTACCTGCACCTAGTTATGCATGATGTGCAGATGAACGCGCAATGGAATACTTGATTGGGTGGACTTGTTGCACAAGAGTTCGAGACTTGTTGGTAATGTTGCCTGGTATGAAGCCATGGTTGAACACTACCATCCGAGTAATTCAGCGAGCAATAGGAAGATGTTGTGTTACTAGATCACTGAAAGAATCAGTCAGAGATAAAACTAACATGGAGTTGTTAGATCTCCCGCATTAAGATAGAATCTAATCAATAAACTTTGCCCGCAACCAGCGGAAATCGTCCGATTCCCCGCGGGCAGAATGCGATGACTCAGCAGCTCCATTCCACCGCTTACATCATCTCTCCAACCCAGATTCGGGTAGTTTCCCAGCTTCGTCCATCCTCAAAGCAGCCATTCCAATAAGCAGATCTTCTATTCATGTCATCTAGACTGCCCTTTGACGCCAGCTGAGCACCCCGAAATCACGTCAGATATCTCCCAACTGCACTCCCATCTTGAGAGTGAGAGCGAGAGCGAGAGCTCGCACACGACCAAGACCGCGGCTACGATCGGACAGGCGACCAGCCTTGCCCAGTTGCAGGGTTGATTGTCCAAATTCCTCGCCAACCCTCGATCCTCCCGGCGCTCCGCAGAAATGACAGCCTCAGAGTCAACCCAGATTACTCGCCGCTCTTCCACGCAACACTACCAGACGTTCGACACCCCGCCGCCCAAGTCGCGTGGGCGACCCAATTCCGGCCAGTCGGAGTCTTCAGGAGATGGCTCACACGATCCAAATGACTACAATGACCAGCCTGGCACGAACTCGCCACTGCCGAAGAAGCAGATGGCGGTGCTCGCCATGATCGCCTTGGCGGAACAGACAGCCCTCAACTCGATCAGTCCTTATCTCCCCGATATGGCGTCGACATTTCCAGAGGTGGAACCCAGTCAAGTAGGTGTTTATGTGGGAACTATAGCGTCGGCATTTGCTTTGGCACAATTTGCGACCAATTACTATTGGGGTTGGCTGTCAGATCGGATTGGGCGCAAGCCGGTGATCCTGCTTGGGACACTTCTTACTGCCCTGTGCTTCGTCGCATTTGGTTTCTGCAAGACCCTTTGGCAAGCTATACTGGTGCAGGCATTGATGGGTGTGGTCAACGGGAATCAAGGCCTGGTCTCCACCTGTCTGGGTGAGATTACGGACCGCAGCAACCAGTCGCAGGCTTTCACTTATCTCCCCGTTCTATATGGAATTGGAGGTATCACCGGCCCGCTCTTGGGAGGACTGCTGATCTTTGAGCGCAACCCGTTCACTGGCAATAAGAGCACATATCCATACCTCGCACCAAATATCGTTGCCGCCGCCATCCTTCTTGTGGACTTTACTTTAACGGCTATCTTCTTGGAAGAAAGCTTGGAAGACGCAGACACATTGCCCAAATTTGGAAAGAAGGTTCGCAGCCTTTTTACTTGGCTGTGGCAGTTCACGGGCTTTTCAAGACACCCGACGTATCTTCGACTTCCGCAAGAAACGCCATATTCTTCACTTCACCGTGGCACTGCGGATACTGAGGATCATGATAGCGACTTGGACTCAGCCTCTGAAGTGTCGAGCCGGGATAACCATCATGCAGAGGAGTTGACTTGGGATGAGATTTTCACAAGAGACACCATCCTCCTTCTCCTAACATATCTGATTTTTGCTTTCTGCAATGTCTCCTTCAATTCGCTGTTCCCAATCTTCGCACAAGCTAAGCCGCCCGTTGGCCGTCATCTGACCCCGTCTGAGATCGGCTTGTCGCAAGGTTTTGCTGGCGTAGTGACGATCATTTTCCAAATCTGCATCTTCAACCGTCTGCGCGATAAGATGGGCAACCGATGGTCCTACCGCGCTGGGCTGTTTGGATTCGTGGTCTCGTTTCTTCTGATGCCTTTTGTGGGCTATAAGAGCCAAGATGGAGAGAGTCTGACTCGCAAGTCGGCCCTCATGGCTGTGGAGTTGTGCTTTGTGTTGCTAATCAAGACGGTTGCCTCTGTGGGTGGGTTGACCAGCGCATTGTTATTGGTAAGTTTCTTATCTAGAGAGTTCTCCTCCTCTCTTAATTCCATTTTGGGCATAGGCTAATTATCCCCAGGTCACTAACTCTGCTCCAGACAATGCCGTTCTGGGTGCCCTCAATGGGCTCGCGCAGACACTCTCCGCAGCCGGACGTGCCGTGGGTCCCTTTTTGTCTGGCGGTCTTTTCTCATTGACATCCAAGATCCAGCCCAAGGGTGAAGCAATCGCCTTTGGAGTCTTTGGCGCCGTCTCATTCATCGGTTTCATCATGAGTTTTGGCATTCGCGGTCGATCTCTCGAGGCCGATGGCTGGGTTTCGGATAGTGACGACGACAACTACAAATCCGACGACGAGGACGAGCACAATGGCGCTTGATTGCGTTATCTAAGAATTCATTTGCAAAAACCCGCCGATACGACGTGACGACTCTTTGCTTTTTTTGTGAGCCTTATTCGCATTCGAAAATATACATCAAGCAATCCCGTTTTGGAGGGATTGACAAAGCATTTTTTTTAGCAGAGCGTGTCCCAGGGGATGAGGTGTTTCCCTTTGCCTTTTTCTGTCTCTTTCTTGTCCTACCCAGTTGTGATGATTTGGACATAGAATTGTATTTTTGCGATTGGGTGGCTGTTTCAAACACTGTACAATCATCGACGGTGGGAATTTCCACCTTGTGTCGTTTCATCGACTAGATATTTACGAATAAAAAGTTTCCAAATATCAATACATCGTTTCAAGTATAGATAGAGCCCGTAGCCGACTTATCGATGAAAGCAGAGGTATGACAATGTATCCATTTACCCGTGTATCCAATGAACTTGGCTGGGTAGAGATGATTGTATGGACTACCACTACTTGAGAACTTGAGATATTCGCACCGGGAATTGCATTTATTTGGTGACGCCTAGGCCAAAGTTCTAATAAATATCTGTCTAAGTTTTTGTTATCTCTAGTCTCTTCCACTTTGGCGCAATTTGGAACCGCAAATCTTTCTGAAGCATTAAATGACGAACTTCTAGGTGTTTTCCAGTTACTTCGAGATTTTCCCTGTCAATTTTTCCACAGCTCCAACGAGGGCCTGGAGTATATTCGCGCACAACAATTCTCATGGCTTCGTTATCTTCTCCATTGAGACCCTAGCCTGAGATCATAAAGCCTGGGAAGAATCTCGGTATCTGGTCTTGCAATGGAGAATGGATGCTTTCTTGGGATAGAAATCTTCATAGTATAGGGCGTTGAGGCAGTGCCTTGGATGTAAACGTACTTGTATTGTGGTCAAGCCTCTCCTTGAGCCTGTAATGGTTTTTCTTACATTGACAACCGGGTTCTTGGGCAGTCAAATCCTGCGATGTCTTTTACACAGCTCCGAAATTGAACACATCATCGGTCTGGTGCGAGCGCAAACTGAAGAGGAGGCAAGGAAAAAGGTAAACACTAAGCAACATTCAGACAATGGTGGGATCCATCGTTTTCCAATCATATGGAAGTTTGGTTGGGCGACCTTGAGAAGACTTCCTATGGATATTTGCTTTCAGCATTGCTCGCCTTCAAGCCGCGAGCAAGGATCTTGGTCATCTTAACGTTGCTGGCGTGGATCAAGCGTCCACCCTCGTCTCGGACGTCCTTCTACATCCGGACCGATGTGCCACTTACACGCTCCAATGTTTCGACGGAGTTGATGTTTTGACCCTTTGCACAATTCTGGAAGACAAGTTGAAGATCAAGATTAGGGAGCTCGATCATTCAGAAGGCATGGATACCGCGAACCGAAATCGATGAGGCAAAATTTGATCATCCATTTGCACCTGTTTTTGAATGGCTGCAAACCAACTCGTTGGGTACTGCATCTCCAAGCTTCCTGTTCAACAAGAGGGAGATTGTGATAACTCTGGAAAAAAGTGTAGAGTATTTGGAGGGAATTGATTACTTTTCGGAGAACAGCCACCGACGGGAACAGGCAAGTCGATTGGTTTTAGTCGGTCCACCCTTTGAACTTTGATACTTTGTCTTGGGCAAGCATATGGGAGTATTTATGTATTTTTGTGATGAAATAAATATGGGTTTGTGCAGTGGTTGGGTTATTTAAAGAAGTGTCTAACATCAGGTATCAAAATAGAAATAAAGTAGTATTGACCTCGGCCTTATTTTACTAGCGAGAATGCGGTCCTTGATAGCGGTTTAAAGGCACACTGGCGATACCTCTGGCTATTATTGCTTTGCTGTATTTCTCTCATTTTATTGTTTAACCTCATTATGCATAAATTTCTCTCACCAAGAGTCCCAGGTTCCGAATTGGTGTAGTGGCTAACATCGTCGTCTCTCACACGACAGCCAGGGGTTCGATTCCCCTATTCGGAGTTTTCATTTTATTTTTTTTCTTTCCTCTAGCTTTTCCTCCCAGTCAATTTCTAGGTTACCTATCTATTTAGTTACAGATAAGAATGGTGGGCTTGAAATTTAACTAATCGATTACAAACGCGCGAGGGCTACAGAAATGCTATAACTCTAGGGAAGGTACAAATGGATCCATTGGCTCCGTGAATCGCCACGATCAGCAGCAATATTCAGGAGATTGTAGCATATATATATCTATATATTCACCTCCCAATCGGAGGGATGAACCCTGCTGGAAGCCAGTACAATGGGCTTTATAATGCCGGTTAAATTGCCTCCACAATTTGGATTGTCCCAGGCCACGAGACGCAATAGCGCGTACATCCCCTAGGTATTGTCTGTCAATACTGTATTGACTCAAGGAGCAACCCTGAACAACCTCCATTGACGGCGAGAGCCTTAATGTGATTCAATGGCTCTGAAGTTTGTAGGAGAATTAAGGTGACATTGGGTAGAACCATCAAGCCTGTGGCAATTTATGTCGTTCATGATCTGGAAAAGCTAGGTGCTATAGGCATACCTTTGGCCCCAGCGACTTAGTTGCGTGAAATAATACTGGGTCTGGAAAGTTTCAATTGCTCTTTTAATTAATATATGCCTTCTTGAACCTAGTACTGTGGTTCCCGCTTGATTGGTGCGTGGCACAGTAGCGCGACTAGATACGACATACCCCTGCTAATCCATAGCGGCCTGTAGGTACTTTTGCCTTAGCTTGCCACCCCATTGTTATAACCTGGCACCGAGTCTAGGGCGGACTTTTCCGAGTCTCCGAGCTTCTAGGGGGATTATCTCCACTTCCCACGATCATATTCTATTTCAATTTTGAAAATAAGCAACGACATCAGGGTCAGTGTCAGCGTCAATACCATCTTTTGCCCCACTCCCTTTCTTCGATAGCCTTGTTGAACATTAATATATGTCTAAAAGTGAAGAGCATTGGCCAAACTTCGAGTCTAGGGTACGGGCTTGTCGAAACATAGAACCCAGGTGTTAGCCCCGACTCCGGCCCCAAGGGGGCGGGATGGGAGCCCCTTCCAGCCTCAGTTATTGGCTGAATTGATTAGCTTGCGCGGAAATCACATTCGGCGTCGTGGCCGTGTCCAAAGGTGACTAAATAGAACGCTATTTTGAACTCAGTTAGATACTTCGACTTAGTTGCGTCTGGTTCTGTGCCCCACCTTGTCACCACTTTAATAACCTAGGGCCTATCACTTCAATTGTATTCACTGCGCCACCTGCCGGCCCGACGCGAGGCCGTGTAGATATCACCATCAACCTATTTTCAGCAATGAATAAGCAGAAAATTCCAAAAGGGAACTGCTTAATTAAACCTAAGCCTCCCTCGCACCCACGCCCAGTCTACGTGGAGAGAAAAAAATAATACTATGACGCCTCTTGTTATCCAGCCAGTCACACTCAAGGATGTGCCGGCGCTTTCCCAGCTCTGGTATACATCCTTTAGTATTCCAGTGAACTTGCGTATGTTCCCTGATACCCCCGGAGTTCGAGCCTGGTGGGACGAGGCCAACCGCGCCGATCTTCTTTACAATCCCCTTCGAGTACTATTCAAAGTTGTTGATCCCGCTACGACTGACTTGATAGTCGCGTACGCAAAATGGGACCTGAACCCGGCTGAAAGTGGCGAGCGGTTCCCGCCCTGGCATGACGAGTCTGATCATGAAATATGCGAGCGCCTGTTTGATGGGCTAGCTGAAGAACGGAAGAAATTACTCGGACATCGGAAACATTATTGTACGAGTGACACGTAAAAAAAGCAGAGAACACCCACAGCTAACACCATCAACGTCTAGATTTGGATATGCTGGTGACGCACCCGGATTACCGTTGCAAGGGTGCTGCATCGATGCTGATACAGTGGGGATGTGATCTTGCAGATCAGAATGGGGTAGCGGCATATTTGGATGCCCACGTAGACGCCGCTCCCTTGTATCGGAAATTTGGATTTAGGGATCGCGATGATATAGGAGTTACCTCAGACGGGGCGGTTCCAATGATTAGAGAGCCTCGGAAACTAGATTAAGAGACAGGTACATACTTGGGAAGATACCGACCTGAATTGCGCGGCATGTAAATTTTGACTATTGGGTATTTCGCGATTCAAATTCTATTCTCAATCGAGTGCATCTCATACTCCTCTTCCACAGTCCACTCCCGCGTCTGATGAATTATTAGTTGCTGCGAATTCTGGCTATCTTGTGATAGCCGGGCCGCATCCAAATCAGTCTCATCCTCCTCTCTTTGGTTCATTGTATAGGCTCGGGATTGCGTAGTTGATGCGCTCTTGCCAGTTGGCGTGAAGTACGGATGTTCGCCGTTACTGTTTGTGATACCCTGCCCCCAACCTGTATTGAAGGCAATAACGAAAGGCTTCAGACATGGCACGGTCGATACCATGATACTGTAGTGGAGGATGACAGCGGTGGCGATAAGTGCATCCGATAGATGCAGAGATGGATCAGAATGAAACAGCGAACGATCGAGATAGGTTTGCCGAAGTATAATCAGAACAATCACTCTAGCGCACGTAGAAGATATGATTAGCTATCGAGACATTGCCTGGGTCTCTTCCATTCAATCAGAAACGTACGGAGTTCTAGTCCCAAATGCAAATATTACCGTCGCTTTTTCTTTCCACCGCATCTGGATACCCCAGACGAGAAAGATACTTAGTCCAAATGTGACAATATCCGTAATGACATCAAATGCAGTGATCGATTTCCACGCAATACCCTGTTTGTCCTTGTCAGCAAGGTCTTGCGTTACGTAGAGAAGCATAATGCATAACGCACGAGATTGGTACAGTTCTGCGCCATGCTCAATTGATATTGTGGGAAGCAACTGAGGGCTACCGCGAGAATAGATGCAATGCTCCACGCAGTTACCATACCCAGAAGAATTTTGGTAAACAGTAAGTAGTTTCTTTGGCGACCCAGCCGCTTAAGCAGCAAGCAAATTGAGATCTTGGCGGCACCGTGGCCAGCCAGAAACAGCAGATTTGCTGCGTAGACACCCTGAATTAAGAACATTAAGCAGGTCTCTTTGTTGATAATTGATAACAATTGAGAATATCATGGCGAAGGGTTGCTAACCTCTCCAGCACGTTTCAAATCCCATACCGAGCTCTCGTCCTGCGATCGACCGAGGCCATGGGAAATTGCATTCATAACTGTTCCAACGTGGGCGACGGCAAATACCTGCCAGATTGAACAGGGGAATACTTAGCATATGCCACCGCCATTGTGGATAAAATGTGTTTCGAGAGAAGAACTGCGAGTACGTATACTTACACTTGCGACAAACACCATCCAGTCGTCGATTTGCACCGGCCCATTGATCGCGAGGCGCATGTACAGTCGAATCAAACTTACCATAATCATCCAAGACATAAAAAGCATCTCGACGATCACGATTAGACCGCTTCGATCCGTCGCAGAGATCGCATACGGGGCGGTAGACTCCATGATGTGCGTGGATCGAGACTGGAGATGTATGATGGGACTAGAGAGACGACATTTGGTGATAGGTCATGATTTTAGTGTAAAGAAGGTAACGTAGCCATATCTGGGCGATTCAGGGAATAGGAGGGTACTGGGACAACGAGAACCTCAGTAGATTGAATTCTCATGATCGCAACCCGATGGCCCCCAACCACCCCCGAAGGATCGCATCTCGGAGGTAAAATTTCCCATTGAGATTATCGTTCATGGGTATGGCAAGGGTTCTCGCAGGATCGGCTGGATCCGCCCGGAAGAATTGAACTCGTAAATCGCATGATATTAGTAAAGGAGAAAAAGACAAGGATTGTGATCCTTCTCGGCCCAAGGAAAATTTCTGGGAGCATAGTTAGAGGTAAATGGTATCAACAAAATTTAGCCCCCTCTAGCATCATTGGATCAAATTACTGAGACATACTAAAGTAACATTATCGATCCAATCTAAACCAAGCTTCACTAAGCACGGAGTGATGATAGTTTCCATTTCACGACCGGCGCGGCTACTAATGCTGGCCTAATGCATCCTACTCTGCCCCGCTAACCAGAGTCTTGCTGGATGACAGGGGGTTCTCAACGTACATAAAACCTACATCACTACCCTGTCTCTCTGAAATTTTCACGACAAGGGTAGGGTAAACTGTTTGACCCGGATATTCCCCCTGCGATCCTCAGGATTTGCTAACCGAGACCACGGTTACATTCTTGCTCCGGGTGCATTATTCTCAGGATCCTGTCCTCAAGATCCTGTCCTCAAGATCCTCTCCTCCCTGCTGCTTTGGTTTTTCTTATTTTTTCTTCGTACTTTGCTCCCCATAACCTCATTTGCAGCTACTCAAACGACTGGAATTGAATTAACAATCAATCGCCATGGGGCACGAGAACGGAATTATGTTGACTGAAAGGTCTAAGCCAGAGGATGCATCTTCTAAAGTGGAGGGTACGGCGCAAGACAAGGAAGATATGTGGCGTGTCGGTAGAGATCAGGAACTGAACGTACGCAATCTCGGCGATTTCCCTGGATTGATCCTATTATTTCATATGGCAAATGAAAATAACACTGCGATAGAGAAACTTCCGGTTTCTATCAGTTCTTGGTTTTACAGCAGTGCTTATGTGCACCTGGGAAGCTGTCCTCTTGTAAGTGAAGGCCGATCAAGAGACTCAGATAAATGGATAGGAGTATTTACTAACATATTAATCTAGTGGTTCATCATATGGTCTGACTAATGGCGGCAAAGGAGGCATGATCTACACCTACCTAGGTGCCTTGGTAGGGTTCAGCTTCGTCATTCTATCTATGGCTGAGATGGCCTCTATGTATGTTGACTCCTTGGCAAGTTCATGTAACCTGCAAGAGCTAACCTTTTTTGAATCCTTCTAGGGCCCCCACATCCGGTGGTCAGTATCATTGGGTGTCCGAGTTTGCACCCCCGGGATCTCAGGCTATACTGAGCTACATTACTGGGTGGATCTGCGTTTTAGGATGGCATACTGGCATTGCAGGATGTTGCTACACGGTTGCCAATATGATGGTGGGCGTAATTGCTATCAACTATCCTGAGACGTATACCTATGAGCCGTGGCATGTTACACTGCTCGTCATTGCAGTGGCTCTGGTAGCCTTGCTATTCAACACCTTCTTAGCCCAGAAACTTCCTCTGATAGAGGGAATCATTCTAATTGTGCATTGTTTTGGTTTTTTCGGTATTTTGATCCCACTTTGGGTGCTGTCACCTAAAGTTCCGGCCTCCGACGTGTTCGGATCCATTGAAGATCGCGGCGGATGGGGCAACAATGGTCTCGCTTGTCTGGTGGGACTCACTGGACCCATTTATGCATTGATTGGTATGTTAACTTGTTCGCAATCCCTATCTTAACTAGAGCTAACATTATTTCCCGAATAGGCCCTGACTCGGCGGTTCACATGGGTATGTTTCACGCCAGCCTTAACCAAGTTTATATTCTAACTCCGTAACACAGCCGAGGAAATTCGGGATGCGTCCCGAGTACTCCCTATGGGCATGGTCTGGACCTTGATTCTGAACGGCTCGACTGGCTTCGTGATGATAGTCACGCTCGCATTCTGCGTGGGCAATATTGACGAAGTGCTCTCCTCTGAGACAGGCTTTCCGTTCATTCAGGTCTTTCTCAATGCTACTGGATCTGTCAGTGCTACGACGGGAATGACAGTCGTGATCATGATCATGCAATTCTGCGCGGCAATTAGTAACGTCGCAACGACCTCCCGTCAAATTTACTCCTTTGCCAGAGACAAGGGTCTTCCATTTTCCGGTTTCTTTGCGCAGGTTAGTTTTCAATTCTGTGAACCAAGTTTCTATGCCTAGTTTCCGTTCTCTAGCTAATCTGGATGTCAAAAGGTCAACCCAACATTCACAGTACCCCTCAACGCCCTCTGCGTCAGCCTCGTTATCGTCTCTCTCCTTTCGCTGATCAACATCGGATCTTCCGTGGCTTTCAACGCCATCATGTCACTTGGAACAGCCGCACTGCTCTCTTCATACATTATCTCCATCACTTGTGTTCGGATTCGACGCTGGCGTAATCAGCCTCTGCCCCCGGCCCGGTGGAGCATGGGAAAATTCACGCCCATTTGCGACACAATTTCTATTCTGGTCTTGCTGGTGATATGGATCTTTAGTTTCTTCCCTTTGACTAAGGAAGTGGATCCCACTACCATGAACTGGGGTGTTGCTATCTTTGGAGGAGTCATTATTATTTCAATGGGTTACTATGTTCTTCACGCCCGAAAGGTCTACAAGGGGCCAGTGACACGGGTTAAAATGACCCACCAACAATAGTTTGGGACCTGATATAGCCGGTAGTTTAACAAGTGAAAAAGAGATTTTGGTGCTAATTTATTTCACTTTCAATGTGCAAAACTTTCCTCGGCTAATGTTGACAACTCAGATGGTTGAGCGTATAGGACCTCCCGTGTTAATTATTAATCTTGTAGATGACATACCCTGAGCTCAAAGATTGCCTTCATCCACGAGGCGAGTACTTTTATTTAAACCATGCTACGGAATATACGTGACTCGGTTATTTGAGTCCAGGCCAAAGCTTTGAAAGTAAATAGCACTTTCATTAGTGTGGTGTGAACGATCCCGCTCCGACGACTTTCACTCACAAGTAGTGGGCGTGGAGAGGGGGTAAAACCTGCCAGATATTTCCCCTCGGAACTCATAAAATTGTTATATTTGCTTACAATCGCACCTTTCACTAGAAGTGCGTGTGAATCACCCTGATTCATCGTGATACCACCTCGTGTCCCTCTTGGGGGTTGGTTTGATCCCATCTTACTAATGTTTTTGGGGCTGTGCTTCAGGACCGCGAAAGCTTAGTTTCCATAGCAGGGAGCTTATTATATGAGGTCAAAAGGGATAAATGGCCTCATTTGAACCATCGAGCTTGATATGACAAGGAGATTTTGCAATAATGTCTAAGCTAAGCTTTGATAGAGATCACAACGTGAGACATAACCTCCATACACTGGACAAGCTCGATGAACTGACGAGACATCTGTACAGGTTATCAATGGTGCGCTGGAAGGGGCTGAAAAGCAGTATCATTCAATAAACCCCTTCACTGAGGAAAAGCTCTGGGATGCCCCAGTCGCCTCTGCGCAAGATCTCGATGAAGTCGTGGAAGCTGCCAATGTTGCTTTCCAGACATGGCAGCACTCAACTTTAGATGACCGGCGATCACGAATGAAACAGTTTGCAAGTGAGCTGTTTTTTAAAAATTCTGATTGGACAGACATAATCTCGGAAACCGGCCAGCCCGTAAGTGGTGGCTCATTTGTGCTGAAAGACTTCACCTAAATTACACCACAGAAAGAATTGGCAGAGAGGGAGGTTGAATCAGCTTGTGAATGGCTCACTGGAATAGGTATGACAATTTGAGCCTGAGAATGCAACTTTGACTAATTTCGACTCAGCCAGCATTGATATCCCCGAGTATACCACGTACGAAGACGACAACGTCAAAGTCACTACAAAGTACTTCCCACTAGGAGTTGTCGGGGCAATCGTTTCTTGGAATTTTCCTATCTTCCTCGTTCTCGGCAAGGTTGCATCCTCGCTGATTTGTGGAAATACCGTGATCGTCAAGCCTTCGCCATATACTCCGTATAGTATTCCCAAAGTGACAGAACTGGCGCAAAGTTTCTTTCCTCCCGGAGTCGTGGAGGCTCTTGGAGGTGATGAGAACCTAGGGCCGTGGATGACGAAACATCCAGGAATAGCTAAGATTTCCTTCACCGGATCTGCCGCTACGGGGAAAAGGGTCATGGAGGCAGCAGCTTCAACTTTGAAGCGGGTAACCCTTGAGCTGTGAGTGCGAACTCAAATCTTAGACTATTGACAGAGCGTGAGCTAAAAGTAGTAGTGGCGGCAATGATGCTGCTATCATATGCGCGGATGTTGATATCGATGATGTTGCACAGAGGGTCATGGAGGATGGTAAGTGTTTCTTTTTTATGGAGAGTGAAAATTTCCTGACAGGGTGACTAGCTTTCAGCCATTCTAGTCAAGTGTGCATCGCAGCGAAAAGAATCTTTGTGCACAGTAAAATGTTTGATGAGTTCATGACAAAGTTCACGGCTGCATGCTAGGTGCCGAAGCCTGGGACTGGCTATTTAAGCCCAGTTCAGAACAAGATCCAATTTGACAAAGTTCGGTCCATCTTCGAGGATTGCAGAGCTCAGAATTACAAGTTCGCTATAGGAGGCGAGCAAGATTTGAGCCAAACCAAGCCAGGCTTTCAGATGTCTCCTGCAGTGGTCGTCCGACCCCCAGACGAGTCCCGTCTGGTCCAAGAAGAGCCGTTCGGGCCTATTGTGCCAATACTGTCCTAGGATGATGAGGAGAATGTTATCCACCGCGCAAATAACACCGATCAAGGTCTAGGTGCAACCTTGTGGTATCGCGATCCTGCAATGGCAGAGCGTATTAGCATGCGACTGGACGCTGGCAGTGTGTGGGTGAATCGTGGAGCTTTCCCACTCCCCACTGCTCTTTTTGGAGGTGTAAAGCAGAGTATTTTCGGAGGAGAATGGGGCCCTCTGGAATTATCAACTTTTACTGCAGTGCGCGGACATTTCATTTTGCGAAGCAGTAGAAGTTTCAACTCAGAAAAGCAACTGGAAGCTGTATCTATGATAAGCTTTAGAGGTCGAAGGATGCATCACTCCTCCCTCCATATAGCGCTATAGAAAAAGACGATATCTATATATTCTTAGTTCTATGATAATAGGATGCCGGAAAAAATTACCAAAACATGCGACAACTATTATTCCAAGCTGTCTCCGCAATTTGATCAATGGTAGCCCCTTTGAGACCCGCAACTACAAGACCGACTCGTTCCATGGTGCAGCTTTCATTACGAGCTTTGACCATTTGCCCGAGTACAAACTTGTTAGGCTTTCGACTGGGTGGTAAGGGTCTTGCTGATGCCAAATAAGGCGCAATTTTCGGATCCGTGCCCAAGATTTCACACCAGGGAGCATCCGTTTCAAGTTGCAATCTTTCCAAGGGGATATGCTTGACCATCTCCAGTTGTTCTTCTGTGCGAAATGATATACCATTCACACTAACATCAAGACCTAGCTCCACAAGTTGGAGCATTTCATCCTTAGAACCAGCGAAGGAGTGAACCAAGCCACGCCGAGGCAATTGTGAAAGGTAAGGTTTGATGATAGAGATAAAGTCTTCTGTGGATTCGCGCACATGCAAGAAAAGAGGAAGCTGGAGTTTCGTGGCCAGTTCCAATTGATCTCGAAACGCTCGTTGTTGAGTTTCTTTATCTGCGCGATCAAGATAGACATAATCGAGGCCAATCTCGCCGAATGCTGCGAGCGGCGAATTTTGCTCCGCCAGGAGGGCTTCTCCCATCTTTTGCAGCGATTCAAGGTACGAGTTTGAGCTATCGTCGGAACCATTTCCGTCATATATCTCAGCCACATGGTATGGATGCACCCCAAGCGTCATTTTGCACATATCGGGGAATTTTCTCACGAGCTCGAGGTTTTTCTCCGCATCGCTACTTGACATGGTAGTCAATAAGACCCTTTCACAATCATATTCCTAGATTGTATTAATTAGTACCAACTCGAATTGGGTGAGAAAGCGGGAATCTAGACTTACTTTTGCTCTCTTCAAGACTTCCTCATAGTCGGGCGAGTGGTATTGTTTGCCCTCTCGATATATACCACAAAACTGGTCGGCAGTGAAAGTGACGGCAACCTTGTCAATAGCATTTAGCGACTTTGTACTGTAAAAAATGAGCTATGTATCTTTTGTTCTTACATCAAAATACTTTTTGACTGATTTTTGTGTCATTGCATTCACCATTGTGGTCCCGAATTACCGAGCCAGCGATGTTGTTGTGTTGTGGTCACCAACTTATGAGTTTTCCCCGATGTAGGAACCCAACGAATACCTCGTCACGTGAGACATGGGCTTTTGTAACTAGTCCATCTTGGTTTGTTTACTTTTTTTCGTGCATCCCTGATATAACAGGGTTATTGATGATATCTCTATGGTCTTGACCTCAAAGAGGATATAGGTTACAGAGAAAACCTACGTGATAAAAAAGGGGCACGCTGAAATATTCGCTGGTTGGCTGGGCAAGGGGAGACGCAGCTCCTCGCGGCTTTCGTGTTCATTACCCGAGGCTTACCTACTTAAGGCTTCATCGGTGACTTCGGTCTCAAATTTACATTCTATGTATTTTCACCATTTTGAGGTGCCTAGCCCTATCAACAGAACCTATCCATATATATCTGTCCTAGCTACAGCACAGGATGTCGTGCAGTCCACGCTTATAGGTTATAGTTTCGCCACTGGTCACATAAACTTCAGTAGGGTAGATGTGACGCTAATCAGCTCATTTAAGAGGAACGACAGAAGCAAAAATTATTATAATTGTTATAGAGGAAGCAATTAGAGGACAAAAGGAGTCTTGACTGCGTGAGAAATGGTGAGCTATTAGCAGAGATGGGTACCGGACTCCCACGAGGTAGATAGAGGAGGGAAGAAAACGCTCAGTACCGTCTGGTAGGTCAACGCACGAGGCAAGCCCCAATCAATCCCCTTCTATAAAAACTGGAATAATTTACTCACACCAATTGCTTTGTCGATTTCAAAAAGAAATTGAGGCTGATAAAGACCTACTCGTACCGAATTGGATTCTTCGGACCCGGGTTTCTGAATCACACCTTTAGGATACTTCGGTTATGCACCACCCGTGGAAAACTTTTGTCCTTTCGCCAAAATGGTATTCAAGGGGAGGCCTGAGCGTCTGTTCTCTCTCTGGAACGGCTTTTAATTCCCTGGCTTGTTAATTTTGGGGCTGAGTTTGTGGGGTCAGCTGCCTTAACAAACACCCAATCGATTGCGGTTTCTTTGATGTGGCTTGCATTAGCCAAGCTGACGCGTTATCAACATACAGCGATTGGACTTTGAAGTGAATATTATGCAGCCGCCAGTTTTCTGGCGCTGTTCACGAGGAGAACAATCGTGGCCCTATACAATAGCTGCCCGACACGGATTATCATATCTGTCTCGATACCCTACCTACCGTACATATGTTGATGGGACCTCGAGATTACGCTATTCATATATTTTCCCAAAATGCGCTTACTCACGTCGCAAGAGAAAAGAGATCTTCAGCAGAACTACGAGGTTTGGAATGGTACTTATTGGAAATGCGTCCATACAAAGGACGGGTACCTAGTCACGAAGGATGGGTTGAAACTAGAACAAAAATGCAAGTTCTTCAGGAAGCATGGAAAAGCACATATTGCAAAGCCATGGGAGGACTCACCGGGGGTATCTTGGTGGAACTGGAAGTCTTGGTGGGCTGACAACACCTGCGAATGTGCACGTTCAGAAAAACTGCGCCAAGGGCACATGGTTTGTGTATGTTTATAATACCCTTCGTTCTCTTCTACTTTCACTCCGACTAATGACCTCAATATTAGTGCCAGTGCCAGCATGTTATGACAATGTGTTTTAAGCCTGCTCCCAAGTTCTGGCCCTCAAGCAAACAGAGTTCGTTGGGCACCATCAGCAAACCCGCAAGCATGTCAAGCGCCGAGACACATATGTCCTAGAGAATATCATTAGGAACCCTCCCTTTTGACTTGTTTGCGGTAACTAGGCCAAGGGTATAGGTCGAGTCGAGCTCTTTAAATGTATTTATGAAATCTCATTTTCCCACCTGTGTTTCTTTTCATTTATATCTCGCCTCTTTGCGTCTGGTTGTCTCACTCTGAAGTTTCTACGATATCTCTTAGTACAACAAAGGCCAAAAAGAAAATTTGCATGGCGTTCTGGTACAACATCGAAGGACGCTATCAGCGCAGCAAAATATAGAAACTTGTCGGCCCACATGACATAGCAGTTTAATCCCCACGCTGCGACAATGTAAGTTTTGTCCATTGCTGGAATCGGTGTTGATGGAGGAATGAGTCCGAGTGGGCTTGCCCCACATACTCCAAATAAAATGCAACCACAGCAGATTGAAGCACTACTGCCCTATTGTATTGACGACGAGCAGCATAGTTGTCGGCCAATTCATGGCACGCTTGAGCTGTAAGCTGGTTGACAATGACGATAGAATCATGCTCGGGCCCGACCGCAGAGTTGACAGCCTCTTCCCGAAGCATCAAGGCTGTATCCCGCAGCATCCTGCAGGACATCCCTCGATAAACAATATGACCCAAATCCTCGGGCGTTGGGCAAACTAATGTCTCTGCATTCTTCATACTTGAGCCTCCGCAGCAATGGAGAAGGATGTTTTTTAATAACCTCGCAAATGATAGTTCTTCGTCCACAGAAAGCTGGTCATCACCCTCTATTAGTCGGGAAGTTACTCCCGCCGCGAGGAAGGCATCATAGTCAGTCTGTGCATCCGAGGCTGTTGCTGCTAGTTTTTCATAGACTGTTGCCAGTCGCAGCTGCGCTTTCAATCCATTTGATGTTAGTGTGTCTCCATTAACATCCAAACTCAATGCCAAAATTCTTTCATATTCAGCAGCTGCGTCAATGAGATGTCCAAATTGGTGAAAACACCCTGCTAGGCGTAGGCGCGCTGAGAGGACCGCTGGGTCGTGAGCCGGATACCCTTGCGCCAAAAACTCTAAAATGATAGAGTTCATACGATCGAGGGCGACCCTCGACCCTTGTTGCTGGAGAAGCATCGCGATTTCCATCTCAACTCGCAATTTTTGGTACGTATTACCTTGGGATTCAAAATACTTAGAAACTTCGTCCAAGATCCGAATGGCCTCGCCATCTTCATTCATTGCCCGGTGAACGTGGGCTAGGTCGACCATGGCATGGATAGTCGTAATAGTTGTGGAAGAATTTCCTCCCTGCAAGGTCTTCAATGATGGGACTGCTTTCTGAAGCTCAGTCTTGGCAACGTCGTTCTCACCCATCAGGGCTTTCAATGCAGCACGCGTCGTCCGCGCCAGCACAGTGTCTGGGTGATTTTCACCTAGTAGGTATTCTGAGCTTTTAACTGTATTGTTGGCCATGTCTTGAGCTAGAAGAAACTGGCGGGCGTCCATGATGCTAACAAGCAGTTCACGTCGTGCATTCAGGGCAAAGACATGCTGTTCATTGCCAAGTTCCTTGACGACTTCTTCGCGTAACTGGTGGGCTTCGTGTCGCCGATCCAGCTCATGATAGCTCATAGCCAATTCCCGTTTAGCTTTCAGTAAAGCTAATCGGCCGTGCCTATTTGTGTTAAGATGGGAAGAGGAGACATAGACAGCGGTGGCGTGTTCCACGACCATTTCTCGATAGTGCATTGCATCGTGCTTCCGCCCGGGAACTTGAGCATAGCTGAGGGCTATTTGGGCTGCAGCGATGTCGTACTTTCGCTCTACATCAGGATCATTCTTATTTGCCTGATATTGTAGCTGTCGGTAGTGGAGAACCACCTCACGCAGCTGCATAGCTTCGGCGGATTCGCCCAAAAGATCTTCTGTAGATGCAACCTCGCTCATCGCTTTAAGGGTCATATCAAACGTCGGCCCAAATTCCAGTTCCAAACGATCTAATGCCTCTTTCTGGAGTCCCAGAGCCTTTTGAAAGAGGCCACCATCGACATAGACGGCGGCAAAATTCAACAGCACGTTCCCGGCTGTTTTGGCGTCCATGTTACGCAAATGAGCCTCACCCCACTCCAAACACTCTTTCACATGCGGAACCAAGGTGTGTCTGTACGCAACTTCATCGGCTGCGAAACTCCATTTAATCGACTCGCCTAGTACACAAAATGCGGCGAATGTATAGTCAGCCGGGTTGCTTTTTTGACGATTTTCTTTTCTTAGACGTTGCCTTGCGAACAAATGTAACGCCTTCAACATCTTGGTCCCTCGTTCTTCGCCCCCGATCATCGAGATAGAGGAGATGGAAAGAAGACCATACCGCGATAGTAAGCGTTCGGCATTTTCAAAACGCTGCTTACTCTGCCATTCTTCGTGGGTGCCAAGGAATCGGGGGCCATGGTTGTGTGGGATCCAATCGTTCCCGTGACGTGTGGAAAATGCATTATGAAAGAGCCGGGTCGTTGGTAAGTGGTGATGTGAAAACAAGACACGGAGCCAAAAGTATTCCCGGGCATCTTGGGCAACCTCTCCTGTCTCCCTCTCGAGCTTGTCCATAATAACTTGCCAGGCCTGCCAAAGCTTCTCATTGATCTCTCCGCTGTGCGCTATTGACTGATGATCGATTGCCGCCATGTAGTCTTGTATGTCCTGGCTAGTTGCCTCGCCTGCAGGCGCAAAATAGTTGGCTGCAACCCGCACTGATAGCGTATGAGCTCCGAGTTTGTCAATCAGATACTGGAGCGCTCGAGCCGCTGATGGGTCCGGGACATGGTTTAAGTCGCCAGTGACGGTACTCCAGAACAACCTCGACAATTCATTCTCATTTAATGGCTGCGATACCGACAACCTGCAATGCGCCGGGACGCCCAGTAAGCTAGCCGCCGAATGCTGGTCAGAGGCGCATACAACCACAATCCCACGCGGGTTATCCGGTAAATATTTGCGGATTTCGAATGTCGCACTATAACTCTCGACCAGCATGGCCCATGGGATTGACGTGCTAGCTAGATGGTAAACAACGTCACGCACAGTTTCCTCGATAGATTGTGCTACCGCAGGTGCTGGGGCTAAGGCTGGAAGGCCATGTTCCCGAGATGGAGCTATGTGAAGGATATTTGCTATGTTCCGAAAGCTATTTTGGAGGGTGACCTCACTATCGCCGTCCACCGTAAATATATTCATTTCCCTGACCGAAGGCAGTGACTTTAGAGCGTGAACAGCGAGTTCTGTCTTGCCAAGGCCCGGGGGTCCGTATAGAAGCGCGACCAGTCGTTGCTGTGACTCTCCAAAATCCGCGACCAGTTGCGCGAAACGATCGAGTTCCTGTTTACGATTGCGGAACTGCCACTTTTCCAAAGTTGACACGTCGACAAGGTCATTATAACCGCAGATCTGCTTGAGGGGTTGAGCTAGTGGGGTGTTAGTGATGAAGGGTTCGCAAGAAGAAAATACCCCATTAGGACACAGCAGTGACAGGTAGGGTTGTGTCGACATTATCTGAAGCGTCTTAAGGAGCCTTCTTACACTTACCAGGAGAGACTGAATTAATCGTGATCGTGCCATGGTTTATCCCACTCTGAAACCCGGAGTCATTGCTAGCGAATATAATCGACTCCATGAGAACAATCCAAGACGTTTGCTGCAGTATACGCGGTCAGCATTGATGGGAGGGTCAGATCAAGGAGGGGCACAAATCTCAGACTCACTATCAGGTGACTTACAGCGCTAGCCTTGAGCTGAAGAGCACCTTCCAATAGTACACTTCAAATAAGGGGAACCTAAGGTAATCCGGTCGGCCAGAACAGTTACTAGCCACGAGAGGGAAAATAAAAAGGGGTTCTAGCTGAGGCCGAATGTAAACCTCAGGAATTAGTTTTCATCTGATATATTTACCATTTTGAGAATTCTATTTCTCATGTGAGTATTTCGAAATCAGTGCCCGAATGCATAAGCTGTACTTGAAATCTAAAAGCATAGAAATGGCCTGCCTGCATTTTTTTCCGGCTCTCACTCAATGGATTTATTGGATTCTAATCATCTGAATCTCCGTCTCAAGTGGCATCATAAACCTCGAATGCAAGCAAACAGCACATATCCTTAGGGCGCGACGTTAACACTTGATCGTACATCGACATATCGGCAATCATATCTTTCGCAGGTCTCGTTCTGTATTTCGAATAAACCGCGTGCAATAATGCCCTCATTTCTACTTGAGCCAGGCTAAATGGCTTGTCAGTACTGCAGAGCATTTATTTTGGGGAAGAAAAATGAAACTCGCTGTTTTCCAATACATGTTCGAGCCCCTAGTCCGAACGAAAAGTTCCAACGCTGGCGCTCGGAGCTGCCATTGGGGTCAAGCCATCGCTCTGGGGCAAATTCATTGGGGTTGGGGAAAACAATTTCATTCCGATGCAATGTATAAGACTGGCAACCCACGATAGTGTGGCCAGGAAGGAAATATCCGTCCATGTTTCGGCCATCATCAGGTACATATCGTGGCAGTGGAAGGGAACCTGGGGCCCAGAGCCGCAGTGCTTCTTGAATAACCGCACCGAGGTATGGGCGAGTGTGAAGTGGCTCTGATCGCATATCAAGAAATTCTTCATGCAGCTTGTTCATCCTAGCTTCATTCCGGGGCTGTGAGAGTTCCCACATCAAGAAGCAGAGGACATCGCCTGTAGTTTCAATGCCCGCGCCCAAATGATCAAGACATTCAGCCACGGCCAACTCTCGAGGGACTTCCTTTAGCTCTCGAAGCCGCGCTGCTAGAGTGAATTCGGATATATCGTCTTGAGTGAGTGTGGACTCCACATAATCTCGAATCATGCGATTGCCTTTCGCAACTCGTAAGGAGGTTGGGGTTATTTGGCACCAAAATCTGTAAAGAATTGGAGAATAGTACTCGAGGAACATTCCTCACCATGATTAGCTTGTTTTTCCACCAAAATGCCTCATTTTCCTTTGCTAATACCTATGCGACTGTCATCATAAGATAGAAGCTCAACCATCTCTTTATCTCCGGTTCCACTCAAAGAGTTTGTTCCATAGGGATGAAATAGCATAGATGTGACACAATCTAGGGCATATGCATGAAGAAAAAGCTACGATAAGGTTAGAGCGTTTTTCAAGGCGTTGAGAAAAGAAAAAAGATACATAGACATCAATGGAAGCCCTTCGACTTGCGAGTTCCGCAAAGGCCTCAGAGCGCTCGGAAATGGAATCTAGGATCTTCGATTTGAGAATATTCGTGTTCGAGTATCGGTCAGCCAATGGCTTACGAATAGAAGCATGCTGTATGAGAGTTTAGAACCTATCATTTCGCTTCACACCGGGAGGATGCGCCATACCTGATGGGGATCGATGGCAGTAAAAAGATTACTTTTAAATCAGCAAAACGAAACTCTCAAGGAAGTTGTTCTGGACGGCTGTACATTTGTCCAGCTTGTCTGAATAAATCATAAAGCTCGGTCTTCAAAAAGTCCTTGCTGCCGGAACTGTAGATTTGTTTCAGACCAGTTTCGCTGGCAAAGGAAACCTCATTTGGACCAATAGTTACGACTTCACCATATCGACTGTGAAGCTCATGAAGCCACTCTCTTTTTTGCCCACGAAGTTCATAGTACTTGTTAAAGATACTTGTGGCTTTCAAGCTCAGCGGTCCCGGAATCTTGCTCAAAGGGCTCACGAGTAGACGGTGTACTAGTCTGTAGAGAACGAAGGCGAGGAAAGATGTTCCAAGTAGAATCCCAGTGGCAGACACATTTGAAATGCAGGAATAAACAGCGTCAAGTGTTTGTGTCATGGTATACCAAATACTAAGTTGTCCAAATTTGAGCTCCTTGTCGAATTTGTTCGTTCTATTCGAAAAGGAACCCTTCGGCGCTCTAGTATATAAACCGACGGGATAGGTGAAGACTCCACCAAATGATAACAGTAATGCAAATGATAACCAGAATAATAGGCCCACAACTAATCTGTCCAAATAATAGCGGGGTAACAGCACGGTTCCGGACCCCGCGGATACCGCCACAAAGGATGTGTATCTTTGCGGGTAAATCCTCCTTCACGAGTGGGGGATTGCGTGTCCCATTCGGGGCCGCTTACCGCGATTCGATATTCATCGCTTATTCTTTCGCAAGTAGACAAAGCAAGAAACTCGGTCATTTACTAATTACTGTGTATGATTAATCCGGTATTCTTTGCCGTGATTGATCCTTCTCCAATCTACGGACGAGGATATAATCATGTGACTGATGGGTTGTTCTCCCCCTTTCCTGCATAACCCATCTTGCTAAATACCATTAGCGCAGTATACGAGAAATGGACTTCGACAATCTCGCAAAGGAGCAGTCAGATCGCATTTTCGAGTCTGGATACAAAACCTACTCAGAAATTCACCCGAGGATTTGGCAGGCAAGCTTGCTTCCCGCCATTATCCCGGCATGCCCGTAATAGCCTCGCGGCTTTCAAAGGGCGCTTTTAATGTCTGCTATCGAGTCACTTACGAGAACGGCCATCGTGTCCTGGTTTGCTTTCACGCGATAGGCCGAGTTGTTGCACGCAGTGAAAAGGTTGAGGATGAGCTCGCAGTCATGAACTATCTTGCTCAGCACACAACGATTCCTGTTCCAAAGATATTAGGACATGGCAAGTGTGTGGTTGGTCTTTATATTGTCATGTATTTTATCGAAGGGAATTATGTTGAGTGGATACCTCAGAGATCCATCCCAGGAGACAGTTACATTACGGTCGACTATCCCGACATATATCTTGAAGAGAGCTTATCACAACATGGCCGAAATCCTGCTTGAGCTGTCGAAGCCTGAATTTCCATATATTGGAGCCATCAGAGAGAAAGATTCAGGTGGATGGACTGTGTCAAAGCGTCCACTCACTTTCAACATGAACCAGGTTGCTCAATTTTCCAATATCCCCCATCACGTCTTCGGATCACAGCGTTTTAGCAACGCGGCGGACCATTTCGAAGAGCTTGCTCAACAGCATTTCTATCATCTTAAGTTCAAACAGAACGTTGCAATCTCAGACGAAAGCGACTGTCGAAAGAAATACATTGCGCGCTGCCTTTTCCGAAAACTTTCACGCGTCCAGAAGACTGGGAGCCCGAGCTTGATGAATTTTTAGCTCGTTTCATGCCGAGATTTCACACTTTTATCGAAGTACTCCAAGAGTGTGAGGCAAGTAAGATCGAAAATGGATCCTTGACGGAATCTCAACGTCTATCGATTGTCATGGAGAATTCAATGGAGACTGGACTATTCTGGATTTGCCTTGCTTCAAGACATAGCTCTATGTTTGATGAGATCTATTGGAAATTCATTAATACCAGGTTTTTCGGTCCCTTCACGACGATTGAGGAGCGACTCAGTCTGCTAAGTGCAGAAGAGCTTCGAAGCATGAACACCTTCGTTGAGGAGGAAATGCGCCAGGCAAGCGAGGGCCGGTTGGCGTCCCATTACAGTATTGACGAGCTAGTTGACCTATAATTTCACTAGTAGATAGTTATCCATGCAAATAGTCTTGATGATTGTACAAGTAAGTACATAGTAGGGGGTATATAACAGAGAGGGTGTAAGCCATAGTCTTGGAGACAACATAGAAGTCGTAACAAAAATAGGGAACAAAAGACAACAAGTGCGTATATACTAAGATTTCAATCAACAACAACCAAATAAAAAGAAAAGACAATTTTCGCTATAAGAACAGTTTAAGATCGCTCAACGCAGATATCAAACACAAAAGAAAAATCACGAAGAGGGATCAAACCAAAATACCCCCGGACGGCATCCCACTCAAACAAAGCGCCAGCCCGAATCTTGCGAGCCCTGACGTTTCATCACAGACTTGAGCAAACTATCCTTACCACGCGGGGCAAAAGGATTCCGCTCATTCTTCCGCTTCTGCTGCTTAAGCAATTCCTCCGCAGCATCAACATCAATGCCCTCGCCGGTATCAGTGATCTTCAACGCCCACTTGACATCATCCGGGTTAAAGCCCAGCTCGTTGACCATGTGGGCGATCGCCCGATCAACGGGGTCTTGAACCTGTGGACGGAGGGGTGGGGGCGCGAGAACTGGTTGGAGGGGCGGGCTGCGGGGGATGGGGAGGTTTGATTCGGGGGTTAAGGAGCGCGGTGGGGTGCGGCTGGGGGTTCGGGGCCCGATGCTGGCTGTGGAGGAGGAGAGTCGGTTGAATGATAGAGGTGGAACGGGCGGTGCGTCCCGGGGTATCGTGCCATCGAGATTGTGCACGATCGTGCTAAACTCTGACATGGGTCGCTCATCGGCGAAAGATGTACCTGGCGCACCCTCGCGGCTTGGAGGACCGCGTAGGCGACGAGTGCGTAGCTCTTCTTGGAATTGTTTGCGGCGCTGGAGGGATTGAGGTTGAGGGTAGGCGATCTCCTTGGGACTGGAGGATGCGAGGGAACGTTCTTGCTCTTCGTAGACGCGGGAAACGGCTTCTTTCAGGAAAGATGAACGGCTGGTTTCGGTTTCCGTGGGCTCCCATTTCGTCAGGCCGTTGGATTGGGCCTTGGTGAAGGTGGCGGTGGTGGCTTCGGCGGGGCACAGCGAGCTGAGAGTCAAGACAGCAGAGAGCCCAAGAGTAAGCACGTAAGATGTCCACTCCTCTATTGACGAGTTAGTGAATTGTTTCTTCCAAAGAGTTACTGTTATGTTGATTAACCACTTACCTAGTGCAGTTTCTTCGCGAACGGTATCACCTTCGGGAATATCCAGTCCTTGGAAAATGCCAGCGTTTCTAGCCTGGACACACTTGCCGTGTAAAGGCTGCAACAACACTCCCAGGCAGGTCCAGATCTCCGTCATATCGTACAGCTGCGTGGCAGAAAGGCCAGTGACGCTGTTTCCACGAGCGAAACCCTCGGGTGGCTCAAATAGCACATTGTTCATGCCAAAAGGCTCGGTCACCGTGGAGGACGCTCCGAATGAGCTTCGGGCTTTTGGCCCACCCTTCAACCAATCCATCTGACCCTCCAAATCATTTTCGCGACCCTTGCCACTGCCGAAGATACGACAAAAAGTCCAAATCCGCCAAAAGGCATCATCAACTTCCTCTGCGCGAACAAGGTCGACGCCAGAGAGACCCTTGATTGTATCCCGACGCAAGAACGGCGAGCAGCGAACCAAGATCATAGATTTCAGCTGCGCTAACGTATAAATATCACACGCATACCGATCCAAGTACGATTCCGGGGTATACTCGGGCAGCGGGGTATCCGGCTCCAGCAAAAGCTGCCACTCATTCTTCCACGGCGGACTCATCTCGCGCAACTCCCACGCGGGCGGCGACATGCGGAATAGTGCGCCCTTGATAAAGAAAAGCTCGCGACGCTTAAAGATTTCATAGAACCGCTTATTCACGAGGACGAAATTGAACAGGTCATCGAGCGAGTCGATCCGCCCCATGATCAGAATGACCAGATGATCTGGCATTTCGATGGGAAAGTCGACGGGCATATGCGAGCTCTCCATGAACATGGCGGGCATCGAGGATGACGGCGAGGGCGGCGTTGCAGCGAGCTCGTAGATCTGCTCGGGTGGCAGCTGCACGCTGCTTGCCTGGGCCGTCGAGACAAAGGCATGCATATGCCGCAGCCTTTCGCTGGCGACGAGTTCACTGGCCACGAGCATTTTCTCATCTTCCGGAGGTGTGATGCGCAGCTGAAGAGTTGACCGTTTGTTATCGCCACTCAGCGAAGCGGCCTGCGCGGGGTGGGGATGGTGATGTTGCACTTGAGGCGTGGGGCCGGGGGCGCAGAGCGAGGGGGCCGCCCCCTGCATTTGCTTTGGTGGTGGTGCTTGTGGCTGCTTTGTTTGTGTTTGTATTTGAGCCAGGAGTTCTTTCTCGATGCTGAGCGGTTCAAAGGGGATTTGGAAGCCCAGATCTTGAGTCTGCAGGCGCGGGAGTTGCAGAAGCAGATCGTCGCGCTTGGAGGCCGTGCCTGCATCCAGATCCTCGTCCAAGTCTTCATCCAAATCCAGACTAGGATCCGAGTGTGAAGAATGTCGTGGGGGCCTTTCTAGGTGGGTATCGGGGGTGTGTGGGTCGACTAGTGAGGTTTCCGACCGTGAACTCAGTACGACGCTCAGACGGGGTTCTTGCAGAGTCCGGACCCGAGGGTTGTGCGTGCGCTTGAACGATGGCATCGTCAGGGTAAAGGAGGATTTCTTCATCTTGGCCATCTTGGAAACTTCGTCGGTAGAGTTGAAGTTGGAAGGAGAATTGTTGGAAGGCCACTTGGCCTCGTTGTTGGTGGCCTCGTCTTTGTTCTGGGAATCCTTGTCCGGAGACGCTCTCTCTTTGGTCGCCCGAAGAGACTTGAACCTGGCCGACCGGGGCACTATGGCATCTTCCACCGATTTGGCCTTTGTGTGGATGATCCTGCTCTTCTTAAATGATTTGGAGTGTGGCTTGGTCGAGGGGGGCAGTGGTGCTGGTCGAGTTGCAACTAGATCACCATTGTGTCGACTGATCTGCAGCGGTCCGTCGAGCACTAGCAGGGTCCGTTGCTGCATATGCGGATCTCGGGCAAGGTCGGCTAGCGCGAATTCCAATTCCTCTGCTGCTTGTGCGAGAGTTGGGACATGGCGCATGCGCTGCCCATTCCTGGCTTCTGACCACTCAGGGCGACGGCCCCGACTCGAGTCTGCAATGCTACCCCGCCCACACCCTTCACATTTATGACATGCCTGGGCCCCGGATTGCTTCCAGTGTAGACTGGTGGTTGAGTGACTCGAGTTGTGGTGATGGTAGGTCGAGTGAAATCCCGTTGATCGCGAGGTTTCAGTGGTCGCAGATGGCGGAGTGTGGTCATTGCGACGAATCGCCAACGGACTGGGTTCTTGGACGGGCTCGAGGGGGAGAGGCTTGTTCTTGATATCGTTCAATGACAGTTTGTCGGAGATCGAAACTCGTCGAGATGGCGGCATTGAGGTTGGCGAGTAGATTGAGCTTGCCGGGTAGCCTGGGCTGGGTGCCGTGTCTGACGGCACTCGCGATGCAAAGGATGCAGCTCGCGAGGGACATGCCGAAGCAGAATCATCAAAGACACCGGCTGCAACGGGCGAGAGGATAGAGTATCGATCAAGTTCCTTTGTAGCCGGGCTGAAGCATTCAGTATCCGCGCTGCTCATGGAACTGCGGCGACTATAGCATGACGAGGCACAGTCAAACACGTCCTCCGAGCCCGATCCCGAAGACGATCCAGTCTTTCTCTCCAAAGCTTGATCCACGTCGGTGGATGGGCTCTCGATGACATCCGTCGAGTTCTTATAGATATTGTGGATCCGCTCATGGAGCTCGGTCTCGAAAATCGATGGGAACCCCATTTGCCTCGTGTGCTTTTGATCGGCACCGGCATCAGCACTCATCGGAGACACGATGTTGAAATTGCTAGAGGATAATTCGGGGAAGAATCGACGGAGGGCTGCGCCAGATCGCGATGCAGCAGATGGCCTGTCATCAGATAACGGCGAAATATCGGACTCCTCGTCATCGGAGGAGCCAGGTGTATCGAGAATGATGATTGAGCGTAGAGATCCCTGAGGGGAAACAGGTCGAGTTGGCATAGATGGTTCAGGTGAGGTTCGTTGACGATGGTTTGTTTCAATCAGTCTGAAGGTCTTGGTCGGTTCTAAAGGTGGTGGTCGTTCAACGAGATATTCTTTGGCTGCCTCAAACGAGGCCTGTGCGATGGATACTTCCATCTTGAGTGGTACTTCGTGCGATTCGTCCTCTTTGTTCCCTTTGTTCCCTTTGTTCCCTTTGTTCCCCTTGTCCTCCAATGACTCTGAAATACTACCTCGCACGGCCATGGGGAACGGACCCAGGATAGTAATATCTTTTCGGACCTGAGAGTGGAAGAAACTGCCCTCGAGTCTGAGTGGCGGTGGCAGTCGAGTTCCTTTCTTGTTCTTCTGCTTTGTGGAGTTTCTCCGCGGTCGAACGAATGGAAAAGTTCGAGGAGACACCATCTTGGACGAATTCGAAGTAGCTGGTCCAATGAGAGGTTTAGTGCCCACGCATTGTTGACTCGATGCAGCTTTGTCTGTGATCTACATTTAGTTTCTGGTGCCATGGATGTTGACTTGTTCGTCGACGGGACTGGGTGTTCTAGAAGAAGTATAAACAAAGAACGTACCGTGTATCGGGGAGCAAATGGCCCTATCAGATGGTTCTGGCGATGCCAACCTGTAGCGTGGCTCCTTTGTTTCGAGTTTGGAGTGGATCGTCTGATCTGCTCAGGTGGTTGGGATAGTTCTTTGGTCTGTATACTGGGATGCTGCTATATCTTCGTCTGATAGTCGAAGGACGACCCCGGGAGTAGGTAGAATAGATCACCGATTGAGAGAGGTAAACAGCCCTAGGGGAGAAGAAGAGAATGAAGAGATGAAGAGGAAGAGTCCTTGCAAAGGATTATGTTTTAGAGCCAGGGAGTTAACCACGATGGGGGCGATCACAGAAGGAGTGATATTGTATCTCGTTCGCAGACCCGATCCTCATTCTGCTTAGGCCCCCGGATAAGCAGTTGGTGGATCCACACTGCAGACCCCGTTACGATCGGTACGGCCGAGTAGAGTTACGACTTACAGCCAGTCACATTGTCCTGCTGTGCAGGAACTCACAATGCGACCGGGCCATCGGGGCCAAATCCCATCGAAAATAAAAATACAACAGCCCCCAAACCCTTTTCGGTAAGTACCTCGTGAGAAATACAAACCGGGATATTCAGAAAAGAGCTGACATCGACTGACTAGTTCGTCACTCTGTACCTGTCACCAGTTTCCACGATCAGTGCTCTCTCCCTCCCTTCTCTATCATAGCTACTACATACTTAAAATTCTTATCCACCGTAAAGCTACCAAATTTAACCTCGAGAATTTGCCTTTCCCTCGTATACTACGGGCGGGCGTGGCTATTCTTATTCTCGCGTTCCAAGATCGGCAACGCCCATTGCTTGTCCAGGGAATACGATCGCCCGTCAACACGAACGAAGACCCTGAGGAATCGTAAAATAAAAATAACTAGCCGGACACGAGCCGCCACACGAGATGGTGTGCATGATAACCCCCGGGGTACGGAGAATAATACTTAACATTGACTAAATTAGTTAATGAGCTACTAGAGATACGAAGTTGTGCTCCGTGATAATTTTGTTTCTTGCTATACTATGAAACAGAGCGAAACTTTACAAAATCCAAGTTACATCTGACTATACAAATCTGTATGTTTGGTGCTTCTGTTATTTTTCCTGTGCTACCGGGCAAGCTTGGCCCGATATCTGCTTTCTGCTGGCACGGGAGGCTGGCCCCGTTTCTGGAGGGGGCTGTTGGTTCACTTAGCTCTGTATTTGTAGTATACCTAGTAGAATCCACAGTAGTCATCTAAAAAGCATACTCTACCAAGTACTAGGCGTATAACATACCCCCAAACATATGGAAGTAGTCTACATCCAATAGGGCAAATACTGCGCACCTGGCCCCAGCCAACAACCCCCAAGTAGAACCGTCCTAGGACCACCTCGTGGCTGACGACCGTATCACGGACGGCGAGGAAAGAAAATCCGTCATGATCCTTCACCATCCTTCATGAAATAAGCCTTGAAGAACAAAGTACTAGAAAGTATCTGATGACGAGTCTCTATACCTTGAGACTGGTGCCCTGGCCCATACATAGCATGACAGGTCTGTCCCACGCTCACCTGAGTCAGAAATTTGACCATGCCATCATTCGCTGCGCTTATGCGAGTGATTTGCGCATCCGTCAAGCCATAGTCATATAGTAAGCCGATTACTGGTTCATCATGACGCTGCGAACGCTACGGCATTCGACGAACTGCCGCCCCCATGGGGCGGAACTTATCAGACCCAATAGTCGTCACCCTGAATCAGTTTGCGAATAATACATTTCGGATATTTCAAGAATGGGAACTACACATCGGGGATCATGTTTTCATGTACGGGTAATATCTAAAAGGTATACATCCTCGGGTGTTGAAACACAACAGACAAGGTCTACCCGGTCGGGAAGGCTCACGCGAACCCCTGCGTGGATCTTTAGTGTACAGTAAGGCTACTTACTATATCGACTCCACCCACCACGCAGGTACACACAGGATGACAGGTGTATCTCTTCACATGTAAGCAGTAGACCTAATTCAGAAACGTGCTACAGAGCAAGCTCATCCTCGTCCAGAGAAAACGATTTAGAAACTGGCCAAATAAAGGCCCTCAAGCACTGCATGGACACTCCTCTCTGGTGCGTTGACCAGCCGTAAGCTTCATTTCCCATGCTGACAGCCCCAAATCTGTCTTATGTATGAGCTGGTACCATGGGGCCTGGGGCGAGAGGATCTGGGGGCGAGGGTATGATATGATATAGGTCTATTTTGTTCAGGAGGGGCGGCATTGAGTAATTCAAAAGGGCTACCTACTTCATGACAAGGTCTAGGTCTGCAATCAATGCCTTGAGGGTGTTTCAAGGCTCACAGAATATCTAAAATGCAACATGGAGGCTGGCCCCTCTTTGGTTGTACCTGGAAGAAGAAACTATCGTGCCGTTGACCATCGCTGTGATGGGGCCATTAGCTTTCGTTTCAAGAAGCCGGACGGTCAGACAAACATATCATTCGACTTTCTAACTGGTCTACCATGTCTAGAATGACATGTGTCCGAATCACACTCCATGTATAGAGTGACGCTTTGTCTATCATTCCGTCGCTCTAAGATCCTTCAGCCGTTTGGGCGTCGATCATCCCAGTTTCCTCTATCACCCACTTACCCTGACATCAAGCTCAGGTAAACAGCCCATACCACACCGAAAAGACTGGCTACCAGTAGTCTCTGGTCCACAGGGACAACGGTGAAATTGAGAACGGACACAAAGGGCCAAAGCTTGAAGCCGGCGGTCATAATGGGCCAAAATTCCTAATGACATCAATATCAGCCACTGTTGGTGAACGATCACAGAGAAGTAAACCGTTTTTGATGAGTGTGGAGCGGCAGCTTCGGTCCTTACGGCCGCATGGCAACGCGGATTCTTCGATCTCAAGGCGCTGGGCCAAATGATGCACAACTCGAATGCATTGTCCAGTCCCGTAGCCGCCCCAGACCCGGGGGCCACGGCCCGAATGATGAAAGTTTCGCTGGAGTATAGGAATATGGGGGCCAATTGACATTATAGAAGCAAACTTACCTCACGAATTTGTGCAAAAACGAGTTCATGATGTTGGCCTCGTAGGAGACCCATGGTCAAAATGAAAAGTACCGTGTTCCAGGTACCACCGATAGTTTGATCAATAATGACCTTGGTGATGGTGTTGGTGACATTTAGTGCTGGCTTTGAGGCTTCTGTGTCTGAGTCCTCCGGCTTTTCATCGTGCTTGGGGGCTGTCTTTTGAGAACTTGTACCAGGGAAGGTTGCTTCCAGGTTATTTTGCCAGATGAAGTTCAACGGCGTGGTGATTATGGCGCATGCGGTAAATTGTATCAAGGCCTGAGTGTCGATTTCAAAGGGGATCTGTGGAGAGATTAGTATCAGATGGTAATATTGATCGAAGATATAATATTCAAGGCAGGAGCTTCAGTATTCTCGAAAGTTTGTCGATAATCTTTCGGTACTCTGTAGCACCTTTCGGGTACCACCAACCCCGCAGGTGGTACGAGAGGGGCATCAAGCAGCTCGCCTGGCCACATCTTTGATAGAGAGAATAGAATATTATCCAAAATGAATATGAAAATATACTCACATCACTCCTATAAGCCTTGATACCCTGTGCCAATATATTGGACCCCGCATTAATGACCACCGCTTGCAGCGTGGCCTTTACAATGGGTGTGACTGCCATACTGAAGCCCACGGGTGAAGGAATCAACCCCTGTTTGTTCGATTGCGGCCTGGCCTTGAATCCTCTTGCTAGATTAGCCAATCTGACCGCACCCTCGCAGTCTTGATTTGATGTTGACTCAACCGTTGGGGCCACAATTCAGGGCCAGATTTGAAGCGACCTGTCTTTAGTGGGAAGGGACCAGACGGGACTAACCACAAGGGTACAAGTGCTTGACTGCGCCGACCCGCACCAAATCTGGAGCTGATCTCCACTTGTAGTCAAGCTTGTGCTAATTTTAGCTATCGCGGAACAAGGCCTATTGTGGATAACATAATAAAACGGTTGTGACTGTGGAGATAGGGAAAGAGGCTTGATGCTAAGTAGAATAGAAATACGGACACGAAAAACACGAGTCTGGTGATTTAGCGGGGTACTAAACTGAGTTGATTATTTCTTTTCTTTGACCCATGTGCTGCATACTTGTGTGTTACACAGTCGATAAATCGGGAAACTGAAGGGTACACCTGTTGGCCGAAGTCTATATGCGGCGCTGAATATGTTCTATGAATAATCTTCCTATCTCGATTGGATAAGTACTGCTTAACCTTTCACAAGGGATATGTGCATGATTTTAGGTAAGATCTCCGGTGTGAGTCTGGCAATTGAAAGTATATATTTCCGAAATGTACAAGCTTGCCTATATCGGGCCGCACAGGTATCCTTTCCCGGAAGGACCTACAACCAAACCAAACCTCCCAATCACGGCAAATTCAATCCTGACACTATCAATCATCCCGCTCTAGTATTTCGCTATATTCGTGATTGTGTCAACCAATGTTACCTCGAATGACTTCTGTATTGCTGTTAAGGTTGAGCCGCTCATATATATGCCGAGAAGCGGTTTCCACATCACTTGTAAACTTGCTTAATTCCCAATCTCTAAACTATTCACATTATGTTGATTGCTTGCTACCCGACGATGGGATTATTGAAAGTGCCGTATTATTTTCAAAATTAACAGCATCATCGCATCCATCCTTGCACTAGTTACCAGTCGAGTCCAGTCGAGCCATTACCCGATCCAGAGCCAGAGACGGCACAATCGATTTCCTTGCAAACTAACCGATATGTTAATATAGAGGCAATCCAAAACTTGAAAGGAAACGTACGCTGCTCAGCTTGTTGGAACAAAGAGCTTCCCTTGGGTTGACGCATTGCCGGAAGAATCAGACCACCGCTCTTCTTTTCAAGTCTCAGGTGTTCTTGAAGTTGATCTAGAATCTGACTAGCATTGGAACCACTCTCAGCAGACCCAGGAGTAGCAGATGAGAATGCAGTCTCAATCTTCTGCAAGAGGGCCTTAATGGATTCCGCGATGGCATTTTTGAGTTCATCCTCGTTGTTCCTGGTGGTTGACGAAAGGCTGAATAAATCATAGCGGATCTGTGTAGTTGATTCTGAGGCCGGGACAAAAGAAAGAGAGACCCAGAGATGGCCATCTTCAAATGAGTAAAGGAAGTTTCCAGGGAACAGGTGACAGTTAGCTCGGCTGCTACGCTGGGTGATGAATTTCATAAATTTCGTTGCCAATGAAGGTGGAGCCACAGCTGATACAACTTCTTCAAGCTGACTTGTGGCATCTGTGCAGTATTGAAAGCTCACTAGCGATTTTCTAGTTAGTATTTGGGGAAAGCACTTTTTCTTGGCAAACATACTCCCAAACTTCCAGTTGAAGGTCCCACTAAGCGTCTGGCCAGCAATCCATTTCGACTTTGAACCAAGACCAGCAGTGCTTGCAAATTTGTGCATATCCGAAGCTGTAGGGTCAGGGAACGGGGCAGGCTCCCCGGCATCAAGATTCACAAAAACCATTCCTTGATCTGTAGTATGGGTGTGGATCTCAAACAGGCCATTCTCGGACTTGTTAAAGCCAGGGATACCGTCAAACTGTGGTGCTTTGACGAGTCGACCGGTAGTATCATAGCTCCAGCCATGATAGCGACAACCAAGTACAGTAGATGTTCCAGTCTCTTTTCTGGTGATGGTATAGGCGCGGTGTCGACACACATTGTGGAATGCGCGGATCTTGTCATCCTTGCTGCGGATCAAGAAGATCGGGAAACCAGCAATATCAAAAGACTGGTATGACCCGGCTTTGCTGAACTGAGTCACATGTGCAATATACAGCCATGACTATGAGTCCAACTTTAGGTGGGTGTATATCACAAATGGCGCACTTATCTTACCTTGCTAAAGATAGCACGTCGCTCCAGCTCAAAGACCTCATGACCAGACCACCATCCCTTAGGGACATCGGGCTCCTTTGAGACTGCCAAATTGTGTGTATCGTCCAACTTGGTGGACTCAGCAGAGATATGATAAGATTTCTTTGATCGAGAAAGATGTGTCCAAGACTGGCGAGTCAAGAAAAGCACGGTCAACAACGCCACGATCACCGAGCTCGGCGATAGAAAATAGGCACTAAGAAACTCCATGACCTTGAGTTCCCCGCAGAGAATACTATATCAATGAATGATGATTGAACACCTTGTTTGTTTTTCTAGCAGGTAAATTCGTCTGATATAGATATTGATCAGAGCTTGGACCCAGGCGTCGAAGAACCCCACATTATACAGTTCACCCACGGCACCGTATGTAGTACCCCCACCCTTTCTAAGGACTTCCCGATTAAGTTGTAATTTCCAGTCATGTGAGGTAGTATGTCTCTGGTAGGCCAAAGCTGCTTCGTTATCAGGCCATCACACTGGCGATACAGTTTATCTCAATATGATCGATTCTCTTATCTGTACAACTAATCTTGCATCTACAAAACCGAAGTGGATCCGTCTGGGAGATGATAGAAGCCAATACTACGGTGATTTTAGGCTTACAAGAATGCAGAGCAATGATAGGCAATCTTCCATTACTAGATATCTTCAATGATAGCACCGCCAATACTACGCTAAGCTTCCATCTGTACCAAAGGTGTCGCAACCTGATCCTTTGGCACGGAGTCATCATTCTGTTTGGACGCCCGATCGGCTGCATGCTGCTCACAAACCATCTGGAAGACTCGCTGTTGGTAATCTGTAGGAGAGTCATGTGAGTATCGTTCTTTAATAATGCCGACCAAGCACGGAACTAACAAGAGACACCATTCTCCTTTTCCGGGTTCAAGATACCCTCATGATAAACACCCTTGGCCAAGTTATCCTGGGCTTTTTCGCAAAGCTCATAGTCTTCCATTGCCACCTGTCGGACAAACTTGAAGTACTCTTCAAACTTTTCACCCTCGGCGAGGTGGTAGTAGTCGAATTCCATACGAGTAACGTGGGGATCCGCAGTTGGACACACACGGAAAGACGACATACCGCCACCGTAAACGTTCAGCGTACAATTTGGGAAGAAATAGAGGAACAAGCCATCTTCGGGCTTCTTGGGATCCGCGATATGCTGAGAGAAGTTGTGATTGTTGCGTACAGTGTAGAAAGTCGGTGGGTAGAAGACCGAGAATGAGGGGTGGGTGTACTGGCAGTGCAGGCACTCTTGATACCCATCCACCCTGCATTGACGAGATGTGAGAAGACCGAAGGTAAAAGCCTCATCCAATGGCATTTTAAGGGATTCTCACATTGTCTTCCAATTGAAGCGACCCTCGTAGCGAATGCTGCGTCGGTAGGGCAGCCGGGTGAAGTCAACTTTACCCAATAATGCCTCGAGTTCTGGGAAGAACTCATGGAAAGAAGGTGCATCATCGGCGATTGTTGAGAATAGCAGGCCAGTTGGTGTAAGGTGGCTGCGCAATTCTTTGTCCTGTATATAATTGTGGATCAGTCAACGATAGACGTCGGGGTTTCGCGATCAAGGTATACCGTCTTCGCATTAAACACCTTCAGTTCATCGGCGACAGGATGTAAAGTTTCACCAGACAAACGCACAGCGTAAATGGGCTGTTGGGCAATTTCATAGTCCACATGCTCGCCTACTTTCTGGAATCGAGTCACCGGACCAAGCAAGTACCAGGACTGGACACAATTTTAGTCTTCCCTGTCGTCAAATGTGAGCAGGTGCATACTTTGAGGAAGACGGCCTTGCGCTCCATTTCATAGAGTGGCTTGTTGCAGTACCATGAGGCAGGCAGGGTGCGAGTGAGCTCGGCCATGATGGGTATGATGAATTGCGAAAGATGTATGCTTCAGAATTGAACGATGATAATGAGGCACGGCCATGATAGCAACGAACCCATTTTTATATCATCTATCTTGCCTTTCCCATTGCTTAGCTATCATTGAGAGCCATAATTATTGGTGACCACCCTTCTGGGTAGCACCTGGTGTCATCTGTCATCTGGTGAATGGTCGGTTTATCGTTTCCTGAAGGAGTTATCCAATCCCTAAAGCCACACCAGCTGGTTTAGGCCAGACCGCCCCCTAGTGTGCCACTGCAGAAGCTCGACACATTCCGAGGGAACAAAGCCCAGCACATTATCTCTGAACATGGTAGGTCCAAGATGTAACGATCGTTGCGTGGGTGTGGGTCGATAAATGCTGGTGGGCCAGGAGTCCTCAAGCTGAGTAGATAGCTCGCTGCCGATTGTGCCGACGTTGGGAATGGATGGTTTCTAGTAGGTAATAAGAGTCCTTGTTAAGCTGTAAATCCATACTTCACATATACAAATGCTGGTAGTCTTCCAGGTTGTGGTAATCCTTGCTACGTAACTGTCAAAAGCACAGTTGCATATCACTTCAGCTTGTTGCATCACGCTTGCATGCCAACCGAGGCGATTGAGTTCTTATGAAATAAAGAAAGAGGAGAAGCACTGCTTTTGCCCCCTTTAAACAAAATCAAAGCAAATATGAGTGCCTCGACTTAAAAAACATAGATCACTAGACAGCGTCTAACATGATGCTAATACTAGCGATCCGCCAGTTCGTGGTCAGCCGGGTTTGCTGCTGCCTAGACAGTAAGTGGCGATTCAACTGCGGAAAAGCAGGATCCTGCAAAAATGAAAGTGCAGAAACAAGCACAAACCCCACGAACAAAGACCTAAGCTCAACGGAAAAAGTATCACAATCAGAAGGCTGATTCTGCAGCAGTGAGGAACAAGCCAGCGACCAAGCGGAGCTCCAAAAAAAAGAGGGGGACCGGCTTATCTTATCGCGGATCATTTGATCATTACGTCGTCCTCATCACTCGCCCTGCCTTCAACTTCAACCTTTCCCCAACCACTTCACAATCATGGCGGGCCCGGTAAAATACACTCCTCCTCCATCACCGCCGTCACCGACTGCGTCGTTCTATGATATAAGCGACGATGATGAAGACGAGTACAACACCATCGCGCATGCCCGGTCTGGGCGTGGGGTGAAGCTACTCTACTCCAAAAGCAAAGTACGAGCGCCCATCGGCCTCAGGATTCGCAGCAATAGCTAACCAGAGGTTTCACCAGGTCTACGTGCATCCTACACCTTCCGCCAAAGACAACATAGCTGGTTTCATCGCCCTGATCCAGCAGAAACCAAAGCCGGGGCCCAACCACTCAACCACCACGCATTCCCGCAACGATGCTTCCTCGTTCCTCCTTGCCTGGGTCCCCGAGGCTTCACTCGGCGATGCTTACAGCACCTATGTTAAAGTTGACCTCGCCGACGACGATTCCCCGCCCCGCCAGCGATACCTCGTTCCGCCGCTTCCGACTACCACCACGCATAGAGACCCGATCGGACTCTACTCATTCGCCGTCCCCGTGTCAGAAATATACTCTTTGTTGGTGCGGCCTCCAAGCCTAGGATGGTGGTTTGGAAGCGTTGTGATCAATACACGGTCGGGGGACAGCTTTCCTGCCTTGTTCTTCCATGATAGCGAATGCGAGTCGACGATACTGCAGAAGAAAAAACGTGTCAGGGAGAGCTTCGATCCGTTTGACCATGACGGTAGTCTATTTTGGGGCGGCGATGAGGTCCTGCGTTGGCTAAGGACATACGTTGAGGTTCAACGTTCCTCCGTGGACCGGAACGTCTATCTGATCAACCCTTCCGAGGAAGATCAGCTGTCATTTGGACGAGGTTTAAACGCTGGGGACGGCACACTGTCGAAGGCCCAGCCGGAAGCTACAGCCGCTGGGCCCAATGCGGCTGGGCAGCAGCGAGATGCCAGCATGGATCCATTCATGAAGACCCTTAAAGAGACTCGCTGGAAAGTGCTAGAGCAACTCAGCAAGATTACCACGTTTACCAGGCGGACTGCTAACGAGATCGCGGACAATCCTCGCATTCCACCGCAGGTTCGACGCTTGATGAAAAATCCCGAGGTTCAGACCCTCCAAGATGAATTCGATAGCGCCCGACTGTATCTGGCGCGGTGGGCCATGAGCATCGCTGAACAGGGCGAGAAGGACCGAAACCAGCGGATCTGGACTGCGCAGGATGTTCTTGAGTCGGAGAACAGTTCTGTAGGCGATTTTGAAATCCTTGAGCTCGAGACTGGCAACCTGGCCATTCAAGAGCGACGACGAATCGTCACGCTTGCTGAATGGGAGGGCTTCTTTGACCCGGTATCTGGAAGGCTGCACCTAACAGTCGAGGAAGTCAAAGAGCGCATCTTCCATGGAGGCTTGGATCCCAATGACGGTGCCCGTAAAGAGGCCTGGCTGTTCCTGCTCGGCGTCTATCCGTGGGAGAGCAGTCACGAGGAGAGACAAGCGATCATGAACTCGAAGCGTGACGAGTATATCCGCTTGAAGGCAGGCTGGTGGGAGCGCATGGTTGACGGCAACTCAACATCCGAGGAGTATGAAAACTGGAAAGAACAGCGCAACCGAATAGGTCAGGCCATCAGATTCCCCATTGGAAGTTTTCATCTGCTAACTTCCACCTTAGAGAAGGATGTTCATCGTACCGACCGTACTATACCTCTCTTTGCTGGAGAGGACATCCCACATCCTGACCCAGACTCTCCATTCGCCGATACAGGAACCAACGTGCACCTTGAACAGATGAAGGACATGCTCTTGACGTACAATGAATATAACCCAGACCTGGGCTATGTGCAAGGCATGAGTGACCTCCTGGCTCCTCTCTATGCAGTTATGCAAGATGATGCTGTGGCCTTCTGGGCTTTCGTTGGTTTCATGGATCGAATGGTAAGTTCTATCGGATCAACAATATCTCATTGCACTAATACTTATCTCTTTTAGGAACGAAATTTCCTTCGAGACCAGTCGGGCATGCGATCTCAGCTCCTTGCTTTGGACCATCTCGTTCAGCTTATGGACCCGCAGCTGTACGTCCATCTTCAGTCTGCGGACAGCACAAACTTCTTTTTCTTCTTCCGCATGTTACTGGTCTGGTACAAGCGGGAGTTTGAATGGGGAGATGTCTTGCGTCTCTGGGAGGCACTATGGACCGATTACTTCTCCAGCAGCTTTCATCTTTTCATTGCCTTGGCGATTCTAGAGAAGCATCGGGACGTCATTATGGATCACTTGAAGCATTTTGATGAAGTACTGAAGTATAGTAAGTCTACGCCCTCGATCTTTACGCATACTAGGTCTGTTTTCTCGGTACTAACGAGCGTCCAGTCAATGAGCTTTCCAATACGATGGACCTTGTCCCCATTCTCACACGCGCCGAATCGCTCTTCCATCGCTTTGAGCGATCGGTCCAGGTAATCGACAAGAAAGACAACTTCCCCGCCCCTTCTGCACACCAGCGCCGACCAGCAAGTAGCAGTCCAGACTCGGCTGGCAAGGGCAAATCGCCTCAGCGCCCAACCGTCGGATCCAGCAGCGGCGTTCGTCCCCCTTCCGCACTTCAACAAGCAATTGACAAGGACAAGCCAAAGGTCATCTCTCCGGAATTGCGAGAGCTTCTGAGAAAAGATGTCCCCTGGAGACGCCAGCAGACATCATAGCGCTGTTGCTGGGAATTTCCTGCTGATTTCTAGCGGTTCCTAAGCGCGATGCCTTGGCAGTTGCTGCTTGCATTATCTTACGACTTTTACGCCTTGCTCTTGTATACCATTCCACTCATTTTGTATTATTTGTTTTCATGTATCTTCTTCCAGGCGAACAGGTTCGCACTTGGCTTGGGGCTGCTTCAGGTTCACGATTTTGGTTTCCCCCACGATGTGTTGCCCGGCTTTCTTATCATAGCGCCTGCTACTGAATACAAACGGCCTTCTTTTCCCATCAAGTGTTGCACATCTAAAATACTCGGCGACAAGCCCCAGTCACACTTTCACCGAGTCAGCTGCCGAGTAACGAGTATAGAAGTACCCCTTATTGGCAGAGCTGCCTGTTATAGTCAACAGGAAGCTCAAGAAAATATGTTCCATTCTAAAATCTAGTATGTATGTATGAAGTGGGAATCAAAAGCGCCAGTAAGCAGTAAAATTCGTGTTCTATGACTGTCCGCTCGAATGCAAAGCCATGACTTTAGCGCGGATCCATCCTCCCGCCTTGTCTTCCACAAGCAGCGAGTTTATGCGCTCACACCAGGGAAGCAGTCAGCAAGACCCTTCTTGTGCTTGTTGGAAGCGTGCTCAAGCAGACTGTACAAGCAAATGTTAGTGGGCTTCGAGATGCTGACACATTAAATAGGGAAAGACATACGCAGGGGCCTTGGTAGTCTGCAGGAAAGTCTGCAGGCAGACCTTGCACTGGATGTTCATGGCCTTCTCATTCTACACCCAAAAATGACATATTAGCCTCGGTGTCAAAGAAAATCTCAAAATAAACGTTCACATACGGTCTTAGTCTGCGACTTGGCAACCTTGCTCTTGTCGGCATTGTTGCGCTCACGCTTCTGGTTGGCCTTGGCTCCCTGTTGACAATCATCAGTTTAGATCTGCACATTAGTGACCCGGGTTGTCACGGCGAGGTTGCTTCTATAGCAAGTCCTCCACCATCAAGGTCCTCGTACGTTACCCATTTTGTAGGATTGTGATATGTCTGCGACTGGAGATCGTGTCGGGCTGGGGAGAAAATTTTCTCCACTCAAACGGCCGAGCGGATCAAATCTGGCGGGGCAAATACCTGCTGACTCAGCAGGTTCTATTTTTGACGGGCAAGTCAAGGGAAGACCAAACAATGCTTTAGTCTCGTGTAACTCGGAGATTTTTGTTGGGAGAGGGATTTATATCGTAGCCTTAAATATTGCAATAGAATCCAAGCCAGTAGGGCTACATTTATGCTGTGTAGGGTATGTCTTTCAGAGACGCCATATTAACCAATTAGATCACACGGATGAGAAGTATACAAGAAGCCACCATATGACTGATCTATTTTCTGAACCTATGCAGATCAGTTTAAGAGTGCGTGCTCGTTTGAATATCGGGTCGACTGATACTGACCTCTAATTACGCATTTTCTGATATCTCGATCGATAATCAAATATACACTTCCATGAGAATATTTCAGCGCCATAGCCCGATCATCGCTCCAAGTAGGGCTGTAAGAATAATAGAAATTGCCATCCTCATACTCACAGCCATACTTAAGGCGACTTTCAACTCGCGCTTTCTCCTCCTTCCTACGGCCCTTCTAACCCCTCAAAATCAACAGACAGCCTTGGCACGTAGCAAGATTGTTCTTCCCCTCCATTTCCCTTCTCCCATGTTTTCCACAATGCCAACAAATCACAAACCGCTCCCCTTGCCGGTCGATACAAGCTCCACGGGAGTAACGAGTAGTTCCAGGACGTGAGTTGATTCCGCACTGAATGTGGAATCTGTTTTCTCGATGGATACCGTTCTTCCATCTTTTGCCGTTGGCTATCACGTCGGCAAAGTCCGTTCGAGGAAGGAGGCGGAGACAGTCATTGCAGGCGAATAGATCTTTGCCCTCGTGCATGCCAAACCCGGATAGCTCTAGCATCAACAGTTGATGTATATCCAGTCGTGGAATTAGTTCATTGAAATTTTGGGCATGTCATTTTGAGATAAATCTGGCCAACTGCATCGAGATTTTGACTTACATGCAGCTTCAGCTCCGTTGACATGTCGAGCAACGACACATTGCCATTTTTCGTGAAATGCGAGCTTGAGATTTCGATGTCTAGTATGAATGACCCCAGATAACTTTTTTCAGTGAGAACTGAACTCGCAGTAGCCATGTTGAGGATATGGGGGTTGAGGTCATAATCCTAGGTAGCGAGTCGACCTTCGGTTTGGGTCAAAGCCTGGGTAGGCATTGCCTCTGCATACCCAAGGTCGAACCTGAGTCTTGTCGTTGATAGCCACTCGCATGGTACGTAGAACCCTGTTAGAATGAGCGATTTCACAAAATGCAAATGGAATTCAGGCGAACCAACAGGGTCTGGTGACATGACATGTCCGTCGTGCATCAATAATGTGCTGTCCACAAAGACAATCTTCGACGCCCGGGAGGGACTGTATGCAGGGTGCATATTCTTCCCACTTTGCAGCTCCAAGGCCTTTAGAAATGACGACGAGAACGATTAATAAGATTGGAAGATCGCTAAGACAGCGAAGACAAGGCAAAAGGAGGCGAGGCTCAGTATCTGCTTACATCTTTCTAAACCGGGTTAGGGATGGCATAAGGTGTTATCATTTACTTCAAGTTGAAGTCAGTAACTGATCCTGCCCGGTAGCCTAGTGAGTTAACTCCCCGGCTGCTGTAGCCACTTCGGTGGGTTCGGTGGTCGTAACTGCGAGGAAGCTTCTGTGGAGCAGGTGTGGCCCCCGGCGGGTGAGGTTTTTTGATATCCAACGTCCCTACATAATTCTCCCTTTTAAAGTCTTTTTTATTATACTTTATCTATATCAAACTAATCACTGAATTCTATATAATTCATGATATTTATTTAAAGGATTAAAAAGGTAGTCTGGTGGTGCTATTGTGTGTTGTTGATTAGGTGCGGTATCGCGTTGAAGCCGCGGGCTGTACATGGAGCATCGTCATCCTGTATATAGGGAGCGAGAGGTCGCGGGTTCGATTCATGGCGAGAGCGACTCTTTTCAAGATTAGCTCTTTGGACATGAAGGAGAGCACGCCTTGTATGTATAGTATACTAAAGGTTGACTCAAAGGCTGACGGCTCTTCGTTGATGATGAATAAACCCGTCCTTTAATAACTAGCCAGTGGCGCGAATAGCGGGCTAACTTGACATAAAACCATACCACCCAGGGTTTCCCAACATCATGTACGACAATCATTAAAGGAGAATATCAGAAAGCTAGAAAAATGAAACACTCTATTGAGGGGTATTAAATGCAGCCTCGAAAGTAACATCGAGTTAGACCGACTCAATCAGGTCAGATATGTACAAACACGAACCCGAAAAAAAACGACCTGGTATGTGAGGATATCAATCGCAACCAAGACCCAACAAACAATAAACATTAAAAAAATCAAACCAATTTCTTTTCGCCGCGCTGATGCAAATGCTAGAAAATGAGACAATATCAAACTGGCGAATAAAAGGCGAACAAATGCATGTGGTCCCCCAATATGATGAGACCTTGAAGTTTGAGTGGATAAAAACGCTTTCTATCTGCGGTTACTAAGTCCGCGGAGTGAGACTCGCTTGCTTGACCCAACAGATCTGATATCACTGATACTCGAGACCTTGGGCAAAGACCGGCGGCTATGACTCCGGCTGTGGTCCTGGTCATCGGCCTCATGTAGGTCCATCACGCTCTCCGTTCCGGGCGCAACATTCAGTGCGAATGAAGGAGGATTCACCGAGCTAGATCGGCGAGTTTGTTGCAGGACATCCTCGACCCAAGCCTCACCCTCTGGGCTCATCGAAATCTGTCGCGAGCGGGGCTTGGGGCCCGCCAGACCAAGCGGTGTTGATTGAGAGTCATGAGCGAGGGAGGCGAGCGCGAAATTGGCAGGAGAATGGGTACCTCCGAAGGAGTAGTTGGAGGACATGGAGAAGCGCCGTCCGCCAGGGAGTGTAACCGGTGGAGGCGAGATGTAGGAGCTCAGAGTTCCTGTGGTGACTGAGCGAGGCCCCAAGGCATCAGATGCGTTGGAACTGCGCCGCTTACGCACGGTGAGTGACGATGGAGGTCGTGCACTCATGACAGACGGGGGTCGAGAGGGAGTGGCTCGACCGGATGTGATATAGGGAGAAGCCGCTGCCGATGACAACACGGCAGCAGGAGAGGAATAGCCGGGTGAGGTTCGAGACGTCAGACCCTGTACCTCGACGCGTGGTGTCTCTGAAACTTTGCGGCGTCCGTGGTGGATGACGTATTCGCGCAAGTATTCGCCAAGATCGGCCCAGCCACCACCAACACGGACCATGACGCGCTGTCCGTCTTCTCCAACAGTACGGACGAAGAGCTTGGTGGGCGCTGTCTGGCCACCATGGTGCAGATGGTATAGTTTCACGTAGCTGTCCTCGGCCTTGTGGGCGTGGGACAATCGCCTCCGTGCGGCAGGCATAAGCATCAATGAAGGGGCGGGGGTCATACTGCGCGACGGTGCAGCACGCGGCGACTCGGAATGACCTCTGTCCCGCATCTTGCGGTCCATGGAAGATGATGAAGACGAGGTATCGGCTTCGTTGTTGGGATCAACCAGGTGAATCCGACCAGGAAGAGTGCTCAGGATAGAATTGATCTTTTCATCAAGCTGGTCGCGGGGCCTCCGCCTATGCGGAGAAGACGGGCGCGAGCCTTCATCAATGAGCTCAGATTCATCTTCCTCCACATAGGGCAGTTCTTGTCTTTTTACTCCAAGACTTTCCAGGCTGGGATGAGCCGTCAGTCGTTGGCGCAAGCGGACAGACTTGGGCTGCTCCTGATGAAGGAGGGCCCGATGAGCTGTGTTCATGCCAAATGCTTTCCTGTTGTACTCGAGATTCTTCTTGGAATTTTCGCTTTCCTTCAAATCAGATGCAGACTTGCCGCGAGTAAGTCGTGGACGGCGACTAGAGACGCGGGGTGGTACTTGTGGCGCAGGCGTCGAGGTCGTGTGCGGTGGTTTGGCGACCCCAGTGCCTTTGAAAGACGACGCAAACTCAGTGGCCTCTAGTTCAGGCTGGTCGCGTATATCCAAATCAAACTCATCGTTGATGAAACGCTCAAGAGGCAGACTCACCGCACGGGTTTGCGGGAACGCTGCTGGGGATGACTTTTCATTCTCAAAACGCAGCAACCGATCTGCTCGCAACAGATGCTCACCGTGCGACGGAATCGAGTCCGATCGAGGGAAGTCCTGGCGGGAGGGAGTGACGAGAGGACCTTCGTGTGACGAGCCTGTTTGGGGTTCGGGTGCTTCAGGGCTCGATATAAGAGAGGAGTTGTCGGAGAGCAAAGAGCCCACGGAGCCTGTAGACGATCGTCGCTGGTGCCGGCGTGGCTTTGGAGCATCTTTATCGAGATTCAGTTTCCCAGGTCGGTGTTTTGATAGCTTGATTGGGCTCTGAAGCGGTTTCCGGGTCGGGACTTGTTCTTGTGGTGGGTTTTCCTTCCTTGGACCGGGCACAGCAGTAACGGGCCGTGACTCGGATATCGCAGGCTCCATAGGCTCCGGTTGCTGTGTAGGTTCCCGAGAGATCTCCTGGAAGGGATCCCAGGCGCATTGCGTGTAATTTGGAGTGTCGGCCGGACAGACATCGATTGTTGGCACTTCCACTTTCTCGGTAGTAGTTAGGCACGTCTCAGAGTTGCGGTTTTCGGCCGATACGCATTCGCGATCAGAGGGTTCTGAAGCGACTGTGATTTGTTTGACCATGCCATCCTTGGGCGACACGGGCTGATGATCGATCACCAAGGAGTCTTTACTAGTGTCATCCTGAATAGAGCAGACGCTTTCATCTGCAGCCTTAACTTCAGGTAGGGATTCTCCCAATTCTGGCATGGATATAACATCCGCTATAGAGACAACTGGGGTCTTTTTAATCTCGGTTTCGCCTGAAAAGGCCGGCTTTTGGACAAACGGGTCATCGTCGTCCACAAAGTTATGCTCAGACAGAGCAGCCGGCTTGGATCCAGAAGAGACCGGCTGCTCTTGGTTATAGTCCAAGGGAGGGACATTCTCTTTGTCCTCACCATCAGGCGTCATTGGTAATGGCACTCGAGACGGCGAATCCTGGTTCGAGATGTCAACCGCATGATTGAACGAGAAGGTGGGTCGGGTGGGGGTTTGCATATCCTCGGTGACAGTCAAACTAGTCTCGACTGGCATCTGTTCTTTGGCCGGTGGCGTCAACACGACATCCGGAGTCTCAGAGCAAGGGCTGGGTGAGGAAGCACGCAAATCTGAAGATGCTGGCAGCTGTTCCTTGGCTGACTCTGTCAACACGGCATCCGGAGCCCCAGAGCAAGGGCTGGGCGAGGAAGGACTGAGATCTGAAGACGCTGGCAACTCGGGGGTCCTCTCGATTGGGGACGCAATGGACTGTTCAAGTTCTTGCTGGGGCTCCTGCTTCTCACTTAGTGCGGGAGTCTGTGGTTGGACACTATCCTCTCGCACTTCCTCGATCGTCTTATTCAAAGATTCCCGTTCAGGTTGCGTGTCTATCTCCGCAGCAATTGCTGCGTTCTCTGTCGAGTCCGCAATTTCCGGCAGAGGAGGGGCTTCGTGCTGAACCTCAGGGATTTCGATCGTTTCGGGCTTCATAGGTTGGTCCTTCATACGCAACCAATTCGTGCGAAGTCTATACCTCTCGGCCTCGACTACCCACGCAGCGAATTCGGACTCGATGCTCTCCAGGTCGTCAATCCAATTTTCAGGCAGGGAGTCCTGGCGACCCTCCAACGCATCAAGGGCGCGATCCATTCGCCGACCCACTGCAACAACGGCAGATTCGAGATCGACATGTTCGCCGCGTAGATGTGAGTCGGAAAGTCGTGAATCGCTGTTCTCATTGGGGTTCGATATCCGCAGTGCGTGGAAGGATGAATCAAGGGAGGCTCGCGTCGCTTTCAACTCCCTCAAGAGGCCTGGTACTTGGCGTAGAACAAGCAGACGCACGTCCCAGGTAGTCAAGAGGCTATTTAGTCGTGATAGCAGCGGTAAGGCGCGCAGTATCGTAGCAGTGACGACAGCAGTAAAGTCGCTTAGCTGCACATAGCTGAGCGGTGGGGGCACGGACACTGTGCTGTGCGAGGAGGAAGGGCGAGACCGGGATGGAATGTGGGCATTAAGGACATGTTCCTTTAGCTCATCCACATCTAAGTTGTCCATTCCATCGCGTATTTCCTCGATCCTCTTCTCATACTCTTCAACTACAGCTGCTGGCAAGCTGCCATAATATTTCACATCGCACCCATCACTAACCGGAGGGAGCAGGAGGGAGCTCGATCCGACGGAATTTTCTTGCGAAGAACTTTCTGGTGGCGGCTCAAATCCCTTTCCAAGCTTTGCCTCGCCATGTTTTGGCCATATCCACGACTGCACCTCCTTATACCAGATATCCAAGTTCTGGGCGGCTATGGCGGCACGGATGCCGAGGGCGCGTTCAGCAGGCGAGACCTGCGATATACTCTGCGAGAGCACATTATGAGAGAAGTTGCCGTTTGAGGGGACGGCCTCGGTCGATGTTAGGGCGTGTAAAGTGGATTCGGGGGATAGGTTGCTGAGGAGGGGGTCGATCTTTTGGTATAATGAGGTTGGATTCCGCTCAGGAGACGCCGAACGCGAGTTCTCTCGCGAGTGCACCGGAGATAGCCGTATCGACGGGCGAAGGGGGCTCGTTCGACTGGTTGCCATTCCGAATGGCAGGCTTTATAGCTCCGAATCGGTCTTCACAGGGACGAGAGTCGGTGTGTGTGCGAAGACTCGGGCTGGCATATGAATGTCGGAGGTCGGAATGATGCAGCGGGCGGACGAAGAGAGCACTGTCGAGCCCGCATGCTGAGACGCGATCGAGAAGAGTTTCCAGATGCGAAGAACTTGGGATATCCGTTCCAATCTTTTCAGGAGCTGTTGTGGTGCGGTGCGGCTGACGAACGAGAGAAAACACGGAGATTGGCGGTCAAGAAATATAGTAGGATTGTGAGGGAATTGGAAGATGTCGAGATAACTATCCAGACGGATCAGAGAGCGGAGGATAGAGAATTAAAGAGTGACAGAAAGGTCCAGCTTTCTGGGTTGGTGCTCGTGGCGGAAATAATTGATGCTGATCGAAGTTCTTTGGAGACGGTGGAGCCAAAAGGGGGCACGGATGAAGTGGACCTTTCGCGCTTCCGCCGATCCGCGACGCTATTAGTTTCGCGAATTGTCCGGGGCGCGCTGCGGGTGGTTAGATCGCTTGGTGGCGGACTAGATTCGACGCTTACTTCACTAGATGTACCAATTAACTGGAATTGAGCGAGAGTTTGGTTGTTCCGGGAGCTGATGTCTACTTGGCGATGTGATACGAGAAGTATGCAAGGGTTCTATACTACATAAATAGGAAGACCACACCACACAACGATATAACCAATGAAGAGAAAGAAACCAAAAAAATGAGCTCAGCGCACGCTAGGTAATGATTTGTGTACGAAACTGGCTCGAGTTTAATCTACACGGTCCTTCGGTGGACGGCCATAATGCGGTCATCCTGGCGTTGTCGAGGCAAATTTGAGCATCACAATTCCGAACTCGAGGACTGCCTTGATACGCGTTGATGGGGAAGAAACGAAAGCCATTCCATTCAAATCCATCAGGACAATATGCCGCCGTTACGCTATCGCCCTGAAATGCTGGCAGATATACCAGAGGAGCGCACTTACTTTCTCAAGCAATATGAAGACTGGTTTACTGTGGAGACTCCCGAGCTCAAGAAGATCACCGATCATTTCGTGAAGGAGTTGGACAAGGGCCTTTCGAAGGAGGGCGGCAATATAGTAAGTCCTGCTACTTGGCTCTTAAACTGGTAGTGCCCAGCAAGCGCTAAATGTTAGGATTCGTTTCTCAACAGCCAATGAATGTGACTTGGATAACAGCATTCCCCAATGGCTGTGAAGAAGGACGAGTGCTGACCATAGACATGGGCGGTACAAATCTCCGAGTCTGCGATGTATACCTCCCAGCTGGTAGGAGGGATTTCGAACAAACTCAAAGAAAGTACAAACTGCCCGAGGAAATCAAGACGGGCAGCGGAGAACAACTCTGGGATTGGATCGCCGATTGCCTAAAATCTTTCATGGAAGACAAGCGCATCGAGCCACCGGAGGGCGAGAAGTTCTCATTGGCCTTTACCTTTTCTTTTCCAGTCTACCAGAGCGACATCAAATGCGGTGTCCTTCAACGATGGACAAAGAATTTCAATGTGACGGGGGTGGAAGGCCACGACGTTGTGCCGCAGCTGGAGGTGGCCCTGGGGAAGAAAGTAAGTAAGCATCATCAAGTCCCGTATCATCTCCCCGTAAAGACACAATGGCTCATTTATCCAGCACCTTCCGGTCGAAATCGTAGCTGTGATCAACGATACAACGGGCACCCTTCTTGCCTCGCATTATCGCGATCCTCACGTTAAAGTGGGCTCAATTTTCAGCACTGGTTGCAATGCTGCATACATGGAAGATTGCAAGAACATCCCAAAGCTGCAGGAGCAGGGGCTTGCAGAAGACGCGACGGTCATCATCAACACCGAGTACGGTGCGTTCGATAATGATCGCAAGGTCCTTCCCCTGACACCTTTCGATCGGCGAATTGACCAGCAATCTGTCCAACCTGGGACACAGATATATGAAAAGATGGTGGCTGGACTGTATATCGGCGAAATGCTTCGTCTTGTGCTGGTCACACTCTGCGAAGAAGGCAAGCTCCTCCAGGGCCAAGACATCACTCGCCTTCGAAGAGAAAATGCCGTGGACGCGACATTTCTCTCTATTGCAGAGCTCGATATCTCAGAGGGGCTCCAGGATATGCGTGTTGAATTTGAAGAGAACTTTAGCTTGTCACCAAACATGCATGATCTCAAGATATGTCGGTATCTAATCAGCCTCATTAGCAAGCGTGCCGCGCGCCTCTATGCATGTGGAATTGCGGCCATATGCAAGAAAAACAATGCTTTGAAATGCCATGTTGGCGTGGATGGTGCAGTGTTCAATAAATACAGTGGCTTCAAGTCGCGGGCGTCCCAGGCTCTACGCGAAATCTTTGACTGGCCAGCAGAGGAGCTGGACCTGATCGCGCTCAATCCGTCTGAGGATGGTTCAGGTGTCGGTGCAGCGCTGGCTGCAGCTTTGGCCACGGGATGCGAGAGCAAAGGCAGATCATCCAAGATTGCTTGTCTTGTTTAGATGAATACAGAGATCACAATAGAGAAATCATTCAAATTAGAATTCATCGTTTGGTACGCGTCGCGGGCCGATAGAGCGATAAGGATAAGCCGATGAGGATAGCCGATAAGGATAGCCGATAAGGATAGCCGATAAGGATAGCCGATAAGAACTTCTCCACAGTGAATCAGTCAACTCAACATTCACCTTTCCTCTTACCATTCTCCACGCCATATCAGACATCATGCGGTTCCGAACTCAATTGAAGAATACGAGGACCTTCTCTAGTATGAGCTATATTTCCCAGGTAAAAGACAGCTAACTAAGTATTCATAGAATTAACTGCCTCGCTGTCATCACTGGGCAAAGTATGTTGGATGCGGCTGGAATACGACGTGGTCCGCTTCACCGTGATCCCAGAGCAAGGTACCCAAGTCTGGGCACAGATCCCAGTTGTACGTGTCAAATTGGTTCTTGATTTGATTCCTCAAGTCAATCTCACTGACTCATCCCCCAAGGACACCATCTTCGAGGAATCATCGTATCAATTAGAATCCAACTCGGATGCCATCAATATCGAAATCAACATCAGTCTTTTGAACCGTGCGCTACGGTCAACATTCGGCGCTTCATCCTCGCAATTGCGTCTGACAAAGAAAGACAAGATGCCACTGCTTGCACTCACAGTCCTCACAACCGAATGGACCGAGGGTAACATGGCCCTTGCCACAGACGAATCAGGCGAGCAAAGCCACGCAGCAGGCCCATCTGCCCCGAATGAGGTAGTCGGTGACCGGCGAGCGCGTGAGCGTGAAACATGGATCACGCAAGAAGTCCCCATCAAAATCCTACACGAAGACGTAGTAGAAAGCCTACACGAGCCGCATTGCCCGGATCCAGACGTATACATCATTCTGCCGAACCTGATGCAGTTGAAAAGTATCTCAGACCGATTCACCAAACTTGCCTCCACAGACAGCAAGGGCCGACAATCTGGCATTGTGGTTGCGGACCCGGCGGCCTCTACCACCGGCGCCACGGCTCTTACTACCAACGCTGCCCCAAAATTGGAGTTGTCGGCCAACATGCATGGAAAATTACGCCTCGCCATTGCGACGGATGATTTGCGCATTGCGAGTGTATGGTCCGGACTCGTGAATCCTCCTCTGGACCCTGCGCATATCACGCAGGATCAGGCTTCTCAACTCCCTAGTGAGAGAATGCGCGAAGCAGGCGACGATGATGAGGCTGGATGGGCCAAAGTCAGGATCGATGGGAAAGATTGGGGTCGGGTGTTGAGCGTGGGAAGATTGAGCCCGAAGGTCGTTGCTTGTGAGTTGACATTCCCCTGTGCACAATGAGTCTTTCAAGGTTCTCGAACCGTTAGCTAATATTCTGCAGGCTTCATAAACGACACCGCGCTGGTTTTGTATGTCTACTTACCCGGCAGTTGGAATGGCGAAGAATCATGCCTGACTGTAAGTTGTTCTCCGTTTGACTGCATGCCTTCCAGAGGAGTTAATCAATATCGAACTCAGTACTATATCAATTCCTTTACGACGTGAACGATCCATTCCAATCAAATTTGCCCAAACTACAGGGAGAATTGTTTTAGGGGCTACGACCATACAGACAGGATTGTCATAGAGCAGGTCAACAGACCCTTAGTCAACATTATAACGAATCATTATTAAGACAGGCGCACGGCGAGAAATCCATGCGGAAAGAAACATCTCCAAAACATTAACCAAAAGACTCGGAAACCAGGATGCAGGAAAACAAGGCAGGGGGGAAGGCAGGGATATGATATACATGATGCAAGGGAATCATCTCCCTCGCTTCGCGGACGAAGAAATATCGCAACAAAGAACATCAGAAGCAGCAAGCTATGTACAAGGACTTTGCGGTGCCGAGCTGGCTCAGTGTGCGAGAACGCCGTGCAAATGGGGGTTGTGTCGGTCTTGACGCAGGACAAAACAAAGACACATGCAAGATGCTGGGAGAAGAAGGCTTGACAGCAGGGAATCTCTATTATATGGGTGGGGAGGGCGAGGGGACTTCGTGGGGCAATGGGGGATCCATGATAGTAAGCAGAACCAGACGGACATCAGAGGCATAATGACACAAACAAAATAACAAAAGAAAAACAATCCAATCAGTCAATAATCAAATAACTGATTAGACTTTTTAAGGGCTCGAAACTCTCGAGAGATTCTCGAGATTATTGAGCCATCACATCGACGTAGCGGCCCTTCTTCTTGCCCTTGACGGTGTTTCCCTTGCGCGCGGTGGGAGCGCCGAGGAGATCATCAATCGAATTGGCATGGGTCAAAGACGACGCAGGTCGTGGTGGGCCAGATGAGCTACCAGGCGGTGTTGGAACAGCCGCACCCGTAGAGACTGAACGAGGCATGTTACCGAGAGGTGGTGGCACACCAAGTCCTGACAACGCAGGGCTGGATGAAAGAGGTGGAGGCGGCATATCGCTAGCAGAAGACTGAGGTCGGCTACCTGCACCGGACATGGGAGGTCCAGCGAGAGGAGGCATACTGCCAGAGCTGGCAGCTCGACTCGGTGGGGCAGAACCTCGTGGTGGAGGCGGCGTAGCACGAACAGCAGCAGCAGAGTTGGGGTCCTTCTTATTGACCCACTTCTTGAGGTCCTTATCATAGTAGAAGGAATTTTCTTCGCCGAGCTTGGCCTTGATGGGACCGCCGCCCGGGTTCTCAGCTTCCTTCTTGGCGCCTCCAAACCACCCACCGAACCATCCCTTCTTCTGGGCTTGCTGGGCGTCTCTCTTGGCTATAATTGCGAGGTTAGCAAGATTGCAGAACAGTTGGGCTGAGATTTTCCTATCTCTGACTTACCATCTTCTTCCGCAGCCTTTCTGAACGCTTCATCCGCCTTACGGTCGTTCTCAGCCTTCTGCATGGCAGTGGCCCTAGCAGCAAGGTCGTCATCATCATCGTCATCCATGAAAGACTTCTTCTTCCGAGTCTCAGGCTCCTCATCCACTGCGGATGGTTGATCCGTTTCCTCTGACGCAGGAGTCAAGTCAGGGGCAGCATACGAAGGCGGCGCATATGCATTGGTAGGCGGTGGCATATACGACGAAGCTTCCGGCTGCGGCATGCCAGGGGGCCCTGATAGTAGGGCGACTGTACAGCCGGTGTCTGTTCGGCCTCATGCTGTTGCTGCTCTTGCTGTCCATGATGCTGATAGAAGAGACCATTAACAGCAGGCACTGGCTGGGTAGGCGGTACCGCGTCTGCAGGCGATTGGGTATTCAAATCCTCTTCGACTGAAGCAAGGGGCATATAGGATGTCTGAGGCGGAGTAGGCTGGTAACCTGAAACAGCGCCAGGAGAGCCATATATGGGTGCAAAGCTCTCGATTGGAGAAGCAGGGTATTCTTGTGAGGTCCGACGTTGTCCAAAGGGAACGCCACCAAACGATGGAGACCTCTGGGAATCCATTGAAGATCGTCCCCGGAATTGTTCAGGCGATGCATTTGGCGCATACTGGTTCGGCATGTATCTCGAGGAACCGCCAGAAGGAGCAGGGATGGGTTGAGCCGCCGCTGCTCCGGGATATGAGCCATACAGGTCAGACACGGAGGGGGAACGGCTGACAGTTGGCGTTCCTGCAACGTTGGCAAAGGGACCAAAGTCTCCAATCTCGCCTGCTTTGCCAGAACCTGTCGACACCGCATCGCTATCATCACCAGCAACAAAGCTGTTAAAGCGAGCCCACATCGATCCGGATACCTTCTCCATGCTCGGCTTAGAGATCCAAGAGCCACCATCGGTGGTGGTTTGACGAAGTCGAGCAGAAAGCTCATCAACCTCAACAAACAAGTGTTGATGGTGGTAAGGCGATGGTCGCGTGGTTGCTTTGAGCGATGCGGCAACGCCATCACAGTAGATCTGAGCCTCAGACTTGCGCCCCCGATCGGCAAGCTGCTTGGCGTGGACGAGCTTGAAGGCCAAGAGATATGGCAGGTTGGCCACCGGCGAATTGGCCAGGACGGAGGTAGCATACTCGTAGATCTCAGTGAGAAGAATGGCGTCCTCATCCATCAAAGAGCAAGGAAGACGCTGGTGATCAGCACCAAGGAGCACAATGTTCGCTTGAGGATCATCGGCGCCACCAAAGACTGCGCTGCGGGAGAAAATGAAGCAGATATGCGCTGCCTCCACGCGGCCATAAGAAGCCAGTAAACGACCAAGAGCAAGTAGTGACTGCTGATCTTCCGAGCTTCGATTGCTCAGCACCAACCCGACGGTGTCTCTCCAGCTATTCAACCCATCCAGCGCGTTCTTTGTGGAACCATGGCGATCGTTCATGCTAATGAGTTGATGTCCAGCCCGTGCGGAGGGAGGTACAAGCTCGTCAACGCTTTCCTCAACGTTTCCAGCGAAGATTTCGTAGAGGGCTGCAAGTGATTCGGTGTTGACAGCTGTGGATTTGATCTCACGTCGAACAAACTCTTGGACAGCCTGCTTCCAAATGGCCCGATCCATGGTAGATGCAAGAATCATTGCGTGTCCCCATAGACGGCGGTCGACGGCGGCCCAGACGGCTTTTTCTCGTTCACCTAGGAGCAAAAGATTCCGCAGCTCTTCCATCCACTGGGAATCAGCGGCTCCATCCGGCTGGGATGATGCCCCCAAGGAAGCAAATCCGGGAGAAGTTCCAAAGGGACTGATCACGGAGCCATCGGGACCGAGTTCTGGAAGATTTGGCACGAATACCTGACGAAGAGAGTTCTGTATCTCGGCCGACCCCTCAAGTTGGCCGTCATTCTCAACTAGAATTTTGACAACCTTCCAGAGGAGGATCTTTTCCTCGTGGCGCTTCTGTATGTCGGGATGGGACTGGTCAAAACCTTGAGGCATGTCATTTTCGAAAGCAGCAATCTTGCTTGACAGCCAGGCGAGCACATCCTTCTTCTTAGACTTGGCCTTGAGCAAACCAGGATGCTGAACAATAGTATCCAGGGTGGGAACCCATTGGCTGGTCTGGGAGAGCTTGGGCTCGCCAGGACTGGGTTTGATCATTGGAAGGGCTTGGCCAACAGAGTACCGGGGAATCTGCTGGGGGAAGCAAGAGACAACCGCACCACCAAAGCCGAACTTGAAGATAGGGGCGCCTTTCCATCGCTGAAGAGGGTCCTGTTCTTGTCCGTCGGTGGGTGCGATAAACTCCAGGTGCTGAGAGAGAGCACGAGCGCGACCCTGGATAGAAGGCTGGACTGGTGCATACGGATTGGTCGTCTTGGTAGGCGAAGCTGAGCCGTGTACAGACGCCGGGCGCGGTAAAGTTGTAAGTGGAGGCACAGCAGCGCGGGGGCTCGTCATTTGTTGACCCGGCGAGGACGTATGGGATCGGCGAGGAGGAGCAGGCTGCGACTCGGTCGCATGATGGGATGACGGTGGCGCGACCCCCGCTACTGGAACAGTTTGGTAGGCACTATTTGGTGTAACGCGCTGAGCAAACTCGTTGACATACTCCGGTGGTGCATAGCGATTCTTGGTCGGCGGGGGAGTCTGTCGTGGGGCAGCCGGGGGGTTGCACCATCAAGGCTGCCAATACCATTTGACATTTGGGGAGCGTAAGGAGAGCCTTGATCAATGCTAGGCCGCTGCGCACGTGGTGGAGAAAGATCAACCGATGGCTGCAGCGAGGGGGGCTGCGGTTGTTGAGCCTGAGCCTCATCGGGTTGATACGAAGCCTTTTCATGATAAGCCAGAGGACTGGAGGTACGAGGCTGGAACGGCAAATTGTTGACATGGCCAGGAACGGCCAAAGGCTGAGAAGCATAGCGATTACGCGCAGCCGGCCCCGAAGGAAGAGGTGCGGGTGAATATCGAGGCATTGAAGGTGGCTTCGCCGATGGCTGCAAGCCAGGAGGCTGAGGGGAATACCGGGATGCAGCAGGCGGACCAGCTGGGGCGCTCGATGCCAACAGCGAGGGCACAGCATATGGGTCCAAACGCTCTGGTGGCTGCAGGGAAGGCTGGGACGGCACATTGGCTGGCAAAGCAGCAAGAGGTGCGGTGGGTGCATATGGGTTTTGCGGGGGCGGGGGACCAGCAGGGGACGAACCAGTCTTCGTGGTCGCGGCGGGGTTGGGGGAGTATCGTCCCGAGCTCGTGGCAGGTCGAGACTTTGGAATCGGCAAGGGGAGCTCTTCGTAAAAGTTCTTTGGGCCAGATGGTGCTGCCGGCGCCGGCGCAGCAGCAGCGAGAGGAGCAGTTGCAGCTGGGGGTACGCTATACTTGGGCGTGCCACTGCTGGGTGGTGGAGGTGGAGGCATACTGCTCACAGGCAATGGAGCAGGCTTGTGAGTAGCCACCGGCCGTCTAGGTCGAGACAAGTCGTCTGGCAGGTCGTATGGAGATTTATAGCCCTCTTTTGATCGCTCTGCGAAGCTCTCCCCGCGAGGAGGCAGGACGGGATTCGACGGCTTCTGGGCGAAGTATGGCGGGGTCACAGTGTTCGCCACTGGGGGTGCTCCAGGTAAAGGGATGCCTCCAATAAGGTCCGCAGTTGTAGGTTGATGTGGCGTATATATGCCGGGAATAGGCCGAGGCTGCGTCTGACTGTTGGGGGTCTCGAACGGACTATTCAAGCCAGTGGGACCAGAGTTTACGGCCGATGGTGTCACGGTCTGAGGAACATATTGCTCTCCCGGTGTAGCAGCTTGGGGCTGAGCTGATACAAGTGTAGTTGTATCATCCTCCAAGAGCATATCGTCGTCATCCAGGTCGAGCGCGGCCTCCCATCTAGCAGCCAACTCATCCTCGCCTGTATCACTCAATTCCGCTTCCCATCGTGCAGCGAGATCGTCTTCCGAAGGCTCTGCGGCTACTTCCGCCTGAACCGCAGACTCTACGGGTTCAGACGTAGCGGCAGCTTTCAGATCATCAAATTGGGCAGCAGCCGACGTATCGCTAGTAGGAGAGTCGATGTTGAACCCAACTGATTCCATGACCTGAGACGTACTCTTGCGGGTAATATACGGGGAAGAAAAGTCATCACTCATTTCAGCTTTGTGAGACGAGCTGAAAAAGTCATCCCCGTCGTTTTCGTCATTGGCAAAGGGGTCCGCAATATGGTTTGCCAGGTGTTCCTCGCGCACTGGCGATTTCGGGCTCTCTTCATCCAACAGCGGTACTCCTTCTTCAAACCGGGACTCAGCCTCGGGGGGTGCGAAGATGGGCTTGGTTTGAGTCTTTAATTGGTTGAAGAAGTCATCCCCATCTGAATCCACATCGTGGTGCGCTTCCATGCTCCAAGGATTGGCATCATTCTGGCTTGACTCTTGCGCAGGCGACTCGGCCTCTAAATGACGATCGTTTCCTGGTGTAAGGGATGTCGAAATCGGCTCTTCGGGAACAACAAGCTCCACTTCGGCTCGGGGTGTGGGTAACTGCTCTGTATGAGGTTGGTCGGCTTGCAGCTGTTCCGGTTGCTCCTCAAATGACGCAATTTCGACAGACCGGACAGGAGGTTGATCGGCTTGAGAGCGCGCAGGTTGAATAACAGCAGCCGGCTCGGCAATCAAGCCTTGTGGATCGGTCGGCTCAGCCACTTGGGTAGTCAGAGTGTTGTCTTCATCCTTCTCCAACTCGGCCAGAATGGAGGACTCGTGGTCGGTCATAAACTGGACATGCTTGCTCGATAGGGAATCTTGGGCATCGGCTGGCGAGAGTACGGGTTCGGTCGGGGCGGCGGTGGGTTCAGAGGAGGACGGGAACGCTGGTGCAGACTGCTCATCTGTGGATGGTACATCGGATGATTCGGGTTGAGTTGTATATTCCGTAGGGGTCACTGTATCTTCGAGATCGTGGGTCGTCGAACTGTTCACGTTCTCGACGTCCCTGACTTCGAGACTTTCCTCGACCGGGGTATCATCCACCTTGGGAGTCATCCCATTCGCATCTTCGACCCGAACTAGATTATTGCCAGTCTCACTTGAGACGTTCCATGCAGAGAAATCGTCGTCGCTTAGAGGCGATTTCGTATCGGAAGCTCGAGTTTGTTTCGGACTTGCTGCGGCCAGGAGGTCGGCCAAACCACCTTCCGTAGAGGCCGCCGCATTAGAAGGCGAATCATCTTCTGGCCATGATGCGGGATTCCAGGAGTTCGCATTGTCCAAGAACAATGTCTGCTGCGCCATGGTGCGCGTATTGTTCTCGTTCGTGACCCAGACTAGGGGGGATTCGTTTCGGAGATAGAGGCAACCTGACACGTCTCCAGTGACGTCCGGGGGTCAACAATCCTAACTCGACCAAGCTCTCGACGGGCGTCAAATCCAACGATCCATGAAACAGCGCAGGCGATGAAAGGGAGTGTGCGAATTAAATTAAAAAGGGATTAAAAGTTGAAAGCATCAAGTTCGCCATAGGGCAAAAAAGAAAGGGAATGGCTTTCAAAGGACTTCAGAACTACGCCTGAACCGCGATGGGCGGCCCCCGGGCTGAGGTCGGACCCTGATTCGATGATGGCCGCTGACTCAGATTCCCGAAAGGGTAGTTCAGGATCAACTGATTTTCCGGTACGCCAAGAGACAACGTCGCCGGTGCACAACGACCCGCTTTTATGCATACTTACGTCAGCGGATGTTCAGCCCGGTATGCACAGTCAGGTGATTGCGGCCGCGTATCACCGCCAGGCAGTCACGTCTCGTCGCAGATCATTAAACTTCTACTTGTCCAAAAAACCTACAGCGATTTCAGGGATTGATTCTACTCGGATCTAGTATCTACGCCCATCAATCTGTTTCACTGCGCGTTTCCAACATTCGACCCAGCTCATTATGCTCCCGCGGAACCCCAATGCTCCTGGACCGGTTATCTAAGATATGATCCTGGCATGTGCCGATAGAGCTGCAACTCACCACGTTGCCTCACAACTCACGATTTAAGTCATTGCGGACTTCCACTGACTTGAATATCAACTATGTCTTCCTCACACGAATATCTTCATCCCCTCCACCGGCCAGAAGACCCTGGCGATTACTCCGGCTCCGATGACGACTTGGACCTCGAGGAGCTCGATCCTGATACGGCACCACCTCAAGCCTCCCGTACTTCAAGAGATTATACAAGTCGCTCACGAAATTATGGACCTGGCATAGCTCTGCGAAACTTGCGTGTAGGTGTGGGCAGTAGATGGAAACGAGGCGCCTCTGGGCACCACGGGGAAGCAGATGGGGACACAGATGCCTTGCTGGAGGACCGCGGGGATGATGGAGCTCGAATGTCACATGGCAGCTCACAAAACATGGCGGAGGATGATGCGCCATTGCTTGATCGTCGGGACTCAACTCGGTTGTCTCGGGACGATGAACCATCGAAAAAGGGCGGCTGGTTTCGTCTACCAAGTCTAAGAGGCCCCGGCTTCCTTCAGAGTGCGACAAACCGGCTACGGGGAAATGTGGAGGACCATGAGAATAAACCTCCACGCGAAGTCCTTGTCGGCCAATACCAAACCACCAAGTACCCGGCGAACGTTGTCTCGAACGCGAAATATACCCCCTGGAGCTTCTTGCCTCGCACACTGTATAACGAATTTTCCTTCTTCTTCAACATCTACTTTTTGCTCGTCGCCTTATCGCAAGTCATCCCTATACTCCGGATCGGTTACATGTCTTCATATATTGCGCCTTTGGCGTTTGTCGTCTCAATATCTTTAGGGAAGGAAGCCCTTGATGACATTGGTCGACGACGTCGGGATGCCGAGGCCAATGCGGAGGAGTTCACGGTGGTCTCGCTTGAGAGGTCAAATCCGATGGAGATGACGAAAAAGTCTCGCGATTTGAAAGTTGGGGACGTTCTCAAAGTCCGCAAGAACCAGCGCTTGCCCGCTGATGTCGTGATTCTGAAGAGTGTCTCAAACGATTCAAGCTCAGAGCGTAAGCGCCAAGCTTCTATAGATGAGCCCGCCCCTGGGCCATCTACTGACCTTCTCAACTCTCCTGGTCCGGGTCCTGCCGAAGGAACTTCCTTTGCAAATCCCGCAGACCCCTCCTCTGCTAGCGACACTTTCATCCGAACTGACCAGTTAGATGGTGAAACTGATTGGAAGCTCCGACTACCTTCTGTTCTCTCTCAAGGTCTTCCTTTGAATGACCTGTCACGACTCAAGATCACCGCCAGTCCTCCAGATAAGCGGGTCAACGAGTTCCTTGGCACCATTCAACTTGGCCCTCCTACTGGTTTCTATGATGCCCACGTCGACAAATCCACTGCTTCCAACAGTAACAGCGGTACCCAGGATACCGAGAGCCAGCATGCCAACTCAGCCCCGTTGACGATCGACAACACTGCTTGGGCCAACACTGTTCTCGCTTCCAACACCGTGACCTACGCCGCGATCATTTACACAGGTTCGCAAACTCGAGCAGCTCTTTCCACGTCACCTTCCAGGTCAAAAGTTGGCTTATTAGAGTATGAGATCAACAACCTGACGAAAATCTTGTGCGCCTTGACTCTCGCCTTGTCCATTGTTCTTGTTGCCCTGGAAGGCTTTGAGCCGACAAACGACAAGGAGTGGTATGTCGCGATCATGATCTACCTCATCCTCTTTTCTACCATCATTCCCATGAGTCTTCGAGTCAATCTAGACATGGCAAAGTCTGTCTACGGTCGATTCATTCAACGCGACAAGGACATCCCCGACACCTTGGTGCGAACGAGCACAATCCCGGAGGATTTGGGCAGAATTGAATACTTGCTCTCAGACAAGACAGGGACTCTGACTCAAAATGGTAAGTCATGTCCCCTTGAAGCATTGAATTTGTGTAAAGATAGTAATCACTAACACTCGAACTCAGAAATGGAGTTGAAAAAGATTCACGTTGGCACTGTATCCTATGCCAACGAGGCAATGGATGAAGTAACTTCGTTTATTGGTCAAGCATTCGCAGGCAATGCTTTGACAACACCGTCAACTGTATTTGGGACTCAAGCTGGGCAGGCTGCTGCTCCGCGCACCAGAAGAGAAATTGGATCTCGGGTCAGAGATCTCGTTCTAGCCCTTGCTGTTTGTCACAACGTCACTCCAACTGGAGAAGAGGAAGAAGACGGGCGAAAAGTGACCAACTATCAAGCTTCATCTCCCGATGAGATTGCGATTGTTCGATATACCGAGGATGTTGGGTTGAAGCTCTCGTATCGCGATCGCCAAAGCATCGTTCTCGAATCTACCGACGCAAAGCAGGTTGTCGTTCGCGTCAAAATCCTCGACATATTCCCGTTCACCTCCGACAGCAAGCGCATGGGTATTATTGTTCAATTCGAGCAAACTGAGAACGTTCTTGAGACTGAAGCTAGTGCAGAACCCGAGATCTGGTTCTATCAAAAGGGCGCAGATACAGTCATGACATCAATCGTCGCAGCAAATGACTGGCTTGACGAGGAAACTGCAAATATGGCTCGCGAGGGTCTACGAACTCTTGTTGTTGGGCGTAAGCGCCTTTCCCTCCAGCAATACCAGGAGTTCGCTGGCAAGTTCAAGCAGGCCTCTCTCTCCCTTCAGTCACGAGACGTCGGCATGGCCAAGGTTGTAAGCGAGTATCTCGAACGAGACCTGGAACTGCTCGGTGTCACAGGTGTGGAAGATCGCTTGCAGCGAGATGTCAAGTCTTCCCTGGAGTTGATGCGCAATGCAGGTATCAAAATCTGGATGTTGACCGGAGATAAAGTCGAGACTGCACGCTGTGTCGCTATCTCTGCCAAACTGGTCTCTAGAGGACAGTACATCCACACTGTTTCCAAGGTGACGGACAAATCAACCGCCCAAGAAGCATTAGACTTCCTCCGCAACAAGACCGACTGCTGCCTTCTAATTGATGGCGAGTCTCTCAATTTGATGCTGGGAGAGTTCCGCTCAGCTTTCATCGCCGTTGCGGTGCTCCTGCCTGCCGTTATTGCGTGCCGTTGTTCGCCGACGCAGAAAGCTGAAGTCGCCAACCTGATCCGTCAACACACTAAGAAACGTGTCTGTTGCATTGGTGACGGTGGTAACGACGTCTCCATGATTCAAGCTGCCGACGTTGGTATTGGCATTGTGGGCAAGGAAGGTCGCCAGGCTTCTCTTGCTGCGGACTTCAGTATCACCCAGTTCCACCACCTCACCAAGCTCCTGGTCTGGCATGGCCGCAATTCATACAAGCGATCTGCCAAGCTTGCACAATTCATCATGCATCGTGGTTTGATCATCGCTATATGCCAAACCATGTATAGCATCGCGGGCCACTTTGACCCGAAGGGTCTGTTCATCAACTGGCTTATGGTCGGATATGCAACGGTCTATACCAGCGGACCCGTGTTCTCGCTCGTGTTTGACAAGGATGTCGATGAGCGCCTTGCCAATCTCTACCCCGAGCTCTACAAAGAACTCAAGACAGGCAAGAGCTTAAGCTACCGCTCGTTCTTCACCTGGGTTCTTATTTCCGTCTACCAGGGTGCTGTCATCCAGGGTCTATCTCAGATCCTGCTGAATACCATTACTGGGCCACGTCTCATCAGTGTATCTTTCACGGCACTGGTCTTGAATGAGTTGGGGATGGTCGCCATCGCAATCACGACCTGGCATCCCGTGATGATCGTTTGTCTTCTGGGTACCCTCTTACTCTATGCTGGCAGCATTCCCTTCCTCGGTGGCTATTTCAACCTCCACTTTGTGGTCACCCTTGACTGGCTGTGGCGTGTCTTTGCCGTTTTGGCCGTTTCGCTGATTCCCGTATGGGCCGGCAAGTTGATCAAGCAATCGTGGAGCCCGCCAAGCTATCGCAAAGTGCGCGGCTGATAGATGCGATATGTTTTCCTTGGAGATATCTTGGGATGTATCTGTGCAAACTCTGTACTCTTGTCTCTTTTGGCTTGTTCTCGATTCCCCTACTTTGTTGTCCCTCACAGCTACTGTCCGATCTGACTGTGGCTACCTTTGTATATCCAACCTCCTAGCATTTCTCCTCCCGAGCGCGTATTAAGCGTTAGAAGCGCAAGCATTATTTGGATCTTTACAAACCTTTTGCAATATATATTCATCTAGACAGTATCACTCATGTCTAATGATCTACGATGTACCAGAGAAAAAATCCAGCTAGAAATGCTTTAAACACCTCCTACCTTGACGCTCTTTGGAAATATCTTTTTGAGGTCTTTTAAACCGTCAGCCTAGACGAGGTAACTACAGGTTTGCGATTATCTCTGGGGCTATGTTCACGTTCCAATGATCAATGGAGTTCTTTCCATTGAATAGAGCCATCCATATCCTGAGTAGCCTAGATTGTTGTGCGAGCGGGCAGCCTTCTTGTCGCGCTAGTAGTACTAAGATCCTGGATATATATCATGTAGTCATGTATGTTGACGGCAACAAAAGGCACATCCATAAGCCATGACAGGCAATCTTGCCTGCCCTGGTCAAATACGAGCCCTTCAGCCATTCAAACAAGCCTCGACGGCGTGGGGCTAAACTTGGACCCCCCTGAACCCTAAACCTTCATTTCCACTACCGTGGGGGCGGAATCTACAGCCACCAGCAGTCATGCCATGCCGATTTAGGGCATGGTACTAAAACGAAACAGAACTAAAGTTGTTCCAAGCTACCAATGATCATCTCATATACCTCGTCACCTCTCTCGCTTTCGCTCTCACTCGGACGCCTGCTGATGAAAGAGATTGGAACTCCCTAGCGGCTGAGGCAGATTAGGGACCGGGGATCTATTCTCAACAGAGTCAACACGCCACACAGACCCACGGCGGGCCTGACAACTGCCCCATAGCCTTCATCGATTGGCGCGTCTAAAGGCTGATGGCTCCGAGGCGGGCAGTGCTACTGTACACGCTTAACACATGGCTCAGCACCATGACTGGGATTTCACGACTAAGCCAGGCGCGAAATGCCGATCTCTGGGGTTATTATTGAGCAAAGCTGCGACTGTTAATTATCCCGATCGCCCTGTCCCGATCCCGCGCTGTCATACTCTGTTCTTTACCCAGAATTTGTTTTTGCTCTCCTATTTCCCTCCTCTCTGAAATTCTAATATGCTTCGCGTCCTCTCGCTATGACGACAACCACGGATTTCGGCCCTCTAACGACCATTTTCTCTGCTCCAACGGGCTGTGCCACGGAGCAATGGGTCGAGCGGGAGCCCAGCTCGACGATACTCAGATGGGGTGCTGGCTGCAATGGTAAACAGGTCGGCTGGGACGCCAGCTGTTTCCCGTCTGGATGGACGTCGGGGAACTCCACCAAGATTCTGAATAAAGCCTTCAATCCGGGATATGCTTGTCCATCTGGATACGTCTCGCATGCAAATGCAACTGGCACGACGGCCACAAAACGGTTTCCAGAGTATATTGGGAGTATAGGCACGGATTCTCTAGCAATTCTTTGCTGTCCCACGTGAGTATTTCCCTTCACACAAGGTTTGACTGAATGAAAAAGCTTGCTAACATGAACCTTCCTTCAGTGGCTATGACTGGAGCGGCGAGTATTGCAGTGGCAATCAATTCCGACTTGTAACACGCAGCTATCTTACCGTCGAAAGCAGCAAGTGCGTAACGACATCAGCCCCCGCGTACAACGGCAACCACGGCCTCAACGGCAGCGTAGGCGGCGCAACCCTGCAAGGCACACCCATCTTCCTCATTCAAAAAATCGGCGCGACGTATGACATTCCAACCTCAACATCGGAGCCTTCCTCGGGCACGTAAGCGAGGGTCTGTCAACGGGCGCGAAAATCGCAATTGGTGTTTGCGTTCCCCTTGGTATCATTATCATAGCGGCGGTAGCATTTATCTGGTGGCATCGACGAAGGAAGGCACAGAAGACCCAAGGAGCTTACTCGTCGGTCCAAAACGCGGAGCAGAACTTGGATCCATACAATGGTAAGCCAGAGCTTGATGCGGGAAACGCGGTCAAACCATATATGAAGCAGGAGCTTGATGCGGGTAATCAAGTTGGAGCTGGGCAACCCAATGCACCCGCTGAGCTGCCAGCACTCGAGACACCAAAGACACCAGTGGCTGAACTAGCCGGAGGGAATCAAAGCCCTGATACACCTCAAGCCGAGTTGGGCGGCGAAGGAACGGTGGGAGGAACACTTCCTCCAAAGAGAAGCCCGGATACGACAAGTCCTAGTGGAAGTCCTCGTGACAACTCAGAGCAGAGGTCCAGTTCTACTGGAAGAGATGCAAACAATTGAAAAACGAATATCGAGATCAATGACTCAGGCAACGAATATCAACGGATGGCTTGTCCAAAGGCAAAGAACTGGAATAGTTGGTGACGCTTGCGATTCACTGGCAAAGGATTTATCGGGGGTTCAAGGAGGCTATTCTATGTAGATATTATGACTTTGATAAATTACAGGATTCCATTTCGATTCTTGGGAGTGAGAGTAAGACTCCGCGCATTTGATGTTCCATTGTTTGGCTTTTCAGCGCTTTTTTGTTGACACAATACCAGCCTCCCTTATGATTCCTTCAAGCGTTTGTCATTTCTTTGATCATTTAATATGCAAACACGTTTTCTCCTTACAGACTCCACTTTAAAAAGAGAGCTCTCGCTCTTTTCTAACTCTGCCCTTCATCTAACCCTGGAATCCTACATAGGCTTCAACTGGAAGCTGTCTTGACAATACAGCAAACTTGACTCTCGCACTATAGCCTTATTTATATTTATACTGAACCAACAACGCTTTCGTGCAATGGTGGCACATCAATATTCCCACTTCATTTCTCTCTGAAACCGAGTCTGAGAATACATTTGCGGGAGAGAAATGAAGGACAAATTTATTTCGTCAACATGCAAGTTACAGAAGCAGCATCCAAATCATATCATGCTGACAATAATTCAAGTCCACGTTGCAATTATTACTACAACCAACGCTGGATCTCCACTTCCAGATTTACCTCTCAAAATGGCACTGACACTGTTTGATGGTGTCCCACTGGACCTCGCCTGCCCCAGCAAATCTCCAGTCTATCTTTCTACATTTCCGTCTCCCTCTATGACCTCATATTCGACCATCACCAGGAAGATTGCCAGGTTCTCCGGCGATATATCTACAGCTCGGAAATCCAAAAGCGGGAACCCCAGCTGTTACTGATCAGAATCTCTCATTTCATAAACACGCCGACGCGTGCACCAAAACTGTGTGAGAAGTGAGGTATTTCAGACTTATCCATTTTTGGATTCCTTCCCCCCTATCAAGCTGATTAAGTGGTGAATTGGAGACCTTCCAACAATATCTGATCCTCGCATGGGCTGACAACTCGGCTATGAGCAAGAAGATATATTCAAAGTTCAACCAACGAGAAGGATTCAACCATACATTCCCAAACCCATTCTCCTCCCACGGGGGAAGGTTTCCTCGAAAACATGACACATGCCGCATAATTCCCGCCATGTACGACACAGAGGCAATAGCAGACAGAACAAAGCACTTGATTCTGTGGAATCTCAACGAGTCTATGGGCCACACGTCCTGGGCTGTAGCTCCTTGCTGAATAGGACTGCAATTTCTTGATTCCCGGCATAATCCTGAAACCAGACTTCAATTCCTTGAATATACGCTGGCCACCTCCTAACGCGGTTTGCCAAATCCCTAGCTATGGATGACGATTGTGGCTTCTGCTCGTCTAGCATCTCTCAAGAAACAATCACTCCCCACGCATGCCAATTCTGAGCATAGAGAGAACAGAGAACAAACCAGTTTTCTTCCACGACCGGTACGTCATTCCCAGATTGATGAAGGCTGTTCAAAGCGCCCCAACTAACTTTTCTATTTTAGTGATATCACTCGGTACTATTCCTTCGACTATACAGATGCAGGTCGGATATTTGGCGGTAAACCATCGTATAGATACAAGGAATGAAGGTACCGCTATGGAAGACCTTGGATGCGAGATGTCTCTACATTGTTTTCTCGAGAAAAACCCGGGCACATTGGATAGACATGACCTAACGTCTTCTGGGTCCTCGACAACGATCCTTGCAGAGATACCTGCAATTCTTCTTCGGATGAGCTCCAACATCCTGCCCTTGACAGACAATGGAGCCCATTTTCCTGCCCAAAGAAGCCTCTATCCTTGGGCTCGAGATACGGTCTTTTTCACAGCATACCGGGTCTAAACTTGGTTAAATTTAAACCTGACTCGCACTAGGACCAGGCTTTGGCAATATGGAGACGCTCCCATGATGATGTATTCATCAAAGTACATCAGTGACACGGTTTGTTATGTCGTTTCGAGAGCGAAAAAAGAAATACGTTGGCCGTGCTGGACGCAGTCCTCAATAGGATAAGCGTTCCACTGTGATCCGCGTATGAGACCTTGTGATGATTTGTTCCACTCCTTCAGCATTGACCAAGAAGTTGAAGCACCATTTGAAGCATGTAAGGCCCCTGCACGATGCCCGAGGATGTCTAATAGGTCATAGTACGACATTACCAGGACCAGCTCATGCTTGGGTATAAAAATCCCGAAAGAATTCATTGAAAATTATCTGCACCTTTGGAACCATCCTGGAAGCCATATAAATTCTTGAGCTCCCTCTTATCACAGTGAGGAGTTCATATGAACCGCCGTCCATGCGTGCCATGACACTGTCCTCCAATTTGCAGTGAAAGATATCTCGCGGTGATACTACTCCGTGCAACGAAACCGGCGAAGCCAGCTGGTACCCACAGAACTCGCTAAGAGGTATCAGGAGAGTTTCGTCGAGGTCACAGAAGATGCCCTCTAAACCCCCCTTTCTTAATATAGGTGATTAGGCATTTAATATAATAAGTTTAGATGGTTTTTTTCCCCTATCGGGTCTACCTAATAATAAGGGCTATATTGATATATTGATAAGTCGTATCGTATTAAATTATAGACGCTACGCTAGATCGGCTTTAGGGTATTCAATGTATCGTTACAGGATGGATACAATACGTCCTTTAGGGAGTTATTGTCATTACCAGGAGACTATGCAATAGCTCGCTGTCAAAGCAACACAAGGATATGGCCATTGAAATATGTTTGAAAGCTCCTGGAATTTGGTCAAGGTACTCTGCCAGTCTATACATAACCAAGCACCCAAGATTTATTTATTGGTATTCACTCTAAACTACTGTCCATGTTTTCCTCTGCACGATTCCTTTCTAGCTCCCGAAAGCTCACCTAACACGTATACTCGGCTTTCCTCGTGGAACGAGTTCTCCTGCGAGTGTTTGCTTCATCTGGGACCCGGGACCTACCTGGGCTGACTCGGCGCTTCATTTCTCCGACGGATTTTCTGGCGGGCTTTGCCCGAAATTTTCCCGGGTCCTGACTGAACCACATCCCGTTCTCGTGCTATCCATTCAGGGGCCGCCTGGGTTTTGAGTCTATTAGCCAGGTCGCGTTTACCAGAAAAGCTCACATGATTCATTTCGACGGACAACCATCATTTTCCTCATTATCATCAGTTACATTATCTTGAAAGTGTGAATAATTCCACACGCCAACGCCCAATCCGTATGATTATTTTTTTCGAGAAGACGGTGTTCAAGAGATGCGATTGAATGTTGTAGCTAAGGGGGATGCCGGAATCCATGCACTGGACCTTTTGGCCTCGCTTATACAAGCTTTTGCTGGCTCTACGAGAGAGTATCAGGTAAACTCAAATGGTGGCTGACTCTGAACCAATGGTCGGCAACTACGGAGTACAAAGTCTTAGAAATTGCAGTGTGCGGGGTAAAGAACTCAATACCGGTAAATGATTTAATCCACTCCCCACGGGGTATGCTTTCCCCCTGATGCTAGAAATATCTGGGGTAAATGAAAGATTGTCTGCGGGCGAAGAGGGCGAATCAATACCCGCTTAGCTTCTACTTCTCTGCTTTTGGTATGGTTCACATAGCTAGTACACGATTCCGGGTATAAAGTGGCCATAACCTATCTGGATATTTGCTCTTCCCGATGCCAGGGGCGGACCATTGGGCTCGAGAGTCATTTCTCCATGTAGGGAAAATGCTCAAGGAGCTATCGCTCCCATGCCAATCTACTGGAAGTAGGCTTACCCGGAGATTGATCTCAAATGAAAGAGACTAAGCTTCTTCCTCTGCTCGCTTGTCGAATCTCCCACTCGCTAACCTTCTCCCACCCATGGCTCCTACAAGATTAATAATTTGCGGATGACGGATATATAAAGATTAATTGTCCCTCCTCTTGCATAGCTATCTACGCTCTCACCTCAGTTTCTATATTTGAAGACTTCTTACATTTTCAATTCAATCCTATCGCAGAGATGAAGCCAATGATACTTGTTGCAGCGTCTCTCATACCTACAGCTACAGTGGCAATGATGTCCTGCAGCACAAAGGCGTTCAACAAGATTTTACCGTCAAATGCCACTACTCTTTACGCTGTTGAAGTCCCGGAGGGCGGTACCTTTGGAGTAGCCAGCGACCTCTCCTACCCGACGAATGCGACTAATCTACCTGCCCTCTGTGCCGTTGCGTTCAACGTGACTTCATCTTCGTCGTCATCCTTTACGTTTGGCATGTTTCTTCCCAAAGAGTGGAACAAACGTCTCTTTACAGCCGGCAATGGCGCGTTCTCTGGCGGTATAAACTGGCTATCGATGGCCGCGGGCTTAGAGGAAGGGTTTGCGTGCGTGTCTACTGATACTGGCCACAATGTATCAGACGGCAACGACGCAACATGGGCGTATCATGCCCCTGAGAAGATCAAGGACTGGGCTGGACGGGCCTTACACAGCTCTGTGCAGCAGGCTAAAACTATTGTTTCCGCATACTACGGTAGCGACGCGAAGTACTCTTACTACTCCGGTTGTTCGACTGGGGGATATCAGGGCTTGAAAGAGGTACAAACGTATCCAGAAGACTTCGATGGAGTATTGATCGGCTCGCCAGCGGTAAGTACTGTTCGGTACCCACTAAACTCAAGCCCAATAGCATCTAACCTTGTGATGCAGTGGTGGCATTCACACCTTCAGACATGGTCAATCCAAGTTGCCCTCTGGAATCAGCCCACCGATGCCCCATATCATATTCCAGACTCACTATTCTCTGTGATCGGTGCTGAGGTCATGAAACAATGCGATGGCGCAGATGGCGTTCTCGATGGTATTATCAGTGCCCCCAAGAGCTGCGACTTTCACCCAGAAGCCCTCCTCTGCACGAGTCCCACGGCAAATAAATCAGAGTGCTTGACGGCACCACAGGTCGAGCTCCTATACAATATATACAACAACTGGTACGAAGGGAACAATGAATTTGTGTTCCCACAGTATAGCTATGGGAGCGAGTTCCAGTGGAGCATGCTATCATCTGGTACAGCGGAATCTGGGTTCAGCGAGCAGTTCGCAAAGTATATTCTGTACCAGAACCCGAACTGGACCGTGGCAAACTTCAGTTATCAGACGGTACTAGATGCAGAGCGCGTCTGTAAGAGTGTGGGTCTCGATGCCGACAACTTTGACCTTACTCCATTCTACCACAAGCAGGGCAAGCTGCTGCATTATGTGGGCCTTTCCGACGGTTACATCCCCCCAGGGAGTTCCGAGTACTATCACAACCAGGTTGTGCAGACCATGGCACCACAGGGAGTGAATGTGACTGACTTCTACCGACTTTTCACTATCCCTGGAATGGGTCACTGCGCTGGTACGAGCTCAACTAGCAAGGCTCCTTGGTATATAAATGGTGCTTTCCAGGCGGGTAGTCTCGGCACTGGTGTTCGTGGAGTGCCTGGATACCAGGACGCAGATCATGACGCCTTCCGCGCTTTGATCAAGTGGGTGGAAGAGGACGTTGGTCCGAACAAAATTGTTGCTACCAAGTACAAGAATAATAACGTGAAAGATGGTGTGTTGCAGCAGCGGCCGCTATGTGTGTACCCTGGTCGAGCAGCTTTCCGAGGTGGTGATATGACCAAGCCAGAAAACTGGTACTGCGAGAATTAAAAGTTCAAGCTTTCAAGGTTCTGATTTCGAAGGGGATTGGAAGTGTTCAAGCCCGACAGAAAATGTCAGGAGACTTTGTCGCCTACTTCTTGTTGGCCAAGCCTGCGTGTTGATAGTGAATCTGAAAATTCATTCTTGCATTAAAACCTCAATTCAATGTTCTAATTTTCTTGTCATAGCTTGAGTAGACTGAGCTCTTGCTATGTGGTGCCGTTTTCTTCGAACAAATTTGCGAGATCGCCGAGCCGCCAAGCCTCTTGACGATGCAAAGCCCCCAGTGCCAAAGCAGCACTGCCACCATGAGTGTGATTGACGGCAGTTCGACAGTTAGTGCATCGGATGTAGCAGGAATAATTCTCAGGATTGTATAGAAAACACTGGTTTTGATTTCAAAGGGCAATGACCATGCCGAGAACATTATGAATTTCAGACAAATGGTCCTGATCTACAACCAAATCAGCGGGAGCAAATGCGATTCCTGATAGGCACTGGGAGTATTCAAAGCCTGCATCAGTCTCGATACCCCTTCTCCACATTGATCCTGGCCATACGTGGAGTTAAGCGTGACTGCCGCTGAAGTTGTACCGTCTTCCAACCGAATCCATGTCTCTATCTCGTTCTTCATGGATGGTTTTTTGATTCAGAAATATCTAACGTCCTCCGCTTAGAGTATTGCCGTAGCCACCGTAGCCAGTTAATAAGGAAGAGACTAATCAGATCCTCGAGGATATAGATATCCCAGTTAATCAATAAGATCTACCGGTGCAATAAGATCTACCGGTGCAATAAGATCTAGGGGATAGGAGTAGTACTACTACTATTAATATCGATCATGCTATACCTACATAACCTATCGATTCAGACGAAATCCTCGGAGACTAACCAATCACATCACCACTTAAACCGAAATCGGACGAATTAATAACCTCTAACCAATCAGAATCGATAGATATCGAACCTTTCGTCTTAATCGATAACATAAACTTCGGTCCTTCTGGATATAAACCTCTCGATATACTATCTAAACGCCCACGATTAGACTCCGCCACTAGCGATAACGAAAGTAAGAGAAAACGCCCTCACTTATCCCTTATAACCTATATGTCGGACTTTAGGCGGTGACCATAAAGTCGTGGTGATGCACACAAGAAGATAGTGTATACATAAGTAGGATAAGACTCAATGTGGTGTCTGAATACACGGTTATGAGTATAGAGGTCGTGCGTACTTCTTAGAAAGAAGGAGAAGTACCACGATTGTGGAAGAGTACCACCGATCTAGAAGAGAGATCAAAAGGGATGATAAACTTGATTCAATTTAACTAGGAAACATAGTAGTATTTATATCTTAGGAAACATGATAAAAGATCATATGAAACAATAAGAAATTGGAGTGTTGAATAGTCTCCTGCCTAGGTAGTGTATGTTAAGATTGTCCGAGAACCCACTTATATCTTCTCCTTATCGTTCGCCGGGATATTATTATGGTAACAATAGCTTTCAACATCCTTTCAATAGTGAGAATTATGGTTTAAATAGTGCTGATCTCTACCCGAACTGGTAGTCTCACTATATAAACTTATGCCCTTTAGGCCACATACATTGCCACCTGCGTGCACTGATAGAGTTATCGTGGTTATAAAGTTCAGTACAGTGCCCACCAACCAATTGTTCAAACCACTTCCCGCCGCTATGAAAAATCGTAACATATACATATTGAAACGCCCAAATGCCTAGCAAATTGCATTTCCGGGGTTTCATTACCTCTATTTAACAGAACAGCTAAGGTTTAACAGGTTAGCTCAAAGAGTGGGTTGAACAATTATTTTGTGGGCACTGTAGAACAGCGTTCTAGCATCTTTTTAACCTAGTGCGCCCGGGACCGTAACACATGTGCCTTAGGTTATCCCGCTCTTAAATATACGAACTAGCAGGGCTTGAAAATTAGCTTGTCGGTCTATGAAGTAACTCACAACCGGGCCATTACCGTACATACACTCTCCAGCCACATGCTGCCCATAGTGCATTAGCACTGGGTAATTGAAGATCTTGAAGATCTTGAAAATCTTGAAATTTAACGGTATTTTACAAAGTTTTTACAATGGGATATGAAGAGGTAAGATTGATCTAGTAGCTGAGATACGAATGAGCTAAAAGTGCAACATTGATTTCTATCGGCATATCTGTGGCCAGACAGTGTTGTTGACGTGGTCCCTATATGCAGCATTCAGGTAATGCTACAGTATGTAGGGCCTCCCGGGCACGCCACCGAAGGTGACAACTGACCGCCGAAAGACCGCCGCATTAGCACAACCCTCTAGTTCCCCCATAGGCCGCCTCAGGCCCAAGCGTATGAATAGCTTCATGGTAGAAATGCCATCATAATATACTACCGTACTTTATAATTTTAGGCCACTAATGCCCTAGGATAACGAATCCGGCTAACTTCGTGGCACGCGTGGGCTGACACTTTCTTCACCGAGATTGACCGAGACGCTTGACCGACAAGAAAGGGTCCACTTTTCTGCAGCCTTTCGCTAGACAGAAATCCATTTAGTTATCATAACCAAAACTTACCGCTACATATACTACACCCCGCCACTGACTTGCCAGTTCTCCACCAGTACATTAGCGCTGCAAAACTAGAAACTTTGAAATTTAACAGTATTTTACAAGCCTTTTACTGTGGGTTATAGAGAGGTAAGATTGATCTGGTAACTCAGATACGAATGAGCTAAAAGTGCACTATTGATTTTTATCGGCAAATCTGCGGTCAGAGAGATCTACGAGTCTGGGGGTATCACTAAGTACATTGCTACAGAATTTCCACACTTATGAGGGTCTGAAGAACAATACAGTTGATAATCTGCTAGGTACTATTGGTTAGCCGGAGCTTTTATAGCCTTTTGGTAGTTCTCTTCCCTTGACGGGATCTGTCACTCTTCTCTAATCCTGGTCAATGCTCAGTCTTTATCATCTGTGCATAGTCTTTACCATCACTGTCATCGGATCCCTGTTTAAAAAGATGATAGTCTCTGCTATCAAGTCCACTAGGCGTCCTCTACCAATGCGGAGTGAGCTAGGCTGGGGACGCCGGGGGACTGCATCGTGGCTTCGGGGTACGGTGGCTGTGTTATTTATGTTGGCATGCCCAGTTATAGTCGTGCTCCCGTGGATTGCACTCGAGTACTTTGGCAGTTCAATTACAGCTGCAATCTCCGTGCTACTTCACCAAGGCCTTGTCCATTTCTATGGACATACTATCCACGTCCCGGTTCCGACGTGCTCCTCGCATATCTGGGGTGGGTGATCTTTCAAGGGCTGCTCTACACCATTTTGACCGGGAATGGGATACGCAAGGGACAAACGACGCCATCGGGACACGTCCTGGAATACAGAGTAAACGGTTTCGCGGCATGGATATTGTCCTTGACACTGGGTGTTGGGTGCGCTTGGATGGAGGTGATTGACCCAACCATAATTGCCAGAAAATGGGGCACATTGATTGCAATCTTCAATATATATGGAATTCTGCTAGCAGCAGTATTTTACATTAAGGCTCATCTATACCCGACACACGAAGGAGATCGGCGATTCAGCAGTTCGCCTTTCTATGACTTTTATATGGGAGTCGAGTTGAATCCACGTATATTTAACCAGCATTGGGATGTGAAGCTTTTTCACAACGGAAGACCGGGAATTATTGGTTGGGCGCTCATGTGAGTATTTCCGGTTATTGATCATGCAATAGATAACCCCAGCGGCTACTGACTGCCTATTCTAACATGCAGCGATCTCTCATTTATGGCTTTGCAGTATAGAAACTATGGATTTGTGACCAACTCTATGATCATCACTTTGGTCCTACATATGCTGTATATCGGCGACTTTTTTCATCACGAAGAATGGTATCTCCGGACTATCGATATCGCTCATGACCACTTCGGTTTCTATCTCGCCTGGGGATCCGCTGCGTTCCTGCCAACCATGTACACGCTCCAAGCCCAGTACCTGGCACGATCTCCGCTGGAATTAGAGCCTATCTCAGCTGCCCTGATTCTTGGGCTAGGTATTGGAGGCTACGCAATATTCCGTTCATCCAACAACCAGAAGGACAACGTACGGAAATTAGGGGGTAAATGGAACGACTCAGATGTGATCAAGTGTTCTTACACAACAGCGGACGGGCAGACACATCAAACAATTCTTCTATGCTCAGGTTTGTTATCTCATTAACCCCCTTTTGGTGAGAATGCTAGCTAACTTAAATGACCAAAAAACACAGGATGGTGGGGATTTTCGCGACACCCCAATTATCTAGGCGATTTGCTTCTGTCATACGCCATGTGTGCAACCTGTGGCCTCAAACATATCTTGCCGTGGTCCTATGCAATCTTTATGACGGTTATATTGACCCATCGCTGTCTACGTGATGAGGCAAAGTGCTCCAAGAAGTACGGGAGATACTGGGAGAGATACTCTACAAGGGTTCCATGGAGATTAGTGCCAGGGATATGGTAGTACATTCTTGAGGGGCGAGGAAGGTAGCGCAGTGGGTGGTCACTAGATATGGATAGAGTTTCCATCTTCACCTTGAGGCAGTTGGGATTGATAGTGGTGGATAGTGATGCATTTCAACTCCAAGTTATCAACACACACTATCTTCAAATATCAAGGATAAATAGACTTTAATTGTTCAACAGAACCTCGATAAACCATGAGACAAAATTCGCAAGGAAGATTTTCTCATATATCACGATACATCTTGGAGCATTATATCGCCCGGTCCTGGCTGTCGCTGTTTATATTGACCTTTAAGATATTCAAGTCCGATGTACCGTCGGGGATTAAATCGGAAGATTTGAGTTGAAAATAATTCATGCCAAATCGTGGCATGTGATATTTTCTTCCTTTCTTTTTCTCTTTTCGCTATACCGATCTGAAAAGAACCACAGTGCACCGAGAATAGGATAGCCCTATCCCAAGTGGTCGTGGCGCTCTATTAAAAAATGGTTCGCGCCCAATGTACTGACAGAAGAGGACAGAAATACTGCATGGTAGTAAAACATAAATAAAAATAGGCCAGAATCGACACTGGAGGACTGTCGAAAAATGCAGCTGCATGATCAATCAATCAATCAATCAATCAACACTCTATTAACCTGTTGCAGCCTAACTAGTGGCGTAATGGCTATGCAGGCGCTACCTTCGGCGGAAGCAAGAGTGATCCGAACGCCAGACCCGCGCATGAAATAGTAAATACAAGGAAAACGGCGTATTGCCATATAAGACAGTCCGAAAATCAGCCCAAACCAGTACCAAAACGCCTGTAATACCCTCAGTCCCACAATATATTTCTCAATTCGCCCCCACATTGGCCTGCTGCTTCCTCTGCATCTCCATCTCCGCCCTTCTGGTATCCCTTTCCTCCTGCTTCGGTCTCGATTGGTGGCGTTCTTTGTTGATTCGACGTATTGGATGTAGTCTTCCAAGACCTCTCGGTAGATCTTGGCCTTAGCGTTCCTCCTACCCAGCGTCTTCACCACCTATGCCTGCCAGTCTATCCTGGCTCTTTGTTTCTTCGCCTCCTTCGGGCGGTTCTGGCTCGATTTCAACGTGCCGGAACTGTCCCAGGAGGCCTGTTTGTAACATGAATTCGGCCACGTAGCGGGTGGCCTGCGAGTGCGATACAATTGCATCGTAATCCGTCGAATCCCCAAGATCGGTCATCCTGATCTTGTCAAGGAAGGTCTTCCTCAGATCAGCTGCATGATCTTACTGTTTCTCATGAGATCCATTTAGAAAATAGTATGAATAGCCTTTGGTTACTCGTGCAATATACCTCAGTGTTCAAGATCGACAACTATTTCAGCGTGTCATTTAGACGAAATCTACGGAGTACTCGCAGAGAGTAGAAGGCATGTTGATCGGGGGAGGGTGAAAAGCACGAAGTCAAATTTGATACTCCAGGAGTCCGAACCCCACCCTTCATGGTTCGAACTCCTATACAGTATCTTTACACAAAACAGGAAAGGAGGGGCAAGAGCCCCAAAGGAAATATGCCGCCTAAAAGATGCAAGGCTGTGACGTGTTCATACATGCAGGACTCCGCCTGAGCTTTACCACCGAAAAGCTGACAATTGACCGCCGAATATCATGGCATCAGCATGCGAATAGCTTTATGACATAAAACATCATGAGACTTGCTTCAGTAAGAAACACTGTGTTTCTAATGGGTTCTACGCCAAAGCTCCATCGCAATTATTATATTATAGAAACCTCGTTCTCAATAAATCTCATAAGATGACGGAGTTGATTCAGCAAGCCTACCAGCCCTCATATTCGCATGAACCTGAAAACATTCATGCGCTCTAACCTTGAATGGACCCAAAGCGAAACGTATTAGCTACCAGGATATAGTCACAATGTAATCGCTCTCTGATCGGTTGGGTGCACAGATATGTGTAGATCAATCTGGGTTTCCAGGAGAAGCAAGCTTGAAAGTCTCAAGGGAATGGAGGTGAGCACGTAAAGTAGTAAGTATAGGGTAGGCCGCCCAGCGCGGAGATGCTCGGATATACAATTCTGCCCCACTTGACAGATCTCAGTCAAGTTTCAACGAGTCTTCACCCTGTGGCCAGTGGACCACAGATCAGCCGATAAAAACCATTAGTGCACTTTTAGCGCCTTCGTATCTCACTTACCAGATAAAACTTCTCATATTACCGTAAACACCTTGTTGTTAAATCCTGTTCGATCACAAAATTTCCAATTACGCAGCGCTAATTTACTATAGCGATATCGGCTACTTTGTGGGCAAAGTGTGTAGGTTGTGACGGTCAACAAGTCTTAAGCAAGGTCTCTAGATGTCCGGACGGCAGATCATTCTCATTCATACGCAGCCAAGCCACGCTACCGTTCTCATAGCTCAACAACTACCTATCCAACGATCAAATTCTGCCTTCCCGATGCAGCCACAAAATTCCATTTCACCCCTCTGAATTGTTCTCTCTCTTGAATCGTTACGGAATATTTATCCGCCGGTGGGCTCAATGCTGCAGCTATTGCCTTCGTATTGACGAGTGGTGCTTTCCAGGTGCCCTCGGGAGGACAGATGTCAAACTGCAAAATTAACATGGCCGTAAGAGCAATGATCTCACTTGTAGCCAAGTGACGACCAGCACACATGTTCGGGGATATACCAAATGACATAAACGCCGATGCTTTGCTTTTTGGGGCTTCAGTGATGAATCGGTGAGGATCGAACTCGTTGGCGTTTGGTCCCCATACAGATTCACTTTTATTGATCAATGAAGCTGGAATCACAAGTACTGAGCCGGCGTTGATCAGCCAAGATTCATCTAAGACGGTTTCCGTGTGAACCACTCGTAACTGAGCTGAATTTGATCGAACCCGAAGCGTCTCTTGGAATGATGCCAGCAGCAGTGGACAGTTATCTTGAACTGCAGCCATATCGACGGTATGGACACCGTCGCAGTCGACAGACAGCGAAGTCCGTTGTATTTGCTCGCGCAGTTCTTTGAGTAAATCAGGGCGCGAGAAAATGTCAAAGATAACCCAGAAGCAGGCGGGAACCGTATTAGAGAGAATGCCAAGCCCCATCGCAATTTCGAGACGAGCAATGTCCTCCAATGTTGCTCCAGCATCGTCTTGCGTTTTCCACCTTGTGTACACCATTTGTGACGCTCATAAGTGACCTCCTTCCTTGAAATATTCGATAAAAGCTTTTGCCAGATATTCTCGGCCCATCCAAGCCTTTCGTGCGAATAGCCAAGGTGCGATACCCATCATGAGGCCATTTAGATTTTTCTCAATTTCCCTATATGTTGCCTGGTCAGTGATAAGGCGCCCAAGCTGCATCAGGATGACCTTCGAATTACCAGTAAGATTCGCGGGCAATGGCATGACGGTAAGGGTTTAACGACCCGTAAACTGCCTCCGTTGTGACGACTGTGAGTGTGAGACTACACCATTGAAAGAGATCAAGTACACCGCGATGATCTTTCAAACGTTGGATGTCTCTTTGCAGAGAGGGAATAATTTTCTTGTTCATTTGGTCCAAGTATTGGCCCATTAGAGTAGGACGCATAGTGACTGTTGTGTGGTGGCCGAGCCCTTGGCCTTGAGATGCCTTTTCACGGATAAGTTGCAGTCCAGGCCCATTGATACCCCCAACGCACTTTGCGGTGCGAGTTATCAACGGGTCAAAAGACATTGTGCGATAACTGCGCTGTACAGCCGAGACTAGCCCCGGTGACTTTATGATATACACCTTTTTGAACAGAATTTTTATGCTCAAGACAGGTTGCGTTGTTTTTGTGCTGGAAGTATCAGCATACAGAACTCCATCATAATATATAGTATCTTACCTCTGTAGTGAAAAATACTCGAGTCCATAGTAGGCGAATGCGATCAGATGGCCTATCCCAGGAACTGCACTTGAGATCAAAGGTGGCTCTGGGTATTTTGTTGCCCTTTGTGTTTTCGGTCGCAGGAGGAGAGCCAGTAGAAGTATCAGGATGGCTAATTCGGGGAATAGCACCATTTCCAACATTTTACCGTGTCTGAATAATATGTGTAGAAAGCCGCTGTTATGATTGTAGTTTAAAGTAAATTCGAAAAGGCCGTGTATTGGGGCCTAATTTCTAGACATCCAAACTTCTCAATTTTCCGATCTGTCCAATGTCGAGAATACCGCGCTTACATAGTTGAATGGGTACACGTGTATGTACACTCTCTAGCCATAAATTCGCCGATAAAAATCAATAGTGCTTTTTTAGCTCATTCATATCTCAGTTACCAGATCAATCTTACCTCTCTATAGCTCATAGTAAAAACTCTGTAAAATACTGTTAAATTTCAAATACTTCAGCTATACAGCGCTAATGCGCTGGTGGAGTATCGGCAAATCTGTGGGAAGATCGGGCAGCATGTTCTTCAGCCACCAACGACCCCATGCTAATCGTAATCCAAGGATCAGATCTTTTTAATTAGGTAAGGATCTACAGGCCCATAACGAATAGTTAACAGATCATGCCCACTTGAGTAAATAACGTGTCAGGAAACAGTATCATTTTTAGGCAGGCCATAATTTGTCCTTCCCTATGTACTCATTGTTTCCCAAAATATTATAAATTGATGAAGAATAGCTTCTGTGATACATTTCCACTACTTAACAACCTATACATTGGGATTCTGAAGCTAGCTGCCTCAGAGATATCATGTGGCTCAACTTTCACAGAGTCACTCTTCACCACTCTGGTTTCAATAGCCTAGAGATATGTGCGCTCATTGCTCTCTGTCTTGCAACGAGCTTACTGTTCCGCACAACATATCGCCTCTTCTTCCATCCACTGAGAAAATTCCCTGGTCCAAAGCTGGCGGCTGTCTCGCATTTATATGAATTCTATTACGATGTGATCAAAGGTGGCATGTATGTCGAAAAGATTAATCGATTACACGAAGAATATGGTTGGAACCCAAATCCTTTTAATTCTCGAGTATCTACTGATAATTCAAAGGCCCCATCATACGGATAAATCCACGCGAGCTTCATGTCAAAGACCCCCATTACTATGACCATATCTATGCTGGAGCTCCGCATAAGAGGGACAAGGATCCCGCCCATACGGCCATTTTCACAACTTTCAATCCAATGGTTGCTACGAGTAAACATGCGCATCATCGTCTGCGCCGCAGCTTCCTGAATAATTTTTTTTCTCGGCGTCATGTCATGAGAATGGAACCGGCGATCCAAACAGAGGTAAACAATTTGGTCGCCCGGCTTAGGTCGACTTGCAACACTGGCAGTGTTCTCGAACTCAATCGCATTCTTTCTGCATTTAGTGCTGATGTAGTCACATCTTGCTGCTTTGGACGCAGTCATGGTTATCTCAAGCAAGAAATATTTGAGAACCAGATGATTGATGCCGTGTGTTGGGTCATGTCTATGTGTCACATAAATAGATTTATGCCGTGGGTCATCAAGATTCTCAACTCTATACCGCAAGAGATTCTACAATTCATGGATGTCTCCATGGCTGATGTGATTGCAGTGCGAGATATGATCCGACAACAGGCCCTCCGCTCTCTTGAAAAGCAACCGATTGTTGTTGATACTGATACCGAGCTCGCTGCTGTCAGAACGGTCTTTGATGCCCTGGCTGGTGCAGATGTACCGGAAAATGAAAAGTCTCTTATTCGTCTAGAAGAGGAGGCAGCAGCTATATTTGGTGCTGGCACAGAGACTGTGTCCCGGGCACTATCAGTCGGCTTATTTCATTTACTACACGAGAGGAGCATTATGCAGGAGCTTCAGCTAGAGCTTGAGTCACTTGCAGAGGCGAAAACAAACCCACCAACTTACACGCAACTTGCACAATTACCATATCTTGTGAGTCTATTTCCTTGAGGTAAATGACATCAGATGTTGACCAATTATTCGAGACTGGCATCGTGAATGAATCCCTTCGTTTCTCAATGGGGATAGCGAGTCGAACGCCCAGAATATCACCTACCACCCCCATGCTATACAATGGCTACGTTATACCTCCAGGGGTAAGTTTCTAAGCCTTTTTAAGCACTTGAAATAGTTCAGCCGATGCTCACAAATGTCAGACCCCGGTCAGCCAATATGCATACTTCGTCCACATGGATCCGACGGTTTTCCCGGATCCAGAATGTTTTAACCCTGAGCGATGGGTTAAAGCCTCCGATAACGGTGAATATTTGGGTCGCTACCTTGTCAGTTTCAACAAAGGCAGCCGGCAATGCATAGGAATGCAGTATGTCTTCCGTCTACCCCTCAAGATTTCCCTATTCTAATCAAGCTCAAGCCTTGCGTATGCAGAGATCTACCTCGCCTTGGCAGCTATCATCCGTTCTATCAATATGACCATGATAGATACTACATTGGAAGATATTCTTATGGTTCGAGACTTAGGCCATCCTGCCCCACGAAGTGGGACATTTGGTGTTAGAGTTATGGTGACGGGTTTGAAATGACAGCTGCTGGTTTTCATTATTCTGTTAAACCACAAACATGCCATTCCTCTATGAGATAGAAATTGCACAGAATAGAAAATGAATATTATGCAAGTCACAATACAAGTCCGTGTGGGAAAAGCTGAAATTTGATTTGGAATAATTCCATCCTCCATATGCTTCCTCCACATAAACTCCCAGGCGCCAGATTTGCCCGATAAAATCAATTGTGCAATTTTAGCTCATTCATACCTGAGTTGCTACGATATTACCTCTCTACAGTATAGGAGATATTAGAGACCCTATAAATATTGTTAATTTTCAAAAATTGTAATTATGCAGCGCTAATGCACTGGTGAACTACGGGATAATATATAGCCAGAGAGTGGATTAATCCCCGTATTTGCTTTTAGAGCACCAGGAGAAGGTAATTAATATAATGCCTATACAATTCATGAACATTGGCTCTGACTAAAATTCCTGGCAGTCAAGCGCAGTATCAAGGTTACTGACGCTTCCGAGCCTGTCAAGGTGCTCGAATCCAATAACTTCCTCTTGTACTTCCAAAGTCCGTCAATGCATCCATTCCGCTACCTTGTATTTCCCTTAGCAATCAAGCACATTTCCAAGGTTATTGAGAGTTCTGAGCGTGTCAAGATGTTCGACTCCAAGATTCCAAGTACCTTATTCTGTGTTTCCTATGCCCGTCGATGTGTCGCTTCTGCCTCTTCATATTTCCCTTGGTTGGAGATCACCACACCAATATTACCAACGCTGGTGAGAGTCCCAGAATGCTCACGTCCATCACTCAGCGTTGCACACTCTCCCCTAAGGCTGCTTACGACCCAAGGTCGTGAAAACCCCGAGGAATAATAATCACACGTCCAGACTCCAGGCCCGGGCGGTTCTTGGTACTCCTTTTCAGTTCTAGTGCTTACCTACCTACCCTCTCCTCACTTTTACTGGTAGAGTCAAGTGCTGGATGCCTAGAGGGTACTTGAAGCCAGACCTGAATATTTTTATGCTAATTTCACAATCTCCTTGATATCTCAATAAGCGACCGAGAGAGGTATAGTCTAAGTAAGCAGGCTCAATAGAACGTGACATGGTTGCTCGATTCCGTTCATTAAGAATTGAATTCTGGTGGGGCAACTTAGTGCTATTTCCAACCTCAGCCGCAGCAGCACTGAACACAATATAAGCGAGGTCTAGCTCGCATCTGCGCTCACACTCGAATAGTGTCGCTAGACCCCGCAAATCCAGTCTATTTGAGCAGTGAATTGCCAAATTATCGGAAGCTATTACATCCAAGGACTCCCTCCTGGTATGAGTGGCCTCCAGAGAAGGGTTCATCTTCCTAAAAACGCATGTGTAACATGCAAGGCGAAGAAAAGACTCTGTGATAGGAACTGGCCTGTGTGTTCAAGGTGTCAAAGGTAAGTGCAAATTTTTCGATTCTCATGTTGATAATGCGGTTCCTTATTCATGAAATAGACTATCGCAAACATGTCAATACCACGGTGAACAGGGCTCTCAAGATCCGGTATTATGGGGAACTTCCTGTCTTGTAGGAAGGTTCGTATTTCGACTTGACTATCCACTTGGCATATCGGGTGTATCCGTGAATCATTGAAGATGGGAGATGATATACACCTAAGTACACGTAGCTGATACATCCATTATCATCCAACCAGTCATCAATCGCACCATGCCCCGCTAGATGGCAGCTATACACGGAATCCACAAGCCTGCCTGAGATGCAAAACAGCCAAAAGGCAATGTAGCCGAGATCTACCGATGTGCTCGCGCTGTTTACGGTACGTGTGTTAATGATGGTTAGTTGCGAGAGAAACTGAATATTTTATATAGAATAGGCCTCTGGTGCCGATACAAGGAACAAGAAATCCAGAGCCTACCCTCCATAGAAACTGAAATAGCGGGCAATAATGAAAGACTGGATCGAATTCCGGCATCTCCAAGTACTGCCACCCGCTACCCGGTCCCAGAAAAAGCGCATTTTTCGACCTTGATGTCTCGCAGTGAGTGTTTTCTACTCCTTCGTGGTAGCGATGATTATCATACGCATAGAAAAGATCCCTACTGATACTGATATAATCCGTAGGGAAATCGGCAGTTGTCAAGTTGGCGTACTTATACCCCAAGACAATGGCCTACCGGCTTCAAACTTCATGGATAGACACGGCGATCAAGGATCCTTGTTTATTTCACGCATTGTTTTTCGGTACTTCGACATTTATTGACATTTGTCGGGGCACACGTGCAAGTCCAATCACCCTCTATCATAAAACCCAGGTCATTCAACGAGTCCACCGAGCTATCACGGAGTGCGACTACAAAGATATTCCTCTGAATACCCTTGCAGCAACATTGTATTTATTCTACTATACGGTAGGCCCTACCCAAATCATGCTCATCAATATCTTCAGGTCAAAATTGATTAACTATTTGTAGAGTATGAATGGAGACGTTGCCGAGGGAACAGCCCATGAGCGAGGGTTGGATGCAATTATGCGCCGCTGTAAATATGAAATGCCAGACGCCGGTACTTGCATCGGCTATCTGTTCATCTCGTGAGTTTTTGAACATAGACGTAGACCTTGAGCAAAATGAATACTACTAACTTGGGTAGACGACATATATGGAATGCTCTGTTTGCTAGGCTGGAGACAGTGCACACCCAACCCCATGCAGGGCCTGCTGGCTATATGGGAGAGTACACCAATCTGCTCTCTCTCGCTGTTCAGAAGCAAATGGAAAGACCAATACGATCCAGGCTACCGAGTCCGATCCTTTCATTCATTTGTATGATTGAGAATGTTTTCATGACCTCGGACCTATCACGAACTGGATCGATCATCGAGGTGTGTGAAATTACTTACTTGGCCCCCGGAAGTTCCACCCTCGGCATTGCTCAGAAATGCTGCGTGCTCGCTGCGGATATATATTGGAGGGCCCTCATAAATACTCCAGTCCCCTGTCGTACCGGGGGCAACCAGAAAACACAGGAAAATGTATTGTGTTTAAAAAACGCAGTCATGAGTACCGACGAAGAGTTTTGGTTTATGCAAGGCCCTGAGGTATTTCGTTGGATCCTTTTGGTTGGCGCAGCAGCAGCTAGCTCCTTATCACTCAGATCGTGGTTTATCGTACGGTCCTTTAATTTCTGTGCTGTGGTTGAGCCTCAAGAGTTGGATGCCTTCGTGACTGCGGCGGATCATCTGCTCTGGCTATTTAATCGCACACGCTGAAATTGAGATATATTCAGATATGTTAATTAATTTTTGATATGAGGTTTTCTAAAATCCTGCGTTAATTAATTCAGTCGTACTGCTCTTCCGTATTCTGCCTCGGGGAACGCTGATTGAATCCTTATGTTCTTACTGTATAGTTAGATGGTTAGAGTACTGTTTCACTAGCGACTTGTCCCTGGAAAGACCTGTGGCGTGCCACCTAAGGAAGCGATTGGTTCTTCCTCTTCGGAATCGCTTGCCCCATATCATTATCACGCAATGAAAAGAATCATCCCGTTTTGTCGGACATTTTTCTCTTTACTTTTAGTCCCTCAAGTTTCGTTCATTAGACCAATTCTATAGACTTTGAATTTTCCTTGTCTTACCGTGACCACCGTCCATATTCTTTTGCCTAGAGCAGACTGCATGCTTCTGAGGACAAATGGTAATCTATTTATAGACAGTCTAAATATATATTCACATTTTCTCCCCTCTGATTAAGCACCACCCTACTCCCTTATGAATCATCAACTCCCTTCGTTGCTATCTGTCCCCAATTATAAGTACCGTGAAGTACGTGGAAATATGCCAGTCAGCGGTGGAATAAATGAGGGAGAGTAATAATATGGATTGATAATGATGCTGATTCTGAAGGAAAGAAACCATGGGATGAGAGTACTCGGGGCTGTTGAAATACCCCTGAGCTGACAGGATAAACCGAGGCCCTCCGATGTTGCAATTCCGAGTGGCCATATTCCAACGACAATGATTGTGAATTCCATACCGATCTGTTACAGCGTGGCTACGCTTAATTGCCATGACGGTATCCAAATTTGCGGGTATCAGGACCAGCGTTCTAGGTTGGCAATATCTCAATCATACATCTTGCCAACCTCGTTGACCCCTACCTTCTCCCTATCTTGACAGAGTCAATGATCACTTAGCAAATATGCGCTCCGCTGGAAAGCTGATTGCCTATAGCATAGTCAGTATCTCATACTCTGTATTAGTAAGTAGAATACTTACCACTAGCATCATAAAGGAAGCCATCGCTACGGATATAGACGTCTAAGCATATGTCAGTAAGGATCATAGATCCATCGAGACCGAGAGCTTCTTGGAAACATACCGCCATAGTTGGATGGCCAGGTATAGGTCACCGAGTTCTTGCTGCAAACGGAACCAGAAACCCAGAAGAAGCCCCATCCACCTCCGACGGTGGCAGAGCCTTTGTTGTTCAGAGCGACGTCGGTACCCTGATCGTCCTGGATCCAGCCACTGTGGCCAAACTGGTTGTGGACGTTGGTCGCGGTGGCAGTCAGGGCCGTGGCAAGAATAACTAGGGTCTTAGGAACCATCGTGTTGACTTTAAGTCTGAGATTGGTATCTGAATAGATGAAAAGCGGTTTTAAGGTATTGCGATATGAGATTGTCACGAACGCTGTTGTTGGGGAGGATTGAGAATGACGGGAATGTGTGAGACTTATATAGTTTTTTGACACAGGTAAGATCGGTTGTCACTTCGTTCTATCATCTTCACTAGATTGTGAGATGAGTAATTTTATTATGGGTTCAAAATGGATCTGGCCTAGTCCGAATGGTGATTTGTACACCTTGGAGCTATGCAAATTCCTGATTCTGCAAATTGTGGAAGATGACATGCCAGTATGAATGCCCTGCTGAACGTGGCTGGAAATTAGATTGGTGTTGAATAAGTCCATTGGCTGCGACCTTTTTTAGAGCATATACACAAATGGAGTTGATGCGATGAAACACAGCTTGGATAGCCTACATGGCCCTCTTCGAGTAAGACTAAGGTAGCATTGAGTACTTTTGTAGAATAGCTCTGTGTGAGCACTATGACTAGGCCTTAGTCTTCTCTGCGGTGAATGAAACGATGCGTCCTCAGGAGTCTCAGCCTCCATCTAAGCTTCTGCATAAAATAGAGCAAGGGAGCTAGTGGAAGCTAGTGAGAGCGAAAGCTGACAGCGACGAAAGCCAGTACTTGATTGTAAAGAAGTTATAGATTACTTTCTAACCAAATATGGAGTGACAGTCAGTTTGAAATCTCACTAACTCGGCCGTAGATCTACGACAGTGAACCATCGGAATGCAAGAAGAGTCGGATTGACTTCTATTCTTGGAAATGATAACATCTCTTCGTTTACAAGAACCGCCCTGAGCTTATCCACTCCGCTAATCCATTCCTTCCATCTTATTCATTGAATGTGCAGCTACAGTCTAAAGATTCACTCGTTTCCAGGCCTTAGGCATCATGTTCAAATTGATACATGTATGTATGTACATCTTGGCCAATCAATGCCGTTATTAAGCTTCCTGTTGAAGTCCCATATTCTTAGTTATCTTCCCTAAATGTAATTATCACGGCCTATAGGGGCAGATGTATACTTAGCGGAAGACATTTATCAAAGGCCTGAATGAGGCTTAATCAAAGTTATCTTCAGGGTCTCACGGTAGGCCCGTACACGAATCCGCCCGCACACTAGTCCACCCGCACGCTAGTCCGCCCGCCTAGTTCAACCGCACGCTAGTCCACCTGCACGCTAGCCCGCTTGAACGGAGCCAATTAAACATCACGTTTCATGTATTAATTATGTTGCTAGCGCCGGCTTCACCGATCTCGCTGACCCGTGTTCACTTATTATGTGATTCCCTCCTTAAAGTCGGAAACCTATATATTCTAGATATTTCCCATTAGTGTAGTGAAAATCTCAAACACCTTATTCATCTCTTTTGCGGTTATGGCAAACAGTCATCTTCCTAATTGTCACCCGGACGTCACGCCCGATTGGCAGGACATTGATCACCCTCGGGCCAGTTTCGAACAAGCTATTGCTCTTGAGCCAGTCCAAGGAGAACAAGGGCGTTATGCTGGCTTCGCTCCAAAGGATTGGTGTAGTCCACGTATGTATATTCATCTTTACCAATTCCTTGTCGTCAAGCTCATGCTGATAATTTACAGATGGTCGAGACCTCTACCTACATGGTGGCTATATAGCTGCACTGCTCATCCGCGCAAGTCGGAATTATTTCCAGGATTACCACGCCAATCTCAACCAACCAGATCCAATTCATATGAGCCTGCACTATCTGCAGCTAATCCCCCCGGGTGCTTTCCATATCCAGCTCGAAGGCATAAAACTAGGCCGGCGACATTCAACCATTCAAGCGAAGATTGTGTCACCACACACCAAAAGCGCGGTCCTATACAGCCTAGCTGTTCTTACCATGGGTGATCTAAATATCAAGTCTGGCATCAATATGAGTCTGCCTCCAATTCTGACTCCAGACAGAGAGCGTGAGTGCGCCCGCTGGACGAACGCATTGTTTTACAAATTGAACCCACCTACTGCGAGCATTCGATACTACAACCCTAAAGATGGTGAAAGCCTCCTTTGGAGTCCTAGCAGGGGCCAGAATTGCCGCGATCAGTGGGGCAAGCTGGATTCTGGCGATAATTTTCACTTGGAGCATCTTGGCCTTATGGCAGATATTGTATGTGGTCGATACACAACCCCAGGCACCCTGAACACTCTTTGCTTACATGCGCAGATTCCCCCTATGCATCTGAACTATCAGAAGAAAGGAATGAACGCTGTCCTCGATTATGAATATAAAACCATGACTATGGACTTTGACTTCCGTGCTGACCCCGCGGGCAAAATGGAATGGATTTTGAATCGTGCAAAGACGCATAGACTGGAGGGAGGCCGGTTCGACATGCATATCCAGATGGTAGACGAGAACGGAAATCTGGTAGCAACAGTGCATCAGTCTAACTTGGTCTTTGAAAATGGGCGGAGAAATTCCCGCAAAACCAAGGGCTCTCTTTGATTTAGATAGAGCTACTTCAACGTCATTTGAGAAGGTCTCCAGCACGGCCTTTTAAATTCTCAGTTGTCTAGATTGAGATAGAGACCAGGCCCTTTTCGGTATATTGTCATTCCTCGACCGACTACTATATACTTGCCGTCACTGAAGAGAAGTTAATGCTCAAATAAATAATGCTGGACAGGTGTAAGGTTGCTAATACTCACCCGTCAATATATAAAGGTAGATACGGTATTATCTATTGACGGGTGAGTATTGAGAGAAGGTTGGCTCTACTTTCCGATGTTCAATGTATCCAAAATTGTACAGTAAAATTTGGGGGTATATTTCAATGCATCATACGATCACATCGTCACTATATAACACGCTCATCTCAGAACATGAAGCGTAAACCTTTAAAAAAAATAAACAATCATAACAACCACATCAAGTCATTCCCAAACCAACCACAGCCTTAGCGGTAAGGCTCAGGCGAGAAAACCTTACGCAGACGCAAATGCGCCAGGTCCTTAATAACCTCCGAAGTCTGCTTAAGGTTCTGCTTAACAATGACAGAGGTAGGCTTGGAGAAGAGCTCATCAATCTCCTCGAGAGACTTGTTCTTAGTCTCGGGCATGAAGATAATCTGGTAGAACCAGCCGACGACGGCAATACCACCGTAGAAGCCGAGAGTCAGACCGATACGGGTCATCGACTCCATCATGCGGGTGAAGTTGTAGGTGACGATGAACGAGCACAGGAACAGGTTCGCGTCGGCGGTGGTCATGCCGTAGGAACGGAGGTACGTGGGGAAGACCTCCGAGGGGACGACCCAGGTCAAACAGGCGTAGGAACCGAAGAATCCCATGTACAGGACGATACCGGTCAGGTAGACGCCCTGCGCGGCGGCGGGGTACTTGGTGTAGTCGATGGTGTAGCCGACACCGACGAGGATCAGACCGACGAAGAAACCGGGGAGCATAACGTTGGCCCAGTAGCGGCGGCCGAAGCGCTCCATGTACAGGACAGCGGGGATGGTCCCGATCAGCAGCGAACCACCACCGACGAGAGACATGAAGACGGAGGTCTTGTCGTCGAAACCAATGTTGGTCATCAGGGTCGACATGTAATACATGACGGCATTGACACCAGTCAGCTGGCCGAGGACGATCATGATGTTGGCGTAGACAATGGCACGACGGGCACGGGGCTCGGTGAAGAAGTCCATCCAGGCATACTTCTTGGTCTTGGACTGCTCCTCGGACTCGGCGGTGACAGCTTGGCGCATGCCCAGGAACTCATCCTTGGATTCAATGTCGTTGAAGCCGCGGATCTTCTTCCAGACGCCGTACGCGGCGACCTCTTGGTTCTTGTGCATCAGGTAACGGGGACTCTCGGGCATGAAGAGCATACCCACGAGCAGGATGGTGGAGAAGATCAAAGAAGAACCGAGGATGTAGCGCCAGTTACCCTTGACGCTGACAAACATGGCAGCAACGGCGTAGCCGAGAACTTCACCCAGCGCAATGTTGAGCTGGTAGAGCGAGACGAGGTTACCACGGATCTTGCGGGGAACTATTGAGATTCAAAAAATGTTAGTCTCCAGGTTATACAGTGTGCTTTATCAAAGGAGATTGCAAATGCAGAACTTACCACACTCCGCGACGTAAACCGGGACAGTACCACCTTCCAAACCAACACCCATACCGAGGATGAAACGACCAGCGAAAATCATGCCAAAGTTGATGGCACCAGCCTCCAAGCCGGCACCAATAGTGTACAGAATGCAAGAAACAATGATAGCCATGCGACGGCCCAGGTACTCGTTGGCGGGAGACAGAATCAAAGCACCACCGACGGCACCAAGGGGCATACCGGCGTTAACCAGACTGTTCATCGAATCGGAGAGGTGGAGGTCATGGGGGAGGTAGAGGTTGGCACCACTGATCAGGGACTGATCAAGACCGGAGAGCAGACCTCCCATAGAGGCGAAGGCGACCAGGATATATGTGAAGAGGGCAGGGTTGGCAATGGTGAGCTCGAATCGGGCCTTGGGCATAGTCTGCAGCTTCTCCTCGAGCAGTTGCAGTTCGGAGTCCATGGCGGCCTCGTTCATCTGGCTCTCCATCTTCTGCTCGTGCACATCGTCAATCTCGTAGGCGCCGCCCTCCTTGTGGAGGTCCTGGGGAACCTCAGCATCCTTAAGGTCGGACATGGTGGGCGGGATTAAGCACCCTTGATTGCAAGGGATGCGGGTATATATAAAGAAAAGTAGATAGAAGAATAGAACTATAGATCAAAGAAGAAACCCCAGAGGAAGTGATGAGGTAAACCCCAGTCTGGAGAAGTGGGAATTGAAGATGGAGAATGGTCAAAAAAGAAAGACCTGGGGAAGAAAGAATGGGGGGGGAAACGAGGACTATTTGAGGCCGATCTTCAGAGACACCACACCACCTTGAATAGCACTTTGCATGACGACCGGAAATACACTTTAACGACCAGACCTAGCAGACTCTGACGCCAGAAACAATGGTGGAGAAGCGTCGGCGAAACTTCGACCAAGAAAAAAAAAAGACCAGGTCGGGGATGCGCCCCAGTTTCTTGCAAATTGATCTGGAGTCTCCGTATGTACGGACTGTACGACAGTCTGTTTTGACTTGAGTGGAGAAGAAAGAGGATCCAACCGAACAACCGGGCCAACCACCGGTTCGGCGACGGCACCCGCAGCCAGCGACCGAGAAGAAAATGAGGAGAAGACAACGAAAACGCGGGCGCTCACCGGTCATCCAAGATTGGCATAGTTGGGCGAAAATGGAACAATGTATCGAGTCTATTCGACTGGCAGGGAAACGCAGAATGTGGAGGAGGCAAAAAGGCCGGGGAATTTTGGGGGTTTGATCGGGCGTTTGGACGAATCGTAGTGGCTGAGAGCTTAACTAGTCGCACTCCCAAGGTTTTTCTGGCAGGGCGTTCAGTGGCAAAAGCCAGTTTGGACCTGCCTGGCATCAATAGACTTCTGATCTGATTTGAACCTTGTGTACTGTAGTACAGTAAGCGAGTCGCATCGGGAACTGCACTTCTCGAAAATTCCCGGCTTCCCGTGCATTTCGCAGCGCAGGATTTCGGCCTGGCAAGTGGATATCCCCTTCAATACGGGCCACGGCAGAAGACAATGCCGAGAGAAAGGGCCGAGACAAGGAACTAACAAGGTCCAGGACTCGGGGGGCTCCGCAAAGCCGAAAAAAACACGGGTACATCACATGGGCAGGGACGGGAGCTGGAGGTGATTTCGGACAGTGTCCGGCTTGGAGATGGAGCATCACCACGCGAATATCTCCCCATTACGCATCCGCAACGCTGGGTTGGGGGAACCCCATGGAGTCTCCAGTGCGTGTCGGAGACACTTCGGCGAAAAAGCAGGGCATCGGCATCCACTCAGCGCTCAGGGCAATCCCGGTCCGGAAGCCCAAGCGGGACGATCTAAACGACGATTGGACTCGAGGAAACCAGGTTCCGAACGGTGCTATATTGTGGATGAGTACAGAGTATATGAGAGGGTTAGAAAAGTCAGAGAACCAGGACAAGTTAGACCAACCATGGTACCAAGACGGGATCATCATCTTGGAGGTAAATTCTGAGTTTGCTTTTGCGCCCAGCGATTCCGGGGGGCGCTGGGAAGTGTGCGGGATTTTCCCGTCTCACTCAAGCCGAGAACCTCATTCGCTGAAAGGCAAAAGCTTGGGTGGGTGGCTTGGCTTAGCGGATCTATGTCCTCTGTTCAATTTTGGATAATGACTGGGGCGGAACAGCCTCGTCCGCACTCTCAAGAGGTCACTCAGTTAGGTGGACTTTGCTACTGTAATGATTTCACGAGCTGATGAAAGCCGGTAAGGTATGTAAATCAGCCGACAACACTACTCTGACCCCCGTTATAGCCTAAATCTAGAATCCGGCTACTCGCATGGCCGCCACAAGATAAAAGTCACCAGATACGCTTTGACTGCCTCTCTTACGAAAAGGCCTTTACAAGGTCTGATAAAATCTCACTATAGGGTCTTCCCTCTATAGCCTATGCTGGTTGTTTCCAGGACTAGCTTTTGTTAGCCCATATAGGGCCCTTTCTCCTTTACATCTAGTTCTCTTGTGTAGACACGATCGAACTACTGTACTTACCTTTTCCTATTTCCTTTCCTTCCCCACTTACCTCCGTTCCTACCGCATGACCACCGCCGACGCGAACCTGTTCCTGTGCTCGTTCATCGTCACCTACAACTTCACCCGCATGATGGAGTCGATGACCCGTATCGGTCTGACTCTCGGCTTCTACGGTGGTATTGCCGTCGTCGGCTGGTTCTACCAGATTATCTTCATGCCTGCCAGCTGTGGCATAATTTCAACCTTCTGAACTTCAAGAAGATGATTTCTAGAGCCCTTCGTTAGTTAGCGGTGATCATCTAATTGTTGATTCGCCTAATTCGTCTTGTAAGCTGATTTTTTCATGATGCGAGTAATAACAACTTCTTATGTAGACCATGGCTCTATGTATCCATTTCTATACCAACCGGGCGACGCTGACCCCTTCTTGGAATGACTGATCTTACATTATTGTGGTAGTAGAGTGTCGTGTTGCTTACATTAGGATGAAGCCAGAAACGTCAAAGTAAGCACTGTTGTGCTGTATTGAATTATCGCTGATCCTGGTTATCCAAAAGTATGGCCTCGGAGCGTTTTGTTTAAGTGAACCCAACAACTTCCTTGCTGCGACAACTCATGACCAGCAGGGCTCGACGGTGATTCGAGGTAAGAATTTCGTTAACTCGTTCTCCGAACGGGAGTTTTCCAGGGGTACAATCTGGGTGCGTATGCACAAATTCTGTCGACATCCTAGGCTTTACATCTTTAGAAGAGCTTGTTCAAGCCATCCGCAATATTAAGGAGCTCAGTACACTCGCTGACCTCGAACACTTGGGGTCAGAGGGTACTTGCGTGACAAAAATCCTGAGTACGTAGGTAGAGGTGGGTGAGCCCCTTCGGGTACCAAGACGGTCCTTCGCAAAGGAGCTTCAATCGCAGGGCATCCGTTGGCAATTTAGGCTTCTCGTAGTCGTCCCTTCCTGTACATGTGTTGATTTGTATCTGCGGTGAAGGTTTTCAAACGATTCTTTGATATCCTCATCCTCGAGGGGTAAGTCGAGAACGAGGCGCGCTGAGCGCTGTCTTCGCCGGGAGAGCTATCAGGGGTAATATTGTCGTGATATTATGTGGGATTAATAAATGTAATTAGACTTTGGTAAATTTTGCAGTATATTTTATATAGAGGATACATATAAACTATACATCTGCACGATTGTTCTTAAGAGCCGAACAACTTTTTAAGATAATCTTGGAGTATAATTTTTCATATATGAAAAAGAATCCCTAGCCGGTTATCTATAACGGCCTTAATGGATAATTGACGGCAGATAATAAATTAACGGCAGTAATGGTGTCAAAAGTTGGGCGGTTTTGCTGTATAAAAACGGGCTTGTCTCAAACTTTGGCTAGGATTTATGGGTACCTAAGCTACCTAATGGCCTTGGAAGGTAAGGACGATCATGTGATCATGACTAAGCTCGGACGGGAACACTGGTAGAAGCAAAATTTGCCGCTGTCTATCGAGTGTTGGGGGGAGAGATATCACACCTGGGAATTTTGATCCAGGCCCAAAAAAATGATTGAGACTTGAGCCCCCTCCCGGGTTTGATCCGGGGACCTTAGTATTACAAGTACCATGTGATTCCACTACACCAAAGGGGCAAGTTTCTGATGGTGGTGGAGTTCAAATTACGAATGATATGCGTTGATACATGTCAGCGGAAGCCCACTTAAACCCCATCCGGGGGACTTGTTAGCCTAACTAGGACTAGCCTTTATACTATTGACGAATCATTAGGTTCAGATGTACTCAAAACAAGGGACTAAAGCATAAGGTAACGAATAACAAGCCATGAAATGTCCTCAAGCCCCACCCTTAGTATAGTGTTATGAACACCACCAAGGTCGACTTGGACGCCGAACTATGACCTAGATAAGATGTTTAAAGCACGTCCTGAAGCCTGTAACGTAGTATTACACATTACATGGATATTACTGGTTGTTAAACGTCACTTTACTACTACATCTTGAAGCTTTACATTATACTTTCAAACACCCGACCCGACCGACATACTTCTTACATAATCGCCTAACTAATTTAACTTTCCGTAGCTAACTATGCCGAGTGAAAACCTCTGAATCAGAAGGTATGTAAGTTATAATTAAAGAAAGAGGTATACGTGTAAGCCAGAGGATGGACAGAAAAGTTCCGCATGTTGGTTGACTATACAACCAGTTCATATTTCAGTTGAACGACCAACAGTGTTAAAAAACGTGATCTGTATTAAACACATGACGACGATATATATTGTGGGACTGGAATAAGCTTAGTTGGGGACCTACACAATGCCAAAGGAAGCTCGCATAAAACCCCACTGACTTGACTGCCTTCTAAATATACACTACACTTATATGGATGCTACCCCCAATCTACGACAGAGGTCAATTTAGAAACTTAAATATGTAGTCATCAGCCATAGAGTCTGCAACGTTCCTGTTAGCGATGTTAAAGTATATGCAATCATCGCGTCACACAGGCACAGCGAATAGCTGGCCATAACGACCGAGTTTGACCCCGCGAAAATGATGCGTAGTATATGACCACCGCCTGGCCTCGGAGTCGCCATCGAAGCCTTTGGTATCACTATCCGCTGGATACTTGATATATGCGAACGAACCTCATTGACGGGCAGCGAGCTGGCGGACGTCTTTCCATACTTTAGAGACTTCTAATATACTAGTATTGGATTGAAATTATTTTTTATTAATTATCATGTAACACCAAGTTACGTAGTTATTAAAAGTATCATACTAACTTACTTACTACACCCATGTCTTTCAATACCTCTCCTGACACACTTCTTGGCACTTTTTTTTTGACATACCTCTTTGCTAACTCAATATCCCCATTACTATACCTATTCAAGTGTTATGATCATATTATTATCCTTCAATACCCCCGCTTTCTATAACCCTTATACTACCTACGCCTACTGAGCGCTGTAGCGCCCGCGCCCGCGCCTAAGTACAAGCCTATGCCTACGATAGCGTTGGCTAGAGGCTGATTTCGCTTACATGAAGGAGTTTTTCCACCACCTCTCAGCGTATGTTAGCCCAGAGGGCCTAAAACTACACTGGTTCTCTAACCCACCAGGACAGGCGCTACGGTTACTGCTCAAATAATCGCACCGGAGAAGGATACAAATGTGGCTGACGTCGTGCGGCAAGTCACTCCAGTGAAAAGACCTCAGACGATCACCTCGAATGACCCCAGTCGTGCCACGCGCCCATCCCGTAGACATTTATGCCACGGAGGTAAAAACACATAAGAGATAGGTAATACTCACCGGGCAGCGGAGAAAAAACAATGATATGACGACAGCATATGCAGTAGTAAGTAGTAAGAATTTCTAATTAGTATGGTGGGTTCGTAGTTATAATGCAGTTTTGTCGCACTCTGGCATAAGGTACAAAGTAAAATTAAAGTTGGCGTAAATTAAGGTTAAAAAGAAGGTGCTGTTCTGGAACAGTCTGTCTCAGGGAATCAGAGCGGGATCCCTATCTTCCTACAAGGACATTTCTACTATGCACAGCTAAACGATCACGACACTTCTCCCTCGAAGCTCCGTTATGGCAATGCCCCTTTCTGCCTTCGGGCATGGCGGTAATCTAAGGCAATGGCAGTGTCATAATCAATGCCTTCGAAAATATCCACGAGCCGGTTGAGCTTTCCCACGACCTTGTCACCTCTAATTGATAGATATCGTAACTCACCGGTGCCTTCTCCATTGTCCGTATTTTGTTTCAAAACAAAGGGAAATTTTTTTTTTTAAGTCGGCTTGCAGGATCTGTTGGACGGGCCTTGAGGGCATGTCGAGCAACTTCTCCGTCGGCCAAGCGACCGATTCTGAGCGACCGCTTTCTCGAAATTCTTCTACCAGATCGCTTGTATCATAGAATCTGAGTGGACACGAAGAGACTGATAAGCGTCCCGACGCAAAAAGCAAAAAGAAAACAATCTTTTGTTAATAAGGGAAAAAAGTGATGTAGACCCGAAAGCTGGGGGGATTTAAAAATTGAAAATGGGATAACGAGCTAAATTGACCATCCCACGCGGGCTTGACCTGTCCAATGGCCGGGCTTGTATCATCGCGTACACGGCCTTGCTGATGTATGTGGGGGTTAATTGCGTTAGATATAGGAAGGATCAAGAGTCGAGACTCATGGAAGTAAGAGAACATCACGGCCATTTAGGCCGATGCCAAGTTCAATGGTCAGCCACTTTGGAAGACAGAAGTTAAATAAAATAATAACTTTGGGGTGGATACTAAACTCAGTGACGAATACGATAAACCTTCTTCCATTAACGAGTTTCAAGGTTTGAACTGTATTTACAACCAGAGAAATGCAGAGCATAAAACAAAAACGGAAAATGATATCAAACTCCGAGCGCCATGCTTGATGGGCAATGCAATCAATCCAATGCGACCCATATCCCCCCACTCTACCATTGCCGTCCCGATCCTCCCACCGGCTTGCGAACGCTCGGATCGATATTCCCTGGACTGGGGGATCGTCCACCATGCAACCTTGCCCGCAGCCGTTCCTGTGCCGAGCCAGCCCCGGATCTACTATCCTGACTAGACCGCCCAGACTGTGTCGACTGATACGATCCCGAACGCTGGCTAGGTAGCGGGCGAGCACCCGAAGGGTGCAGACCACCTGACGAAGGAGAGTGAGATTGCGAGTGCGCGAGCTGAGGCGGGGGCGACATGACAGGGCCTGGCGGGGCACTCTGGGCAGGTGTCAGGCCCGAACCGCTTGCACCACTCGCGGCGCTACCACGGCCACGACGGAGACTGGCAGTTTGCGCACTTCCTGGTGAAGGTGCACCCGAGTCACCCCAAAGGTCACCTAGACCGCCACCCCGGCCGTAGGCACCGGCGGGGGCTTGCCCGTATTGTCCGGAGGAGGCGGTTGCGATGGGGCGAGGTGCAGCGGAGGGCGGGGCCTTGGGGTCGGGAGGGAGCCAGCCAGGGAATGGTCGCCCCTTTTCTGTGTAGTATGCTCGAAGGGCGTTGGAGATGTGCGAGCAGTCCTCGTTCTCCGGGTCGTCTCCTTCGTCGCCTAGTGTGATGGCCCGGCGGAGGCTGTTGAGTCTGGACCCCAGAGCATTGGAGATGGAGGATGAGGATTTGAATGACGCTAGATACGAGCTCATTTCGCTGCCCCTAGGTGTGGTGAGATATTGGTGGTGTGTACTCGAGCAACGTGTGGACTGTAGAGGACAGCTTCGATGTGGGGTGGGGTTGATGCGGAGCTACAACCCTGCAGGAAGTCAACAGTGCGGAGAAAGAAGCCGGACGGAAGTAGGTAGAATTGAAGATTGGGTCAATCTTGCAGCAGGAGATTATTCGTATGTTCCACAAAAGAGCCGGCTTCTGTGGGAAACAAGAGTTGAAGTTGAAAGAGTGGCGGGCAGTGAAGATCGCCGAAACACAACCCCATGACGACGGCACGTGATCTCAAACTAGGTTTCAGAAGAATCGCAGGTCAATCAACCTGAGACCAGCAAGAGGACAAACCCAAATGAAAACGAAATTAATAGACATGAAATGATATTTAAGACCCATATTGACAGATATGTATAGCAATTGATGCAATAACTGGGTATGATGCCCGATCATAGTAAAAAAAACACATTGACAGAAAGAAAGAAAAAACTCAACCCGTAAAACGCCATGCAAGATCACATAAACTTTTCCCAACCCATTCAGCGAATAGTTTACGCCATGACATGATCCTTGCCAACACCCTCGGTCTCGTACTCGATTTCGATACGAGGACCCTTCTTCCGCGGCTTGACATGGGGAGCGGCATGCTTGCGCTTAGCACCGGGCTTGGGCTTCTTCTCATCCTCGCTGGGCGCGCTCTCGTCGTCGCTCTCATCATCACTCTCGTCATCCTCATCGTAGTCGTCGCTGGAGTCGGCCGAGTCACCACCCAGCCAGTCCTCAATATCCTCCAGATCCTCCTCTTCATCGAGGTCACTGACGTACTCAACCTCACCAACACCCTCCTCCTCCTCATCCTCAATCTCCTCTCCATCATCCATATCCTCATCACGCTCACCCTCACCAGCGCGCTCCAGACCACGGAGAACCTTCTTCCAGATGTTCTCATCAACATTAAGCGGCTGGTCACCATAGGCACCACTGCGCAGACGCTCGATAAGCTCACGCTCAATCGCACGCTCCACCTTGGCCGCAGACAAAGCCTTCCGCTCACGAGTGTCCTCACGCCGGCGAATCTTAGGCGCCAACTTGGGCACAATCTTCTCACCGAGGCGATCCTCCTCCTTGGCAATGTTCCTCATGCGAATTTGCACCTGCGTGAGGCGGGTGAGACGCTGCTTGCACTTGTGGACCAGGAACTTGGGCCAGTAGATCAGGCGCTCGTCGAGTTGCTCCAGCGCCTTGGCGTAGTTGGAGGACAGGCGCACACGTTCCCACCATTTGCTGGGCATGTGGGCACGTTCGACGGTCTTCATGTACAGGTACATATTTCCGGTCTCGGGGTCGGAGCGCACCGTCGCATATCGCGAGTTGGCGAGCGGGCAGGACTGCCGATTGCACAGGCCAGTTACGTTGTGTTCATTGCGGCAGAAGTTTTGCTCCTTGGTAGTTCTGAAGCGGGAAAGGTTTTTTAAGTCAGCAAAATGTTCTGCATATCTTAATTTTGCAATTCAATCTCTAAGTGTCGACGGTGTCTAGACTCGACAGACCGATAAACCAACGCAGAGAAAATTTCCAAATGGGAGGAAATTTATGCAAGACACTTACTTGAGCTTGTAGGAGCAAAACTGCTGGTTGATAACCTGCCAAACGATCTCGTCCGACATGATGGGCAGGGAGCGATGTGATGTTCGGTGCTGGAGAGCCGTTGCCCAGGTGTTGATTGAAAGAAAAAAAAAATAGCAGTCACGTGAGACATGCTTATCGATAGCCGCGACACCGCCCAAGTATAAGAACTATGTATCCAACTAAAGAAAGAGAAAGCATTCCCGGAATTTATTACTGTACGGGTATGAACGAGTGTTGTAAAAATGAGCTAGTACAATAGCCAGGGTATACGCAATTCGTCTATGTCGCTGTGCAGCAGGTTCATGATACTCACTGTGGCCAGCCACCCTCCGCCTGCATTTGGCCACCCTCCCACTCATTCCCGTTTACCATATGGTTGCTTTGATCCGAGTCATCGCCAGCCAATTCATCAGCAAAGCCCCATCCCATAGACTCTAATTCCCGAACAAAGAAATCTCTCTCCTCTTCCATCATGCTGGATCCCTCGGGTCCAGCCATTACATCCTTATACTGACGTAGATGCCACCAGTGTGTCAATCCACGAAGAGCTTGTTCCAGAGGTAGGGCTTCCTCAACTTCGGCATCAACATCCGAGCCGGCAAGCCAGTCATCCCGCAGCTCTGGTCGGCAGTACAGGTAGATGGCGGTGATGACACGCATGTTGCTCTGGCGCCATTTGCGGCCGCAGTAGGGCACTTGTGACTTGAAAAGCTTGAGAGTGTAGAATCGAAGATGAGGGTCCGGGATCTTAAGGCCCTTTCGGAGAATGGTACTCGACCTATACTGCACAAGCAAAAGGCAGCGATGCGCCTTGTCGCGAGTAATCTTCTGCATGATGTGAAGATAGTTGATTGCAGAGAAGAAGTTACGGAAGGAGAAGACGGTGATGGGTTCCTTGGGCAGAGGGGCCGTGGGGTAGCCGAGCTCATCGACTTCAGGGCGGGTCGGACCGTCAAGTATACCCGCGATGGACTCTTCGGGGGAGAGAGGACGAACGCCGCTGCTGCCGGTATTCAAATTGGGACGATGGCGGGAGATGGGAGGCGGAACAGCCTCGTCCTCACTCTCAGTGTCACCGTCATCCGGTTGCTGGGTCTGTACCGCGTAATCAGAGTGCTCGCTGCAAAAATGGAAGAAACTATATAATATCAAGTTAGAACTGTTCGATGTGAAAAAGTCCACCACGTCAACTTACGCCAGGTCCTCGCGGTCATTTTTCTGCGCCACGGCTTGATCCACATCTTGATGGGCGAACATCTTCAAAATTAGAGGCAAGTAGTTCGAGTCAAGTAGTAGCTGAGTCATATATTCGAATTTAAGAACATCTGCGTAGGTCAGTAAGGCGTGCACGGGAGAACTTGATAAACAAGACATGAGACTGACGAGATCGCTTAAACCACTTTAACAAAAGAAGTAGAGTACCGGATACGGCTTTACCGGTGATTTCTCGTAACCGAATATTATCCAATTCGTCAATGGAGGAATCAGAGAAAAAGTCTGCAGATGACCCATTGATGCCATGGCCATTACTACTTGGGAATTAGCATAGTCGTTTATTGTAGTGTGTTGATCTTTCGTACCTCATGTTCTGAGAGGTTTGAGAATTCGCCTGGTTCACAACAGCACTGACATTCGTCAGAATGATCTTCAAGAACACGATTGTGATGGACTGAAGATGAGCCAATGTTTGAGCCTAGATGAGATGATGTTAGCTCGGCACATTCAATCGAGACTGTTCTCAAGTACTGACATAGAACGATTCTACGGCATCCAATCGTCGCTGTACATCTGGATCATCCGTTTCTTTCTTGTGAGGGGTATCCTCTCTTTCGGACAGATCCAAATTGTCCAGTTCGCCGGTAGTATCATCGAGAGACGGGAAATCGGGAACTCGTTGGTAAGACTTCTCGAGGTTCCAGCCCCGATCGTACTTCATGAAATTCTCGCGTTCTTCCCACAGTTGTTGCATTGCCCGAGTCATCTTCACATGAGTGGAGAAAAGCTTTCCGGCTTCAATGACGGACGCGGGTACATCACTACCCTCCCAACGCTTGCCTACCAAGACGTCCTGTCGCTCTGTAGTGCCCTTTCCGCCGATGCGATTACTGGTATCATCCAACGGGGGGTACATGAGCGGGAAATTCTGGTTGGTCTGGTAGTTTTGTTTCTTGCCAGCCTTCCCACCAGGACCGATAGGAGAGGGTGGCGGAGACGGCGCCGGGGTCGCGATATGAACGGCCTGTTGAATAATAGAGCCATTTCCACCAGCAATCGAGGGTCCGACTCCGCAGAAAAGACCGCTGGAGGAGGTCGCCCTGCTGGGATGCTGTGGGAGAGGGGGTAGAATGGAATTATTTTCAAGTTCCAGAGGAACGATCGATGGAGGGGGGTTGTAAGAAGGGTATTTGGAGGTGATTTCCTGGCGGAAAATGTGATAATCGAGGGGCTTTGCGGTTAAGAAAGGCGTTCTGCGGTTTGCAGCATCCTCTTCTGAGATCAAAGGAGGCTCCAGAACCTCTTTCGTCCTCTTCAATTTATCACTGCCGCCAAAGACGAGAAGGATGGATTTCCACAGCAAAAGAATGATTCTCGTAAGAGGTATATTGGCAGATTCATCCCATCTCAGTCGCGCGATGATTTCCACAATGGTGACCAGTAAACAAGGATTCGATTCGCCAAGGGCATCGCGGATCAAAGTGTTTTGAGTATCTCGGGCTTCTTGCCGTCGGCCGACTTCAATTGCAAAGTAGAGCAAGGTAAGAACCAGGTTGGCTTCGCGCTCCGGCGCGGCAATATCACCTGGATTAAGTCGTTCAAACTCAATCCCATCTGGGTCTGGACCAAGCGTGGCACGATTCTTATCAAACAGCTGTGATAACCTCAAAATCAAGACTGGGATCCCCGAGCATTGCTGGAGAAGAGTCACGTTCTCCTCGATCCAGTCAATCTGTAGTGATTTCGACTGAGGTGTCTCGGCCGCTGACCGGGCGTCCATGTTTGTAGGATAGTCCGGGACAGATCGTCCACCCGTGACGCCCCATACACCAGTGACCGCATAGCAAATGTTCTCCAGTGCCTCCAGCCGCACAGAAACGTCCATGTGTTGCAGATTGTCCAAAGATCGCATCATAAATGATCGGCGAAGATCCTCGGATACATCGACCCACGACTGTCCACTGGCGCCCGAAACATTCTGCTGACAGAAAGCACTCCATTGCCTTTCAAAGGTAGCTTTCATACCCATCAGCATCACGCGATCAAACTCATTGTACTGGAACCATTCTTCCAGCTCGTCTGGGAACGGCTGCGCATCGGCATATTCGAAAGCATACGCGGGCTGCTCGACCTTGGGCATCTCTTGCACCAGTCTCCGCAGCTGAGCCAAGCTCAGCGAGGAGTCGGTTGGTCGGTCCGCATTCTGCTGAACGGGTGCGGGGGGAGGTGGTTGTAGTGGCGGTGGAGGGGCTGATCCGTCTCGTCGCAATTCGGGTCGTTTTCCGGCCGCCTCTGTCTGTGGGGAAGCTGGTATCGCCTCAGGTGCAGCAGATGAGGCCTGCTCTTGTCGCAGACCCTCTGCTATCTGCTCCAACAATTGGTCGTCGGAGACAGGAGAGATATCCGTGCCAGTCTGATCTACCTCATCGGCCTTGACAATGTGGTGTTCCGGGTCGGGCAGATTGGAGTCGGTGGGGGTGGTTGGGATATCCATTCTGGCGTTCTCTCGGACAATGCTGGCCTCACAGGAGAATCGTTGGACGGTTGATCGTGCGGCTAGTTGTGGTGGTGGGGAGGCGCAATATGACTGGTCGGAAAACAAGGGACATTAGGGTGAACGAGAGTTGAGATGGAAGTTGAACCGCCCTGAGAATAAAGTGACCTCAGCAGGCAGGATCATCTCGCAGCTTGAGCCATGATTGAATAGGTCTCGTCAGGGTTGTCGCGACAGCAGACCGCGGAGTTGCGGTGATCAATGCTGGCTGATAGCAGTCACGTGGCCTACGCGTATCAGCGATTGGCCTCTACCTACGGCTCGTGACCAGTAGTAGCCAAAAGGCCAGGGACCATCAGGTACTCGAACTCTATGAAGCCATTGATACACTATGTATTTTTAATGAGCTTATACTGAGAAAAATGTGAGAGGGCCTATTTTTCTGCCACCTATTCGATCTATAAACCATCCTAATCAATGACAATAACCATAAACTTGGCAGGATGGCCACTTAAAGACGCATGCCTCTGAATAGTATAAGTTCAAATGTGGGTATTAATCAAAATTATGGTCAACTACACATCAACCAGCCACAATAGCCTAGTGGTTTCTGGTTAGCAAGCTTCCGAATTGGTGTAGTGGCTAACATCGTCGTCTCTCACACGACAGCCAGGGGTTCGATTCCCCTATTCGGAGTTCATTTCTTTTTTGTTTTTCTGACCTGACATTACTTCAACTTTTGAGATGTCGCTGAGATGATTTTTTTGGAAAAAAAATACACGATTTATGGTTGGGGTTTGTTTATTGGGCAAACGGGCTTGGTTCCAGTCTAAAAGCCCGCCCGCTTGGTTTTTGCAAGTAAAAGTGTAACGGTGGAAGTAGGTATGGATGTGGTTTGTGTCAAAGTATATATATTCGCGAACGGGGGAGTCGTCATAAGTGCCGACCCTAATGAATATGTCCGAAAGACAGGCACTGCTATAAATTTGGACAACAAGCAGGAGGAACTATACAAAAAACTACAATATTCCTTGACGGTATCTTCTCAGTCCGACTTGCCCGCTTCACTGTGGCGCTTCTTCAACCTCTGTCCTTCCCATCGTTGCCAGCCGGCCTCGGCCAAGTCTTCACTCACCACCAGATCGCGAATTCGCAACAGACGAGATACGGTCAGCTCGGTCACCCAGTCAATCCAACCCGAGCGTCGGAGCAGCCCAGTGACCACGAACCAGCCACAGGCACATGCGAAACCAACCACGGAGCCTGCCAGAACCTGTCGGGGGGTATGGTAGCTCAGGTAGACACGACTGGCAGAAACCGCGACCGCGCTGGCACAAAGCCCCACCGTCAAGGCAGTTCGGAGCAGGAAATCAGAGTAAGGGTAGGAGCCCGCGTAGGATGGAGAGTGTCGAAACACGAGGAAGAGGGACATGTAAATGGCGAAATAGGTCATGAATTGAGCGTGGGAGGATGGCATGCCGTAACCTTTGCCGAACATTTCTGTAGACATGCATTTGACCACATTAGCGCCTATCCTTGTGCAGTATGAAATTCGAATACGGGGAAAAGGAACCTTACCCTTCGGGCGCTCTTCCTTGATGATGCGCTTCAGCACAAAGTTCAATGCCTCACAGCCCAGCTGTCCAGCGAACATCAGGATCACCTCCACCTCTCTCGAGGCCCAGACCAGGGTGGCATAGGAGACGCAAAGAGCCTGGGGCAGTAGTGCCAGCCATGCCGACGCAAAGGACAGCGGATCCTCGGGGTTCTATTGGGGACAGTTAGCTCGTTGCAGCCCAAAGCCAACGATGCAGAGGAGAACAACGCACGTAGTGAACGTGAGTCAAAGACAGGGAGGCCAGTGGAGTGTCGCCCATTTTGAAATTGGGAGGTGTCCTCGTGCTCCTCGTGCTCCTTGAGAAGTAGAAATAGACGAAGGGACGAGTCAAGGAAACAAAGGAAGGAAGCTCAGTTGGTCGTAAGTATTGTAACCAGTGAGCTGGTCAAGACCTAGGCTCGGCCCGATTAAAGCCACGATAACGATAAGAAACGACAGTCACGGCGGGGCGGAAAACTGCAGGAGGGGGGAAACCAAACCCTCTCAGTCAAACACAAAAATAAATTCCCCTTCAGGCACCAAAGGGAGTTCTTTTTTTTTTTACTCCCCTTCTCGCCTCCCTCGCCTCCCCTCCCATCTCTTTCCTTCACCTCATCTCCTGCTCTTTCTTCATCCCACCCTCACCTCACTTATTTGTTCCAAATCATGACGCAGTCCCTGTCATCTTATACTCCCGCTTTCTTGTTACATCATTTGATAGACCCCTCTCCAGTACAGTGGACTCGCCTGGACCGAGCGCGAATAGTCCGCACAAGAATACCCTGATTGTGGGTTATTCTCGTAGCCCACTGGGCTGTTCATACAGTGCTTATTGAAGGCTTTTTTTCGCGCAGACGTGCCTCTTTCCCCCCCTATTCCCTTCCTAATCGCCACTGGGGGTGATTTAAAATCCCCCGTTCGCCATCTCCACTTTAGACCTTGTACGCAACCCTTCTACAACGGCAGCCATGGCCGCTGCCTGCTAAACCACCCGGGATATTTCGAGTCGTATGGCGAGTACGACTACGATTGTATAACAACGTCCTCTCAAAAAGAATCCTTTGTGTCCTGACTTTGAGACCGCCACTTTCAGGGCTGGTCGCACCATGGCCGAAATTCAGGACGAGGACGACCGGTCCATCGAATTGTCCTCCATCGCCGCCATCTATCCAGAGATCAAGATCGACCCGGACAACCCTTTCAAGGCGACCCTCGAGCTCCCAGTCACCCTCCCGTCGCCTACCCAAGTCTGCTTCCAACAGCCCCTCGATCTCGGACCCCCACCGGCGCTAACGCCGCCAACCTCTGTCGATGGCTTTAAAGCCGACTTGGGCCAGAATGCCGCCCGTGACGTTCACATCCTCTCGCATCTTCCCCCGTTAAACCTGAGCATCGAATTGCCCGATGGCTATCCCACCGAGAAACCCCCGATCGTTCGGCTTACTACTCATCCGTTATGGCTCCCGTCAACGGTCCTTGCGAAACTGAACGACGATTGTACCCGACTATGGGAAGAATGCGGGCGGGATATGGTGGTCTACACTTATATTGACCATCTTCAACAATCGGCCGAGTCGGCCTTTGGCATCCAGGATACTACGGATGGAGAATTGTGTCTATCACGGGACCTGAAGATCGCTCTGTTGGATTTCAACAGCAAGGCCGAGCGCGAGAAGTTTGAACAGGAAACTTTTGAATGCGGGGTATGTCTGGAACCGAAAAAAGGCGCCACTTGCCACCGACTACTGCGCTGCTCCCACGTGTTTTGCGTCCCTTGTCTGCAAGACTTCTACAACACTTGCATTGCTGAGGGTGACGTGGACAGTGTGAGGTGCTTGGCCCCGGACTGTGAGAAAAGCCAGAGCCCGACACTTGCTCCAGGTGACGGTCAGACTCCTCGCCGCAAGAAGCGCGATCGTACTCTCGGTCCCAGTGAGCTTCTTGAAATCCCTCTATCCACAGAGATAGTGCAACGATATGTCTTCCTCAAACGCAAGAAGAAGATTGAATCCGATAAGACTACGGTATATTGCCCCCGCCAGTGGTGCCAAGGGGCAGCCAGATCAAAGCGGCATCCCAAACCCAGCGACCCCATGGCCGACGCCGATGACGCCGATGCTTCTGAAGATGAGGAGGAACCTACCTTTGATCCGCTAGGGGAAAAGGGAGATCTCCCCCCGTTGCTGAACGAGTTGCCATCTGCGAAGAGTGTAACTATGCCTTCTGTAGCGTCTGCCGAAAGGGCTGGCATGGTGAACTCGTCAGGTGCATGCCTCAGCGCAAGGTCGAGGAGCTGTCTGCCGAAGAAACGGCAACCGAAGAATACATGCGCTTGTACACCTCTCAATGCCCGACATGCACGGTTCCTTGCCAGAAACGCATGGGCTGCAACCACATGCGCTGCTTCCAGTGCGATACACATTTCTGCTATCTATGCTCAGCCTGGTTGTCACCGGATAACCCGTATAGCCACTTCAATCAGACTAGCAGCACGTGCTATAACCGCTTGTGGGACTTGGAGGGTGGCGACGGACTGGATCCAGAAGGTGCCGAAGCGCTGCACCGGATCCCAGAAGCACTGCTTGTCTTTGACGACGAAGATCATGATGGAGCCGTGCAGGACGTTGAGCTGGATAACGACACGGAAAGCGAATGGAGCTCCTCGGACGAAGATGATGACCGCCCAGCATGGGACTTTGACTTCAGCGACGACGACCAAGATCGCCACCACCGCCCTCCTCCTCCAGCCCCCGTCCCTCCTCGAGTTCCAGGCGCAGGCCGCGGTCCAGGCGCAAACCATCCCGGCCAAGATGCTGCAGCTCGTGCCGCCATGGAGCGTGAGGAACAAGCCCGGGCGATGGCGGAAATCCGCAATCGCAACCGCAACCGACCTGCGCGACGAGCGGAGCAGCCACGCAACGGCGCCCCTCAGGAGCCGCGGGGCATGATCGGGCTCCAGCGGTTCTTGGAGTTGGTGCAGAACGATCGCGAAGATGAATGGGATAGTGATGAGCTTGAGGATTTTTAAAACGAAGATCCTGAAATATGAGACATGCATTGGAATTGTTCATACGAGGAAGGCAAAGATTTATGATACTCACGTACAACATCAAAACGGGCATACGGTGTTTTCTTATGAGCGATGATTTTGATGATTTGATACTTTATAGCGTTTTCCGTGAGATTGCATCTGTCTTACATTTACATAGCTTGTTTAGCATAGGACTGTTCTTTCAATTGGCTTTTGATTTGGCATCACAACTTCGTACTACTGCTTCGCTAATCCAGACAAGCAGAACATGGCAATCCGCCGATCCAGGACATTATTGGAGAGATTTAGGACAATATCCTCTGTATTCTGAAGACTATACGCTGCGACAGCCTGATACTTCATCTCCTCTGCAACCAAACATGAATAAAAGACATCGAAACCTCTTCGCCCCTAAAATGCGCAAAATAAAACCCCTTCGTCCTCGAGATCCACTCCGACACAAGCTCACCACCTTTCTCTTCCGAGTAATTCTCCGGATCTCCATCCCTCAACGCCTTGAGAAGGTAACCCGAAATAACAGCCGTGACCCAATCAATAATAGCATGTGTATACTTCCAAGCCGCCTCATCATCCACCAAACCCTCCTCACTCTTCACCCTCTGCAACTCCCCATACGCCGGATGAACCACTTGATTCTCGAAACACTCTCGCATAGTCCAGAGCTCTTCTACTTCACTCAAAGTAGATAGCACATCTTCCATACTCCGGTTATAAAGCGGTTCATTCAGCGAGGAAAGGACCCCTTTCGAAACTTTCCCTTCAATAAACATCATCTTTAATGCACCGAAAATTGAAGTAACGGGCCCAACGAGATCCGATGCCCCGGACGCTGATTTACTCGGGAAAGAGAGAACCAGCGAGCCCCCGGGGTTTGTCTCTATTGCTCGGTGGTGGAGGAATTGGAGGAAGTCTTTGTGTGACTGCTCTTGCAGGATTTGATCTGCGTTCGGGATTCGTTGGAGATTCTCGTCCATCATTGGTCGGGTTGCGCTTAGGTGTTGGATGGATGCTAGGGAGAAACCGAGGTCGATCGTGTTTGGTGGGAGGATTTGATTGTAGAAACTTCCTGGGATCATGGTGATGAAGGGTGGTTTAGTGAGATTTTGAGTCCAGTTGGTGATTGTTGTGGAGAGGGTGTTGAAATCATTGTTTGCTTTGTCGTTGAGTATGATTTGGAGGGTCTCTGGCGGAATTGATTTTGTGATTGTTTCTAGTGGTTTTATCCTAAAAGAGAGTTAGAGAGAACAGATTTGAATATAATGTTGGCAGACAACTCACGAGTTCGCGCCTTGTGCTGCTCCATATTCTGCAACTGTCAGGACTTGACCAGCTCGCTGCGATTCTAATGTCTTTGCAGCTTTCTCGATCAGAGGTAAAGCCTGTAACATGACTTCGTGCTGGAGATCGGAATGAGAGCTGTAGACACCGCTGCCCTGCATGGTGACATCGTTGGCCACCGTGGAGGGAGTATAGTCACCCATTTTGCTTGTAAAGCTCAGGTACTGATGTTTGATATGTAGAGGAAGTAGATGAAGACACCCGCGGGGGCAGCTTATATAAAGAAAAGACTCACGGGCTACTTGGGGCTTCTCATGTAGATTCTTGGAACCAGGAATTGCGTACTGAGAATGTAGGTCTTTGAAATAGTGGGGGCAGTTCATGCATGATCTTAATAGTCCCCATGGTCTTGCCGATCTTGCATCTCAGCCTCGGCGGATCTCGGTGGGGCGGAATCCGATAGGATACTTACTGGGTGCTTGACTATACAGTATTATACCAAGTTGACGCCAGCCTGGGCTCAGGACCTGCATCTCCATTCGAAGGGAAAAAGAATGGACACTGGATAATTCTGAAAAGAAAGAAGGTATAGAGGATATGCCTTTCTCTATTGTTTGGTAAACGTGATCTATAGCCTATCACTAAAGTAGAATCGAAAGCCACAGCCGATGTAATGGGATCACAAAATTCCGATAAAGAACTTTCTCTTAGCAGTATTCGATATAGAGAGCATGCTATCATTGACCTATTCTTGGGTTATTTAAGGCTATCATCATGCCTGGCGCAGGAATCGGAGCCTCGACACCGAAACATCAGAATACAGAGACGATAGCCTTAAGACTCAATCTTCAAGATAAGGATATTCTGTATGTAGGATTTCTTATCGCGAATCTGCAATAATAAAGCATACTCATCCTCCTTCGCAACTCGGAAGCTATAGTTGGAAATCAACCAAGTATAGCTCAAAAGAAAAAGAAATTGTCCAAGGAATAAGTGGCAGGATGTTCATCAATATCATAATAATAATTAAAACGCCAATTAAGCCCAAGGATGGGGTGGAAAGATAGGATAGAAGTGCGCAGCTCAAGATTATGGAACGGGAGCGGTGTGCCTATCTAGCAAATATGCCCGAGAATTCAGGTTGGGGGTCCTATGAGCAGGAAGCCGGGATGCTGAAAGTATCAAATTCCCCTTTTTACGACCATAATCTGGGGGATCAAGGGTATTTCGTGGAAACCTTTCTGTGTAAAAAGCGGACTGAACCCCACAGGCTAAGGCCAGTAGCTACCCTGGTTGAATCGGGATGTGGGGAGCATCGGATGCAATGAAGCCAATCAAATGAATCGTGGATAATTCAAATAGGGTAAAATGGGGTTGGTGCCTACTAGATTTAGTGCTCATCTTCAAATCTATGTACTATGGTATATGACGCTGATGATGAATTGGAGGGTTGCTAAATCGACATCACGCAATTGCTAATCCCCCATTACCCCATTAGGTTAGACATAGTAATGAATTGGCTGTATAAACTCACTCACTTGAGTATAAATACCTCTTGTTCGCTTCGTCAGCATCTCTATTTCTTTTGTCCCATTTTATTACGAAGTACTATCATCCTTTCTATAAATTAAAACACCATCATCATGCCAGCTTTAGACTGGCGCCCGGGGAAGCGGGTTGCCATTGTTGGAGGAGGACCTGGGTCAATCTCAACAGGCCTAGCCTTTATCAAGCGAGGCTACGATGTGCGCATCTATGAGCGACAGCCTGAATGCAAAGCCATAGGAGGCGCAGTTCTCTTATCGACTCCTGTCTTGGCTATCCTTCGATCCTATGGTGTGGACCCGGAAGATTTTGGCTCCTATACGGTCACCTATTTCAAGAACAAGTCTGGCGGCGAACGAGTCAAGCTACCATTCAATGCGGAGGTTGAGCGAATTATGGGCATTAAAGGCTGGCACTATGGCGTCCTCCGCTCTTCTATTTTCAAAAAGATGTTGGAGCTTGTACCCGAGGGTGTGATTCATGCAGACCATGAGTTCACTTCTTACGTCGAGCGGGAAGAATTCATTGAACTCTCTTTCAAGAATGGCCACCAAGTCACAGCCGATATCCTCATTGGTGCGGATGGAATTCGATCTATGGTATCACGGCAAGCCTTTGGTGAACCTAACCTTTTCCACACTGGAATTCGGCTCTGGCTTGCCTGGTGTGATCATATCCCCGATATTCCACCCAACGAGGGTATGATTTCACACGACTTCCAATACCAGGCCAGCTTTTTCCCAATGCTGCATGACGGCAAGCCAGGATTCGAGTGGTGGGTGGTTGAGCCATCGTGGGATGGAAAGCCTGTTCCAGAAGATCCTAAGGCACATCTCACTGGGATTTTAAAGGATTGGGCACAGCCCATGCCTCGATTCCTAGAAGCCACCAATTTCGACACTCAAGTGTACCGATGGGAAATTTTCAATCGGCCATCGATGAAGAAATGGTCCACGGGTCGGGTTGTATGCGTCGGCGATGCCGTCCATCCGGTGTCGCCCTATGCAGCGTATGGCATGGGAATGGCAATTGAGGATGGTTACTTCCTTGCTAGAGCACTGGATGGAGTCGACCTGCGGGACTTGCGTGCAGTGAATGCTGGATTCGAACTCTATGAGGAAGAACGGGTCGACTACGTGAATCACAATATGGAGTTTGCTCGTTTCCTGGGCAGAATGTTCCACTCTATTCCTCGGCCTCTCGCTAATATTCGTGATATGATTTTCGACTACACTCCGTTGTTGAGCAATTTCCTTAAGACTGGTTACCTGAAAAAGGCAGAGGAGGAGACACTTCGCCTAAAGGAGCTTCAGGTGGTCTGAGTCTTTTTATGGATGAGATATCTTCGTCGATCCAATGTGAATTAGACCTTCGAGCCTTGCATGAATAGGGAGATCCCAAGTGTTTCAACGGTCCGAAAACTGAATTGCGAACTCTGATAGACCACGGAGTGCGTGCCTTAATTAACTGACCCCATTTTGTACTTTACATACTACTATTTCCTGTATTTGTGACTTTTTGTCTAAAAGGCAATTTAGTTGACTATCTGCATCATCAAGGCTTTAAATAGGATCATGCTAGCACTACAAGAAGGTTTCGTGACACTATAACGCTAAGCCTACCCAGGGATGCACTTTACAAATAGAAAATGCCCTGGTATATCTGATACCTATCCTTATGCATATAGAGTGGTAGTTTAAAAATTTAGAATAAGAGATAGAAAGAAAGACCTGACTAGATACGCTTTAACCTTCCCTATTTCTAAATATTTTTCAGAATGTCTTTTGAATTATCTTTTTAGTTATCTTTTTAAATGTCTTTCTAAAGACTCTAGTAATATTTCTCGAATTATCCTTTAACCTATGACTGATAAGGTGGTTTGGAAGTTGGGTTAGGGGTTTCAAACGGACGGAACTCTACTATATAGGCGTACCTAAGTCAACCGCTATCCTGGAGGCCCTTAGTGTCATTATAATACTTTGTACTCGTAAGGTTCGTTTAATTAGGCCTAGCGTCGTAGTTTCATAAATGCTTTTTGTCGTGCTATGAGTATGATCCTTTAAATACGTACACGATTTGGAATTCCTGCATGGTAACCAATAGCTTGAACTCCCCATTGTCACCCTCCCACTCGGTTCGTTTGATCCAGACTTCTACCCTGTAGTACTACTTGCATGTATTGAATAACCTAAACTTGTTCAGAATTTCCAGTCCTTCAACCATTTCCCTATTTTGATATCCCCATCTTTGTGCGGGGCAATCGTCCCGATTCATCGCAGGATCGAACATCTCCCGGAGGCCCCAGCGTCTCGACCAGGCATCCACAACGTCATCAGCCAGGTCGCACTCTATTCTCACACTTCGTGCTTATTCTCGTGCATATTTTACCATCCACTGTATATACCGTACTCCGTACATAACTCATCATGACAGGATCGCCAGTAAAGCGCAGCTTCGCAGGAGCCACTCTAGACTACCTCGGAGCCCGCTTCGTCGGCGCCGGCCCCGAAACATGCAGTTACACCACCCAAGCCATTCAAATCCCCCTACGAGACGGTGTTGAACTGGCTGCCGACCTCTACGAACCAGAGCTACCGGACGGCCAAGCACCTGCCGGTCTCATCCTGATTCAGTGCTGCTACGGTCGCGGTGCAGGTATCTCCTTCCTCAACGCCCGAGTCTTCGCTGCTCGAGGCTTCCAAGCCCTCTTCGTAAGCACGAGAGGAACATATGGCTCCGGCGGGATATTCGATCCTGGCAGCAATGAACAGTCTGATAGTCAAGATATTGTGGTGTGGATGCGTCAGCAGCCCTGGTATCACGGCTCCTTTGCGACGCTGGGCGCGTCTTATCTTGGTTACAGTCAGTGGGCACTTTTGCATGATCCCCCAGCGGACTGTGTCGCTGCGGTGATCCCCGTTGGGCCTCATGATCAAGCGTGGCATACGTGGGGCACGGGCTCGTTCCGTCTTGACCGTGCCTCTTGGAGTGATATGATGTCTAAGAAGGAAGACGAGAAGGGCAGTTTCCTCTCGCTGCTGGCTAATTTACCTGGTTTGAGCTTTTTGCGGTCGCCGGAGCTTGATCGTGCGGTCGCTGGGCTTCCATTGGAAGATAGTTTGAAGAAGTACTTTGGTGACAGGGCTCCGTGGCTGTTCGAGTACTTGCAACATCCTGATGTTGAGGATATTTACTGGACCTCACGCCGACACCAGATTGCCCTTGACCGGGCGAAGATTCCTATCCTGCTGATCAGTGGTTGGTACGATACGTTCACGACGCAGACAATGCACCAGTTCAAGCACCTGCATGACCGAGGCGTGGATGTGAGCCTCATCGTTGGCCCATGGACACACGTCCAAGGCTCGGGTCTCCATTCGACCCCAGACATGCTAGACTTCCTCGCCGAACGTCTCGCCAAAAATGGAAAATACAAGTATCCGCCAGCTCGCATCTTTATCACCGGCTCTGAGGAATGGCGCTCAATGCCTACCTGGCCTCCACCGACTCAACCCAAGACGCTATATCTACAAGAAAATAACAGCCTTGCCTTCAAGCAGCCTATGCAGGACGCAGGCCCAGCATTCTTCATCTTTGATCCCTTGGATCCTACCCCCAGTATCGGCGGCAATCAAATGTCTGCCGGTGGACGGGTAGACGACAGCGCCTATGCAGACCGATCAGACGTGCTAGTCTTCACGAGCGAGCCTCTATCCGAGGACCTCGAAATTCTAGGTATTCCATCTGTTCATCTGATCCATACCAGTGATCCGCCCTTCGCAGACCTATTCCTGCGAATCAGTGAAGTCGATGACCGTGGCGTATCCCATAATATCACAGAGATGTACAAAGCACTTGATCCTTCGCGCGATACCTCTCAGCCTCTTATTTTGGACTTGCAAGACTGTGCTCATCGGTTCCGCGTGGGGACGAGAGCGAGACTCATTGTTGCAGGCGGGTCATTCCCAATGTATGCGCGAAGCCTGGGGACTGCGGAGAATCGACTGCGGAGTGATAAGACAGCCCCTCAGAAGCATACTATTACTATTTCTGGCGGGGTGTCGCAGCTTATTTTGCCGGTAAATGCTGCTGTCTAACTCCTGTTCGTTGTCTGGCGATATCTGAACAATTTGTCGGGGGTGCGTTAAAACCATGTGCATGCCTATGATGAGAACTTTGTGGCCCCAGTCCAAATAGCTATTACCTGGATTACGTTTATGCAATGAGAATATGGCAATAATTCATAACTCGTACAAGAGAGTTGTAGCGCCGGGACATGCTTATATTCGTACATGGCGACTACCTAAATGCAAGTAAAAGAAAAAGTGGGTGCGGAAACCAGTTCACGATCACCAAGAATGTAATTTAGTCCTTCCAGTCGTGCCAGAATTCATAGCTCATCACCGTGTGGTCACAATACAGAAGCATTAATCTGTAGTGGCGGGACGGATGCCAGCCGTCCCAGCGTTCCTGCGGATGATAAGCGCGAGAGGCATGGGCGTGAAGTTCTGGGAGGGTATAATTTTGGTTGTCATTGTTTGATTCTGTCGTATTGGAGTGTGTCTCCGAGGGCGCTTCGTCTGATTCGGATTCAGAGCCAGAGGGTGAATGAGAATCCTCATCGTCGTTGTCAGACTGGGAGTCATGTGTAGCATGAGAAGGGTCTGTCTTAGCAGACGGTTTGGATATGGAAGGATCGGGTGTTGTAGATGAGGGCGAAGAAGGAGTGTCGTCTTCTTCAGGATTGAGGATGCGGTAGTTAAATTGAAGCCAATCGTCAGGGTCAACACCACGCGGGATGGAGGGGACATCCGGCGGGATTTCGTACCCTGGCATAGGGCTGACAGCCATACCAAGGAGTGGGATCATAGGCCGTTCATCGCTACGCTCTTGGGTATGGAATGGAACGATCCAGTCGAGGCGGAATGCATAGCCAATCTCTTCTTGCCAAGTAAGAGATATGATCGCCACGCGGCCTTTCTGTGACGCTGCAACCACGATTCCAAGCTCGGGAACGTATTTGACCATGTTGAAGCGATCACAGGCGGAGCTCATTTCGACAGTGAAAGAGAAGCGTTGGAATAAAGGATTTCGACTGAGGAGATGGTAGTCTGAGTCGATTGGGTAGGGCGCCATACTGATATGGTGCTCAGAAAAGTGGATGGTAGGGAAGAATTGGGGAGGATGGACGGCTGCAAGGATTAAATTAGCTTGTTGGTTCGCAAAATTTTGCGATTCTTAATCAAAGGGGTACTCACGATGTACAGGCCTTTCTGTGAAAAGCTTGAGGCTGTGGTCGGAGAAACCCTCCAAGTCATAGACAAAGTCTGGGTGCAGACAAGGTGATGTGTGGAGCTGGTCGCTCTCCTCATAAAGACTTGCCAGGGGGCGTTTGACTCGTACCACCCGGTCTGATGAATCAACACTTGAGGCATCGTCGAATTCTGAATCAGTGACCAATTCCCCTTCGACGTCAGCCTCGCGCTTATCACCAACCGCGTTTCTGGGTCCCGAATCCGACTTCAAGTCCGTTCGAGAATGCTGTTCTACCCTAGACCCGGCTGAGAAAATGGTATCAGGCAAGCACTGAACTTGGCGATTCAGATTTCGCGGGCGTTTGGAGCTGATGGCGCCGAATACGAATATCTGCGACGCATCTCGCACACCTTGGATGGCCCTAGACACATCCAGGATCGTTCTAGATGCGAGTAGCACAGAGCCTGGCTCACATCCGCATGCGTCCTCTTTCGTCTGGTGGCGTTTGAAGGTTCTTGGGTCCAGGGGTATGACAGTCCACCCCCTCTGGGGAGGATTGTTCAACGGGTGACCGGGATAATATACCCTGTATGGACCGAGGTCATCCCATATACGCCAAATTATGACCCGATTGCTGATATCAGTGCTGGTCATCCATGAGCCATTGGAATCCAAGTCAAAGTTGGCAAAGGATATGTGTGGGATATTGTCGAAGTGACCCCTATATGTTAAGCGTAGATTGCGTGAACGGTGGTTACGAGGCATAGACCTCTGTAATTCCCGCAACTGCTTGATATTATGAATAGAAATCCAGGTCTGGTCAGACTGGGTGGTGTTCAGACCGTCTGAATCGGGATCTGAGGCAGGATCATCCATGTCTTCTGATGATGGGTCTACCAAGGCGAAGGCATAGACTGTGATCTGGCCAGTGTTCGCGCTAATAGCAATCAAACGGGCAAACTTGTGAGTTGCAAGGCCCCAGGCGCTCATGCCGACATTTTCCACAAAGAATGGAGTCACTTCGGCGCCATCAAACGGCCGTTTGTAACCGCTTTTGGCGCATCGCTTCAAGGCGGAAAAGATTGCCTCGACATGGTATCCGCAGACGTTGCCGGAATCGGTTGCCAACAGCAGGACCTCGTCACGACCTAGCTCATCCACAATAATATTGTTGATGGTATGCGGATTCGCCGGATCAATGTAACCATCGGCTTGGGGGTGCTTCATGACTGGTTTGATAATCATCTCGGCCTGAGAACCCAAGACCTGGAAAGGACCCGATGGGATCCACACATAGATATCGGATCCATGCGCTACGAAGAGAAGGTTGCGCCGCTGGGAGGAAGCCGCCTATTGAATGAGTCAGTAAGGGAACATTGGGCTCGAAAGCTTTTAATGACGATCTCACGAGATTGCTTCTCCAGGTGGCCACCGGAGGACCAAGGACGTCATTTTTACTATCCAGCTCTATCAGTATATTTCATGACCAGCAATGCCGGTCTACACCTACACGGAGAACTGCCTTGGTCAGTTGAAATCCCTCACGTGAGACATGTAAGGGATATCACGCACTCGTTGTTCTTCTTTTTCAACACTCAAAGCTTGGAGTCGAGGTCTGAGGGAGTCTTGAAGAGAGAAGAACTCCGATTCGGAACTTGCAGGGCTGTGAAAGGCCATGTCCCCCAGGCTAAAGGTGCCTGTCGCCAGTAACCGAGCTTGGGTTGTAGTATGTCCACGGATCTGCGCGGGGGAAGTTGAAGAGGGAGAGAACGGGAGGACGGGGCGTCGGGTGTAACGTTGTCATTGCCAGGGACCGGTAGTTCTGAAGAAAAGGAAGAGAAAGCCAAGGGAGTATTACAGAAGGACATGTTCAAGCCAAAACACGGAGGGTCGTTATTATCAGCGACAGCGGGGGACAGGCAAGTGTGGAGCAGCCGATGATGAAATCCACTCGCTCACCGCCTTCCTCTGCCATCTGGATAATCTAAGCTTTCATCGACATCTCCCCAATTTCAACATCGCCTTTCACCTGTCAAAGATGGATTTGGTTGCAGGAGTCCGGAAAGAAGGCAGCCGGTGAGTAGTGCTCTTCTTGCTCCTATTGGATCGTTGACCTTGTGTACTAACCAACTTATCCATACAGCGGCGGCCGCGGCGAGTTCAAATGGTCCGATGTTCAAAACTCGAGCCATCGCGAAAACTACCTAGGCCATTCGGTGATGGCCCCCGTCGGCCGATGGCAACAAAATCGCGATCTCTCGTGGTATGCCAAGGGCGACGCAGATGCCGAGGAGGAACGGGCTCGTCAACAACGCGAAGAGCTCCAGCGTGTCAAGGAAGCGGAGGAGGAAGCCATGGCCCGCGCACTCGGCCTACCAATCCCACCCAAGGCCGAGGAAAACGCCAATCTGACGCCACTAGGAGAAAACGCAAAGACACAAGTGAAACCAGATGAGACTGGGGGGAAGGAATCAGAAAGAGAATCGCAAGGGGATCGAAGACACAGACGTGATCGCAGCCGGAGTCCACATCGGGAAAGACGCAGAGATCGCAGTGATGACCGTGCCCGAGATAAGGAGCGAAGACACCGCAGACATCATGATGGCAACCGAGAAAGGAATCGTGAAAGGGATCACGATCGAGATCGTCATCATCGAAGCCGCCGACACCGGTCTCGCGACAGAGATCACCATAGGAGACGATCTCGCTCTCGCGATCAAAATGACCGAAGAGAGGAGACTAGGCATCGGCGGGTTGAGCGAAGCCAATCACCAACTGGAGGTAGACGCGAACCTGAACGCCGCAGGGACCGAGATGACCGCGACCGGCGACATTGATTTATGACATACATGATATCCATTAATTCCAATACAATATCACTGGAGCAATCTTGCCCCAGGCTCACGATTTCCACAAGAACTCGACATGTTAATCTACCTAGGTGGGAATATCAGAAAGTACAACAATTCTTTCACTATATCTCTTCGTTGAAAACGGCAGACTTCGAGGGTTGGCACGTAGCCAACAAAGTCACGTATGCAATGATCATCGCTATCTAATGCATGCGAAATGCATGTGACGACAAGCTAATTTACATCAAATGTCGATGCCTCACAGCTCATCGTGAGAGGTCTGTTTGCTCTCAGGCAGATCCGGCATGGACATCACGTTCACCACCAGACTGGTCCAGCCAGTAAAGTGCTGAGTGCGCTGTCCCTTGCCCGTCTCGGGGTTATACTGTTCCCAGGCAAATCCAGTGCTCTTCCACTCACGGAAAATGTTCTCGACCAAGTTCTTCCGCAGCTTCGAGTACATCTCCCGGGCCTGCTCCTGGTGAGGGCCGGAGACAAGAGCGGTGTCCTGCAGAAAGGCGAGCGTTAGCATGATATGGAAGAATGCTGCATGGAGGGAGATCCGACTTACATATAGGTTCTTCAGCACCAAGTAGTTGATAGGCATCCAAACAGGGCTTCGCCAGTAGTTCTCTTCCGTGCCGTAGTATTGGTCCTTCTTGCTCAGACTGCGAATACCGTAGTCGCTCCACAACTCCTCGGGATCGTTGATCAGGTCCAAAACAGCCTTCAGATGAGGGCTGTCGGGGCCCAGCATGCCGGTAAGGAAGGGGAAGATAGAGATGTAGCCCTTGTGGCAGACATGAACGCTCTCCTCATACTCATCGATGGTCGCATCACAGAAAGTCTGCTCCTTCTCGTCCCAGTGCAGGTCATCAATGTTCCGGGTAATGGCATTCTCATAGTAAGCAAACTCCTCGGCATCTTCCACCTCACCCAAGTATTCCGCAATGCGGCGTAGAGTGCGGGTCATCATGCCCATCCAGCTGATGAGATCCACATGCAGCTCACCGGGGTGCGGTGGCTGGGGACGGGGGTAATCGTCAATGCCAGAAGTCAGGATGTGTTGCACGGAACGTCCACGCCAGCGGTAGCCTTCCTTGCTAGAAAAGGCCTCACGATCATATGACTTGATGTCTCCGCGCTGAGTGCTACGGTACCACGAGTAGTGTCTCTTCATCAGAGGGTAGAAAGAGCGCAGATAGCCATTGGCCAATTCTGGGTTTCGCAGGGTAGCAGAGCGCAGGCTCTCGGCGGGATCGTTGTTATCCAAGCTCTCGGACTGGACGCTTTTGTTGCTCTTCGCCTTGTCCATGAAGGCTTCCAAAGCCATGAACAGGGTGGGCGGGTTAGCGTAGTGGGGATACTGGACAGTGAACTCCGCGGGAACCTTGCTACGAGCTTCCTGTCCCAAAATCTGCTCACGGGCAATCCATCCATCCTCATCCATCAAATGGAACCAGCTCTTGATGATCTCAAGCCTAAGAGATGTGTTAGCCTTCTTTCTGTGAAGACAAGGGATTCCGTCACTTACGCAAGGTCGGAGTCATATTCCATTACAGGCATCAGGTGGAAACCCTCATCCCAGAGGAAACCTCTTGGGAAGAACGGCCGGGAAGGAACGCAAGTAAAGAGATCCTTGGCTCCCTCCATAACTGGCTGAGCTGCTGCGCGAGCCTCGGCAGTCTCCTCCCAAAAGCCTTCATTCTCCTCATCATATGCTGGAGAGCCAGAGCGGTCAACAACGTCGTCACCGTGGAAGAATCCAATACCACCGACCAGGTTGGAAAGCATGGCCCTGGAGAAGGTAGAAAACTCGTCATCAAGGTCAAAGGGCGCCTTGGGGGCGAGGACTTCCTTGTGCCTCTCAGAGAAAGAGAGAGAAGCATCCTTGAGTTCCTCGGTAATAGTCTCCGCTATATCGTTTATTAGAATCATAACAGAATATACGAGTGGGTAGACTTACAAGTCAGAGGCTTAGGGGCGGAACCAGAGGAAAAGAGGACGTCGAACTAGAATAGATCAGTGAGGAGTTTCTTCAAAATTCATGTCCACGCTTCATACCTCAAAGGGACCCTTGAAGACCTTCTGAACAAGGTGGACATTGCCATCTCCAGGCGCATGTTTGATAGTGAACAGCTGGGCTGGGTGCGGCGGGTTATCAGGTCCAAGCTCCTTAATGGCCTCATCAACCTCGCCCTTCATCTGCGTAAACAGAATGCCTGAAGCGAAATAGATCAATAAAAAGGTATTGAAAGTGACATATCAGTGAGACACACCTTTAGCTTGCCAGAGATGCTGCTGCGGCATAGTTGCGCTAGACACAAGACCGTGGCCCAATGGCTTGCTCTCGTCACTGGGGCGATTGACCTCAAAGTACTCGTTGCTGCTCGGGCCGTCGGTGACATCAATGGTGAAGTCACCCAGTTCTGAAGAGTAACCATTGAACCTCAAGTCGCCCTCCAGCGGTGCGCCTTCGGACACGGTGTCCATGTCCACACCAAGCTGGCCCAGTCCTTCGAGAGTAGTATAGAAGACCACCGAGACGGGCTGGTCCGGGCTACCATCCTCGCGAGGAACACCCTTCACACGGAAGCCCCAGCTGCCTCCATGTTGGCCACCAGGCACCTTGATGAAATCGATCGTAAGGTCTAGAGTATTGCCAGCGTCGTGAATTGTCTCACGTCCACCCTTTCGGATATCGTATTCGTCCCAGCCATATCCAGCCATGCCCTCATTCTGCTCGCAGGTGTGCCTAAAGTCTGCATCGGGGGATCAGCAATTGTTCATGTTCAACGCAATTCGAAGAAGAAAAGAGATTATGACATACTCTGCTGAACTGTACCGAAGTCGTCGACCTTGGCCCACATCAATCCTGCAGCCAGACTGTTCGCAATGCGAGGTCGCACTCCAAAGTAGAGGTTTGGTTTGTAGGGACCCCATAGCAGCGACTCGTTGTTGGCGCGCGCGGCCTCTTTGATCAAGACAGAGACGTCATTGGGATCTTGGCTAGCAAGGATCCCAGTCGCATATAGTAGCGACGTTAGTAGAGCGGAGAACCTTAGATGATGCATGATCGATTGCATCACTTAAGGAACTGGCATTGGAAGGTGGACAAGTTGGCAACAGTGGGCGGAGCTGGCTGTTCTCTCCGCAATTACGTGGCCCGAGCTCTCCGCGGCGAGCATGCGTTACGTAGTACTGTAGGCTATTTCCTTACAACGACAATTAAACAATCACCAAAAACATAATTTTGAATAAATAGGCCTATATTAATCGAGTCTTCTTCTTTAGTATATAATATAATGGCTATGTACAGGCTATATTCAAAGCTGGTTACGAGGATCCAAAGACGCGATCTTTGCACTCTTGGCCTCTCCGTCAAACACGAATTCGCTCATGAGCTTTCCAGTACCAGGGCCATTCTGGATACCCCAGCAAGTATGACCAGCAGCGAGATAAAGACCCTTGGTATGGGTCAAGCCCACCAAGGGACCTCCGCCATTTTCACAATTAGGCAAGTAGCAAGCCTGTCTTGTCCGAATCTTGCCATCGCGCAGCGCATCCGAGATGCTACCAACTTGATCAATGATCTCCTGGCAGCGCTCGGGGTCTACCTCGACTTCTGCAGATGCCTTCGGCAATGGTACAGTCTTGTCTCCGTCGCCACAGGCATAGACGGTGTCGTCGGGACGAGTGTAGATCTCTGGTGCTGCCACTGTTGGTCGTGATTTCTTTGCAGGGTTAAAGTTGGCTGGGATCTCAATGTTTGTAAAGAGAGCATATGCGCTGACGGGCCTTGCCGGTTCGATAACAACGCTGTGCGCACGCATTGCCGCAATGGGGGCTTCTGGAAGGACAGAACGGGTCCATGGGCCAGCGGCGACTATCACATCGGTGGCAGGGATAGTGCGTGACTCTCCAGATGTCTTATCAGTATAAGTAACGGACTCGACAGTGTCGCCTGGACGAGCAATATCGGTGACCTGTCCCAGGATAATCTCTGCGCCCTTTTCTTCCGCCAATTTTGCCATGGAGGTAGTGAATAGGTATGGGTGCACCTGAGCCGTCTCTCCGGGCCCGCTCATGCTCTCATAGGCACGCAGAAGGTCTGGCTCAATCCAATCAAGATCATTTGGGATCTTGGCCGATTTGAGCTTGGAGACTGCGGCCGTACTGCGCTTCTGTAGGGACTCGCCTTTTTTCTTCTGACTCTTCTCAGTCATAGCGCGACCCTTGACAACGAGCTGACCGCAATTGGTCTCCCGATACCCCCATTTGTTCTTCCCATCATGCTCCTTTGCAAGTTGTGCGTGAAGCGTGAAGCTAAGATCGACGATGTTGCTCGGGTAAGCCCATTGCGCGAGAAGTCCGCCCGCTTTACCCGATGCCCCGCCTGCAATGTCGGAGGCCTCGAGGAGCGTTACTTTGTGATGTGCTGGATCGTAGGAAGGATGCCTCGTGAGGAAATACGCTGTGCAGCAGCCAATGATGCCACCGCCTGGAGTTGACAGATCCGCGGTCAGCTATGTCTATCCCCAGGAAAGCTATGCGCGCGGGGTACTTGGAAATGCTGGCAATGCGGACTAACCAACAACGACAATTTCACGGCGATCGCCCGTGGCTGGCATTTTCGCTATCGGCGCGATCTTGGAAGCAAAGAATCGTAACGAAGCCACGTCGTGGTGAGAAGGAGGAGGACTGGTAAAGAATAAAGAAGGGAACCGGTGTTGGTAAACGTTGGGCTACGTCACTGCGATCAGGACTTCCCCAGTCATGTGCTGTTGTTTAATCTAATCAGTCCAGCCTACGAATAACTAGTAGGTAAGCTACACTTTACGCTGCTTCTTTCGCTTTACGATGCTCAATTTCCCATAGATAATGTGGCATTCGAAATCAGAATTTTTGCCGTAAAATAGTTAAAAAAAACCAGGATACCATGCTCCGCGAAATGCAAATTGTGCTGAGAAGAAGGACAGGACCAAGAGGAGAAAAAAAATAGAGCCGTCCCTGAAGATATAATGCGAAAGCCAAAATAAAGTTTTGAAAATGAATCACCTCGACGGGCTGAGCGGCCGATTGAAACCGCCTGTGCGGTTCATGTACTGGCGATACTCGCTCTTCTTCTCCTTGCGCACACCGTAGATGTCGTTTCCAGGAACCTTGGTGTTTTTGGTAGTTCGGAATCTGGTAAAGCCCATGCTTTTTCGCATCATCGCCTCCATCTCATCCTCGTCGGCATCCTCCTTGAAGTCCACATCCATTTCCTCCGCATGGCGACCGGCACTAGCTGCGCCGTTCGCCGTTCGCCCATCATCCCGAGACCGGGGATCTTTGCGATCAGGGCGGCGGTCGCCTTTAGGTCCTCGAGGGGGTGGAGATCGAGATCGAGGTTTTGTGCCATTGCGGCCGGGTGATCGTGAGCGTTCGCGGAACTTGTCGCCCTTGCCGGCATAAGCTGTTTGCGCATCTCGAGTTAGAAGAATTCTGGTCACCCAGACGAAGGCTAGTGCTTTAGATGGGTTGGATTTACCTCGTCGATCGTACCCACGTTCCCTGCTACCACTCCTCATGCGGTCTCGAGCTCCACGTCCGTCTCTATCTCGATCCCTCCGGTCTCGATCGCGGCGATCTCGAGACCAGCTCCTTTCTCGCCTTCTATCATTACGATCTCGAGAGCGCGAGCGATAGCGGCGGTCTTCACGAGGACCGTCGCGTCGGTCGTCTCGGGGATGTGGTGAGCGTCTGCGGCCATGGTCCGAGTCTTGCTCTGCGGGGACGGCGTGAGAGTCGTTCTTCTCCCACATGGTACTGCTGTCGACGCGCCGAGCGCGTTTGGCGGGGGTTCTGCCATCGTGGTAGCTTGAGATGACTGTGATGTCTCGGGCAGGAAGGTCGTGTGGCGAGGTTGCGGCGATTGAAAGGAGACAAGATGGTGAGATGATTTCACGTCTCTCAGGTGTGCAAAATTGCGATGGAATTAACGGATAGTACAAGAACGCATAATTAAGAGAAATCGAGATTGGGGGGTATCAAGTCGTCACAATGGAAACTGCCAGCTGCGCTGGCGGAAGAGAGAGAAGTTTATTCCGGTCACCCAGATCACCCTTTTGCGCAGTTCCCAGTATGGGCGAAAGTTTAGTAGTAATAAGACTTTGAATTTCTTGGGATTCAACCTTTTATTAAAACGAAAATTAAATCTGGAGGGGTGTTGATTTTGTTATTTGATACTGGATATTACAGAGCCTATTCAAGTGGATTTGTTAAATTGTGAATCATATTCTGGGGTCACAATGAGGACGAAATATATCCACCGTAGAGAAGGTGGGGGTAGTCGGACAACGTTGATGCAGGTGGGCATAGGTATACCTACCTTTCATCGCAATATGCCTATGAAGAGCTGTTGCACAATTTCAGCACAAATTTTTGACAGAGTCAAGGACTAGAAATTTACCTATATGACCTTAAAAGCTTCAAAAGGCCAACAAGCATGGAACTATAACCTCACTCTTTACAAAATCACGGAAGATGCTACAGATTGGCAGGAAGCTGACCATGGACAGGCCGTAATTCCATCATCCAAAAACGACTTGATACTATTTCCGACAAGGCTGTTTCTATCAGTGGAAATACTCAACCATGTGAAGTTAAATTCAACCATTCTAGCCAAGAATATCAGAAGGCATAGGCAAAGTGATCGTATTCTGCGCCTAGAAAAACTAACACAGGCGTGGCTTTTGATCATCGAACGATGACTAAAATCCTGAAAATTATATAGTGTTAACTGCCTATATTCAAATGATTTCGGGTCTGATCTTCTGACTCAACCGATGGTAGCTTCTACCGCCAAAGCATCTTCACGAGGGTAGAGAGGAATGTGTTTGAGTAGAGCGGTGTCAAGGCAAGGAACTAAAGGTGCTGTAAAGTATTCTCTAGTCAAATAAGATAACTGAAGGAGTCGCAATTAAGAAGCCTAAAGACTGTCGGATGGGAAGTATATGCCGCAATTGTATTCTGTAGACTCTGTACTCGTGAACTCGCTGTTTGACCGTAGACGACCTTATAGCTGGGGTACCAACCTCAGCGCTTGGAACTACAGAAGGCCTGCCAGGGTGTATTTCTTGGGCGAGTGTATTACATTCAAAGTTCTGTATAAGCAATCCCCAAAGCATTTCATGGGAAGGGAATTCCTCTACCGGCGCGCTCCAGCTATGGGACGAGAGGCGGCCGAGACTTGTTAGTACTCGACAGATTTATTCTGCGAGATGTATGAGCCCTATCACATTCATTGAGTTTCTGACACGTACCTATTCAATAGAAGAACGATAAACCGCCTGGAAATTGTGTGGTTCTCAACAAGAAAGACCTTCTCAAGAGCTGGCCATGCAGCCCCACGGGCCGACCCGTCGAGCCCCAACTTTAAATCTCACCGTGAAATTTTCGCAGGCCCAACTACCCCACTTCAGTTGCCCTCGTCCTCCCTGCAGCAACCAGCCACATCTCTCGCCACATACAGCCATGGCTCCAGTCAACTTGTCTCATCGAAGGACGCATAATTTGCTTCTGATCTCGAAGCTATTGAGCCTAAGGGATACGGCCTCCCCGCTCACGCTCCTGCAGGATTCATTGGAGCAACCCGCCACACCCCTCATCAAGGAGTATATTAGGCGCGCTAAGGTAAGCTAAGCTGTCTAGTCCCTCTAAATAGGGAATGCATCGTATGATTACATAGCAGGACATCCTAAGACGATGATGCTGACCATATGTATAGCTCTCCAAGGTGCATGTCACCTTCGTTGCATTTGAAACATTGAAGAAACCGGATGGAGTCGATGCATTTGTATCAACCCGTCGAAAGAGTCCAGCCGAAATTGCCAAGGAGGTTGCATCAGTTTATCAGCCTGCCGCAGCGACGGGGCCAACACGGCGTGAGTTATGACGAGATTACTTAACACCATCAATTGATTCCTAGTCCAGCTAATCAAAGTCTACAGGCCGTCTTATTATAATCGATGCGATCAACCCTCTCCTAAGCTCGAGGAGATTGGACCCTGGGTTCCACCTCCCATCTTTCCTCGGCTCCTTTATCGCACCTTCAGGTCCATCGGCTGGCAAGGCTGAAGCTTCGCTGGTGGTGACATATCACCAAGATGTCCCTGCCCTGCCTCAGCAGAATCCGTACTCATCACCGCCGTTGTCAGTCTTGACCTATCTTGCGACAAGTATTATCACCCTTCATTCATTCTCCCACATCCTAGCTCAAAAGGCCGCCCGTGATCGCAGTTTGGCTGCTCCGGTATTCGGCCTCGAGGAAGAACAAGACGGTGTCCTTCTTGGCCGACTGGATAAGCTGGCTGGCACCGGCGCCGCAGAGGGTATCGTGCTGGAGCTTGAGCACCGGCGCAAGAGTGGGCGTGGAGTTTTGGAATGGTATCTCCTCCCCCCTGCATCGAGGTATTCTCCTCAGTACGTGAAAGAGGTCGTTACATTACTGGATGACAATATCCTGTACAATCCTCCTATGGAACCGGATACAAACCCCGATGATGACGAACCCAAGTCGACATTCGAGCTGGGTCTAACAGACCGACAGAGGCGGGACAGAGAGGGTGTCGTCTTGCCATATTTTGATGCTCAGCATGGAGACGGTCCTGGTGAAGGAGGTCGGATTCTCTACGACATGGGTGAAGAAGACGACTTTGACGAGGAAGAAGATGAGATCTAGAAGATATGAATTCGAAATTCTACAATACCCTACGAGATTACGCGTTCTGGAGTTTGCACACATTTCTGCATTCTAGAAAGATAGGTGGATCGTGTCCTGCAATCACCTGGAGGTATTAACTATGCATACATTCATACAAAAAGGGGGCCCAAGATTGGGGAAATTGGGGAGGAAGAGCGCTCAGAAGAACCGCCACCACAGCAGAATAAGCACGACAAACCCGACGCCGGCGAAAGGCCCGTACTGCGACACAATTAGTCACTCCAGTCCAGCCCAACAAAGCTCGGGGACTATCTTACCTGCTTCACCAACAATTCCCAGTTGATGCGCACTGCTGCCTTTCGATACTTCTTACTGTCCTCTCGCAGCCGGCCGGACAACTCGCCCATACGCTCCAAGCTATCGCCTCGATAGAGCAGGTCCTCAATGTTCTTGGTCATGACCTTGGTGACGTCGCGCAGCTCGTCGTTCAACTTATCCAAGTTTTGAGAGGCCCGGCTATCTTGGTACAGCTTCTTGGTGCGCTGGATGAAAGTATCGAACTCGACAAAAGCATACGGACGGAGTGTGGGGGAGTGGTATTGTGACTGAGTGTAGGTGGTGGTGAATTCGGAGGCCAGATCAGCGAGATAGGTGAAGGCGAGTTTGCGGGGGTAGGAGCGGTCGCAGATGCAGAGAAAGCAGACATCGTCTTGGATCATGTAGCTATAACTTGGTTAGCGATCAACTTCCTTTGACCACGGTAGACTTTCCCCACTTACTGGAGGTTGTATTGTCCAGACTCGATGCTAGCCTGAGGAGCGGAGTTCCGATTCAATCGCCGGAAGATCATCTTGGCCTGGCCCTTAATCTCAGCCAGCTCCGACTCGGCCTATAAAGAAATCTCATCAGTCTGAGAGTCTAGATAATCATTATCTTGGAATGCGCCCTCACCTGCTCATCGTCCACCGAGGCAGCCAGCATAAGGCCTGTTTGCGCATAAATCAGCTTTGACGATCCCTCACGCAACTTTGACTTCTTCACCTACCATCAAGCCGAGCAATCTGAGTTGACTTTACCATCTTGACGACTTCTGAACCGAGAGACGGCAGTTGAATCGCTCTTGTTTAGTTTCCAGGAACGATCAATCGGCCAGAATGGCTACTGGAAGAGGGGCGGTCACAAGCGGCAGAAGGGGCAGCCGTTCGGGGTGAGCTACGAATGATCCACGGGGGGCTTTGTTCAATCTGGACTAACTCTAGCTCTCACAATTCTATGCTAGACGAGCTACTGCTGCCCGTGCTGGCCAGGCCAATGTAGCAGAACAAAAGCTCCTGGAAATGTCATCGCCAGCATCTTCTCCAGCATCTTCAGCTCCAAGCCCTCCGAAGCGAACTCCCCGAAAGGCCGCGCCTCGGGGCAAGTGGAGCGAGGAGCAGTTGTTGACGAGCGACGAGTCCGTCCTTATCGATGCTGACCTAGTGGTATGCACTCCCAGCCCTCCTTTCAGCAATGAAGCAAAAATGAGTTGCGAAGCTAATAGCACATCTATCGCGAAATTATAGAAGATCCTGGCTAGACCCGAAACATGGGACATTCTTGAAGAAGACGAGAAACGCGAGATTCTAGCTCTCCTCCCCGCAGATACCCACCCAGCTTCAGAGCTTCCACCAGACGACATCGACGCAAAAATCCCCCCACTTCCGGATTCGTTCGTTCGTTACTCTAATAACTGGCGTGATGGCATTCGCCAGTTTCAAATTGATCTCCAGAACGGCCGATTCGACCCAGAATGGCTGCGCCAGGCTGAGACCGCGCGGCGGAAACGGGAGAAGGGCGACTTTGACTCCTTCAAGGAGCGCGAGTTCGAGAAGTTCTGGGGTCAGAAGCAGAGGACCGACATGTCTGTGATGTCGGGGGAGAGCTCAAAGATCAAGCTCACCCAGCTTATTGAAGCGGGTGTCTTTTTAGTTGGGGATATCTGGCGGTTCGGCTACGTCTGGGGCAAGGGACCCGACCGAGTGACTATCGACAAAGAAGTCAGGGTATGGACCCTTCTACCTTGCAGCCATGGAACTCGCTAATCTTTCGCAGATACATGAAATCAAGGGCCAAAAGCTTTCGTTCGTCGTCCCTACCGGTCAACGGGTCTTTCTCCACTCGCATGCGGTCACCAAAGAGCGAAAGGCAGATTCTCTCCAATACAATGACTATGACATGGATATCCCTCAAAAGACAGAATCTTCAGTGAATGAGGCATCTGAATCAAAACCTAAAGAAGAGTTCTGCGCGACCGACAACCTGCAGATAGAGGAGCTTCAACCTATGGAAGGTCTCCAAGAAACGAATACAACTCTAAAGCTGGAAGAGCCAGTTCCAGAAACCAAGCAAGAAGATCCTACCGATGGTGAGGCACTGAGAGTGCCAGCCAAACCGGAAGCAAAAACCCACAATGAGAATGGATCGGTCCAAGTTGTGATCGTTAGCCCACGGCATAATTTGACTACGGCCGAGCAGGGATTCAAACGACCGGCACTACTTCCTGCCGTTGAACCTCCTGCGAAACGGAAGCGCGGACGTCCCAGGAAGCGTCCCCCTTCGCCTGTACCAGAGGTTGAACCTGAGGCGGAAACCCTGCCTGAACCTGGACCTGGACTTGACATTGAGCCTGAGCGTGAGTCCAGAGTTCAGGTTATAATTGGAGCTAGGAATTCTAGACTCCCACGAAAAGAGATACTCTCACAAATTCCTATCCCTCCACCTGTTCCCGTGACTGCACCCGTATCGTCCACAAACCACGACGCTATGGAGTTGACAGAGCCCAAGCCCAAGCCTGATGGGCCTGAAGCAATGTCATCACCCCTTTCACCAGCCCAGTCAATCTCCCTATCGTCACCACTATCTGAACCCCCCGAAGGGTTCATCAATGACTTTACCGACGAGCGCATCGAAGAACCCGTCATCGAGCCTACTGAAGAGCTTGTGGACGAGCCTAACGAAGAACCTACCGAAGAGACAACGGGAGAGCACATTGAACAACCCGTTGAAGAACCAATTGTAAGGACTGCTGAAGAGCCCATCGAAACCCCCGTCGAACAGCCAGCTGAAAAGCTCATCGAAGAGCCTACACAACCTCCGTCTGAAGTGCAGACGACTTCTGACGAGCCCCTCGAAATAATCTTACCTAACATCTCAACGCCGATGGTCTTGGTCCGCGAGATCCTCAAAATCGACGGCCGGAAGGCAGATAGTCGCACTTCCAATTCCTGGAAAGAGATTCGGTGTTATCGCAAGAATCAGGACATGGGTAGTCTCTTCGATGTGAGATTAGCCTGGTTCTCCAAGCGGAAATGAGCTTGCCCTGCAGCCAGGACAAGAATGAATGATAGTGCGTGCTTCTACTCAGTACGAACAAGGGGCTCTCATGCATAGTGTAACATAGCAATTCGACCTTGCAGCTACGGTGAATGGATTCCGCATAGATAAGGAATAATTTCATTGGGTCATAAATAGTAATGACGAGTGATATCGCCTCATAAATCCGATTTAATTTAGATGCCCATCCAAGATATCACCCTCTTATAATAAAGCTTTCTAGGTTTAAGTCATGGTATTGCAAATCTTCCAAAGCTTGAGGTTAGCCCGCATTCCAACAGATTCATGGACTGAACCGAATACTTACGCATTTGCCCAGAGGACCAAGCTGAATGTGCAAAAGCTCTCGGTGAGAAGTCAGCGTGGACTTGCCACAAGTCTGGCGAGATTTAGCATTTCATGTTCATGGTAAGAAAGCCTGGATATATGAAGAGGTTTCGCACCTTGCACTTCGACCAACAGGCACACGAAGTATAAGGATTGCCGATCCGTTGAACATCACATCCTTCGCATTTGTCTTGGTAACTAGTCGTAATCTTTGTCTGAGTGGCCTTAGGTTGAATCTGGATTGGCTGCGACATGTTTACTAGAGTAAATATGTAAACAATAGATGAAGAGTTCCTGGGTTTGTGAGTAGAATTGTCTGTTGAATGGTCTGGGATTGAAGTTTTTGCTCGGATTCTCTGGAGTATTTATCTTGATTTCTCCTTAACCCGGGTATCTTGAAGAGCCCCATCTCTGTATTCCACTACACCCCGCTCGTCTTGGCATCGACTGGTATCAAACAGCTTGAACAAGTCTAATGTAGAGGTATCATTTAGGAATGGTGTTATTAGCCCAGCCATTGATTTGATTGGCTTGTTGAACCATAAGCAAGCCGCCCAAGCAGACAGCAGATAGCCAGCGCATCGGGTCCCGGGTGTTTAGGGTGCTCTGACAACTGTTCCCAATGATATCACCCGAGAATAGGCAGTGACACCCTTGTCCCGAATCACCCAGGCCTGGAACTTGCCTGATGGGTTTCAATGCAGGAGCTGAATGATAGATTGTCGTACATAGCCCAATATTTACGGATAAATGGAACAATAGTGAGGCTCTCTACACGTCAAGTGTTAACTTAAACCCGGGTTGAGGGCTACGAAGCATGAGCAAGGCAGGGTTCAAAGCATGATAATCCTAGCTTACGGCTATGAAATGACATAGATCAGTGTTAATTAAGGCGCTAGAAGGGTGTTTGGCCCGTAGCCCCCAAGGGAGGTATAGGCTCTGCATCAGCTGCCACATCCACAGCAAAGCTAGCCTGAATGAAATCCTCAAGCTCCTCGCTAACCGTTTTCAGCTTCTCCTTGACACTGGCGACACCCTCTTGCCCGACGATATGCCGGGAGGGTGGGTTCTCATGGCCGGCAATGGATGTGATGGCATATACCGTTTCCGAGACTAGGACTTCCAGGTGTGCAGAGCTCAATGGTGGATGCATCGAGACAACCTCGGGCACGGAGAATGGGCCATTCTCGATCGAGCTCACTCTTGAGTTTTCTTCCCTCTCCGTGGATCGATTGGTCGATGTAGTACTGCCCGATACTCCTTCGGCATCGGGGAGTCGGGGAACGAGATGATTTAGTATACCCCGAAACAGAGGTGCATGGTTATTTGCGGGAGAATAAGCGGGGAAGATTGGTGGGACGCTGGTAACTAGATTGGCGAGAATGCCGATCTCGATGCTGCATTGGACGATGGTGAGTTTGAGGTTGAACGGGGCTATCTCGAATGCCAGGCTCTAGTAGACAATATTAGTGATTTCTAAATGGCTGTCGACTAAAGATGGGATCACTCACATCACAGAATCCTTCAAGAGCCCAGCCAGCAGCGCAGTACATCCCAAGCCCTGGTGTTCCAATATGAGCAGCTAAAGACGTGTCAGATAAACCACTCATGGTGAAAGCTGGCTCCAGAATATCTTACTGATTCCTGATAAAATCATAATATGACCAGAGTTTTCTCTCCTCATATGAGGCAATGCCGCTTTGATTATATTGAGAGGTCCGAAATAATTCACTTCGAATTGATCGCGAACGAGGTTCAAGGTCTGTGGGGAGGCGGATAGCTCTTCGACAGTTCCAATGAGTGCTAAGAGAGAGTCAGCGAGTTCTTGTAGCTAATATTGAGACCCGTAAAGTATATATGTACCTTGGCTTGTGCAGCATAGGAGAATATCGACTCGACCAAAGGCCGCAACCGCTTGCGCGAAGACTGCCTGGCATTCACCCATCATCCTGTTGTTCAAAGGCTTGTTAGTCTTCGTTCCTTGCCTGATGACCAAAATTTCTGGTTTCTTATCCCTCAAATTTTGGGATAGCAGCGCGCACCTAATGTCCAAGGGAACATATTTCATTCGTTCCGCCCATCCTTCGTCGCGATGTTCCTCTACTTCGGCCAAAAAGGCGTCGAACCCATCTCGGCGTCGCTCGTCACGATCCAGAACCGTATGCGCAAGCCCAAGCAGAACATAGTCGCCGTGCGCAAGGATTTGTCGCGCGACTGATATGCCGATGGGGGAATCGCCCGCGGTGATCAGCCATACTCGCGGTTCGCTATGCGACGGGAATTGCGAGCGGGAATCGGGCGAAGGGTGGTTTTCCATGGATAGGGTCGGATTCAGCGCCAGCGCTTAGGCGCGATACCCATTGCGCGATCAAAAAAGGTCAGCGACAAGTTCGCGCAGGTCGTGAGCTATCGTAGCTCGCAAGTTGTGAGAAATCGACAGAGCTTCTCCGGACAACTGCGGAGTTGGAGGGGGAACCGATTAGAATGCCAAGCCCCCACGTCCGTCCCCTTTAGTTCCAACGGGCTGGTCCAAAGAGCCCGCCGCTTAACTCTTCTGGCCGCGTTGGCCTCTTCTTTCTTTTTCTCTCGCCATCTCCCGTCATCGCAACATGCCTGAACAGCGGCAACGAAGAGAGGAGGAGGGAAGCAATGTATGTGGGATCGGTTGTCGCAAGCTTGAGCGGGGAAACGCCAGCTGTCTATTCTTGAGAAGCTTACTGACGATCATCTCTAGTCCGGCTTCAAGGGTGCCCTCCAGGGCCTCGGAATCTTCCTTCTGGCGCAATTCGTAATTGGCCAATTCTTCGGCAACAAGCAGAATGCAGCTTCTACCGTCAAGCCGGGCAACATGCCCTCGTTTGCGGATCGCCCCGACCCCAGTCAAGTCGCCGATTACAGCGCCATCCCGGACCTGATCTCCCCTATCTGGCCATCCGATAGCGCCATCGATATCAGCATCTATGTGACTCCCTCGATCGTCGTGCCTTCTTTCAAGTCCAAGGATAGCGTCCTTGTGATGCAGGAGAAGAACTTCACGATCGGCAATTACAGCGACACCCGTGAGATCGACACCACCATCAAGCTCCCCAAGCAGGTCCAGCAGAATGGAACTCTCTTTGCGCACTTCTTCGTGGCCCGTACGGGATACCCTCTTGACCCTGCCGCTAAGGATTATAACACCGCCGATGCCGTCCACTTCCTGCGCCCCTTGAACCAGTACCTTCCCAAGAAGAAGGTCAAGAAGCTCAAGAACCTGTTGGCCGCCTCCGAGGAAGCGGAGGAGGAGGTGGATGATACTCCGGACGTGCAGACTGTCTCGTACTATCACCCTAACTTCACTCTCTCCGTGGTTCCCGACTCTGGCTCTCAGAGGTTCTCCCAGATGCACCCAGCAGTTCGCCAGTATGTGCAGCTGGAGCGCACCGGTGCCCGGGACCAGACCGGCAAGAACGGTTGGTACTACCCGATCTTGTTCCTCAACACTTTCTGGCAATTGAAGACCCACATGACCGAGCTGAACTCGACTGTGACGGAGGTGCCTCTGCGAATTACCCTCAACCACTTGGCCAACTGGAAGTTCAGTATCCTTACCAGCATTGACGAGGGCTCTAAGCAGAGTGCTCGTCAGGCCGCGTACGGTGGTCCTGTGCCTGGTGGTGGCGATGGTTCCGAGTGGGAGACCATCAAGGAAGTTCTGTTGGACACCAACATCTACCTCCTGGGTACCACCGGTATTGTCACCATCTTGCACATGGTTTTCGAGACCCTGGCTTTCAAGAACGACATTGTAAGTTTTGATTTATTTCTGCGGCGTATGCGCTGTTCCCCTGGATTTGCTAACACCGGAATCAAAAATCTAGGCTCATTGGCGTAAGAAGAAGGATGTCGTTGGCACATCCGTGCGTACCATTCTGGCGAATGTCTTCATGCAGGCAGTCATCTTCCTTTACCTCATGGACAACAGCGACAACACTTCATGGATGATTTTGGCAAGCCAAGGATTCGGTATTCTTCTGGAAGCCTGGAAGATCACCAAGACCGTTAACGTTCGCCTGCGCCCCCCGCCCGCCAGCTCCTTCTTCTCCTTTTTGCCCTACGTGGTTGTCTTTGAAGACAAGCACAAGTTGAGCGAGACCGAGGAGAAGACCAAGGAGTATGACGAGATTGCATTCCGCTACCTGTACATTATCGCAGTGCCCCTTCTCCTCGCCTATGCCGCATACAGCCTTTTGTACAACACTCACAAGTCGTGGTATTCGTACATCATCGAGACTCTTGTCGGCAGTGTTTACGCCTACGGTTTCCTGATGATGGTTCCCAGCCTGTACATCAACTACCGCCTGAAGTCCGTTGCCCACATGCCCGGCAAGGCAATGGCCTACAAGTTCCTGAACACTTTCATCGACGACCTCTTCGCCTTCACCGTGAAGATGCCTTGGCTGCACCGTCTGGCCACTCTCCGCGACGATGTCATCTTCTTCATCTGGCTGTACCAGGGCTGGAAGTACAAGGTTGACTACAAGCGTGTCAACGAGTTCGGACAGGGAGGTGACAGCGACGAGGAGGAAGAGGCTACCCCTGCCCCCAAGCTTGAGGAGAAGAAGCAGGAGGAGACAGTGGCTTCGCAGACTTCTGCCAAGGTTGACAACAAGTCATCTACCCGCCAGAGGAAGTCGAAGAAATGAGCGTGCTCTACATACGGGCTAGCTCATTGTGATAGTTGTTCACTTTGGCCATCTTCTGATCACGCTCGAGTTGTTAGAGATTCATCATTTCGTTGCATTTGTCCGGATCTTGCAATCCGGGCCTATTGTTTCTTGACGATGTTGGGAGCATATTGTTTGGTCTCCGAATTTGGGTGAAAATTCCGGCTTAAGAGTACTGAGATTCATACTTCTCCCTGCGTAAATCATTTTAATCATAGAAATTGAATGAGCATACACTTACTTTTCTACAATCGCATACTTAATAGACAATTAGTAGGGGCAAGGCTTAAGCTTTAAAGTTGAACTTGTTACACATGTCGGGCCAATGTTGACGGTTGCCCGATCGGGTTTAAGCCGATTTCTCTCCTGCACCCGCGCCCACGTTCTACACTTTCTATGTGGTCCCGTTGGACAGTATCATCCAATCCAGCGATCGAAATATTTTTCCCGTCTCCTTTGTTATTCACATTCGAGGCTCTTTCGCAAGGATCGTGCTCGGTCGCTGAGAAACGGGTTTGGAACGCGTTCTGTTGCTTCGCGATTGACGCGCTGGGCATGACCGCATCGCCTTAGACCAGGCCTGATACAAAACCGCCAACGCAAAGAGCCCATCATTGTCCGAATGGGTACCAACAGTGGTGAATTATCAGACTGCATGCCTAAAAAATTGCGAGCTTAGATAATACTGACAGTTTGAATAGATAATGGCCAGTCCGGCCGCTTGCTTGATGCGATTGAGCACTTGGAAGCAGGTAGGAGAGCTAAGGTGATGACTTGACTTCGATAATTGTGTTGCTGATGAATAATACACAGTTGCTTCTGTGCCGGTCAAGCAAAGATACACTGATGCTGGCCAGCTGGTCAAGGCCATTGCATCGGACGCGTATGAGAATGGCATTCCGCAAGACGCGCTGGGCCGTCTACTCAAGATTCTAAAGGCAAAGAATCACCTGGATCAGGGAACCACCACAACTTTAGTCAAGAACCTGTATCCGCAAGAGCGAGTCTCCTCTAAGCATGTCACGCAAGTTGTTTGCTGTCTGGGACCTAGCAAGTCCAAGCCAAGTCCTGCCACGCAGGCTTTGCTTGTTCGCTGGCTGATCATGACCTACGATCTCCTCGAGGACCGGACACACCTTGGCAAACTCTACGCAGTACTGTTTAATCATTTGGATATGATCAGTCTACGGAAGCCACTCTGTCACCTACTTTCCCTGATCACTCGACGAAAACATGTCAAGCCATTTCGCATTCAGGCTCTGATGGAGTTGATCCAGTCTGCGGGCGGGGAAGAGAAGGAGCTCATGAGTTTGCTTAAAAATTTCAAGAGCTATTACCCCGAAATCATTATCGGAGATGTCGGTGGCTCGAGAAGGATGGCGCTGTTTTTTAAACACCCCGACCCGGAATGGTCGACTCATGCAAAACTACTGCAGGACCAGAATCTGGAGCGCGTACAAGCAGCGCAGCAGCCAAGCTACCAAGTCTTGCATCGCGGAATGGCAAAACGCAGCAGGATTGAAGTGGTCATTCCGGTTTTGCAAACCTCACGAGTGTCAAACAAGCACACGTCACTTGAAGAGATTCGTGACATCGAGCACTTCGTCGACAAACTCGACACAATCGAGCTGCCGAATCAGATCATCTCAACCCTTGGTGATGCGATGGCACAGAAATACCTTCATTTGGTCCAGTCCGAGGCTGCCAATGATCGTTTAGATGAGTGGCTGAAGGGCTTTTTGGCAGACAAGCTAGAGAAGATCCGGGAAGATGATGACGACGAACCAGAGGTTCTTTCGTTTGTCTTGGGCTTCCTTGAAGGATATACGTCGTTCATAAAGGTAACCTCTTTGGATTTTTCAGCCTCGCCATTATGAATTTTGTCTCTGATGATATTATAGGCTCTGTTACCGTCCGTTCGATCATTCCTAGAGGCATATCTTTCTATATGGAATGGCCGGGACAACCGCCAACAAATCCTGCGACTGCTTCAGTATCTTCCGATTGAACCCTATGAAGCCCTCCGAGAAACGATCTTTGACCCACTGGAACGTGCCATGCTGGACAGTGCGGTTAGCTCTAGGATAGAGCTTCTAAACTTCTACTCTGCATTGATTACTGAGTGGGGCGTCAGACTTCGAACACAACCCACCGTTTTAGAGGAATCATTCCCCTCGAGCAGAGTTATACAGCATGCTGAGCTCTTGGCATCCTCACTTCAAGAGCTCGCCCCGACGTCTGCCAGTAGCGACAAAAGTGCCCCGCCGGTCGTTCTTTCGGTCCTTCAATTCTACAAGTCTCTCGCGGGCTTATTTTCCCACGCATCTGGGAACGCAACTATTCGATTAACCGTCCCAAGCGCTCCGACGATTTATTCTATCGCCTTCACACCTACCGTTTCTGTTATCTCAGGGCTCAACTCAATCCTGGCCGATTACAAGTCTTCGTTCGAGGCCTCTCTCGCGTCCGACGTGATAAAGCCACCAGACACTTCCGAGCCACTGTACAGGACAGAGCTGGTGAACCAATTTAATGGCTATGTTATGGACATGTGCAATCTTGTCTGGCGCAATCGGGCCTTGAACACGGAAGACCCAAATGCACAAGGTTGCCTGATTCCAGCAGCTAGCACCACTGCCCTTACAGCGTACGTTCGCAACGTGAACGAGGCTGCTAGACATTATGATCGTGAAAGCGCTTTCCATGCCAGTCTGGCTTCCATATTTTCTCTGAGCCACCACGCCGCATTTGCCAATCTGTCAGCTGCATGCTTCGCTGAATTAGAGGAAAGCCAGAACGTTGCTCAGAATCGGCCGAAGTTGCGCAAGCCAGTCACTCAAAAGGCCTTACAGGCCCTTGAGAAAGATGGCGGTGCCAAAATCACATGGCAGGAGTATCGGGTTAACATGCTGGACTGGTTGGAAGCGGTGGGAAGCCGAGGGACAAGTGATCTGATGAGGAGTACCATGAAGGCTTTACGGAAGGAATAAGACATGGAGTGAGCCAGGGCTCGATAGGTATGAATGGAATCCTGGGTGGTTTATTTCCCTCTATAAAACGCCGGTTCTCAACGCGTGGTATCTTCCTTTATACAAGTATGGTACATAGTCTATGGCATGGACATCGAGAAAGCTCTCTAAAACTTCTCCGTAGCATTCAGGTAAATGTCCTGAACACTGGGATCGTCCCGTAGAGAACTGAGAAGATCTTCGAGAGCCTTCACCTGCTCTTCGTCCTGCAGCTCGACCAGAGTTTCTTGGTTGGGATCCCAGAACATCTCCAATTCTTCAATCGTCAAACCAGACAATTTGACGAAGGCCTCGCCGACGCTCTTCGTTTCGGAGGGATCGGTCAACAGCACCAAGCGACCTTTATCGTCAGTGTTGATATCCATTGCGCCTGCCTCGATAGCTGGATCCAGAAAATCGTCGACATTGGTATCCTCTTTCTTTTCCAGGACGACCCGACCTTTCTTCTCGAAAAGAAAAGTTGTGGGAGTGACGGTTCCTCCACCGTTCTTAATCAAGTATCGAATGTCTTGCAGGACTCGAGCCTTCTGATCGGTCTGGCACTCGACCACTGCAGCCACTCCACCAGGGAGCATGGCTTCAATCGTTACTGGCTCGAGTGCTTGACCTGTCAAGCTGAGTCCTTGACCACGTGCGATGGCTGCTTCGATGATGTTCTTGGGGATGGAGGCTCGTTTCGCATTCGAGAGCGCGAGGGTCAGACGAGGGTTGTACTTTGGATCGGCGCCCCATACTTTACAGCAACGAATATCAGCATCAATATTGAAATCCAAGAATCTGAATATGGGTTGCCTACATTGTGTAGCGCTGACGATTTCCTTGCTCATCATCTGCCGTTCTTTGCTCTTCGCCTTGTCGTTTTTAGCCTTGTCATGTTTGATGGTGGACCACTTGCTGTGCCCGGATAAGAAGAGCGTGGAGGAGCTGAAAGCGCGGCATGCGTCACAAAAGGAGCGCGCACGAGGTTGTCGTAGTAGGTTCCTGTGTAATTGAAGCGCCATCTTGATCTCTCCAAGCTTTTGCTCTCTGGGAAAGTCCGGGGCCGCCGCCATCTATACATTCCAGTTTGCGGGCCGACAATTTGTCCGACCTCCGCGGACGGTGAGGCCACACGATAAGGAGGGACATTGTTGACCTCATACCTCATACTTCATTAACTATCCCCTTTCTTTTCTTCCACTCTGATGGTGATATAATTTTCCTCTCATTTGATACCCAATGTCTGCCTCCGAAACTGCCCCCGCGCCATCACCTTCCGAAAATGCAGTACCAGAGCTGGATATTCCCAAGCTCCATGACCTCCCATCCGAACAACAGGACCTCTACCTGCTCACCTTCACATCCGACCTAGTCCAGTACATATCCGGCCTCGATGCGGCGCAGGTCTCCGCACAGCAAAAGTCGCTCAAGAAGGAATTGTTCAAGATCCTGACCCTCTCCTCCCCGACCCTCACACGAGTACTCCGCAATAACCTCGGACGATGCTTTGGCGCTATTCTGGCCAAAGGGGATCGCGGGATCCTCTTCGAGACGATTACCGACCTGCTAGGGATATTGAGTGCCGGAAAGAGCGAGGCTGAGATTAAGACCAAGTTCGCTGCGGTGCACTGTCTGGGCGAGGTATTTGCAACGGCTGGTGAGAGCGCATTCATGCAATCGAATGTTGCGACGGCGGGTACACTGAAGCTCCTCAAGTCAGCGAGCACTCATACTGGCCTACGCGGCGTTATATTCTCGGTCTTGCGCAAGATCATTGTCGGTATTGGTGTTCCAATTGATGAATCGGTTGCGCGCGACATTTGGAAACAGGCGCGTAATGCTGCAACCGGCGACAAGTCTACTTTCGTTCAGGTTCATGCGTGTCGCTGCATGGAACAATTAATTAATACGACGCCATTCTTCGAAAATACGAATGACTTTGAAAACTTGAAGACTACAATTTGGAAGGTCATCGACAGCCCGGTCGCACCAGTTCGCCATGCTGCGTCTGCTGTCCTCGGACGAGCGCTGGTTAAGCTACATGTCACAGAGGCACACGTCATCGCGGCGCCTAAACCGAAGTCGAAGAAATCTAAGCGAATGTCCAAAAAGCCAACCGCGCGTCCAGGTGAGGAAGACGAGGATGAAATGTCCGAGTCATCTACGGCGGCGGCCAGCACGTCTAAGAAGGATGCCCGGCTATTCTTCCTTCTCCCCGATCTCTTGCGACAACTATCCTTCCAATACTTGAAGAGTACGACCTCGAACCGCTCGCGCGCGGGTATTTGCTTGTGTTATAAATACGTGCTTCGCAATTTGGGAGATAAAGTCGTGGAGGAACGGTATGGCCAAATTGCGTCGAACTTGCTGTTCGATTTGCTGAACCACCCGACGGTCACATACAATCGGTTCCGATTGCTTATGACCCGCAAGTTTGTTAAATCTATTCTCGAAGACACGATTGGCCGAGAACTGCTTCGGGAAAACAGCCAGCTGAACGCTGCCAGATGGCTTATCAATGAGATCTTGAAGGACTACCCACAAGTTATTCAAGAGCGTCGTGAGCCGAGCAAATATACATTGACCAGCACTGTTAGTGCGCTGTCCTCGCTGATCTCATCGCTGGGCTCTGCATTCGCTGTTCTTGCTGATAGCTGCCGTGATGCCTTGCTTCAAGTTCTTCCACACCCAAGCTATACCGTCCAGATCCATGCAGCGCACTGCTTGCGTGGATTTGTGCTGGCATGCCCCCACCAGCTTCTCTCCTGCGTCACTATTTGCATGAACAGCTTGAACAGAGAGATTGGCCAGCTCGCAACACCGAGGCAGTCCCCTCGTCGCTGCGTTGGTTACGCGAACGGTCTCTCCGCAATGCTAAGCACTTCCCGCTTACAACCGCTCTACGGTGCTGTCGATGTATTTGCCCAGATATTCACCCAAGCTACAGACCTCTTGAAGATTAGCACCACATCTGAGCTACGAGTAGCAAGTACTCAGGTCCAGACGGCCTGGATCTTGATCGGCGGATTGATGCCCCTTGGGCCCAGTTTTGTCAAGATTCATCTTTCCCAATTGATGCTGCTCTGGAAAAACGCATTGCCAAAGCATTTGAGCAAGGAAAACTCCGCCCAACCGAGCACACTCGAGACGAGTTTCCTGGCTCACGTGCGAGAGTGCGCCCTCAGCGCCTTGCTGGTCTTCATGGAATTCAATAGCAAGCTTATCACTGCTGATGGTGCAAAGAGAATCGCTGCCATGCTGCAGAACACTGTCGAATTCTTGAATGAAGTGCCACGACCCAAGTCCATGGAAGACATCTCGCAGCGCCTGCATCCATCTTTGCAGCTAAACGATTTTACAACTATGGTTCGCCGCCGAGTTCTCCAGTGCTTCTCGAAGTTGGTGCATGTCCATCATCCTAGTCATGGGGATATCATCTCTCAGTCTAACCTTTTGAACCTCGCGATATCCGCATTTGCCGACCCCGACACTCAAATTCGGCCACTGGAGAGCTCTATCGCTGCCTCGACTGGTCAATTTGATGGTCTGTGGGATCTTTGCGATAACTATGGATTTGGTGTCACTGGACTTACCCGGGAGTACATCCGGGTTGCTTTGACTGGATCTCACGGCAATGAGAACGGCCCGGCTTGGTCAGCTATTGATTCTGTGGATCAGGCTGTTGACGATGTCTTGACATTCCCGATCTGCGAGGCCAGCGAGCACGATTCAGTGCTTCTCTACAGTTTGCGCGCGGGTGATTCTCTATGTGTTGATCCGCCTACTACGGGTGTTGTGAACGCGGCGATTGAATTATTTTCGGTCGCTATTGCCCTTCACTCGCCCAAGATGCAGGAGAGCAGCGTCGAGCAAATCGCCACTTTCTTATCCTCACCGGCTCTGCAGAGGAACCCTGGACGAAGAGCCGCATTGGTCGTCAACATTTCGGTTGCCTTGCTTCATGCTTTGAAGGTGGCTGTCAAGGAAACCGATTTCGTCGCTGGAAAGCTGAATTCGTCAACGGACAAGATTTTGCAGGAGCTCGTTCAGGTACGCTGACTTGGCTTATTTCAGAGTTGAGAAAACATCGGCTGACATTCACTAGAAATTCGTTGTCGACGCTGATCCAATTGTTCGCACCATCGGAGTTGAAGCTTTGGGGCGCTTGTGTGATAGTGCTGGGAATGCATGCACGAACACGCAGGTCAATTGGCTTGTTGACACCATCGTCGCTAATAGGGAACCGAATGCCCGAGCTGGCTGCGCTGCTGCCTTAGGATGTATTCACTCCCAGATCGGTGGTATGGCAGCTGGCCTGCATCTCAAGACAATCGTCGGCGTGCTGATGTCTCTTTGCAACGATCCTCATCCTGTTGTACACTTCTGGGCCCTAGGTGGCTTGGAGAGGGTGGCAAACTCTGCTGGCTTAACTTTCTCACCTTTCGCCTCCAGCTCGTTGGGCATGCTTGCGCAGCTCTATAATGCAGACACTCACAACGAAGAAGCTGCAGCGCTAGCAACTTCGAACATTGAAATGTCGTTCCTGACACCCGTGGTAATCAGTCGATGCGTGGACTCCTTGATTAACGTTCTCGGGCCGGACTTGCAGGACGTTACGAAAACACGCAACCTGATCCTTACCCTACTTCGCCAATTTCAATTAGAAGAGAACCCCGCGATTGTTACTGAAAGCTCCAAATGTTTGGATCACTTCTCTCTCTATGCTCCCAGCTTTGTGGACTTCGCCGGGTATGTTAAGCGCTTGCAAGGCGAACTTCGTGCAGGCAACTCGTTGATGCGAGATGTGGCCGTTCGTGGTCTCAGCAACTTGATGAAGAGAGATGCTACTTCTGTTGTTCAAACAGCCACTGAATCGCTCGAGGATGACATTTGGCTTGCCTTTGATGATGCGCCAGACAACAGACCTCTCAAGACAATGATCCAGGAATGGCTGCAGCAGACTGCTCTCACTGAGACCGAGTTGTGGATCCATCGCTGCCACAATATCATGACCAAGACCCGCAACAAGGTCGAGGCTCTACCGACCACTGCAGTCCAGACCGCTGCAGCTGACATCCCTGATGATGAAGTTGCTGGATTCGCATCTGCGGCTGCCGGTGAAGGCCAAACCGATCCTACCAGCGATGGCGTCTCTGGCCAAGAATTGTTGAAGTGGCAGACTCGCAACTTCGCTATGAGCTGCCTCTACGAGCTGTTGGCAACCGTCCAAGAAGCTATATTACCAGACCAAACTATCCCAGCTGAACTGGCACTACAATCCAAGGTCGGAGATATTGTGCGAATGGCGTTCTCTGCGTCAACCGCTAATGTTATTCAACTGCGGGTGTGGGGTCTGAAGATCATTGATCAGGTCCTTACCATGTTCGGAAAGACTCCAGATCCAGACTTTGCCGAGGCATCTCTGCTTGAGCAATACCAGGCACAGATCGGCTCTGCCCTAACGCCAGCGTTCGCGGTTGACTCCTCCGCGGAGCTTGCATCCGAGGCAATCAACGTGTCGGCCACGTTTATCGCTACTGGTATTGTGACGAACGTGGATCGCATGGGCCGAATTCTGAAACTTCTGGTCCTTGGCCTGGAAAACTTTGCGAAGAACCCTGACACTACCGAGATTGGCGACCTGAAGGGCCTGAACTCTAATGCACGAGTAATGGTCAAACTTGCTCTCTTCTCTGCGTGGGCTCGCCTACAGGTCGCAAGCATCGAGCAGGAGTATCTCAATCAAGTGGTTCAGCCTTATATTGCTAGGCTCACGCCTCTTTGGCTGTCTTCTCTCCAAGAATATGCCCGCTTGCGATTTGAGCCGGATATCTCGGGCGCTCTGGGCACAAGCACGCAGAGCAATGACTTGGATGAGGTCTATGCTGCATTGAACCGTGAGACATTGCTCAAGGTAAGACTTTACTCCCCTGAAAACTTAATCTAGGTGCTAACTCTAAGGCTATAGTTTTACCAAGACACCTGGCTTAATCTTGTCAATGCTATTGCTGGCCTTGTCGAAAAAGACATTGACTTCGTGTTTGACGCTCTGGACGGCAAGCTCCAGATTGCCGAGGAAGCAGACAAATCCGAAAGCGACGAAAAGAAGGGTGAAAACGACGAAGAAAAGGACAAGGCCGTAACAAATGGCGAGTCTAAGGTTAAAGGCGACAACATCAACTACCGTGAAGAACCGGTAGCCTTCTTCTTTGTGCTCTTCGGTCTTGCATTTGAGGCCCTTGTTGACCAGTCAACTCTGGCCTCACAGCGACTTGAGATCCTACAAGCTCTCAAAAGAATCTTGAGACCAATCATCTCTGGCAATGCGATCTACCAGGACGCCATTTTCTCGGAGACCATGGACACCTTTGACCGTCTTGTGTTGACTGAGGCAATCCCCATCCAAACTGTCATCGTTGAGATTGCGCAGAATCTGTCTTTGGATCACCCGGCAGCCCAGAGTGACCAAGAGCGAAGCGATCATCTCTCGGATGATATCGAACAGCTCTTCGAGTTGACTAGAAGCATCATTCTTGTCCTTGCTGGCATGCTTCCTAACCTCCGCGAATCAACCCCTATGGCGCGTTTCAACGTGACGTCGGATGATTCTCTTGCTTTGATTCGCTTGGCCCTTCGGTCGCTCGTCGATGTTGCGTCGGTCTTCCCATCAATCATTCGCAATGATCTTCACGCCTGTATACTGCACATTTTCACTACCATTCTCGCCACCGGTATCTGCCAAACCGAAGTGGTCCCGCAAGCGCTTCCCATTTTCCGACAGTTCGTTCAGAGCATTACGCAATTTTCTGAAATCCCGGAGGATATCGATGTGGTTGCTTTCCAACTGCGTGGCTGCCTTACTCGATTCCTGACTATCCTCACGATCGCTCAGCGCCGAGAATCGGACTCTTCTATTCCATGTGCCAAGAATACCCTTCTGGCTATTACTTTCCTCCTGACGGCCGGTGGACACGTTCTCCCGCCCCAGGATCCCGTCATCAACCGAGTGCTCGACGAGCTACTGGATTGTTTGCAAGATGTTGGACTAGCGACCGTGGCTGCCAGCTGTCTTCGATCCATCCTTACCAAGGCCGGCCCGCGCTACATGACGGACGATGTAATCGCCCACTACCTCATTCCGCGACTGATTGCCTTCCTTGTCAGCTGTCCCACCGATTCGGGCGAAGTGCCTAGCGACCCCGAGAATTCTCGCACAGTCGTTGCACGCACCCTTGTATCGTGCGTGACCAGCACCGCTATCTCACCAGCCGCAATGCCTGCCAAAATCTCGCTTGTCATGTCTGCTCTTCTGGCACGCGCCAAGCGCGAAGGACAGTCCGTCCACCAAGAGTCGGCCGCGTATCTTCTTGAGCTCGCCAAGGCCGACCAGCTCATTTTCCGCACCTTGGTTGCCAACATGAACGCAGAGCAGAAGTCCCTCTTGGAAGAAGTCCTCCGCAGTGCGGGTATTGGCGCTGGAACGTCGAAATCGGGCGATGCGGAGGAGAATATGCAGCAGGCCGCACCAACTATTGCTTTGCGCATGGATTTCTAAGCTCTTGGCTCATTTTGCTTGAATGGATATGGGTGTGCTACCATTTGCACAGATGAGGATATGATATGACGTGATGCATAGTGTGACCGAAATGTATAGATAGACCATAAGTGATGACGCTGCTCTATGAGCGCAATGCAATGGATTTTAATATGACCTCTTTGTTGTGTTGAATTTCTCCACGTTGTAGAATTATGTACTTGTTATTGGTAGGAACACCAGCCTTGCACCTCGCTGTGGACTGCCTCGTTCGACGCCTGCTGGGTTGCCTCATCGGGAAGTTCGGGGCGCGCTTATCTTATCCACAATCAGGTGACGCCAGGAATGTTGTTGGCTCGAGAAACTCAAATGAGCGAGTGCGACGCTTGAGCCTTCTCAATTCTATTTCGGTTTATATTGGTTCTTTTTTTCTGTCAAAGATGATCTAGTGATTTTCTTTTGCCACTACTTTCGGGTCTCAGCATGCCACCAGACCGGGGTCGTGCCTCGAGAGCGTGTGCCTCGTGCAGGAAACAGAAGACACGCTGCTACGAGCCAGGTACCCCCGGCAAAGCCTGTTTGCGGTGTGAAAGACTGCGGCAAAACTGTTCATTGATACAACAGGCTGACAGCTCGGAGGAGGAGCGCCAACGTCAGCAGTTGCAGCAGTCACCACAGGAGCAGAGACCTGTTTCTACGCTAGGCACTGATGCTCGGTATGTATTGCTCGTCGATCTTGGTCGAGGCCCACAGGATGGAACTTGGTAATCATTGACACCCTGTCATAGCCTGGAGCGCCTCGAGAGAACAGTGGCCACTTTGCTTGATCGACTTGGGGAGGGCCCGTCGAGTGCCGAGCATGAACTTAGCAGGCCTGGCACTGGCACCGGGTTGACAACTCCGGACCCTGGCGATCAAAGCTACCAGGATGCGGAGAGTTCCGCGGCGCCAATTATGGTCATTCGTGATCTGGCCAATGATACCAGAGTCGAGCCATCCCCGGAAACGAAATCCTTGGGGACGGTGCTGGACAATCTCATTGCACCAGATCTCGCGTTGACTCTTCTCTCAATGTATGTATGGTAGGCCCCACCAATGTCTGGACTGGACCCACCATATATGATTTCATGAAACTGAATTGACTGTTCAGATTTCTCGAATATTATGGGCGTTGGATCATTTTTGATCCCGAGAGCGATCCAGTCGTGTTACTACCTCGTGTGCGGAGATCCCCGATTCTATTTTGTGCGTGCTGCTTGATTGCGATACGACACACCTCAGAGGAGCTGGCGGCGATTTTGGCCCCTAAATTGTATGAATGTGCTCGCTCTCTCGTGTCAAGTATGCTCTTGACTACTCCGCAATCCGTCGATTTTTTCCAAGCAGCTCTCATCTTATGCATGTGGTCAACCACTGTGGGGCAGGTACCTTTGAGCATCGACAGTTGGCTCCTTAGTGGATTTGCACTGCAGCACTCGCAGTCCAGCCCGATATTTGCCACGATAACGAGCCGGTCTCATCGATACACGAGTTTCGATGAAACAACGCTAGATCATATTTGTTTATGGAATCACCTGTGCCTTACGCACTTACATTACTGTGTTGGTACCAGCCGAAAGTCTACCTTGCAATCTTGGCAGATTGAACGCTGCGAGTCCATCATCGGCTCTGACCACGCTATCAACTTTGAAGTGCGAATGGTCGCCGAGATCCAACTATATTGGACAGTCAATGGATTTCTAATTGCAGACTCTGTTGATCTTCACAAGTCCACAACAGCTTTGAAGACATGGAAGAGAAAATGGAGAAGAATTCTAGGTAAGGCATGACCAGGAACCCAATTTTTTGGCATAAATATTAACGACATCTTATCTTTCAGAGCAACCACGCTCTCAGTTTCTCATGATGGGATTTCATTTTTCCAACCTTCTCCTCTATGAACAAAGTCTGAAAGCACGAGTTGTTGAGAAAACTCGGGAATACATTGTTTCAGAAATGATTAGCCACTCCACTGCAATAGTTCACCTGGCGATGGACACTGTAGACGAGCGAACCCGTCACTTGAGTGATCACATCTACCACATGATCACGTTCGCCGCGATTGTCATCTGTCGCCTATTGAAGAGCTATGAAAGCCAGCTCAGCTTGACGCACAATACTGCAGAGCTTGATTCCCTCATTCAACGTCTTGTCCAATGGCTTCACTCCATTGGATTGCCATGCCATGCCGCACATACACTAGGGAATATTATCGCCAAGGTACATCAGAGGCTACGACCTCGTGTGGAAGCAGTGCCGGTCACTGTGCCTATGGATGACTTTCCCCCTGAAGAAAATTTTACGAACTACTATTTCCCTGAATTTTTAGGTCTGGGAACAACTGCGGATGGGAATTGGGATCTGTTATCGGATCTGAGCTTTCTGCCACAGGGCTCGTCCGGCTCATGATATTGGCGCAGAAAGTTGAAGCAGAATACATGACAACAAAGGAATCCATCATGGAGGAACGTCACCGCCCCTCTTGTTTCCCTAGTTGACCTCTCAATGACCTCCATATTTCTTCTCAATCCAGCGAAAGACGGGGAACACAAGGCCAGAAAATGCAAAAGTGAGCTCATGGCCAATATTCGCTCCTTTTTTACCGATCAAGGATGCGATTGGCCCGCTATACCAGGCCACTTTCATTCCAACGGCGGCTCCCAGAAAACCGAACGCAAATGCCCCGATTGCTGCCCACCCGAACGGCAAAAGGGCTGGATTATTCCAAGCATCAAAGTCGTATGCCTTCCAGCTGCGCCGAAAGATGAAATGCTCTTCCAGTACGAGCGTTATGTGGATCACTGTCCAGTATCCAATAACACTGAGCAATGTTTGCAAAGTGTCTTCAAAGTACTTTGCTGCGAAACATCCGACGATAATAGCCGCTGTAAAGCCAAATGTGACCAAGATGACTCGGGGAACTCGAATTGCCCATGAACCGAGATTTTGCGCATGAAGTGCGAACGAATAGTTGTTTGGGATGTTATTCTACAAATCAACCATTAGTCGGGTTTATCAAAGATTGGTGCCCACTATTGGCCCGCATGAACTTACTGGTATCGCGCTCAGAGCCGCAAGAACCATGAGAAACTTCCCGAATCCGCCTGCGGGCTTTAATGCCATCTCAAGTAGTCCGCCAATCGAGGAGGAAGAGTACGCCTCCTTCCATTCCGGATTAGTGACTGTCCCGCTATACATCGCTGCTCCCAAAGATTGAACCAGCACAGTGGGGAAGAAGATGCCAACATATGTAGCACTGAAGATTTTCCAGCGGGGAGTATCAGTGGGCATGCGCACATTGTAGTCCGCAGCACAATTGACCCACGAAACGGAGAAGGAGAAAATACTGGCCATATAAGTCAAAACAGCCGCTGCTTTGTCCGCGCCCTCTAGTACCCGAGGGGCTTCAGATGTAAACGAAGATGCCCCTGTTCCAGCAGCGACACACCAGACAATCAACGGAGGAATCCAGATGAATGCATCTAGTCGGTGGATCCATGTGATGCCCAGTGCACAAATCACCCAGACAAATGTACATATGACGATGACTCCTGCCCATGTTGGAAACCTTCCGTTTGACAAAGCGTTGAGGACTGAAGCGCCGGAGATGGAGTTGATGGCGTTCCATCCAGTGGTTGCGATCATTGAAAACACGACGACGAGCATGTTGCCCCAGTATCCGAACGAGTATCGCCTGTGGGATGCAAATTCATTAGATCTGTCTGTCCGAAGCTCTTTTGAAGAAGGTACCGCATACGAGAAAGTCGTCATTCGCAATCCCGTCAATCCAAATGTCGCCGTCCAAGCTGGCAAGAGATCACTAGCCAGGTTGACTACAAGAATGACTATAAAACAGTCCCAGAACCCAAGGCCTAGGGATCCCCCAATGGAGCCGATGTTCAAGGTGGCAACAGCCATGTTCGCACTGAACCTGTATCATTCATTATACATCAGCTCAAAGTCTTACAACTGAAAAAGAATATTGAGAAGTACCAGAAAGTAGTTGCATTCCAGAATTTGGTTGTATTCTGTTGTCTTTCTTCATCTGTGACCCGTTCAATGCCGCCTTCTTCGATTGAAAGACGTCGAGGGAACCATGACTGAGTATTCTTCGGATGGGATATATCAGATTGCGCCTTATTAGGCGACTCTGTCGAAGGATCCATAACGGAAAAAAGATAAACAAGATTTTATAGTCCTAAAAACACAAGATGTGGACTAATAGTTTCGCGCTTCCTCGCCATTTCCTCGAGGATCCAACTCCTTTCTATACTTCCACAAAATATCCCCTGCTCATTCTCTATCATCTTATTTTTCTCATTTCATCACAGTCCAGCGATTGGCATATCTATGGCGAATCTGATGCCATCCTGGCCGTATACAAGCGATGGTTGGCTGCCGGCTTATCTCGCCGCGGCATGCCGCGGCATGCCGGTCGGCCAAGCCCTGATCATACAAACTCGACTCTATAGACTCCAGCTTGTCGACAATATAAAACATTGCCTACCTGCTGTTTATAACCGTAAGTCTCAAATCCAAAACCTCCGTTCTTCTTCTCAATCTGCAAAAATCTCAAAATGGAGCAGCATACTCTCCGTCGTCGGGGCCTCGGTCTCCGCGGCGTTGACGAACAAGGAGTCTCGCCCGGCTACGTCCTCTACTCCCCTCTTACATCGAACACGGCGCACCTCGTCTCGACTTCCGGTAAAGAAGTTCACCGTTGGATTCTTCCCCACCGCGCTGGTCGTCATTCCCGTATCCTACCCAATGGCTCTCTGGCATACAATGGCGTCCACCCGGATGCTCCCAGGCTGTTTCCTATGTGGGCCAAGTATCGTGGCGGCGTCATGACGCAGCTTGATCCCTCGGGCAAAATTCTTCGACAATATTCTGATCCATACGCCCACCATGACCAGAATCATCTTGACAACGGAACCCTCCTGTATACCACCCTCGAGCCTCTCACAGCGGACGAAGCATCTCGGGTGCGCGGCGGTATCCCCGGTAGCGAGGCACCAGGAGGTATCATCTACGGCGACTGCATCAAGCTAGTGGATCCCTGGTCTGTCTCGAATACCTCCTCCTCAGCCGACTTTGACGGTAGCAACGGCAAGGGTGGCGCCAAGCTGCTCTGGTCCTGGCGCGCGATCGACCATCTCGATCTAGACGCTTTCGCCTCGCACCCACACTATCCTCGCGAACACTGGCCTTTAATTAATAGCGTTAGCTTTGACTCGGAGGGAAACATCATCGCCTCGACGCGTAATGCTTCCGGTGTCTTCATCATTAGTCGAAAGACCGGTGAAGTTCTTTGGCATTTGACTGCGCCAGTAGTGTGCCAACAGCACTGCGCGCACCAAATCAATTCCGCAGGCGACATCCTCATCCTCGATAATGGCGTCTTTAGACCTGAGATTTCTGTGCCGTTCTCACGGGCTATCATTGTCTCTCGTGATAAGCAGATCAAGTGGGAATACAAGGATGCAACGACCGGTGGCCTGGGCTTTTTTACTCCATTCATGGGGTCGGCGCAGAAACTGGAGAATGGGAACGTGTTGATCTGTGAAGCTGCTACTGGTCGGATCATTGAGGTTACTGAGGGTGGTGAGGTAGTCTGGGAGTTTATTGTCCCGCAGCTACAGGATTACAAGGCCGTTATGAGCAAGGATGAGTTGGCGGAAATGGAGAGGATTGGGTTCTCGAATCAGAGCAATGCTATCTTCAGGGCTTACAAGTATCGCCCCGAGGAGGTGCCTTGGGTGAAGGAAGATTGAGCGGGGAGAGAATGGAGGATAGAGTTGCATCGTGGCTGGGATTCGGCGACTTGCGGAGATCAGGACGAGTCCTTGTGACTGGACAGTACAATATTTAGACAATAGAGATGAATTGAAAGAAAAATGTATTGATAGGGTATCAGATGTCTATGTTTATGTTGGTACAGGCTGTTTCGTCGTTGTATACGGTATTGAAGAATGAAAGGAGACAGGTGCAATGATCGATGGTGAGTTGTACAGGCAGGGGAATTTGCAAAAAAGAATGTGTCGGGCTTGTTCGAAATAGAGGGAGCCTCTAACCCAAAGATTCGCCTAGGTGTGCTTCGACAACGGATGGCGTCTCGGTCTGAATTCCGGCGTCGTGGACAACCCGAGTTTCAGTGGTGATTTCCTTGGTTACAGGCTTTTCAGCCTCTTGGGCTTTCTTAGGCTCTTGGACCCTGCGGACGGAAGCGTATTTAAGGAAGACGATGATCATGACTGGAGATAGGAGTTAGCAAAACTAAGTTGGAAAACAATTTCAGCCGCGAAAAACTTACAAGCACAGATGCCGACCGTCAGAGCCGCACGTCTTGTCAGAATCCAACGCAGGCCTTCGATCTCGCTCTTGCCATCGCTGTTGAGCGAGACGGTGATCTTGTAGTTCAATTCCTGAACCATAGTATCGATGATTCGCTGGTTCTCACGCGTGGCCATCTTGTGGTCGTTGAACATGCCCTTGATGTCATCCTTCATACCGGACAGCTCCTGGTTGAGACGCTGGGACAAAATATCCGTTTCATGTTCCAACTGTGTCCTGGATGCGCGCTGCCTCTGCACTTCGGAGTTCCGCGCAGTCTGCAAGGACTGCTGAAGCTCCGAGCAGGCAGCCTTGAAAAGGTACTCCTCGTTTTCCACATCCGACTTCGAGGTCAGGCTCTGCTTTGCGAAATCGAGATTGTTCTGGAGAATGGTGCGGACTGCTTTCATGATAGTGATTGACTGCTCGTTGCTATATCCGCCCTTTGATAGATCAAGCACGAGGGAATAGGTATCGAAATGGTGTACATAGGGCGCCGGGCTCATGTGTGGCGGCTTGTGTGACGCTAGGGTTTCCGTGGGTGTGAGGCCGGTGGCCGGGGAGGGCATGTGGTAGACTTCCTCGAAAGCGCTGCGGTTCATGTATGGCGGCATCTGCGACATCTCCTCTCCTACGTCACCGGATGCAGACATTGAAGGTGGAGGGGTGAAAGTATTCGATGTCTCGGCCTCGGCAGCCAAGTCTTCCTCATCCAGGGCAGGTTCCAATGTGGCAGGGTGTTTGGTTGATTCGGCAGCTGCTTGCTCCGACGCTGCGGAAGCAGCAGCGTCTGTGCTGTCCGCATGTATATCCTCCTGCGGCGGTTGCGACTCCGACTGTAGTTGCGCTTGCGCTTGCGACTCTTCTGACACCGAAGCGGTCTGGTCCGTTGTAGGGGCTGCTTCCTTTCCAGGGACTACTTCGTCCGTATTTTGTGTCGACTGGCTGTCCTTGGGTCGTGATGGTGGAGGCAGGTTTGGTTCGACGGCTGGTCCGTAACGCCGCTGGTAGGTTTCTTGACCGCATCGCCGGGTAGTATGGAAACTTTGTTTGAAACGGGCATATTGGAGGGAGCGATACGTCTTGGGTTCGCATGAGCGAACAGCACGCATCAAACTCGGGTAGAGGAACGGAAGCCGGGGCGTGGCCATGGTTGAGGTGTGCAGAAGTCAGAAACATTTCCCGTCGGCGAAGTCTGAGTGACGTTGTCCCCCGCGGAAACGGAGATTAGGTAAGCACAGCCTCGGCGGGAAGGCTACTAAGGTTATAAAGGTGCACGCTGATTGGTTGGGAGTATACGTATACTTCCCACTACAAAAACCTGTTAGTTATCACTTCTTATGACGACTTTGAAAGTAGTGTTGAAAGAGGTGTCGAAAGAGGTGTCGAAAGAGGTTGAGAAAACTTTGGACGTGGTCCCAGCCTGTGGGATTCCAAATTAAGGGTGAGCCGATAAAGTTTCGTTGGTCTTGCGTATACTTAACTTTAGTGGAAGATTACGCCTATCCTGGGCATTCGTGGTCGATAATTTAATATCGGGTTCGGGCTCATTAGAGGGTCTCAATGAGGATTAAATTCAGCTGAAAAGCAAAATTAAATTAAGGTAAGCTAACACGTATTCAATATTACTTCAAATAAGCTCACTAACTACAACACTCCTGGTTTTTCACAACTCCCATTCATCCCTGCGAGAACGCCAATCCTTCTTGTTGGGTGGCTTCGCCAACGTGTACGCGACATAACGGGTGTCTGACCATTCAAGTGGATCCCGGATGGGCCATCCCCTTCGGAAGCCCGAAATACGACTGAACTCATTAGTAAATATTCCTAATGTATGTAGACTAGAATCCTTGACGTACACATTACCAGTGGACTGGTCATAAATAATCTTCGAGATTCTTGACTCCTGTGTGGTTTTACACCGCAACGCAGCATCTCCCTATAAATAATATTAGCGTTTGTGTTAGGAAGCCTGTTATCTTTTATTTTGCGTGAACTGACTCAAAGGCAACCCGAAAATTAGAGCGAATATCGTCTCGTGTAGAGAGATCTAAGCTCCAGAAAAATTCCTCTGTAAGAGCCTCCCCGGGCACCTTTTCCCACACAAGGTATTTGATATAGCCTCCAGGAACGAGGTCCTATTCCCCTTGCAGTTTTTCGCTGTAGCTAAGGAACCGTGGAACAGAGCTACAGCCCTGACTCATTAATTGCTTAAACGCCTCTAGTTCACCGCAAACCTCAGGAGGTTGGATTTGTTGGGCTAGTGTAGCCAGATCAGCGTCCTCCGTTCCTGTGATGGGAATCTGATAGTATATTCTCATGAACGCTATCTGCCCTGAGTCCCCCTCTAGATGGCAAAGAAATATACAAACTGTCATAGGCGACCCAATAGTCTATCACACTCTGTTGCGAACTTATCATTATGAGCTTCTCTCTGAGCAGTGAAACGGCCAACGTGCGTAGCAAACAACTTGATAACTGATACTACATAGAATTGCTTGTATTGCATAGCGTTGATTAGATCACTTTGTAGACCTATTTCTAGTCTAAGGACTAGGCACCGGCGCTTGAAGCAAAGTGGGACTGAGTAGCCTGCCCCATACTTTATAAAAAGCATACGGAGCCTTTCTATTCCCTCGGACCAGCTAACTAGCTTCTTCGCGACATTTTTGTAGTCCATCTCGCTGGGTTGCGCTGAACGCTGGAACTCAGAAGCCTGATGTGCTAAATCATAGAAATTTCGGGATTATCTGTATAGAGCACATGATAGCTCATTCCCGAGCTTCTCTTGTGATGATATATCAGGGGTTATAAGCGATCAAGCCATTAATCCACCAGCATGACCGTATTACTGAATGAAAAATATCGGTTAGTCCTAGGATCAGGATGGATATAAATATTTAGAACCCAGCTTTCGTCTATAATGGGAGGATTATCCCAAAATTCGAATTGCCATTCGTAGTGGAGCACAAAGCGGAGTAATCTTTATAATGGCATTCTCGCTCAACCTTTGTGACGACGCCCATTAACCTCAAAAGCTCAACTCTGACACTTAATACATGACTATTTACTTGTCCTGAGATAAAAATCCCTGCCTTTGTTCAAGCCCTTAATACTTGGAACAAAGGGGCGCCTGAATAAAATGTACACTGGGTATTGGAGGCACTGCGCCTTCGTCAACTTTACCCTGATGAAGATACTGAAAACAACATAGGTGTCACAAAGCGGAGCTGGAAGGAAGCTTTATAGGAGTTTGAAATGATAAGCAGGTATAGGACTTGACTATGAAGTGGCTTATGTTTGATGTTGATGTACCTCTATATACGAGCGGCAAGGCTGTGTCAAATTAGCAATCACCTTTCATTTAAGATTCTACGCATTGCTGAGAATTGAGATTAGAGTTCAAGACGGAAGTTGTATTCTGTGAAAGGGGTTCAATCTAAGTTAGCGCTATGTTAGAAGAAAAATGCAAGGAAAAATCTAGACAGTTAAGAGCATCGGAAACATTGGAATAAAAGTCGGAGCAACCCTATTCTCGCTCAAGTCGTGCGGAATCTATTACTAGAAACACGCTCAATCAAGAGATAAATCGTGGGATAAGACCGCTGGGCTCGCAATTTTGAAACATTGAAAGCATTTGCAATTGGGGACGTTTGCGGTAAGAGAACGCCAAAGCAGATAGGCAAGATGTCGGGCCTCGCAATCCTCACTAGAAAGTGGGTGTCGGACAGTCCATGCAACATCATGTTTGCGCTGGATCTCCTTACGGCGAGGGTCATCCTTGGGCATAACCCATTCTAGCTCCCAAAGACCATCGTGGCACAACAAATTGTTGAAGGCCAGCTCGGCCCATCCGTCGGCATTGGTGAAGCGGTCCTCAACAACCAGACAGCCAAGATGCAAGGCAAAGGAATGCACCACAATCGCGGTAAAGAAGGAGTTATATATCCTTCCTCGCTCGATGCGCTCACCCTCTAGTCGCAAAAGCCTTTTGATCGCTTCACATCGAAGCTGAAAACAGATTTGAATGTCAGTATCTTGTTGTTGGCGGTTTTGACCGCGTGTCTGAATTTTCTCCATTTTCTTCGCAGCTCTAAGCAGCTCCTTTACAATGTACGCGCTTTCCTTTTCCAAAAGAGGGTCAGAAAGGTACACTGTAAGCTGCCTGAGACGCTCACCGAGTTTGTCTCGAGTCTTTTCGAAGTTCTCAAAAGGAGCCATTGTATAGGATAAGAGTCACTTACCAGGTTCTTGTAGGGTTTCAAATGATACTCGTTAATGATGCTTGCTTGAGATGCAATTGCTTGAGTGATGGATTCTGTAATATCTGGGAATCCATGGGCCTTTTATAATCAGAGCCTCGGAAGGTGTGGGGAGGACTACACAAAGGGCCATTTCATAATTGCGTTGTGAGCCCGGCACATAACAAAGGGAACAATCAGTAGTGTAGGCATCCCGGAAATAGCTTTATTCTGTACTATATCGAGAGTAAGTACTGAGACACTTATTGGCTCTATCTATATTTACTATAGAAACAAGATATCGACTTAAATCCTTCTTCGACCAATCCCGGGGTTCTCGTCCTCTATTGCAATTCATTGTGGTATGCTGCATTTATATTGACTTTAAATAGCCGACATACATGCAATGACTGTCTAAAATAACATCATCTAAGGAGACTGAAAGCCTTCAAAGCAGACGTAGAATCAGCTTCTTGATTGGTTTACACAGTGCAGAGCTTTCTAGAAGATTACCCCTTCTCTCACTTAGGTCTGTCTGACAAGGCAGATTTATCGAAAATAGGCAGGAATAAGGGGTCTTTTTATCCATTTTGTACGGTCACGGAAGATCCAGTTCTGGTTTCATTTCTACGTATAACTTCGATCAAGGTCGAGATTTTCAAGGGAATACGATACATGAGAAAGAATTCGAAGGGCAAATCAATTCCTTTCTAGCAGATCAGCTCATTATGACTATTGAGATGTTATCTCTCCCTTTCAGATATCTTCCCTATCTATACCTAGAGCACTTTTGATCACTGAGGCCGCAGATTCAAGCGTTTTGCCCAACTTGGAAGGCTGAATGAGTGGGTTTATCTCAACTAGATCCATCGCAATGAGATTGCCAGTTTTGTGGAGGCGATGCGAGATATAGATACCCTCTTCAAGAGATAACCCTCGAGTGACAGGGAAACCAGTAGATGGTGCCCATTCCGGATCAAGCGAATCGATATCATACGACACATGTATCGGCGTCCTGTCACCGAGATATTCCAGTGCAAGATCCATGATCGTTTGAATACCTTGACTAGAGATGAATTAGAAAAGATCTTAGAATATCTAAATTTCTCCCGTACGCAGCCTTACCGTCGCACATCATCCATAGTGAATGCCTTGATACCATTCTCCTTGATAAGATTTTCTTCTGCTTCGTCGACATCTCGAAGACCGATATAAACAAATTTCTTCAGGTTGATGAGGTGAGTCTCGGTAATCCAATCAAAGACATTCTTTCCGCGCGACTTTGCCAATCCTGAGGCAAATGCCACTGGCATTCCGTGAATTCGTCCACTGAGACTGGTCTCCGGGGTGTTGATATCCGCATGGGCATCTACCCAGAGAACGGACAGCTCGGCACTGGTCCCTCCAAATCTTTCGCGAAGTGCCCGTGCACTCCCTGTCAGGGTGCCAATTCCCATTGAATGATCACCTCCTAGAGTCATGACGAACCTCCCTTGTCGCGCATGAGCGTAGACACACTCACTTACCCGTTTGGCAGCGAGGCTTACTGTCCGAGGGCTCTTCATCCCATCAACATCAGGGTCTGAATCATCGCTTGACTCAATTGCATTGCCAAGAGATTTGTCTTGACTGAGGTTATCGAAAGAGCAAACATAACTCCCTTTCGATTGGATAACGGAGAAAATCCGGGAGTCAATCAATGCTCCAGGCCCAAGCTCCGCACCGCCCCTAGGCTTTATGGGTTGTCAATACTGTTTATTTTATTCGCTGGCTCTTCTCTGTTCAACCAAACGGGGAATATCCATACCGCTCCGCAGGAAAATCTCGCTGCGATAATTGCCAGACAGCTATGATCTGTCAAAAACTTCGCCGCAGTAGAAGCCTGTCGTGCCATACTGCCAAAGATGTGTGGATTTTTCTGCAGGAAATCTTCGAGTTTCTTGTCAGAAGTTATTTCGATGTGACAGCAAATGGGCTTCTTTTAAATCTCCGTTGCCGGCTACAGTCACCTTTAAGGGCGTTCATAAGTCTCCACATCATGCATGCGGTTTGTAATCTTCCACTAAAGTTAAGTATAGGCGAGACCAACGAAACTTCATCGACCGACCCTCAGTTTCAAGTGCCACTGGCTGATTCATCGGGCGCATCATTAACTTTAGTAACTGTCAGCGTGGTAGAAAATATTTTCGACTCCAAATTGTCTCGCCATAACGGATGCTCTAGACTTAGGTCAAATTTCACCTTACACTTGAGAGCAAGAAAGGAAGGCCTAGCTGGGTACGTTTTAAATTCCTCTATTTCTAAAATGTTTTGGATTGTATTTCCAATCATCTTTTCAAAGAGTCTTAGTAAGACCTCTTGATTTATCTTCTGAAGCCTGACTGATCTATAGACAATTTGGAAGTTAATTCGGGGGCCCAAATTCTATGCAAATAAAAAAAATGCCCTGCGTCTTGTTCTACATCGAACAAAGCAGTTGGGGCATTAATATTTACATTGAAAAATTGCCACTTAAAGGAGAAGATATGCCTGCTGACTGAAATTGCTAATCTACTACTGAGACTTGTTAAAGAGTGTACATGAACCGATATTCAAATCAGTCATTGGGCCAACGGAGCTTGCACAAGGCGTCGTTTGTCACACTGAGAACAGTGACAACGAGAAACTGTCGAATTGAGATGGTGCCATCAATCATACACAGCGCTTCGCTCTGCCTCGGCGACTTCGTTGATCAACGGGGCACTCATTTTCCACCCACTATCCATCACGTCTGCTCGGGACTCCATTTCGTTGGCAAACTGGTTCCCATCTTCCTCGGCAACGGTCAGTCGTCCAATTTGGACCGTGAAGACTTCCAATACTGCAATAATAAACTCATGGTGGAACTTACCTTCCCGAATCATTTTGCTCTGATGGTGTAGTTCGGCTTTGACGATGTCGCATCTGGTTTCGAAGCAGGCGGGAACTACCCTGCTGCTCCTAGATCCGGCCCTGTGACCGGCCTCTCTTAGTTTGTCGGTATCTTTCCAGATGTCTTTCAACGACTGTGCAATGTCGATGGTACCCAGCTCGCTGGGCCTTCCTCGAAGGGTAACGATGATCTGCTGTAGGTTATCGACATAGGACTTTCGAAGGTCCTCAAATGTGGCCGTAGAGAACATAGTGGGAACAAGGGGCGACTCGCCTATCTGTAACAGAGATAGAATGGATATTTAATCTTGACTTTGGGTACAGGCTGTATTCAAGACCAAGATGGCTTGAAATTCTGATGCTTGTGATTATGTGAGGTTCGGTGGGTATTTATCCCTGAGGTCCTACAAGGCACCTTGAAAAGCAGACAAAGCACTATTGAGTTCAAGTCATCACATTACATTCGAATATCAGTCTTTGATCTTCCAACCCCATTTGGAGAGTGGGCCAGGTAATGAATGGGCATTGTCAAAAAATCGAGACTTGGCCATACTTACAATCTCTTTCTATTTATACTCGAACAATTGACATTGTGATGCCCGGCAAAGGCTTTGTTAGGGCGATTGAGGATCGCTTCTATTTCTAGAGACGATCGAGCAATACAATCAAAGTCCCTTGGTAATTTTAGTTGAGCAGAATAATTTTCGCATATCTCCGTCGCGGAACGAAGGGCAAGTCCGCATGAGTTAGATGTAGCCTCTTTATTACTTACATCGGCTCTTGATCTTAAATGATAGTAACAAGCTCATCTGCAGCGATGTGCATAGTAAGTAATTTTCAACGGCGCGTCGGTCAAACATAGTGGACTTTTTCTAGGTTCTTGTTATGTATATAGAAATTGCGTCGCCAAACCCCTTTCCTGTTTGATGAGAGTGGCCGACTAGGTAATTCCGCAGACCCACACCCGTGGACCCTCGGTGATCCGATCCATCCTTGTGCTCCGCCAAAACTGACTTCATTCCTAAGGACAGCTAATATTCCTCGACGTGTCGCCTGGCTTGACCTTTCACCTAGACCTCTCGCTCCCTAGTCAAAATTGCTATGGCTATGAACGAGTCTGAAGCTACCCGCATCCTTCGGGATATGGCACGTGTCCGCGAAGAGACATGGGGCTTTTTTTTCTACCGCACCTGTTATTACAACGATGATACACGGTGGGGGAAGTTTCTGGCGCGAATGAAGGAATTCGCAGAATCGACTCTACTGAAGCTCCGATCGTACAATAAGGACGGCGGTGGGCAAATCCTCTTGAACAAACTAGAGTGGAATATTCAATCTCATCCTTCGTTTGACGGCTGTTCAAAAGAGGAGATCTGGCGGTATGAATTACAATGCCCTGAGATGAACTTTCTATGTGGAGATACCCAGGAGAAGAAACTGATTATAGTGCAGACGCCACCGAGAACTTATGAGGTCTCTTTACGGAGAATATGATGCCACTGTAATCAAACATGGACACCCCATCATCGTCGACAAAGTGTCGTTAGATTCTGTCCTAGAAGCTCCGGGACCGACTGAATGGAGGCCTGTTCACACTCGTGAGTCAACGGCCCATGTGACTGTGCTTGATATGCAATGGTTCGACCTACGCGAAGCTCCTGAGGATGATGAATATTTGCCTGAGGACGAAGTCGGGTGGGCCAAGGTTTTGGCAGTCAAGGTACATCCTAGATTATATTCCATGCTACAGAGCGGGCTGTGGTCTCAAGTTGTGTATTGCGTGCCAACAGAGATATCTCGTCTGCCCTGAACTCGCATCTTGGGCTACTATCTCCAACTGCACAATGCATGCATCACTATGGAAAGCTCATCTTTGCCTCAGAAATGACAATGCGTGCACTTAATGCGAGGCCTCTTCTGGAGCTTCCTGCAGAAAAAAAGAAAAGAGCGTTAATGCTTATATAAATGGGGAATTGCTTTTCAAAAAGACGAGCTTAGTTTCTTGAAGAGTATCTGTCACTAAAATAGCATTTCTACTGTGAACAGAAGAAATACAAGGAGCTGGAAGAGTTCATAGCGAGCTTGAATCAATGTAAGTCTAGTAAACTTTCTCTGCCTCATTCATTGGTCAGATTTTGTCGTACCAATAACTGGATCCTTCTTTCACAGTTGACCTCAAGAGTTATTATCCAGTCGCCTTCATCAGAATTAACTCCGGAGCTCTTGTTTCTATATACTCAAGTACAACCCAAAGCTATGTATGTGCATCACGTCCACGTTCAATACAGATCAAGTATATGTATAACACAGCCCATGTTCATGAGGGTTCATGACTTCAATCACCCTTCGCGGTCGATCGAGGACTCCAAACTCCATCGTCATGTTTAGCATGACTGGTTGGGCCCAGGGTGGATTCAAAATGGTCGTAGTGCCGTTGAGCGCATATCGCCGGTTCTTCTCATCTCTGCTTTGCCACATCGTCCAAAGCCGATCGATCATACAATGGTGTAGCATAAAAGCCGGATCCTGCGGCGAGGCAAATAGATCTTGCATGGTTGCACCTAAGCTAAAGTGTCCTCCGCCGTGAACTCCGAGGACGCCATCTGGCCGGGCTGGCCAATGGTCCATGACCGTCTGAAAATCGACGATATCTGTTGATGCCAGAAGTCGTGAAACGATCGTTGCGTTGTTATAGTTTGAAGTTACGAAGTTATTTAGACTTCGGTTTAAACAGCGTGGGTTGTATTCGAATTTTGGGGATGGAATCTCGGTGAACGAAGTCAGGTCGCGAGAGAAAGGACCGAGATGTATCTGTAGGTCTTTGAAGGGACCGCACTTGATACAACCTCCACCTGAGCCACGGGGAAGAGTGATATTGCCTCCGGATAGAGGTTGCTCTTCTGGGTTATACTCCCCATCGCCAGAAAGCGATGTTTCGCTGCAGTCAAAGAGAGGACTTTTGTGGAGGTCGTTCGTCCAAAGAGGCCAATTCCAGTATCTAGTTGAATGCACGATTAGCTCCGGACCCTGTTATACATTGTATAGTATCCTTACGGAAGATAGCTTGTATAGCCACATTCCTCTCGAAGAGCTCGCTCCCATAGCCAGGTGAAACGACGGTGCCATGGAAGGAATAATCCGCTGTAGTGGACGTGAAGTGTGTAGTTAATGTGAGTGCTGTAAAGTGTCAGCTCAATCGTGTTTAGTTCCTTGTCGATATTTGCAGTCTCAAATACGCACGCGACAAAATCATCAAATCGGCTGCGTACCCCAGGGTACTCTGCAGTTGGAAGTCGAGGGGGCTTTCGAGTCAGACATAAAACGGCATCGGTGTAGTTCTTTCTCTCAGCTGGCGCCATCTCCCCCCTAGAGAGTATTAGCAATGTTTTAGATGGTGAACAGAGTAGAAGATCAGCATATTTACCATTCTCTGCGCATCGCTGTCTTATTCGGTGTGCATGATTGTCCTCTGGGGATGGAAATCGCCACGGCCACCTGCGCAAGGATGCATAGTATCCAAACGGGATTGAACAAGATCATCGCTGCAAATGGTCTTAAGGTTGAAAAGAAAGGCAACCCGAGATCAATTGAACACTCGCAAATTCCTGGAAGGTGAGAGCCTGTCTTATGAACAGCTCTTTGTGATGGACAACATGGGCTAAAAATAATCAGCCCCTGCCTAGAGCTTAGTGATCTCGACTCGCAAGAATCGACTCATTCTGATCAAGTTCCAAGGCCTCCACAAGAGCCCTACACAGGGGTCCTATCTTGGCGAGGGATGTGATAATGCCCAATAATACCCGAGGTATATCAGGAAATTCGACCGCGCCTGGAAGGGCTTTACCAGTTTGGGTCAAAGTACATATGATCTATCAACGGAATTGAACCCTAATTTGGCTCCTGCATGACACATAGCAAATCCCATTGTTAAGTAAGAGTGTTATGAGTTTGATGGCTTATTGTTTTCGCAAGGGGTTCTTTTGAGGCGCCCAAGATCCCTGCATATGACAACTCACAACAGCGTCGATCGGCGAGGCCATGTGGATAATCTCTCGGTTATTTAGGACCGTTCGCAACATGGGCATATGCAACTCGCGTTTCCATCTAGTCTAATAAGATAAACCCTCAAGTACATATGGTGAATCGGTTCCGTTGATCCCGAGTTGAACAACACGAAGGTTCGGAAGGTGATTAGCGTGCAGTATGTACGCAATTGTGACCTGGTCCAGCTCTCAGCGCACGCGATCTCTCTGTCTGATAATTATGGGCAAGGGAGATGTTCACATTGAGTAAATTGATCGAGCTCCCACATGTATGTGTATTTCCAAATTGGGATGGAAGAGAGTTGTACTCTATGGATGCTATGCTAAGAAAAAACGCTAAGATAAGAAAGATAACAAGAACTCTGCAGAATGATGAATATATAGAACAAAGTGTGGGTATTAACGCTCTGCCAATAGACCAAACAGAAGCTCCGTCCGCTTCCAATATTCTTGAGAGGACTTGCGGATAGCCTTGGCAGCTGCAAGGCTAGGGTCGGCGCTTTTTTGAACCCGCTCCGCGACATCGGCCAACTGCGTCGGGTCGCCTAACATGTTTGCCAGGTAAAGGGCATCAAAGAGCAGCTGCACCTTCCAATCGTGCAAAGCCTCTGCAGGAGGGGCATCAATTGGTTTATCGGCATCCACAGGATCAGTGGTAGCGTCTGCCGCTTTCTCGACCTTGTCACCATCTGCAGCGGGTTCTTCATCCTTGGGTTCAGAGTCGAGAATAGCTTTGCTTGAAGTCTCCCAGCCTTCCAGTTCCTCGAGTGTCGAGTTGAGCGTCTTTTCCAACTGCTTTGCCAATGTAGTCTTCAAGACTCGCACGGTTGATGGGTCCCAAAGATCAGGGCCACTCTCATCCATAGTGGCAGTCAAGCGACGCAGGAACTTGAATGTACTTGGTGAAGGCTGGACAGGCATAGGTGGTTCGCCTTCCCAAAGCGACCGGCCAGGAACAAGCCTAGAAGTCTTTTCCTTGATAGTTGTGATCGCAGGGACAAAGGCTAGACCGCCAGTATGCGTCACAATGTCCTTAGCAAGCAGATCCTGCAGCTTGGGAGTAAGGTCGCTTGAGAACAGGAAATCTGCTGCGACAAACCCAGAAGGTATCTCTCGGCGAACAAGCCGGATGAGCCGAAGCAAGAATGTGGCCTTCTGATTGAGATGCGAAGACCCAAATGTCGCAAAGGCATCATTGAAGGAATCTTGAAGATTTTGGTAAGCCTGCCCGACAGCCGAATGCAGAGCATTCGAAAGAGTTCGCGGGTCTTCATCGTTCAGTCGAGGGTTGACGTCGATGTCTTCATCTTCCACTTCGCCGCCAACCAGGACATCAGTCCACTTAAGGCGGCGGAGAGCATCAATCGATTCATTCAATTCTTGGACAGATACGAGCCAGGATTTGTACTTCGTCAAGACTGCAGACACGTCATCGTCCCGTCCGAGCAGACGGTCCGCCACCGCATGTTTGAAAATAGATGCCCCGTTTGAGTAATCCGCGGCAATCAAGTCAGAATCCCAGAGGGACCCAACTGAAGCATGTTCAGACGTTTCCCAGTTAGACACGGTCGATGAAATCTGGCCCGCAATGTCATCGATTGTCTGGACCTGAGTGGTCAGGATTCGTTTAAGATGATCGTTGAAGATGTTTCGTAGGCGTTCAAGAACAACTTCAGAGCCGTGTGTAATCGTCGAACCCCAGGAGGATAGCCACGATTCTACGGTATCCGCACGCAAAGACAAGAGCGCGGGGAAGTCATTGCACTGAGCAAGAGCCTTCCGAGCTCCCTCCACGAACCTGTCAAAGGCCTGGGACGACCACTCCTTAATAGACTGGAGACCTTCAGAGCGTCCAAGCTCACTCAGTTTAATCCAGGGTGTGAAATTGATGACCTCTGGGGCGGCCCAACGACCCAGCACTTCAATCTCTAGGCCGTCTAGACTGCGAACTTCTGGATCAGAGAGAATGGGTCTTGTCTTGAGCTTGGACAGAACGTCCGAAAATTGACGAGATCGCAAGACCTTGGAATTCTGCAGTGTGCGAATGAAGAGTCGAAGGGCTTTCGGGATGTTCTCGCGAGACGAATCCAATTGGCTGGTAATAACATCGAGGCGAACCTGGTGGAAATGATGGATAGCATCGTCGGATGAAGAACTTGTCGCAAGGCAGAATGCAGCCAATGACTCGATTATGCTATCATCCAAGCCATTTGCGGATGTCAATCGTTTATCAATTCGTTTTAGAAGTGTTCGGCGCAGCGAGGCCAATTGATTACGCAGATCGTCTAGGAACGGTGGGGTCGAGGGGTGTTGAGAGAGAGTTTTGTGCAGGAGGCGAGATACAACGAGTACCTTTGCAATAAGCAGCATCGAAGCCCGTTTGCGCAATAGTCGAGTGATGGAAGTTGTACAACGGTGAAGTAGCGCTAGTTGCGCTCCGAAGGTATGCTTATCGGCATCTGCCGGCCATGTTAGCAATTGAGTCTCTCAGCCACGGGTCAGACATAGCATACCTGTATCTGTAGTGTCACTCTTCATCTGCCGCGCATGAAGATGCTTCTTCTCCACCAGCCGCGGGTTGCATCGTCGTCCAACATCGGTCAGGGTAGCCTCCACGTCTTGGATCTCCTTGTTCATTTCCACAATTGTCTCCGCAGTTCTAACAAGTTCTCGGTATCGCGTACTAATAAACGCATTGATATTAGCACTTGAGCAACTCAGACTCGGCATCAATGGTGTACTACTTACCCCACGAGAGCTCGGAGCTTCTCCCTATTGCTTGTAATGTCCCGTCGCAGTTCCTGCTCCACACGGCGAACCGTAGGAATCGGGTACTGAAATGCGTCTTGCCATGACTTCAGGCTCTGGGGATCTGGAGCCTCGGGGGCCATTCTGACAACGGTGCTGCGAGAAGCTCAAGGTCGCGTTGGGACCAAATCACCAACTCCGCCGGGGTGCCTGAGGTGGCCGCAGGCTTATGTCATCTATCGTTATCGGCAGGTGACTCAAAGAAAAACGTCCCCGCGGTTCCCCTTCATGACTTTTGTCAAGCAGCTTAAAGATTAAAAAAGATGAGAATGCCTGTTATGGAGACAGAAAATACTCCGGTAGAGGCTTCATTGAGCGAAGTCCCGGACCGTTTGCCTTTCCCGCCAGTGACGTACTCTCACATTCTCCATTGCTCCTACCATGACTGGCACCCTCGGTATGCTTTTGCCGCTCCGCGACCATCTTCGCAAAACAAAGTCTAATCTTCAATCTTAGTTATCGGCCACTTATCCCAAAGTCTCGTCTGATTCCCCTCACCCCAGAATTTGTGAACTACCTCCGTGCCGACGGCATCGTTCTTCCACCCGAAGCCCGCCCTCCGAGAGAAGATGACGAGCTCGATGCATACGAAGATTCCGAAGAGGGAGAGGCGGATCCATCCGCGGAGTGGCAGGAGATTCATACTCAAATCAAGAACACTATTGCAGAATTGGGTGGCAAGGTCACGCCGAAGCTGAACTGGAGTGCACCCAAAGACGCAACTTTCATGTCCCCAACAAACGATACCGAATGCCGCTCGCCGAACGATATATATCTTCTCCTAAAGAGTAGCGACTTCATCACGCATGATCTGGAGCACCCCTTCGACAACTGCGAACCGGACCACATCAACGGCAACGCCACGGAAGACGTCCTGCCAGACGTGCCTTACCACCTGGTGCTCCGGCAATACGTCAACTTCAACCCGTCCCTCGAGTTCCGATGCTTCGTTCGGAATCGCAAGCTGCTTTGCATATGCCAACGTGACCAGAATCATTTTGACTTCCTCTTTGGCATGCGCGACATGCTCCGATCCCGGATCCAGTCGTTCTTCGATGAGAAGCTGCGCGATACCTTCCCCGATCCCGACTTTACCTTCGATGTGTACATTCCAGCTCCGCATCAGCGTGTCTGGCTTATTGATATCAACCCTTGGGCACAGCGGACCGATCCGCTTCTCTTTAGCTGGTTGGAGATCCTGCGGATGAAGGACCCCATCGGTTTCGAAGAGGAGGCAGATAATGGGGTCGAGGAAGGGTTCGTGCGCATCTCCCTTCGGGATGGTACTGTTATCACCCCCTCTGAAGAGGAGGCTGAGGGAGACTCTGCCTCAGAGGAAGAGGAGGAAGTCGATAATGTCACTGCTGGTGGTGATGACCGGTTTGCGCCCTTTTTGCCGGAGTTCCGCCTTATTAAGAAGGATGACCCGGAGTCATATTCGTTCAACACACCGCAGTTCTCGGCTCATAAAGTGCCAAAGGAACTTGTGGATGCTTCGCTGGCCGGACCTGGTGGTATGAGCGAGTTCTTGGGCAAGTGGCAGGAGATTCTGAAGCAACAGGAGCGCGAGGACCGGGATGCTGGCAATGAGTCCAACTAGATGGACCAACTGTAAATGTGCATTGAGTTGAGGCGTTGATCCTAGGTGCTTTTGGATTCCGCGGCGTTGTCCGATGCATTTGCATGGATTGGTCAAAAGTGCATTTTTCAAACAAATTAAATGAACCATTTATAAACGCAAAGTATAAACCTTATTGCTTGCAGGATTTCCGAAACCTTCTTTGTTGTCTAAGCCCCAAAGCTATATATACAAGACAACCCGACATCCCCAGTCTAAAGCTTATGCTTCTTCTCGCCAGAAGCCAACTTCCTGAACTCCTCCTGCGGCACACCCATCAAAAACCGCTCCAGACCCATAAACGCCTCAATCCCATTCTGACGATCCAGAATCTCCCTCTCAGGCCGACGCACAAGCTCCTTAATCTTCAACAGACTCGACTGATTCAAATGCGTACCCAACCGATCATCAACCTCAGCAAGCACATTCTTCAAGAACCCATCTGAGTCCTCCTTATTCTTCGAGTCCGCCTCGATAACCTTATTCACGAATCCAGCCGACACAAGCTCCTCGCAGGAAATCCGCTTGCTCATGATAAGCGCCTCGTTGGCCTTGGCGATGCCGAGACGCTCGACGAATGCGCGGCTGGCGCCGCCTTCGGCGACGAGGCCCAGGGATGAGAAGGGGGTTAGCACGAAGGCGTGCGGGGCGGCGTAGATGAAGTCCGCGTGGGAGATTAGGGCTGCGGAGAGGCCAACGGCGGGTCCGTTCAGGGCGACGACGAGGATCTTGCTGTGGTTGTAGAAGGTGCGGGTGACGTCGACGTTGTTGGCGACGAAGCCCTTGACCAGTTCGCGGCGAGCGTTGGAGCTCAGATCGCCATTGGGACGGCTGCTTGTAACGTCTGCGCCGCTGTATTCGGGAGAATTGGGTTAGTTTGGGTAGGGCTTGGAGAGGGATGGGTTAGATCAGAGTGTTATAGATCGTACGCAGAGAAGAATCGGCCTGTGCCGGTGAGGACAGTGATGTAGATATCCTCGCGCTGGTCAATCTCCCGGAGACGCTCGCCGAGGAGGTAGTAGAGCTCCTGGTTCAGAGCATTCAGCTTGTCAGGCCGGTTGAGCGTGACGATCGCGACACGGTCCCGATAAGTGAGGGTGATGAGCTGTTCGTTGGACATGGTTGCGATTTTGGATATGAATAGATACTCTTGACGGAATTGGAGCCGAGTCAATCTGGGTCCGGGGGAGGTTTTCTATGGACACAGACGATCGTATAATTATGCATGGGACAAAACCCCCGGTAAACTCGGCGCGTGGCAGGCACCGTAGAATGGCCGTTTTGCGGGGAGACCACCGCAAGCCGAGGCCCGCGGTAGGTCAGGTGACTTGGCACTTTGCTTATGCAATTCATCTTTCCAGAGCGGCATGTTTGCGCTGTTTGTCTTGGTTTGCGGTGTTTGAATCATCGGGCCCGTGACTGGCGCATCAGACAATATCCAGATCCCGAGTCTTGCATCGTTTGATCGGCCACTGCTTGAGCTGCACAGATCCCGGAGATACCGCATATATCTCGAATTATTTCTACCAAAAGGCTCCCTGTCGAGTAATTCATCTGCCAAAATGATCTCAAACATGCTTCGTCGCCTTCAGGGCGGAAACCTGGAAGTTTTCAAGGTAAGTCCCGCGCTCATATAAAGCACATTCTCACTTATTTCATGATTGCACCGTGTTCAATTTCCCTGTCTAGACCCTCTCCAATCTTTCGCACCTGTACTGACCTACTTCCCTCTAGTTCGGCATGTACGTCCTCTTCCCCATCGGTTGGATGTACTACTTCGGCACGAACCTCGATGACCGCTTCAACGTGAAGAACTTCTGGCCCACCGCCGAACAATCACATAAGATCCCACTGGACAAGGAGGAGATCGACAAGGAGCTGTCGCGCATGCGCATGGTGGACGCCCTCCGACGGGAGCGCCAGCAGAAGGAGCAAGCCGCATTGGCAGCCCAGGCGCAGGCTCAGGCGGACGCACAGCAGTCGCAGGCTGGACAATGAGGGGAAATTGTTTTGACGAGTATGGATAAAAAGGGTAGACTCGCAGACCCAAAATTAAAAATGGGCTAGCTGGGCTATAGCATCCATCACGCCTGTCTAGCTTGCGCCTGGCTTTGCTCCGCCTCCTCCCCCGGGGGTTTGTCAACGTCCCTGCGGTTGGCGTGGCATGTGTGGGAGTCGTACGTGTGAGAGGGACGAATGATTTGTATAACAATACTCTGCTCTGGGCATATTAGGCGTTTATGGGTTTTGGGATTACCAAGTTTGACTCGGGGACTTCAATGTATCATTTCTTTGACGTCTTGATGATGTTTATATTACATTACATATTATCGGCCAGTTGGGCCTCGTTCAATATAGGCATTATTCCGCGGGCAGGAAAAAAAGATAGTGTGCAGATATCCCGCAAAAAGAAAAGTCTCGTCGTCCGGAGGTAGGCCATCCATGGAGTTTTGGCCATTGTCACCAACCGGGACCGTTTGGGTAACACAGAAGGATATCAATTAATGATAAATATCTGCGCTATGCAAAGCGTGTCTATCAATGGGACGGCCAATAACGAATATCCAAGCAAAACGATCGGATGATTCCAGCCAAAGGGTCATGACGTGGCTTCGCAATGCATGGTCATTCCTCGGACAAGCCGACACGAGAATCCAATAGAGAAAACACAAAACGCCAATGATGCGCCAGCCGGTCAACAAGCATTGACTCGTAGTCGTTGTTCAGGCCGGTCTTCCAGATAATTCATGTTCTGTCCGGACTCCCCCAAACTCCCGGGGCAACACTATTCACAAGTTACAATTCACCGAGATGCTGTGTCGTCGTGGCAGCCGCAGCGGCCGTCTTCGCAGTCTCGTATACAACCTCAAGACCCTGGGTGGCGGCATCACCGAAGACGGAGCCCATTGAAGAGGTCAGACGGGTGGAAATGAAGGGCCGTTCTCCGGCCCAGTAGTAGTAGAGGTGACCGTAGATGGCGCGGAGGTGGTCTGGGAGGTAGATGTAGATGCCAGTAGCGATCATGGTGATCAGGGTAAGGAGAAGGGAGTCTATTCGAGTGAAAGGGAAGACGGTTAGCTTCAATTGACATTGACAATGGTTCATCACGAGGGCCACGTACTGAAGATGAATTTTTCGGTCGGGGTGAGCATGTAGATGGCAAAGGTCACCTCATATTGGTAGATCTTTAGGCGCACCCAGCGCACAAAGTTGGTGAGGATCCAGAGGAAGAGAGCCATGGCTGCAGTAAAATCGTCGTCGTTATTCCTGGTAGCGTCGCAGAAGAGATTTATCGAGGCTGTTCGGTCTCGTTGTCTTGTTCTCCGTTTCAATCGCAGATAGGAGACGTTCAACGAAGTCGAGGTTGAAGAGGCGCCTGGGTTGTGGTCGGCTGCGGTGACACCTTTCTTGGTCTTGGACTCGCACGAATAGCCCCCTAGTCAGAAGCTGGCGCGAGCAGAGGCAGAGACGGAGCGATGGCTTGGCAGACGGGGTCGGTCTCCTCGAATCGCCGATAAGCTCAAATTGAGTACCTTAGTCTTGTTGGCCCACTCGGACTCCGAAACGACGTGTGGCGGTTATGATGACGAGGGAATTGTTAGTCAAACGGGAGATCTATGCCACCATACTGCTTGCAAAGACAGTCACAATGGATGAACAGGCAGATCTGACGTGATCGACAGGCTTCGGCGAGTGTTGGGGAAGGCCGACGATTGTGGGGACGTGGCGGCTGAGGTGCTTCAGGAGAGAAGTCGGAAGAGTTTAGAGACACGCGGACAGGCGTGACCACAGTCTTGGTAGCCGAGGAGGAATAAAAATGGAAGGAACGATTGAACGGATGTTAGCGACTGTAGCAGAAGCAGTTGAATTGAGTATTTAGGATTGATGGTGGGTGAAATCCGGAGTCGTAACGGCAAAAAGGGCCCAAGAAAAATTGACTAAACTCTTCCTCCTTTCCCCTGGGAGGTTTGGTTGCTTCGCCACCTCTCGGCCGTGCACCATCCCGACCCGGCGTGTTTCAGATGTGCACCTGTCAATCAGGGTCTCGTATACTCGTATTGGATTTTGATCCAGTCAATTTGAGTGAACTACAATGGACAGTATAGCTACCTATCAATACTTACCAGTGTCTAAGTTTTGTCCCACTGGGTGTACGTCAACCTGCCCCCATTTTGCCTACTGCATACTGCATAAAATACTGGTACCTAGTTGGCGCTGTTCATCGATTCCGCGACGGGTTTCGGGAGTAAATCGAGCCGCTTACTGTATTAGGCTGCCATTTTATGCTGAGTCTATTATTATTGGAACTTTGTCCTATTCATCGGGAGACCTTCCGTCTACAGGCTGTATAGAGTATTCCGTCAACAATTCTACGCCGTAGTTGGGCGAGATATACAAGCGAACTAAGGTTACGGGCAAGCATTATACGCAAGGACCATGATTACCTAGATCTATATGTAACTATGTTCATTCATACTAAGTATTTAGCTAGATAGTCTGTCGCTGGCTATCAATTGGAGCTTTCTTGTAAATATAGCATCCATGAGACTGGGCAATATTGTACCAGAATTGTGCAACGAGCATAATCTCACGGCTTGCCAATCTCACCGGAATGCAAATCCGTACTTGCAGAAAACTCATCGTCCCAAGAATAAACCATATCCCCGATCCCAAGAGTGGATCTTATACCTCAAGCCCCAATAAGACCAAAAGAAGCATCCGCGAAACCCCGGAGCTTATCTTCTTTATCGATATCCTTATCGGTTATCTTATCGGCTATCGTCGAAGCTATTCGCGAAACATCACCACAGACACTCTTCTTTAAATCATGAAATCAACAGCCATGATCCGGTCACAACTCTGGTCCCAGTTATCCCGGGGCTCTTCAACCCAAAATGCATTACTTTCTCCATATACATTATTACTTCCACATCGCACCTTCTCCCAAACACCCTTCCTCCCCGCAAAACCCCTCCCAGCCCGCCTCAAAATCAACGACGCCGACCTAACAGTATCCTACCTAAAAGGCACCGGACCCGGTGGCCAGAAGATTGTACGCCTTTACCAACCCCAATGCCTACACCGGCAATCTCTACCAGAAGTCCTAAATCTAACAAGCGTAGAACAAAACCAACTCCGCCGTACAAATCATCCATGCGCCGTCCGGGATCGTCGTCAAATGCCAAGCGACGCGATCACGCTCGCAGAATGAAAAGATGGCGCGCTCGCTGCTGGCGGATAGAGTGGAGGCTCGGGAGAAGGGGGATCAGAGTCGGGTTGCGCTGAAGGCGGAGGCGGCGAGGAAGAAGAAGGCTAGTAAGGTTAAGAAGGCAAGGAGGAAGTATCGGGATTTGGAGAAGGGCGCTGAAGAGGGAGTGAGTGAGGGATTGGAGCAGGAGGCGGATGGGGATGTAGAAACAGAAGTCGAAGTCGAAGTCGAAAAACGGACGACTGGGAAGGACACGTCGGAGAAGGGCCCGTCGACGTGAGCTGTGCTGGCTAATACCCTGTATATTTTGCATATACTTTGCTCTGGGATTGAGGCGTTAAGGCATACTGTGTACTACGGGCAACGGACACATTTTATTCCCCTTAAATATTCATTGGGCATATCCTATCAGATTTATGATGGAGAAACCGCCCATCAATATAGAGAGATTCATCCATCATTGCATACACGCCATCCACTAACATCCTCCGAGGCAGATGGGGTGTCGTTCAATCGTCAACTTTTTGTGTTTTTCTTAAGAACAAAGGAAACTCATTACAACTGCCCTCCCTGGCGCAAACCATGATCACCCCAATCTAAGACTCTTAGGAAATATAGCTCCCAAGGACCGACTTGGCCTGGTCATCAAGACGCTCCTGGGCGAACTGTGAAACTCGGCCGCCATTCTTCTTGTCCGCCTCCTTCAGGTAAGAGCCAACCCAGGCCTTGAGATCAAGACCCGTCTCAGGCCAGGGGTCCTTGGGCTGCATACGGATGGTGTTCAACGCCGTGAATCCAACGCCGAAGGACATCTCTTCGGCGTCGAACTCAATGAGGTCATCCTTGTGGACAACCTCGGGGGAAGCTCAAGGAGCTTCAGCAGAGTGTTGCAGGTGAACGCCCAGCCCTTGACATACTTGGTGGCAAATGCCTCCGAGTTGGCAAGAGTCTTGGTCAGTGAGATAACTGCAGTCTTGCGATCCAGAGGGCGTGCCAGCTTCTGAGTATCGGCGAGCACAAGGCCGAGGTAAACGCCCTTGAAAAGACTATCACATTGTTTGTCAGGATTATACCTATATGGAAGGAGTGGGGTCAACTGACTCTGGCTGGATCTTTTCACAGATCTGCTGGATGGTGTCCGGACTGTATCCCTTGTCGTCATGAGCAGTCAGGAAGTGATAGAACCGGACGAATCGAAGGGACAAGTTCTCGGTCTTGGAGTTTTGCAGACGCTGAAGAATAATCTGCATGATCTGGATGAAATACGGCTCCAGTGCGGCACTATGTGACATGATTAGCTCAATAGCCCATTCAAAAAAAAAAAACTAGGATATGGTGTTAATTACGGTGCGAAGTTTGCAACCACAGACTCCAGGAGATCGAAGCCATAGCCCTCGTTGGTCTTGGTTGACAAAAGCTTCTGGAAGATACCCAGAATAGGCTCAACCTGGCTGTGCTCGAGGATGTACTGCGATCCACGGGGGATAATGGAGGAAAGCAGCCGAACGAGGGCAGGGATGTTGCCTCGCGACTCCCACATGACTGGCATCAAGATTGGCGCAATCAATTCCTGGTAGTAGGTAGGCAGAGTTGCAGAGGGGTTGGCCTCAAGAAGAGCCGCGAAGAGCTGGAACACATAGGGCATGAATTCTGTGACAAAACGTTAGCAGAGCTGTGACGAGAACATATGAATGATGGACTTACCTTGCACGTCGTTCTGGAGAATACCGGCAAATGGCGTATATAGGGCCTGCTCGAGCTTGTCGGGATTGGCCGGGGCGGCAAATCTAGAAATAGTTAGGTCTGTTGAACAACTAAATTGCAGTGAAGAAGTAAAACTCATACCGGATGAAAGCACCCATGGCTTCAAAGTGGTAGTAATAGAACTTCGGATTACTAGGGTTGGTGCGAATGATATCCGTGATGCCGATCAGGCGGTTCAGCACGACATCTGTGAAAGGCACGACACCCTCACGGATGACGACCAGCACACGCATGACACAGCGCATCAGGAACTCGTTCTCCTGCACCTTCTCAGGAGCGGGATCCCGTTGGATCAACTGGAAGATGTGTTCCAAAAGTTCCTTGGACAGCGGAGTAATCTCGGTGGGAGGAATGACGGGCTGTCCCTGGGCGTCGCTGAGGAAGAGAGCGCGCTCCACGGCAATCGCAGCATATGTGTAGACAACATAGTTTGCGGAAGCCAGGTGCTTTACCAACACGGGAAGCACCTGCTGCCATTGTTCCTTGGTGATGATGCTGCGGAAGTTGTACAAGTACTTGATAGCATCAACCTTGAGAATTGGGTGCACTCCGTCATCGGAGATGAGATCTGCGGCAAGGTGCCGCTGGAAGAAGTCGGTGATGCTGACCAGGTTGTTCGTAGCAGTGACACCGTGTGTAGAGGTCGCAACACCCTTGGCGGCAATCGCAGAGAACAAGTAGGTCGCTGTGTCCTTGGACTTCCAGTTTGACGCAGGATCCTTGGCATACTCGCCAAGGTAGTGCTCGGTATACTTGAGAGTCACCTTGGTCACGGATGCCTCAAACTTCTCAGCCAGTCGTCGAAGGAAGTCTGTTGCAGCGCGCCGCCTGGTCTCGCTGTCGGATCCCTCCAGATCCCGGCGAATGAACTCAATCGGCTCGTCTTCGAACAGCTCCTCATCCGACTCACGCAGGCTCACGTTGGGCAGAATGACCTTCTCAATAATCTGTCCAAGCGTCTCCTCGGCCTGGAAAGAGGGGGCATGCTCGGGCATGCTAGCGACCGAGGTCAAGAAGTGAAGGGCACGGCTGACAAGAATGTCATACTTGGTCTCTTGGCCGATGGTGGTCAAGAAACTCCAGGAGCTCTGGATGAACTGTCCGACATGAGGTCCAAATGCATCAAGGAACTTCTGGACGTACAGAGTCAGAGCCTCAAAAATTCCGGCACGGACATACTCCAACGGGCCAGCATCGGTCTCATCATCGGTGTGGAGTAGTTGGTTGTCATATGTCAGGTATTTGAGAAGGATCTGTGCAATCGCGCCGATGTTATCTTCGAACATAGGAGGAAGGTCGTGACACGAGAGGTCGTAGAACAACTTGATCATCAAGTTCAGCTGGTTGTAACCCTGGGTCAAGTTTTCCTTGTTGGTCTTGTTTTGTTCGAGGTAAGTGTCGAGGCCCTATAGAGACACCCAGTATTAGCGAACCACTTATAACATGTCGTCCCTAATTTTCGGCGAAAAAAAGAGTAACAAAGTTAGACTGAAGGGAGGTGTCTCGGAATTACCTCGAACAGGGCCAGGAACGGAGTTCCGAACTTCTCCAGGACATGATTAATTTCCATGTAGAGTTCATTGGATTGGAAAAGCGGGCGCCAGCGCTTGAAGATTGAGTGCGCAACCTGCAAAACACCAATGTTGACCGTAGGGTTGGACGGCGACAGCTTCGAAACGAGGTCCTACGGAAGGAAGAAAAACAAAAGTCAGCCATACTCTTCCAGCAAAATCAGAACTTATAGCCACCCACGTCAACAAGAGTATCCCATCGCTCCCAGAAATCACTGTCGGCGATCACGCTAACAGCCTCGCCCAGCTGAGTTTGGATCGAGGGAGGGACCGAGATCATCAAGTTGATCAGCTCGCGCTTGATGGTTTCAACCTCATTTTGAGGCAGCTTCCAGTTTCCATCTTCGTTGGTCCAATTGCGCTTGACAAAGTTCTTGAAGCAGAGGGCACTAGCAAGGCGAATGTTGCTGGGAGATGAATCGGACGCAGAGATTTGGAGGAGTTGTAGCGAAAAGCCCGGTTTTTGTTCTTCCTGTCGCAGGGCAAGCTCGGCTGATTCAATCCCAGAGAGTCATTAGAAGGATTCTCCATCACTTTTCCATGCGATAACACACATACCTTCCTTGTTCCGGCGTGGATCCAAGCTTGCCTCCAACAGAGCTCCAAGAGCCTCCGCCATTTTCACTGGTACGTGGGGTGTCAACAAGAGCGAGGGGCAACCGTTAAAGAGGAGGATCGAGATAGTAGTCTCAGGGAAGGATCGAAATGAGAGGTTTCCAAGAGATGGAAATAGTGGGATAAATAGACCTGGGCTTAAATGGGAGCCAGAACAAAGCAAAGCTCAAATGGCAACGACCATAATAAATAATGAAGGCGGCTTCGCTGAGATAATTGTACGGGCAGCCCACTGCGTCAACACACTAACCCAACTATGGTTAGCCCGTCACATGCTCTCACCTTCCCACTATGCATGCCTTAATGCCTTAATTATGTGATATATAACCATTTTGTGCCTGAGGCTGCTATACTAGCTTGCCGCAGCTCTTTCACCGCCTCGTCGTTTACCCCCACTTTTGACTTTTCTTTGTTATTTTCTGCCATTGAATGAAGGCGGAGTGGTCACATCATAGGCTCAGGTGACTTGGGCTGGAATAACCTCATTGCCCGTGATCTCATTTCTCTTGCTTTACCCCCTGCACTTGCGATTGTCACCCCTCGTCCCCGGCACCATCTGGAACCTCATAGTTTCAGGGCCTACATCAAACTGGTGACTTTGACACGCCGGACTCCCCCGTCGCTGAAACGATCCTCCCAAGATCCCGCTTTGACACGGACTATCGACGGTGTACTTTTGTCACAGCTCCACCGCACGCTGTGTCAGGCTCTGAATGTGCACAGCGGTCCTCTAGGAGTGGCCCTTAGGGTAAAGAGCTTTCGTCAACCTACCTGTGTAAAGGTCAGTCTCCTCTTTTGAGTGGGCCCTTACGGTTGCACTAGCTCGGCCCTCCTGATAGCCCTATCGGTGACTCAGGTGATGCAATGGCTCATAACTGACCCGACTTTATGATAAAGACAACACACACGCTCTCTTGACCTGAACTTCTCCTACCGTAATCAGGCGGATGTCTTCCGACGATGCTCCACCAGCACCCCAACACAAACCTTCTTCCTCTAGCTTCGCAGATGTCTTCAAGACGTTAGGCGTTGGTCGTCCAAAATCGCATTCCCCCGTATCTCTGCCAGATAGTAGCAGCGACTCTATTTCCCAAACGACAGATAGCCGAGGCACTACCCGACTTGTCCTCGGACTCGAAGCTATGCATCGCGGCAGTGTGGTTTCGAGCTCTTCGGATGCGCCTCATGGCCCCGACTTCGAGTCTTCTTTGCGCATTTTGTCGCAGAAGCAGAACTTGAATCATGCTATCGAGGAAGCAGATTTAGTATCCAGAACCCTGTCATGGTTTACCGCCGAGCAATCTATGACATTGTGGGAGGGAGCAGAGTATTTACTTCACCATGAGAGCTCTAGTGATGCCCAGAAAGCGGGTGCCAAATTGCTGGAGGCCATAGCATCCCGTCAAGACTTGCCTCCCGCTGCTAGGCGTATGGTATTTGAATCAATCGCGATGCCCACCGAGGGTGACGTGATTGCCGCCCGAGTCCAGTCGCTGATCGCTTTGTCGGACCATGGCAGGAAGCTGGACTTTACCAGTTCCTCTATCCTTCATATTATTTCATCATGGATCGTTCCACTTTACATGATAATTGCGACAGCACGCTCCAAAGCGAAGAAAGGGAAAGCGCTCAAACCGAATGAGCTTGTTCAAGATGAAGCCATTCTTGGAGACCTCTTCCAATTTGCGGTGGATCTCATCACACTCCAGCGCAAATCGCCAACAACAGAAGAAATCGAGATGCTTCTTACGGAGACATTCACAATCTGCAAGAAGACCAGCGTCGCTACGGATATCAAGAACTCGCTGGCGGTTTTCGATGCCGTTATTATGTACGCGAGTGTCCCCAGCGCAAGCTTTGTCCCCCTTTTGGAAGTTCTCTGCAGCATTCATGCCTCCGTCAAATCCCTCTCTGGGCCAACGTCACGAGCCGTGCGCAGCCTAGCAAAGTCACCAAAGCAGGAAGAAATGATGACGACCCTGCATACTTTCTTGAGAGAATCATGTGCTGAAGAGTCTCCCCGGAATTTGAACGTTCACCGCGGAGCTCTTTACATCTTCTCCGATCTTGCACGAGCGTACGGCCAGGATGGAATGCCTGAAATTGCATTTGATCAATTGATTGATTCCCTCATGGTCATTGCTCAAAAAGACGACGGTCGAGTTGACGCAGACATTCTGGACCTGTGCTTAAATATACTGGAGAGTGACTACAGCCGTATTTCTCTCGCACACGGATGGGCGGCCTTTATTGATCTACTGCTTCTGTGCTCCCGGAGAGTGTACGAGGACTACGACGAGCCGATCGCTTCACCAACCAGCCCACAACAGTCCCATGTAAAAAGCACGCACGATGATATCAAGTCTCATATTCTTGCAAATATCATCAGGTTAACATCCGTTGTGGAGTCTCTATGGGAACAACTCAATAGAGAACAGAAGCAAGAGGCAGTTCGATTCTTGGCAAAGAATCATCAATACATCGACCCCTCTCAGTCAGAACTCATCATCAACATGATGAGAGAGGACACCCTATGTCATCCTTCTGAGGGATCTAACTGGTTACACCATTGCAGGGAGATCATTGAACGTTTCATTCAGCCTCGAAAGCAGTCCTCGGACATTCGCATATTAGCCCTCGATACGCTTAAAGAGGCTCTTGCCGGTAACGAGCATTTGTTATTCTCGGAAGAGCATGGCCTGCTGGATCTTCTACTCGCAGACTTTTCTGCCGAGCATGACCTGCTCTTCTTGGAGTCGCTCGTTTCATTCATCACGGAGCCCGCTATCAACTCCAATGACCATGGAGGTTTCAAGCGTCTAGTCGACACCATTGCGGGGCCCATGGAAAGAGATCCGGCGAAAGATGAACCGCGTGAGACCTCGCCAAGCCATGCTCCGCGTCGTACATCCACGAGCGTCTTAGAGCTGACACTGGGAAATGTGTGCGCGGTGGGCTTGGTCAAGATGATGATTCGTGCTCTGAATACCTCGGCCGCCAAATCCATCATTATTTTCGAGGCCTTGCTGCAGATCGCACAGTCCCCGGATCGCCCAGCGGACGCTCGATTGACTGTCTTGAAGCTACTGTTCCGACTTCGATGCGACTCGTTCGGTGCTATCACAGTTGTCTCGACATCGGAAAATGATTTCCTGATGAACGTGCTAGGACGGAATGTCGACGTAACCTCTATACTTCATCCTCCCAGTGAGAGCCCTATTAGAGACCTTCCTCAGCAGGACAACCTGATCCCCTTAATGGGCGGAAAGATTCCTGCGAAAGAACTTCCTACAAACTTTCTATCCAAGTCAGGGCCTCGAGGCTCGATTTCGGCTCGTGGATCAAAGTTGACGCCACCCGTTTGGACATACTCCCAACCCCAGGTGCTTCCAGAGCAGCCATCTGAGGAGTCTAGCCCCTTTGTGTTCGCTCACACGCAGAACAATGGCGTTTCGACCCCTGCCGATTCCACGCCGGCGCTGATGGGTGTTTTGAAAGTTAACATGTGGGTTGAGTGTGTGATCTCGCTCCTTCAGCGGGAGACCGATTGGGACGTCTACAGCTACGTTCTCACTCACCTTGGTCCTCAGCTTAGCAACAAAGAGTTCTTCAATAACTCGATTCCTCAAATCAAACTTCTGCGAAGCATTTTGTGTGACCAGGTCAAGAACGAGAGTTTCCACGAGCCACCCGCGCTTACAGGCTTAAAGAAGAGCGATGTGGCTGCTTGTATCTTTGACACACTATGCATGCTGGTCGGCTACCACGAACACTTTGCTAAAAGCGAAGAGGATGATTTGGTACGAGCGTTCATGCTTGGAATTATTGGTTCTTGGGGTGCTACATCCCGTGGATGCATCCAAGCACTTTCTCTTTGCTGCCATGAAATTCCAATGTCGGTGACAAAGTCGTTGAATAACATTCTCGACAAGATGTCAAAGGTTATTACCATGTCCAATATTGCCGTTCACATCTTGGAGTTTTTGGCTTTGCTCGCGCGTCTGCCGGATGTCTACGTCAACCTTCGAGAAGAGGAGATTCGCACCGTGTTTGGAATTTGCATTCGGTTCTTGCAGACTTCGAGAGAACAAGAACAACGCCACAAAGCATCTGAGTCACCCACTACACGAGCCTCTCAGCAACCGCAGTCCAGACTTAGCGGCGGTGCGCGGGAAATTGCCTCGAGCGCGGCCGAAGCAGCCGAAGCTCCAGCGCATGATGCCATGTCCAAATACATCATGACCCTCACATACAGTGTCATGGTATTCTGGTATCTCTCCCTGAAGCTGCAAGATCGTCCAAAGCATGTCAATTGGATTACAAGCAGACTCATTTTCCACGATGAGCACGGCAAGGAAGTTGTTGAGGAGCAGAGTCAGGTGTTCATCGATTTGATGCAGCGTGTGGCCTTTTCGGACTTGGGAGAGACTATCCCATACGAGACTTTCCCTCCGACTCCCGAGGACGGACCTGTTTCCAAGAAATCTTGGGTCGTTGGCATGAGTATTGTCACTGTTGAGACAGCCGGTATTTCCGGACTGACCCAGCTGGCGAAACGTCAGGCGTCAGGAACGACCTATTCCATGTATCAACAGCGCACGGCGCCTGTTCTCCCGCATCAGGTTCCCCCAACTCCAGACGCTCACCTCCATTCCGATGCGACACGTACGGCAGTCTTACCCACCCACATCTTGCTTCAACTCACTGCCACTGCGTTCCCTACCCCAACAGTGATGCAGCCCATTCCGGTTCCTGAAGATGACATTACAAGGCGAGCGATTGCCAACTTTGACCGCACTGACATTGTGGACGGCCACCGAATCGGAGTCGTCTATCTTGACAATGGTCAGAGCAAAGAGGCAGACATCCTTGCGAATACCGGTGGTTCTCCAGACTATGAACATTTCCTCTCTGGTCTTGGAACCAAAGTGTCTCTTCGGAATGCTCAGTTCAATACGCAAGGACTCTATGCCGATACTGACGGCGAGGCAACTTATGCCTGGCGTGATCGGGTAACAGAGATTGTTTACCATGTCGCTACAATGATGCCCACGAACTTTGACCGTGATCCCAACTGCATCAATAAGAAGCGAAACATTGGCAACAACTTTGTTACGATTGTCTTCAACCGTTCCAACTTACCTTTCAACTTTGACACGATCCCATCAGAGTTCAATTCCATCAATATCGTGATCACCCCCTGCAGCCGTATTGCGTACGATGAATCTGGGGCCGCGGTTGGTGAACAAGATCCCGACAAGCTCTTCTACACTGTGAGAGTCATGAGCAAGCCCGGCTACCCTGACGTATCGCCTGCTGCGACTCCAAAGGTCATCTCGGGTAAGAATCTAGCTCCCTTCGTGCGGATTCTCGCTCTGAATGCATCTGTCTTCTCTCTCGTCTGGAACAACAAGGGCGGCGAGCACGCTTCATCCTGGCGGACCCGTCTTCGCGAAATCAAGAAAGTTCGCGAGAGGGCCTTGGCTGCCCAAGCTCAAAGTGCCGAGGTTGCTGAAGGCGCGTACCCTGGCCAACGTCGCAACACGAAGCACAATATCTTCTCCGAGGAACTGCCGACTCGTGCTGCTCCAGTGCAAACTGACTTTGCCTCTGAGTGGAATGCAGCATCTGGAACAAACATCCTTCAGAACCTAGACTTCTCTCGCTGGAGCCGCTGAGCATTGTGTCTAGTCGATATAGACGAATCTCTCTCGGCCAGAGTATCATGTTCCTTCCAACATTCTTCCACGAACACGTTCTTTTACTGTCCCCTCCCCCCTCACTACTTTATGAAACAAAAAACTCCTACCCCAATCCCTGAAACGACAGCAACCTCGAATGACCAACCCTTACCTGGCACGATTTCATGTACATCAATTTGCTTTTCTGGTGCAGCCCGCGGCATTTGTGAATACCCCTTCCGCGCTAAAAGTTTTGTGTTTGTCTTTATCCCATCATTCTGCTTCTCCTTACTGTTATGGAGACGGCAGTCTGGGGTTTCACTTTCTTAATCTGGTAGCTAGCAATAACAATGACTCCATGTACGATGAAAGCATTCATCATTGTTAGACGGGTTTTTACTTGTATTTGTGTTGATGGTTTACTTGGCGTGGAATAGAGAGCTATAGCGATCGGAGCTTATTCTGAAGACATATCTACTCTGGCTATCGGATATTTGGAAAGGCTTTATTTGGCGAGAACAGGCTGGATTGAACGAACCATCTTCAGTCTTTAGAGCCCCTTGGTATCGAGATGTAAGCGCAAATCCAGGACGGTGCGTCACCTGTAATGAGCGGGTAATCTGCAACATCCTACTAGTATGGTTCCCGCCTCTCCAGTCTCAAGTGCGGTGTCTTGCAAGCGCACAAGGAAGTTTCACTCTGCAACTCATTTGGCTGGGTGTCTAAGAATTTTCGTCCCGTTTGCAGGGTGCAGACTGCAGGCTAGAACCACCCACTCCTTGTCAGCAAGGCCGAGCCCTGGGTGTGTCCGTTCCCAGAGGAGGAGTGATATTCTGCGCAGACTCGACGATTTTGGCGGTGAACATAGATCAATAGCTGAGACTGTATCTCGTACTATAGATAGTATTATTTCTCATGGCACGGACAGATTAGATGCATTGCAGAACAAGGTCGATGATGGCGAAGAAGGAATCTCGGTCTGAAGCTGCAGTGCGGAGGCCCAACCCAACGACCAAGAGCCGCTTCTCAGCAGGGGACTTGGTCGCAATGGCGGTTGCAATTTGGCGGGCAAGTAGTTGGCCAACTGTATCCTGTCCAGGACTATGTCCACCAAGAATTGAGGTTGCTGTCAGGGTACTGAGGGGTAACAGGCTGTCCTCTGTGCTTTCTGGGAAAGTATGCATGCCATCAGTCCCTGGGTTGTGATTTCCAAGGGGCACATGAAGCTATCAAATGTTAGAAAGAGCTAGACCTTTAGAAATGGCAATGCGTTTAAACATACCCAATGAGATAGTCGGCCCTCTTGAGAAATAGCGAGCATGATCTTATCATTAAAGTTCATGACCATGACGTCGGTTTGGACCCCTTCCACAATCCCAGCGACCTGTTTGGTACCAGCAGGAAATGGAAGGTCAAGAGATCCTTGCAGTGCATCCTGAAGAGAAGCCATTATTCGGTATGTTTGAGATGTGGAGTGTACACCTTGGGCGTGCGGAGTGTTGATCGTCTACAACGTGTAAGGCGGTGAGTAGTTCCCCACAGCTAATTACAGCAGAATCCCACCGCCCGTGGGTTGTCCTCGATTTTTTTTCCCGCGAGTGCAAGCAACAACAGCCCAGTGCAGATTGCTTAAAATCCTTTCCCTGTTCAGAGGTGGGGTTTTTCAAGATGCCGCCAAAGTTTGTCCCCCGGCAGCGAAAACAAAAGCACCGGCGCCAAGAGACAGGCGCGCCGGTCGACACCAACATTGCGGAGCTAGCGCCTGTCTCCAAAGATGAAAAAGAAGCGCGGAGGCAGAAGCTGCGAGACGAGCTACGGGACCAGCATGCCAATGTCTCTTCGAAGAAACAGAAGCGCTTGGACAAATATATTGTATGTGGAAGAGCTGTCCATTTTCTCGGTAGCAGGATTCTAACACACTATGCAGGAAAACAAACTCAAGAAAGAAGAGAACGTCGAGCTTCTGAAGAAGCTGGCTCAAGCGAACGTCGATACCTCAGCACTACAGACCTCGAGGGATTTGGGAAAGCGCAAGAGACAGGCAGATGATAGAATTCCCGCTACGGCTCCTGCGCACATAGCCTCCGCACCTGGAGAAGACTCCGACGACTCTGACATCGACTTGTTGACAAGCTCTGGCGCACCGGCGCCGACGGCCCAAATACCCCAAGGACCCGTTGGAAGTGGATTGAAGCGCCCTCTTGAACTTGGACCGGATGGCTTCCCAGTCATCAAGAAGCGGAAGCGTACGGCCAAGTCAAAACCCGCGCCTGCGCCGGAGCCGGAGCCCTCCTGGGAAGGCTTCGGATCAGATGGCGAGGGTTCCAGCGAAGATGAGGAGAACGCTGACTCTGACAACTCAGAGGCTGAGGCTGAGGCTAAGGGTGACTCTGAAGACGAGGATTCTGAAGATGCCTCGGAGCAATCATCTGACGATGATCACGAAGACTCGGATGAAGACTCAGATGATGATGAGGACGAGGAAGATGAGGAGGGAGATGAAGGAAATGATCGTCGCATCAAGCCCCGAGAGTCAGCCTTCAAATCATGGGCTGTTCAACAAATTAACGAGGCCATAGGCTTCAAGCCAAGCGAAGGACCGGTCATTCATGATTCAGTGCAACAAGCATTTGCGCCGCCCAGGAAAGAGCCCCAAAACACTGTCGAAATGGAGGAGCCTCTTCCACGCGAACTTGAAGTCACTACCGGAAACCCCTTCCGTAAGGCCTTCAGCGTTCCCGTCGAGCGTTCTGAAGAAATCCAGACAGCTCGTCTCGGGCTCCCGGTGGTTGGCGAAGAACAGAAAATTATGGAAGCTATCTACAACAACTCCGTTATTGTCATTTGGGGTGCCACTGGTAGCGGAAAGACCACACAGCTCCCCCAATTCCTCTTTGAAGCTGGCTTTGGCAACCCAGACAGTCCGAACCCGGGCCTCATCGGTGTCACTCAGCCTCGTCGTGTGGCCGCCGTGAGTATGGCGAACCGTGTCTCCCAGGAACTTGGTCAGTATTCCGACCAAGTCTCGTATCAGATTCGATTCGAGACGACAGTCTCCAAGAAGACCGCCATCAAGTTCATGACAGATGGTATTTTGTTGCGAGAGATTGCAGATGACTTTGCCCTACGCAAGTACTCCGTTCTGATCATTGATGAAGCTCACGAACGGAGTGTCAACACCGATATTCTCATCGGAATGGTCAGCCGTATCGTGGACCTGCGCAAGTCGATGAGTGAGGAGGACCCGTTTGTGAAGCCTTTAAAGGTTGTCATCATGTCTGCCACGCTTCGTATCTCAGACTTTACGGAAAATCCGAGCCTATTTCGCGAGGGTCCACCTCCATTGGTCCAAGCCGAGGGTCGTCAGTATCCTGTGACTGTTCACTTCGCTCGTCGGACCCAGCGCGACTACGTGGAGGAAGCTTTCCGCAAGGTTTCTCGCGGTCATCGCAAACTTCCCGCTGGTGGAATGCTTGTGTTCTTGACTGGTCAGAACGAAATTCGACTTTTGTCGAAGAAGCTCAAGCAGGCATTCAAACCAACACAGCGTCTCGATACGACACAGGCCAAAGTCCAATTTTCCGCCAACGACGCACCTCTGGAAGCTGAAGACTTGGAACTTGGTGGTATGGAGATGGACAATGTAGGAGATGACGAGGATGACCTCGAAATCACTGGATTGGATGAGCCAGAGGATGATGAGGACTTTGATCTCGGTGAAGATGCTATGGACTCTTCAACCAAGGTGCATGTCCTTCCTTTGTACTCGCAACTGCCAACCAAAGAACAGATGAAGGTGTTTGAGGCACCACCAGAAAACTCGCGCCTCATCATTCTTGCCACCAACGTTGCCGAAACATCTCTTACTATTCCCGGCATCAAGTATGTGTTCGACTGTGGACGGTCCAAAGAGAAGCAATACGACCTTTCCACTGGCGTCCAGAACTTCCAAATCGGCTGGATCAGTAAGGCCAGCGCAAACCAGCGTGCTGGTCGTGCTGGTCGAACAGGCCCTGGTCACTGTTATCGACTGTACTCTTCGGCAGTCTACGAAGCTGACTTTGCCGATTACACTGACCCTGAGATTCTCCGCACCCCCATCGAGGGAGTCGTTCTCCAGATGAAGAGCATGGGTCTACACAATGTCATCAACTTCCCCTTCCCTACACCTCCAAGCCGACAAGGCCTCGCCAAAGCGGAGAAGCTGCTCAAGAACCTCGGCGCTCTCACTAGCAGCGGACAAGTCACTCAGATTGGTCGTCGTCTTTCGACGTATCCTCTCTCCCCTCGCTTCGGCAAGATGCTCTACATCGGCCACCAGCATGGCTGCATGCCCTATGTCATCGCCCTTGTCGCAGCCCTGGCGGTCGGCGACCTGTTCGTTGCCGAGAATCAACTCCCCGGCAACGAGGCCCTATTCGCCAAGAGCAAGAAGCCCGACTCGGACTCGGACACGAGTGACTCGGAAGACGAGAAGGTATACACCAATGCAGACCGCCTCGAAGACACCCAGCGCGAACAGCGTTCAAAGGAATTCGCTCGCGTCCACCGTCTTCTAAGCAAACACGACGACACCAGTGATGCACTGAAATATCTCTCTGCCATTTGCGCCTATGCCTACGCTCCCGATGGCGAGGCCTTCTGTGAGCAGATGTTCCTGCGTGCCAAGGCCTTCAAAGAAGCATCCCAGCTGCGTCACCAGCTTTCCGATATTGTGCGCTCCAACAACCCAGGCCTCCTCGGCGCCTATTCAGCCAAGCTGCCCGAACCCTCGCCCAAGCAACTCAAAGCTCTCAAGCAAATTGTCACAGCCGGATTCATCGACAACGTCGCCATCCGCGCAGAATTGGCCCCCGTGCCACCTGAGAACCCGCGTGCACCTCGCCGTGCCATCGACGTGCCATACCTGACGCTCTTCCGCTCGCGCGACCGCCACGCAGATGACATTGCTGAACGTGCAGTCTTCGTTCACCCTACTTCCGTGCTGGCCAAGCTCACGCCAAAGGAAATGCCCCCGTACATCGTGTACTCGCATCTGCAGCAGTCGGCTGCAGCGCCTCTTTCGGGCCAGACACCCAAGATCCGCATGTTCCCGCTCGTTGCGCCTAGTGGCCTGCAGCTAGCGGCTATCGCCCATGACACGCCGCTTATCGAGTACGGCAAGCCTGTGGGCAAGACGGAGCTTCTGGAGGGCATCCCGCAGCGCAGATCGTGCTGGGTTGTGCCTGCGTTGGTGGGCGACTCTGGGAGTACCGGGTGGCCATTGCCAGCGAAGAAGGTGGTGCAGAGAAAAGATCCCAAGGAGGGCTGGGTGATTGAGAAGTTCGTGGCATGATGATCATCTGCATGATTTGTTGTTATTCTTTACAGGGCTAGGGAATCTTTATAGATGGGGTTTATGATATCCACTTGATATTCGGCCGTGTGGCCACAATGTATACAAGCATTTCATGACATTCACTGCTCACGTGTAATCATCCAATGTGCAATGCTAGACGAGTAAAGGTAGCACCAAAACCCTCCATCCGGACAAAATAAACGAAACTCCAATCCAAAACGCCTTCAAAGGAATCCCAATCCATAAGATTTCCCAAAGTCCAGCATAAACATCATATCCTCAATCCCGTCGCCTCTCAAACCGCCGACTACTAATCTCCCCAGTCTCCCGATCCTCTTTAAGCCCCAACGCCCTGCGCAACCTCTCACTCTCCTGAATCTTCGCCTCCGCAAGCTCATGCACCTGGTAAGACTTAAGCTGCCTCCGATCCTTCGGCAAGACCTTCTTCCCCCGCGCAGCTCCACCGACACCACCCTCCGTCTCAGCCTCCATCTCCTTCACAAGTCGCTGCCTCAACACCTCGCACCGCTCATCAATCTCCTCCTCGCTAAGCACGCGCTCACCCTCCTCAACCTCCTCGCCATCCTCCTTATCCTCAACAGGCTTAGTAGCCTTCTTAGCGGCGCTCTTGCCCTTAGACTTGGACAGGGCTTCTTCGATGCGCTCATTCTCTTCTTCGAGGCGCTCGCGCTCTTCCATGACGGTTACCTCGATTGCGCGGCGGCGATCATGCTCCAGGATTTGCTTGTCTGGGAGGCGTTGTTTGAAGGCGCGGTCGGAGGCGCTGTTCGCACCGGAGACGGGTGGGTAGGGTGCGCCGAAGCCTGCGGCGCGGGGTTTCAGGAAGGCGCCGTTGCGTTGGACGTAGCCTGATGTACCGCTGCCGCGGGGAGTGGAGAGGCCGACGTTGGAGGACATTTTGAGGTGTGGGTTGGAGAAGCTGTGGCTTGGTTTTGCCGCTGGCTGTGTTGGTGAGGTGGGTTGCTCTTGGTGTGGGTTGGTGGGTGGCAACAGTGCGAGTTCAGTGGTTTAAGCGTTCTCGTTCCCACCTAAATGTTCACAGACATCTCCGAAGTAGAGGTGTGTAGATTTGTCTCGAATGAAAGTTAAGGATGAGGTTGAGCTTCGCAGGTGGATCGGCGATCTTATCAAAGATATCACGTGAGTGTACCAGCTCTACAATAAGCTCAACTTACACACAAGACGACGGGGATTTTGTCGAGCCATAATGTTGAGGCTACTTGGAATTCATCTAAACTTTTGCATGGCTGAATACTTCGGAAATTTACAACTACAATAGTGAAAGACATGGCTGCGAGAGTACGTTGATATTGGTAATACATCAGCCACAGAAGAGCAAAATATCAACAGAGCAGAACAAAATGACCCAGATTCAGGCATAAGCAACACTTTCCATTGCAAGTGAAGACTGTATACCAAAGCAAGATAAGAATAACACCCACGTCCGATATGCGTGACATCTTTGGATAAGATAGATCGAGGGAAACCACACCCACACTCGAGGGGAGTGTGACATAAAACAGATACCGTGCCATGCAAGAAGACAGAAAAGACATAAAATAGAAATAGAAAAGAGGAAAAAAAGCACAAGAAAGTAACAAATAGATAAGCAGTGATTCACTCCAGTATTTCCTTTCCATTTCCATTTTCCAGTTGATAGCAAGCTCCTTTCCCATGTCATATGCCGAAGATCGTGAAGAGTGAAAAGAGAAGAAGAATAGCGAAAAGGGCGAGAGAATATGAGAGGATCTGAGATGATATGTTCAAATCCGTTTCTCGCGTCCGTGAAAGATTCGAGTGACCTTTGCATTCCCCCGAGATGGAAATCACACGTAGACGCCGGTTCCAGGTAGATCGAGCTCCGAGATTCGCGCCATGATGTGAGAAGCATTGACAGTGACAATGGTAAGGAAGAGAGGTTGCAGATGTGGAGACAGAAAACACCACCGTCGTAAGAAATAATAAAAAAATAATGAACAGGTTGAACCACATCACAGGAAGAATAAAAGCCGGTTCCGAGATCGACACATGAAGAACCGGAACGGCCACAGAGCACATGAAAGAAATAAAAAGATAACAATGAATCGAGATCCCCTTGAGTTTTGCGCCGTCGAGCCATGGTTGATAAAAGATAGTCCAGTGAAAACACAGTGCCGTTAGGTTTTGATAACTTCATGTATCCGGTCGGATATCTCCATCCCAGTATGTATACGCCCATATTAGATAAAGAAGAAGAGAGAATCGATTTTGTGGCGGAGATCGGCATTAGAACAGATTATGTCGGCGCGAGCAATGTCGGTGAGAAGAATCGTGTGTGCATCGAATTGAGTGTGTGCACCTTAGTGACCATCGACCGTGACGGGAACGCCGGTGCTGCCCGTCTTGGGACTGGAGACCGAGGTCACGGTGCTTTTGCAAAGCCCCTTGGACCCGAAGGAGTCATCGACGGTGCCCTGGTTCTCCGTCGGGGGTGGGGTTGGTGGCGCAGTGCCCACAAAGGGAGGCTGCGGCTGCTCCATGGCGGGAATGGTGCGCTTCAGGGGTTGCGGAGAGGATTTGTGAGAGTTGGGAGGTGTGGTAGAGGTAGTGTGGGACAGTGGGCCGGCGGTCGGAGAGTTGGGGTCGAAGATGAGCTTCTCGATGGCCACAATCTGCTTGCCATAGCTGAACTTCTTCAACTGACTCAGCAGGGGCTTGATCTGCTCAATCAGAGCTTCACGCTCTTCGCCCTTCAGCTGACCGAGGACCTTTTGAATGACATAGTTGCCATATTGATCGCGCATCAGACCGAGCAGCGGGCTCTCACCACGCTCGTTCGGCGAGGTCAGGGTAGAGATGATGTTGTGGCGTTGTTCTTCGTCGCCAAACTCAATACTCTTCTCGACCACATTGCTAGCAAACTTGTGCTTTGAGTATGCCAGCAGCTGCGACATGACAATCTGGATCATGCGGTCACGGTCCTTGGCGTCACCGTTCTCGATGACATGCTGGATCACGTAGTTTCCAAACTGATCAGGGATGAGACTCGAGGTGCATGCGTGCAGCTCGCTCAGAATGGATTCACGGTCAACCTCCTCACAGTGCTCCAACATACGTTGGATGACGCGGCATCCGTAAGGGTGCGCAGCATGGCGATTGACCTGGCCCCGGAAGGCGTTGATGATGAACTGCACATACTGAGATGGCACGCGCTCAATAGCCTTCTGGATGACGTGGTTGCCATTCTGGTCCCGAACGCACTTCAGGACATGGTTCTCCAACTCCTTGACCATAGCGGCTTGCTGGTCGGTGAGAATATGCTCCAGTGCCTTTTGCACAACACGGCATCCATACATCTGGGTCGAGAGAGCAAGTACATGTCCCCGCATCTGGTTGGCGAGGATCTTCTTCTGGCTCTGATTGCCATGCTCAAAGAGCTTCTGCACAACGTAGTTGCCGAAGACATCGGTCATGAGCTGCAAGGAGTTCGGTTGGATCTCCCGGAAGACCTGCTCCTTCTCGTCACTGTTGGCAGTCTCCAGCTTCTGCTGAATGAACCGTGAGCCATGCTGGTCGCCGCTGAACTCAACAACATGGTTGTAGATGTCTTTCAACTCGTAGCGCTTATTTCCCTTGCTGTTGGCACGGAATTCCTCGAGCAGAGGGCTGCGAACAACCTGCGTGGGGTCATCACGGTGTGCACGAGCTAAAGCTGCAGGGCCGAGCCCACCAAGCTGAGCGATGGGGTAGAACCCCTGCAAGGAGTTCAAGCGTGTCGCCTGATAGGCCTGGTAGTCAAACTGTGAGGCCATCGGCATACGCTGAAGCGAATTTGCCTGACCCTGAATGAAATCCTGCTCTTGGAAGGTCCGCAGCCGGCGTTCGAAGGCAACTTGTTCAGCCACGCGGCCACCGGACGAGTTGCGATACTGGGCAGCACCTTCAGCCCCAGCATACAAGGGGCTATCCATGCGATGGTAGTCTGAAGGAGAGATTGATCCGTTTTCACCTCCGCGAGAGCGTGCCTGATAGGCCGGGTGCAGATCGTGGGCAGCTTCAGCTCCATAAGCAGCGAGAGCTTGGTAGCTAGGATCGTCGTTGTTCTGATACTTGCCACGGGGCAGAGACCCATCATACGACGCATGGGACATGAACTGGGGACGTTGGCCACCGGCCTGGTTGGCGTATCCACTCTCGTTCAATTGCAGCTTGCTGAAACCAGCGGATAGGTCAATCGATCCGTTACCATAGCGACCCTCAACGCTGTGGTTGTCTGAGTAGAAAGAGGGGTGGGCCGAATGAGCCGGCCGTTGAGGGACGTATGAAGTGGAGTTGTGGGGGATGTGAGAGAGTCCGCTGCGCGTCTGAGGCGGGGACACGCCATCGGATAGGCCGGAAGCAATAGTGCCCATGCTCATCGAGGCATTCATCTCGTCCGGGCGGGAACCGTCTAGCGAGCCAGAGAAGCCGGGCTTGACTGGGAAGGTTATTCCCACAGGGCTGCCGCTAAGGCCAGAAGAGCTCATCTGCCGACGTCCATCACCATTTCGAAGGCCAGAGAAGGTGCTGAAAGACACGCCATCTCCCGAGGGCGACACGCCCTCAGATCCAGAGTTAAGGTAAGGTCGGTGACTCGCAGTACCGGCGGAGGTAACGATGCTAGTGGTCCGGGGCAGCGTGAAGTAGGAAGATTCGCCAGCATCGTTCAGAGCGGGCGCACTTCGGTCATTGGCACGGGTCTGAATCGGCGAGGTTGCCATACCACCGCGGGTTTGGCTCATCGAAAGCGACGAGTTGACAGTGCTCCAGGGCAGGTTAGGGCGGCCAGCCCAGCCATCCGACTCCGACGTGGACAGCAATGAGCCCGAGCCTGACTTTCCTTCAAACGAGGCATCTCCGATGTGTTGATCTGTACCTGATCAGCCAAGGATCTTTAATTCCTGCCAGAACTCAATTTTGTCCCCAGGTGTTACGTACCATCTCCAAAGCCATTTCCCAGGTTGGTGTCACCCCAGATATTGTTCCAGTTGGACTTTCCAGCACCAAAGCTCTTCCCTGCGCTGTTGCTGTGCGATCCGCGTGCGCGGTCGCTGTTCATCCCTGATGAACCCATGTTGGAGCGGTTAGATCGTACCTGCGAGCCCGTTGTCAATGCCTGCTTCAAATTCCATCTATCGCCATCACTCACGTTGTGTACACCGGTTGCATTGGCCGCCATCGTGGAAGCCATTCCCAGAAAAGCGGTCCGACGAGGGGGGGGATTCAAATATGTACTGGAACGGGACGCACGACAGTATTTGCACGAGCTCGAGGTGTCTCGAGCCTAGGTCACAGGGCCGAGAGGGTTCGATTGTCGACCGGTATTTGCAGTGGGCACCAGGCTCCAGAAACGGCGTACAGGAAGGAATTTAAGGCTAGATGAAGATAAGGCCCTTGTTAGCCGAATTGATCGTGTTGGCGTGCAGGATGCGACCTGAGTCTCTCCTCACAGAAGGTACAAAAAGGGCCAGTCCAGGACGAGAGGGGAGGGGAGACTTACCAAAGGAGGGGACAGAAGGGGATCAGCGGAAGCGAGAGAGAGAGAGAGGAAGCAAGAGAGGGTAGCTCTTGATTTTGTTTCCTCCAGGTTTCACACTTCTCTTCGGGACTTCTTCTCAGGAGTCACGAGCCCAGGGCATGTACAGACGAGACGGGAGTGAGAGAGAAGGGTGGAAGGAGAAGGCGAAAGGACGGAGATGATGGAGAAGAAGAGAGCGAGGGAGAATTGGTTGAAGGGAGCAACGAGAGGATCAGAAATGCGGGAAGCAAGTTGAGCAGGGCCAGTGAAGATGCAAGGCGACAAAGAATTGGAACGATGAAAATCTCCCCTTCGTTTGTCGGTGCAGCAGTAGCTGTGGCAGGGCAAGGCCCGGCAGTTAGAGGCAATGGAAGAGGCGTCGCGACGTTACTCTGCTCCGTGCATGCTCCAGGAATCTCCCAGCTTGCCGATCGTCCTCATGTGCCTTGTGGAGAGGCGATCCCCGAGAATGGGACGAGCGGGTTTTTTTGGGGGGTGAGGTGGACCCTGAGGACCCTAAAACCCTAGACGGAAGATTCGCGCAAGGGGTGGCGGAGGGATAGCGTAGGGAGGGATGGGAGGAGGGGGGGTGGTGGAGGGGATAATGGAGGTTGGTGATGAGTGGAGGAAGTGATCGCGGCCGATAAAGGGTCAAGGTGGAGGATAGTCGAATAGAGGAATGCGTTGCGCAAAGAAGGAAATCCGGGCTGGGAGTTTAGTGGGTCGACGAGTGGGAATGTAGGCGAGAGACCAAGCACGGCATTAACGTAGTCCAGCTGTCACACAGGGCGGCAGCATGACAGCCCAGGTGGGTTGTGATGATCTCTTGCTTTTTTTTTTCCTCCTCGAGCCGTCGTTGGGCCTAGATTTTCGGGGAGGGGGAGGAGAAAAAAGGGAGGATGAGAGAGGGGTGGAGGGAGAGAAGGATGAAGGAAGAAGGAAAAAAAAAAGGGAGGGCGAAAAGCGTAACACGAAGAAGGGAAGAGAAGCAGAAAAAAAAGAAAGGTGAGGATGGGAAAATGATAGATAAGAGAGGAGGCAGAAAATGATGCTGGCGGAGGAGCAGATCAGCCGCTTGTACGGAGGCGGTACGAAGGCGGTACCGATGGTGTATTCACCAGATGGCCATGACGCCTTGGACTGGTGTCGATCGGAGGGGGTACATTTGACCGGCAGTAAATTACTATGGGTGGGAATGTACTGCCAAGGCCCAGACTACCAGTTAGGCGGCGCATGCCCGACGTACGGTATTGTCATTACCATTACGATCGCTGGATCTTTGGCTCTCCCGGCGCTTCTTTTTTAGTGCCCCATCCACTTATTTACACCTCGATCTTCCAGAGCTGTCAGTTAAATCATCTCCAAGGATCTTCCTTTCTATGGTTCCTACCTACATCTATGACAAGCCACCCCAACCCGCTAACCTTGATTCTAATCCTTTATCCTTCCAAATAACTGACAACAAATACACACCTTTTTCTTCATGCAAAATCCCCCAACAAGGCCTGACCGCCAGATCGACCATGGACGTGCATACAAACCAACCACTTCGATCCTAGGATCCCGACTACCATTTCGGCCGCCCCCGGGTGGTGAAAGTGAAAGCGTGAAGTCACTACTACCCCTCAAGTCGTCGGCGAAATGTTCCTAGCGATCCACGTTGCCAACCTCCTGGCATGTTGGAGCCGATTCCATGGGCCTGTTGGCGCAGGGTCAGAGCATACCGGCACGAATAGGTATTCACCGGACGACCAAATAGACGAGTGATGATTATTGTCTACGTAGGAAGGAAATAAAGCCGGGAGCTAGGAGTAGGAGGTCTCGAAGCTAGAGATGAAATATTGTAGAAATTGCAGGGAATAACAAGCTAGCAAAGTATGATTTTGACGGGATCTGACATGGGTCCCTCGCCAGAATGGCCTCCAGGCGAGGGGGAAAGAAATCAATTGAGATCAACTGAGATAAATTGAGACCGATTGACACAAATACTGATCCTATCCCATTCCATTTCTGGTCGTCTCTTCAAATCGCTCCATGCACGAAATTCACCGCACTGAAGCTTCGGCCATTTTGGCAGCCCTAAAATTGGAGTCCGATCGGATCCACTTGGTAGACCCTCCGTCCTGGTAAAGTACAAAATACAGGCCGTTAATTAGGCTTGTTCATTCAGATTCTCAACTTATTCTACAGCAATGAAATTGATATGGCAGTCTCGATTATCGAGTATGTTTATTATGTACTCCGTACCGGCTACACAAATCAACCATGAATTATGCTTAACAGCCCTCGTTTCTGTATTTGATTTATTACCACTATTAACCCCCTTCCATTCTCCAATGGTGGAGATAAACAATAGCTGACATTGCTCGTCAACACATGTCCATCTTCAGATCAAACCCCACTATTCTCTCCGTCCGGCTTAGCCCGGAAAGACACATTCTTGAGCACTCAACTCAAACTGCAACCAAGGGCCCGCCACCTGGCTTGCCTGTGGATGAGGGATGCCCCATTCCAGGTCTGGCCCGATGCTCGTTGGCCACGACCGTCTTTCTCCGGTCAAGACTTCAATGGAAGGAAACAGAAGGGGTTTGCTGCTTTAACTAGCGAGTCTCTAACTACGTAGACCATCTAGTTCTTCAGGTCAGCTGCAATCTTAAAATCCGCGGGTCCACCGTCGACCTAGAAACGATATTAATACACTCTCATCTACACACAAAGCTATACAGACATTGATTCTACCTTACAGAGCCAAGAAACGTCACCGCCTCAAACCCCCCTCCCATCCTCCAGTACAGCAACACTATTGCCCGTGACTGGAATTAGCGCTCCTGATTTCGAGTCCAACTGGGAGTCTCATAACTAGCGTCTCCGGTCGTCAGGGTAAGTGATGTACAACACCAAAGCCATAACCTAAACCCCATGCGCACTGCGCTTGGACAGCCGGCCGAGACTAGCGCGAGTGTTAGCCTTTACCTACCGTTAGTGCTGGATGTCGCCAGCCCCCTTGCTTCGGTATCGTCACACTGATCCTTGGACCCCCGTCGTGTAGTTTAGGCTCTAGCCGGAACAAATGACTAAATAGCCCTCTCTCTGTACAGTACTTATGTAGTTAGTTAGCGCGCTGAAAGACAAATCATCCCGGCTCCGACACTCAAAAGCAACTGTCGTTCCAAACCAATTTCCCCGATTCCAGTCGTAGTTAGCCATCCTCTATAGTACAGTATCTAGTGCCATCGAGCGCGACTTGGTTTTCGAGGTATTCAACGCATACACACTGTACCGTACAATAAATCAACACCGGTCCTATATCCCCGCACTCAGCTTAAACGGCGTTTGCAAAAAGGCCGACACATCAAACCCGATAACCCAAGTCATACAAATACAGGCTCAGACGAACAAGGATGTTGCCCGCCCAGATCCTTGCACAAGAGCGTCGCACCAGTTCGGTGTCAATCCATTACTCGCAGAAATTCAGCGATCGTTCTCTTCCTCCGTGGGCGCTAGTCTCGCATCTACAGGACTGGTGTGGAGGATCGACGTGAACCATTTTGGACGGCTGGCTGAGAGAAATTTTATTGGAGATGGCTATCGTATTTCACCATCCGGTTTGGGGATATTGTACGATGAACTTAACGGTAAGTATAAGGGACGGGTAGACATGTCAGATATTATACGGAGTAGTGGTGGCTCCATAAATATTCCGTGGATGTATGTGAGGTACGGTAGATCAAGTTCCTCTCCCCAGATGTATTCCCCCGTTCCTAATTCCCAGTTTCCAGGAACCTGGCCGGATGTTGTACTGGTATTTTCTTTTTTCGCTTTCGAGCTAATCGATCGCGGGGATCCACTCGTGATGGATGTATCAACTTCTATTTTGTTTCTGCCGGGCGTGCTGTTGACCGCTTGACATAAACAGCGGAGGTTACCCTCGGAATTGTCGAGTGGCCAGATAGTTACACGGACCACGCTGCCTTGGTGGAGTGGGCAAGTTTGAGCGGGGGTGTGCTGGCGGTTGCGATTGCGATTGTGAATTGTCGGCTGTCAAGACATGGCGGAAGACCTCTTCAGGGTTTGTGGAGTTGAAAACTTGGGGTTTTGTGTGTTGTGTGGGTGGTTCTCGTCCGGTTGACTTCAGTGCAAGCAGGGCCTTCAGACGGCCCCGAGGGTCGGCCTCGATCGACTCGGTGATTGAAGACTTGTCTCCGTATTAAATGGGCCTACCGATGAACAGACTTTGACCAGCGCCTATGTTCGTCTCTTGTTGGGCCTTGTTACTATATATTAAGCAGAGATTCCCCGTGGCATCGGCTTTCTAACCTTTCGCCATGTCCACTATATATTAGACGTCGACCACCTGCATTCTTGAGTCGATTTTCATTCCTCTCACGCGGGGCAAGTTTTGACTCTTCATGTAATTGCCCGAATAAATACAAATACATAAGCAGACCGTACCTATCCAACTTGATGGGCAGTTTGTACCATGCACATGCTCTGTCGCTGCCCGTACCCGCAACGGACACGACCGCAATACCAACGAGGGTTGATCAAGTCACTCGGACACTAATAGATTCATGGCTGGGTTCCTCATGGCTATCAACGGGTTCGACATGTGTAATCCCATCTTGACATACGCATGGGTGATGGTGGTTGCACTGTGCGAGGATAGGTCTTGGATGGTTGTAGGATATATATATAGACGCATGGTGGCCGGCGTGGTTGGTTGAAAAATGATAAGAACCGGATAGGCAACCGCATTCATGAGTATCCAATGTTAGATTGGAAAAGACTGCTTAAGACTGGCCTAGAAGACATTGTGGTAACATTGGCTGGATTGAATGCCTCCAAAATGGTCGCTATTGCCCTCATCGACGGAGAGAGACTACATGGGGGGTTCGCTCCGACCGAGAAGGATGGAAGATAGTTGGTAATGGAAGGGAAACAGGATTCGACTATTCAAGTTATTGATCGAACCTGAAAGGATGGTCCATGATAATATTATCGAGTCTGTGACCATAGTATACCTACTAAACGTCGGATCTAGGAGGACTGGCCTTGATTGATGTTTATGTTGTTATGTGGTGCCCTGAGACAGTTAATCTAGTTTAAGCTTCAATTTTCTGGAGACCCCGGAGAGGTAGTGCATAGATTTAATTTGCGCGAGATTGGGGTTGGTCTCTTGACCCTGATTATATTGCATCATCGAGACCCTGGCAACAGGATGAAACGACCCACCCGACATTCAGAGGGTTGTTGTTTACCCAGTCAAGTAACTTGTTGTGTGGATGATCGTGTCTCAAGACTACTTCTGAGACACCGGTGTTATGCGCATACCATGGACTGACTCTGGAGATAAAACAACCTTATCACGTTAAACATGATTGTCCATCGATCTTGGTCGCATGCCACCTCGGCCATACTACTCCTGCCAGGCTGCCAGCAGAACCTGAACTTGAACCTGCTGCTAAACTCGTTTGGTCAAACCGTTTGCCCGTGATTCAGGGGAGACCATAACAAAGCGGCATAGTTCGGTGGATCCCAATAAGCCAATATGGGCGAGTCACAACGCGTTGCCCGTCGTGCTTGAACCCACTCTCCAGGAACCCTCGCGAGCCCATTGGGCAGCGTAGGAGTAGGTGGTAGGGCCAAGACACGACCGAGCAGGTCCCGTTGGCAGCCCATCAAGGCCGCTAGGCTCAGGGGAGTTTAGAGCAGCCAAAAATAAAAGGACGAGAAGCGTTGGGCCCAGAGCAAGTCGAGTCTAGGCAATTGTCCAAGCGGGCGCAGCGGTTGTTCGGTGGTGCTGACTGGTTGGCACCTCCCAGAGAGAAGCGGTGTCCACCCTTTTTCCCTTTCCCCTTCCTTTTCCCCTGTTTTCCCTTCATTCTCTCTCCCTCTCTATCCCATCGAACCCAACTCCCTTTCCCCTCCATTCTTTTCACCTCCTCCAGCAGGCATCAGCTTCACTCTTTCAGCTGTACGCCGTGCGATCCATTCTTTCCTTTAACCTGCCACGCCGAGTCTTCTGTTCTCCGAACTGAATCCGATTCGACTTCTCCATTCCTTCCACCACCAAATTCACGACAAACCAGTCTGCGACTAAGGCCTCGTCCATTCCAACCATTCGACAGTCTTTCTTTCTATTTTCCACGCTATTCGCCAACTCTCTTTTGGAATTTAACCGTGTCGATCAATCATCGCTCCTCCCCACTGAGCCAACAACCATTCAATCTTGACGACAATATCAACATCAAATCAACGACAACCACCACCACCACCACCAACTAAGCCGACAATATGTTCTCCGTCAACAAAATGGTCCGCCGCAGCGACCAAGTCGGTCTCTCCAACACCCTGGTCGATCTCCTGATCTCCCTCCTGGTCCTCGTTCTGCTCGCCCTCGCCTTGGTCGGTGGCCTGTTCATTATCCGCCGTAAGCGTCAGTCGAACAAGGATTCCGTCCTTCCCGTCCACAACGGCCAAATCCCTACCAGCCAGCGCCGGTTAACGATCACCGCCAACAAGCATGATTCGGTCATGGTCTACGATGAGAAGCGCGCCCTGATGGAGAACTCCGATAGCCCACCACCCAGCCCAGTTCCCGAGATTCGCATCACTTTCCCCGAGGAGGAAGACGAGTCTGGCCGACGCAAGTCCGGCCGTATGGTCGTCGTACGGATCAGTGAGGCCGGCAGCGTCGGCCTGGAACCCTGCCACGAAGAGCTGCCCCCATACCAGACCACCGACACCGGTCGGTTCCACTCTCTGGATATCGAGCGTATGGGCGGTCTGAAGGAGAAGGGAGAGTTCAAGAACTACTCTTAAGCGACCGAGAGCACGGACTCTTGTGCAAATGACTGTCTCTGCTGTTAGACAGCCATCCACTCCCGTCCGCTCTCGAACATTTCTCGCACCTTCTCTTCTTCCTCTTCGACGACCTCCCAAAAGCATGACGAGCATCTTGGCGAACCCTTTCTTCTTTTCTCCTCTTGTTTCCTTTCTATATACCTTGTTCTTTTCCCCGAACCTGCCTACGCGGCTTGCACATATCATGCATGCATCAACTTGTTTCTGGCTACATCCAGACAACCCACCTTCTCTGCCGGATTTTCCGTCTCGACACGGAATTCTGCAAGAGAGGGAATCGGCCGGGTCTCTTGCCCTGGAGACTCGCCGGGGCTGGAAGTTTGTATAGCGAGGGCCTGCCGATTATTTTGTTCGAGTTTGTGGTTTCTATGGCGTTTTTCTCTGCGGTCTTCCATGTTCCCGGCCCTGCCACGTCCCTAGGGTCCGAATGACGTGCGACAGTATTTCCTTATTTCCTTTCTTCCTCTTCTCTTCCCCTCTTACAGGGGCGGCCTCTTTCCTTCTATTCTCTTTTTTCAAGGCCGCCCTTTTTTTCTTCTTACCTTCTTATGTGCCTCCAGGTATCATTCCGGCAGCTGGATAATGTATGTACTTAGTCCTCCTATCTTCCTAGGCAAATCTGCACTTTGTTGTGTTTTGCGAGAACTTGGGCAAGACTATAAGCATGACGAGGGTATACTTGTACATATCTGGGAGCCTGCAATAACAAGACAGAGCTACTTATTCCCGATTATCGAAGAGCTTTACAGCTGTATGGAAAATGGCCTTTAAAGCCTTTTAAGTCCGGTTAAATGCTTGGTAGCGACTCGATTGTGGCATCTTCAAGGCTCAAGCCCGCCAAAGGGTCCCCACTATCCACCAGCCAATCAGAAGTGTCCTTTTGGAGCTCTCCCCAACCCGCCGCTTCCGCGACGTCAGTAAATTTGGGTCGTCTTTCTTGTCCACTGCGAAAAAAAAAATACCACGTTCTTTTAAATCAACATTTCCTATATACATATTTACACACTTGCGCTCTTAAAAGCCATGTTCAGCCTCTAGACGCCTCTACCTAAGGGAAGCCGCCCCTCCTCCGAGCACAGACAGGGGCCCTCCATCCTCCATCCGTCTGTCCAGTGCCCCGACCTGGCTCCTCTTCTTTCGCCTTCTTTCGATGAGCCGTGCTGAAGGCGGGTCAATTGCCTCAGTCCGTGCTTGATTCCGGCTTCCCTGTTCTTGCGATTCTGCCACACACCATTTTCATTGCGTCTGAGCTACGTGCGCCTCGTTGGCCCTGCGCGCGACACTACACCAGAACCTTATTCAACACATCTACAAATCGCCGATCATACTGTGGATTATTCTAGCCACTTCATCTCTTCATAATGGCCTCGAAAGCTCCCACGGGGAGCGTGGGCACTGGCCTCAAAAGTCCCTTGACGGCCTCCGCCAAAGAGAAGGAAACTGCTTTGCAGGAAGCAAAGTCCCGGCAGCTCGAGCAGGAGTTCAAAACCAAGCACCTCGGTATACTGGGGGTGCTACTATGGGTATTGTGAGTATATGGCGTGGGCCAGGCTGCTCGAGTGTATAGATTGGTCATAATCGACGCAGCTTGAGGAACGTTGGACTGACCTTGCATTCAATTCTTCTGCAGGCTCCTCCACGTTGCCGGTATCTACTTCTTCACCAAGGGTTTCCTCCTCACGCGCATGGTTCTCGAGAACAAATCTTCCTGCGATATTCTTCCTTTCGACGACGTCTCGGGCAACGCGATCGCATCTTCGGGAAGCAAGAAAGGTTGCTGGCATGACAAGACTTTTGACAAGGCTGTGGTGATTATTATTGACGCCCTCCGCTATGACTTCACTGTGCCCTTCGCTACGATGGACCAGGACAAAGCTGCCCACCTGTTCCATGATAACATCCCGGTCCTCTACGAGACGGCGGTCAACAACCCCAGTAACGCTTTCTTGCTTCCCTTCATTGCCGACCCGCCTACCACCACTCTGCAGCGTCTGAAGGGCCTGACTACTGGAACCCTGCCCACCTTCGTCGACGCGGGCTCCAACTTTGCCGGCACTGCCATCGACGAGGACAATTTGGTTGCCCAGTTGCACAGTGCCGGGAAGACGTTGGTCCAGCTCGGCGATGATACTTGGCAGTCACTGTTCCCGGGCTACTTCGATGCCAACCTCACGCACCCTTACGACTCGTTCAATGTGTGGGATTTGCACACCGTTGACAACGGTGTCAACGAGCATCTGTTCCCGCTCCTCCAACCCGAGAACAAGTCCAAGTGGGACGTGATATTTGGTCACTACTTGGGTGTTGACCACGCAGGACATCGCTATGGACCCAACCACGCCGCCATGGCTGCTAAGCTGCAAGAGATGGACCTCGTCATCCGTAAGATCATCGCTTCCCTGGATGACGATACACTTCTGGTTGTCATGGGTGACCACGGCATGGATACTAAGGGCGATCACGGCGGCGAGTCGGATGACGAGGTCGAAGCTGCGTTGTGGATGTATTCCAAGCGTGGTGTGTTCGGTCGGACTAGCAAGGAAACTCTTCTGCCGCCGAAGCACGCCCGCGAACGCTTCGTCCCGCAGATCGATCTCGTCCCGACATTGTCCCTGCTCCTTGGTATGCCTATCCCCTTCAACAACCTGGGTGCGCCCATCGAAGAGGCTTTTGCCGGTTCGAGTGGTAATGACTGGTCCAACCTGTTGGCTGTCAATCGTCTTTCGGCGGCCCAGATCAAGAGATATCAGCATGCGTATGCGATGGCCCGAGGCGCAGGTGATGACGAGGAGTCATTCGCACTGTGGACAGCTGCCGAGGAGGAATGGAAGTCCGCCTCCAAGGGTTTCACTTCCAAGTCCACCGCTGTCCGTTCCAGTTACGATCTCTACCGCAAGTACCAGCGACACACTCTGGAGATCTGCCGTGGGCTCTGGGCGCGCTTCGATGTGCCCAGCATGCTCGCAGGAGTTGGACTCTTGTTCTTCGGCATTTCTCTGCTGGTGGTGTACGCCCGTGGAATGAAGATTGATCGTACGGAACTGACATCCTCGCTCCTCTCGTTTGTTGGCGCTGGAACCGGACTTGGAGCTGTCACTGGCACTGCATTGGTTCTTTTTGGATTTACTGAGATTACTACCATTGACTCGTCCGCTCTCTTGGCCGCTTTTGGAAGTATGGTTGGAGGACTGTTTGCACTGGTCAAGAAGCCCGCAAACTTGACGCTGCCTTTGCCCAATGGCATGTGGGGGTGGCTCGCCGTCTTCTTCACTGTTTCCCAGTCCCTTGGTTATGCGTCAAACTCGTATACCATCTGGGAAGACGAGATCTTGCTCTTCTTCCTGACGACCTTCGGTGTGTGCGCTGGCATCTCGTCCATGCGTCAGAAGTCGACCACAGACCGTGTCCTCGGCGTATACCACTCCATTCTTTTCGTGATTCTGGGTCGTGTTGCCTCGTTTTCTCGTCTCTGTCGTGAAGAGCAAATGCCCTTCTGCCGCTCCACTTACTACGCTTCGTCTACCTCGTCCATCTCCGCCCCCTGGCAGCTGGCTATTCCCTTCCTGGTTGCCCTCATCCTCCCTGGTGTCGTGCGCGCCTTTTACGCCGGATCCAAGTCGTACGAGGGTGCTGCTACTCTATGGATTGGCTTTGCCTTCCGTCTGGGTCTTCTGATCACTGCACTGTTCTGGGTGCTCGAAGGTGCCGATGATGGCGAGTGGTTGCCGCTCCGCAAGGAAACCCTCAAGTCTATCCGCGTCTTCCTCGCCCAGCTGGTTCTTGCTCTCGCACTCGGTGCCGGTACAGGCGCATTTCTTTACTCCAAGCCCTGTATCACCATCAGCGTGAACAAACCAACCGAGGACCCTAACGCCCCTCCCGCTCCCATTATCGCCGGCCAGCAACAGCAGCCCCGAACAACCGTGACAATCCTAGGCTTCGGTAATGTATACGGCACACGCTTCTTTTTCCTCGTGGTCAACTTTGCGCTCGCAGTCATCCTCATGCAAAAGCCCATGGGACAAGGCGCAATTGCCCTCCTAATTTGCCAAATTCTCTCGCTCCTTGAAATCCTCGACACAAACGCTCTCACTCTCACAAACTCGCCCATCGGCCCCATCGTCCTCGGCCTCCTTGGCTCCTTCTATTTCTTCAAAACCGGCCACCAAGCCGTCCTCAGCTCTATCCAGTGGGAAACCGCCTTCATTCCCATGTCCACCATCAAATACCCCTGGTCCCCTCTCCTTGTTATCCTCAACACCTTCGGCGCACAGATCCTCGCCGCGATCGCCGTCCCCCTGACCGTTCTTTGGAAACGACCTCTACAGACTCAGGATCGCGTGTCACAACAGTCGAGTGCAAAGGTGGCCAACCCCGCTACCAAGCTACTCTCGGACGTTGTCCAGGCTGCGTCCACGCACATGTTATACCTTGCGACTATCAATCTTGCAACGACCATGTGGGCAGGCCACCTGCGTCGCCACCTCATGCTGTACCGCATTTTCAGCCCACGCTTCATGATGGGCGCTGTCGTGCTGGGCGTCGTTGACGTCGTCCTCATGGTCTTTGCCGTAGCAGGCGTGCGCTGGAGCACGCTCAGCGTTGGCGAGATCTTTGGTTGGTGAGCGCTGTGTCGCTATGTACTGTACTGCATCTGTGGTCCGACGAATATTGGTTATTCGTTCAGAATGGACCCGCCGAGACTATTTGCATTGCTCATGTTGCCATGCCTGGATAGATCTTGTTCTCTCTCATTCCTTGCGATTTTTCTCTTTCTTCCTCTTTGTCTGAATACATAATTAAAATAGATGCCTGGTCATGACAAATCTTGTTTCTAAGACTCTTACCGCTGTAGGCAATCATCAGCGCAGCGTAGTAGTCGAATCAGCTGGTTCAAATGCCGACTTCTGGCTAAACTCGAGGTACTGCTGCTGATTTAACCAAAGGTATCCCATTGGTCCCCGCTAAGGCCCAGAGTTCCTTCAAAATCGATTGTATGAATCCACGTTGCCGCCCCACCGCGTCGGGGAGTGTCGGCCACAACGCGGAGTGCCGGTCACCCCGCATTGATGGGCACGAGACACCCACGATGACTTCAATCGTTGTCTCAAACGGTGTTTTGGATCGGCTAAATTGAAGCTGTGCATCTGTGAGGAAACGAAGATGAATTTCGCAAAAGCTATATTAAGGGCATTGGAAGCCCCCTGCCACTCTTCCAACCATAAACCCACGAAAGATTCACACCACGTTCTTCCTATTGATCTCTCTTTGTATCTGGAATCAACATGACGGGCTTTTTGAGAGTTGAGGGGACGAAAATCGTCAATGAAGATGGAACCCCAGTTGTCCTTCGTGGAGCTGCTACTGGAGGTCACCTCAACATGGAAAACTTCATTACGGGTTACGCCGGACACGAGACTGAGCAAAAGGAAGCTATGCTGAAGGTGATGGGTCAAGAGAAATACGACTTCTTCTGGGACCGCTTCTATGAGTATTTCTGGACGGATAAGGATTCGGAATTCTTTGCATCCTGCAACCTCAACTGTCTCCGTATCCCCTTCAATCATCGCCATTTCCTCGATGACCAGGACTTGACCAAGATCAACCCCAATGGCTTCAAACTGCTCGACCGCATTGTGGAAAGCTGTGCTCGCTTCGGGGTCTACACTGTGCTAGACCTGCATACTGTGCCTGGTGGCCAGAACCAGGATTGGCATTCGGACAATGGGACTCATCGCGCTCAGTTCTGGGAGTATGGACACTTCCAGGATTCTATCATCGAGCTCTGGAAGGCGATCGCAGCACACTACAAAGAGAATCCCTGGATCGCCGGCTACAATCCTCTAAACGAGCCCGCAGACCCCAAACCCACCCGCCTCATCAACTTCTACACCCGAATCGAAAAGGCCATCCGCTCCGTTGACGAAAAGCACATTCTCTTCCTGGATGGAAACACCTATGCCGCAGATTTCAGCGACTTCCCGGAAACCCCTTATCCAAACTCTGTCTACTCGATCCACGATTACTCCAAATACGGCTTCCCCATCTGCGACGAGAGGTACACCGGCACGGAGACACAAAAGGCCAAACTCCTCGCTTCATACGAGCGCAAGATCGCGCACATGAAGCAAGTCGGCGTCCCCGTCTGGAACGGAGAATGGGGTCCCGTTTACGCATCTGCTATGCGCAATGACACCGATATCGAGGGTACAAATGCATCGCGGTACCTCCTCATGCGCGACCAACTGGCAATCTACAAAAAGGGTGATCCGTCCGGCGACGGTGCCCCGATCTCCTGGTCGATTTGGCTCTACAAAGATATCGGATACCAGGGGTTGACATTCGTCTCCCCAGATTCAAAGTGGTATCGTCACTTGCGACCCTGGCTTGACAAGAAACTTTCACTTGGCCTAGACCGATGGGGACGTAATGCCGCGCCGGAGGTTGAGAGTATCTATCAGCGTGTGAAGGATCACTTTAACGAGGTGATTCCCCAGCAACATCTCAAGGCGCTTTACCCGCCTACGTGGTCAACGAGTGACTACATTGATCGGGTTCTTCGTGATGTTTTGTTATCGCAGTATTTGGCGCACGAGTTTGCGGATTATTTCCGGGATCTTTCGTTTGAGGAGTTGGATGAGTTGGCGGCTTCGTTTAAGTTTGAGAATGTGGTACATCGTGAGGAGTTGATCCAGTACTTGAAGAATTGGATTTAGGGGTTGATTGGAAAATGAAGGGGTAGATTGCTAGACTGTTTTGAGGATTTTTGTTTCGTTAGTGCAGTATTCAATGTTATTTATGTCGAAGAATACGATTGCTAAAATTAAATTGAATTTAGGAAATACTTCTGGAAGTTCGGACAAACTGTATCTTGTTGGTGTGGGAATTGGTAAATCGGTCGCCGAAGATGGTTACTTTGGATGACAATTTTTAATGTGACAGGCTTTGATTGAAAGTCTGGTGAAATATCCAATTGCTAATCTATCACTAAATTTGACCATTTGATGATTCTCCTTTTAGTCAAATATTGAGTGACCTGATATCCAAGGCTTGCTTGTAGACCGGACAACGTTCGTTGCTCATCGAACTTCCTATTACGGACATCCGCCGAGATACAACAGCCGATGCACCAGCAATCTATCTACGTCGAAAGCATCAGAAGTTCTCCTTATATTTAAAATATTTATCATCGGTGAAGTGTTTCACAACTATTCCGAACACCATCCAGTATTTCTGTGAGAATGCAGCCCAAACGAACCTCAAGCGCAACAGCCATTTCCGGCCAAACATTCGACTACATCGTATGTGGCGGAGGTACCTCTGGATGCGTCATTGCAGCAGAACTTGCATCAATCCCAAATGTCTCCGTGCTTCTAGTAGAAGCTGGCAGAGATTCCGGCCTTGCGCCGGACGTTCTAGTGCCGGGCAAATATGTCAAGCAACTCCAAGAGGACAAGGAGGGATTATGGGAGTTGGAAACCGTACCCCAGCCACAATTGAAAGCCAGGAAGCTGGTATTTCTTAGAGGGAAGCAGATTGGAGGGAGTTCGTGAGTATTTCTTGATTGATGGAATGTTAGGATGGAAATTAACTATTGGAGGTAGGGCTGTCAACTATATGGCGCTTGCTCGGGGCCCAGCAGCTGATTATGATGAGTGGGCTAAGATTGTTGGGGATGATGGGTGGAAGTGGGACAGGATATTACCACTGATGAAAAATGTCTGTATCCTCGAGGGGGAGAATATTTGGGGAAACGTATTGACAGGCAAGAACAGCTTGAGGATTTCGACCCAAAGTTACCTGCGCATCTACAAAAGTTTGCTGCACCACGACGTGAGGACCATGGGGTTTCAGGGTAAGCCTGCGTGTATGTTTCTCTTGTTGAACATATGCTGATATGATCATCACAGCCCGCTGAAGATCGGATTTGGGGACGAGATGGTCCCTGGAATCGAAACTTTCGTTCAAGCGTGTCTTGAGACTGGGATTTCAGTGTGCCCAGATATCAACTCGGGGAACCCAGTGGGCGTTGGGTTGGCCCAATTCAACGTTCGCAATGGAGAGAGATCCTACGCAGCGAATGCGTTCTTGGGAGAGTCAACTCGGGCATTGCTAGGGAATTTGACTATTGTGACACATACAGAGTGCGATCGAGTGCACTCCAGGGACGGAGTCGCTACTGGGGTAGACTTGTATGACAGACAAACTGGAGCACGAGGTGAGTTTCCGAAATCGCCGTCACAATTTATAACTGACGTGGGATAGTCCATGTCTATTGCCGCGAGCAGACTGTTCTCTGTGCGGGCACGTTCGGATCTCCTAGAATCCTCTTGCTCTCCGGCCTCGGGCCTAGAGATGACTTGGAGCGACTCGACATTCCACTAGAAGTTGACTTGCCAGGTATGTCACCGACCTTGAAGGCCCTGAAAGTGTTATTCCCTGACTATTGACTCCTTCTAGGATGTGGCCAGAACATGCTCGACCATTCCATCATCACCTGCGAGTACAAAGTGAACAATTCCATCCCCGCCCACAACCAGCTCTTCCTCGACAAGGACTTACTTGCTAAAGCTGAGGAACAATACGAAAAGGACCGCACTGGACCACTCGCCATGTTTGGAGCAAGTGGTACTCTCACGTTCCCTCGAATCCAACGTCTATTCGAATCTGAGGAGTTCTCCAACCTTAGTCTCAAGGAGAAAACCTTCTTGATGGAGCCCACCAGGCCATCTGCTGAGATTTGGCTCGGATCAGGACCGTCCGTCTTTCAGGATGATCGACCAAGCGAGAGCTACATGACCCACGAGCTCTTGCTGCAAAACAATCTATCGCAGGGAACAGTTATGATTCGTTCCAATAATCCACGAGACCAGTTAATCGTGAACCCGAACTTTATGAATCATCCGTTCGATCGGCGAATTGCTATCGAAACTGTTCGCATGGCTTTGAAGATTGCTCGTACCGGGGCATACCGAGGAACCATTGAGCGAATGGTTCATGGTCCAAACATTGATTTCGCAACGGCAGACCTTGACGCGGTCAGTGATGATGTGATGTTGGATTTCATTAGGAAGAATTTGGATCAAGGTTACCACAGCGTGGCTACCTGTCGCATGGGCAAGGCTAGCGATCCCAATGCTGTGGTGGACTCTCGGTTCCGAGTCAAGGGCATGAAAAACCTGCGTGTGGCGGATTTGAGCGTGTGCCCTATTCTTACTTGGTAAGTCATCTCATTCCAGTCACATTGTTTGCGGATCACTCACTAACTTGCCGGAACAGCAATCACACCCAGATCAATGCATACTTGATCGGTATGCGATGTGCAAGGGAGATGGTTGCGAACCACAAGGTACGGAGCCAGCAGGCAAAGCTGTAGGTTTCATAACTCTGTCATCATTGAAAAGTAGTGTACAGCATCTCCAATATATCAGATTAAAAGTACAGCTCCACTTCCCCGTCCCAGCATTAGATCAATGTACTTCACTGGCCGTTGTCCCTTCCAAGCACCCTCAAGTAAAACAAGTGCGCTTTGTACATTGCCAAATCCCCCAGAGCTCTGCATACACCTTGCACGCTCCCGAACCCACTCTTGCCGCCTAGAATCTTTCAACTCAAGACCGGCATGGAATAAGGGCCATAATAGTTGGTCCGACCATCCAGAAGCGGGTGGTGTAGCCCTTGCATGATAAAGTACACTGCTGACCAGCCAATCGAGCTCGAACTCGTCGATGTCGCAGGAGAATAACCGTAACAGATAAAGGATAATCGCAAAACGGTACGCTTCAGTCATATGAAGCCAGTTCTGACCTTTATCGCAATGCGGCGGTCGTTGTAATAGGCGTTGCTTGATGTCTTGTACTTGACTCATGGCCTCGATTGAAGGGCTGTCGGGATCGAGTTGGCTCTTGTATAACGCGACAATCTCGCAGACAATTTGGAATTGATCTGATGGACAAGGTATTGCATCTAGACCCCACCGATCTTGTGATTCCCCCAATAGAGTGTTGATATCTTGTAATGAAAACACCGTGGGCCGGGAATGCGAAGCAGCAGCCATCACGTCAAGCCTGAAGCACGAATCGCCCGTTAGTCGAAAGTGTAACAAGTCATGTTAGGTGCACCTACCAGGCTAAATATTGCTCCACAAAACAACGACTCGTCCGTTCTTGACGAAGCTCAATAAGCCTCTTCGCCCCCTGGAAATGTGACTGGAAATCCGATATCCCCCCATGACAAAGATCACACAAGCAAAGCATGAGTATCGTAGCAAGCGTCCCGGGATGTTTCGCTCGAGTCTGCGAGTACAGATCCTCCTGCAATCGCTTCATCGCTTTACCCTTGAACCGGAAAAACTCGCGCTCGAATTGATTAGTAGAGAGTCGTACGTTGAAATGACAGGCTGCCAGCGCCGCACACGCGTACAGTAATGATGGAACCTCGTGGGCGAGGGGGAGGATGTATTCGCGATATGGATTTTGAGGAGATAGGTTGTCGACGCATAACTTTGGCACGACTTCGCAGATATCTGGAGTGTATGGTTAGCAGATTTGCCGTGTGGAATAGATATGTAGGACTGACGGTACTGCATGATGAATTTGAGTTCATCGGGGATTCCCAGAATGTCAAGACTGGGGCCTAGAATTTGGCGTAATGCCAAGGATCCCTCGAACAGCTCCGAATGGTTCTGTGAAGGAGACTCCGGATCGGGATTCAGTTGAGGGTCAACAAGGTCATCGGAAAGGTTGCTCATCAAAGAGACATCGTTGGGCCACATCAAGGGATCTGACGGTGTCGCTAGATCGGCGATGTCCGCAAACAATTGCAGAGGGTCGAGTAGATCCTTGAACCGGGATTCCTGGGGCTCGGCCTGCTCCTCATTGTTGACAGGGTCTTGGGCTTTGGGTGATTGTGGGAGTGTTGGCGGAGGTGGACTTGGAACGGTCGCTCGTTGAACTCTGCGCGTTCGTCGACGCTTCGCCTCCGCGACAGGAATACTTTTGCCCACCAATTGACCGCGGCTGGCTAAACCCGGCCACTGGAGTTGGTAGCCTTCGCATGTCTGGCCACTAGCCTCGCAGGTGTTGCACGTAGGCATGCGCCGGTCACATCCTCGTCCCCGGCGACGACAGGTTTTGCATGCCCGACCAAAATATCGCTCGTTCGCCATGGTGGAAGTGAAGAAGGAAACCAAGTCGCAGACGTCTGGATCGGAATTGCTGGGAGTGGCGCTGGTGTTATCTCCCGTTGAAAAAGCGGGGAAAGCCGCGATATCGCTGTCATGGTTATCGCTGGAAACTCTGGGGCTCTTCCTTCTCGTAATTTTTTGGGATTGGATTGACATGGAGGTGTGGAATCCAATTTCTATATACAATTCTCTTAGGAGGGGGTAATACTCTAAGGGCATTCACTAAGTACGCTAGGCTTTTTCTATAGAAAAGAGTTATGCATGGCATGGAATAATGCTAATATTAATACTCCAAATGTCGGCACCCAAAGGGTTATCACCAACTTCCAGTTATTCCAGGTACTCTCCCCCCTCATATGGCCTAGTTGGTAACCAATCCGATGGTGACCAATGGGTGTGCCCCTGTGAAGGAAAATTGAAGGGAAAATATGTTGACAGGTATCCGATGTCGAGCACGACTCCACGGATGACCGGGCACATCCCTAAGTGGGGAGAGTGGCGAGCAGGCTAAACCCCCCTGCTCGCCAATTTCTTCTTTTGTTTTTCTTTTTTATTTAATATATTCTCTGATATCAAGATTATATTCTATTATAAAAACCAAGACTTCTAGAGTGCTGTAGAGGGGATATTCATCGTTCAAAGTATGTCCGTTGGCATTTTGGGATGGCGATGGAGCATCTGGATGAAGTATATAGGGAGAGCGAGGTCACGGGTTCGATTCATGGAGAAGTGGGTCCTTTTTTGCCCCCCCCCAACTGGAACCACGAAAACTAAGGAAAATCAAAGAGATCGAAAAATATGCTCCGAACTCATTATTATAGTGACTGATACCAATTTTTATCTCCGCTAATCATATTGTACGTAAAAAGTTTCTGATAACGTGAATCTGGGGTTGTGGTTTATCCCCCACTAGACACGCGGCGACGAGCTTCTTATCGTTTGTCCATTTTAGGAAGGTCGCTGAGTTGACCAATCAGAGTCTAGTATCTACATCGCTATCTTTTACCTCCTTCTGCTTGATTGATTATAGGGTCAGTCCCTGTTCATTTAAGTCTATAGTTCTATGGAATCTAGTTTGGCAACCAACTCGAATCAACAATATGGTCAAGCGCGTACTTGTAGGATACGGCATCGATGTGGATGCGGTGAGTGGCTGGTAAGGCTGGATATTCCTTTTAAGGATTTGATATGAGACTAAACATGAAATAGGATCAACACTGAAGACGGCCATATACCTGATCTCACCGATATATCGCGTGGTATCTTCGGTGCTACCGCAGGAATTGACCGGCTTCTGAAATTATGGGATAAATACAACATCAAGACCTCATGGTTCATCCCAGCTCATTCAATCGAGTCGTTCCCGGGTCAAATGGCAAAGATTCGCGATGCCGGGCATGAGATGTAAGTATTTCTCCAACCAGCTATGGGTGTTCCTGTACTCGATAATAGCCACCGTAAACTGACATTATTTAGTGGTCTGCATGGATACACCCACGAGCACGTGGATATGTTAACCGAGCAGCAGGAGCGCGATGTGCTCGCAAAATCAATTGAAGTGGTGACTGCACTCACTGGAAAGCATCCGAAGGGGTGGACTGCACCGTCTTGGAGAACATCAAGCCGCAGTATCAGATTGTTAGAAGAGTTCGGCCTGGTGAGCAAATCCATCAACATGACACGAAATCCAAGATGAAGGTCTAATTCACCAATCAGGAATATGACCACTCATTCATGCATCATGACTCCCAGCTCTACTACGTTCCCTACAACTCAGGTGAACTAGTAGCCACCGACCTCTCGAAACCTGCCGAGCAGTGGATGAAGCCCATGGGAAAGCTAAAGACAAGCAAGATTGTCGAAGTGCCCGCGAACTGGCATTTAGATGACTGGCCACCATTCCAGCTAACGGAAGGCCCCTCCCACGGATACGTGGACCCGGATGTTATTGAAAGGCTTTGGAAAGCGCAATTTGATTATCTCTATCAAGAGTATGATACATTTGTGTTCCCGATATCGATTCATCCTCAGGTCAGTGGGAAGCCTCAGGTACTTATGCTTCATGAGAGGCTTATTGAATATATCAATTCGCATGAGGGGGTGGAGTGGTGTACATTTGAGCAGATGGTTAAGGAGTTCAAAGAGGGCAGAATTGAGGGATTCCAGGTAGAGGGTGGAGTTGATTGAAACCGAGACTTGTCTGTTATATAATGTGTGCCTTGAGAAACAACAGATAAATTGCAATATTCTCAATTTCAAGCTAGAGAATAATTTAACTGCCTTTTTCACTAAGTCAGACTGGTTTAGACCACTCCCTGTGACTAGAAGTATCCGAGCAGAAATTCCAAATCTAAAGCTTAAAATTAGTCAAATATGACTCTCGGACAGATTTATTTCAACTTATGTTACTCTGACGGGTTGAGGGAAGTGGATGAATTCTTAATCGCAGAGGCAATTTATGCACTATGTTCTTACTATCGATCGATATGATGGAAACAGGATCAAAAAAAATAACTTTGGCAATTTCTAACAATATGAGTAACTTCTCATCATCTCCTCGTATATCATAGATCATTCCAAAACATGGAACTTCAGTTCCAACCGATGACCTTTTGGACCTGCAAGATAACCATCGCTTGCCGTCATATCTCCGTGGTCGTGAATGGTAGTAGTAAAATTGGAATAAACGCTTGCAAAGAAGAATTTGATCGCTAGAATCGCTGTTAGCATTGTTTAGTTGTATCCAAGACCAGCTCCCTTACAATAATAAGCAAAGTGAATTCCGAGACACATTCTTCCACCACTGCCGAATCCCCAGAACCATTTCTTCATAAGAGCCAACTGCTCTGGTGATGAATCGAGCCATCTCTCTGGCTTCCATTCCAAAGGCTCCGGAAATATATCGGGCATGCGGTGAAGAACGGAGGCGTACGATTGCACAGTGGTTCCGGCAGGGATATTGTGGTAGCCGCCCAGAGTTGAAGGTCGAGGCACTACCCGGGGCTGACCACCCGGCACCGAGGGCCAAAGTCGAAGGGTTTCCATGAAAACGGCTTGAAGTATTGGCAATTTGTCAATATCCTGAGGGTTCGTGATGTCACCAGCTTCAACAAGCTTCCCAGGCACGTGCTTCAAAGGTGGGTTGAGACCAAGCAGCTCTTCACGAAGCTTTGTCTGCCATTCGGGGTGCCGACTCAACTCGTAGAGCATATAGGTCGAGGTGTTTCCGCTAGTCTCGAAGGCTCCAGAATTCAAAGAGAACATGTCACTGGCCAAGCGAAGTCGCTGAGGGTACATTTTGGGCTTTGCGTTGACCTCACTCATCCCTTTTAGTGCTGGTTCGAATGCGACCGGCTGGTCATCCACTGAAAGCTGCTTCCCACTTGCTAAGAGTTGCTGGGCCTTATCGCATTTCTCCAGATTCCAGTTCTCGACACCTTCAAAAGCTGATAGGACACTCTTGGGAATGATGTAAATTCCGAATTTCTGCACCATGGCGACCAGGCGAGGGAAGTGGTATTGCCAGAAGGTGTATTCAGCCACGCCAAGGAAGCCATCAAAGTAGAATCTCCTTTCCTTCTCGTCTTCGACTGTGTTACTAGCCAGAGACCGTCCAAACTGCCACTGGACAAAAGTGTCTAGTAGGTAGGAGTAGGTGAGATCCATCACCTCAATTGGCTTGTCTTCCGTGGAGGCTTTGTAGATTAAAGGAAGGACGCGATTGAACAGGATGTCTCGTGTCGCGCCGCGGGCAGTCTGGGATGACATGACAGTCGACTTTGTAAAACAGCTTGACAGAGCTTTCTTTTGCGCAGAATGCGTCTGATTATCCTTAATTGTGAATAGATTGTCGGTACTGTTTGTGAAATTAGCCGATGCATCTCTCTATCATCAGTGCGAATTCTTCATACCCGTATACAGCGAACCCGTTAAAATAAAACTCTGGTTTTGGGAAGCCCCCATGATAGATTTTTTTCAACCCATCTTCATAAGAGTTTACACTGACCAGGTTTGGAGCAAGTCGAATGGCAGGACCCTTGGCTAGATGGAGCTCATATATCCGACTGTTCTCCTGCTTCGACCATCTCATCCAGAAGATCCAGATAGGACAGAAACTGCAAGACCAGTGCGCGTTGGGTACTTTGGCCAGAGGAGAGAAGAAGGCGGGATATAGGATAAACCTGAAAATTGCTGCGATTGTGCCGAGTAAGGCGATGGCAGAGTACAAGTGAAGTTCCATCTTTGTGAACTGGCACTCGCACCGAAGACTTGATTTTGGACTTTGGTCGAAAGTTTAAGGCAGCTAGCCCATGAGTGTTTCAAGCAGTATCTTTATACATATGGTATTGATTGACTGAGTTTAGAAAAGCTAGGTAGACACAATCAGACACCATTCTGGATGCCCCGTTTCCATCTGTCGGTTGTATTACGTGAGGCATAACGGCCAACAACGTAATAGACAAACGTGGAGAAAGTATTCACCAAATCTGGAATCAAATTGTAACTATTTTAGGTAAATATAGACATATCAAGATTTTATTTCGTTTGAATGCTTACATGCTGAACATTCTGCTTTGGTTTCGGCAGCCCGATTAGAGGACGACCATGATAAGTCTCGTAACTATAGGCTCTGGTTGAAACAGCGCCGATCCTAACCGAATACGGTAAATAAATGAGCTTGCCCCACTATCTCGACAGAGAGTGGGTCTAGCTCGGTAGGTTAAGAAATCGAAGAAGCGATAATGCAAAACGGACACAATCATACAGTATCCCCAAAGATGCCACGTGGTAATCATGTACAAAGATAAGCGAGAGAAATTGGAGGGTGGTGGGTACCGAGGTTATCGTGACATACAATCTAGCTCAATCTGTTCTCGATAGGTAACTGTTAGAGCCACATAAGAGACTTTGGAATCCGTATGTATGGCCCACTATGGTACATGGACTACAGTTCTCATTTTGGACCCATGAAAAGCTGGATTGCGGGGAAAGAGCCCACAATTCTGGTATAACCGCACTCAAAGATAGTCATATTTGCACATGGTCACTACAGATTATTGTGTCATATCTTCTAGGCCAAAAAGGAATGTGAAAAGAGGACTTCAACATCGGATTAAATTCATCCCTGCAAGATATTAATGCTCTAACTAAGCTTAGGCGATTTCTTAATCTCGACCATTTCCCCTTGTCGCTGACGTGCCTGAAGACAGATCATGATCCCGTAGCGCAACCTCGAGCCCCTGTATCTCAATAGTCTGATGTAATTAGAATTATGAAGACCAAAAATGCAGAGTAAATGAGGCGCTAGTTAAGATGACTCAAGGAAGTCTTACCGGCCCAGAAAATGTTTTTCTTTTGCCTGCCCACCAAGATATAAGGATCAAAAATGAGATACCAACTATGATCACGCTGACATAGTTCATGCTGGCGATTGTGGTTGGAATCGAGGTAGGAAAGCAAAAAATAATCGTAATAAAAAGGACCCAAAGGATCGAAAAGGCGTTGCAGATTGGACCAAGGTATCGACCCAAGGCAAAGGGGCGTTTCGGTAGAACGCGCTCTCGCCCTCGCACCAAGAGAATGGCCTGAGGGAGAGCATAAGTCAAGTTGAGCGATAAGATGGACATGGATATGAAGCTATTGAAAGCAGCTGCAGATCCAATATAGATTAATCCGTAAATGATTACCACGGCAGCACAGCCAATTGTGGCGTTGATGGGGGATTGATGCGTGGGATGAATCTTGACGAAGAATCCCGAGTATGGAAGGCCTTCGTCACGCGCGAATGCATATGCGAGTCGCCCAGTCGTCACGATACATGAGACCAGGGCACCGGAGTAGACAAACAGGATCCACACAGTGAGTACAGTGGCCGCAGACTGACTTCGCGTGGCTTGCAAATAGATGGTATAGACCGGAATCGAAGATGAGGCGACAGCATCTGTGTCCGTGATGGAGAAAAGAAATGCAATTGTCCAAGGGATGACGGTGAGGATACCGATTAGCATAGTGAGCCCCATAGCACGAGGGACATCACGACTGGGGTTGGGAAGTTCCTGTTAAACCTGGGTGAGCAAGCGGGTGAGAGTATTCGTGATCGAAGTTTATTACCTCTGCAATATGACACGCTCCATCAATGGCCAGATATGCATACATACAGGTCCCAAGCCCGATGATGAAGGAAGTGCCGTCGCTCCAACCACTTGTGTTCTGGTAGTCGACAAATACCGCTTTTGCTGACTGCCCATTTGTTCGCATAGCCAAAACAGTGACGAAGCTAACGAGAAATCCCAGAAAACTGCTTACAAACATCACCATCTCGCCTCTAGGGAGCGCTGTTGGTAGGTAACAGACAATTGCAGTTGCAATCAAGACCAATAAAGAGTAGATCATCCATGTCTGCCAGGCCTCTGCGACGTAGTTTGGGTGATACATGCCGGCCAGGTTTCCGACCATCTGGGCTGCGAGCAGGTATTAATAAACCGCGAGAAGCATCTCAACGGGATCAATGGCCACTCACCACAGACTAGGGCAGTGGAGGCGCTGGTGAGAGCCCATGCCACTACACTCAACCATCCAAGAATGAAGGCCACCAGAGCGCGGTATTTCGGAGGGGTGACCATATACGCAAAATGATACTGTCCGCCGCTGGAGGGATAGGCCGACGCGAGCTCAGCCAGACCGGCCGCTGAAGGAAAGATGTAGTTAGAGGGTGCTCATGGCGAGATCCAGAGATGGCGCTCCTACTGATGAAGCAGCTTGCGATTGAAGCAGCAATCAGACCGAAAAATACAGTAGGACTGCCACCCAACAATAGTGGTGTAATGAAAGTAGCAGAGTAACCGAGCCAGGAGTTCGTCATGCTGAATCCAAATGCAAGAGTGGAAAAAAGTGAGAATTGTCGAGGGAGTTCATTCGGCTCATGATTTCCGAGAGTATCACCATATTCACCCTTACCACCGGTGCTGTCGACTCGCTCTGGTAGCTTGGACATGGAGGTGGTAGAGTCGGTCATCGTGGTCGCAACTCAACCCAGCAAAAAAAAAAGTCTTGATGATAGCCAGAAAGTAGGAATATAGGAATGGTAAGAGCACATGTTCACTATATAGACTATTACTGTACTTTAAATATCAGATAAATGAGTAGTTGATATGGTATTAAACTCGGCGTCTCCCCGCAAATTGCCTGCTGATAGGGATTCCATCCTGCCAATGAGAGTTGAATGATATGTGCCTCAACCCGCCATAAAATACGACCAAACTTAGAACATGGGGTTTTTTTGGTCATGTCTAAATGTTTATCGAACCTTCAAAAATTACCGGGGAAAAGCTTGGTCAGATCTCGAGCCTGATACGGCATCTCATTTATATGCCAAATCGGGAATAGCCTGCGAACATACTTTTTTACCGCGCGTGACTTGTCATGGTCGAGCATTGAGCCTTGAACCAAGGTCCACGTTGCTGGCTGATTGATCATGCCTTTTAGAGTGTATCACGATGTGTCATGAATCCTCCTGTCTCATATCGTGTCTTTTTGAGGAAGATAGGGCGGATATATTTCACTCTGTAATTGATATCATCCACCTACCAAAATGAGTATGGCCATGCTATCCAAGTCCATCTCTATGTAGCCATAATTTATCGACCATAAATCCATGTCTTTGACTACCTCAATATTATTTAAGGCAAATCCAGAAAAATCCAGAGTAATTCAATAACGCACAACTTAAGTTGACTATTGGAACTCTCCAACCTCTTCCTCAATTTCTCGCATACACAAACCTCAACATGCCAGTCGTCACTGGATCCGACTTCCCGGGCTATGAGCAGCTTGGAAGCATTTTCAATATCTCGGCAGCGGTTTCTATTCCCGCGAATGCCCGGATTGTCGCCACCTCCGGCCAAATTGCCGATAACCACGACCCAATGTGGGGAACTCACGCGGAGCAATTCGAGAAATCAATGGTCAACATCGAGAGAGCTTTGGCATCAGCATCTCCGCACATAAAGGATCCACGACAACTGTGGGAGGGAGTGTTTTACGTCACGTCTTTCCATGTTGGTGTTTTGACAAGGGAAGAGCAATTGCAGATCGCCGAAATTGCTAGAAAATACTTTGGAAAGAATAAGCCTGCGTGGGCAGCTATTTGTGTCAATGCCCTCTTCCCACCGGAGGCGCTCGTGGAGATCCAAATTCAGGCAGCCTATCGGGATAGCATATAATTAGATTAATGAGAGGAAGGATGCGCTCTGTTCTTGAGGCCGCAACCATCAGCAAGATTTAAAGGGAAGAGCTTCTTGTGAATTACCTGTGCTCCCCCCTCCTTGAGCTTCATGTCACCTTAAGACCGTCTTGGATTTGTTTATCCATGAAAGTCATCTTCCATACTTTCACTATCAAGTCTTTACTATCTTTTCTGTGAATTGGAAAATGATAAATATGCCTTGCTATTTTTTAGTATAGTAGAACCATAAGATCGGTGCATCTCACTTCTTGCTTATAAACTCTTAGGTTATTAAATAATATCTTGTGTACCTACTTGAAGCTCCTAGCATTAGGTCTCACGGGGCATCGACCTTTAGTATACTTTAGAAAACCAAGAACTCGACGCATAGAGCTAGGAGATATTCAGTGCCATCATTCAAAGTCTAGTTCTATTAACTCTTCGGGTTGACACGGTCTTCCCAGGGATACACGAGCAGTTATACCCCCAAGTTCCATGACAATGCTGAACAGCGTGGCATCCATTCCCAATGGACCTTTCTCATATCGGCATATTGAATGCGGAAATCCGTCATGGTCATCCAAAATGCGTGTAATGTCAGCCAAATCTGGCTGCCTGCCGGTGGATGAGCCTAGCCCCGTAGCTAGACTCTGGATGCGTTGCTGGCGTAAAGGCGAATCGGCCAACCAGCCAACTTCCACGGGGCCATCATGTGGCAATAACAAGTGATTTGCGTGGAAAATCCGGCTTTCAGCATCCATTTCGATAAGCCTGATTGTCTCCGCTGTTGACTCCAGTCCGATGGCTTTTCCTTTATCTGCGATGAGAATATGCGCGGAAGCGGCTAATCCAGTCTCTTCCAGCCGCCGAACGGCTTCGTCGGCCGATGGACTATCTAGGACTGATCGAAGCGCAAGATGAACTGGAAGGCGCGAAGAATCGCAACCTGGCACTTTAATAGCATTTAAACACACGCCGACACCCAGTTCGTTGAGTCCAATCTTTCCGATAATGCCGGCTTCGGTGACCATCTTGATTCGAGGTCTGTCGTTTCGGGTGATGTCAAGAATGACAAGGTTCTGCTTCTGCTCTTCCATCCACTTTCTGAACTTCAGCATAACAGCGCAGTCACTCCAGGCCGAGCATGACTTACATCCCAGTTTTGGGCCAAAAAAGAATTACGATCAGTTCTCCAATACAGGCTCGTACATCCATCATTGAACATTCCAAATGCGATCTCAGTGCGAATATTGAGAGCCAAAATATCAACGAAGGGTAACCCGGCACCGTCCGAGATTCCTTCATGGTTTGAAGATATGTCAGTGACATGGAAGGCAGGAGCTTCAGTGTAACAAGACGGGATTTCGCCTCACTTACCCTGCATCTCATCAGAGTACCTCGGCCACTTTCGCTCGAGTTCACTTTGCCAGTCTTTGGCTATTCCACGAACGGTGTCCCATCCCATTTTGCAAGTATGAGCAAACATCTTCTGGTAGAACAAGATACTCCGACGAATCATTTCTTGGCCTCCCACACCATGCGCCTTCCCAATCTGATGCAGGTCAATATGAATTCGCAAAGTAGGCGATGACAAGAGATAGCACACCAGAGGCTTACCTCATAAGGTGTTCCATGACAATTGATTGTTTTCATTTTGAGTTTGTCGTAGTCTACAGTTTGGCCAAGTCCTTACAATCACCAAGGCACCAATCAAGATATCAAACGATCAACTCTCAACATATGTATTTAGAGACCGCCAGGGTAGTATTTTAAATCCAACCCCTTTTCTAATATTTGATTTTTTTTTCATCTAAGATGTAGGGGAGGAGTATGTCTATCGTATGTGAGCACGCGATTTCTATCTGTTTTTGGATAATAGAGGTAAACTCAACCATTATCCGTTTTAGGAAGGCCGTTCAACGTACCCGCTTGGTTTTAGGTCTGGCATCGCCGAGCCCGACAAAGTCTCTTTGATTTTACAGAACAAGCCAGCCGGATTGAAAAGGCCTCTATCTGGATTATGTGATGCTTTTGCTTCACAATATCGGCAAAAGAATCAATGATAACTTCCGCAATTTTACTGCAAAAGTGGCTCAAGTGACGTTTAAGTTTTTGTAGCTCGTCTGAGTCCCCGCTCGGTGTCGATTTTATCGTTATTATTTTCAGCAGCCCAATTAACCCCATTGCTCACCTCCGAATGTCAATACCCTGAACAGTGGAGTGGCAAATTGCTAGTATCCCTTTGTTTGTAATGGCAAATAAGATTGTTAACACCGATTTAGGTCAACGATAATACATTCGGACCATTGTAGACATCTTTATGCTGGTGGCCCCCTGGTCACTATCTGCGAGGCACTTTGATTAAATGTAACACACTAGTCCTATCTACCTTCCCTAGGTTAGCAACTTTGTCCCATCAAACAAGCACCGGCATCAAAATCTGATTGTGTTTTGTTTCACTTACCAATATTCATTGCACTGCGATGGAGCTAGCTAACAAACAAATTAGTTAGTTAATTATCCAAGTTATAACTAGTGTATTTTCGCAATATTTGGCGGGATTAGTACCCAGGGACTCAATGAAATAATTTCACGTGATTTAGTTGATGGAATGATTCTACGAATAACTAGGTTCTTGATAGCACACTACCCAAATTGTTCCTATAGTCTCATCGTCGAGAGAACCAGTATGCAAATGCGGACGGAAGCAAAAATGTCTCAGTCAAAAGAATATGCTTGAAGTCGTATAAATTGACCTTAGACCTGAATTCCCCTATGCCCGCCAGAATTAGTCTCCATAGTTAACCTAGATTGACAATTTATCGTGATATAAGTAGAGTGGGAATTGGAAATCTTGAATTTAGAACCTCAAATGCTAACCAAATTGACCATCCAAACTATATTGATGATTCGGTTGACCACCTTAAGCGGTCACTCGGATTCTGATGATTAGTTTTGACAAACTATTAGAGTTAACGGATTAAAGTAACACAAAATCAAGGAAATAAAGAGCTGGATTCACCCGATTAATAGCTGAATGGGCCTAAATCTCTCGTTTGAAACGACTGAAATCGGCTCCCGAATTCATCATAATCGATACCCTATGTTAATCAGAATTAGCGTCCAGAATATAGCTACCTGAATTGGGCTAGCTTGCCGTCTGAAATTGTCTGATCAAGGCTGACAACTTAGATTTATCACAATCGAAATACTGGAATTCACCACAAATGAGTATGGGTAGGGATGCTATAGAAGCAGGTTTTTCCTCTTTATTCCGATAAAACTTGTTGAAGGCTAAATCAATCGAGAACCTAATTGAATGAGGAGTGGGGAAACTTTAGAAGTAGATCTCAGATAGGATGAATAGAATTACGGGTCTAGGGTTCCATGAATAGTGGGAGACAAACTACCCAATATCAGCGTGCGATCCTTGGGCTTAATAGCTGATCTTCTTGAGAGACATGTTCAAACGATGAATTCTGACCACTGATTTTGATTCATTAATTAATTCAAATTTTAGAGTCGTGTAGCTAAATCTGACTAATTTCGGTCGCTAATTCAATGAACTTAGCCTCAATTAGAGCGAATTTATCGAAATCGAGGAGATGGATAAAGTAATCGGGCCAGAAAGCTTCACAGCTATGTGTTCAAAACAAGAATGTTTCCTCCGAATAAAGTCTATTGGAAAATATAGTTAATTGAAAATACTGTGCGACTCGAGAGACGTTACCAGTGTATTGATTAATGCCCGGAATTTTGTGAGGGGGCAGCGCAGGTATTTTCGCGAAAGGGCAAGCAGGAACTTCCCGTAAGACATATCAGCCCCATCATCAGGTGATTTGACAGCTCTACGCGTTGCACAATACTATAGGCGACCAAATCAGCCTATAAATTAACCCACTCAAGGTTATATTTCGGATCAGCTGCCGAGGAGCAGGCAGCAGTTCTAAGGCTATTCTGCGCGTGGAGATTACATCAAAACTAGTGTGAACTGCCACGTTCGTCCCAATAGGACTGTTGTAAAGAAGTACCAATATAAACTACAATTAAAGTCTACAGCAATTTATCTTATTTACTTACAGATCCCTGACCTATCAATCTACTACCTTCCAAGAGATCCGCCACTCTCCTAGCGACCCTTCTGCGCCTCTCTGAATGGCAATTATATAACCATAGGAGCTTAAGTACTATAACGCCTCGTGGCCCTCACATGCGTCTAGGAGCAGTAGTGTTGAAGGGTGAGCTCTTTTCACGATTCATGGCTAGTGAGTTGCTTAATTGTATAATTCATTCAAAATGTGACTAGGGTCCGCGCCAGGATCCTCTGGCTTGCAGAAAACACCGTATTTCTTCGACTGCCGCAGAAAACTATGTAGGTAAGCCTCAAAGACCGGATAACGCGGATATGTTCGAGCATCTGGACTCTCCAATCGCTCTTTCACATATGAGCTCAAGCTTCACCTACCCTTGGGCCGAGCAAGTTTATGACGTCATTCACCAGCGCCTTTTAGTTATTGAATCTGAATTTGTCAGACATTAATGAGACGCGAGTCGCGTGAGCAATGATTACGTTCGCCATCACTAGAAAGCGGTGAGTGCGCGAATGTAGAATACCTTGCTCCATGATGGACTTGAGCTAAGTTTCGCCCACATTGACCATCGCTTATCTCCAGTGTCAATCTCGCCATTTCTTCTAGACATCCCATTCAATATCTGTGAATCATGGCCACTGTTGTAGCACCAACCCCTGCAGGGCATGCATTTGAACCAGTGTCCCTCGTTTATTCGCGTGATTGGCCATATCCAGATACAACGCGATCAAAAGGTGGCCACGACAGAGTTCCTTTCTTCCAGCATGGGCTGGATGATGACGCTCGTGTTCTAGGTGGATAGTTCTCCGGCGACATTTACATATCTTGTACTAACGGAATCACATCCTGTCTTAGGAAATGGCCGTGTGGACATCCATATCGACCCGCACAAACCCAGCATCGCAGGGCTATTGAACCACATCCAACCCCCGAACATATATTCTGGTCGAAACAACGAACAGATAGCCAGTACAGAAAAACCTTTCGCAAGAGATGGGCATTTTCCACTGCACTTGAATATCGTCATCCAAGTAATTGGTTCTCGAGGCGACGTTCAACCGTTTGTTGCACTTGGGAGAGAACTGAAAGCCCACGGCCACCGAGTCAGATTGGCCACACATTTGACTTTTCGGCAATTTGTTCTTGATAGTGGCTTGGAATTTTTCAACATTGGAGGAGATCCGACGGAACTGATGGCTTTCATGGTAAAAAACCCAGGCCTGTTACCGGGGTTCAAGGCAATACGCAGTGGAGAAATCCAAAAGCGGCGGCGTGAGATGAGGCAAATTTTCAATGGATGTTGGCGATCTTGCTTTGAAAAGGGTGATGGGACCCACCTTCACCATATCAAAGAAGACCCATGGAGCAAAGCTTTGGATTTTCGAGAACGGTCCTTTGTTGCGGACGCTATTATAGCCAATCCCCCTAGCCTGGCCCATATTCATTGTGCACAACGACTAGGAATCCCTCTCCATATTATATTCACGTGAGTCGAGCCTCCGATATGCTAAGATTCAGTTGCCTCTCGCCAAGTTACCGCATGGCTAATAAATTACAGGATGCCTTGGTCACCAACTCAGTCGTTTCCCCACCCGTTAGCAAATGTTCATTCCCAGAACTGCAAGCCTACTATCGCAAATTTTATGTCCTATAATGTTGTTGATGTGATGGTTTGGGAAGGGTTGGGAGATATTCTGAACACGCTCCGCAAAAACACTTTATCACTCCAACCTCTAGACACAGTGACCGCCTCGAGCATACTCCACAGACTACATGTGCCGCATGCGTATCTATGGTTAGAAAATTATCCTTGACCGCCAAAGACGTGTTCTGATTTTTGAACCAGGTCTCCTTCGTTACTGCCCAAGCCTCCTGATTGGGCTGATAACATCGATGTCTGTGGCTTTGGCTTCCTTTTGTCAGAGAGCAACTTCACGCCACCCCGGGAAATCGTTTCATTTCTTGAAGCAGGACCAAAACCAATATACGTTGGATTTGGGTCGATTGTAGTTGATAATCCTGATAGGTTAACGAAGACTGTTTTTGAAGCGATCAAAAAAACTGGACAGCGGGCTCTTGTCTCGAAAGGTTGGGGGAACCTGGGGGCCGACAAAGTACCGGAAAATATTCTTTTGATTGGAAATTGCCCTCACGATTGGCTCTTTCGTCAGGTCTCATGCGTGATACATCATGGAGGCGCTGGTACTACCGCGGCCGGCCTCATCTTAGGTCTACCGACGATAATTATCCCGTTTTTCGGAGACCAGCAATTTTGGGGAAATATCATTGCACGGGCCGGAGCAGGACCATCACCGATACCATATAAACGGTTGAACAGTCAGAATCTCTCAGACGCAATACGGAAATCGCTGGAGACAAGTATCCTGGACAGAGCACAGTCGATTGCGACAAAAATGCAACAAGAGTCTGGCGTGCGCCATGCGGTGAATAGCTTCTACCGAAATCTTGACCTCCAGCGATCCAGGTGCTCTATAGTCCCTAATAAGCCAGCTGCATGGCATCTCAAACATACCAGTATCAACTTGAGTGCCCTTGCAGCAACAGTCCTGGTGAAATCCGGGAAGATAAGCCCGGACATGCTCGTGCTGTAAGCCTTTTCCGACTAGCGTCACCAAAATCGTCAGAGCTTTTGTGCTGATTGTTTCCAGTCACCGTCCTATTGAATATGATACATTCATGGACCCTGCCAACCCACTTACTGCTGGTGCTCAGGTGCTCTTTGGAGCCCTTACGAAATTCGTGACTAGTTTTGTAGATGCTCCAAGGGAGATTGTGAGTGATCTTGCTTCTGCTGTCCGCGCAACACGTCATCCCCACGAACATTTTGATCGCCGCGAAGCATGTCGGGCTGCAGTTTCTTCGCTGGATCAAGCCTCCCCAGAATACAGCATTGAGAACGAAGAATCACCTATCGAAAATGGGACATGGCAATTACGAGTCGAGAATAATGAACAGGGAGCTAGAGAGCCCCAAGAAGATGAAATTACACAGGAAGACACTGGAGACGAAGAGAATAGAGACCATCTTAATGAAATAGCTCGAGTTCAGAGCATAGAGCGCAAAAGAAGCCTTCAACTTGACAAGGCAAAGACAATGAGCAGCTCTATACCCCCTTCTAAACCACCCAAATTCCCCGTTTTGCACGAAGCTGCGTTACATGGAAGCAAGATGTCCAAGAAACTGATGAAGGTCATCATATGGTTACCTGCCGATTTCTCACTAAGCATGGCCCGAGGTTTCCACAACGCACCCAAATTATATCACGATTCGACAGTGGTCGACACCCTCCAGGTAGTAGGTCTTCAAAGCGGCTTATCAGCAGCAGGAAAGGTAAGAACATCCATACCAGCACTATCTTAGGACCAGTCATTCTGATATAAGTGCAGGAGCTCCGAGACGGCTTTTACTTCGGTATCACAGGTATAGGAGCACATCCACGGGATGGCTTCAAGAATGAAGGTGCGAAGGGGCTCTTTAAAGGGATCGGGAAAGGAATGGGAGGTTTGTTTCTCAAACCAGCAGCAGGTATGTCGTACGGGAAGGCAATATATCTACGATCGTCACTCTTACAAAATAACTGTAATCAGGGCTATGGGGTCTTGCGGGATATCCATTGAGTGGGATGCTCAGAGATATCAACGACTCTCTAGGCAGACATCAAAAATGCATGATTGTAATGGGTCGCATTTCACAGGGACTCGAAGAAATGCAAGCGTTGACCCCCGAGGACAGGGCAGAAGTATCCACGACATGGAACAAGATTGAACACGACTTGAAAAAGTCGAAATAAAGACACACTCACGCCGGATAATGCGAGAAAAGAGGAGACAAAACTTTGTGAAGCTTCTCATAACCTCTCTCGAGTGGCTTAAGCAGACGCGATATTGCCTCTATCATTATTTCATTCCTAAATGAGATAACTTTACTGACATTTTCAATGAGATGATGCCATACTACTATCATTGGTCCCGAACCTAAGCAAGTCCATAAAGACAGCAATAGTCCAGGAAATCTCTATAACGTTTCGATGAAGATTAAGAAACTAGTTATTCGTGAAATCATTCTTTGTTATGATATACCCAGGCATGAGGTTATTCCCAAATGTTAGTGCCTCAGGCTACCAGGACCTGATAAGCCGGCAGGCTTTCGGGGAAAGTTCGCTTAGGCTTCACTACCCGCACGTGTACGGACTCCTGCAAGGAAGATCCCTGGGTAAAGGTTACACAAGCCTCGTGTTTACCCCGCTCCTATTCTCCCATCAAGGATGCATCTTTTGAATTTTCCTATAGATTAGTGAATCGCCAAAGGCTTCCATGATCGATGAAAGCTTCCAAGTGCAGAGTCTAGGAATTCTTGAGGGATATTTCACCAGGCAACTAGGGCTGATCGTATGACGTTTTTTTTTTCTAATTAAGACAATCTTCATTTAATTATACTCATGAAGCTTGAATCCGAGAGATCGCTTGGCTGAAACTATCATTTACCCTTGTTTGATTAGCCTATTTTATTCAATTGATCGTAGTCTTGCTGTGTTACTAAACTTTGCTTGACTCGTTGCTCTCGGCTGCGTAACGGTAGGAGTCTGACCCGGGCGATACTCCCCGATGGCTGGGCGACAGTGGGGACGTTGGCCACGGCTGGCTCTACCTTGAACTTTGAAGGTCTCTAAACTCATCCCATTTTATCCAAGGCAGAGTTTATCGGAATGTAGCGACAGCCTTGTGGTGTGATTCTGGCTAAATGTTTCCTGTAGTTAAGTTATCGTGCAGAGTGGCAGGACAAGTAGCCAGGTCAGCCTAAAGTATTCCAAGACAGAATATCTGAAAGCTGCTCCATATGGTCAGTCAGAAGGTAGCCAATATACACAGTGAGACCTTTAGTTCCAAACCCTGGTAACTCTCCAAAATTGATGTCATGACGATCTTTTGAACAATAGTTCAAGCCATAATGCCCGAGCCAGTAGCCATCAAGAAAGATGGGTTGAAATACACTAAAAACACCGTTAAGAGAAGGGAATTCAAGCATAACTACATGTTGTGTATCGGTGGGCTCTACGCTAGGACATCTAGAAACCCAGTGTAGATACATACCCTACTGGAAGCTTATAGCTAATCGATATCTTCAGATTGGGTCGTTTCATTACAGCAAGTGATGAGATAATTAGGTCTTAAAACTAGGAAATCCATGGGTATATGTTTCATAGATCACTACTTGCCGCTGGAATTTCGGAAAGAGCCAGAACGATGAAGTTTCGCCAGTTCGAGAGCTGAGGCATTTCAGTCTCCCAAAGAGAGAGCAGTTCAACGGTTAACGTGACGCTTTTCCGCCAGCCTGAGGGCATGGCTAGCCCCGTAAGAGAAGCAGCTAGTAGTACGAGTGCACTTCGCATGCAAGACAGGATCAATAGGAAGGTGCCATGATGCCGATGCCCGAAGCCGGGATAATTGATGTGCACCCGCCGTATTTGTATCTCAAGGCATTTTGCCGCCAGCTCCATCACAGCCGCAGAAGAGTCAAGTTCAAAGGTAGGCGAGGAAGGTAAAAATTGAGCAATCTCAGGAGATTGGGTATCGAAGGTTGCAGAGGATTTTTCCGAAGAGATTGATCCAGGATGAGAATTCGACGACGAAATGCGGTGTGATAGTGATGGTTGAGATGAGAAAATTGAGGGAAATGTAGAGAAGTAGTTCAGTCGAGCGCCTAGAAAAGGCCAACAGATGACTTCACGATAGTCAATGTAGTGTCCACGAAGAACAAAACGACATATATCGTCATTTTCAGCAGGCTCGTCTAGTGATAGCTCTGGTGGTAAGCTAGCAGCCCAGCGACGGCCCTGCTGCTCGTATTCAGGCACAAGGGTGGCCAGGTGAGCCAGGAAAGTGGCTTCATCCTTTTTGGTACGGTGCAGAGATAGTATTTCATCGCACACATTGCTAAGTAGTCGACGCAAAGAGATCTCGGCTAGGTAGAACAGCCAAGATGAGCGCTCCCTTCGTTGATCGACCGCGTCATTCGAGGCGATCTCAGGTGGAGTTGGAAAAAGTGGTGGATATAAGCGAGATGTGTCTCCAGAAGCTGGAAAATCTGGTAAGCATAAGCATTTTCGCAACTCACGCTCCGATTTCCATGCAGTCCAGTATACAGCTTGCTCTTGTGAGTCGGACTCAAAGCTTTGCTTATCAATTTCATGTTCCTGAATAGATGGCATCTCTTCATTGTTGTACATTTTTCGCAAGAAACCAAATTGCTGGCAAGCTGCCAGGGCCTGTACAAAAAATTGCCAAGCCTGGAATGGTCGGAAAATGCACATCATGTAGAGACCAGAAAGTATCAAGCATTGGGGAGCAATCAAGTGATCAGGTTGATTGTTTATGAGCAAACTCCCCATGCGACGCTGCGCCTCGTAAAATAGGACCTCTGCCTCAGCATAAATCGCTGCAGTTGAGCGCCCACGACCCTCCCGAATTTCGGTATCTGGGCCAAATGGTGTTGCGAGATGGCCCAAAGCACATACAAGGAACACTAGGCATGATTGGGCCGACTCATCAACACCATGCGTATCCTTGGACAGTACAAGCCGACGTGTTGGGGCTTCTTTCAAGATTGGATTCTTGCAGTGTACGAACGTAAAAAAGCTATCCAATAGCTCATTCACGCCCCTGCGTTCCTTGACATTGGCATCTAACAACTGTCCTCGAGCTCTGATCTCGGGAGGATTACTTTGTTGTAATCGCCTCTCAGTCCAGTGGCTCCCAGTCGAGTCCTTGTCAATGAAGCCGGTCTTGAAACGATACTTCTGAAAGACATCAAGGCATAGTAGCCGATCGGGTGATTCGGGTAGAGCTCTGAGAAGGGGTATATTTCCCGTGGATGCCGAAGAAGATGGATTCGGACCGGAGTGGGCAACGACAGGTACATTACTCGACAGACCTTTTATCTGAGGGTCCTCAAGTCTAGATTCGCCAGGGGCGGATGCCGGCACGCGACTTGGGCCGTGCCTTTGATGAGTCAACAAAGACGATGACTCCGACGAGGTTGCCGGCTGGATGCCTTGTTGTCGCATCAATCTCTCAAGCACATCTAGCCGCTCGAGGATCTTCAGGCTCGCAGGGTCGAAGCTAGACAAGTCCTCGGGTGTCTGGTTGCAAGCTGCACCAACACTTAGGCAATATGAGCAGCTTGGCTTTCGGTTGTCACATTTGGTCTTGCGAGCACGACACACTTGGCATGCTGCATTTGCCCGCTTACGTGGATAGAACGCAGTGCCTCGGGCAGCTGGTCGTTTTCGACCATTCGCTGGTCCTTGACGCTGCAGGTTCTCCGGCTCCGTCTCGCCTATGGTAGCCGGGGACGGGACTGATGAAGTGGGTTTCATGAGGGGTTGTATGAAGATCCAGATCTTTATGGAGCCTGATTTCCAGCCCGTGTGCGGCTAATTGCGTGGACAGGTGTAGCAGGAATCTTGATGTTGAAGTGGTGTTGTCGGGGAGTGTCGGCGTTAAATCTGCGGGGGAGAGGCGTTTGGTCGTTGGCTGATCAGGTGAGCTGGGCCAACTTTCACTAACCATTTCCCCACTCCAAGCCTCCCAAACTATGACAGTCATGTCTCTGCGATACTATTTGCCGACGAGTAAAAGATTCGGCTCTAATGCACCCCGGGCTTGACTAGCCCCTTAGTCGTGGATCGGCCGGCAAACTTTTATGCCGCACACTCCAGACACCGAGAGGTCGGACAAGGACGGGGCCATACAAGGTCCTTTCGACTTCGCCCTGATTGCAAAAATGAGATACTTGGGGAGCTCAATTTAGCCTAATTCCCCAGAAAATCCGGCTAGGCCGAACGATACGGCATCGGCGTCCAATCGTACCGACTGGCGCCATCGAAACTAGCTGGGGTCGAAACCTGGGGTTCGAGATGAAGCCATCGACGTTAATTCGTGTGAACGGGGCATATTTGCTGCAATAACAGGTGTATATAATCCCATCAATATCCCAGACATCCTTCTGTATGCCGGCAAAAGTCGATTCACTTTCTTGCATTGGTTTGGGATATATCTTTGACTAGGTTGGATGCCTCAACAGACAGCTTTCAGCGTCTGATCCTTTTAGTCCCTTCTCGCTGATCTCTAAGCTCTAGTCACAATGACCAAACACACTGAATATCTTCCTGAGGTCAACGACAACAAACTGGAAGAGGCCACCGCGACTGCCGTCGAGAATGTGGCTTCGGAAACCAATTCGGCAGTTCCACGACCTGGAGGGACAGAGCATGAGTTGACCCTGCGCAAGGTTCTTCGTAACCACCCAGCACTAGTATGGTGGTCCTTCTACTGGGCTATGGCCGGTGTGGCATGGTGAGTCTAGCTTCCTAATCTTGCCACTATTGATCTGTCTAACCTCAAAGTAGGGGCTTTGATGCACAGATAAACGGAAGCGTCTTATCGATTCCATCGTTTCGTCTCGCTTTCGGGTATGAGAGCCCTGTGTTTCTGTCTCTTCGCTCAACACATAGCTATGAATCAATTTATGGCAACCAAACCGACTAACCGTGAACAGGTACGAGCACAACGGAGAAGTGATATTACCAGCTCGATGGCAAACCGCCTTCAACACGGTCAGTAGCGTTGGGCAATTCTTCAGTTGCTTCTTATGCTCAATGCTGAGTGATCGCATCGGGCGCAAGGGAGGACTCCTGGTGGGCCTGGTCTTGTTGACAGGAGGCATTCTGGGTGAAATGTTCACGGCTGCACCGGGGGCTTTCGTAGCCGTCAAACTCATTCTCGGATTTGGTCTAGGCTTCCTGCTGACCCTGGGCCCTCTCGCAACATCGGAGATCACGCCCGTGGTGTTACGCGGTGTGGCCACAGCTGGCGTAAATCTAGGTATCGCTATAGGCCAGCTGATATCTAACGGTGTCATCAAGGGCTTCGGGTCTCGCTCCGACAACTGGGCATTCCGAGGTCCTTTTGCTGTGCAGCTCTTTTTCGTGGTGTTTTTGCTCGCTGGTCTCCCTTTCGCTCCGGAGACTCCGTGGTACTTGGCTCGCAAAGGCCGGCAACAAGATGCAGCGCGATCCCTGCAACGTCTGTACGGGCCCGATTTTGACGTGCAAGGTCTGCTGGACAATATCCAGCAAACCATCGAGGAGGAGCGGGAGACCTCACCCGAACATGAGGCATCATGGGCGCAATGTTTCCGTGGCACTGATCTTAAACGCACCATGATCAGTATAGGTGTCTTTGTATGCCAGCACTTTGCGGGAATCATCTTTGTTCTCGGCTATTCGACCTACTTCTTTGAACTGGCCGGACTGCCAACTTCCCAGAGTTTCAGCCTAGGTGTCGGTGTGACCGCCTGCGGTGTGCTGGGAAACGTACTCAGTTGGTTTATCGTCAATTCATTGGGCCGACGTAAGATCTTCCTATCCGGCATGGCCTCCTTGTTCTTGATTCTCATCCTAATTGGCGTCATGGACGTGGTGCCAACTTCTGGGGCGCATTGGGTCCAAGCGGCGGTTACCGTCATCTACAGCTTTGTTTACTTTGGGACTATTGGGGCCATGGCGTTTACTATCCTCGGTGAGACCAGCAGTGCTGCTCTTCGTGCTCGAACAACTGGTCTTGCTACTGCCACTCAAGCTGTCATGGGTATCATCATGAATTTCGCCTGTCCATACATGGTTAATCCCGACGAAGGCAACCTCAAGGGCAAAGTCGGTTTCGTTTTCGGGGGACTTTGCGCCCTTGCCACTGTCTGGAGCTTCTTTTATGTTCCCGAGCTTAAGGGGCGGTCTTTGGACGAGATCGATCGACTATTTGCTCTTCGCATTAAGCCTCGCAAGATGGGTGCCTATAAGCTCCATTAGCTGTGAAGTACCAAGTGATATCTCACAATAAAGCACTTCTGCTGTGTGTATTCGTACTAGATTAGTACTCGTGTCTCTTCATCTCATTGGAGAATTTGGTTAGAGCATACTTGTATGTGTTCCAATGTTACGGTGTTTGGAGATGTGACTGGGATTTACCATATCCAATAGCCTGGTAGAATGAACTTGCTCTCTCCCCTCCATTTTTCATTTATGATTGGGTCGCTCGTGAGCATCGCTTTGCATACCATACATATACTACGTATCCTGTAGCGCCCGCCGGCTCATCCTTATGCGGAGAACAGATTTCTCCACAAGAAGCGGGGGCGATCGGAGACCTTCCGGTGATTCCTCCGCCCCCCGGATTTCTCCTTCGCACAGCTTCATCATTCGTGCAACATTCCATCACTCTAAACTAAGGTTTAACGGGTCCAGGCACGCTCGTGCATGACGCGTAGCACGCAAATTCCCCGTGGGGGAGTTCTGGAGCCGAAATCGCATGATCGTTGAGTGCGGGGAGAGCTAATCGCCAAATTGTACCGAGCTGCATCACCCTCCACCTTACCACAGCATCATCTCAGGTCCTGACAAAACTGGACGTGGGCTTAACTTGGCCGCCAGATATTTCACATAGGAGTCAGTCACTCGAGATGCGGCCCAAATCTCAGCGTGCAAGCGGCAGCGACCCTAATGGCAACGAGGCAAACGGGATAGAGCCATCAGACACAGCCAAGGCCGAGGACGATGTGCCAGCCTGCCAGTCCTGTCGCAAGAAAAAGGCGCGATGCGATCGTGCTCAACCATGCTCTCAATGCGTCCGATTCAAAGTCACCTGTGTTTACGATGACAGGCGAATGAAGCCCGGCCTTCGTGCTGGCGCTGTGGACCAGCTTTATCGACGCATCGAAACCCTCGAAAACATGTTTCTTGGACAGGAGATGCTCTGGCAACAAGTATGGCAGTCGCTTCATCCAGGCTCATCTCTCCCAGAGCCGATCAAAAACCCGACCGGAGAGACAGACTTGGAACAGCGACGTGAACAATTGAAAGCCCACCTCCTTGAATCTGTACCTCAGCAGGAGCGTGCAAACGGACAAAAAGCATACAGTAATAACGTGGAAGATGCGGAAGCAACTTCCCGTCCAGCAAAGCGCCGAAGACTCAATGAGAATACCTCCTTGACTCCTTCAATCGACATTGACGATGATTTGACAGCGATCTTGCCCCCCGAAGTTATGACTGAATTGGTCGACTTTTACTACGTTAATATCCATCCCTGGATTCCCGTCCTACATGTGGCCAAGTTTCGGGAGCGGATGCGATCGCCGGAACATCGCCCTAGAGTAACTTGTATTCTCCATGCAATTATCGCTGTTTGTGCCCGTTTTTCTCAAAGCGAATTTCTACAAAATGAGGAGTTCAAAGCACGAATTGCCGAGAAGAGTCGCCAAAAAGTCATTTTGGACAGTACAGAGTCTTTCTCTGTTGAGAACCTGCAAGCCCTCGTTATTATTGCATTCGAAACTGTAAGTATACATCTCCAACCTTTTGCTTTCGCATACTAAATCGTATTTCATTGTTCCAGATCGGTCGCGGTCGCGGGCCTTCCTCATGGTCGATTGTCGGAAGCATGGTGGGGACGGTTGAACAACTGCAGCTGGGCGTTGAAGAGGACACTCTTTACCGAGGGACAAACCCAGGAGAGACTCTGATTCGAAGAATGGTCTTCTTGACCCCTTCAAATTCATGGAGCGAGGCGGAGGAACGCAGGAGGGTGTTCTGGACCGTTTTCCTGATGGACAGATTTTGCAGTGTCTCTACCGGCTGGAAGATTAGTCTTACGAGTGCCGACGTGAAACGCCGTTTACCGTGTGAAGGTGCTCTGTGGGAGAGAGAACAGGCAGTTGAAGCACCCTACTTTGGTATCTCAGATTCAAGGGACAATGCCTCTAGTAGCTCTATCCTCAACGGAAATCGAGCATCGGCGAACTCTGAAGACCAAGATGCCATCGGTGGCTTTGCGTACAATATTGAAGCCACGGAATCACTTGCCTTGGTGACAAACTTTTTTCTACACCATGCTTTCATTGTCAGTGATGCCGAGAAGGCGCAAATTTGGCTTATGAAGTTCAAAGAATTGGACTTGCGATTGATCCAGTGAGTACTTGGAGAAGACCTTTCTTGGGCGGTTTCATACTGATGTCTTTCCTCTAGATGGAAATTGTATTTACCCTCGAAATGGAGGGAAGCTTCAGTCCTCAACAGCGATGGAGTCATGGATCCGAATCTCACACTAGCTCATATCACTCACAACACTGCTGTTATTCTTTTACATCAAGGAATAGCGTATCCTCCAGCTCATTGGCAATCGTGTCCAATCAAGCTCCCATCCTCCTCATCGGCAGAAACCTGTCTGGAAGCCGCCTCTGAGATTGCGACTATTGGTCATCAATTCTTGACCTTCTCGCCTATATTTACCAACCCTCAATTTTCGTTTTGTCTTTTCATCGCTGGAAGGATGCTTTTGGCTCACGCGAGATACAACGGCGTCTCGCTACCACCTGCATTTGACACGCTTATCGCAAGTCTACTAGAAATTTCGCAACGTTGGTCTGGAAGAAGTGAAACATCCAATCCAGAACACGAAAATCTAGCCTCCAGTTTTGCCAAGCGGCTTATCGAGGCCCAGAATAACTCGAGTGCCGCCCCTCGGCCGAGTCTGGATATCCGCCAAACAGCATACTCAGACGAGTCGAAAGAGCAACCCGCTCAGCAGTCCACATATGGAGCCTCGCCTTCGCAAGGCGCATTATTCCTCCCCAAGACCGCAAATGCAGTATCTCCTGCAAGATATATGAGCAGGGAAGCATTCCAGGAATCGTTCAATCTTGATCCGTTTAGCCTAGCATTCCCACCACTGCCACCTGCCTTTCAACAAGACTTCCCTGTTCATTCAAGATCTGATCCCATGTCGGTCTATGTCCAGGGCACTGGGAATCAAGTATCATCACCTATGATGATGGTTCCATCTCATCAGAATTTCAACATGTGGCAAGGCCCTGGTACACATTTTGGACATGGCATTGTCAGCCCTCAAGAAGACCTATCTCAGGTTTTCAGCCTGACTCCTAGTCCAGGTCAAAGGATCAGTCGCTATGGAGGGGCGCAGATTGATGTTCCAGTGGCGAATGCTAAAAGTCCAAATATTTGAAACCGAACTCATAGACACACTAGGCACGTCCTCGATGCGTCTGCGGCTTTTGATTTTTCAATGTCGAACGTCGTCCAGTAGCAAAAGTGGGAGCAGGACACTTTCATTTCAGCGGATGAACCAAGGGTAAAACAAAATTATGCGGCTCTATGTCATGTCTAATGTATCATGTTGTATCAATGTTTCCAAGCCCTCACTAGAACTCGCTACCTGTTTAGTCAATGCACAGAGACCCTCTATTCACCAAACCCAAATCAAGAAGCATGTTGCCGAACAGGACAAAGTAGTAGTCTGCATAGACGAGTCCATGGTTAGACCACCGTCGGGGCGCGTATTCGTAGTTGTTAATGGTGGCGCCATCCAGAATCGTATCGCACGGTCTGGAGGTAGACTGGTTGGTGACAGTCAAGTTCTCAAACCCATCGCCACCGCGCTCATCCAAGCAGCCTTCCGGATACACCAGGACCTTCGTTGTAGATTGAGTGGTCTCAAACCGGAGCGTTGGGGGATTCAAGAATTTCGAGACCGTAGCATCAACAAGATTAATCGCCTCCCGCAGGTAACGGTCTCCATCTGGTGTACCTTTCAGCGCCTTGTGCAGCAGCAAAAGACCACAGGCTGCGACCATGGCTGCGGAAGTGTCCCGTGGGCTTGTTTCGGTGACGGGGGCAGTGAAATCCCAATAAGGCACACCGTCCTGCGGTAGATGCGCAAGGAAATAATCAGCCAGTGCCCTCGCCGTGTCAAGGAAGGACACCTCGCCCGTCCATCCGAAGGTCTGCATGAATCCCAGAATTCCCCAAGCCTGGCCACGCGCCCAGCAACTGTCATCGCTATATCCTTGGTTCGTGAATTTGGCTTTGACATTGCCTGTCTGTGCATCAAAGTTCACTACATGAAATGTGGTATTGTCTTCGCGGATGTGATGCTTCTGCGTTGTCTTTGCATGGGCCAGCGCGATATCATGTAGAGATTTGTTTGAAGTCTCTTTGGCAGCCCAAAACAGTAGATCCAGGTTTAACATATTGTCAATGATCACGAGAAAGTCCTTGGAAGGATCGGTGAAACAATACCGATTCGTGACACAGACATCCCAGCTTTGTAGGCATTGGGTAGTAGCGTTGAAACGGCTGGCAAGAGAATGTGCCGCCATGACGAGGCTATTGTATGCGGCTGTGTCGCGCTGGAGCTCCCAGGCCTTCATTGCCCAGGGGGCAATCATGAAACCTAGGTCGTGGGTGTCTCGCTTGAGTGCGTTTTGGTGGAGGCTGGCTGTCCACCATTTGCACAGATGCTCGAGTTGAAGTGGATGTGGCATTGGTGTGTTAACGGTTGAGTTGGCTGGTTTGGATGAATTTGTGTCCTGAGGATACTTTATCAACCGCTCGAGAAGGAGATAGAGAGATCCCGGGAAAAAACCGGAAGTCCAGAAGTCGAGGCTTCGGTAGACATATGTAGCACTATCTTTAGCGGTATACTCGGGAAACAGAATTGGTGGATTACTCTAAGTTTCAAAGATCATTAGCTTGGGTCGGTCTCCATGGGATATTGGAGACCTTACGCTTCCCAGCGCCTTTGCCGCGACGTGCCACAGTCTAGCCACAACAGATTCCGAGTAAAGAGCCTCCATTACCGTTTTTGTCGGAGCTGGAGTCTTGTAGGTCCCGTTCACATTCGAGCCTTCGGTTTTCACTCTCTTCTGGTTGGGTTCCTGGGTGTTCAGTTAGCCGGGTACTATATGAAAGCGAGCTCGAACTCTAACACACCACGGTTGGTTGATCGTCTAAAGACATGGCGAAGTTTGATCCTGCAAGAACGGAGTTGTGTGGCGAGAAAAGTAAAATGCCTTTTATCAGGTGGTTCTTTCTGATTATTCTGACAATGTTATATTGAATTATTCTTCCTGCTTGTGGTTCTCGATCGCGCTGTGTCCGTCGGAAGAGGTCCGGCGTATCCTCCGGCTCAGGGTGTATACTCAAGAGTGGAGACAGTGTCAAATTATCCACTCAAATGGAAATATGTAGAATAATATCGACTATCACGAACTTTGATAGACAGCGCTTTGCGTCTCGTGACGTCCTAGCTGAAATGGAACCCGGAGGCTTTGGGTTGAGGGGCCTCCTGGTAGTTCAACGAATTGGGTATGTGACAGGTTTCCAATTGCTAGACGCCGAGAGTGGTTTGCTCTACAACAGTCTCTCATCTCATATCTCCATTTATTCCTTAGAAAATCAATCTCATCTATGCATAGCCTGGGAGCATAATAGTTTTTCTGCAAATATCCATGGAAATATCCTAATGACCACAAGAGATCCGAATCTCTATGTAACAAGAATGAAGCAAGCGCCCATGTCTTCGAGCGAAGACAATTCTATTTGGTAGATTCCTTTGAAATTTGATCTCATCCTTGCTGAGTTGATGTTAGATTTCGGAACTGAAGGTGGTTGTAATCGCTGGTCGGGAATGTGCCGGAGAACATCCGTAGGATTTGAATCCCCATAGCCATTCATTATTGTTCAAGATGTTTCTGAACGAGCTTTGACATCTAGTGATCGGCAAACCAGACTATTGGCAAACATTCGAATTTTACTGCATCTTCCCCAGAGTTTGACCCGGGCTTGAGTCTTTGGAAATGTTTCGTGGGAAATTCGGGGCTAAGCCAACAATATGGGGCACTTCCCGTCAAATCCACCATCCTTCGTGTCAATGTGAAACGCCCAATTTTCTCCACAGTATCTCGTCTTGCCGATCAACAGCTTGAAGAAATTTCAATCGCCCTTTTTGCGCGCTTGGTTTCCACAATGCATCATCCAGCTATATTCGACCATTCAGGGGGTGTTTTGGTTCGGGGACAACGTTGTCTATATATTGACCGCGAATGCACTCGACGGAAGACATCATCCAAGCTGTGCTTGAGTCTTAACACATCTGGTCATCACCCCTTATGAAAGAATGCCTTCCCTGGTCTCCACTCTTTTCCTCGCTGCTACTGCAGCCGCAGCCTTTGTGCATCCGGGCGCACTTCATACCACCAAGGACTTCCAACGCATTACAAAGCATGTCACTGATGGCAGCGAGCCTTGGAATACCACTTGGACTTTACTAACTTCGAGCTCGTATGCTCAGTCATCGTACAAGCCCAATCCCCAGGCGGTTGTGTATCGAGGGTACAATGGAGTGAACTCCGAGAACTACCAATATCTGTACCGCGACGCAGCAGCTGCGTACCAACTCGCCGTACGCTGGAAGATCACAAATGACAAGAGTTATGCCGACGCTTCTGTCAATATTCTGGACAGCTGGGCAGCGACAATCACAGAAATCAGCGGCACCAGTGATAAATTTCTGGCCTCCGGCTTATACGGGTACCAGTTTGCCAACGCGGCGGAGCTCTTACGCAATTATTCTGGCTGGTCTAAAACCAATCAGACTGCCACTGCCAACATGTTGAACGACGTATTTGCGACGATGAACAACCTCTTTTTGGAGGATCACAATGGCCAGAACTATTATCACTATTATGCTAATTGGGATTTGTGCAATATCGCCTCGCTCATCGCCATCGGTATTTTCACTGACAACAAAACCATGTTCGACAATGCTGTCACCTACTTCAAAACTGGGCCTTCTAACGGAGCTCTTCCTATCTTTTCTATTGCCAATTATACAGAGCCGGGCTCTGGGAAGATTCTCATGCAGGGTCAAGAGGCCGGTCGCGACCAGGGCCATTCGACCTTAGACTTTACGCTCCTAGGCGTGGTCGCACAACAAGCATATAACCAGGGCGTTGATTTGTTCGCTACTTACAAGAACGAGATCCTGAATGGGTTCGTTACCCTAAAACCTAATTCTTGACCTTTTTACTGACTTCTTAGTGCTGAATACGTTGGAAAGTACAACGTCGGTTACGATGTGCCCTACACTTTGTACGAAAGCTACCAGGGCAACCAAACTGTTATCTCTAATAGTTCTCGTGGGACTATTCGCCCCGGGTTTGAGTTGCTGTCCGCCCATTACGGCCAGCTCAAGGGACTCAATTCCTCTTGGACTGACGCCTACCGTGACTGGGTCAATACCAACTCTACCAGCGGCGTTGAGGGTGGTGGGGGAAACTACGGCCCCAATTCGGGTGGATTTGATGGACTTGGCTTTGGTACTCTACTCTACCGTCTTTCCTGAGTTGAATGTTATCTCAAGTATTTTGCTTTGTCTAACGGTCCTTTTCACTTTCATGGCTATTTGATTTTCCAAGTATCTCTGTTTACTTTCTGTGTACCCGCTCAATGCAACACTGAGCTGAAGACTTCTTATTGAACGGAATGCTACTACTTTGATTGAAATCTATAATCATCGAAATAATTTCCTGCTAAGTCAACACGATCTAGACACAATATTCTAGGTGTTGATCGGGAAGATCTCGGGGTATCGTCCACCTGCTGGGGTGAACTTTGCCAAGATATCGTCAATCTCCGCCATTTCCTCATTCGAAATGTCAATTAGCTTGCTGTTCTCCTCCACTCGTTCTGCAGTGGTGGCACCAGGGATGGGAATAATAGTGGGCATCCCGGGACGTCTCGATAGCGCTCTGGTCCAGTTGATCGCGAGTTGAGCCGGAGTACAGCCTTTCTTCTTTGCTATCTCCTCAACCTTTTCCACCAGTTGCACATTTTTCTCGAAGTTCTCCTGCTGGAAGCGCGGGAATTTAAAGGAGAGTAATAACGAGTCTTGAGGAAGGTCGTCCCATTTCTTGAATTGACCGGTCAACATGCCTCTACCAATGGGCGAGTAGGCGATGATTGGAATCCCATACTGGGCGCACGCCGCTGCGACGCCATTCTCTAGGATATCGGTAGAGAACCTATTTCTGTTAATACCTATTATAGTATTTTTGACGGCTTAGATGACCTACAGGGAGAGCTCAGCCTCTACCGCGACAACCTTGGTGTGTTTAACGGCCTCATGGATAGTCTCAGCCCGCACCTCGGAGAGCGCAATGCCTCCGATTTTGCCGGTCTGGATATATTCCTTCTCGATCAGACTAAACGTCACATCTAGAGGGATCGCTGGATCCCGACGGCCGAATTCAAATATGTCGATTTTCTTGCGGCCTTTCAGCTGCGCAATACAATCGTCGAGACTCCGGCGCGTATTCTCCGGTGAGGCGTCGGCCTGGTGGGTTTGGGGGTTTGCTCCCCCTTGATATTCAGGACGATCTTATCAGCATCTTCGGGGTGCTTTTCCAGATACTGCTCGATGAGAACAAGGCTGTTATAGTTAGGTGGGCCATAGGATTCACCGCCGTTCCAACAAGTACCTATAGCAGCGTTAGCTGAGAGAGCATGACAGGATATAACTCGCCACTCGCAAAGCTCGTCACATACATCCGTTCTTGATTGCAGCGCGCATGGCCTCAAAGGCCTGCTCCTGCGATGGTGGCGTTTCTCGCCAGGTCAATCCCATCAGGCCGAAGCCAATGGGGCTGAATTCCTTTGCAACAATTTCAGGCATATCTCTATCGGTGCAAGTGTGTGATGGTCAGCCCGTAAAACTTAGAAGTACCGCACCCTTCGACGACGCGCATGCCGGCTTTTTGAACACTGCCCGTGGACGTCCCCGAGGGACTTCGTAACTGGAAGGCGAAATAGCACTGGCATCTCATCGGCCCTATGCTTAAGTCCGTTGGCTAATTCCGCTCAGTAACGGTGACGGGAATGGCGCCAACAGGTGTAGGTAAAAAAGGTGGCGTTGCCGACTGAATTTGAGACACTGCATCTGCTACCCTTGGCAGCCTTGTCCGGAGAATATGCTTTCGCCATTGTAGATCGTCAAAGGGATCGGCAAGGCTCCGGTGTTGCGGGAGATCTATCCCCCCTACTTTACGCAGTGGGGATACATGAGGACTTTAAGCTGACCGTCGGATGGATCAAAAAGGACATTGAGGGATTGTGCGAGGCCAGATTACAACCAACTAGCCCTGTTCATCTACGGTACATGGGATTTGGTGTGTGATACGGTTGACAGGGGCAGGACCTCTTTAAGTATTGCAAAAGCGGACATGGGTATGACCCAGCAATCAATAGAACAACCTTTCCTACTTTAAAATTAACGGCTAAAATCGGATAACATGAAAATAAAAACATGACGACATCCCTGAGTGAAGGGTGGACAGATCACTGAGCAACCATGAGTGCCCAGGGAGTAATCAGGGCTTAGAACGGCGTAAAGTCCCGCCGTCTTCGACGCCAAATTTACCGTTGCCTAGCCTTGTGGTGTACTTTTGACGAACTTTACGTTTTCGACGTGCTCATTGGCGAACAGAGGGACAAAGTCTGACACCATGAACCATCGAGGCTTGTCCATTGCTTCATGGATGTCCTTTTCGCCGATTCTCAAATTCTCAAACGTAACATTCTCAATTCTCCGAGTCTGGTCGTAGCCCAATAGCATCGATGGATTGACAATCTGGGAGTAACGCATATCCAAAGATACATTTTTGAAAGTGACGTTTCGAATGGCTCGCCCCGGAGCGGTAGTCCACATCGAGTTCTGCATTACCCGAATATTCACGAGCTGGCCGCGAGTGATCCGCTCAACTCGAACATTTTCAATGTGGATATTCTGAAACAAATTCTCATCCGCTGCATTGATGGCTATGCATCCTTGATACCACATCTGATTCTCTTCATGGTCCAGGATATCAATATTCTTGATCGTCACATTACTTGTAGTCTCCGGTTTTTGAGGATTCCCGTGCGTTCCCATATTGATGGCATGGGCTACATCGGGAAGTAAGACACAATTCTGAATAAGAATGTTCTTCGAGTCCCCGTACCAGTCCCAGCGGTGTGAATAAAGAGCAATCGTGTCATCCGAGTTTCGCAAGAAACAGTTCTCGATAGTGATGTTAGATGAGCAGAAAAAGTCGATTCCATCACCGTTCCCCGCAGAGGAGAATGATCGATATCTGTTGACCATTACATCTTTGCATTCACCGGCAGAAAGACTGAATCCCATCGCACCAAGAGAGGTGATACCCTCCACGCGAATATTTGAAGCTCCACTCATGTAGATCGCCCCGCCAAGTTCTCGCTGAACGTAGCCGCCCTTGGGGCCCAGAATAAAGCCGTGGCCCCGGACGGCACTATCGGACACGTTGACGAAATTCAAGCGAAGCGTGATGAAGGCACCGCCTGTCAAATAGACAGTTTTCCCCGATGGTACCATTAGGTTGACGCCGTCGGTGACCATGGCTACCGCAGAGCCTTGATTGATACCTGGTCCAAAATACCAGACACTGTCGTTGTCCTCGGTTGGTGCTGAGGAATCAATTTCGTTCGTGAGCAAGTGAAGGGCTTTCCACTTGTCACCATTCAATTCGAGCATCAAATCTCGGGGTTTCTCCAAAGTAAAGCAGATGGCATTGCCATCTAATAGGGTCTCAATCCCAAGCGAACGAGGTCGAATAGTTGCGGCTTCAATGGGTCTTGCGGTATATGTGACACGGATCTTGACTGGACTATTGAAATCAAACGATGTAATGGCGACAGAATGCCTATCAAACTCATTTGCGCTGGTGTTGATACTAGCCACATCTGTGGCATATGCGGGCACCTTAGACCATTGCTGGCAATCGTTCGAATTGGCTGGCTGGACCTCGACGAGAAAGTCCTGGTTAAGGGCCACGCCATTGGGACAGTCGTAGATTCGAATAGACGGCAGCATCTTCGTCTTGTGTCGGATGATTCAAGTCACCCCACCGATCTTTCACGGAAAGTCTTACACGCTAGACATTATTGGAAGGGTTCCCTGGCAGATGTAAGAGCGACCCAAACGCAGTTGTTGGGTCAAATGCTCACACCGGAGCACGGGCTAGTTGCCGGAGAGCCCCCGGCAGGTTTCTGTGAAGATGCATGCTCTGTGAATTAGGTTTTATCAATATTTTTTCAGAGTAGTCACCGCTGTTAGACTAGAATTAAGCCAAGAACAGCTTTCAATCCTCTTACTTCAGTCTTGTCACAGTCGACACAGTCGACATACCAGATCCCGGAAGAATCGCCGGCGTCTCCTCCGGTGCCACTACGTGCCACCTCCGGCGGGGGAAATCCAAATCCTGGGGTTTTGCGGACAAAGTTTCGGCTTGCCCACACGCCACACCATGCGATATCTGGAGATAAAGGAGAACGGCGCTACAAATACCTCGATGGAGGTCAATACTTGACTTAATTCAGCTCATTGTGCTTTGCCACATCTTCTCACGTCTATACACGTTAACGCAGAATGCCATCCAAGAAGTTCGAGATGGGTGCGACTGTCGACCACGAAGAGTTGCCCTCCGACCATAATGCGGCATCTGATCACCTGGATCTGAAAGAGAAGCCTGATCCTCTGGCAGCGGATCCGGGCATTGAGGTCGACGCTGCCACTGACAGGCGGCTCTTTTGGAAGATCACTCGGCGCATTCTAGTCATCCAAGTGATCACCTACTTCTGCCAGTCACTCGACAAGGGAATATTGAACTATGCCTCTATTATGGGTATCAAGACGGATGCGCACCTAGTGGGACAGGAAGTGGGTATTCAGCGACATAATCTCCAAGCTTAGTGACTAACTATCGCTCGTACAGTATTCATGGCTTGGGACCATCCTCTACATTGGTATTCTTGCGGGCGAATACCCTCAAAATTTCCTGCTACAGAAATTTCCCCTAGCGAAGATGCTCTCGATCAATGTGTTCCTTTGGGGCGCTATTGTAGCATGTTCTGCTGCATCGACCCGGTTCGGATCGCTCATGGCCGTTCGATTTCTCCTGGGTTTCTTTGAAAGTTGTGTCCAGCCAGCTATGATGTTGCTGTAAGTATACCTTACCTCTTTGGTGAAAATTTGGTTTACTCAGACTATATAACCAGGACCGCGATGTGGTATAAAAGAGAGGAACAATCAGTCTTGAATGCGATCTGGTATTGTATGACGGGTGTATCCTTGATGGTAATTTGAGCAATCCTCTTCCACGAGAAAACGACACAAGTTAACCTGCTACAGATTGGTGGCCTTCTTGCCTTTGGTGTGTCCCATTTTACAAACGGCCCGATCAAGAATTGGCAACTACTGTTCCTGATCCTGGGCTTGGCTACGTGCGTCTGGTCCTTCTTCATCGCCATCCTTCTGCCCGACAGCCCATTGTCCGCAAAATGTTTCAGCGAAGAGGATAAGCGTTTGATGATTGAGCGGGTACGAAAGAATGAGACTGGTATCCAGAACAGAGAGTACAAGAGATATCAAATCGTCGAGGCTCTCAAAGACCCCTTTGTCTGGTGCTGCGTCTTGCTCATCACTGTTGCCAACTTAGTTATTGGTGGTCTCGGTGTATTCTCCAACCTCATCATTCAACAATTTGGGTTTTCGCTTTTGCAGACACAGCTGCTCAATATTGCCCAGGGCGCATGGACTATTTTGATCATGATCGGGTCCGCATGGGCAGCTCAGAGATTCCAGCAGACGTGCTTCGTCATGATTGTAAGTTCTTCATGCTGAATTATCATATCAGAAACTAGCAATATCTAATCACCGATACAGCTATGTGCAATCCCCGCTCTAGTCGGGACAATTGTAATCCTAGTCGTCACCCCAACTGCTTCGAATGCAGGTGGCATGCTCATTGCTTTCTATTGCACGCAGTTCTTCCTAGCCGAGGGGAACATGATCATCTCACTGATTACGCGGAATGTGGCAGGCCAGACGAAGAAGGGTATCACAATGACCATGGTCTTTATTGGCTGGGCTGTTGGCAATCTCATCGCCCCCCAGATTTTCCAAAGCAAAGATGCTCCCCGATACCTGCATGGTTTCTTGACACATATTGTGGTTTATGCGGTTTATGTTGCTCTGGTGGTCTTGACACGAATTATCTTGATGGCGCGGAATCGCTCAAAGGTGCAAGAGTCAGCAACAGTTTCACATGAGTTGGCATTCGAGGATTTTACTGACCGCGAGAACCCGAATTTCCGATATGTATATTAGCGCAGTTCAATATTGTGGATAGGTTGCAGGAATGACAAGACTGCAAAGCCACCCTCAACAAGCAAGGTATGCAAGCTTTGCTTTTAATCCAATGAAATATATCATAGTGTCTAGTTCTTCAGTAGCTTCTATATTGTCTTGAGTTATCATGACGACTGAACCAAAAAGACAAACCTGGAGATTTCTGGTATACATCATAATCACGTGACTGGCGGGCATATCTGGTAGGGGCGGAGTGGAGCATCGATACCTTTCCATCAACTGAAGAGCGTCAACAAAGGGCAAATATCTCAACAGACCGGATATTGGCTCACTGAATATTTTTTCCAATCTAATGTAGACCTCATCTTGCACCCACCCCACCTCACCCTTTGAAGCTGAAGTCTATCTTCTCTTCCCTCTCGTCACCCGCGCGTCTTGGCTTTGTCAACATCTCACTCAACGTGGACCTGAATACCTAGAGATCTCATATTTGCCCAGTTCCCACTCCCATCTCCTTTATTTTCCCCCTCCTCCGTCACTCTCCCATCTTGCAGTTCTTGACCCTTCTAAGATGGATCCATCAGACCTCGAGCAGAAAATGCTGGAAGCCGCGATCGCGGCCTCGCTTCAAGAGTTTCATAAACAGCGCCCGGGGTCGTCTTCTCAGTCTGCACCATCTGATGACAAGAATGAAGTCTATCAAATTGCATCAAAGTCACCTTCGAAAGCCTCCTCTCCAGTTACCAGCCCTTCAAAGATACCCAATCGGCCAAAGCGATCACCCCAGACGTCCCCACTTCCCGGGAGTCAGGTCGTGGATCTCACCAACGACTCGGACTCAGACTCGGACGTGAAAGAAATCTTTCCAAAGTCCAAGTCAGTCATCTCCTCTGAGACAGACGAGGAACCTGTCAAAGATGTGGGGGATGATTACAGCGACGACGATCTAAAGCGGGCGATTGCAATGTCCCTTGAAGGCAGTCAGCATGGCGTCGAGGCAGCAGACACCGCGATCGATAAGCCCCAGGGGATTTTCGGTATTGATCGAAAGCAGATGGAGCAGGAACGTCTTGCTCGTCTCGCCAAGCGCAAAGCTGAGAGCTCCCCTCCGCTCAACCAGCCGGCTCCCAAGGCCGCCAAGATCACTGGTCATCAGCCTCTCTCAACTACTCAAGCTTCAACCACTCAAGCTTCATCGCAGCAGAGGGCTTCAGTTCCCAGTAATTACACTAATACGACTACCAGAGACGCCGGGGTCCAACCAACAGCCCAGCCACTCATGCAGTATCCTCTCGGGGTTGTCAAAAAGACGCACGTGGCAAACAAGCTCCGCACCGGGAATGATATTACAATCGAGGAGGTTTTTCAACGGGCAGACCTGAATGTTGCAGTGCTGAGTTCATTCATGTGGGATATTGAATGGCTTTTCTCTAAGCTCGACACTAGAAAGACCAGGTTTATTCTCATGATGGGTGCGAAGGAGGAAGCTACGGTAAATGGGCCTGTCGATTCTTGTGGAAACCCTAGCTTACACAGAAGTAGCGCAGCCAATATCGCCGGGAGACGGCATCTATGCGTACTCTTGACTTGTGCTTCCCGCCGATGGAACCACAAGTCAACAATATGCATTCGAAACTCATACTCCTCTACCATCCCGGGTATCTACGAGTTGCCGTTCCGACTGCAAATCTCACCCAAGCCGATTGGGGAGAAAATGGCCTGATGGAAAATGCAAGTATCAGTTCCTCCACTTCAGGCTTCACTCACTAACCCATAGATTCAGACTATTTTTTTGATCGATCTTCCCAGGATTGAGCTCGGGGTGAAGATCGAAAAGTCCAACACCTCTTTCAAAGAAGAGCTGATCTACTTCTTGAAAGCTTCCGGGTTGCGCAGTGACGCTATTAAAGCTCTTGATGAGTTTGATTTCAGCAAGACTGCACGATATGCGTTTGTACACACTATGTAAGCTTTCAAATCTTACGCTCGAAGAACAGTCAGCTAACGTCGGTGCAGCGGTGGATCTCGAACCGGCGAATCGTGGAAACGGTCTGGATATTGCGGGCTCGGCCGCGCTGTGACACAGCTTGGTTTGCAGCCATCTGGACCCATCAACATTGCCTATGTGGTAGGTTGGCCCCCTCACAAGCAATTGGACCTCAGAATTCACATGCAAGCAGGCTTCATCAATTGGATCTTTGACCGATGAATTCCTTCGCGCCATTTATCTTGCGGCTAAAGGTAAGTCAATTTATGGAGATATAATACAGAAATAAGCTGAACAGAGTCAGGTGATGATGGTCTTACGGATTACAAACTTCGCAACACTCGAGATTCCAGTGCCAAGACCAATGATCTGCAGCGCAGGGAAATGATCCAGTTGGGCCAAGAGTGGCAGAATCGGTTCAACGTGTATTTCCCCTCAGACCAGACTGTGCGTCTCGCACATGTGAATCCCGATCACACTGCAGGGACTGTATGCTTCTCGTCGCGTTGGTGGCTTGGCGCAAAGTTCCCCCGGGGCATCTTGAAGGATTGCGAGAGTGAGCGGGGAGTGTTGATGCACAACAAGGTTTGAAGCATCTTCCGTACCCCCGGTATTCTGGTACTGACATTCGTCTAGCTCATGTACGTGTGGCCTTCGGAGCCCATTCATATGCCTGATGGCAGCGAGTGTAAGGGTTGGGCATATGTCGGAAGTGCCAACATCTCGGAGAGTGCCTGGTCAGTCTACATTTCAGCCTAGAGTCATCTCAGTCACCACTAACACCTTGAAAGGGGCCGCTTGGTCAAAGATCGCTCCACCGGCCAACTGAAGCTGAACTGCCGTAACTGGGAGTGTGGTGTGCTGGTGCCCGTTACCTCTCCTGGCGGCAGGGCCTACTCCCAAGCAAGCGATGCTACCACTGCCACACTCGATGCTGCTCCCGCCAGCCAATTACAACCTCAACTCCCAGCCCAGATCTTCCAAGATACCATCCCGGTTCCCATGAAGCTTCCTGGTGCAGACTTGACTGAGAGTCGCGCCCCGTGGTTCTTCCAGGAGTAAATGGTTCATGTGAATACCCTTGCCATGCGTTACACAACTGAACGGTTTCCTTCTCATGCTTTCAAGGAAGCTATTCATTTTCATGGACTTTTTGTCAAGTTACTTATCGGCTTTGTCAGGATCTGGAGTTGCGTCGGCAGTGGGAAACGGATTCCCTTGATGTCTTGCATTAGATCTGAGATGACGGCGCACAACATGAAATATGGGTGTGGGATTGTACACGGGAACTTGTAGTGAACAAAGAACGACAAGATAGCATTGGAAGTGAATTTGAAAATACCATCACTCGCTAGATCTCTCTACATTTCCCTCTTTTCTATACTGGTTAACTCGCGCTCATGTAACTCTAACTGAATTCACGTGGGATATGTCACTAAAGGAGAGACAATACTGTTACAACCTACTCATGTAAACCACACAGCTCCTAACCAAAGATTGGGTTTCCCTGGTGCATCAGTTCTGTAAGATCTACTAGAAATGTTGCACGCAGTAGGTGAATTTCATATCCAATATTTCCATTTCAGTCTAAATGAGTATGTACTTTTAGATGCCACCAAGAGGCACCATCCATAAAGAAAAAGAAAAAAAAGAAAAATCAAAACAAGAAAAGAAAGTAGATACAAAAGGGCCATGATGACGCTCCATGTAAATGCATTAGATATCAATGAGAAGCACCAAGGAAAAGAATCAAAGAACGTATAGTCAAAGAAGTAGTAATAGAAGACGAGAACGAGTCAAGCTCACTCCTGAGCATCATTCTTCTCCTTCCTCTTGAACAAACCCTTGACACCCTGAATCAAGGCACCAGCCAGACCAAACACATATCCGAAACCGAAGCTCCAGCCCCGAACACGAACAGTATACACAAAGAAGTACACCAGCATCCAGTTGATAATGACAAAGGCCAAGAAGATACCGAAGCAGCGCCACTTGTCGTCACGGTGCACATTCAAATTAGCCATGTACTCCTCACCAGTCGTGTAGGGGCAGTACTGGCAGTCCTGGGTCGCAGACCCGTTGACCAGGTATCCGGCCTTGGCAACCTGGTCGACGAAGTGGCCCGCGTACTGCGCACAGGTCTTTCCGGGAGGGGGGTTGAAGCGGGTGGTTTCCAGGGTGGCACATTCAATCTGGACATCTGGCAGGACGGCAGAGAGCACGCCGCGCAGCCACCAGGTCACCGGGTTGACGTAGTACATCCAGTATTTCCAGAAGACTGGGTAAGCAGCGTAAGGGCGCACGATACCGTTGAATAGATTGACCATGACGAAGAAGAATGGCAGCACGTTGGAGATAACTGTGAACGAGGGCGCGAATGCGCAGATCCACTGGCCCCAGGAGGCCTGGAAGAGGAAGAACAGCATTGACATGAGGAAGACGTAGCCTGCAGTGGAAGAGTCTGTCGGTAGGCCGACAGGGTAGTACCAGAACAGCCAGTAGACGAGACCGGTGACGATGGCGGCGGGGATTTCGCAGACGACGTTAGCAGTGGCGAAGGCGACCCAGCCGTAGATACGGGAGGGGTACTCGCGGGCTTCCCAGAGGGCGCGGTTGATGTAGAATTTGGGCACGACGGAGTTCATGATGATGGGCGGGATCAGGATGATCAGGAAGACGGAGAACATACGGTCTTGCATGGAAGCCACGGTGGTGGGCAGCATCCAGAAAGTGAAACCGTTGAAGATGCCGATGATGACACTGACAAACAGCTTGCCGTAGTAGTAACTGGGGTCACGCCAGTACTGGAGGAAGAGGCGCTTGGTGAGGAGCTGGATCTGGACTGGGGTTGGAGCGGCGAATTCGTATTGCGAGCCACCGGACTCTTCGACGGGAACTTTACTGCGTTCGGTCCTGATGCGTTGGATTTCCTCGAGCATTGATTTATTCTCGTCGGAGTTGCGCCATTCTTCGTTCCAGTCAATTTGCTTGCCATTGCGTTGGGTGGCTTTGGCGGCGGTTTCGAGGATAAACTCGGCAACGTTCTTGGAGGGCGGGCAGACGAAGCCTCGGTCGGCGAAGTACTTGATGACGGCGGCGCCATCATGGCCGACGGGGCCGAAGTAGAAAGTGTTGCCACCGGGGTTGAGGGCGAGGATCATATCGAATTGCTGGATGAGCATGGAGGAGGGCTGGTGAATGGTGCAGACGATGGCTTGACCGGCCTGGGAGAGCTTCTTGAGGAAACGGACAATGGAGAACGCGGCTTGACTGTCGAGACCGGAAGTGGGCTCGTCAAGGAAGAGAAGGAGACTGGGTTTGGCAGCCAGTTCGACACCGATAGTGACACGCTTCTTCTGCTCGACGTTGAGAGATCCGATGATGGCATCCTGGATATCCTCGAGCTCCAACAGGTCAATGATGCGGTTGACGTAGTCAATCTTCTCCTGACGAGGAGTGTCACGGTCCTGTCGAAGAATGGCAGAGAACTCAAATGCCTCACGAATGGTCGAAGTGTTGTCGTGCAAGTCCATCTGTTCGCAGAAACCGGTACCACGCTGGAAGTCAGCACCAAGAGGGTGGCCGTCAACGAGCATATCGCCCTTGACGACACCCATTTTCTGGCGCTGAGCGAGAGTGTTGAGCAGGGTAGTTTTACCGGCTCCAGAGGCACCCATGAGGGCGATCATGACACCAGGCTTGGCGAATCCGTTGACATTGTTCAGAAGCTTGCGAGTGCCATTGCCGTAGGGGACGGTATACTCGACATTGGACCAGGTGAAGCAGCGCTCGCTCGAAGAGAGACGGTTGAAAGAGGCATTGTCGGAGGACGAGGAGGCTTCACCACGGGCGAGAGCAGCATTACCATTAGAATCCGAGACCTTCTCCTCATCATTGTTCTTCGCAGTCTGCTGGGTGACCTGCTTCGCGCGCTTAGACTTCTTGAAGACCAAGGCACCACCACCACCACCAACGAAGGAGAGGAACTCGGCGGCCCAGATGGTGACCAAAATATAGAGCACAGTGAAAGCGATGACGACACCAAAGTTGCGCCACAGATGATGACGGGTGAACTGGAAGTTGGCCTGCAAGTACTGGGCACCAGGGACGGTGGTCTGACCAAGAGGAGAGCCAGTCAAAGCACATCCTTGGTATCCAGTCACAGCATCAGCGCCCCGGGGAACCAGCTGAGAAGGCGCGCACTCCATTGTGCGGTCAGAGAACTCATTTGACAAAACGGCCTCGTAACTGTACGAGATAGGGTTGACATAGAAAAGCCATCCAAACCAGATCGAGTCGTCAACGAGAGTCTGCTTGGGAATGACATAGCCGACATAGAGAATGAGCAGATTCAGTGCAATACCCGCAAAGCGCACAGCGTCGTCGATAGTTGGCGACAGGGCGGCAAACATCCGATACAGCGAAGTGATACAGAAGGTAGTGGTATACACGAACAGGAAGTAGATGAAGAACTTCGAAGCTGTGACATCAAGACCAGCCATGAAGTAGACAATAATCGTAAACGGAACAACCATGGCGAAGATAGCGGGGAAATCAACGACCACACGGGCAATCGAGACAGCAGACGGGCGGTAGAAAGCGTAGTCCTTGTGACGGGCGACAATTCCTCGTCCGGAGACAGCAGGCATGAGCTCAGTCAATTGAAGCCAGCCAAGGAACAAAATCGAGAAGAACAGGGCACCACCACGGGAGAAGGCACCGCTGGTATCCAGGGATTCACCGTAGAAGAGAGACGAGACAATAAGACCGTTGGAAATGATAATGAAGTACTTGGTGTAGAGCGAGGTCTTGTCACCCCAGAGCAGCCAGAACTCACGCTTAACGCAAGCCGCGACCTGGCGCACCAGAGAGACAGTATAGGGCGATTTCTTGGAGACAGTCTTGGACTTGGACTGGGCGACCGTCTTCTGGAAGGTACGGGTGTCCTCCTGCTCGGTCTCCTGGAGGCGCTTCTCATAGCTGGAGACGTCGTTCGCGATGTACTGGTAAGCCTTGCTATTCTTGAAGACCTGCTCCAGTTCCTCGGCGGTCTTGGGGGTCGAAGCTTCACAGCCGGGCTGGAATTGACGGGCATTCGGATCGCACAGAGAAGTCAGGAAATCAGCCGTGGTGGACTGCTCTGGGCAGTGGAATCCGAGGTCGATGAAGTACTGACGGGCCTCGATGGCAGGACCCTGGTAGAGCATGCGACCCTGGTCAATGACCATGACCTTGTCCATGAGCTCGTAGATGCTCTCTCCGGCCTGGTACAGAGTCACCAGGGTGGTCCGCTTGCTGACATCGGTCATGATACGCAACGACTTGGCATAGTCCAAGGCAGTGCTAGCATCCAGACCACGAGTCGAGTTATCCCAGCAGACAACCGTTGACTTGGTAGCCAAGGTCTCGGCAATACTGACACGCTTCCGCTCACCACCAGACACACCACGAACGTACTCGTTACCGACCAGCGTGTTCTTGGTATGGCTAATACCGAACATCTTGAGCAGAGCATCAATGATAATGGGAATGCTATCACGGTCATGCTTGCGAGTCTTGTTAGCGAGGGAAAACTTGAGCGTCTGCCAGACCGTGAGCGAAGGGAAATGCTGATCATCCTCGGGGTTATAGTTGACTTCGCCACGGAAGTACTTGTTCTGATCCTCCGCCGAGAGACCACCATAGCTAACCTCGCCCTCCACTGCGGCAAAGGCACCACGGTCGTTCGCAATGGCCTTGAGGAAGGTGGTACAGCCGGCGCCGGGACGGCCCAGGACGAGCATCATCTCGCCCTCTCGCACCGCACCACTGAAGTCATGAATCAAATCGCGAATCGGGGGCTTCTTCCCGAACCGCAGCTGCGGCACGAACCGACAAATGACGTTATACAAATCCGGGCCGAAAGTTCCCACCACAGCGTGAGGCAGAGTCCGCACGAACGAGGCGCCGGTCTCCACACCCTTGACAGTGAGGTTCTTGAACACGACACCGACCTTCTTGGCAGGCTCGCCGGCAGTGGTACGTCGCTCGAGGTGGCCACCCATCAAGAACTCACCCAGATCAAAGGCGCCATCAGCCTCCAGATCAGACTCGGCTTTCTCCTCATCCTTGCGACTGGCGCGGGATTTGAGACGGCGCACACTCTTGGCGGTAGTTGAACGAGTGCGATGTAAGCTCAGGCGAGTCAATTCACGGCGCATCTCCTCCAAATCTTCCATCGCACCGCGGCGAGAGACGGGCTCGCCCGCATCCTTTTCACCCCAACGGCCCTCGGCACTTTCATGAGATGCGGTCGAGGAGGTCGTGGAGACTGGGTCGATGGGAGCCGCGGTCGGGTTGTTGATCTCTTCGAAAGCGGGCTCGTGGGATTCCTCGGCAATTGCATTGTGCGCATGGCTGGACGATTCGGAAGTGTAGTTGGTGGTTTCTTCGGTAGTGTATGAGTTGTATGTCGTATACTCCGTGGCAGTTTGGGTGCGGGACTCGTGGGCCTCCGCGGCTTGATGGTTGGCGTCCATCTCGCCTAATAATTGGGAGATTCCACTCGCCAGGCTCGATGGTCAATGGGAAGGATATTAGATAGACGGGAGAGTGTGATATTAGACGTGTGTATATACAGAATCACCGATCAAAGAAAGTAGAATAGGGAAGGAAATGAATTGGCAAAAGAGAGTGGACAGAAGGGTGAGAATATGAGGTCACGAAGAACCATAAAAAAGAAAAGAGCGAGCGAGAGGCACCTTTTACCCATTTAAACATGGCTACTCCGTATATAACCACAAAGATAAAGAAGATTGCTTATGGCAAATGCCATTATCTCCGAGCCTTGGATTTGTCAGTCGACGTCAATGGGGGAAGGGAATGAATGCATCAATCACAGCAGGCGATGGGCCCCAGTGGTCCCCAAGCCAGACGAAACGAGAAGCTCGAGTGGATCTTCATGACTCAAGGTGATTCAAGATGAACAAATGGGAGAGAGTCAAATTTTCATCCAAAGCCAGGGCGGGCCAGCCCGCAGCAGATTTTTTTCAACGGAGTTAGTTAGACTGTTAGACCCGGCGTTTAGCCGATCCTCCCTGTCAGCAAATCAGCATGCTGCAAAGGAAAATAAAGATCATTTCGTCTGCGGAATATCGAATTCCTATCGATCCCTCGGTGCTCCTTGAAGACCAATTGACGACATTTAAAAGGGGGGTGGATCTGCCAATTCTACCGTGTTCTCTGAATAATAGGTTTCGCATAACTAACTAACTAATATTGTAAGCAGCTCAGCTTGCTGACAAAAGGCGAATGGATACATCCATCCGGAGTCTTAAATTCCGCACAAATCTCCTACGCACGTACATACTAATACTGCAAGTAGACTACTTGCGCGAGTAATGCGCCACCCGCTTCGGGACCCCGCTACACCCCGAGCTGATTCAAGCCCGCTTCGGCGACTTTTGGCTGCTTTCATTTCCTACTTGGGAATGCGACCCGAAACTAAACGGCAAAGATCTCTCCGATCTAACTTCGGCTTTGCATGAACGCCCACAAACCCACTCCCTTCGGCATCTGGTTGTGGCCGATAATATCGCCCTGGTGCCCAACTATACAGATCTTATTGCCCAATTTCTCAACCCGTGTCATTGATTCAAGCTTGATTAACTGAATGTCTCCTGAAACCCCTCTGTCGAAATGAAGTCTATTTCCTTCTAATTCTCACTCCCTCGGAGATATGTAAGACGTAAGATCGCACATGCTAGCTGCCTATGTATGTACCGGATTTCCTATGCCAGGTCTTAGCTTTCCCCTTCCGTTTTAGTGCTCAGACCCTCGCCGCTTTTACTCACTGAGTAGCACTGCAAGTCACTAAAAGGACACCACATAATTGATGATTTGTACACCCCATTACCTCATTAGGTTAAGCGCAGTAACTGTATTACTATCGGCTATCACCCCTACTATATCCTTCCCTATTTCTACATAGTACTTCTTTCGAACGCGGGTATTTTCGTGTATATTAAATTCGCTCTTCTCTTTACTAAACCTAGTATTATAGTTATAATATCTAGAAATTATGGCTTTTTCAATTATTAGTTACTATATTTTCAAGATTCCGACCGTATTATAAGCCTATATATTCTAGTGAAATTAGTTAAAAGCGTAGGCTTTGGCGAGAGCTTCGGCAGGCGGGGGTATACCGTATAATAGGAAGGCGGTGTAAGTATCGTTCGAGACTTTTGCGGCGCTACTGTAGCGACATATGGCGTTTTGTCGTGTATTACAGTATTACACCAAAGGTAGGGCTGCCGTTCCCGATAGGATTAGGCAGAGCTGATTTTAAGGAACCCTGTCATTCCACTAGAAAGATTATGATTGATACACAGTATAGCTACATACCCATTAACTCCTGAATCAAGACCCACAAGCCTCGATACACATTTCCTGGTGGAAAAGCTTTCCGCCTTCTTCCACCGGATCTTTCAGTAATCTAGATTTTGAATAGTTGACTAGTGACTTCCCTCGCGATGTGGATGCCTGGAAGACCATGGTAATTACTGGTTTTCAGGTCACCTTAGATCAACAACAAGAAGACATTTCTAATTGATACAATACAGGATAGTGATTTCCAGTCTGGGAAAGAGAACAGCTTAGCTGAGATTTAAAGTATATGATGATGTACTGTCATTACCAAAACTACACCTCATAACGCAGATGTATGTTTCTAGAGTATGAGCGCTTGGCTACTACGGAACATGCAGCCTCAACTTCCTGAGGGGAAGCGACAACCAATCAATGGGTCTTCGAGCCAAGGAGGCCTACTGAAATAGGGCTAGTATATGTTAGGTGAAACTCTGTATATGCCAGGATGACAGATACATACAACATGATGTTCCGTCGGTAAACGCCGAAGATTTGACGGCTTTTCTTCCGGCGGCTGTCTAGGTGCCGGTGGAAAGTGCAGTTTTACGATCCCTAACGTCACTCGTTCACGATGATTATGGATTATTGACACAAATTTAGAAAAGGGGCTGTGATTCTCGGCTGGAGCCGGGCTAAGATGTGTAATTAATAGACTGTTGAAAGGTCCGTGGAATACATAGTAAAGACCAATGACCATCTGGCGGTCACTGAATGCACAGGCGAACAAACTTGGGAGAACACGTTGAGCACAATACAAGAGGCTCTGAGTGCTTGTTTCCTGATGATATAAGGTATACTCAGAGGACAGTTTATCGCATAGGGTGGGCTATAATGTACTGACTGGTACGTTTGCAATGCATTAGTCTTCAAAACGTACATTCTCTACCAGGAAGTCAAGAAAATTTCTATTGTCCGCTGAATGAGACATTTGAGGATCTGAGAAGACATAGTCATATCCTAACCTCAACTTTTGATACTGGAACCGAAACAAAAATTATGAGTGAGAGAGATACGTCCCACATTTCTGGGGTGCTGGGCTGATTCTTTTCCTTTTCTTCGGATACGTCCTTTTGGAGGATCTGTGCACGGATCTACTCAGACATAGGGACAAAGAAAATTCTTATCAAAACAGATGTTGACGTGGTTTACACTTATCCGATAGATCATTTGGTTTCGACAATGCATGATTTTCTATTCCAACAAGAGGAAGATCGTGGCGAGGAAAGAGAAGAAGAGCAGCGCTATACAGAGCCAACTTGGAGATTCAATATCAGACTGCTTAACGTTCCGCGGGATATCTACGAATACCTCATGGCAGCAGGCTGCCTAGGCCCTCTTCCTTGGAAGCTTGAATACGAAATACTCAGGATGTACGTCAGATATGTACATCCTGTTTCAACATTCCTGGCCGATATAATTGGGAAAGGAGAGTCGAAAATAAAGAGTGCGCTACTCTATCAAGCGGTCATGCTTGCTGGCAGCGCCTTCGTCAAGGACCATGCTAAAGCAGCCGGATATTCCTCTCTTGTTGATCTGAGGAGAAAGTTGTTCTGGAAAGCGAAAGTGAGTTAAGTGATTCTAAAACCAGGAACATGGAACTGATTTAATATGTATAATAGCTTCTCCATGAGGCTGGGATAGAATTTGACCCCTATTCCCGAATACAAGCGTTGATATTGATGACGCTTTGGCATGAAGACAGCATGGGACAGAAAGACCCACCGTACTGGCTCGACATCGCCCTATCAACAGCCAAGCATATGCAGTTGAGTGAAAATTTGCATTCTGGGAATTTCTGTCTTCAGAATCGGATCTGGTGGTGCCTCTACGTTCGAGATCGTATAATCGCTCTTGCATTTGGGCGTCGCATTAACATCCTCAGAGAGGATATATGGGTTTCGGTTTGGGGGACCTGGATGCGTGCTTGGATACGTATGACAGCTACGTTTTGGAGCGCCTGGGAGATGACACTGCTCAATACCTGACAAGCGAAGACATGCAGCGTCAAATGTGCAGAATTTTCATCGAACAGGTGAAACTAACTCATCAAGTCGGAAAGATAATAGATCTCCTATATGGTACTCCAATCGCCCAATTTCTGGAAAAAAGGAGCCCGTTCACAAACTACAAACTGACACCTGAAGTCAGAGCCGGATGCGCAAAAGTCCTTCGAACGTGGATACTCGAACTTCCTGCTTCCATGCAGAACGACCCTTCAGCAGACGGACTGGGCCTTTTTGAATCTTTCCAAGATTCCGCCTTTGATGTGCATAAGGCTTTCCTTTATCTACTCTATCTTACTGGGCGGAGTCTGATATACCAAGCTATTGATGTTGACGGTTATACGACGATTGACAGACGAAAGGAAATGCGCTCAACTGTTTCCCAGGCTGCCAGTATATTGCTACAGCTATATCACAAACAGCTACTTAGGTTCCTTCCCGGAACCTCTATTGTTTTTCTTTGGGCATTCCTTGAAGGTATCCTCCCAGATCTGGATGACAAGGATGCTTGTATCAGGAGTGGAGCTATGTCAAACATATTCATCTGCGATCATGCCGCTCTTTGTTTGATAAAGGCATTTCCAGCCGCTGAAGGCATTCTTTCTGAGACCCAGGTCATAAGGAGAAATTTGTTAGGATTAGTGGAGGCATAAGAGGCCTGAGATTCGTTTTGCATTAGTTTAAATTTTCCTTCTAGGCCCACATATGGTAAAAGAAGCATGTATGTGATGCAGGAATAGCTCCGTGGGATAACTACTTATGGCAGGGAAAGCGAAGGTGGAGCTCAGTTATGCCCTTTTTTATACCCAACGAATTACGGTACTGGCATGGAGCTCCCTGGATTGTCCAGATATTCTGGTCATTGAGACTGTCAAGAGCTTTTGAACCTTGTTCCAGTCAGAGAAATTACTTGAACTCCATGGCTTCTTTCATACCACAAAGAGGAGACATTTACCCAGGATAGAGGAAAAGAATTAATATGATAATTTTATCTATGATGCTATTCTTGGCGCCCAAGAATACGTAATTTGACACCCTATATCACCAACGCGGGATCATTTTCATGTCCACAAATTCCTGAAGAACCTGGAAGATAGATTCAGTGCTATCGACAAATCCAAAGAAACCGTACTTCTTGACCTTAGCAGTGGTAAAAAAGGAGAGAATCATCAGCATAATTTGAAATGGGAGACCTGGAGCATTCTATCGCATACCTCAAATGAGCTGACCAGGGTGACATCAATGCAGTATCTGTAAATCTAAAGATGCGGTCAACATCCCCTAGGGAAGGATTGATTAAGCCATTCTTTTCACTAATCTCTTTCCACGCTGCCTGAACTTCCGGGCGTTTGCCCCACTCAACCAGAGTAAAGCTGAACCGGACCTTCCCCTTCGAACCGATTTCTCAGGGAGTGGGGTAGTATCCAACCTCTAGCTCGTGCAACTTAAAATCGTCTGTGCAGGGACCTGTCCAAGGAATATCAAACAACGAAGCGAGCTTTGGCCAAAACGCATGGGTCAGCAAGTTTGTTCTACGGTCTGCAGCTAGTCAATTACTTGTCCAGGGCTGTAGGAAAACAACCACGGTGCATTGCAACCATCCTTTTGCCAAGATATGCTGTTGCAGCGATCATGCCCGCACACGAATCAAGATGTGATTCCAGTTGTTGATCTCTGTGAAATCCAGCCTTGCCTTGAACTTGGTAACATATCCTTGCTGGTCCACCTTAGACTTGAAAAATACCCACGTTAGATGTAATATTCTGTTACCAAACTCAGGCTGGTCGATACTAGTCACTGTAATGCGCTCTAGTGTTTTTGTCTTTTTCAACTCACATCTCGTGTCCGGCCGAAGAGCAGTTTGTCCGCACTTCTGATGCCATGTTGCAATATTGGGTATTGAGTGATCTTCTAGCCGAGGAAGTTGACCATTCTTAGGTGCATTGAATGCGCCAATGGATTGATATTCCAGACAAAAGGTTCTCCTTGGGTTTCACATCTGTTGCTCCCAGGATCCGGAGGCATCAATGGTGATATAATTCAATTTAGGTAACATGCAGATGAACTTGAAAACATCAACAATAGTGGACGTATGAGGTGAAAAGGAGCCCGTCTCGGATCAAGAGCATCACTACTAATATACGAATACACCTGTTTGTCATATCCCCGGAATGTCAGCGTAGTGAGGCAATCAAGCCTAGGTATAGAAAGTAGTTGATGAAGATAAATGTCATTCCTCCCTCAATCTACCTAAGTCTATCAAATGCAGGTCCGGTTCATGAAGGTTACATTTTGCTCGGCATCCTCATTGCGCCGTCCAGTCTGATGGTGACCCCGTTCAACATGATGTTCTCTATCGCCTGCCGAACCAGCTGCGCAAATTCACCCGGATGACCCGCCCGCTTTGGGAACTCCATTGCGCCCTCCAGGCTCTTTCTCACTTTATCCGGCATCATCATAGTCATCCGACTATCAAAGAGACTCGGCGCCACTGTCACGACTCGAATGCCATAACGGGCAAGATCTCGCGCCATCGGCAGTGTCATGGCCGTCACGGCACCCTTGCTGGCAGAGTAGGACACCTGCCCTTTTTGCCCGTCAAAGGCAGCTGATGATGCTACCATGACGATAACACCACGCTCCAAGTCCGAGCCAGTCGGCTCAACCTGGGCAAGATGCTCTAGAGCCTGACGGACGAGGTCGATGGTGCCGCGCAGGTTGATATTCACGACGAAATCAAAGACATCAAGGCTGAGGGCCTTTCCATGCCGATCAAGCATCTACAGGAAAGTCAGTCGGTTCCGACGCAGCTCAAATACTCCGGAAATAGAATATCACATACGGTAGCAGGGCTTGCCACTCCGGCCGCTGAGACAACCCCTCTAAGAGGCTTGCTCGTCTGCTTGCTCCAATCCACAGCACCCTTGATAGCGCCCGCAATGCTCTCCGTGCTTAGCACATCACAAACAAAGAATTTGGCCGACCCTGAGAACTCTTTGGCCAACTCCTTGCCATTCTCCTCGTTCAAGTCTAATATGGCTACATTGCCGCCAGCGTTGCATATTTCCTCAACACAAGCTTTCCCAAGGCCCGATGCGCTGGTGATGATTTGTAAGTATGGGTCGATCGCCACCTGTGCCGGGGAACACTAACCCTCCGGAGACAATAAAAGTTTGGCCCTCGACCTTCATTTTAAATGAAAATCACGTTATCGATGCGAGTATTTCAAGGGCGGACTTGATAATGGAATGTCTTGGGTAATATGTAGAAGTAGGAACGCCGGAGATCACGAGATAACCATGGCTGCCGAGGCACAACTCGGCAAAGGCAGCCTGAAGGGCCAGTCATTAAAGCTCGGAACCGAGTGCTGGTGCGCTAATCCTGATTGGATAAGCTCATGGATGACCGCGGGAATGTTTAAAAGATTCCGGTGGCAGGACTGGGAAGATATCGCGAATTGCTTGACCCTCGCACTATCTAAACATGCAAATTATGTGCTGCTGACCGAACCGCATTTTCTCCACAGAGTCGCCCCTTCTGGAGTCAAAAAACAGGCCCCACTTTCATTCAAGTCAAAGAAAAGTCCCAAAATGTTGGCTAACCAAATTAGTTGTTTTGGCTATGACAGAAAGTCAAGACTGAGTAGTTGAGCAATAGGGTTCTTATTGAATGTGTACTGTAATTTTATTAATTATCCTTTTAAGGTGCTATCAACACAGTGGTTTCCCCATTTTACTTATAATCCATACACTACTGAATACGTGCCCCGATTAACCATTCTCGATGTAACGGGATTTACGGAGTCGATGCGCCTCAAACAAGGACCCAGAACGAGGATCCACAACAAATTCCGGCGGAAGTTAGAGGTGTATTTTCTTCCTTGACAAGTTTAAATAGTGGTATTAAAGACTTCAGTCTTCTTGCCCATTGTGTGTATTTTCTTTCTACCTATCCCTGCACGATTTCGATTTTCAAACTGTTCTCATCGAAAATGGTTCAACAGCAGAAGCCAAATCAGATTCCGTGGGATCCCAATTCTACAGCATTCCCACTCCGCAATGAACTCCCTGAGATTCCTGGCGCACCGAAAGAGGCGGCTTGGGTGTGGGGGGAAAAGACTTTGTTTGAACCCCTTTTTTTCAATTATAGATCATGCCGGAAGCCAGCTGCTCATATATCTAGGTCGGCCGCTTGAACCTCCTGACGCCCATTCGAGTACAAAATGCGGCGAAGGAGATACAAAGAGGAGAGGTCATTCCCGTGAAGTATGATCAGGGGAGCCCGTATTGTGATGTTTTTTTACTAATGTCTTTTCTGTAGTCTCCCACTGAACGATCCTTCGCACCCTGCCTTTTTGAGAGAGCAGTTCAAGCACGAGATAAAGACCCTGGTTCCGTCTCTAGTCTACGATGACACATATCACCTGAATACTCAAAGTGGAACTCAATGGGATGGATTTCGTCATGTATGATCTAGCTTATTGCGATTGGTGTACTAGGCTGACTGTTACAAGTTTGCTCACTCATCAGGCAAGTTCTACAACAACGTAAGTTATTAAATTTGATTAAAAATTATCCATCTATATCGCTGGCTCATGAAAAATCATCTTAGATAACAGGAGCTGATATAGTCGGTCCAAACGCGAATCAAAAATGTGCCGTCCATTATTGGGCTAAACGTGGCATCGCCGGCCGAGGGGTTTTGCTCGATTATCATGAGTATGCGAAGAAGAAGAAAATTAGATTCGACCCCTATGAGACATGCGGGATTTCTTATGAGGATATTATGAATTGTGGTAAGGAGCAGGGTATTGATATCCGGCCCGAGTCTGCAGGTGGCGATATCCAGATTGGCGACATCCTTTTTATCCGAAGTGGATGGTGTGAGGCATACAGCAAGAGGTCCGAGGAGACCAAGATTCTAGACTCGGCAAAGCAACAACACCAAACCTTTGGCGGTTTAGTACAAGAACAGGCAATATTGGACTGGCTTCACGACTGCTATTTTGCTGCTGTTGCGGGCGACTCTCCGTCATTTGAGGCATGGCCAACATCTGAAGGTAGGCTCCTGCCCTGGGCCCAAACACCAAAAGCCTAGCAGAATACTCAAATTGACGGGTTAACAGGCTACCATCTCCATGAGTACATCTTGTCACTATGGGGCATGCCCCTAAGTGAGATGCTGCAGCTAGACAGACTAGCTGAAAGGTGTCATGAGCTTAACCGATGGACGTTCTTTTTCACGAGCGCGCCGGCAAATTGCATAAGTGGGTGGTCTATTCTTAAGTTCCTAGTCTCAATGCTAACGTATGTAGATGGTGTTGGTACGCATGTGAGTGGACTGGCGATGTTGTAGATGTATGGTGCGTGAGCCCGGCCCTCAAGTGGATTCTAGAACCGCCACATGGCACAGTCTACAGCGTAATCGAGAATCATTTCACAATTGGTAGAAAGGCTCCTGCATTGAGAGGTTCTTAATGACCCTCAAGTGGCTAGAGTTAAGGAGTTTTGAGTAACGATAATCAGGCTAGCTCTCAAATCGCCTACCTCTCTGCATGTTTGGCAGCGGAAGACCTCTCAAGCGAGCTTCTTGATGAAACACAAGAAAATCACACCATGAGCGCCCTTGATTAGACTTGACTTATGCTTCCTATACTTAAAGGTTATAAGACTGGAAAATGATTTTTGAATTCAAGATAATGCAAGAGAAACATGCTATGGAAAAGCTATAGCGCCTAGATGCGAAGTTTGTACAGTACACAGCCAACAAGGGCCCGAGAGCTTTCCTAATTGAGCTCAGTGCTTACGCTTTGCTTCAGCCTGAGCAATACGCTTCTGAATCTCCTCTTTGGTCAAGATCTTGACGGCGTTGTTAGAGAACACGTAGCTCATGCCCGACCAGATAGTGGTAGCAGCAACCAAATACCTGCAGAAATCAAATTAGCACGAGCATACCAGAATAAATAAATAAATCAGAAAGCGATGACCGAAAGGCCAAAAATAAAAGGGAATCTCAAAGAAAGGGAAAAAAAACATACAACAGCCAGGATTCGCATGTGGTCACCCACCATACTACTAACTGGCCGGCGTGTGGCTTAAGTACGGCTGAGCGGACGGGAAGCCCTGTTCTCCACACCCTATGGTCGTATGTGCTAGTTTCATGTGGGAACTGGCTTATACTGCGACCTCACACGCCATACATCTTCAAAAACAAGTGCAAAATTGGGGCAATGAAAAATCAACATGAACAAGGGGAAAACGTACTGGAATCCAGTCATGGCCTCGCTCAAATGCCACGCACTAATAATTGCCTCAGGCACCACAGGCAGACCGATCGCGGTCCCGACCAGAACCAACTGCAAGGCAGTGTTAATCTTGGAAATCTCCGTGGGCTTCACCTCAGCAGAGGGGAGCGAGAAATCCCAGTAGCGAGCCATCGTCTTTGGTGGGGGGAGTGAGATCCACCGATAGTAGATGGCCGAAATAGCCAGACCAACATCGCGACCGAGGATAATAACGGCCAGCCATACTGTGAGCACGTTAGAAGATAGTGAGAAAGACAATAGTAGGCTACAGCAAGCCTCATATAGCATAACCTACCTGGAAGAGAGCCGTTCACGGCTAGACAGGCCACTCCGATCGTCATAAGAAGCTTGTCGGCCATCGGGTCAATGATGGTTCCCACGACCGTCTGTAGATTGTACTTTCGGGCAATCCAGCCATCAACCAAATCGGTAATACCCGCATAAGCGAAGAGCGACAGCGCAGCCGCATGGTAGTCGTGGACAAGCAGATAACCCACCACGGGTGCCGCTACCAGCCGGGAGAAGGTGAGGATATTAGGAATGGTATAGATGTTCTCACGGCTTCCTTTTCCCATGGGAATCTTAGAGAGAATGCGATTCGTGGCATATTTGGATCTGATTTCTTGTGAGACAATGTCAAGCCATCATGATCAGGAAACAGCAATGGACATACTCTTCGGGGACCGGTTTTTTTGGGTCCTCCGGGGTTTGCGATGTAGACCATCGTTTTTGCGTAAGAGTCAGCGTCCTTGAAATCGAAGTCAAGCGGCTCCCAGATTTCGAAGTCCTGTGATGCGATGTCAGGTAAAGTTCGACAGGAAGATTCAAGGTGGCTCACTGGATCGATGAACGGCCTAAGGGAGGTGACATAGTCAACACGGAAATACACCTGGAGTTGACTAGATGTCCATGGTACAGCTGCCCATGTGGTTGGTGTGCGAGACGTGCGGTGTTGCGCAACAAGCCGTGGCTAGCCCGTGAAGGGGGCAGCAACCGCATCACGCCTGTAGAAAGCATGGTGGTACAAGGAAACAAAGAAGAAGTTGAGGCCCACGAATTTGGTGTGTGCAAAGCCTGCTAAGTCCAGAATTGAAGGCCAAATGAGTGGCAGGAGGCAAGCTTCAGGATGATAGATGAGCGTGCGGCCAGAGGAGCCAGGTTGAAGCCCCAGATGAGTCGAATGTGGCCCCGCAATCAAAAGACTTGAAATGCGCAAATAAAGCAGATAATGAATGATACAATGGAATACAGAAGTCAGCCAGTTCAAAGCACGACCGCAATAAACATCCAAGACGATATAGTACAGATGACAAAGGGCTGCCAGCACATGTTAGTTGATATCCACAACAGTCTCGGATTTTATGGAGCTCAATTAATCATACGCACATCTTCCGCAGCAACAGACCGTCTTCCGGGGAAATTCATGCAATAGAAGCCGTACCCCAGACAGACCGACCTGATGATGGAGAAGTTGGCAGAGCCTCGGCGGATTTCAACGGTGTGCTCGGATCATCCATTACTCCGGTTCCGACCCCAGCCTACAACAAGCGTCGATTGATCCACTTCTACTTGTAGATAATCATCCTTTCACTTCCCATGAATCAAAAACATTCCTTCAATATTGGGGAAGATCTCAGCATGAAGCCTGTTATGGAGCATATAAAGACCAAACTGGGTCACTATGGCCATCCACCATCACCCACTCACCTGACTGAACTATACACATGACATCCCGCCTGATAGTCTACATCATCCCGAGGTTTCGGCAGATCTATTGTTAGTTGTCACCCGTGTGGATGAATAACCCTTCAAATACTGAACAGCTATACAGTTGTTCAAGCTGGCCTTCAACTGAGCTTCAAAGGCAGCCCGATGGAGAGCAATCGCCAATATCTATCCAAGGGACAACGGTGTTGTCGTCCCACGATCGTTACCTGCCCACGATGGGGGCTCCACGGCTGGCCAGAAATGGCCTGCCCAGATCAACTCAACCATCCAAACTCGCTCAACAGCCTGATTCATCTGAACCCGAGCCATCGGAACCTTCACTGCCAGAACCGAACAACAAGTTGAAAAAAACTATACCGCTCGATCCCAACATGTCTAATCCTCGTCTTCTTGTCAATCGCGCCTGTATCTACGAGCGCCGACTACCTGGTGATGCATATATCACAGCACACGTTGCACGACTTCAGCATGGGTTGTACGCCAGTGAAGCAGTCTCAGACAAAGACGCAGATCATGTTGACTTCCTTGCAATCAGTTTCGTCTTTCACACTCCCCACACGCTCGAACACCGATTCAAATCTGCTACCATCAAAGCTACTATTCGTGGTAGCCATGAGATCTCCACATCTCCCAAATATCCTCATGGCTTCCCTCCTGGAAACCCGCGCTTTCTCATGCACGCACCACATCTGATCTACGGTCATGTCTCTCCAGAAACTATGGAATGGACCTTCAGTCTGGCCGGGTCCTTAGGAGTGTCAGAGGCACCAGTCAGCGCCAGCATTATCCCTTCTGGTAGTACCAGCGCCCGTTACCAACGGTACGAGATGATGCGCATTCAGGGCTCCGCTCGCACGCTCAAGAGCCCCCGCGGTCCTCAGTACGACATCGAGGCCGGTGAGGTAGTTTGGTCACTAGAGGAGAACAATCTGCAGCGCTCTGGTCTCCCGCGCGAGTTCACTTTCGTCATGCTCGTCCAAAAGCCCACTGCCGACAGTCAGCTCACGTTGACCCTTGAAGTTGAGCCAGTCATCCAGGCTCTAGTGGGGAGCTATCCAAACTGGCTTCTATCGTTTGGTCAGTACCAGCCGCTGCCGCGTCGCGGCGTCAATTTCAACACTGAAGTTGGTCAGCGCTTTGAGCCTATGGACGAGGCTCGTGGATTCAATTTTGCTGCTCTGGAGAGCTCGTTTGATGAGTACATCGCCATGCCAGGGCGCAAGTTCTCCCGCCAGGTAAGAATCGCCGTATCGAATGACTTAAATCTAAGAGAGAGATGAGGGTCAACCACAGAGATATAGAGGCTGATATAAGGTCATACAGATCGAGTATCCAGTCGAAACTCCCCTCCCGCCGAATGATAATCCCAACCAGGCCGGATACCCTCAGGTGATCGGGAACTACAACCCAAACTACCCACTCTACAGCACCCTCAACCCACTACAGCAGCTACATTTCAACGGCATGGTCCTCCAAAATACCATGCTCCAGGCCCAACTGAACCAGCTCGCCACCACCCAGCCCCAAGCCCAACGCACCGTGCAAGCCTTAAACACAAATACCCTCGATGCCCACCACAACCTAGACAACACGACAATTTCCCTCCTGGCCGGTCTGCGCGTATCTTCCCCTCCAGCCATGACTCGCGTTGTCGCCGAAGGAAGCGATGTGGAGGCCTACACGAGTGACACGGCAGCCCTCAGCCGCGGAGAAGATGCCCGATTCAAAAGCTACGAGAATATCAGGGCATCCATGCTCCGCACCGTCCACCCCGAGATCCGCTCGGAGAAGTTCAAGGCTTCTTCGAATGCGGAGCCGATGCAGCGGAAGGGGCGAGTGGAGAGGAGTAGCTCGCGGCCGCAGGTGATGCGTTTGAAGAACCAGCCTCTTTCGTCTGGGCTACTTTCGCGGCTTGCTGAGCAGCGGGGTGTTGAGGAGGAAGGAGGTGGGGATGTGGATGTTGAGGAGTAGGTGATGTGAGGGGTGATGTTGAAAGGTGCATGATCTGGAGTTGGGGACGTTCATTGTTTCTTGGGATTCATTCGTCTGTGTCTGCTCGGTGGTTGCTTTCGTTTGGTCTAATAATACCCCTGTCTTTTATCTCAAGCCTTAAAAGGGATCAAGCTCATTTTCATAACGTGTTTCGCCATTCATAAAACCATATCGCTCCCAAGACCAAGCAAGTCTAAGTCGACCTGGTGTATCGCTAGTATATACCATGAGATAACAAAGTTCAACCAGAGAAAAGAGGGGTGAAGTCCCATGCTTTTGAATAGTGTGACACGCTATATGGTACAATTCTATAATACATAGCCAAATAATACAAGCCTCCTTTTATACAGCTCTATTTCTTCTCCTCCAGAACCAGCCCATTCGCCTCAGCCTTCCGGACAGCCTCAGCAAAGAGCTCCTTGCAAGGTACCCGACTACCCAACCGAGCACACAGCAAGAACGCACCACTCAACTTGCGATGCAGTGAGTACGTCTCCTCGGGCGGGGGCGCCAACCGCTCACGGATCATCAGCGGGATCAGGGCACGCACGCGATCCGTGATAGTCTGGTTCCGGAAGTCGTACAAGTCCGGGGAGGAGAGCATGAAGGGCTCTGCGATGGTGACGATGGACGAGACGTGTGCGTCGGCCATGGCTTGCGATTCCATGCCAGTGAGGTAGCCCAGCTCGACAGAGAGATCGTGGCAGGCGGTGCGGTCGTTGCGAGATGCGGCGACCAGTGTGCGGACGTACTTGTTGATGAACTCTTCCGGATACTCACGCGAAGCACCAAAGTCGAGTAGCTCGAGGCGGTTCGTGCGTGCATTGTATAGGAAGTTGGTCCAGTTAGGGTCGGTCTGCATGTACCGGAACTCGGCAATCTCGCGTAGACACAGGCGCATGATCTGTGTACCGATCCAGTCGCGCTGCTCTTGGGTAAAGTCTTGGATTTTGGTGACTGCCACGCCTTCTAGCATTTCCATGGTGAGGACTTGCTTGCCGGAGGCTTCGGGCATCACTTCGGGGACGACGAAGACTGGGTCGTCCTTCAGGAGCTGGCGGAAGCGGGCACCGCACTCGGCCTCGCGGAGGTAGTCACATTCCCAGGCGAGTTCGGTACGGGCGTTCGCGATAGTCTTGTCGAGGTAGAGACCGCGGGGGAGGATGCGGGAGGCAGTGAGAAGAATGGAGAGGTTGTTCAAGTCGGAGTCGATGGAGTCGGCGACGCCCGGGTACTGAACCTTGACGGCGACGGGTTTGCCGGTGCTCTTGAGGACGGCAGCGTGGACTTGGCCGATGGAGGCGGCGGCCATGGGGACCTCGTCAAACGATGTGAAAAGGTCACGCCAGTTGGGGCCAAGGTTATCGGTCAAAACCTTATCACGCTGCGAAGCGGGCATGTAGTCAGCGCGGTCTTGGACACGCTGGAGGACCAGCTGGATTGGCTCGGGCAACATGTTGGAATCTTGGATACTCAACATTTGGCCGAGCTTGAGAGCAGCGCCGCGCATCTTCGACAATTTGGCTACTAGACGTTCCATATTGCCCGCGCTGAACATGATCGAGCCACTGTCTTGGCTACCAGTAGCTCGTCGCATAGTTTCGGTAACGGCACCAAATGCCATCGAGGTGGCTAGCCCACCATACTGCCACAATCTACCCAATCGAGAAGATGGCACCCGAGATTCCATCATCTGGTATGGTGCAGGTTTCTCCCCCGTCACGACTTCTGCGGCAGGTGACGTTACATCATCTGCGACACTAGCTGCCAACTCCTCCATTTCCTTCAACTCTGACTTGGCCACGGTCTCGGCTGGAGAATCAGGTGCCTTTGTCGCTTCGGCAAGCTCTTGTTGCACAAACTGGTCCCTGTCCACCGGCGGCCACTGCCTTTGGGCCGCAGGCGGGGGCGCCGGCTTCCCCGAGAGCATGCGCGACACTCTCGGGCTCTGGAACAGACTTTGCATCATCTCTTCCGACACTTCCTGTGGCTTGGCCGGGCCATTGTGTTTTTCGGGCCCCGTGGCCGAGTTGAAGACGTCGGCATTCAAACCATCCTGCCCAATCTCTTGGGTATCACCGACAGCTTTGGGTAGCTTCACTCTAGGCAAGGCGGACAAGTCCGGCGCATTCTCCTGTGATGGTTGATAGTACACCTCCTGCTGAGGGCTAATATTCAGGTTGTCCGGCGTTTCATGACCGCTGTATTGTGCCGTGGAGGACGGCACCTGGAACTCGGCCTGGCGCTGCAGTATCCGAGCCTTCTCTGGAGCGGGGGAGGTTGCAGTCGCAGTCGCTTGAGAGCTAGTGGGTTTATCGGCCGATGGTTCGGCGGCCAGCGTCGTCGGCGACCGGGAGGGAGCGCTCGGGGTCGGCGGAGGCGGCGAGGGCTCGTCGTTGAAGCGACGCGCCAACGCGGCAGCGGCTTGTGCGGTCAGGATCAGTCCCTCAGTCTGATCCTTAATGCCCTTAGTCAAGGACGAGGTGCGTGTGTAGACATCGAGCTGGTGCTGACGAATGGCCAAATGCTTGAGCGCAATTGACTTGGAGACATTGAGGAACTGGATGGCATCCAGCACCCTCCGGCCAGACATTGTCCTGAGTCACGAGCCACAACTCTTAAACGACGTAGTGTGGATTTGGGAGCTTTCCTATCGCATCGGGCAAAATAGGGCGGTGTCAGATATCGGAGTATGTAGGGTGGGCTAGTAATGATGGAGTAATAATAATGGGAGCGAATCAAGAGTGATCCGAGTCTGCCAGTAGCAAGCCAGGAAAATGTGTAAAGGCAATGATTAATGGATTGGAGATAGAGAATCCGCCGGGCGCCCTCGGCCGCCTCCGACTCTCCACTTTTTCTGCCGATCGCCTTTCTATCGCAACTAAAACCGTCTTATCGGCACTTCTTCGATCTTTACTTCCTTCTATCTTCACCTTCGAATCTTCTTTCTCCTCTCTAAAGTTTCGAGGCGTTTCCCCATATTTTATACCCCAGACTTGACACTACTATAAATTCCACAATGCTGCTCGACAACTCTCAATCACAACACTTGCAGTCTGAGATCGCACAGCTCGAGGCCCGCCTCCTCGAACTACGGGCCCAGCTTGACATCTCTCAATACCCCAGCCCTCCTGCTTCCCACCCCGACCAGAAGACAGCCTGGACCATTCCTTCAGGTAAGAAACTCACTTTCATGGTTGGAAGAAGCACTTATACTAACAACATTTCAACAACAGACATCTATAAGCACGAGAACATCCACAATAACTTCCACTCGGGCTCCGGCCCCTCCTCCTCACTCCACGCCCTCCTCCTTCTCTCCGACTCCGCCCTTCCCTTGGGCTCATTCGCATACTCCAGCGGGCTGGAGTCCTACCTCGCACATCACAAACCTCTTCGCGCCAACCCTATCACATCTTTCCACCGTTTCCTAAAACTCTCCATCGCCTCCATCGCCAGCACATCTCTCCCCTACGTCCTCGCCGGCTACCGCGAGCCCGACACCCTCGAAACCCTCGATAACGACCTCGACGCCTCAACCCCATGCATCGTCGCCCAGCGCGCTAGCATCGCACAGGGCCGAGCCCTTATCGGTGTCTGGGAGCGCGCGTTCCGCATGAGCTTCGCAACCCCCGCCGCCACCGATACCGGCGCCGAGGTAGCCGTCACCGCAATGGATGACTTCTCAGACGCGCTCAAGTCCTGCAGCGACGAGGATAATGAATACGATCTCGGCCCTAAGGGCCACTTCGCCCCGCTCTGGGGAGTCGTCTGTCGTGCTATGGGCTTGGACCTGCACCAAGCGGCTTATATCTTTGTTCTCAACCACGCCAAGGCGGTTCTGAGCGCTGCAGTGCGGGCCTCGGTGATGGGCCCGTACCAGGCGCAGAATATTCTGGCGAGCCAGACGTTACAAGATACTATTATGAAGCGTATTCAGCGCGAGTGGAATACCGAGGTTGAGCAGGCTGGGCAGGTTGTTCCTGCTTTGGACCTGTGGGTCGGCCGACACGAGCTGCTTTATAGCCGCATTTTCAACTCATGATTTACATAGACCAGCATATATACCTAGCGTGTTTTTTGGGGAGTTTTATGGATGTACATTATTTGGATTAGCGAATACACATATGATTGATGAACAAGACATTTTCAAGCAGTATGAACAGGTAGTTGTTTCAGGCTGATACGATGATAAGATTAGATTACGAAGAGACTATAGAGATCACGATCCAGGCTTCCTAGATGGATGATCTTCAGCCATAAATGTATGAGACTTTTAAATTTGCATTCATCATTTCCCATTGTGCTCCACCTAGACGTAGTATTCCTACATGACACAGATATCTAGATTCACAAGCCGAGGGAAGAAACAGTAACCTAGTGCGCCTCTTGGGAAATGGGGTATCCAAAGAGAGCACAGCCCGTTCACTCAGCGCCCCAGCGCCGCAGAGAAAAAAAAAACAAGAGAAAGAAGAGATCCACCATGTGCGTCGACCAGGATGCGATCGCATAGACAAAACGAGTACTCTGGGGTTGGATACCAAAGCACGAAAACTCATCAGAACGCCGTCTCCAACCGTATCCTGCTAAAAACCAGCCATCAAACACCGCACCATGGACCTGTCGGAAAGTGACCACTAAAAGGAGGATAGGGTGGGGGGAAAAGGGGAACAGCAAAAGAAAAACGAAGTGGTAGGAAACGAAAAAAGGTTGGTATAATACAAGAAGAGAATTTTTGAGGGGGAAGGTGAAATGATCACAGGGTAATGTGCATGTGGTCGTTGCTTCCGAAGGAACGGTTGCAGTTGGGACATTTGCGGGACCGCGAAGTGAGACGTTCCTCGACGCAGTCCTTGCAGAAGACGTGACCGCACGTTTTGATGACCGTGTTCTTGAAGTTGCGGCGGCAAACCGTGCACAGTGCAAGAGTCTAAAAGATGGTTAGTTGAGCTAACGTGAGAGTGGTCGTTTAGGAGCAATCTTACCCGCAACATCTCATACTCGGAGGAGGAGTTGCCGAGACTCTTGTTCTTCCAGTTGTCCAAGCTCTTCTTCGTATCTGAGAGCGATTGCTTCAAGCCTGCGATCTCGGTCTCTGCTTGACGCAAGGCAGATGACGTGTTGCTCAAGGTTGAGTCCTTGGAAGTTGATAGAGTCTTTAACTCGGAGACTTGATTCTTCAGCCCTTCCACCGCAATGTTGCTCTCGGTCAACTGCTGTTGGGTCACCCGGTGTTTCTCTAATGCGGAATTCAGAGCCTCCTTCGTCTCGTTGACTTGCTTGTCCATATTAGACAACAGAGATCTTGTCGCAGCCTCAGACTCCTTCAACTGCGACACAATATCGGAAGTTTTCGAGTTCTGCATTCGAAGTGTGCGGACCTCCACATCTCGCGCCTCCTTGCTCTTCATGGCAGCAAAATACTTCTGATCAGCCTTGGACTTCTCCGCCGTCAGCCGTGCCATCTTCTCTTCCAAAGCACCCAAGTCGGTCACTTTCTGTGAGGCCAGGGTCGAGAACTTCTTGTAAGCCGTTTGCATGGAGGCTAACTCGGTGTTGAGCATGGAATATTGGCGTTCCAGACTGCTGTACTTGGAACGAAGTTCATCAATCGGTATTTCGTCCACATTCTCCACCGTTTTAGATCCCTCAATCTGCAACCGTAACCTCTCGATCTCGGATTCCAAAGCGGCGATGCGGGCTTCTCGTGCATCCGCCAACTCCTGCAACTTCACACCCGCGGTTTTCTCCTGATCCTGGGCATTCTTGCGTATTTGCTGATCGGCAAACAGTTCATCACGAGTGTTCCGTATCCGCGCCAAGTCGTTCTCGGCTCTCATTAGAGCTGCTTCTTTCTCCGCGATCGTGGCCTTCGATTCCTCCTCAAGTTGCCATTTGTATGCATTCCGTTCTGAGCGATACTTCTCGGCTTCCTCGCGTAGTTGAACATTCGTTGCCTCCAGATGGTTGATTCGCTTCACCACATCGTCATATTGGGATCGAAGTTGTTTGAAGAGATCGGTATGAGCATAGTCATCGTCTGTGAGTTTCGAGTCCTGCAAATATTCATCAGTCAGTCAGGAACGCACAAAGTGGCACAGAAAACACAAGGGGAGGACATACCTTGATCTTGATCTCGGTAATTTGTTCGAGCAGCTTTGCATTCTCAGCCTCCAACTTCTGCAACTGTTCCTTTTGCTTCTCCGAGACCGCATTCAGCTTATTGTTGGCCTCCTCCAACTCAGCACTTCGTTCCCCGACGGGAGTTCCTCCGTTGGCTGGAGATGAATCTTCGCGTTTGGCCTGCGCACCCTCCGAGCTTGGGCGCTGTCCACCCATCAAGTACTGTTTTTCCAATTTGGCAACAGTCACGCTGCGTGCCCGATCAAGTTTCTTTTCCGCTACCATGTACCGAAGTGACGCGGCTTCCAGACTTTCTTCGAGTTGTTGCTTTTCGGCAACGGTCTGTTCCAATCTAGCAATCGTGACTTTCTCCTCCGCAAGCTTCTTTGCTAATTGGTCTTGTAGCTGAGTGACGTCGGGTGACAGATTGGCCACTCCCGAGTGGAGATGAGAGATGATTTCGCGAATATCCTCCGTCCTCGACTTCAAATGGCTCTCAAACTCGTCCACATCTTCGAATTGAAGCGAGCTTTTGAACACGGGTTCTACGAGCACGCGTCAGTCTTGACTCCCCCAGCAACCCATGAATCGGAGAAAAACTACTAACCTTTGATCGATTCCTGCGAGGGTCCAAGGATTGTTTTCACCTCATCAACCAACTTGGAATAGGGTTAGCCTTCCAACGCCTGGGCTCGTTGAATTGATAAGTGGATGTGGGGACTCACCTGGCGAAACCAAGCATCGATAGCGCGAAGGTGATTGTCATGGTGGGCTGCAGCTTTGGACATCCGATCCAAGCGCGATTCTAACCCGGCTTTCTCTCTCTTGTATTCTTGCATTTGGCGAAGGATCGCGTCTTTTTGGAAACGCTATCACAAAAGGGCTTGTCAGTATTATATGCCTGGGACGCGGGCCTTGTCCAAGCCTCTGCAAAGGCGTCAAAAACAATCCACTGATTTAAACACTCACCTCCAAGTCATCTTTCCACGGCATATCCGCATCTGGGTGGGGTTTGCTTCCACCGTTGACAGTGGTCGCCTGCTTCTTCAAAGGCGGGGCCGACTCATTGTTCTCCGCGGCAGGCCTCTTCCGGTCCTCCATCTTGACGAATCCGGACTCTGAAGATAGAACGGGGGGTTCGACGGCCGGCATCAGTGGCTAGACTGGCATGAAAGAGGGGGTCTCGATCACCGCCGAACCGTCAGTCCAGTCAGCCACAGACAAGACACCGCAACAGAGTGCCAATTCTGCCGACAAAGATACCGGAGTCAGGATCGACTGGCAACAAGAATAGGCAAGTGACACCGTGGACAGACAATCACCGTGTGGGTGTGGAGTTGCGATGGTTAGGACTGAAGGAGTTGAAGACAGGAGGATTTTCAACGAGGTTTAGGGTGCCGCTAGCGCCTCTCACGTGATCATGCCTCCACTTCCCCGGCGCGCGACAACTTTTCCTGGTCCTGACTCAACCCCTCCGTCTCTTCAGGAATGGACAACAATGAAGGCCTTCGTGAGTTCGGCAGTTAGTAAGTGATATCACAGGAAACTCCCATACATGCCAGGTTTCTTTCTCTGACTGGTTTTGTATCATAGATAAATCGGGCAAGAAATTTGCCCCGAAGGCGCCGCCCCGCCGCGGTGCGCCGGGCCCTGCTGCACCCGCGAGAAGACCAAGTGCAGCTCAGCAGCCCCCGGCGCAAGGTGCCCATGGTCAACAGCAGGAGAGGGAAATCACAGAGTCCCTTCCTCCACCATCTGTGTCGTCCGCAGAGCCGGAACCACCTTCAATCCCAGAGTCAGCTCCAGTTGTGGCTTCGGAGGCACCCCCAGCAGCTCCAACCTCCCCGAAATCAGCTACCCCCATCTCAATCCCCCGCCCAATTCGCAAACCATCGATATCTAAACCTGCTGCCGTTGCGCAAGTGCAGCCTGCTTCCCCCTCTACCACCCTACCCGACACTCCAGCCTCCCCCCGAACTTTGCCTACCGAAACAAATGTCTTGCCATCAATCGAGAATGATACCCCGCGGTCAACTTTGGTTGAGGATTCGACCGAAGTAACAGAGGTTACCGAAATAGCAGTTCCTACAGCAGACACTCGCGTTTTAGACGAAGCCGTTTCACCACGCCAATCCGTTTCAGAGCCCCAACCTATAGCCTCCGCTCCCGTTGCTGGTCGGTCTTTGAAATGGGCTAAGAAAACTTCCGAATTTACAAACCGTGGCAGGGGACCAGTACACGCCGTTGCCCCGCCGGTCTCCTCTACAGCATCGAGTGAGACACCCGGTGGATCGCTCGTACCCGTGACTCCCGAAGCGAGCCAAGCATCTGCGCAAGGGAAGAAACGCAAAGCATCGAAGGTATCGGATGCCGGTCGTGACTCTGAAAGGCCGAAGCGTCGCCCCAGGAAGCGCGAGCCGACCCCAGAGGGTGCGGAGATGGTGGAAATTCTACCCAACGTGGTCAAGATGTCCGAGCTTTGCAAAGACCTCAAAACCGGACGGAAGTCGAAGCGAGAGACCGAATTGCGCAAGTTGGAGTTGGAGGAACAAGAACGCAAGCAAAAAGCGCTTGAGGAAGGCTCAACTCTCGAGTCGCCGAAGAAAGCGAACGATTCAGATGCCAATAAGACAGATCGTCTTGCTGCGCCCATGCCACAGTCTGGTCCAGTCATGCGCATTGTCAACGGCGAGATTGTGCTGGACAATGCGTCGCTGGAAGTGGATCGTCATGCAGATGCTGCGCGGGCTGCAGGTGACCTCGAAGACGTGGTGGAAAATCAGCTTACTCGGAAGGTTAACCAGGCCACATACGGCAAACGTACCAAGAACGAATCGTGGGATGAGGACATGACCGATTTGTTCTACCGCGGCTTGCGTATGTTCGGTACAGACTTCATGGTGATCAGCAAGCTTTTCCCGGGGCGGTCTCGCCGTCAGATCAAGCTGAAATTCAACAATGAAGAGCGCAAGGATCCCCAGCGAATTAAGGACACTCTTCTTGGGCCGCGTGAGACTATCGACATTACAACCTACTCTGCGTTGACCAACCAGGTCTACGAGGATCCGAAGGTCATTCAGCAAGAGCTGGACGATGAAAAGAAACGCATCGAGGAGCAACACGAAAAGGAGAAGCAGCTGCACGAGGACCTGATGCGTAATCCCACCGGCACAGGCGTCGATGAGAATGCTGCTTCCAACGGCGATAAGAGCAACGGTGCTCCCATCAAGGGCAAACGAAAGAAGAACATTAAGAATGCGGCCGGGGGTGGTACAGAGGAAGTCCTCGGTTCCATCGACGACATTCCCATGGCTTGAATCGATTTCTTTTTTATTGGGTTTTTCAAAGCGGGCGTTTTACGGGGTTCGGTGCTTGGGATGGATACACTGGGAGATTTGCGGCGTTTTTCCTTTTCCAACGGATGATATACACAGGGTTGGCCCACAGTCAAGGCCATGGCGTTTGCTAATTGCTACGGACAGAGTTCTCATCATTGAAATCCACTGTTTTCATATCATTCGTACCAGCCTTAATAGAACAGCATGGTATTCACAAATTCTGTATGCCAGTAAATATGTTTCAGGATTCCTGACCGACTACCTACGTCTTGTCGACCCAAACCCAGTGCTGGTTGACGTGGTTGAGAACGAGGGCGACGAACGTGTCTGCGAGCTGCTCTCTCCAGCGTCGTAATTATTTTGTCGACCGAAAAATGATCCTCCTTGTCGAGACGAGGCATGGTTATTATTACCAGCACGGCGGCCCATTTCATATCCCGCTGCAGCGCCACCCATTGCTCCCGTCCAGAAACCCGGTCGCCAGCCCTGCGTTGCAGGTCGACTTCCAAATCCGAAGCTGGAGCTGTCATCAGCACAGGAGCTGCTGTAGGGAGGTGGAGGCCCTGGATAACCACGGCCATCACCACCACCTCCGCCGCCGCCTCCTCCCCATCCCCATCTCCGTCCAGTAGTCCTGCCTCTTTGATTCCCCCGTAGACCAAGGCATTCAAAAAGGAACCGTCCAGCAATGAATAGAAAAACGGCAGCGAAGAAACCAAAGAACAGGACGTCTCCAACAGTCTCCACCGCCTTCTTCCAGCCACGTCCCGATGTCTTCTTTGTGTTTCCAAACAAGGAGGACCACTCGTAGTCATCAGTAGCCTTTCCAAACCTCTTCTCCCCTTGATCCGTCAGGAGCATACGGTATTCAACACCGCAGCTACCTTTAAGCACCCACTTATCTTCTGAACTCCGATACCCTTCGCAAACGACGTCCGTTGCACCGAGCTTGAACTCGGGCGGCAGTGAGGCTGTACATGTCCATTGTACATCTTCGGCATCGTAGTCATAGCCATCATTCGTGCAACGCATTATATCAATTTGGTAGAGATCGCATATTCTCTTGGAAGGGCCGACACAGCTCAGCTGGGGGATGGGAGACACACGCCGAGAGGTTGTTTCGCGGTTGCCGCGTAGTGTTAAGGTTTTGACGTTGGATAAGAGGATTGCATCTTTGCCCGGTGGTTTTTGCGATCTGTCGCATGCGGCTAGCGAGGCCAGGAGCAGCGTCGGTAGTCCTAGTGATATCCAGTGCATCGTGGTGTAGCTCCAGACAAAGCTCGCGGGTGGAAGCTCGATGGCAACAGACAGATATTGCTAGAGGAGAACAGCAAAAATTAGTTGAAATTAGATTAAAGGCCAGTTTTGCGTCTATTAATCAGGCTGCAAGCTTTGAGTCATCGAAAGATCGACCCGATCAACTCCATAACCAGCTCTGAAGTGGCGTGCCAGTCGCGAGGTCCAGCGTGTCCTGAAAAGTTGGGTCCGATCTGGGCGATAAGCTGATAAGCGATCGGCCGATTATCGATAAGCCAGCCAAGAAAGATCCACCGAGGCCCAACCTCCGTCCGACTTTAACCTTCAGTGGAGATGCTTCACGAACAGGGGCTCCCTCACTGCCGCTGACAATGGCGCTCCAACAATGTACGTATCATTCATGCAACCCGACCAATTATGTATTTTCTTGCTAATACTTTGATCAGCTGAGCCCGTCATTGTGGCGCCGCAGTCCTCGTACGCCCATCTGAACCTTTGGAGTGTGAATCTAGATCGCTGACCCAACTACCCCTCCCCGCCTGCAGATTATCTTTCACACAAGGCTTTCTACTAGGCCAACTCTCTGTTGTCCTACTAATTGGGGCCTTCATCAAATTCTTCATCTTCGGCGAGGCTCCACCACCTCCATCGCGCGGCCTGTCCAACCGGACAACCCACCGCCGCTACAGCTCCGTCTACAGCCCGCAAGATGGCCAAAAGTCTCTCCGAGAAAAGCCGTCCACCTCCAATGTCCTTCGCCCTGTGCCGGCCTCCTCTACAAACACACGCTCGATCCTTCGCAAAACCTACTACAGCTCCATTCCTACAAATCCCTCCTCCAAACATGGCCGCCACCGCATGCACCACTCCTCCCACCAGCCTGAATCTCTGGATTGGTTCAATGTGCTGATTGCACAGACAATTGCGCAATATCGACAGACGGCATACTTGCTCAAAGATTCGCCAACATCCTCGATTCTGAACTCCCTGACCGCGGCGATGAACAACCCCGAGAAGAAGCCGTCCTTTATCGAGAAAATCAATGTGACGGATATCTCGCTTGGCGAGGAGTTCCCAATTTTCAGCAACTGCCGAATTATCACGGTAGATGATCCTAACTCGGACGGCGGGAGGTTGCAGGCATTGTTGGATGTCGATTTGAGCGATGACAACCTCTCCATCGCTGTAGAGACTCAATTAGTCTTGAATTACCCCAAACCACGTTCGGCCATTCTTCCCGTCGCATTATCTGTTTCAGTTGTGCGATTCTCAGGAACCCTATGTATCTCGCTGATTCCCGCAGCAACGGAGCCTCTTCATACTCCTGCGACATCACCCACGCCGCCTACAGATGGAGCCGCAAGACCCAACAACTCCCCAGATGCTTCAGATACTGGCGCTGCGCATGACCAAACCCCGCCCAAGAGCAGTCCCAAAAGCAATGTCGCATTCTCGTTCCTCCCTGACTATCGACTCGATCTTTCCGTGCGTTCACTTATTGGGTCTCGCAGCAGATTGCAGGATGTCCCCAAGGTAGCTCAACTCGTTGAGGCCCGGGTACATGCCTGGTTCGAGGAGCGTGTCGTCGAGCCACGAGTGCAGGTTGTCGGGCTCCCTGACCTGTGGCCACGCATGGGCCGGACCGGCGTGCGGACAGGCGAAGACTCCGACGCAGGGTCTACTGCGCCGCCACGTAGTGCCGGCTCCACAGAAGCTGGAGGGCCAATCCGGTTCTCCGACGATCATGTTCGCGAACAAGAGGGATTGCGCTTTCGTGGGGGGTTGGACGCACGATTAGGACTTGGTGCGGGCTCGCGCAGCAGCAGTTTTAACGTGGACATGGGCGGCTTGCGAAGTTCAAGTATGACCAGGCAAGACAGTGCCGGCGCTGCAAGCGACCAGCTCGAGATGCCTGGTGCCATGCCGGGTGGTGTTCCCGGGGTCCGAAACTGATGTGACAGCCGTGTATAATGACCTACCTGCCTATCTACAACTTCTGCATTGTAGCCTTGAGCCCTCCACTACCCCGATGTATACTTAAAATTCGATATCATGAATCATACAGATGAGGAGAAGAATCTCCCAAATTCCCATTGTGTGTATGTGCAGAATCTACTGAATAGTATAAAGTAAATTGGGAACCAGATGGAATTGGACATCCTTGTCTCTGTTCCATCGAAAGCCATCAATCCATGCAGTCATTAAAAGTCGCAACCCCCCATCAAGCACCAGTCAAGCTGGAACCATCTAGTTCACAGCAGTGGTGGGCTTCAAGACAGCCTCCACGTAGTTCTTGCGGTGCGGGTTCGCATCAAGCTCAGCGCCACGGTTGAGCGGCGTCCACTTGGGCTCATCCTGGAAGAGGCGCATAGCCTTGACGTACTATGAAGCGTGGCAGGTTAGACGAAGGGGGCCAATAAGAAATCACTAAAAGGGCAAGTCATTGCACAGTCACATACGTTCTGCTCATCGGTGGTGAAGCGGTGGTAGATGCCAGCGGGCAAGATAATCATATCATCCTTAACGAGATCAATGCGGATCCACTCGTCCTCCTGGCCCCGGACATCGAAGTAGCCCTCACCATCGAGGATATAGCGGATCTCCTCGTCCTCGTGCAGGTGCTCTGCGAAGAACATCTTCACCTTGTCCTCGTAGACATCGCCCATAGCCTGCGGGGAGACGCAGATCTGGTCTCGGTTCTTGTAGCCGCGGTCCTTTGCAATGGCATCAACGGAGTCAATGGTCGGGCAGTGGTGGTAAAGGACACCAAGCGACGCGAGCTTCTCTTCCGAGACGGCGCGGCCGGAGTCGTGCGGCTCGCGCTGGTCACCCTGGTTGTCGCAAAGTATACATTAGCATCACTATGCGCAGTTGCGTCATCGGATGGGCCCTCAATGGTCTCAGGGCAGAACGGGTGGCAGGACACTCACGGGCTTGTTGTCATACCAATAGGCCTTCATTTTGAAATATCTGAGAATAGCTTTTCTGGGGGTATCTGTGGACAGCAAAGCAACTCGGTGAGATTCTTAGAAATCCGTCGCTGAACATCTGCAGCCCCGCAATTGGCCGATTGCGCGAGCAGATTATGTCATCTCTTATCAGTCACGTGTTACGGCAATATTTTTGTCTTATCGCGACTTGAAGGAGCGTGAGTTCCTCGTCGACAAGCCTCGTTTTTTCGATGCATTCCGCCATGATACTCAGGGTGCGGTCATTGCCCGTGGCGCATAAGCGCATTGGGTTACCTCGCCTGGTTGGCAGGTTCCGCGGCCTCGCAACGGTTTCAAATGGCGCACAGTTCGTGGTGTCCCCTTACTCCGTGTTCTTTCATCATTGTTAATCAAATCCTCTGAATAGGGCCTATGATGTCGTCGTAATCGGAGGTGGTCATGCTGGAGCAGAGGCATGCGCTGCTGCTGCACGATCCGGAGCTCGCACTGCGTTGGTGACGCCCTCGTTATCGAATATCGGCGTTTGTTCGTGCAATCCCAGCTTTGGTGGAATCGGCAAGGGTACAATGATCCGCGAGATTGATGCGATGGATGGTGTCGCTGGACGCATTATCGACAAGGCGGGTATCATGTTCCGTGTCTTGAATCGCTCCAAGGGCCCGGCTGTGTGGGGACCGCGCGCGCAAATCGATCGCGACCTTTACCGGAAGCATATGACGGACGAGTTGGTCAATACTGAAGGTCTCAATATAGTGGAGGGCAAGGTTGCCGACATTGTTGTCTCCAAGGAAGGCGTGGAGAACACTGCTGGTGCCCAGGGCAAGATTGTTGGCGTGCGCTTGGAGTCGGGAGAGGTTATTCCTACCGGCCGTGTGGTTATTACGACAGGCACCTTCCTGGGAGGCGAGATTCACATCGGAATGGAAAGCTATCCTTCAGGACGGATGGGCGAGGCGCCGACTTACGGTTTGAGCAAGTCTCTCCGTGAAGCCGGCTTCCAGTTGGGCCGGTTGAAGACCGGAACCCCCCGCGGTTGGATATGAAGTCGATTGACTTCTCTGGTTTGGAGATTCAGCGCGGTGACTCGCCACCCATGCCCTTCTCATATCTCAATTCTACCGTCGAGGTTGGCGATGAGGGTCAGCTCACATGCTGGTTGACCCACACCAATGAGGCATCCCACGAGATCATCAGGGCCAACCTTGAGAACTCTATCCACATTCGAGAGACCGTTCGAGGACCACGATATTGCCCATCGTTGGAGTCCAAGATCATTCGTTTCACGGACAAGAAACAACATCAGATTTGGCTCGAGCCGGAGGGCTTCGCACCTAACGACGTTGTCTATCCCAACGGCATCTCTATGACCGTTCCCGCGGATGCACAGTACGCTATGTTGCGGACTGTCCGCGGTCTGGAGAATGTCAAGATGCTCCAGCCAGGCTACGGAGTAGAGTACGACTATATTGACCCACGCAATCTGCGGCCAACCCTAGAGACCAAGTTGATCAGCGGTCTCTACTTGGCTGGCCAGATCAATGGCACCACTGGCTACGAAGAGGCGGCCGGCCAGGGTATCATCGCCGGTATGAATGCCGGTCTGGCTTCTCAGAACCGAGTACCAATGACGCTCACGCGTTCGGACGGTTTCATCGGTATCATGATTGACGACCTCATCACCAAGGGAGTGTCTGAGCCGTACCGGATGTTCACGACTCGAAGTGAATACCGCATTTCCACCCGCTCTGATAATGCCGACCTACGACTCACTCGTATGGCTCGTGAAGCCGGTGTCGTTGGCGAAAAGCGCTGGCAGCAGTTCCGGGACACCGAGGGCCAGATTCAAGAACTTCAGGCCCTTTTGGAGAACACGAGACTCTCTTCAACCGCCTGGTCTCGCAAGGGCTTCAAGGTTCGTGCCGACACATCGGTTCGCTCAGCACTTGAAATCCTCTGCCTCGACGGAACCGACATTGACACACTCATTCCACACATTGATACTGCGAATGGCACGGCATATAACGCGGCATCGTTCGCGCCCGAGATCCGCACCCGCGTTGCTATCGAGGGCCGCTACGCCCCATACCTCAAGCGACAGGAGAAGATGGCGCAGCGTTTCCAGCAGGATGAGAACCTGCTCCTCCCTGCCGACCTGGACTACAGCAAGATCTTCGGCATCAGCAATGAGGAAAAGCAAGCACTTGAGCGGGTGCGTCCTTCCAGTGTTGGCATGGCCAGACGTATCGAAGGTGTCACGCCTGCCGGTGCCCTTCGCCTGCTGATGCATGTGCGGAGAGGTACTGGGTTCACCAAAGAGGTTTCCGAGGATCCTGCTGTTGCAGAGGTCTTGGGGTCATCGCCTTAGACTGCGGGTAGTACTCGTCTTTTGAAATTAAGCATAGCGGAGCAACTTCATGGCGCTGGGATCGAACTTGTATAATAGGGATTTGATTGAGTTGGTTGCGACAGGTGTTTTAGTTTCTTGCATGTACTATATTTGATTGGACTCTTCTCTGAAATATACAACCTATTCCCGTCTGGATGGATGGACCTTGGAACTTCCTGTGCGGTTTCTACCTCTAACAATATATATCTCTTTTGAAACATAGCCTGGAGAAATCTTGTGTTTGCCAGTCATGACTAAATAGTAACCATTGGAATAGTTAAGTTTTCTCAACAGTTCGGTTTCGTCTTAATATATATTTGTCACACAACCTACAGTAAGTGACGCCTTATTATTCCAGTGCATCATCCATCAACAAGTATAGAACATGAACTCCATGTTTACATCAAGCTCATAGATATGCCCACTCCACCACACAACACAAAAGCATAACCCCCGCACAACACTCTAGCTTGACCTGTCACATCCTAAAATTCAGCATCCCTGCCTAACAGCCGAAGCAAGCAAGCACCATGAGTTCCCAACCCAAGGGCCCGGGGCGAACTCAAAGCCCCCTGGAAAAAGCAAAGAAAAGGAAGCATTCCTCATGCGAACCAGGATTCGTACGACAGTAGCCCCATACTGTACATTCCACGATCTTCCCCAGAACTCCAAACACGCGAACCCACCCCCTCCGGCCGCGTGAATTCTCATACCGCCAGTCTGGAATCCACGCAAGGGGGAAGCGCCGATCAAGTCAAAAACAGGGATGTATGGAGTACATACTGCAAGACTAGTGAGTATTGGTTAAGCCTGAGACCGTGGAAATTGACTATTGTAGGTGACTATTTACCCTAGTTCTTCATCGGCTGCAGACTGTGACTCCTAGCAGGTTAGGTGCCTATTTTGGCCTGCGCTTAGGGCATCGATGTGCTAGGTAGGTAGGTAGGTACTGTGTATTCACATGTTGAGACTGTGGCGTATTACTTGCAGTTTGTTTATCTGGCTTCTTTGTAAGGATGGTGTATGCAGGACAGGGCAGGGCTAGCGATTATCTCTGCAGGACAAATGGTTTCTAGGTGGGCGACTACGCAGAGTACTGAGTATGTCCGAAGTACTTGCTGTCTGATCGTTCGATCAAACATGGAGAACCTTTCCCTTGGGAATCTGCTAGATCGAAGGTGCACTAGCGACTACCGACTATCTGGCGATATTCATGCCCAATTGCTCATTAGTCCATGCTCATCGGCAGGACAGGATTCGACAGGGGGGTTACAGGATAGTCGGTCCGGCCTTGTGGCTATCGTCGCCAGTTGAATAGTGCATGTTTGGCTGAAAAGCCAATGGCGGAATTCAGGACTCTTGTTTCCGCGCTTTTATGCGTCATTGATTCAATAGTGGTAACGAGACGGTGACTGCGAGATGCACTCCCTTGTGGATAAGTATCTCGCCAACAATGGGCTTAGAAGGATGGAGTATGTATCCCACGCCGTCTGGCTCAGTGTTAGTTCTCGCTTGCACTGATAACCGATTCCAGGGATAACTATGGCATCTACGTGTCTACTTCAAGTACCGAGTATGCACTGCTGTGCTACTGCAGTAAACGTGATATCGCCTGCAAAAATCAAGTCAATCTCATGCAATGACTGGACTTACCATGTAGTCGGATTGTAGACACGTCTGCGCTGCACTCCACAGCCCCCAACCGCGCATATACGATCGAGAGCCCAGCCGTTGGGGCGGATGCATACTTCCCCTCCTCTGAGGAAGAGACCAGCACGAGAATACGAACGGGTTGTGTGTATGTGGCTAGTGAATGGAAGGCGGGGGCGCGTAAATAGAAGACATTATAGCAGTCTTAATCTGGTTGCGGAGTAAAAGCGATTATTACTCTATTGTCGCACACAGTTCTTCTTGACGGGTGTTATGCTCTCTCGAGTCCAAGTTTCGACTTTCCTCTTTGGCACCAGACCAAAAGTAATGACAGCATACGATCTGAATTTTTCGTACGACGCGAGAGCAAGCGCATGTTCTGTGCGCAGGATCGCACAAAGTGTGCGTTGGACACGAGTCCACGGCGTTGGGATCTGACGGTATTCGGGGCCACATGGTGCGTGGGGTTGGAGGAGGACTGGGAAGATGGGGTCATTTGCTTTTTTTGGACTTGACATTTTTGCTTTTGGTGATGGCGGAGTACATCTTGCATAGTGCATCTTGCATTTTTAGGTAGTTCCTGGGTACAAGCAGGATCGAGACTTGATGATCTCTCCCGTGTCTGCAACCGGAGAAGGGACGAGATCGAGCGTGAGATGCTGACGATGAGCGATTGAATCAACCGATGGGCTCCGCTAAACTGCTAGCTACATCCAGTCGGTACCTCGTACTAGCTCGTACTTCAGCTTGATTTTGGCTGTCAGCCTGACCGAGCTACAGCCTTCCCAGCTGAGAGAGTCATGATTAACCAATGAAGGAATTATAGTTTACGCTTTACAGATTACACTTTACAGTTTGACATGAAGTTTCCGATGGAGTGGTTCGCGCTTGGGTTCGGGGAAGCAAAGCAGTTGAACAATGTATTCTGTACTTAGGGTGCATGCACATCAATCTGTAAGGCAACGACTGTGAGGAGATGGCCAAAAGTACATACATATGACATCGGGTACTGCGTTGACGACTCGAAGAGTAAGAAAACTATGTAGTTTAATAAAAAACAATCATCAATGATCCGCGGGTTAAAAAGGCCTCGAACGATGACGGTAGAAAGATGAACTAACTACTTCAAGGCTATGTGTCTCACTTTTTTCAATGGTGATCCCAATTCTACACCATGTACTGGGAGATCCCGAGATCAAGCAATCGCCGATTGAAACCGAAAATCCAGGATCCGCTTGACTTAATGTCAGGCCAGTAATTTAATCGGATCTGTTCTTAAATTCCCAAATGTATATGTCATTATGACCGTGCCTGTTCACAACAAAGCCATACATCTAGCAAATGGACGCGCTACGTAGCGATCATAGCAGGGACAACTAATTCGAATACTACAGGTCAGTGCCATGCTCGATCACTCCAGGCAGATCCCCAACCAGCAACGCAGCCACCTTGACCATATACCCATCCCTGAGTGGCTTGCCAACACCGAGAAGGGAATAAATAGACGATCGCAATGAATCATGATCTCAGACCCCCCTTTCGATCGCGCGTGCATCGGGCTGGCCAGGTGGTCGGGATGTCTTCAGTGGGCGGAGAAAGCGCGAGGGTCAGTGCCACGACAGATTTGATGCGCAAGGCTTGTTCAAGCTAGTTTCTGCCCGCTGATCTATCTGGAGATAGGCCGAGCTCTAGTATCGTACTATGGAGTACTATGGACATAGTACGGTGTCAATTGACAAGCTGATGGACTAGCGAGTGCTCTTCCACGGATGTGCAGTATGGAGTACTCTGCACGAAGAGCTCGATAGCCTGCTGCCGGGCAAAGTCATTAAGCCATCGCGGTTACTGGAGCCATGTTCTCCATAAACCGGCTCCATCAGTCAAAGTTGGTGCGAGCTAATCCACTAGTCTAGCCGTCGGGAGGTAAAAGTGCGAACGCGCAGGCCAAGCAGAAAGCCAAGGCCCTTAGGCCCTTTCTCGGAGCCGACGAATAGGCAACGCGGGTCTGTTATTATTCAAGTCTCTTTTTTTTATTATTAAAATTAATATATTTTGTCTCCATATTTTCTCTTCGCTCCGATCTGCCCTTTTCTTCATCGTGCTCAAGGCTGTGGTTCTACCGAGTATAATCTTCACTTTCACATGCTTTTTTCTTTGGGATCCTCGATATACTATTGCCAGCCGTTGTGGGCTGTACTTCTTTCTTTTGCCCCTGATCCTCTTCGCTGCTTATTTGGGCCGTGGTTCATGCACGCTGTACTCGAATAGGTAGTACCGGACCGGTTGAGAATAGGGGACCTTTTGAAAGGGACTTGAGATCGGAGAGTTGGTAGGTATAGCGGGCTACAGCACTAGTATGGAGCTCCTGAAGTGGGTTTCTAAGCTTGATACTTTAACTCAATTATTATCGGCATGAAAACAAAAAAAAGCTACTAAGAATAATTATACACTACGCTAATACACCCCCCAAAACAAGCCATGTCCCAGAGAAGATATAAAGCACGAGTCTAGGACACTTGTCGGGCAGCGCCTCCCCAACCTCGTACAGTACTACTGTATACCCGCAAACTAGCACTCATAGCGTCGGTGGCAGAACCCGGATCATCAAGAAATCTCTCATCCACAGCCACCATAGTCGAGTACGAATCACAGACGGGTACTTGAACAGGGAAGGAACGGAGTATGTAGGAACGGGTGCCGCGCTAAACATCCCGGAGCGCGCGGCGCAAACAGTTCAAGGCAGCAGGAATGGGAAGGCCAGGGTTGACTGCTAGTCTACACCTCCCGTATACGCACACACACCCCCAGTAAGCCCAGTAAGACACACAAGACACAGATCCAAGACACAAGAAAAGCACCCGTGGCTAGACCAGAACCGGTTAGCGTCCCAGAGGACGAGCATGGCTGGCGTGTGCCGGCACAAACAGGCGAAGATCATCGCAGACCCTGTCCGGGCGTGCGGGATTTCTGCTTGCGCGCTAGAACCGAAATAGGATCAGTGCGAGTAGGAAAATGGGGCCTAGCGCCACCGGGCACCAGAGCTTGGGCTTGCGAAGGGGGGTTGATTGCGCGCCCGTTGAGAAGAAACTAGTTTCTTAATGTGTTAGCGTTAGTTGGTGGTTGCTGGCTCTTGGGACTTTGGGGCTGTGGTTGTGCCAGTGGATGTAGTTCTTGGCTTGGGCTTGTTGACGATGTCAGGAATTTAGTATTACTCGATGTGAACGAGTGTTAGGGTCGTCTGATCTCATCTTGTGCAAAGCAGCCGTTGAAATTAGTAGATCGGAACTTGTTTTTTTCATTTTGATGATAAACCATTCGACCCTATGAGA